CAGAAAATTAGATGCAGTCTACCCCTGTGGGGCTAATTTTTACTATGGGCAGAATTTCTGACCGCCGCGCAGTGAACCCTCACTACACCGTCCCCCATGGGATAGAAATTCGAGCTGGGGGTAGATCAGGTAGTTACATATGAACTTTCGAAATCAGATTGCAGGATTTCCTCCCAGGGGGTAAAGGGTTTAGCCTCCCCTCTCTGCTAGGATCTAGGGGGGGGTTTGGCCAAAGTGGATCTGTATTGAATGTCGCTGGTTAGCTACAGAGTGACCCGCAAGGGGATTCCAGGGCTGGAATCCCACCCACCCATGGGATAGGAAACCCAAAATTGATTGAATATTATATACAGAATCTAATAAAGGAAACCCGCCCTGATTCATGTCCTAGGGCAAGTACATTCCTGTTCATCTTGAAAACTCGAGGTCGATACTCGATAGGAAGCCACAGAACCCTTTTGCCATTCAATGCTATCCATTGGCAGTGCTCAATAGAGATGCTTAGGGCCACTTTAGATGGATGGGGTGTAGAAGAGAAGGCCACTGAATCTACCACTGCCCAATCTGGATGGCCTTCAAGGTTCTGGGTGAGTGCACCAGTCGCTGGGTCCCACAGCCGCACTGTGTGATCCCGAGAGCCGGACGCTAGCAGGTGGCCGTCAGGTGAGAAAGCCACTGAATTAACCACACCTGAATGGCCTTCAAGGATATAGGTGAGTGCGCCTGTCGCTAGGTTCCATAGCCGCACTGTATAATCCCAAGAGCCAGACGCTAGTAGCTGGCCGTCGGGCGAGAAAGCTACTGAAGCAATTCCATCTGAATGGCCTTTGAGGGTCTGGGTAAGTACCCCAGTCGCTGGGTCCCATAGCTGTACTGTCTTATCCCAAGAACCGGATGCTAATAGATAGCCGTCGGGTGAGAAGGCTATTGAATAGACTCGATCGGAATGGCCCTTAAGGATCCAGATAAGTGCGCCTGTTGTTGTATCCCATAGCCGTACTGTGTGATCCCAAGAGCCAGACGCTAATAGACTGCCGTCAGGTGAGAAGCTCATTAACTCAATCCGATTGAAATGGCCTTTAAGGGTCTGAGTGAGTGTGTTAATCGTTGGGTCCCAGAGCCGCACTGTGTTATCCCAAGAGCCAGATGCTAGCAGATGGCTGTCAGGGGAGAAAGCCACTGATCCAACTATTTCTAGATGGCCTTTCAGAGTCTGAGTGAGTGTATCTGTTGCTATATCCCAGAGCTGTAATGTTTTATCACTAGAGCCAGACGCTAACAGACGACCATCAGGCGAGAAAGCCAATGAAATAATCGTATCTGAATGGTCTTTAAGGGTCTGGATAAGTATACCAGTTGCTGGATCCCATAGCCGTACTGTCTTATCCCAAGAGCCAGATGCTAGTAGACGGCCATCAGGTGAGAAGGCAACTGAACTAACCCAATCTGAATGGACTTTGATGGTCTGAGTAAGCGCTTTCGTCGTTAGGTCCCAGAGTTGTACTGTGCTATCATCAGAGCCGGACGCTAGTAGACAGCCGTCAGGTGAGAAGACCACTGAATTAACTCCTTTTGAATGACCTTTAAGGGTCTGGGTGAGCAGCCCAGTTGCTGGGTCCCATAGCCGTACTGTGTTATCTTGAGAGCCGGACGCTAGTAGACGGCCGTTGGGTGAGAAGACCACTGATCTAACCACATCAGAGTGGCCTTCAAGGGTCTGGGTGTGTATATCTGTCGCTAGATCCCAGAGTCGTAATGTTTTATCACTAGAGCTGGATGCTAGTAGACGACCGTCAGGTGAGAAAGCCACTGAAATAATTGAACCTGAATGGCCTTTGAGGGTCTGGGTGAGGGCCCCACTCGCTGGGTCCCACAGCCGCACTGTCTTATCCCAAGACCCAGACGCTAGTAGCCGGCCGTCGGGCGAGAAGGCCACTGAATTAACCACATCGGAATGGCCTTCCAGGGTCTGGGTGAGCGCGCTCCATCCTTCCTCAACTTGGGGTAACTGACATATCCAAGTGGGAAGCGACCGCTCGAACTCTCTGCGAATTATCCCCGTTCGGGGTGTAAATACAAGCCCTGCGCAATAAACTTGAAGGGGGGCCTGATCAACTATCTGGCGATTTTTCAGAATAAAGCGCTTTGCATCGTGAACGAAATCTGAAATCAGAGAAGAATCGTCATCCTAAATCTGTCAGTGCATATCATCTATGATTATCATCGGAACTTACCGATATAGCCGTTTGGAGCAGATCAAGAATACCGGATACAGCTGACGTAAGACGCAGTAGGCTCATTGCTTCGACCCAGTGCAAAAAGTGCACCTGGAGAAATAGATAAACATTGTGCATTATGTTTGGCAAGTCCGGGCATTGTACCAGATGATGCACCCAGTATCGACAAGCGTATTTCAGTTCGGGAGGCATATAGTGCTGAATCGAATCATCGCTAATTTCACTCCATTGTATGCCTTCGCTTGGCAGTTTGCAAATGTTTTTCTCGAGGCTGTCCTGCATGATCTGACAGCATCGTTCTGCAAGACGCTGGTTTGCGTAATTCCCATTGATCCAGAATTCGCTTCCGCCTTCGCGGTGATCCAAGAGAAAATCTCGGAATGAGATATGGAGGATCCTGACTGGTGTGTCGAGATTTTTTGGTACACCGAGAACCGAGTGGAGCTGGTCTAATCGACATTTGACATCATCTGAGTCTCTGTCTATTAGGCGGCTAAGGGAGTTGATCGAGAGCGGAGTGGCAAGAATAATGATCACCCCGACTATCTCCTTGAACTCTTCGAGTAATTTCCGTGACTCTGTTTCATTTTGGCCAGTGAGGAGTTGCCTCAGCACAGGAACATAGGTGCTGTCCATCTTAGACACATAGGTTGATCGGTCTGTCAATATCGCCTCAAGTCGCTTTCGAGGGTTCCATCTTATATCACTGATAAAACGACATATGGTAGCAGCTGCAATGAACAAAGGGACAGCCCTATCAACCAATATCTTGGTGGCTGCAGCTCCGGGCCAGTCTGGTGGAAATGAGCGCCTCTGTTTTAGGCGTAGGAACTGATCCTCAAAATACAAGGATATGTCATGCTCTATCACTGGCTTGTCGATCTCATGGAGGACCAAATCCTGGTGGGCATCGGTGATCCCTTCGAAGCCCAGCCTGATCGGCAATTCAGGTCTGCTTGTCAATAGAAACCGTAATTGCACGGAAGTTGACTTTCGAACTTGTGGCAAGAGCCGGAGAATAATCCCTATATCATCTTCTGAATCGCATTCATCGAGAGCATCAATCACGATCACTTTTCTTATGACCTCTTCGCGCTGCTCAATATCAAACAGTGAATCCAGTAGAAGCTTTTCAAATTGTTCTCTCAACACCTTTTCCGAAATATTAGGGTCATTGTCCATTGCCTTTTGAACTCGAGGCATCATTTGAGGTATTCGCTTGACCATTTGCTGAGTCAATGTTGGAAAAAGCTTTTTTGCTGTCCCTCTGTCCTCTTCGCCTCTCCGAAAGAAGAAGCTGGCCCCGAGAAGCTGCTGCTCTTGAAGACGGATTGCAACGGTTTGGGAGATAGTTGATTTCCCTGTCCCAGCCATACCGTTCAACCAAAATATGCATTTTCCGTGTGGCGATGTTGCCCACTCTTCGATTTCTCGAAGCAGGTCAATCCGGGTCCCTGGAAGACATTCACTATGTTGGTTGCCGTAGGAGTCGAATGCTGCTTGTTTTGCAATCTGTAATCTGCTAAGGTCTATCATTTTGTGTATCGAGTTGGTCAATCTCCTAGATCAGCGTCCGAATTAGCCTTTGATACCCATAATTAAAAGAGCAGATTTTGGTCTGGAGCCTACGTTTGATCAACCTGCAAGGACAAAGCAAACATTGTTTTGAACGACTCAAGCTCCATGATAGCAAAATCTACCTCTGATCGTGCCAGTGGCCATTTTAAGGCTCGAAGGCCCCATTTCCTCATCTTTTTTTGCGTCTTTTCCGGATTGATTTTCTCTTTCAAATTTGTAAGTGCTGAGGAGCATTTGGCAATATTGTCGACCAGGTCTTGCGTAGCAGTAAGTTTGTTACCATCAGATCCACGGATCAGCTCATCGAGAGAGTGAAGGACTTGGGATAGGGCAGCGACCTTCTCTTGGAAACGCTGGATATCCTGCTTCGCGCTCTTGACGTTATTGAGATACTTCCCACATATTTGTAAGATAACTCCAGTTAACTGGATAACTGCGATAACACTTGCTGCACCCGAAAGTGGATCCATGGTTAACAAGCCTTCCACGGTATCAATGATATCAAAAGTAAAAGGTAAGATGTTGCGAAGGATGATAGATAAAAATGGAGTTTACACCCCTCAAAGAGGGGTAGGCATCAAAGTGAGGCTAAGAGCAAAAGTGGACCCTGATTAGCGCTTGTCCGATTGATTAAGCCACGCAACTACAGTACCACAGGGGGTCGTTCATTTCTGTCTAAGTGAAAACTCTTGCACTCATTGGCTGCGCCCGGCACAACTGGATTCGAAATAGCATCAATAGAATGTTACGAATAAGGGACACTTGGGAGAGCGAGAAGATAGTTCGGGGGGCCTGTGAGTGTGTATTGGGAATTGATGATTTTCAAAGACCCGCTATCAGCTTCCATGGAATTCCATTGAATTCTCGTTTTGATTGTGTAACATACTAGCACCCTTAGAATATATAATACCATGCTCAGGCATTCTACCCATCCATCAATTTAATGCGGCCCGCTCAATGATTGATCTGCGCCCAATGTAGCTGCTTTTAAGAACGACTATACCGCTCAGGGTTCAGATGTAAAACAGACCAGGTCAGAAGGGAGGCCTAGACGTATAGCGGGGAATTATTGCTGATTAGACGTCGCCCAAACCCGCGGGTAGACGGGTTGACCCGACCCGTGCCCGTTTCGTGGCGGGTTTTGGGTCGAGGGTATGTACCCGAAGGTCGGATACGGGTTGCGAAAGGGCATAGGTGCCAGTGCACAAGTCTTGGCAGATGGCCCATTAATTTCCCAATTTGGTAGCTGTGGTTGACCGCTTTTTGCACCGCCTAATACACTGTACTGTGACCGCACCGGTCGGATCGGAAGCTTTTCCCCCCATACAAACCTGCAGTATCACCATTTTCTAGGCGCTGAGCCCCTCCAGGCAATGTCCCCTGCTTTGTAAGCTCATAATCCCTGTCCAGATACCTATTTTTGCTACCTACCCCTTTCTTTACTATCACCCCTCACTATCTGCAGTATCATGACTCCGCGGATCGACCTTGATGCCCACATAGACGGAATACTCGACCTACTTTCCTCCAAAACATCACAGCAAGCAATTCGCACCCTTTTACTCGACAAATATACTGAGTCTGCTACTATAGTACACCGGAGGTTGCGGAAGCGGGTACGTCAGGCATAGAGTAGCACCAATAGTTAGAAATCAATAAATTTGCAGTCTAAAAGATGGTATTTCGAGCCCTACTCCGTAGAGTAGAAGCGCAGGATTACACACCTCTTTGTTTTCAGCCTCTACTTCCTGATTAGGCCTACAGCGCAGCTTCTGGGCCAAAAGCCATCCCTGAGCGGCGTCAGAGCACACAATGGGGACGAATTTTGGGTGATTTTGAAATTAGAAGCCCTGGAACAGAGTTGGACTTAGAATATTTGATGCAATGATGACTAAGGGTCTGTTTTGGTAATTCAAGAATATATTTCATTCTGCCAGTCCATAATTAGTATATGCCAAGACTTGTGCACTGGCACCTATGCCCCTTCGCATACGGGTTGAGATTAGACTTCCGCAAAACCCCATTTGGGTCGAAACCTCCTAACCCGGACACAACCCGGACCCAACACTGGGGCCCCAGAAAAACCAATAATAACCCAATTCGACCCTATTTCAACATAAAATCAATCATAATTCTACTTAGTGATCCACATATCTTACGGTTTCTTTCCTATGTTCCAGTCTATACCAAGAATCTGAATCTTTTTATCTGTATATATCTCTCGGTATTAAACCTGGCTACGACCCTCCGCATGGGTCCTTATCCCGGACCCTCGAACTTCCCTCTTGAGAAGAGGTTCCAACCTTCCCACCCTCAACAACCCGCATTTGCATGACTTTTCAACGCCTTACCTCTTTCGGTTGGATAGAATTGATGATTCATCTTTGCTTTCGTAAGAAGTCCCGAACCGAATAACATTCAACCTTTGCTCTTCGAAATCGATCACAGGGAATCGCATTCCTCTGCAACCGACTGGCCGAGTCAACAGTCGGCTTTCCAACCCCTACGCAGTGCAGCTTCTGACCCCGGCAACGGTCGCAGGCACCATGGCGACTCGTACCATTTTTGTCGGGCATGGTTCGGATGTAGTGGGATCTGCAGCACGGACGGGAGTCTGTTTCTTTATTTTTATTTTTATTTTTTATTTTTTGTTGTTTTATAATCTTGCTAGAAGCTTGAACTACCTACCCACGAGGTTGCAGTTGTTTAATAGTGGTACTGGCCAGGCAGGTGGGGGCTGAATCCTAGTAAGGTTACAAGCAGACAAGGATACACTCTCGACATCAATCACGGAAATCACGATTATCATGAATGGTTCCAAGACTGGCCCCTGTGTCTAGCTTCGTACTTAGTTGCCCAATTGAGAACACAGGAGCCGCATACGGAGCTGCTCGGCTCTTTGTGTACACCTAAAGCTAAATGATGGCCTGATATATCCAGGCCGAGAATGAAAGATTTTCATATCAGAAAGTGGAGAGGTAGGCTGATCGTCGATCTTTCCTTCAAAGCATCGAGGTCGGTGTACCAAGTGCTGCGGTCCAAGCACACGGCTAATGATCGGTGCTCCGGCTAGCGTTGTTTATTTGTTTGCTTGTTATCATTAACGTCCGGTGGGTGATGGGGTTATAGCCCCTTCCCCTGAGACCTCCCTGGGGGTATGGGGATGTGCCAAGCTGTGGAGAACAGTGTGTTCGTAGTAGCGGCGGCTAGCATTGTAACCATACTAAATAGATGGCGAATCTACTTTCACGAATAGAGGTTTCAAGTGAAAGTCCGAGGTCTTCCAGATTGAATGTTAATATCACATTGTAACACCCTTCCATTACTATAGCAGTTTTAACGGTTTGCTCCGATATGCTTTGTATTCTGAGTGGCGGGCTTAACCCATATTTTCCCATGTTTAGGGCACAAATCCATGTCCGTTTTGCGCATATGGAATGAAGTATCTCGGTATGGCTCGCATTTTATTTGCTTGCAGGTTCTGTTAAATTGACGGTAATTTTGGGAGGTTGGGGAGATTTGACTCTCCCAAACAACAGTTACCATTGTGGAGAGTCATACTGCATTGTGCATGATAATGAGACTTGATACTCCGTAGTCACATAGTAGATCATCAAGTGAGTAGGGTTCAAGAAGCCTCTCCCAACCATGATCTGCACAAGTTTCCATGAGATTCCCCGAGCTTTTGATTCGTACGCAGGGTGTAATATACTTGCAGCGATACTTTCTACCGTTATTCAGTGGTAAGATTACAAGGTGGAACAATTGCATATAAAGCACATTAATCGGTAGGCTCATTTCCCGGAGGCCGGCCCCCGTTACTCCTTTAGGCTTAGGGGCCCCCGAAACCATCGAACGGCATGCGTGGGACGAAAACTTTGATATTTGGGCATCAGGATGTTTGGTGTGTATTCTTGATATCTTCCAAGGCACCTAAGGGTTGCGCAGGTCTCAAAACATAACAACACATCGCCCATTGACTCTGCCTTGTCTCAGCTTCTGAACGGCCGAAGGTAGCTCATCGATGTCATAATGCTCATAGATGGGCCTCAGTAAGCCTCTCGCGGCCATTGACAAAGCGTGGGCTGTATCCTGTCTTGATCCTGTCAAAGAGCCAACCACTTTGATAATATTCAGTATCAGATACATCGGGTCATCTCCAGCTACTGCAGTACCCGAGGGCGGCATCCCAGCGCAAACCATCACATTTCCGATCCTGAGCATTCGCGGAGCAACCTTGTAGCCAGCTGGGGCCGATGCAACAACAAACACACCATGAGCTCCTTTCCCATCAGCAATTGTTCGGACATCATCACATAAGTTTCTCGATTTTGTGAAGTGGATAAACGCTTCACAACCAAGGCTGAGGCATATTTTTTCTTTTTCGGATCCCGCGTCAATTCTAATGATTCTCATGCCCATGGCTTTTGCAATCTGAATACCCATATGTCCAAACCCTCCGCCGGCTCCTATAAAAACTATCCATTGGCCCACACCCAAGTTCGATTCGCGAATCTCATGGGTATCAGTATGCTCCATAATAGTGCTTGGCGAGAAGTTATCACAGGACAAGCTCACCGCACGAAACATTGTCGATCCACTACACATTATCGGACCCGCCGCACAGTCATCGACCTTATTTAGGATGCAGGAAGCATACCGTGCGAGGGATGTGATGTATTGTTAGTAGGTGCCTATAAACCGATGTACATACGTTATTAGCAAAGCCGATCAGCGGTCCACGGGTTCATGTTGGAATATACTCATAGCACGCACCTGAAACTTTTAGACCAGTAGGGACAGCCTGAGAACAATGGCACTCCAGATCAGTCGCACATAGCTCACAGCTCATACACGTATCCCACGTTGGGGCCACTCCCGCCCTGTCTCCAATCTTCCAGCCTTTCACATCTTGACCAACCGCGACGACAACCCCTGCACCTTCATGCCCGGGAGACGATACATCGAAATCCCCCATTCTAGGTAATGGCAGATCTTGATCAAACTGAATGTCACTATAACACAGACCTGTGACATTCAGTTTGATCAAGATCTGATCGGGACCTATCCGAAATGTTGGCGTTTTCAAATTGGCTTTGAGGACATAAACTGCAAGATGATATCCATGGATTCTGCCTCACCTGGCTGCGGCACAGGAACATGCTCGATGTTGTGCTCGAAATCTGGGCCATGCTCAGAGACAACACCAGCTTTACAAGTTTCTGGGAGCTGCGAGAGAGTGTGCATTTTGGCAGGATCCTTCTCCAACAATATGTAGCAGAGATACTCCGTGCTAGAATCATCAGAGGAATTAGGGCAGGGAAAACTAATAGATTCCTGTACCTAAGTACTCTCATGCTGTTATATAACTACATATGTAGTATAGGTCTGCGGCCGAGGATGCGAAATCCGTTTCCACCGGAACACGGAGCCAATTTCCCTTTTGGGGCTGAGGTACCCGCCGGGTCAGCCCGGGGGCACTCGAGATCAACCTTATTAAATCCGTAAGCTTCCAATGTTCTCCCTATTACCTAGGTACACACATTTCTTCTTATCCCGAGCATTGCATCAGAAATATTAATCTGACCACATTCCCCCCTCTGTCCAGGGATTTCACAAAATAGCTCACAAAATACAAATTGAGCCCAGCTCTCCGAATATTTGGCAACAAAACGTTCAAGCCTCCTCAGCCTTACCCAGAGTAGGCAATGACAGCATAATTCGGCAAGCAAATGTTTTCATACTCAAGAGACACTTGATGTGGTGGACCAACGCTGATATGGTACTTTCCCTCGGATTACTTGCCCACATGCGCAGATGTACTACATCATGTTGACCATACATAGATGCAGGCGGATCAACCAGTGAGTCAAGAACCCTAAGCGTGACATTTTGGGGCCATAGATTCTTTGCCGAGAATTGGTGGTCGGATATGTCGAAGCCGTGTAGCTCAACTGTAGGCGGAAGCTGCCTTGCAAGGTCAAATATCCAACTCCTACCGGAATTTCGAAGTCAGCATGTAGTCAACGAAACACACAAAAGGCAGATTGAAGACTTACGCCGTTCCTGTTTCTAGCTCCGCAATCTTCATGCCATCAGTCATCGGAATGAGTGGATGCAGGTCGTGGCCTCTGTAAAGCTTCCACAGAAGATGCTGGGCATCCAATCTTATCATTATTAGGATTAGCACTATTTCGATCTTGAAATTTGGATCTTCGTTGGAGCCAAGGACAGAAACAGGTGAAGCTAACCTGATGGAATCAGCGATACCCCGACCTAAAACGCAATCATCGGTCTGAGTCATTCTTCTATCTTTGGGTAAAATAGGCTATTGTTGCGAAGATGTTTTGTGAGACTTGAGAAAAAAGAGGATCAAATGGGAATTTGACTCAAATGGTCGTAGTTGTGTAGTTTTCTTCTTCCTGCAAAATCCTAGGCATTTATATTGCTTCGCGTCAAGCCAAGAATTCTTCCTTGGCTAGATTGGAGATATCATAGGATCATTTGTTGGGAATTGAGAATTAATTTATGTGACGATATTGTTACACTGTCCTTGGGATTAAAGCATACTCCTGGACTTGTGTGACAAGAAACAGTGCATCTCTCTTGTATGACCATAAAGCTTAACGTACCTTGGGTATTGATGTTGATACTTTGCAGACGGAATTCTCACCAATCATCGCCTCGATGTCTCTGGCTTAGTTAATGTACTCTGCCTCACTGGTAACACAATCTATGCACCTGGGCAGTCTTGAACTTAAATGCCTTGCATTTGGTGAGCCCGACTCGGAATCTTTTTCCGACCATACAAAGACCCATCTATGGATATAGTAAAATAAAGTTAATCATGAAATGTGGTGGAACCCTTCGTACTACGGTGGATCTCGATCTAACATCTTTGGTCATCATTCATGAGCTGCAAAACGGTACTTGGTGGCGCAACCCTGGCACAGTCTACCATTCACGACCCTTCAATATCTAGGAAGATTTCCTCAACATTTGAATCTGCAATTTCTTGATGATTTTATATTTTAAACTATTCTATGATGACACCGCTACCCATGCCTCCCCGAAGGTGGCAGTTTCAAAGGACTTCGGTCGCACAAACCAGGGGCACAAGCTATGTCATTATATTGCTTGCGATAGAATATGCACATGTGAGGCTTCCAAATACATCAAACAGAATACTTTCTTATTTATATAGTTTGGTGGGTTTCAATAGGATTGAGCGAGATCTCAACCAATACGTTCAATGGAAATAAGACCCATTTGGAAACTGTGGAAATGCTTCAAGTTGATTCAATTCGGCAAATTCATACCTACTAGGTAGATACCTATTGCAGCTTCATGCATGAACCTTGGAAGATCATCATGAGATATTTCAGGCAATAAATCTACAGTCACCGAAATAAAACAATTACAGACAATCAGCTTCTGTTTCCCATTACCCATTATGGGGTTGTAGGTCGGAAAAGCATCACTGACCACAGTTCTCCCGCTGTCCTGTCTGCTTCCTCAGGCCGCCATCGCGCTCTTACTATTTCACTGGGTAGTGAAGATCCCACGGGCCAGAAATGTAACCAAGCTTGGAAGCCTGCCCAGGTGGCAATAAGTGAGATCACCTATGCGTTTGCATTTGAAAATCTACCGCATATAATCTACCTTCCACTACAGTCGGGTGTCACCCGGCATATTCCAGGGTTGTTAGCTGCGATTGCCGAAGATCACCCGGAGATCGAAGTGTGGCAAACCTTTTAAGTCTCAAGATCAGCTTGTAGATTCTGCTATGGAGAATTTACTGAGACTGCAGTGTTGCACGACAGCTTCTAGTGGCCGTGTGCGCATTTGTTTGGGATTGGGCTCAAATCGGACAAGTTGAGGACGTATATAGTCATAGTGCTGAACCATCCATAGACCGCTTGGTGGTGCATCACATTGCGCAGTTTTCCTCACTACACTAGGTTAATATAGGATCAGATACCTAGGTATACTCTGAGTATAAAATTCTTAAATGTAGGCATAAGTATCTTGCTCTCATCCTGGTCGGGTACTCAAAATCCATTTCATCATCTCAACATCTCAACATCTCAACATCTCAACATCTCAACATCTCAACATCTCAAGATACAAAGTGAAACCCAATCAATATCTGCTTTTGCTTGGAACTTGCAAATACCGGCAATTTCTCCCCATAAGATGTCTATTACCTTCAAAAGCCACACCCAAGCAAACCGTCGTCTCGGTGCTAGCGAGGCACAAATCCGATGATTACTACGCATACGAGCGAAGAGAAACTTGGTATATCGGTATTGGATGCCATGCATCATTGGTTCTTGACTCACAAGGAGATACCGTGTTCATCAAAACAGACACCGGTCAGACCTCACGCCCTATTGATGAACCGTCGATCACCGATGTTGCGAGAAACTTCGTTTCGGAAAACAGCAAGACCGGCTACAGGATATTCGGCCAAGCCGGGTTCAATTATGCTGCACATATTCGTGGGCAGGCCTATACCCCTGGCAATTGGCCTCTTCTAGCCTCGCTGCTTCCGCGCATTGAGATGCTCCTTCATCAGATCACTCTCAAGGGAATTGATGATGATGATGAAGTCAAGGCCTTGTATGAGGCGATCTCCTATACCAATACCAGTCTTTGCCTTGCTTGCCCTCGAAATTCCAAACCCATTGGCACCCAAGACATTGAGGGCAGCTACACCGCAAGGGTTGAAAGAGCCCTCCGTGACATAGCCGAGGGCCGGTACATTAAAGTCATTCCATTGCGCGCCTTGGAAGTTGATGGGAAGATTGACATGCCCGCAACTTTGCTTGCTGGTCGTCAATCAAACAATCCTGCCCGAACCTTCTCTCTCAGTCATGCAGGCTACCAGGCTACCGGGTTTAGTTCAGAGCTCGTGCTGTCAGTGGAGAATGGAAAGGTGAGAACTGAACCGTTAGCTGGAACGCGATCAGCCTTGGGAACGAAACAGGAAGTCGAGAAACTGCGAGATGAACTGTTGAACGATCCAAAAGAAATCGCGGAGCATGTCTTATCTGTGCGAGAGGCGCTCGAAGAGCTTGGGCAACTGTGTCCATCGGATACTATCAAGGTGAATGATCTCATGTCCATCAGACCGCGTGGCTCTGTTCAGCATCTAGGGTCCAGTGTGTCTGAGACTTTGTTGCCCGAGAAAGATATGTGGGATGCTTTCGAGGTCTTGTTCCCGTCAATCACGGCATCTGGTATTCCCAAAAAGGCAGCGACTGAGGCCATACAGAATCTAGAGGATGAGCCGCGAGAGCCGATTACTCGAAGCAGCACTGGTCTTGCGCACTGTATTCCAGGATGAAAATCGTGGCTGGATCCAAGCCGGTGCTGGTGTCATCTCTCAATCCAGTCCGCAACGGGAGCTCACAGAAACTCGCGAGAAACTGGCAAGTATTGCACCGTTCGTGACTTCGGAGACTCTATGATCACTGATCAGAAGGGTCCGGTTGGACATGGTGTTTATGTTGTGACAGAGTATTTATTCTTGGCACATCTCCGTGCCCAGCTTGTCCCGAATTTCTTCCAGTCAGGTTGATTGCGGTCAACCTTGGACATGTTCCGAGCTATCACTGTATTCGAAATTGTCTACTGGGGAACGGAAGACGTACGGACGCATGAAGGACTTTCAAGGGCTGAGGCTTGAGAGAAGTAATACTTTCATGAGAACTATGTACGAAGACAAAGCCTGGTTATATCTACAAACTCGTCTTCTATTCTTCCTTTACTTCAGAGTTCATCTCACAGACACCAGAGGTAACCTCGTAGCGGTATCCTTCTTTTTTATGGGGAATAATCATCGAGCATCCAAGTCAGGGGGTACGCCGTTTATCCTCGTCGGGGCATGCCACGGCCACGGCCCCGGAGAGCACGCTGGGCGGCACCGGGTGGCATACCACGCTGTTGGCCAGGCTGAGCTGACTCCTCGTTCTCTGGCGATGGCGTTAGTTTCGTGGGTGGCGAGTTGGCGATGGGGTAGTGACTTACTTATCGTCTCATCCACACTCAAGATCAGGCAAGCAGCCTCCACGGCGGCCTGGATGGCATTAACCTTCACCAGACTAGGCTCCCAGACAAAGGCGACCATGTTGTCCCGAACACCCTCATTATCGAAATCAACACCGGCCCAGGTATTACCCTTGCGGTGCTCCACGCGCAAACGGTTCAGGACATCGGTGGCGTCGAAGCCAGCGTTATCACACAGCTGGCGGGGGATGACCTCCAAGGCCTTGGCAAAGGCCTTGACGACGGCCTGCTGCTTGTGGGGAACGTTACGGTCGGCAAAGCCGTGCATGTAGCTGGACAGCTCCATCTCAGTGGCACCACCACCAGCAACGATGGTGGTGTTGCGCAGAGCGCGCTTGACGATCATGATAGCATCGTGCAAGCTGCGCTCGACCTCAGCAATAAATTGCTCAGCACCACCACGCAGCACCAGAGTACAGGTCTTAGCGAGCGGGCAGTCGGAGAAGAGGTTGAAACGCTCTCCACCGATCTGGCGCTCCTCAAATGCGCCGCAGGTACCCAGGTGGCGGTCCTGGATGTCGGTGCAGGTAGATTGGGTGGCGGCTCCGGTGGCCTGGCAAACACGGTCCATATCGTCGGAGGCAACACGACCAGCGCAGAAGATGTCACGGTCGGCAAAGTACCTATACATCGAATAGTCAGCATTTGGCTTGCGCTCCGCGGAATGGAGAAAGCACGCACTGTGTGGCAAGATCGCCGATCGGCAGCTTGCTGAGAACAACCTTGGCCCCTGTGTTGTAGATAGCCTCAAGCTTGTTGTAAATGATCTGCCACTCAGCGTCGACAATGGCCTGGTACTCGGAGACCTGCTCGACACGGACTTCCGCATTATCCTTCTCACTCTTCAGCTCCAGTTCGACATTCAGGCAAACGATCTTGGGGTTCTGGAAATGCTTGGGCTGTTGCTCGAAACCGGCGTAGGAGAAGGTCTTCTTGAAGGCAACACCGTCGACGAAAAGCGAATCCTGAAGTCCACCACCGGTGATCTTCTTCACGCCGATGAGCTTCTCGTTGAGATCGTCCTGGTCCAGCGAAAGCACGGCGTCCACAACCACTGTAATTCCAACTCGTCAGCTTCCCCAATTTGTAATCATTGGCGCGAGGTTCTCACTCTTTGTGAAGAAGTCCGAATTCCGCTTGATGAGCTTGCTGTTCATGGCCGTTGCGGCTAACCTTCTTAGTGTCTCGACCTTCTTCTCCTGGCTATCCGCGGCGTGCAGCATGTCGACCGCAATCTCCTTGACCTTGTTGACCGCCATGGCACCGGCCCTCCGCAGACCCTTGATGATAGTCTGGGAGCTGACGCCCTGCTCGACGAGATCACGCACTTCCTTCAGAATCTCACCAGCCAACACAACAACGGAGGTTGTTCCGTCACCGACTTCGGCATCTTGGGACCGGGCGATATCAGTGAGAATGCGGGCGGCGGGGTGCACAATGTCCAAAAGCTGTCGGACACACCAAAGTCAGCATTTCCGGCCAAGCGATGCTGGGAAACGAGAGCCGAGCGCCTACCTTCATGACTGTGGCTCCATCGTTCGTGATGGTCTGTCTGCCATTGGCATCCACAAGCAGGAGATCACCACCGTAGGGACCGAGAGTGCTCTTGACTGTCGATTGCACTGCGACACAGGCGTTGATGTTGGAGATGATCTGACCCTTTCCCTGAGAGGCATCGGTGCCTATACGTCGGAGAAGCAACATTTAGCATTTGCGGAATCCCACCAACAAAACTGCCCGCACTGGAGACAACACATACCCTCCTTCAACACGACGATCGTGGGCGTTTGACCGTTGAAGGCCATGGTTAGATCAAGAGAAGACTTTAGAAAAAATTAGAAAAGAAATAGGAAAGGGGGTATGGTGGGAGAGGTCGGAGGGGTTTGATCTGCCAAAATTTCCCAGAGCTCCTGTTCCCAGACCCCCCAGTCGCACAAGGCGGTGACCAATCAGGCCCAACCTCAAATTTACTTTGTACTATATGCGACTCTGTAATCTTTCTATTGAACACATACTCGTCAGATAACACGATTGGATATAAGGTGAATATTGTTCGATGGCAATTCACACGAGTATCCATGATATTCGTGACCTCTGACGCCGATAGAACATGGAAGAACCCCAGAATCTGAATATTAGACACAAACCGAAAAAAAATAGACTGAACCCCCCGAATTATACTAATGCTTTCACGTAAAATCATAATTCCCATCCGATGGACTTCCGTATTCAAATTTGTTGAGTAATTCGGGGTCATGCTGCATGTCGTGCGGTGGATTCGCCATCCCAAGCATGTCTTGCGGGAACAAGTCAGGAGCTTCTCCGACCATCAACTGGTAAGCATTGTTGGCTGTATGATAACGCATCGCATCGTCAAAGTTGGACATGTCAACAAGGGCTGTCCCCGGAGGGTATTGGCCCATTGGATTTTGCTGTTGGTAGCGGCGTAGCTGCTGCTGTATTTGGATCATCTGGGGGTCGAGTGGCATAGATGGGAACCCAGGCATAGGGTGAGAGGGACTCGGCATGGTGGAAGCGGGTTGATGTAAGAGGGGGTTGAAATTAGGTGCCTCGTCCGGCGCTTCGTCCATCGCCTGTGAAACGTGGGCTGGCTCCTCCTTCTGGGGCGGTTCCATACTACTTTCCATTTCCATCCCAGACATTGTTTCTGAGGGCGAGCGATCATCCTCTTTCATCCCTGGGATGGGGGGTGCTTTCAAAGTTTCCTTACACTGTGGACAGTCCCGTATGACGCGATTAACAGTCTCCTTAATCCGCACCCAATGGTACTTGACCGCGATGGCTGCAGTGGTTTTGTTGATTCCGGCATGTTGTTTGAGATGAACTTCTTGGGCAATATCGTACTGTTGCTGTGGATCAGACACCACTTCCTTGTCTTTCAGCATCAATCTTTCTGGCGAGCCCTCTTCGCCACCGAGCAGCTTATAATGAGTGGCCGCACTGCGCAGTCGGCTCTTTTCGGCGCGATCAGCTCCACGGGGGTATTTGGCGTGTTTGAGATAATAACGAATCTTCTCAAAGCGGTCTTGAGACACGGAATCTTCGCCATCCAAACTGAGGCCTCGACCGTAGATAATTGCATCAACGAACTCGCCAGGCTGTGACTTGATCTGGCCTCCCCCGGGCACTCGGCCGATTCGCTTGAAGCCGAGAGAATCCCATAACCGACATGAGGCAACATTAGACTCATAGACCAAGTTGAAAACTGCATACGTATATCCCTGGGAACTGTCAATGCCGCACACTCCGGGGTCAGTGCTGCGAGCCACTCACAAGTCGGGGGGCCCACTCCAAGTACGCTTCTCCCATCAATCGACCTACACCTTTGTTTCGTGCGGCATCGGTGACAATGAAGGTGCCGTTGCAGACATGACTGCTCCGGCCCGGGTAGTTGGGTCGAATGTGAAAACCACCGAGACAGGCTTTGGTCCAATTGGCACCCGCCCGGTCCATACTATGGGTCTGCTCGGCGCTCTCAATGTCCCCCAGGAGCATCACGACACCAAAGTTGGAGAACCAATATCTGCCAAACTGGGCCAACGGAATTGGTTCGGACATTGCATAAGTATCTCCTTTTTCAATTTCCTTGTTGAATTGATCGGAGAGATACTTCATCAACGCCCGGGGGACATCCTCCGGCGAGGCGAAAGGGACCAGAGTTGCCACCGTCACTCGGTCTCGTAGCGTAACTTGTCTTGGAGTGAGCGCGAGGGGATAATCGATGTCAGGGCCCGGTGGAACGAGCTCTGAATCTCCATGTACCTCAGACATGATGTGACCTCTTGACACTGATCCCCCTGGCCATGTTAGTGTACATTTTACTCTCGCTTGGCTGCAAAAGGGGGGAGGAAGAAGGACTACAAAATTCACGGTAATTCCAGGAACTTGCAGGAACTTCAAGGGCTCAACGCGAGGGGTCTGTTCACTGACATTCTGGGCTTCTAGAAGGACTCGGTGGCACTTCGAGGACCGCGTGTGTATTCTCGAGTCCGGAAGGCGGTGGCACGTGATGAGAGTGCCTGGCAGCTCAGGCCACTGGCCGAACTTCACTCCGGACTCCACTCTAGTCCACTCGAGTCCACAGAGACATGCTTTCTTTGGGGCCAATGATGGCTCCAGGATCGGATTTCGTTTCGGTGATACTAGTACTTACTACTAGTACTACTGTATCGGTGATTTCATCGTGCGCTAGCAGCTCTCTTGGTGGGGCTTGCTCTGCGCCAGCTCAGCCATGAACCGACAGCGGGGGACTCCCCCGCCAAAGCTCCCTTGCATTGAGCGTACCCTTCAGCAAAGCACGCGATATCTGTCAAATCTCACGTCAGGTAGCTCCGGAATTGGATCACTGCCATGGCGGAACGTCCTCAGTACTTCGAGAACACATTGTCTCTGCCATCCATCAATGCAGCCACGCTAACGGAGTGTCTGCAAGACCTTCGTCTTGCGGTTCATAGAGGTGCCCAACAAGTGCAAGCAAACACTCCGCTTCCAGACTCATGGGGCCCGAGTGGCCTGTTTAGAGCTTTCCCAGGTATCTTGTTGCCCTCGTATTGCCTTGAGATTGGTGACATCTGACTTGTCAAAGGTATCGCCTTGGCATTTCTTCGTCTAGATTATCAGTCTTCGGTGCTTCAGGATGCCACTCGGGCTTCCCCAGATTATCGCCAATTTGCGCTTCAGCGAATCCCATCAAGCCCTCCCGATGCAGAGTTACTTGCATCTCGGCTTTCCCCTCTTGGCTCTTCTAGTCCAATAACCGCCATCATGATGCGCATTCTAGCAAATGTTGCCAAGAATGACTGGCAGGATAATGCTCAGATCAATATAACAGAGGATGATATTGCTTGTCTTGACGACGCTGTGCAGGTAGCGTTGACGAATGACCCTCTCGTTGCACATGATGATCGCAAAATGGGTGGTGATGAAATACTCTTTGGGCGAGCAGGATTGCTCTGGACTCTTGTGAATATCAGGGCTCATCGCTTCGATCAAGTCGGCCAAAAGGCTCTGTCGCCGGTGTTGCAGAAGATCCCCGAGCTGGTTCGAGTTATCGTTGACGCTGGCAAACAGGGGTCTAAGGAGTACATTGAAAAGAACGGGACTCAAGGCGCTCACCCATTGATGTATGCTTGGATGGAGGGTTACTATTGTTTTGGGGCGTGAGTACTCCATGGCTTAATTCAGACGGCCTACCTAGGTATTAAATCAGGGCACTAACCAGGTGACTTACTTAACTAGGGTTCATGGAGCAAGTGAGTGTGCCGGTGAATGACCGACGCGTGCAAGAGCTAACCCGGTGGTCACAATCAGCCGGAATCCTCACCGTTCTGCTCTCATGTGAGCCCGAAGAGCTGGCGGAACATATCCCCGTGATTGGCGAAACCGTCAGCGCGCTCTGCCAGCTTTCGGTTACTAATGACGGCCATCTACCAATGACGACCCCGGATTTCAGCTATGGACAGCGCTCTGAGCTGGTCCAGCTATGTCATGGGATTCCGGGTCTTCTCATTCTACTCGGTGCAGCCTTCAAGCATGAGAGTCTAATACGCAAACATTGGGACCCATCTTGGGACCAGGCAGTCTATTTGGGTAGCGAGTGTATTTGGAGAGAGGGCCTCCTTTCCAAGGGAGGAAGTCTATGCCACGGTGTCTCCGGCAACGCATGGGCGTGGCTGCTTCTCCATGATGCCTTCGAATACCACTCCGACAGCATCAACGAAGCCCGAGAAGCTTATCTCCAACGCAGCCAGCTTTCAGCCTTGCCAAGTATGCAGACTAGCCAAAAACTCACTGGCGACTTTTTCCTGTCACGAGCACTTGCGTTCATGCTGCATGCGCGCGAGACCAAGCCCTACAGTACATCAACGGTGTCCGATGTGGACTACCGTATGCCCGATGAGCCTTATGCTCTATTTGAAGGTCTCGCGGGCAATTTGTGTGCGTGGGCTGAGACTTGCGCCGTGCTCCAGACCAGACTGCGCAAAATGGAACTGGTCGAACAGGGCGTGTGTGTTAAGACCGGGCTGCCACGCGACTCCCTTTTCCAGCATGCCCCCTCTAGACAAATTGGGTTTCCTGTTCTAGGTGGAAATGGAGCGGTGGGTATTTAGTAGCCTTGGAGGTCGATAGATGGCAACATGCAAACCTTGGAAGTCTTTGGCCATACTAGTAGCTCACCTGAGTTTCAAGTTAAAGATCGTTTTTGGTCTTTGATGTCTTTCTTGGCGGTAAAATGTGGCTAGATTTGCGCGTACATTCCATCCACAGCCATGGATGTGTGGGTATGGGGCTCAGCCTTCGAAGATGCATGCTCGGCATCTGGCATGGTCTCCCGTCGATATATAACGGCGCGTGCAGAGCAACATCGAGTTTCCAAAACTCTGCTTATAAAAAGCCCACCTGCTTCAACTTGGAAATTTTAACCATTTCAATTACTAGGTACTCTGTACTTTCAGATTATGGCACCCAGGTGCATTCCGGCTTCAGTTCAGTTCAGGGTCACCATCGCCCCGTGCCAAGACTTGGGCCTCGGGGGCCATCAAGGCAACGTGACGTGGCTGAGTCGCGATCTCTCCGTGAACGACGTTCTGGTCTTGGAGTTGAATGGAGTTGAACGTCCCCGAGTTTCAACTGTGAAGGCGTTTGAGTGTTTATGATCTCGCATCATGGACCTTGCCCCTCCGTCTTACGAGTCTGCCACGGATAGGGACGCATGGTCAATCATTGCGCGCTACATACCCTCTAGTGACCTATGTGCTGCGTCCTTGGTTTGTCGCCGATGGCATGGCCTATTCATGCCATTCCTATGGGGTGATCCTGCGTCTCATTTCGGGACAGACAACGATGCAGTCTATGGTAAGTACAACTACGTCACAGTCGCAGAAGAGAGTGACGAACCCTCTCAGTGGCCCTTACGCGATTCCGCAGAACCCTCAAGTATGCGCGGGAAGAAGTGCGAGCCTTGACTCATACCCTGCATCTTCCACCCGCTCTCTCGGAGATCTATGGCGGACCGCGCCCGGGCTGGTTGAGAGACATTCTCGAGTATCTACCATGTCTGCAGTGTTTGATGGTCTCCAGATTGCCGTTTTTCGACCACAATGCCATGGCGACACTGAAGGACTGCCAGAGGTCGGATAAATACAACATACGCCTCTTGTTGGCCGAACGGGAGCCGAATACAACGTCTTCGGGTCTTGCGCACACGCTGTCGTTATTCCCATCCCTGACGTATTTGGATCTCTCATATACGACCCCTGCACGAGATCGCAACGTTCTGTCTGCACTCAGTAGAATGCCCTTTCTCCGGGTCCTAAAATTACGTGCGATCGGGCTCAAGGACAATGACGCCGAGTTCCTAGCTAATGTCATTGGACGCCGCGTCCGGTGCCTGGACCTAAGAGATAATATGCTCACTGACATGGCAATACGCTCATTGCTGCAAGCTTCATTTCTCCCCCCAGGCAGAAGACGGGTGCCACCAAACCAAATGCGAATGACCGGCTCACCGGACCCCCTCTCCCACTATTTACTTCACGAATCTAGTTCGGATTTCTTCAAGCGGCCAGACCTGGATGAGCAATTTGCCAAGCTACTCGCCCAGCCTGTGCTCTATCATCCATGGGTGGAAGATTTGCCAAACACTGGAATATCCCATCTGTACATTACCGGTAATGAGATCTCGGTGGAAGCAGTGGCGAGTCTCTTGGTATCATCCCAGTTGCACGCTCTGGATTTCGGGACAATCAGCACTCCAGATAAAGCATACGAAACCCATCGTTTCGGGCGAAACAGGTATCCTGGAGCCGAGAAACTAGTTCCAGTTTTAGGGAAACTCGCTGGCGAGAGCCTGATATATCTCCGAGCGCATCATGCGGTTCTTACGTGTGAACCGCCGGTCAGAGACGTGGCCAACACTATTGAGTTTTTACCAGAGCTTCCTGGACGCCAATCGCCCGATGGAGATCAGCGGTTTGAGTTGGATACTTCCCAGGAGGTCTTTGAGTTGCCCGGGCACTCACGACCCGTGTTTGAGCTTGCGGATACGTCGAGGGCAGATTCCATGGGCTCGAGGTCAATAATGATCGAGCCTCAGACACCCCAGCTCTCATCACAGACCATGCCTTCCATCAGGCGTGGGTCAGCTTTCGCTCCAGAAGTCGTACAAGCCAGTCCCGATGAGCCCATCGGCCAGATCGCTAGAACAGAAACCTTTATGTCTTTCTCATCAGTCTCGGAGTGTAATACGTTCGCCACAGACTCATCTCTTGCAACAACGCTTCAATGCAGCTCCCCGGTATCAATGAATGACTCCAGTGCAGAAATGATACAGCAGCTTCTTGCAAAAAGGCCCCGAAATCAATCAATTCCACTTCAAGGGGGGAAAGAAAGTCGCTTTCCTTACCTGCATCCGTCACATATCCCTCATATGGAGACTTTGGTCTTGTCGGATGTGCCCTCGCATGTGGCACCAGACTCCTTCATAATACCCGCCCTCAAAAGATTCATCACCGCTTGCTCCAATGAAGCGTTACTAGCAAGTCTGCAGGCCGGGTCAGATTATTCACTTCCACCAGGCCAGGCACGCGCGCATGCCGAGCAGCAAAGATCTCGGTCAATCTTTGGATTACGGCGCGTTGTTCTTGAGATAACGCCTGTTGATACCTCCAAACTGACGTCCTGGAAACCAGGAAATCAGTACAACGCAGCCGGTCATTCGAGCACAGGGGATCGCGATTCAGAGAACCTTTGGTCCGCGGCTACTGGTGACTTCAGTTTCTTTGGGGAGGAAGAATGTGGGGTTCCTGAAAACGACCCTGGCAAGTACTTCCCAATGGCAGCTCTGAACGAGAAATTCCCCCTCATGCCAGATGATGATTTGGCCCTTTCGCCTGATTCTCCCCATCCTGGACGTTATCCTTCGCCGAAGGAACAGCGTATAAGTTCACAACCAGATCAAGCGCAGATCCACACCTTGGATCTTGTCGCAGAGCTTGCGGCTTTCCGTCGCGAAAAGAAGGCTGAATATGACCAAGCGGTTCAACGCGAAAGGAAACGACGCAGCACAACAGGTTCTGGCATGTCGAGTCTTCCCACGACAGCCTTTGTCGAGGGTCATTGGAAAGGGGAGCTCAAGGTGGTGCGAAACCCCATGCCCAAGGGACGAAGCGGGATGATCGATATGTATGGGAACTATTTCGAAAAGGGCTACTTGTACCCCTAAGATTTTGCAATGACAGCATACTCCAGCGCTCCTAGATACGCTAACGAATAGGTCTCTACGTCATATGAAAGTGTTTTGTAGGAATTTTTGATATTTTGAAGCCCTGCTAGGGGCTTGAACCATCCTTCCTCCCAGTCATAACAAGCCGTCTTCGGGCTCATAAACATCAATGCCAGATGGACGCCTATTGTCTTCTGCGGACAATGGTGCCGTCTTTTCTTCCTCAATGCAGGAGCAGACCGGCAGTTTCGGGCCCGAACATCAACTCCTGCACTCTGCCCGACAAGAACACCAATGCGAAGAGTGAAGACAAAATAAAATAATTCATTTCAAACTAGTTCCATTTTATTTTGTTCGTCATGCGACATTCATCTCCTTACAAAGCCTTAGCGGCAGTAGGGGGCTGAAGCTTCTTGCCGTCCTTGTTGTAGCGGATGCGAGGAGGGGGAGCACGGTTGCGGCGGCCGTCACGGGAGCGAACACTGCGAAGAATTAGAATGGTGGTATAAACCACGAGGCTGCAAATCGATAACGTACCGGACGATCTTTCCGTGGATGGCGCAAGACACACAGTACTGGAGCTTGAGGTACATCTTGGGAACGGCGTACTCAGCGAAGACGGAGGCATCGGAGATATCACCTGTAGTCGGATCATGTTAGTTGAATTGGACCACTGAGGGATGTTTCGTGCTTGGGCGCGGGAGAATTTGGGAATTGGTCGGGCGTGGGATTGTCGGGTTCACGTACGGATGGCAGCGGACTCAACCATGTTGCGGATGGTGAAACGCTTGATGGCCTTGTCCTTGGGAACGCAGCGAGCGCAGTTGGAGCAGCGCACGGGCTTGACGTGGCCGCGGCCGTTCTTGTTGCGACCGCTAGAAAATCAATTAGTTACCATTCCCCCAGAATTGCGAATCGGTTGGAATCCAGGCTCCCATTCGCGTCCGGCAATGTGCGTCAAGTCCGTTGGTTCGATTTCGATCTTTCCGCCGTGTGCGCATTGGTCGTCATTGCGGAGATGTCGAATGGGATCCTGCTTCGCCGATGGGGGATGTTGGTCTTACTTGTTCGCCCTCTTCTTGACCATTTTGACGGTTTGTTCTGTAAGGGGTCAGGTTGTGATGACTTGGTGAAATGGGGGGGGTAGGGTAGCGTACGGTTGACTTGTCGGGAGTGGGTTGTTCAAGCTCGCTCTCACAAAGTATCGCTCGGGATGGATTGGATTGTGCGGGTAGCCCTAAGCCATTAAGCGAGCTTCAGGCCTTCAGGCATCACTTTCTCAGGTGACTGGTCAGGTGATGACACCCGCTGATATAAGGCAGTCCGAATCCACTAGTCCGAATCCCGCCTAGTGGCCCCGCGGGAACCAGAGAATGGCCAGTGTTTACGGCTCCTCATCCCCGACTAACGACAGAAACACCCCTGTCGGGATCGACTATTGCCCTTTTTTTTCCTACCCAAAAGAATTCCCCTTACTCTCCCTCCCATACCAGTCTCACATCTCGAGATCCCTGTCTTGTTTGTGTCTTGCTCCCTCCATTCTCTCTGATTCTATTGAGACTTTCCTGTTTGGGCATCGCAATGTCGGCTACAGGGACTTTTCGGGGCACGCCCAATAAGACGATCGGGAGAGGGAGGCTGCCCGACTTCGGTAATGATCCTAGTGCTTCCCATATCCCCCGACCCAGGCCAGAAACTTCTGCTTCAACCCACACACCCTCAAGCGACGTTGGAAGCGGTACCATGAGCGCCGCCAGTAGCAGACAACGACAGAACCAGTCGAAGCGTGATGAGGTACGTCATGGAATCTTACGCGCTCGAGCAACCTGGGACTGAAGCTAACCTCAACACCAGGCCATCCGCCGCAAGATGGAGGCCGACCTCAACAAGAAGAGGAACGCTCCGGCCAAATCACGAAGCTCCCGCAAAGCCCCTCCCGGCACCGTGCTCGCCCTGAAGCCCAGCCAGGCCCTCCAGATCAAGCCCGCTCTCAGCATCGCCGAAGCTGCCCAGCTGATGGCCGCCAAGAGGGAGGACTGTGTTTTAGTGACCGACGACAACGAGCGCATCGCTGGTATCTTCACTGCCAAGGACCTGGCTTTCCGCGTGATCGGAATGGGCTTGAAGGCGCGCGAGGTCTCCGTCGCCGAGATCATGACCAAAAACCCACTTTGCGCGAGAACCGACACCAGTGCGACCGATGCGCTTGATCTGATGGTGCGGAAAGGATTCAGGCACCTCCCGGTCATGGATGAGAACCAGGACATTTCGGGTGTTTTGGATATCACCAAGTGCTTTTATGATGCGATGGAAAAATTGGAACGTGCTTACAGCTCTTCTCGCAAGCTGTATGATGCTCTGGAAGGTGTGCAGACAGAGCTTGGCTCAAGTCAGCCCCAGCAGGTGATTCAATACGTCGAGGCTCTGCGATCCAAGATGTCTGGCCCGACTCTTGAGACCGTTCTGGACGGTATGCCCCCGGTCACCGTCTCTGTCCGCACCACTGTGAAGGATGCCGCGGCTCTCATGAAGGAGCACCACACCACCGCCCTACTGGTCCAAGACCAAGGCTCCATCACTGGTATCTTCACTAGCAAAGACATCGTTCTTCGCGTCATCGCACCCGGGCTGGATCCTGCCACCTGCAGTGTGGTTCGTGTCATGACTCCTCACCCCGACTTCGCTCCTTCGGACATGAGCATTCAAGCTGCCCTCCGCAAAATGCATGGTCAGTCATCCAACCATTCATTTCGGTCCCACGCGCTAACAGATCGTAGATGGCCACTATCTCAACCTTCCCGTGATGAACGAGGGCGGTGAAATCGTAGGCATGGTTGATGTCTTGAAACTCACCTATGCTACTCTCGAACAGGTATAGTTGATCGCGGTTCCGTTTGAACGGGCAGATGCTAACCACAGACAGATCAACACCATGTCAACGCAAGATGACGAGGGACCTGCATGGAACAAATTCTGGCTCTCAATGGACCACGAATCGGATTCTATGGTCTCTGGCAGTCAAAGTCAACAGCCGCATACTCCCCACCGCTCCGTGATGAGCCCCGACATGACTCGTTCCGGCTACGATAACAGCCTTCTCCCCAATGACTCCGCATCGCATCATGGCGACGAGCATTCCGAAATTGCCTCTCAGCACCACACGGAACCGGCCGCCCCTACTCCTTTCCCCTTCAAGTTCAAGGCCCCCAGTGGACGTGTGCACCGCGTGAATGTGCTCACCACCAACGGTGTCACCGACCTTGTCTCCCAGGTCACAGCGAAGCTTGGCAAGGAAGTCGAGGCCGTTGGCGGCGAGGCCACCGTGCAGGATGGCACATTGAGCAACACCGGGTACGCCCTCAGCTACATGGACAACGAGGGTGATACCGTCTCCATCACCACCGACCAAGACATGACCGATGCGATTGATCTGGCACGACACACGCACCGGGACAAGGTCGATCTCTTTGTCCATGATCCTACCCAGCCCCCCATTCCCGCCACCGTCGAGCCTCAGCCAGTCAAGATCATGACCCCCGTCGAGGAGCAAAGTACCTTCGAGGAACCTGCCCCCGAGGAATCGCCTTCCCCCGTGAAGCTTCGCCCACAGCAACAAGCCGCTCCCTCCCACTCCCCCGATGAGCAGTTGATCGCCGGTGTCCCCAACGACCTGCTGCTGCCGGGTGCTATTGTCACCCTGGCTGCCGTCATCGCCGGTGTTTTCATTCTGAGCCGCCCCAGTGGCCGTTAACCACCCCAACCTCGTCCTTCTTCTTCTCTCTATATACTTTTGGTTGCAACTTTTTTCCAAGTTTGGGAAAGCGTGGTAAATTCTTTGATTGTCCGGAGTATTGCATACCCGTTTCTCTAATATCGATATTTCGTAGTTCAGCCTTCAATGCAAATACACCTCCATAATACATACTTGACAGTTCCGCTGGAACTTGCAACCTTGAAACTTGGAATTGGGCAGGTCAAATGATTTCTGTGCAACTGTGTAGATTCTCTTCTAGGTTCCAGTATTCCAAGCTTGTAGGTAGTGCTGTCTGCTTCCAAGTTCCAACGTTGCCCAAGACAACCGTGAAGTCAGATATATATCCCGGCCTGACCCGATCCCAGGAGATCTACCTAGGTAAACATATCGCCATCGTGGATTCAGGATAAATTCAAGGTTACTGGACGCCTTTGTCGCAGATTTTACGTAGGTACCGCTAATCAATAATTATCACTTGTCATTTCGGATATTCCTTCATGAAATCAGCGAGGTATCGTGTTGGTCTCAGATGCCGACAACGACTTATATGATTCCACGACCAATCAAGTCCACCTTATTTCAACCACCAATCTCTCCAGCGAAGAATTGCCCATTGCTTTTGACCAGAGACTATTTCTGCCGGGCAGGCTGATGCCCAGGCCTGGAAGAGAGCCTATGACGACATTATGTGGCCTCAGCCGTACTTCATAGTGGATAGTTCTGATCTCACCTAGAAGCCTGCGAGTGAAGTGTTAGTGAAACATGTCGAGGTCCTTGAATATCAGATAATCTGATAGCTACCTAGGTATTTAGGTATACCTAGGTATCGACAGAACGAGACTATCCTAAGTCATAGTGCTCCTCTAGTTACCTAGGTAATCCGTAGATTCCAAGTCCATTATCTGAAACAGCATATGAACAGCCTAAAGAGTGCTAAAGGAGTGCTAAAAGAAGAATTGCAGACTCGAGAAGAAAGAAAGTGAAAGAGTCGGGGATGGCAGCTCACATTCCACTTATCTCCTAATCAGAATTTCTTCTTTTTTCCCTTCTCCCCGCCCCACCAAAAACAAAACTCCTCCCTTCCACCACCGATCTCACATATCGAGGAATCTGGGCTCGTCTGGATCCTGGAACCTGGGAACCCATCATGTCCCTCCTACCCCCAGAGGTGCACACCGCGCTTTCTCAGCTGCTCAGCGCCCTGAGCACCCCCGACAACACCGTCAGATCCCAGGCGGAAGATCAGCTCAACAATGATTGGGTCCAAAACCGCCCAGATGTGCTTCTGATGGGATTGGCCGAACAACTGGCTGGCGCAACGGACACAATAGTAAGTTGGCCATCTCCATCGCTCCCATTCCAGGGGGTTGCGTGGAGCACCCCCACGCGGTCAGGGAACAGAGGCTGACCGGCAACTCCTAACAGACTCGTGCCTTCGCCGCTGTGCTTTTCCGCAGAATCGCCACAAAGACCCGCAAGGATCCCGCCTCGGGAGATGCCAAGGAGGTCTTCTCGAGCCTTCCCACCGAGCAACGAGTCGCCATCCGGGAGAAGATCGTCACCTGCTTGAGCAGCGAGACTGTCAACGATGTGCGCAAGAAGATTGGAGACGCATTGGCCGAAGTTGCTCGACAATACACCGACAATGGTACGCGATATGAGACAGGATGAGAAATGTGGGTGCTGACCGTGTGCTATTTACAGGCGAACAATGGCCCGAACTTCTCGGTGTCTTGTTCCAGGCCAGCCAGAGCCCCGAGTCGGGCCTGCGGGAAACCGCATACCGCGTTTTCACCACGACCCCGGGTATCATCGAACGGCAGCACGAAGAGGCCGTTCTCGAGGTCTTCAGCAAGGGCTTCAAGGATGAAAACATCTCTGTATGTGACGGCATGGACACGGCTATACCCTGGGGCTCGAGCCCAGTACTAACGTCTACCTCAGGTCCGCATCTCCGCCATGGAGGCCTTCGCCTCTTTGTTCCGCTCGATCTCCAAAAAATCCCAGCCCAAGTTCTTTGGCCTCATGCCCGATCTCCTCAACATTTTGCCTCCTCTCAAGGAGTCCTCAGAGAGCGAAGAGCTTTCATCAGCGCTACTTGCATTGATTGAACTGGCTGAAATCAGCCCGAAGATGTTCAAAGCCATGTTCAACAACTTGGTGAAATTTAGCATTAGTGTTGTCGCCGACAAGGAACTGAGCGATCAAGTCCGCCAAAACGCCCTCGAGCTCATGGCTACCTTTGCCGACTACGCCCCGAACATGTGCAAGAAGGAACCCGACTTCGCCCAAGAAATGGTCACTCAGTGCCTCAGCCTGATGACTGATGTTGGCGCCGATGATGATGACGCCGAAGATTGGAACGCGTCGGAAGATGTAAGGACCGGTGTTTTGCGTTTTGGTTTCTGCTCTGAGTGAGCTGCTTGCTGACTGGTATTAGCTCGAACCCGAAGAGAGCGATCTCAACCACATCGCCGGTGAGCAGTGTATGGACCGTCTCGCCAACAAACTCGGCGGACAGGCCATCCTCCAACCCGCTTTCTCTTGGATCCCTCGAATGATGTCGTCCACCAACTGGCGCGATCGTCACGCCGCTTTGATGGCCATTTCCGCAATCTCCGAAGGTTGCCGCGACCTCATGGTTGGTGAGCTCGACCAAGTCCTGGCCCTTGTTGTCCCCGCCCTCCAAGATGCCCACCCTCGAGTTCGCTATGCCGGCTGCAACGCCCTTGGTCAGATGAGCACCGACTTTGCCGGCACTATGCAGGAAAAATACCACCAGATTGTCCTTACCAACATCATCCCCGTTCTCGCCTCCACCGAGCCCCGTGTGCAATCCCACGCCGCCGCCGCCCTCGTCAACTTCTGCGAGGAGGCCGAACGCAGCACCCTGGAGCCGTACCTTGCAAACCTTCTGAGCCACCTCCTTGAGCTTTTGCGCAGCCCTAAACGTTATCTGCAGGAACAGGCCTTGTCCACCATTGCTACGATTGCCGACTCCGCCGAGGCCGCGTTTGATCAATACTACGAAACATTGATGCCTCTTCTGCTCAATGTTCTGAAGGAGGAACAGGGTAAGGAATACCGCCTTCTCCGTGCCAAGGCCATGGAGTGTGCTACCTTGATTGCTCTTGCTGTCGGAAAGGAGAAGATGGGCCAAGACGCCCTTAACCTTGTTCAGATCCTCGGCCACATTCAGCAAAACATTGTTGATGCCGACGATCCTCAGTCACAGTACCTTCTCCACTGTTGGGGCCGTATGTGCCGTGTCCTCGGCCGTGATTTCGTCCCTTACCTGCCCGGTGTCATGCCTCCTCTTCTGACTGTGGCCGCCGCCAAGGCTGACATTCAATTGCTGGATGACGAGGACCAGATCGAGCAGGTTGAGCAAGATGAAGGCTGGGAGCTTGTCCCTCTCAAGGGCAAGGTCATTGGCATCAAGACCAGTGCTCTTGAGGACAAGAACACCGCCATCGAGCTCATTACCATCTACGCCCAGATTCTGGAGGAGAACTTTGAGCCTTACGTCATGGAGACCATGGAGAAGATTGCTGTCCCTGGTCTTGCATTCTTCTTCCACGACCCCGTCCGGGTGTCGGCCGCTAAGCTGATCCCTCAGCTGCTTAACTCTTACAAGAAATCACACGGACCTCAGTCACCTGGTTTCGCCGAGATGTGGACTAAGGTTGCGGAGAAGATTATCGAGGTTCTGAGCGCTGAGCCTACCGTTGATACCCTGGCCGAGATGTACCAGTGCTTCTATGAGTCAGTGGAGGTTGTTGGTAGAAACTCTCTCACTCCCCAGCACTTGCAGGCATTCATTGAGTCCGCCAAGTCCACTCTGGAGGACTACCAGATGCGCGTCAAGCAACGCCTGGAGGAGCAGGCCGAGCTTGAGGAGGGCGACGAAGAGAATTTGGACTTCGAATATGCCGTTGAGGACGACCAGAATTTGTTGAGCGACATGAACAAGGCCTTCCACACCATTTTCAAGAACCAAGGAAACTCTTTCCTGCCCACCTGGCAGCAGCTGATGCCATTCTACGATGCATTCATCAACAGCCAGGACTCCACACAACGGCAATGGGCTCTCTGCATCATGGATGATGTGCTGGAGTTCTGTGGCGACGAATCTTGGACCTACAAGGACCACATCATGCAGCCTTTGGCATCCGGTCTGCAGGATGAGAACGCGGCTAATCGTCAGGCTGCCGCTTATGGCGTTGGCGTGGCCGCACAGAAGGGTGGACCCGCATGGAGCGACTTCGTCGCGGCCAGTCTCCCCAGTCTGTTCCAAATTACACAGCACGCGCAGTCTCGCACGGAGGAGAATGTCTTCGCCACCGAGAACGCATCCGCCAGCATCGCCAAGGTCCTTCACTACAATGCCTCCAAGGTCCAGGCTCCCCAGGATGTCGTCGTCACCTGGATTGAAACGTTGCCCATCACATACGATGAAGAGGCTGCTCCCTACGCCTACTCATTCATCGCGCAGCTGATTGAACAGTATGTGTATTCCCCTTGTTTCCCCGGTTCCCCCCGTTCCCCCCGTTTCCTCGCGGATTATGTTTCATCCCATGATGCTAACCGACTAATAGACAAAACCCTGCTATCTTCGCCAAAGCCGACCGAGTTTTCGGCTTCATTGTGCAGGCACTTGAAGCTGCTACCCTGCAAGGTCAGACTGCTGTGCGGGTGGCCGCAGCCGCCAAGCAGCTGGTCGCCGCGACCGGTGCAAACGCAGACCAAATCTTGGCCTCTGTTGACCCTAACAACCAGGAGCGTGTGCGCAAGTTCTTCCAATAGGTGTTTCTTGGACTTCCTGTCTATATCCAGCAACGCTTTATCCCTTTTCCTGTTATCCCCCATCATTCCCCTAAGTCATGTGAAATCTGAAATTACCTGAACCCCGACATGTTTCGTTAATCCCTATGTCCTACGTATGAATCCCATACGCCTTTAGACGTTTCTTTGAGCTGCCTTCCCGTAGTACTTTGGACTCTGTCTTGTTTCCCTCTTTTCAAGCCTATAGAGCTCTATAGCCTCGATACTCGTTCTATCTCATTCGCCACCACCTCTTCCAACCCCATGACCTTGGGCTCTCCGATGACCGCGTTGGCCCGCTTGGCATACAGCGTGCCTCCCTCTGTCCAAATGCGTCGCAGGGTCAACACCGTCGCAGATGGCTTCCCAGCCTCCCACGCCGCAGTCTCTAGCTCCCGTAATTTCCCCAAGGAAGTACGCGATACATCCCAGGGCTGACCTAGTTGGCGTTCAAACTCCGCTTGAATCTGGTCCGGGGTGGTCGTGAATGAATTGACACATAGTGCGGCATTGCGTGTTTCAGCCGTGGCGTGCAGTAGGGTATTCCGCACCAGAGTGCCAACGCTGATGGGGTTAGCAAATCACCCAAGAAAGGAACAGGACTTCGGGATACTCACTCTTGCATAGTTGTCAAGCTGATTTGGGCACCTTTCTCACCCAGCAATACTGCCTTCCGGGCTTTGACATCCCATCCACCTGCCTCTTCCAGGCCTGGCACTTGGTGAAGGTAGAACTCCGCGAAAGGCCCAGTCACCACGTATGAAAAGGCAAGATCCTCCCGTGAGATTTGGTTTTCGAGATACGCGCGCACCTTCAGCTTCTGTTGATGCGGTCTCTCATCTGCCGAGGCTGGCCCGTATTTGATATCTGTGCCATATTCTGACGGGAGGAACCATTTGACATCCTTGCTAGCGGCGGCCAGACGGATCAGATGGATCTGTTGCGCCAGAGTATCGCGGCCCAGTGCGGAAATGACAGTGTCGATTCCTTGGCTTGTTACTGACTATGCCGGGGTGGGGTGGAAATCAATAGCTACCTGCATATGCGGCTTTCACTGCTTCTTCGTCCTCGACATTGCCTGTAATGACCTCGACTCCTTGTTGTTTGAGCCTTTCCAGCTGTGCCGCCTTGGTTTCTGCGGTGCGCGGGGAAGTGAAAATGACGATGCGGCCGAATTGGGAGCGCACGGGGAGAATGGCGTCGAGGATGAAGGAGCCAATATTCCCCGTGGCCCCAAAGAGAAGGATGTTTTTGGCGAGAGACATATTCAAGGTTGCTTGGAGTTGAGATTGATGAAATGAATGGATTTTGTGTCTGAGCAGTGGGGTAATAGAAGACTAACTGACGCCATTCTACGTTCGGACTTCTGTCCGAGTTGACGTCTCGAGAGCATACGCGACGACTACATGGTGAGAGCCACCAGTCATCTCGAGAGTGGCAGCTTCGTCCACAGAAGTCACTCTCGTCAATTGACCGTCGATGGTGATAGATGGCTTCTTGGTAGGAATCAAAGGCAAAGTGACTGTTCCCCCAGAACGCTTCGGCACTGTGAACTCCAGAACATACCCATCATTCGGTCCTCTTTTCCAAGATGCCTCAAATTTCCCAATTGAGGTGACAAAGCCCGCCGAGGCAAATTCCAAGTCCCCGAATTGCGGTGCAATCTTCCACTCCAGCCCCAGAGGTGAGACTACAGACAGGCCAACGACATACTCCGTCAAGGCAGAAGTTGGACCCGCGGACCAGCCATGGGCGTGGGAGACGTACGAGGGATCATAGCCATATCCGCGATCCATTCGATATCCGAAAGTGCCGTTTCGAAGGTAGCCCTCTATCACAGTGCTCTGAGTACCATTGGGGTGGTTGATGTACCAGCCCCAGCTGCGACGGATGAGCTCGAGTGCGCGAAGTGGCTGATGGGCAAGGAAATGCCCTTGAATTTCGAAGGAGGAAATGAAGGAGGCGATATTCTCGGGCAACTCAGGCGCTACAGCTCCTATTGGCGTCCAGTTCTTGAGCAATCTCTCGGAAATGCGGACTGCACGCGCTTCGTCGGCAATGTCGAACATGATTGCCATACTGTTGGCGTCTTGTAGATAAAGGGTGGTCTCGGTTGCGTTGTCCTTGAATGCACCATATGATTCGTCCCAGCAGTAGGTGTTGATTGCCTTCTTAAGGTTGGCTGCTTGCGAGCTCCATGTCGCTGATAGGTTGGTCGAGTCCCCAGCCCATGAAGCAAGGGCTGAGCCTGTCTTGAGTGTATGATAAAGACTGGCCTGTGTTAATTGAAAGTCAACATCAGATCTGGACAACATACATCATCTGGGCCTCCGAATTATTGTATCCTTGCTGCCATCTAGCCCAGTCTCGGGTACCAGTGACGTTCAAAAGACCACTAGGGTAAGTCACCTTACCATAGATGTAGTCCATGGCATGTCGATAGCCGCCCCAGTTCTTCAAAAAGAAACCCGGTATCGTTAGTGTAAAGAACGTAGTTGTAGGTGCCAATCATAGTCCACATATGGTATGTGTCCGAGTTCTTCTGGCTCAGTGGAGGCCCAGACTCGTCAAAGGCACCAGTGGAACTGTCCTATACCCGAGTCATTAGCTTTTGGCGTCTGAATGTTCAAGAAAACCTACCTGTGTCGTGTACATGATCTGCAACGCATTTTTGACACTCTCTAAATCTCCCAAGCTCACAAACGCCGACGGTACAGCAATCCCCATATCGCCAGGCCAAACGGCACGATCCCGCTTCGCGCCGTCCACAATGATAGTATCTCCAGGCCCGAGTGTCCCATTGTTGACCCACCCGGAGGTAATACCTTTGGTGACCCGGCCTGTGTTGACGGGAACTTCGTTGGTTTGCAGGGTATAAGCACCACTGTACCAGATACGATTCAGAAGATCATCGCTGCAGTGGAAATAACCCTGATATGCTCTCAGATTTGGCCAAGTGGGCGGAATCCACCTCGCAGATACTTGTCACACATCACGTAGCTGCCTGCTCCAGACTGGATGCTGGCGTAAAGAGCACCATCGTGATATAAAGCACTGGACGAGTCCGACCATTCTCCAATCCAGTTCTTTGCTTCTGTAAATGCCAGGCCCAACTCCGCTTTGCCGGTTGATGTATAGTTCAAATGCACAATACCCCCAACCTCAATGCCAAAGTCGTAAACTATCGATGAGCCATTCCCGCGCAAGAGTGCTTTATACGGATGTAGGGGATCTGTGCTCGCATTGATATTCAACTCCGACAGCGTGGACTTTGGTCGTACTGTTCGAGAGGCTGGCGCAAAAATGTTCTTCTCCCATGGCCCACTGAACGCACTATCTGTGGGCCCCGAGCAAGGGGTGTCGCGCCAGCAGCCTTTGGCGTAAGATATCGTGAAGAAAGTGTGGAGGGCGAATAAAAAGCCAACCAAGTATATCCGGGCCATTATGTGCGTCTGATGTCGTTAAGCCCACAGAATGGGTATTGATTGTTACATATGTGAGGAACCGGAGTGGAACAAGTCATTACAAGCTTCGCTCGGCATGAAATGATACGAGAGGTTGAAACAGAGGCCCCGGCCTGCTGTGGTGAAATTGAAAACTCCTCAGCGTGACGCATATGCTATTGGTGGAAGAATCACGCCAAAGCCATCAAGCTTTCAAAAGCCTGAGAGGGGGATCATCCAAACAAGCACCAAAAAGGGTTCACAGCTTATCCTTTGGTCCAAAGAGCACAGGGGTCTTGTCGTTCTCCCCGCATACAATGTCCGCCGCGATGGATAACCGCAAAGGCGCTCGGCACAGAGATCCCCGAGGAACTTGTGGCGTTGAATGAGCCCATGAGCCTTGACCTACTACATCAAGGTTAGAAATCAAGATGACCATGAGCAGCAGAAAGCCCAATGGCTCTGAATTTGAAGATACGATGGTTTGGAATACCTAGAATAGGAATCCTATTTGTACGGATATTGTGGGAGAGAAACGACGATTGCATAGCAATAAGGCCACGCTCATACAACATTGACATTCATAATCCAGCCTCACAGAGGAAATGACATTCCGATTGGCAGTCTGGCCAGTACCAAGAAGATTCAGGCGCTGCGACTATACGCATAGATAAGACGAAGGTGACTCAATATAACAAGACATGCAAAATAGCGAATGTCAAGAGTCAAGACCGGGTTGGCGATCTCGCACCGCAGACTTCGCGTGAGAGCACCGGGCTCCCTCGTGGGGGTGGCTAGGGCATTTCCGCAACTAATATCTTCGAATTTCGACATTCAAGGAGCCAGTGCATGCCTTTCCATTATTCAGGATAATGGGAGAGGGAAATAATGGATCGTATTCCGGGACGACCTTGATGAGTATTTCGAACATCGCCTTCGTGCATTTCAGATAGTATGGAGACCACTTTGAAGGTGGCATCAGTATCTTGCCATGCTATAATGTGCCAGTAGGTCGAATGGATCAAATCCACGGTGGCTTCGGTGGAGAGAGATGCTAAGTAGAATATCCCGTGAAGGAGTTTCCCTGGAGGGCTGGGCAGGTGACTTCATAGCTTTAATAAGCATCCCCGGGGCGGGTGCCCCGGGCGCCGATCTCTCGACATACCTCACCTCTACCTTCAGCTTTGCAACGTTGACTCGCAACCATGTCAGAAATCGTAAAGCCGGCCTTTTCTGGCCGCGACTGTCCTACTATATCCTACGGTATTCCGTTCCCAGAAGCTGCCTCCCGCCATCTGCGCGAGTCCTTCCAAGCTTCCCGCGTCTACGTCATTTGCTCACAAACGCTGGCGCGAACAACAAATGTCATGGATCGCCTGTCAGAGGCTTTAGGTGTAACTCTAGTGGGCCATCGAGCAGGGATGAAAAGTCATACACTGTGGTCGGAAGTTTTGCAAATCACCGAAGAGACCCGGACTCTAGAGGCAGATGCGATCCTAACTGTCGGGGCTGGTAGCCTGACCGACGGAGCTAAGATTGTTGCATTGGTACGTATACGGAGTAGAAAAGACTCTTGCATCCATCGCTCAGGTGGCTTTGGCTTCTTTGCGATCTCGAGTTACAGAGTCTCACCTCTTCTCTAGGCCCTTGCCAATGGAATCAAAACTGCGGAGGAGCTCAGGACCCTTGCAGAGGGACCTGACAAGCGAAGTCACATCACTGCGCCCCAGATACCTATAGTTTCTGTCCCAACGTCCCTTTCAGCCGGCGAGTTCTCTGACTTCGCAGGCGGAACCGAGGACGATTCCAAGCGCAAGTTCAGCTTCCAGCCACCTACTCGTGGACCTCAGCTTGTGATATTTGACTCTGAGTTGGTAAAGACTACCCCAGACTCAATATGGCTCAGCACGGGTGTACGGGCGATTGACCACTGCGTTGAGTCAATGTGTGCGGTTCAAGGCACATCCGAAGCTTCGGACAAATTGGCCAAGCATGCGCTGGGCTTATTGGTTTCCGGTCTTTTACGTTGCAAGAAAAGTCGCGAAGACCGCGATGCATACTTGCAATGCCAGCTGGGCTCGATTGATGCCATGGCTGCTTGCACGAGCGGGTCCATTCAATTAGGAGCCAGCCATGGGATAGGACACCAGGTACGTTGCTCTTGATTTTGATATCAGCAAGGAAGACTTTCTTGATTACGCAACGGCAAGTAAGAGATTGTTAACCAAAAAATTTTAGCTCGGACCACTAGGTGTCGGTCACGGCGAAACCAGCTGCATACTACTGCCCGCTGTGTGCAAGTTCAATGCGAAGTATAAAGCCAACTGCAAGCAGCAAGAAAACGTACGACTATTCCTGATTGAGCAGTCTATCGTGTCGGAACTTTTACGCACTCGATCGGTGGATGTGGAAACCTCAGACCTGGGCGATATCCTGGACGTGATAATTCGTGAATTGGGGATGCCCCGGTCACTGGCCGATGTCCATGTGGGCCAGGATAAACTGAATGAACTGGCAGCAAATAGCTTGCATGATCGGTGGTGCAAGACAAATCCGATTCCTCTCACGAAGCACGGTCAGGTCTTAGAGATCCTGGAAATGGTGGTCTGAACCGAGGCCGAGAAACTTGAGCGAATAAAGATCAGGGACAACACTCGTTTCCTGCGCGCCAAAGAATCTGGATACAATCTCAACCCATCTTCACAACCACCTTTTCTCCTGGTCTTTCATATCCGTCTTGAATGATATTGTCCAAAGTCACAATCTTGAACGAAGCTTCATCTTGAGCACGCACAAATCCCTTTTCCACCCAATCTTCAAGGAAGCGCAAAAGCTCTGCTGTATCTTCAATCGTCGGACTGACAGAATTGCACCCAGCCAATGTGAGCTCCTTGCGATAAGCCTGGAAGATATCAAAGGACAATCGTTTGCTTGCTTCACCCCTTGGTGCCGCAATCCACACATAGCGTCCCTTCCGGGCCAATTTCTCAACTGCAGCGCCCATCACCGCAAGATCACCAACCGTGTCAACAACCACATCCACACCTCGCCCATCAGTCATCTTCTCAATCGTCGAACCGATGTCAGCCGGATTCGCGCCTGAGACAACTATATCAGGCTTCGCTTCCTTCCGCCGCGCAGCCGTCAATACGACCTTACACCCCATAACCCGTACAATCTGCACAGCCGTGGAGCCAACAGCACCGGTAGAGCCAACAACAAGCACATTATCAGACGAGGAAACAGCTGCCTTGCGCAGACAGATCAGGGCAGTCGTGAACGGAACACCAACCGTCGCGGCTTGGAGCATCGACAGCGCGAATGGCTTCTTGACCAAGGCATCCTGCGGTACGCAGATATACTGCGCATGCGTTCCATCACTTGTGAATCCCAGACTCGAGCCACTGGTGCCGTATACCTCTTTCCCGATCCAGTTGGAGGTCGGGTTGGTTTCGATCACTACTCCTGAGAAGTCACGACCGGGAACTCGTGGGAGCGTGGTTGATGGAAACAGTCCTTGCGCGTTGAGACGATCTGATGGATGAATGCATGCGTACGAGACTTTGATCAGTGCCTGGCCTGCTTTGGGCGTTGGTATGGGCAGTGTGCTGATTGAGAGTGACCCGCCGCGGGTGATTTGAAGCGCTTTCATGGCCATTCTTGTGGTGCGTGGCTCTGTGCTGCTCGGGGACTTTTCGAGTTCCTAATGGTTGGAAATTGGCTCTAGAAAGAAAAGTTCGTGTGATATTAAATCTATTTGTTCATGGAATACTGGTGAAACCGGCATCGGCCCGCGGCCCGCGCGGGCCCTGCGGGAGGTTCCAAGATTGTAAGAGAATCCCTGATCGCTTCTAAGTTTAAGTACGGAGAACTGTGAGTCTGACGGCCTCACAGAAGTCTTCTTATTTCCAAGGTTATCTCTTGTGAAAAAGTGGCCAAGCCTACAAGAGGCCTTCCCTGGAAACGAACATCGTAATGGCTCTAGACGAGTAAGTGATCACAAATGAAACAGTGCACCCATATCTAATGACCCTTAGCACAGGAAATGAAGACATGGCAATGAAAACGAGCAAAGAAGTCGACGGCAGTGAGGTACAAGATACTGAGCGCCAAATGAAAACGACACGAGCCCAATCCCCGACAAAAGAAGCAGCCTTCATAGCTGTCGTCTGCGCAGCCCAGCTCATGATTCAAGCCGGTCTCTCCCTATCGATAGCTCCTATTCAATCCAACAGTGCCAGCTTTGGTGCAACTCGACAAGATCTCACCTGGGCATCGGCGGCGTACAGCTTGTCGGTGGGGACGTTGATTCTAGTCTCTGGCAGGCTGGGCGATACGTACGAACACAGACTGCTATTCACCATCGGCTTCATCTGGTTTGGGGTCTGGTCACTTCTTGGAGGATTCGCCGTGTGGTCGAATCAGATCTTCTTCGATTGCTGTCGTGCCTTCCAGGGTATTGGCCCAGCACTTCTGCCCCCCAATGCAGTGGCCATTTTTGGCCGAACGTATCCACCGGGACCGAAGAAAGATATGGTATTCTGTCTCTTTGGCGCAACAGCGCCGGGTGGATTCTCGCTGGGTGCGACATTTTCATCACTGCTTGCTCAGCGGGTGTGGTGGCCCTGGGGCTATTGGATCATGGGCGTGGCATGCTTTATGTTTGCCGTCATTGGGGTTTTGGTGATTCCCGGTGATGATCACGCCGCGGAGGATCTCGATGGAGCTGGGGTATCAACATTCGAACGGCTGGATGGACTTGGCGCTATCACTGGGGTGATTGGGCTTGTGCTCATCAACTTTGCATGGAATCAAGCCTGTCTGGTTGGGTGGGAAGTGCCATACACCTTTGCCCTGCTCATTGTTGGGGCTCTCTTTCTTGTTTTATTTCTCTTTGTGGAGCGCACCGCGGCCTTTCCACTACTACCGAGCTCTGTTTTCAAAGGTGAAGTTGGCTGGGTTCTGGGATGTATTGCAGCAGGGTGGTCCAGTTTTGGGATCCTGGTTTTCTATCACTACAACTTTCTCGAAGAGATTGAGCACAACAGCGGGCTGCTGGTGACAGCCAAATGGGCCGGATCTTCTTTAAGTGGCGCGACTGCCGCAATTATGACTGGTGTCCTGATGAGCCGAGTACCGCCAAGCCTCATTATGCTCGCTGCGATGCTGGCTTTTACCATAGGATTGTCTCTGTTGGCCACTATGCCTCCGGGTCAGAACTATTGGGCGAATGCATTCTTAATCATGCTGATCACTCCCTGGGGAATGTGAGTGAGCCATCTGCGTGACTTGGAGCTGCCAACTGACGTGAAAATAGGGACCTCTCATTCCCATCTGGGACTTTGATTATGAGTAACGCGATGCCGCGTGAGCATCAAGGAGTTGCAGGCTCTCTGGTGAACACTGTTGTGAATTATTCAATATCTCTTGGCCTCGGCTTCACGGGCACAGTCGAGAGATACGTGAACCCCGATGGATCGAATATGCTGAAGGGATATCGCGGTGCGTCATATATGGGGGTTGGCCTAGCAGGGCTGGGTTCTGTCATTGCCATATGTTTCACAGTCGTGACATGGTCCAAGTCAAAGCGACCACAATGAGCAATAGGTCCATCAAGTCAGAATCACACGTGTATAGCAAATCTTCAATTAAAGAAATCCATGTTCAAAAAAAAGTCCAAATCGGAAGCCTGCTGGGGATAGCAATAAGAATCGCCGATTTCAGTTGGTTGCTCAGCTTGACTTTTGGCATCAGCGGAAACATCACTTGAAGGACCAAGAATATTTTCCAGTGTTTCGATACTTCTGCGCCTTTTTTCCAGCAAAGCTCGAACCAGACCACGTGCAGTGGCAATGGCCTCGTTTGCGAGATGTGTATCCAGCTGATCGACAATCATCTCCAACGTATCCATGACTTCCGGGAGGTGCGTGAGGCTGGCTTGGGTGTCGATGGCCAAGAGAACGCAAACGAATTGGAACACAGTACTTATGACATTCCACCATGGCTGGTTCTGGCTCACCAAAGTACGTGCTGCAGGAAGAGCAGACATGCCCATGGCGATCACCTCTTCAAGTAGGCTTTCTCGTAGATTTGACTTGAGCAGACGAAGCCGTCTGTAGACAGAGAACCCCAAGTCCGCTCGAACCAATATCAGGAATTCATGAGAAGCAGACCTCTCAGCCAGTTGGCTTAACGCGGTTGACAATTCATGTATCGCTACACCTGGGTCTGTAGCCCTGGAAAGGGGGACTGCTTCGACAAGGGTGCAGAGTTCAGGAGTGAAGTCGTCAACGCCAGTTGACAACGGCGGAGATTTATGAAGTGAAAAATCAAGGTCCATCACAGATCGACCATACTCATATGCTATGATCACATGCAAGCAGTGGGCTGCCCATGCTGTTCTCTCCAATGCGTTCGACAGTTCTGAAGTAGCATCCTCCAGCCCCGCGGTCGCCAGAATAAGTGGTTGTGGATTCTGATGCAGGCCCGTCGCCTCGACCAGGTGCATCAGCGTGCAGCTGCATATCCAAGCCACGTGTGGGCGAGTGGTAGCACGAAGAAAGAGCGTCCGGAGAATCCAGGCTGCCACCTGGTCGATTGAGGGAAAGCGACTGATGAAGGGGTCCTCCAATATCTCCTTGGCATGTAACGCTAGCCACATTTCCTTTTCTCGGTCGAGAGATCCGTTGAACAGGGATGTCAATGCAGCCAGCCCACTGACGATAGCCTCAAAGTCAGGCGACTGTGGCTGGCCATTCCAGTGTTTTTCGCAGCGTTCGTAAACAGAGCTTTTATTCAAAAACCCAAACACTGGATGAATTGTAATGAAGTAGAAATCCAGTTGCCTTCTGATAGTATTCCACGACATCCGCTGCGCCAGCTGAAGACGGGCCTCGGACTCAGGCTCTCTTCAGATTCCAGCATGATAGGCAAAAGAATGTAGTCGTGGCGGCTTGGCCGCCTGCAGCTCCAAGCCGACACATAGTGGAAAGGCAACACAGGAGTACCTTCCGACGTATCTCGACTTGGTGGAGTCAAGAATTCCCGAGGCTGACGGGGGATCGTGCTCCCGCCCCTGGGGCTCGGATGTGCGGACAGCCTTTGCCTGCGAGGTCTGTTCTGGTTCCAATTGGCGCTTTTTATTCGAAGGCGCTGGGGCTGAATCATAGTTGCAGTCATACCCGTAGCCTATGCAGGTGTTGCACGGGACCTTTCCGTCGCATTTTCTCTTGCGCTGACGACAGGGTAGACATGCCCGCGTGGATCTTTGTCGGACGGGTGTTGACGTTGACATTGGATATATTCAGTAGTCAAAAGACAGAACTTGTGAGCCAAGTGAAGAGGGATGGGAGCCCGAGCCCCACATGGGACTGAATAGCTGGATAGCGTCATCCGAGCAACTATGTAGGTGTTCACGTCCTGAAGCGACTATTAGTACTATATTTTGACTACTTTGACAATGCCAGCTCCTGTACGGATGGTTGGAAATCTGTGTGTACGTGTACATCACCTGGCACTCGACGGCTTTGGGTAGTCCTAAGGTCATACCAATACGACGGCTATACCAGACCGAGTACTCCATATACTCACAGATTTTGAGATTGATAGGCAGAATAGAAAGGGACTCTAATGTATATGCTATAAGAAAGAAGACCAAAATGGCCAAAGATGGAGGGAAAAAAAAAGAAAGAAAGAATGGACAGAAGAAAGAAAGAATGGACAGAAGAAAGAAAATAGAGCAGAGTGCAAGAATGTGCCCACTACAGAGTAAAGTACATCGTGTTTCAAGATGTACGAGCACGAAGTATCGCCGTAAAGGTCAAAAGCATCAACTCATGAGGGTGCGGCAAAAAAGGACTCTCCGCCTTCTCTGCCTACCTGGGACCACCGCGGATGACTTCACGACCACTCGCTCTCTCCCCGCCGAGATCCATGACTTTACTGCCTCCGGCCCTCGTTCAGTCCAGCCTGGGCGAGAAGTGTGCAGTCTATTTCGACCAAGTCACCGACACTCTCCCTCTGCATCTGCAGTCCCTCCGCCTCCGGCTGGACCCCATTCTCACCTACCTGTCCTCCACCCCCCTCGGACCCCTCGCGCAAAAGGTCCCTCTCGCCGCGGACGACCAGCCTCTCGCGCTTCTCGGGGCTGTGATCCTCTGCCTCTTTACCGTCGCCGTCATGAGCTGGCGCAATCCCCTCAACTTTCTGCGCCGCTCGCCGAGCTATGCGCCCGCCTCCAACCCCCAGGTCAACGACGAGCATTTCAGTTACATCGGCCCGGGGGACATCGATCCCCCGGCGGACGATGCGGAGCCGGATATCATTGCGCTCCGCCACCGGGGCACCATCTACCCATTGCACTTCCGCGCATATGCCATTGACGACGGCGCCTTGACCGTTGGCGAGCTGCGCCAGCAGGCTGCGATTAAAACGGACGCCGAGTCCCCGGACCGCGTCCGACTGCTTTACAAGGGGAAATTGTTGAAGGACAACCAGCGCACCTGCAAAGCCGAAGGGCTGAAGCAGCACTCTGAGGTGCTGTGCGTGGTGTCAGAAGTTGGGGCCAGTGACATTTCCGACGACAGCGGCCCCCACGGTGCCACGGGCGTCCCTACCCCGACCTCCACCCAATCCCGTCCCACCAGCGCCGAAGCCTCCTCCCCTCCCACCCCCACCGGCAAGAGCAAGAAAGGCCGGAAAAACAAGCGCAACAAGAAGACCGCGCCTGAACCTACGCCTGCGCCAGTAGACCTCTCCTCCAACCCGGCCCCGGTGCCCAACCTGAAGCTCCTCCGCACGCCGTTGGAGCAGGTCAGCGCCTTGATGGGGTGGTTGCGACAGGAGATGATCCCGCGATGTGACCAGTACGTCGCGGAGCCTCCCAGCGACCCGAAGAAGCGGGACTACGAATATAAGAAACTGAGCGAGACCATTCTGGCGCAGGTGATGCTGAAGGCGGATGGGATCGAGCCGGATGGCGATCAAGCGGCGCGGGATGCGCGCCGAGCTTTGATTAAGGAGGCGCAAGCGGCTCTGAACCAGCTCGATTCCATTTCCAAGCTGTAAAATACGTGCATTCGGTCCTCTTTACCTTAGACCCTGGCTGATATTAGCGTTTGGGAGCGCTGCAGATCGGCGTTGTGATATATCGAATTTATCCAGACTCAACCTTTCAATTGTATCCAACCAACATTGAAGGCATTTTGTATGTACGGTTTAGTACTCCGTACTCCGTACTAGTACTAGTAGATGGCTTTCGATGCGTTCTAGCGTGATCTAAGGATCAACACTCAGGGGCAATACTACTTAGTCTAACGGTTAATTATTGAAAGTACAATACAGTAATACGGTACTCCGTACAGAGAACTCTAGACCCGTTCCACGGTTTAGCTCTCCTTTCACTTTCTCTAAGCCTTTTTGCGCTTCTTCCCCTCCTTTTTTCCACGGTCCGCAGCTCTCTCTCCGAACGTCATCCCAAGGTTCGACTCTTTTCAACCGTGGGACTCGACTCACTTCCCAGGTTGACAAACTTCTACTTTCGGTGCCCCTTACTGATGGCTTAAACCTCCACTGCGTGAATCTCCTCAATCACCGGGTTTCAGCTGGACTGGCCGCTGTGGTGTCACGGGAATGGCGGGCGTCGCGACAGCATACTCGTCCGATGCACTAGCATCGCCAGTCGATGGCTCACAATGGGAATTCGCGGTTCCACTAGGTCACGAGGTACGTAGACCGCAACGTGCGAAAAATGAGGTGCTGACTGGGCACAGGAAAGCCGCCATGCGAGACCACGAAACTCCCAGGACTCCAACGTCGGCCGTGCAAAATCAACCCGCAAGCGACACTCCAACGGCTCCCGCAGCTCCTCCCTCTCCCGCCCCGTCCATCACGAATCACCCTATCTGACCTCCAGCCGAGGACGCCGAGATCCAAGCCTCAATCGACGGGGGAGCGAAGTAGGCAGTATGCGAGAGGCGTATGGACACGACGGTAGCCGTAGAGAACCCGAGGAGGCAAAGGACGGTCTGAATCTATTCTTGGACGGAACCAGCCAGGAACAGTGGATTCATCGGGACAAGCTAGCCAAGATTGAGAGTGAGGAGCTGCACCAGGCGGCCATCCTCTTCCAGCGACGGATGAGGGGGGAGAGCAAATCGAGCGGACGAGAAAGGACCCACGAGTCGTACAGCGCCGCAAATGGCACCGGCCCCTCCTCGCCAGCAGAGTACTCCGAACCCTGGCCGGAGCTGAGAGAAGATGCCCGTCGGGGCCAAGGAACCACGGAGCGGAAGCACTGGGATCTCCGCCGACCGGAGGAAATTGCGGCGGACGACGCAGCGGCCAGCATCTACAGCCATCCCAGCCAGGGAAAAAGTGCCTCGCGCATCCCGATTTCGACCGCCAGTCCCGTCCCGATTGCGGGCACGGGCCGGGATTCCCATTCTCGGAGCCGAGCAGCCACGGATGAAGATGACCGGTCCTCACGCGGCCGGAGAGCCAGCGAACCGATCAATATTGACCAAGAGATGTCAACTCCATCGCCAACGAGCCGACCGGGCAGCCGTGGCTTCACCACCCAGAACACCCCGGCGAAGAAGAAGCCCGCGACGACCCGCAAGACCTCAGCACCCCCGACCAACCGCAAGACCAGTACCGCTCGATCTCGTGCCGTATCAGGCAATGTACGACCAACAACCCGTGGCAACGAGAGTCGCCCGACCACGGCGGCCAATCGACCCGAGGGAGATCCTCCTTGGCTGGCAACCATGTACAAACCCGATCCCCGTCTTCCACCAGACCAGCAGATGCTCCCCACGCTCGCCAAGAAAATGCAGCAAGAACAGTGGGAGAAGGAAGGCCGAACGCCCAATACGTACGATCGAAACTTCGCGCCTCTTGCGGTGCATCCATTCGACGCGCCCCCCGTTCCTTCAAAGACCGACCCAGAGCCCACACCCGCCCCCGCCCCCGAACCCGAACCCGAACCTCAACCTCAGTCCCCGCAGCCTGTCGAGTCGATACAGCTCAATGATATCCCATCGGCCAAGAGTCCCGAACCGCGCCCCAACACGAGCACCGGCTACAGCACAATGCCCAAGGTGCAAGACACACCCCCAATGGGACTCACTCCCAACCCGAACCCCAACTGGACCCCGCCTGTCGTCACTGCCCGCGAAGCGCCGAAGAAAGAGAAGAGCTGTGGATGTTGCATTGTGATGTGATAGACAGTTCCATCCCATTTATCTCCATATCCTCCTTTCTACTATCTGCACATCTGCATTCATTTCTTTGTGATTTTCTTGTTTTCAGCGTCTCCGGCGGGATGGTGTTCTGTCGGTTCTGTTCTGTGATTTTATATCCGATCTATGCCTTTGCTTCTTCGGACTGCCTTTTAATCCGATCTCCCTACCCAGGAGCCAAGACTGCATGGCTCTTGATTTCTCCATGCATCCATTCCTTGCGTTTTTCCCTTCTCTGTTCCCGTGCTTCCACAGCCCAAAACTATTTCGTTTGCGAGGGTTTTTCCCGCGTTGATCTTCGGCTTTTCCTTTTCTCCTGGTCTTGCATCTACTACATTCTTCACCCTATTCCCAGTCTTGCTAGCGCTTTTTCTTCTCTTCATTTGTCTGAAAGCTGTCAATCTACTCCCATGCTCCCGATTGCACGGAGAGATATTAGGTAGTGAATACACAACTACGTCAGTCTTTTACTTTCAATTTGCAGGTAATTGTATCCTAGAATAACTGCTTACCCATCAATTGATTGCCCCGTGAACTGTTGACCTTGGGAACTACTAGTTACTCCGTAGACTCCGTATACTCCGTACGAAGTCTAGATCTTCCGGCTTAGTAGCGGGCTGACAAATATCACATGATATCATCGCTCATGTCGCAATCCCGAGTCGCCAGCGCCCACCCCGCTTCATATATCAGAGCTCTTCTGTCTCTTCAACCGCCCACCATTTCTTTCTTCAAGCGTCTCTTCGGCTCCTTTGCCGCCCCCTCTCCCGCCGCCATGTCCGCCGCCACCACCCGTGCACAGAAGTTGATTAACGACAATGCCGTCGTTGTCTTCTCCAAGTCTTACTGCCCTTACTGCCACTCCTCCAAGAAGCTGCTGAGGGACCTGAACGCCAAGTACACCGTTCTCGAGCTCGACCAAGATGGTAAGAACTGCGCGCAGCCACCCTGCTGCCTTGCAGATGGCCATAATAATTTGATCAGATACTAACAGAACCGCGATAGACGAAGGATCCGCCATCCAGACCGCACTCGCCGAGATCACCGGTCAACGCACCGTGCCCAACATCTTCATCAACCAGAAGCACATCGAGGGTGGCAACTCGGGCTTGCAAGGCAAGACTGACCTCAAGGAGCTCCTCGAGGCCGCCGGTGCTCTTTAAACGCGTTCTACATGATCTCAGATCTTATTGGAGTGAAATAAATATACCCTTTTGAAATAAGGTGGTTTGCACAGTCCTCCATCTTCCACGCCTCAAAAAAACAACCGTAGATCGCATCAAAATACCTGCATGGCGTGCTGTCGCAAAGGCTCTCTGCCCTGTTGCATTGAGTGGAGTATCGGTGTGCTCAACGAGTCGAGCTAAATGTTAAAAATAAAAAAGATCCAAATGTTATACAATCAAGAAGTTTAGATGACCTTCTGCACCACAGTTCCAAGCGGCCGTTCAACAATCGTCATCAACCCATCAACAATACTCGCCCTGGCGCCTTCACTGGAAACCGTCTTCCCAGCCAGGTAATTCAACCAAACAAGTCGACTCACCCTCTCATCCCCAACCCGCCCCATCCACGTAACCGGCTTATCAGCCGCAGGTTGGAACAGCGCATCCAGCGCGCCTCGCTGATCACGCATAAGAACCAGAGTCTGGCCCTTCGGCACAGACTTTCCTTTCCCGGAACCAAAAACAGCCTTGAAATCATTCATAGAGGATCCAAATGTCTCATCCGCAAATTCCCCAGCCATGGCCTTGGCCTTCGCAGTGATTCCACGCACCCACCCATCGCGCAAATGCATGAAATCCGTGTTACGCGTCGGGACGATCCGGAAAGCTGTGCGGATTCCATTGTCCTTTAGAATCGCAGACCAAGCTGCATCGCCGCGCTCCGCGTCCAACAGGAGTTCCTTGAGTTGTTTTCGCTCTGGGGGCACAAGGGATGTCGCGGACTCGGCGCCCGCGCCGGTAATCGGGGCTTCGGAGTCGGTGGGTGGGTGGATTGCTGTACGGATGAGACGGGTCTGGAGCTCGGTGATGTCGCTTTTGGCGACGTACAGGCCAACGACGTAGACCTGGATAGAGAGGAAGGAGACTGTACGGATACCCAGGCCGAGGAGTTGGTATTCGTCGCCGTCAGAGGGGCCAAGCTCGTCGCCGGCTTGCTTGCCTTCTGTTTGGGCTGAAGAGGGGAGACGGATTGTACTGGGGAAATGTGGGATTGTACTAGTCCCTGTTGGGACCTGCTCGAGGCCATCTTGACCCTGGATGGTAATTACGGAAGGGCCACCATTTGTGAAACCTGCCGGACCGTCCATTTGGAGGGTATTGGTCTTGGCTTCTTTCTTGTTCTTCTCGATTTCTTCGAGCCCGAAGAGATCAAGCTTGATTGTGCCATAGAGACCTACTGCGCAGGTGACGATTCCTGCTGCAGAGAGAATCATCTTGCGCTGTGCGTTGGAGGCTTGTTGCATATCTGCTGCCGGGGATGCGCGGCGGAGCGGGTTTTTGGCAGCATTGGTGCGGAGGGGGGTGGTGGAGAAGTGTCGGGGGTTTGGGTTCGTGCGCAGGTGACGGCTGAGGGATTGGCAGGTTCGCCATGAGGGCTGCCGTAGGGAGGCCATCTTGGACTTGAGTGGATGAGATATGGAGATGGCAGGATTGGCAGTTGGAGTGTGGGGATGTTCACGTGATCTGGCATGATCGACACCGGCATCGCGAGGGTTCTAACTTCTGAACCTTGAAGTTTACGTAGATGGCTTTGGCCTGTTTCCGAATGAACTTATCTCCTCTCTCCTGCTGACAATGAGTAGATATATCCACCGGCAATTGTCTCCTTGAGTCTTGATTTACGTCTTTTCCGTGGCACAGTTGACATGGTATTTCGAAGTGCGAGTATCATGACAAAGACAAGGAATCTCAAATAAACACACTGGAACTAATTCCCAAAGACAACACTAACAGATACAGCGATAGTCCCGAAGTGGCAGTCGCACTACTCGCCCTGTCAAAAGTGATGAGGGACTCATTCTGACTTGCTGCACCTGTCCGGATCACTTGTGTGGAATTTGCAGTGTCCAAATAACCCGTGAACGATATCTCGAACGTCACATTCGCATATGTGCTGTTGTCGCTATAATCCCTTGGGAATGCAGCGACAGAGGTTCCGGACAGATTGAGCTCCAAGGTGTCATTGGTCAAAGACCCATTGACGTGCGTACCAGCCCACTTCATCATCGCCTGGCTAAGACCTTCAGAAGTCTCACGACATGTACCTTTCGGTAGGTAAAGCATCTGGTCCCAAAGACCGGGATCGTCGAACCTTTCCTTATCGACATCGCCTGGCTTGCTGTTCTGCCAATTCTTCAAATCATAGACTCCATCGAACTGGATCTTGTTAGGGTCCCCAGGTGCCTGGGTGATGTTCAATTCCACAGCATCCATGGCTTGCGTGGCCACGTCCTCGTCCTCATCTTTGTCTTCATCATTGGGGCGCATCTTGTCGACCGTCGTGCCAAAGTGCATCAAGTCCACCTTGTCGCACACGCTGTACGAATAATCGATATCCGACAGACGGACCTTGCTTTCCCAGGCCTTGAAGCCGATCGCGATGGGATTTTTCGGCCCCGAAGGCCTGGGTGGTTTGCCCGCAATCCATGCGACTCCCAACATGCGCAAGGACTGCTGGCCAGCTGGACACTCTGGATCGTAAAGTGTAAATGATTCACCCTCCGCCCTAGTCACTGGCAGTACATCGATGGTGTATTTGAAACTTGCAAAGCCTTTCATGAAGATGCCATCGAATTCACTATAGGCACTCGCATGACCAGCACGGGGATCACGGTTGTATTGATCGTAGTGGGAAGGCTGAAGGTCGTCGAAGTTGAGGCGATGGGAATCCGTGCAGCCGCCACCCCATTCATAATCAGAAGTTGACGATGCATCACTTCCATCGGCATCGCTATCGGAGTATCCGCCACTACCACCACTGCCACTGCCACTGCTACTGTCACTATCACTGCCACTGCTAGAGCCGCCATGGCCTCCCCGGGAGAGAACTCCCGTTGGGGCAGCGAGCAAGGAGAGAATAGCCAGAAAAGGATGAAGTCGCATTTTCGATCAATTCGTGAATCATAATACACAATGGAAGGCAAGCAGGAATATAGCAACAGCGCAGGACTTTGAAAGTAGAATTGATCTCCTGTTCCATGCCCTAATCCAGACACAACACGGGATCTACTGTTGATAGACCCTGAAAGCCAAGGCGCCAAGAGATCAAAACGAGACCAGGGCTCGTATTCACCAGAACGCGGCTGGCTATTGGGTGAAAAGCACACGAGGTCCATTCTTTTAGGCTCAACGCAGTGCGCTTGGTGAAAATTGCATCAGAATGTGGTTTATTTTGGTTGGAATACGGAGTAGATTGCCGTGAGTTCGCTTGACTGCAGGTCTGCACTGCCGCTATGTAGAGCCCTAGAGCCTCGATCCCGTGTCTCACTTAGTACAAGGAAGAATCAGGTCTCAATAGTGCTTCCCTAGGATATGAAAGCGACATGCCAAGCTTCAACCAAGTGGTCTTAGTGAGATAACATTTCCCTTTACCTACGATGCGTCCAGCTGCCACAATTTAGCCATAACTTTTATCATGACAACTGATAGTTGGCCAAATAACAAAGGGCATCTAAGAGAGATGCAAGCAGAAAAAATGTTAACAATATGAACAAATAGGCAGATCATTTGTGTGGAAGGCAGCGACAATCCCGCCTAGGTGACTATAGGCAGACTTGACTGTTAAGAGGGGATGGCCGAGGCAGAGTACGCAGTAACCGACAGCCTAAAGAGCGGCTTTGACTCATTTGCCGTACAAGAGAAGCGATTTCGCCGAGTTCCAAAATCAGCAATAAGACAACTTCTGCTAACCCTCTCGATCAACGCCCCAGACTATTCTGAACAATGGAATCTGAGTAAGTCTTGCTTGACATGTCACTCCCAGAGTCCACCCAAACAACTTTCTAAATCCTGACTGCCCAGTTCAATGCGAAGTGACTCTCACATTGCAATCGTGCGGGGTACAGTGGACTCCGTGCCCGCAGTCCTTGAGATCCTCGACACCACCGTCGAATGGCTAGTCTCGCACGGCAGATCAGGGCAGTGGGGAGAAGCGCCATTCTCGCAGAATCCTAAGCGCGCCGATCAACTCCGAGAATTTGCAACAACCGGACAGGGTCTTTGGCTCGCGATCAAAGTCGACGACACAGCTTCACCGAATGAAGCATCTGATTTTCAGGCCCCGGCAGCCATGCACAGAAATTCTATTTCTGGTGTCATTGTAGGAGCCCTTGCCGTTGGAGAGAAGATGCCTTATGTGACGCCTGTCTCTGAGCCTGAGCTCTACGTGCGATTATTAGCAACGGATAGACAATGGGCGGGCCGGGGAATTGGTACACGCCTTCTGGAACATGCGCGTCTCCTTGCTAGGCAGGCTGAAGTCTCTCTACTACGTGTAGACTGCTATGCAGGTAACGACGGCAAATTGGTTCGATATTATGAGTCTCAGGGATTCGAGCGGTCTGAAAGTCTGATTTTGCAAGAGACCTGGCCTTGTCAAGTGCTGGCTCAACGTCTAGAAGCCTAGATCTCAGGCCTATGGCCCTGCTCACCTGGGCATTGTGAATGCCCCGATTCAAGCCCATCATGGTACATCACCCTTCATTATCGTTGTATTTCACTCGGGCGGTTCTCAAATAAGTATGGATCAAGTCTAAGCTTCCGATCTAGAATTGAGCATTTTCAATATAATATTCATGTTAAGAGACATCCTTAGATACTGATATCGAATTTATACCGTTTGGGGCCCGCTCGGCTCCACAAAGCCCCCACCTGGGCATCGATAGGCCCAGCCCCCAACCCCTTCGGGGGCTGCGGTGGGCTGGTCAGAAGTTCAAGTCTGAATCTCCTGTCTCTGCCTTTCTTGGTTGGCATTCAACAATCATAAGCCCTCCCAATCCCATTGGCATTTATCAAACCATGCACATAGTGCTGAGCTCTACAGTTCACGAATCACGAATCACGACTACACGATATCAACAATGGCAACGAAGTTGAAAACATCAGCTCATATTCTCGCAATAAGTTCATACAGCTCACTCCATGGTCAGTTTCTCATGGCTTGTTATCCACCGGAGTATAATCTGCGCTCCCTCCTAAAATAGCAGGATCGGTAGCCCGCGGGATCAACAATAGCGCACCGGGATGCTCACTGGCCTTTTGGACTCGTTTCTTCTCCAACCACATCGTGATGCCAGCAAGTCCAGCAACAGCACACGCGAGACCCACAAACAGCCCAGTTGCCCAACTCGGACGATTGAATCGATTGAATGCCCACATAAAGACAGCCAAACACACCTGGAGCAGTGAATTGAGCAAGTTACCCCATACCACTAGGTCCATTTTCCATCGCGGAGTCGGCGTGGCTCGCTTCGTTTGAGACTGTTTGCTGTTGCGAGGCAGCTCAGGTTCCTCCGACTGCAGGAACCAGTTCTGGTGAATCTCAGCCAACCGAGCGAGTGCATTTCGTCGACTCGCATCCGACCGGGCTAGTCGCCAACAACACCATCGGTAGAAATCACGAATACGCCACGGGGCGAGTCCAAAGCCAGTGACACAGAACAAGGCATTCAAAATCTGTGAATCGATCTCAATCCAAATGCGACGGGGGGATTCAAGACTGTCGCAACTTGGGTGGCACATCGCGGGCGCTGCGTTGCACATGAGGAGGAAGAGCATCCCACCCCAGGCGACAATGTTTAGTCCGTAAATGGTAATGCAGGCTCCCATCGGGGTACATGTCCATCGGAAGAATTTGCGCAATTTGTTCTGCCATGTATCTTCGGGGCTTTTGGTGTTATAGCTTGGAGTTGGCTATATCGCGTCTGAGAAACATTCATTGAACGGTTGGACTGTCAACTACATACCTGATACTCGGATAAGGAAGAGTTGGCTATACTTCTGACGTCCATTGTGAAATATGCAAGCTTTGCCTGTAGGCTGTAGGGCTCTGGGGTGGGCACTGAATTTAAAGTGAGATTGATCTGCGGTGGATTCCTACGCCATCTAATATTTGCCACGCCTAGCAGTGAAATTTCTTTTGTATACTGCGTACTACTCACCAGTACTCGTAGATCAAGACCAAAATAGCGAAGAAGTACAGTCCGACAGCCAATCACACAGCCCCTAAGCAGGGGTCCACTCGTGTTCGTACTAGTTGCCTATTTGGGACTTGGACGGGGACTGCAGATCCTGCATGTTCGCAGAATGACCAATGAGATCCGGGGTTTTCTCGGGGAGTCTTCCAAGGTTAGACCCTTCTCAGATATGATAAGCCATTGGAACATCGAGATACCAATAAAGTGCTTTGCAGGTCAAATCAGGCTGTTCTCGGCACACTCTTAGAAGGGAACGAGTATGAGCTATGTAGTCACTTAAGCACATTCCTACAAAGCAACAGAAGCGAGAGTATTATCATGATGTTCATTGTTCGTTTTCCTCGTTGGGATTTAATATCTTAAGTAAAAATGGTATCGCTGCAGACCAAACTTCTATGTATGCGAAGTAGACAAGAATGAAAAAGATTGCAGAACCTCATCTCTTCGCTCAGCACTCATCGGCAATCTCTCAGCCTCATAGCATCCAGACTTCAGCTGTGTATTCACAATAGCTTTGCGGGTGTTTGAGCGGAAAGCTGCCTCGATGCTTTTCGTAATTCCCTGGAAAGGATAAGCCACCAGGCCAATTCCCGCTTTAATTCCATAAAGTCAGCTCATGGAAAGTGTATAGCATCTTGGAAGGACTCACCTGAAGGGACCTTGGTAGCAAGGCCAATAGTACCCTTAGCAAAGCCTTTCACAGCACCTAAAGCACCCTCTTCCTTTGCCCCGTTCATGGGCTGGGTGATTATCCCCGTAAACCCATCGGTCATCCCATCAACAAAATTCTTCCCACCAAATATGGCTCCAGACTTCCAGTCCTGGATTGTACCGTAGTCCTTGGGCGTCTCTCCATAGATCCGGGGGACCTGGCGGAACCCCTCTGCTGCGGCATGTGGAATGTCGACCACCACCCCTTTGAAATATGACCCGGTGAATTTCCCAAATCCTTTCATCGTCGCGCCTAGCATACTCCCTGCAACCAAAAGACCATTCTTTCCTTGAAGCCCTGAGCTCTCAGAGGGGCTCGAAATATCCATGTCTTTGGCAGGTGTTGTCGAGTAGACGTGGGAGGGTGCGTTTCTGGTTGATGGTCCGGCATCCAAGTCTTTGTTAGGCAGCCGTGGAGTGCGACCATCCTTAAATTTCTTATAAGGATTGTAAACCATATCGGCGGTTGAGTGTAACATGATTGACCCAGTGGTTGTGGCAGCAGATATCATTCCGCTAATAGGATCCCAGCGGCGATTTTCAATCACTATGGGATTGGCGTGATGACTGCGAACAGTGAGTATCAAAGAAAAGAGACTCCACCCAGGCTTGGTTACTTACAGTTCCAGGTGACCCTTGGTAATTTTATGATTCTCGATCAAGATCTGAGCGGCTTTTTTTGACAAGCTGAGGGAAAATGCGCTCTTTTTGTATTTCCAGCTTGCAACTTGGTTGGGAATCAAATCACAACGCATTCGATCAATGGGGAGATTCCGATGGAATGATTCCACGGCCGCGTCGACTCCTGCCTCGTTTTTCATCTTGAGGGAAATTCTATGCGCGGCCTCTCGTGCCTCTGGCGTGAGGCAAGATTGGATGGCGGCCGTCAGCCTCTGGAAATTAAGTGATGCATATGGAATGGGACTAGGGCCTGCCCCAGCTCTGAAGATCATGTTGCCCCAGAAAGGCTGGCTGAAACAACAAACAAGGTTAGCATGAACTGAATCGCCTGCTTCCTTGATGACAGGGCACTCACTCGCCAAAGAAAGGCACGATAGCAGTGGGCTTGCCGTTTCTGAGACCGCACGCAGTGGTTCCGGCGCCCCCATGGTGGACAACTGCTGCAACATGCTGGAACAGCCATTCGTGTGGACAATCATCTATATAGTAGATGTTGGGGTTTAGAGCTCCAACAAGCCCACTCCAGCCTTTGGAGATGATTGCACGCACCCCTGATCGTACGACTGCAATCACAACTGTGTCTATCAGCTTTTGGGGATTTTCAACAACAATACTGCCGAAGCCGATGTACACTGGTGGTGGACCAGCCTGTAGGAATTCTGACAGTTCCGAGGGCGGACTGTATGATGGCGGGTCCCGGAAGAAGAATCCGCACACGTCTGTGGTGGTCAGGGCTGTGGGTTTGAGCGCGCGGCAGAGAGGATGACATACCAATATGCGCTGGCCAGTCTGTTGGTTTTGGCACAAGGGCAGGAGGCCAACAATAGGTGTGGGGTATTTGCAATGCTTCCGGGAGGCTAGGGCCCACTGTCGCGGCAATAGGCTCCAAATCGATTGAAATGCGCCATTGATTGATGACGTCTCCTAGCCTTGATCACGAAATGTCTCAGTAAGCGATATCATCCTCCATGAATGGATTATCTTACCCTTGCCATGTCAACCACTCGACCACTCCATAGGTGACCCAATTGGCAGTTCGAGGATTCATAGACGACGAGTTCATATTGGCGAGAGGATGTGGGAATGCCTTGGTACTGCTCCATGGCATTGTGAACATCAAATGGACAGGAATGCCTAATGCCTGGGCACAATGCACATGCGCAAAGCTGGGAGGATTGGCAATGATAGCATCAGCAACAAATGGCTCCTGTGTCAGAGGATCGTCTTGAATGCAAGATCTCCAACAACCATCGAGCATTTCTGCGACCATAGCTTGCTTCCTCTGTACCTCGCCCTCCCGTAGTGTCTTCATCTGTGGAATCAAGCCAGGGTTTTTAACCATATATGCCATCAGCTCGGCTGGATCACCCCCTATGGGATAGAATTCTAATCCTGCATCCCGCACAAAGTTGGCAAACACATCATGTGTGGCGATGCGGACTCGATGGCCATGCTTTTGCAGTGCGTTCCCGAGGGCAATGAACGGCTGGACGTCTCCGCGGCTTCCGACAATCTGAATGACAATGTTTAATTTCAGGTCGCATGTGGTGAAGTGCTGCAAATTATCGATATAATCAGGTGGAGGGTTGTGAATGTCTTCTTGCTGTAGATCGATGATTTTGGCGAGTGTTCTAGCGACCTTGGAGTCAAGATTGATATTTATGCGGCCGTTTTCTGCCGGGAAACTTGAGATCAGTAAATTGCATCCCTTTCACACTGGACGCTGGTATACCTTGCACAGTCCCTGATTCCGCGAGTTCATTGTTGCCTACCAGAGAGTATGGTGGGGGTGCTGTCGACTCTGTCTCCTTGCCTTCGTCGGCCTCTAGATTGCTCAATAGCCCCATCTTGACTGATGTTGGATGTGAAAAGAAATACAAGTTGAAAATGAAATGGGAAGATGAGCTCTATAAGAAAGAAAAGTGTTGACCGTTCCAAGGTTAGCCCTCGTACCCGTAATGATAGCCTGATATGGACTAGTGTCTGTAATCAAGGTTTCGGGCCGATATCCACGCTAACCGCATTTGGCCATCGACCCGAATTTCGGCACTGAACAGCCACGTTGATTCGGTGGGCCCGAAGTAAAAATAGAATGGAAGGCATCGATCGATATCCACGACTCAAGCATTTCTCAGGGACTCAGTTCTTTTTCTACTCGACTTCTCCCTCTTCAGCTCAAGTTTCAGTTTTCTCACAATTCCCCATGTCGAATTTCTCAACCCCCAGGCTGGGCCATGCAAATCATGCTCATTTCTCGACCTCATCGTTACCGCCCCCATCACACCATGAGCGGAACAAACGCAGGCTGCTGCTGATATATATACACGGCTTTATGGGATCCGAAGCTAGCTTTCTAAGATTTCCAGCCCACATTCATGACGCTTTGATGAATCTCTTGGGTGAATCCCACGTCATATATACTCGAATTTATCCCCAATACAAATGTCGCGGCGAAATGAGGCATGCAATTGATCAGTTTAGCGCATGGTGAGCTCAGATGCAGCCATATTTCCAATATCTACCTAGTATCAGGGAGATGACTGACAGTCCACGATATAGGTTAGCACCACATGAAGCAGATGATCTCGATATAATCCTGCTTGGCCACTCTATTGGAGGCACTCTTGCTGCCGGGGTCGCACTACTCCCTTCCCCGGTTGACTCTTTTCAGCACTCAAGAAAACATCGAATTATGGGATTGATGAATTTCGATGTGCCATTTCTGGGCCTCCATCCATCTGTGATCTCCTCGGGCATCCGAAGCCTGTTTCGCAAAAGTGATGACAGGAAAGGAACTGTTGCCGAAAAGAGTCAAGGATTAGAGGAAATGGAAGATTCTTATTTCCCAATCGTGACGAACCCCAACTTTGATCCGAGTTTTGGGAATGACGTACGACTTTTAAAGAGCAGCCGTTTCCTTGATACCGTTCAATTTTTCCACAAGAACATGAACCACCTCCCGCGCTCTATATTCGACAGTGTGATGTCGTACTACAAATTTCCAGGCTATTTGAATAGACTGCCTCATCTTCGTCGGCAGTACAAAGAAATGATGAGGTTGGAAGCAGCCGATAACGGACCCAACAGAGTGCGATTCGTGAACTATTACACAGAAGCCACAGGCTACAAAAAGTCACCAACAAAGCGGAGCAGCCAAGCAGGGGGACACAATAATGATCAGAAAAGCAAACTCGAAGCCTTGGCTGGCGATTGTCAATTTCCAATACAGGATGAGCTGAGCTCTTGTGCGAGCAATGACGTTGCCAAATCACAACCTTCGAAACACGAAGTCAAGCCTGACAAAAGAAACCCCCGAACATTCGTGCTGAAACCGTCACACCACTGGAAAGACGGAGATGATTCTCTCTGGGAGCCTGTACAGATGGATAACATGGATGAGGTATCAGCGCACCAGTCCATCTTCCTCCCAGGCAGTAATATGTACGACAGACTTGTTGGCGAGGTTGTGAGTACTATTCAGCTTTGGGTGCAGGATAGCCTCAGTCTCAATCTCCTTGAGATGCCCGGACCAGAAGTATCATCAAGCTGAGAGACTTCGGGGCATGGAAAAGAATCAAAGTGCTTCAAGACCAGTCCAGCTCGTAACCAATGCGTTTTGTTTCTGTCTCCGTAATATCGTTCAAGTGTAAAGAGTAGGTGTCGTGATACACAGGAGCCAGTTAAAGCTCCAGGGCTGTGTGCTCGAATCATGCAAGTTGGTAAATGGGGAACTCGGGATCGCCGACCTCGGCCATGTTTGTCGAAGTCGTAGGCCAGGTGTTCTGCTCGCCACTGTGAGTCTGTCGTGAGAAAGGCGTGACGCCTAATTTGGCCAGCCATCTCTGTTAACAATGGAACAGTAGATTCCGATGTCTTTCTCGAACCGACTTTGAGTGGATTTTGTCTCTTGTTCTTTGCCCTCTGCTCTCACAACCCGAGTCACGATGAGATATCTGTAGGTTCTTTCCAGTAGTTCATGTCATATGACTGGTTTTTGCCAGTCGCTTTGAGCTCGCCAGCTTGTCTTTGGGTTCCTCCCCTGACATATGTGTTTGTCGTTCGAGCACATGATGTGGCATGAAGCTGATCAAATGCGAGTTGTGTAAGGCTCTCGTGTCAGAGGGTAAATCATAAAATAGTCTGATGCAGAGTCGAGAAGAGAAACAATGTTAAATTAAGAAGCCAACGGTTTTCGGGTGGCACAGAGAAGCTGGAGTGAGGGTGGCGAGAGAAAGAAGAATGATCAGAAGAGGCGAGAGGGGCAAGAGGGCAATTTGTAACCACTTATAGAGCTGCCGGACTCGCTCTTCTTTCACTCCCAAGGCATTTCTTGAACTCTTGCATTTGAATCAAGTCTCCATCAGATTGAGAGGTTGCCATACCAAGGACAGGAGTGTTCGAGGCTCCAACCGAGTAGTGATGTCTCATGCTGGTTAAATTCTTGAAACTCGAGAGCGTTTCCTCTGAAGGCTTTATACCAGAATAACGCCGTGCCTCATGAGAGTGTAGGTACAGAATGAAAACCGTTCTGATGAACATGATATCTTACTGATAATTCTGAAAGATCTCGACAACCGCCTCTTCAATATTGTGTCGGATAACCGCTCTCGGCGTTTCTTTGCGAACCCTCCTATACCTCACCGGGAGACGATGGGGTAGACAGTCCTCCATACACCCCGGACGACCGTTTCCCCGACTGAAGTTTCCGAGGCCCAATTATAGCCAAACAGACAGTCCGAGGTCACGAATAGATGGCTTGAATGAACTGAGCATTTAGTCCGATGGACTGGGGCCCTATTGACGAATGGCGTTGGAAGACGCCGGATATCAGAAACGACTTCGAAGGCTAGACACTCATTTCCTCCCTTTCTGTCGGTCAGTTCTTGTGTTTATCAATATTGTCTTTTTCCATCTATCCTTTCATTCCTTACTTTTCTCCCGCCCTGCACCTTATAACGCCCTTCGTTCCCAAAATTGACCACTCCTCGGTTTTCAGTTTCACACCCAACTCACTTCTTTCCATCTTTACCAACTTCATCTTTACCACTGTTCCCACACTCAGTACACTTTTCTTTTCACTTCTACCTGAACCCGGCTCAACTTTGCCGTCTAAATCCTCCGTTCTATGCCATAGCTGTTATTAACACCTGGTCAGGTGACCATGTTTTCCCAGGTCTATAACTCGCTCTCTCCCTCTCTTTGCTTTTCCCTTCTTCACCATCTATCTGACTGGTGATTCTCATCACTTCTTTCTGGTCTCCCTTCCATCAGTGGATGTCTTATCAATAGCTCCTCCTGCGTCACTGAGGAATCGGCCTTTGCGGCTAATCTCTTCAAATATGCCGCCCAGGCGAAGGCCCGCCCTGACAAAATGGTCCCGGCGAGCAAATTCTCGGACTTCAAATGGAGCGAAACGTGGAGTCAACGCGGTGTCAACCCCGGCATATCTCTAGCAGTCCACTCTGCGCCCACGGGCTCGATTTGTCTCGAGGTGTGAAGCCACGAGTTCTACCCCGGATGAAAGCCTTCAGCTTTCCGAAGGTCTGGACCGGAGCAGTGATGCCCATCGAAGGGCGAGAAGGAAGTTTTTCCAAAGCCGGGCACCGCGGTTTTCCTCGTTCACAACCTCATACCGGCCCACGGGTGAGCAAATGGACGATACTCCCCTGGGCCAAATGCTTGTCCATTGCATACCTTGGATGAGACGATGGATACAATTACAACAAACCAAATACGGAAGACTCGAGACTCGAGACCCGGATGATGTGGACAAAGCTTTGAAACCACCGTTCCGCCTCCTGACAGAGATGGCGATCATTTACTTCTATTTCTCCTGGGGTGTTCGAAAGAATGAGAACTCAAGTCTTCTTCTCTTCTTCATTACCCAAAGCGACAGTGCCTTTTGATTCCGTGTTTATCATAGATCGAGGATCAGCCATGTGAATCATTCATACGAGGCGAGGTCTATCGTATTCAATTAGGTGAATAAATAAAGTACATAGCTGTCATGAGACAAACGATATGAGTCAATTCGAAGCCTCGCTCTTCCTGATTTCACGTCAAGTTGAACGGTGCAATGTCAACAATCCAATTTAAAACCAAAACGCGAGTCAAGGCCACACTATGCTTGTTGATAGCACAGCAATATCAAGGCAAACAAAATATCTAATAACTTTACATAATCAAGCTGAAGAAGGCAGCAAGAGAAGCCAGCACCAGGCTGGAGGCGACAGACAGGCTTGATGCAGAGTTGAAGATCGGGGAAGCACTAGCACTGTAGGAGCCACTGGCAGTAGCCGAGGGGTAACCACTAGAAGCAGTGACAAAGGTGGCCGAGGCAGGTGCAGGGACCTGGCCAGTGTTGGCCGGGGAGACACCACTGGGACCGGCAGGAACCAAGCCAACAGTCGCGGCACCACCGGAGGCAGAGGCAGATCCAGTAACGAAGCTGACCTGAGGCACAGTAAGGGTGTATGTCGAGTACGTGATGGTTGTGACAGGGATTGCGGGAGCAGAAGTGACAGGAAGCACGGCACTATCAGTCACGGCGCCGGAGGCAGTGTGAGCTGGAACCGAGGGAGCAACGGTGGGGACGAGAGTGATAGTAGAAGGAATGGCAGTCACAATGCCGGGGTTCTCGGGCACCCAAGTAGCGCAGATACCGGTGAAGTATGAAAGAGCGGACTGGATCTCGCTCTTGTTCGCACCCCAGGCTTGAATACAGGAGATGACTTTTGAGGTGAACTCGCTGTTGGGACAGAAGCAGGAAGCGTCACTGTTGGAGTTACACTTGGGCGCAAGGCTGAGCCAGGTGTTGATGCACTGAGGAACTGTCTTGGGGCAAGAGGACGAGGGAGCAGGGGTCGATGCTACAGAGGTACCGGTTGACACCACGGAGGTGGCGATAGAAACAGGGGCACTATCCGTGGCGGTGGCAGCGCACTTGGTGCAGATCGTCGAAACAGAGGTCAGAGTCACGCTAGACACGGTCTGCGAAGTAGTCACGAAGGTCGAAGAATCGGAAGTGACGGTGTGGGTGACAGGGCAGGTGGTCTCAGTCACATAAGTCACCACGGTGGTGGTGGAGTCCTCGGGCACAACGGGGGTAGGAGTGACGCCGACGCTGGAATCAACCGCGCTGGTGATGCCTCCAGTGGGAACGGGAGTGCTGGCGGCATCGACGGAGCTAGGAAGGGCGGGAGTGGAAGTCAAAGTGACCGTCGAGACAGTGCTAGAGGTTGTCAGGTAGGTTGAGGATCCAGAAGTGACGGTTTCGGTGACGGGGCATGTGGTCACGGTCACAAAGGTCACAACAGTAGCAGTTGAGTCTTGGGGCACAATGGGGGTGGTCTCCACGCTAACACTGGAGCCAACGGAGCTGGAGACAGCTGGGCTGCTTGGAACCGGGCTGGAGGCCTCTCCAGTTGCCGATGAGACAGGGCTAGAGCCCTCCGGGGTGGCAGATGGAGATGGAGACGAGCCCTCGGGGGTCTCGGAAGGAACGGAAGTCGAAGCTCCAGGGGTTCCGGTTGGGACATAGGAGCTTCCTTCAGGGGAGACAGACGTAGGGGTGGCGGTGCACTCGGTGCAAACGGTACCAGTGGAGGTCAGGGTGACAGTTGAGACAGTCTCTGAGGTAGTGACAAAGGTAGAAGAGCCCGAGGTCACAGTCTCGGTAACAGGGCAAGTTGTCACAGTCTCATAAGTCACAACAGTTGTCGTAGCCTCCTCTGGGGTAGAAGGAGTCTCAGAAGGAGACGAGGGGACCGGGCTTGAGCCAGCAGATGTCACACTGGGGATTCCGGGGATACCGGTTGGGGCTGAGGTTGCAGGGGAGCTGACAGGAAGCACGCTACTGGGGCTTGGGCCTCCAGGTACTGATGGCGGCGAGCTTGCGGCAACGGGAGTAGTCTCAGTGACGGGGCATACCGTGGTGGAAATTGCGATAGTCGAAGTCACAACGGCGGTAGAATCGGCGGGACAGTCGGTCACATCAGCAGCGCAGCTGGTGATGGTGATCTCACTGGTAGTGTAAATTGTGGACGTAGTCATCTGGGGAGGGCTAGTGATCACAGGAGTGGAAGGCACAGGGGTCTCATCAGGAGTCTCGCTGGCAGAGGACGACCAAACCGAAGAGCCCCAGCCTGAGGAAGAACCGACAGGGAGAACACTGCTGGGACTAGATCCAGTAGACGCAGGTGGGGAGCTTGCGCCAACAGGTGTGATCTCAGTGACGGGGCACACGGTAGTGGAGATGGCGATGGTCGAGGTAGTGACAATAGTAGAGTCAGCCGGGCAGTTGGTGACCTCGGGGGCACAGCTGGTGATGGTAATCTCGCTGGTGGCATACACAGTCGAGGTAGTCATCTGGACGGGGCTAGTGATCGCAGGAGTGGAAGGCACAGGGGTCTCAGCAGGAGTCTCGCTGGCAGAAGACCAGACTGAAGATCCCCAGCCTGAAGACGAGCCAACCGGGAGAACACTGCTAGGGCTAGATCCGGTAGGCGCAGGGGGAGAGCTTGCGCCGACAGGAGTGATCTCAGTCACAGGGCAGACAGTAGTTGAGATGGGAATTGTCGAGGTGGTGATAATGGTCGAATCAGCTGGGCAGTTGGTGACCTCGGGGGCGCAGCTTGTAATGGTAATTTCACTAGTGGCGTAGACAGTTGAAGTAGTCATCTGAACAGGAGTGCCGGTAGCAGGGACACTGATAGCTGGGGTGCCGTTAGGCGATGAGGACACAACACTAGACGAGCCAACGGGAAGAACACTGCTAGGGCTAGATCCAGTTGGTGCAGGAGGAGAGCTTGCGCCGACGGGAGTGATCTCAGTCACAGGGCAGACAGTAGTTGAGATGGGAATGGTCGATGTGGTGACAATGGTCGAATCGGCTGGGCAGTTGGTGACCTCAGGAGCGCAGCTTGTGATAGTAATCTCGCTGGTGGCATAGACAGTCGAAGTAGTCATCTGAACAGGAGTGCTGGTAGCGGGGATGCTAATGGCTGGTGTTCCACTAGGCGATGAAGACACAACACTAGACGAACCGACAGGGAGAACACTGCTGGGGCTGGCTCCGGTGGCCGCAGGGGGAGAGGTTGCACCGACAGGTGTGATCTCAGTAACCGGGCACACCGTGGTAGAGATAGCGATAGTCGAGGTAGTCACAACAGTGGAATCGGCCGGGCAGTTGGTGACCTCAGGAGCACAGCTAGTGATCGTGATCTCGCTGGTAGCGTACACAGTAGAGGTGGTCATCTGAACGGGGGTGCTCGCAGCAGGAGTGGTCCCGACTGGGGTGGTGACAGGAAGCACCGATGATCTAGGAACAGAGATCGAAGGCACAATGAGGGAGCTGGAGGCAGTTGCGGCAGATGAAATGTGCACAGAAGCAGCGGGAACAGTGCTAGCAGCGACTGGTAGCGTGGAGGTGGAGCCTGGAGTGCAGTCGAAACCAACACTGTAGATTCCAAAGCCACAGCTCTCGTGCTCACTGTCTTCGGGCAGTTCAAAGTGAACAGATGTGGCACCTCCACACTGGTCATTGCTCACGACGGTACCGCCAGAGTTGCAGGATGCAGTATTCTTACAGGTCGATCCATCGGGCATGCTGTAAATGATGTGCAGCTCTGTGTCCTTCTCGGTGGCAACGTGGAAGTCTGTCACTGAGAATCCACTCTCGTCCGAGCCACAAGAGAAGGATGGAGCTGAGCGAGAGTTGGAGCCCGTGAGAGAGGAACTGGCTCCAGCACCAAAGCTCGAGCCAGATTCGGAATCATACTCAGAGCTTGAGATTGAGCCTCCCCTGGAAACAGTACCCGAGATACACTTCTGGGTCTTTCAGGACGTTAGCATGTGTATCGACAGGGGATGAGCTGGACTTACGCCACGCTTGCCAAGGCTAGATCCAAAGCCATTGCCGCAGGTGAATCCGGAGAAAGAAAAGCCACCGTAGTCAGAGAACGAACCAGCAGCGAGGTCAGACCAGCTGAATCCCTTTTGCTGATGCTCGTTACACTTGTTCGGGGATCTGCCTGGGCTAGAGTAGCACTTCTCAGAGCCCCAGTACTAAGAAAGAAGAATGGTCAGTAGTTGCAAGCTTCAGATCATCGGGAGACATACGGTGGCCTGGCTCGAAGCCAAAAGGGAGAAGAAGGTGACTGCGGAAGCGACCTTCATTTTGGAAAGAAAGATGAAACAGTGTCGGACAAAGATCGGACAGGATATAAGAGATAAGATGAAAAGATATTTGGATAGAGTCTCCCAGGAGAGTCAGGATATGGAAGAGATAGAAAGCCGCAATTGCTGGATCTAGTCCAGACAACGGGGATTAGGATTATCAATGATCAACAGTGAAAAGCCTCAAAGAAAGAATATTTCTGAATGAAAGAAGGAGGGATAGGTTCACGATCCCTGAACGAGCGTCTTTGGTTGGAGACGAACCAATAAGGCCAAGCCTAAAGAAAGAAAAATAAAAAAGCACAATGGCAAGAAAGAAGAACGGTGCAGGGTCCAGGGAGGGCCCTTTAAACAATTGTAGAGCATGAACTCCTCAAAGGGTCTGCAGGGACACCTTCAAAGTATAGTGCCAGGGGAGCCAGTAAGACACGCCATTGTGCGAGAGCACGGGGATTCCTCCAATCGGCTGGAATCTGGGGGCGCAGATGAAACGGTGGTGACCTTTCAGGGACGAGCTGAGACCCATCAACGCTGGGCGCCGACTAGTGCAGGAACTGAAGAGAGCAGGGTCTGCTGCTTCACCCGGCGCTTGTTACTCCGGTCGAGTCCCTAAGCTCTAGACCTGCCCAGATGGTTAACTTGGAATTCACCAATCAATAAGACGGTATAAATAGGCTGCAAGCGCTGGATCGACGTGAGGAACTGTGATGATGTCGATCGCATCAATGTACAGGCAGTCAACGGCCCACAAAAAAGCGACCGGTCAGAACGAGGCTACTGGCGCCGGCGTCTCGCCTTGAGACGTTCGCGTCGGAGATTGGGTGTTCGTTCTCCACTTGCTGTAGGGTTGTTTTTTTTTTTTTTTTCTTTTTTCTTTTTCTGATCTTCTCTATGTCGTTGGTTCTCCACTCCAAGCGCCAATGTCAAAATGAGCCCTGGAGCGCCTCGGGAATGATAACAAAGAATAAATCAAGTCAATGAGCCAATGAAGGTCTGCAGAGAAACCTGCTGCAGACGGAATATGTTTGGTCACGTCTCAAGTTCATACCTTCAGGGGCTTCACGTTGTCTGTGGTGCCAAGTCGAGGCTGAAACCCGACATGTCACTTGGCGATATTGCGACTCTGGAGATTCCTAGATCTTTGAATGGAGATTGAGAGGTTCGCACTGAAGTTCGATAGCTACCTCGTTGATCGGAAGAAACGCTCTCTCGTTGTGCTCCCTCATCTCGAAAGGGCAGTTCTTAGGTGAAGTGATTTGCCGTGAAACGCCCACTAAAAATACCCGCGAATAAGACCTATGCACCCCAAATGCTACGCTGGGATTTCTGCGTTCCAATAGGATTCTTGTACTCCGCATGGCCTCGAATTCCCTCTGCAGCATCCATTGGCTGTGAGTTCTTCCAAGTGGTTTGGATGTGCAACTCAAGGAATGATACCTCAATCCTCTCGTCAAAGATCAATGTTTTTTTAAGAACCATGTCTGGAAACATGTATGGAGTACTATGCAGGCTCTCATCCGAAAAGAAATTGAGGCATTTGACAGAAAAACAGTAAGAGATGGGATTCACCTAACACTAGTTATAACTACCTAGGTACCTACTAGTAACTACCTACTACTGTAGTAACTTTCCTCCGTAGTATACTCCGTAGGAGCTTCAAAGTCTACTAGTAGAGTAAATCACCTACTTCAAGGTTACATGTGGGCACCTGGGCAACTTTCAAGGTTATGACAGGCTCATATGTAGTTAGACAGCCCTGAAGGCTTGTCAAAATCTCCATACAGTTTCCCAAATAGGGCAGACGCTGTAGCTGAGCTTCGACCAAAATCGACAGCACTGACCAGAAACAAGCCACAAATGATCCCAAGCGTTGCGGGCAGTCCATGTGTGGGCCTACTAGGTATCTACTTGAAACTCGGAGGCTTCGGCTATCAATTGACAGGGTGGATCTGGTTCGAAAACGGGAGCTCTGCTCCGAGCAGCCACTTCAATTTGATGTCGGGGCAACAGCTACTTAGTACGGAGTACCTAGTAGCAAATTGTTTGTCCAATTCACTAGGAGCTCGCTAACCCGTGAAGGCGCTTCTCCGAACTCCATTCATTATGATGTGTATTTTTAGGTCGCAATATACCAAGGCTAGATGGACGCAGGTGTCAAGCCCAAAGTGGAGACATTGAATGGTCCGTAGCAGTGGCATGACGAGCACGGGCTTACAGACGGAGGATAGTATAGAGATTTCGAATGTTTTTGGAATTGAAGATAAGGTAAGAAAGCAACTTATAACAGCCGTCACTCGTTAGAACGCAAAGCAAATTTTGAACTCCATAGATCCAAGGTATCACCGGTCCCCGCGGCAAGCGGGGGACAAAATAGCCAATCAATATGACACAATAGGGAAGAATTGAGGGAGTGGAAGAACGATGAAAAAGATAATTGAAATGCAAGATAATTGGATCGCTTTTGGGGTTCTCAGAACCAAGATCCATCTTTCAAGGGCGGACAGAATATGCACATCTCTGCCACCGGATGCCTTCCCTGAGGGAGTCATCAATGATAAGATAATGGCACCATGCAATGCAATCAGAGGCGAAGCGAAGATTTTGCGTTTGGATCATGGCACTCGATGGGTGAGGCATGTTACAAGTGTCTTGGCAGACTGAGGTGTAACAGAGTCTGCAAGAGATAGAATGAGGATAGAATAGAAAGCGGCCGTGTAAATCATGTTATCTGAATGGCGATTCAGAAATCGTACAGTCGTGAGAATGGTGGCTTTAGAGTGGAAGCTGAGAACGGCGCTGCTGGGCGTCCATCAGCTTACGCCGCACAGCCTCGCCACCAGCAATGGTGTTGGACTTGCGCTTGCGGGTGGGAGTGCGCTGGTCATTGGTCTTGGCGTGTCGGAAGACACTGGCAGGACGCGCCGGGGAGTTGGCAGGCATGAACTCGCGGTGTTGGGGAAGGCGGAGAAGAGCTTGATAACGGTTGTGATTACGACGGAAGGCGGTGACAATGCCCTTGTCTAGGTGGTTGAGGAACCGCTCTTCGTTGTTGGGTTGAGACTCTGATTTGCGAGTCGGCGTAGGTGTGCCCAGGGACTTGGCGGAGGGAGCAGCTGTTGGAGAGGCCTGGGCAGATTCCTGGAAGTGATGATCCAGCTCGTCGTCTTCATCCGAAGAGCCATTTCCAAAGTCAATGAAGTCATCAACATTCAGAGCAGTCTCAGGGTCGTCCTCGTCGTCCTCTTCGAACGAACTGTCGATCGTGAAGTCTTGAGAGGGGTAGAATGCCTCGGGTGGTCCCATGACCTGGCCTCCTGGGGTGAGGTCATTGCCCAGAGCGGTCATCATGAGATTGGCACTTGAGGCCAGCATAGGGCTGAAATCTGTCTGATTGGGAGACGCAAGTGCGTCGGTGTCGCTCTCATCGACCAGGTGCAGTGTTGTTTGGCGAGGGCTGGTGTTGGCGGTTCCCGGCATGCTGTTGGCAGCAGATTCCAACCAGTCGTGGCGAGAGGATGCATACGCAGGAATGATGACGAGGTGTTTACCGGTACAGTCAACTAGAGCCACAGGCTTGTGAGGGTCCGTTGTAAAGGTTCCCATGATGGGTCCCCTGCGGCGAGGCACAGTGTCACTCTTGTCATCGCCCGTGGGGGCCAGAGAGTCGGATGAATCGCGCCGGAGAAGAGACCGAGGATGAGTGATAGTGGCAGGTGGGGGAAGGTCTTCGTCTGTAGTGTCGCCATCATCGCCTTTTGTGATAGGTTAGCAAAATTGAAAAGCACCATGAACAACAGATCATCATACTTTCATAGCCACTCAAGCTTCCTTCGGATGATCCCTCGGACTCTACGTGGTAGATGTTGCCGTGGCCGTAATCGACGTCGCCAAACATCTCCTCTGATTGACGACGGTTGTTTCTTTGGTAATTCTCATTGTCGTTTTCAATCATACGACGCAGCTGGGGGTCCAGACTGTCCTGCTGCAAAAAGTCCCCGGGGATATCATCATCCGTGTGAGAATCACTATCGGAAGACGAGTCGGATCGCTCTTCGAAGTGCACCCGCCGGGTAGCCGGTGTTTCCACCGCTTCACTGGGCACATCAGGCTCCCCGAAGGTGTCCATGGCACTGTACAGGTGCTCTTCGTCAAAGAATGAGGCAGCCGGGAGGAACATGTTGTCGTCGAAGGCATTGGCCGTCCACATGTCATCATTGAATTCGGAGCTGGGCAGAGGTCTGGGGTTCTTTTCAGACTCCATGATCATCATTTCTTCCATTTTCTCCATTTCTTGTTCTTCATCTTCCGCATCGGTGATGTAGTCCACCCCGGCGTAATCGTCTGAGCTCTCCGAGTCGCTGCCGTCACTGCTGTCATCGGGTATGACACGGCGTCTCTTGGTTGCCGTTGATCGGCGCCCCGCCTTGTTGTCTCTGCGGCGAGCATAAGACGGGGCCCGGACAGCTGGTTCTTGCTCGTCGTCTGCATCTTCCTCCGAGTCATCTCCGTCGCTCAATTCTTCTAGAGACGAAACAGAGGATACACTCGAGACAGATGAGGTGGATACCCTCCGCTTCCGGTCTGGTCGAGAGTTCTCTGACTTTCGAGGATGTTTCCCCTTGGGAGACATATCGAGATTTCGCATGATATTGGACTCGGGGGTGGATGGGCGTGGGTGGGCATTTTTTGCAAGACCCTTCGGGGCCCGCTTGGAGGCGTAAGAGGTTTGAGGCATGTCGAGAGAGGTGGTTCGGATTGATCAAGGAGAGGTGTGTTGTTCAAAGTCTTTCGTCCTGGGTTGGGGTTCAGATGAGCTGGTCTGTTCCAGGAGGATCCAGGTCAGACGGAAGATAGGTGGGTCTTCTGGTGGTCAAGGATATTCGTAATCGGTTCCAAAATAGGAATTCGAAAAGGGAAGAGTCGAGGGGGGAGAGTGGGACTGGGTGGAGGTAATCGGAGGAGAGGCGGAGTGGAGGGGAGGTAGGTTTTTTTTTTCACGAAAGCACCTGCAGTCCGTTGCGGATGCTGTAGTACTCCTTCTGAGGGCTTGCTAAGGGGCAATTCCAACGCTCTACTGGAAGCGTCGAAAGAGGAACAAATATCGTCAAGTCAAATTGAGGATCGGAGCTGCAGGACTGGGGAGCCTAGATGGCAGGCTCCCCAGCGAGGCATTTACAGCTCAACGAAGGCCATTTGGCTGATCTCTTGACGATATGTAGAAGGGGGGATTCAGAATACTCAGGGTACAGGGTAAACCGAGGCAAGTCAGAGGAGTGATGGGGAGAAAGAAGAGCGAAGGGACGACTTTTTTCCCTATGAAGCGGGGGGCGATGGTGATTGGCCACGGGCGACGACCGCCCATTTGCTGGCACCACTCACCGCTCTTTCGCGCCAATCAGCGGGCAGTAAAAGATGCTAATTCCGTTTACATTCATCTACTTATCCTGGCCATCGTCCTGATGGGAGATACTCCACCAGTACGGAGTACAGTACAGAGGGGAAGATGGAGATAGAAACCCACATCTGTGTTCTTGCTACCCCCTGTTGGACATGTCCGAGTATGGGATTGAAGAGAAAAATCCAAAACGTCATCGCAGAACCTCGGCGCAGTCTTCTCCTGGCAAATTCTGCGTTTCACATATTGCCATCTACTGTAGATCATTGCAAATTGCATACTGCACTGTACAGAGGATAGTATATAGTACTATGTATAGTACTCCGTACATTAGTATACTACTGTACGGAGTACAGTACTGGATGCAATACGGTGGACTCTTGGAATGAATGTCAGACGTGCATTAACGACTCGGTGCAGCAATTGACCCGTGCGAGTATGCATGATGATTCAGGATCATCGATGGCACCGAATGAATCACATTGTCTTTAGCCCGAGCATTCGATCTGAGCTACTCCGTGCATAGACATACTAGTACTCTATAGTCCGGATTAGATCCGGCCACGTTGGATGTTTTTCAGTGGCGATGCGAGTACTCCATTCCGGCCGGCTTGGCATTTGCCCGGGAACCTGCAGTCCTCAAATTCTAGTTGGGCACTCTAGAGACGATCCCAAGTGGCGGTAAGGGGTTAACGTGCATGAGATCTCTCTTATCTTTGATCGTTCATACTGCACTACTCTATCCTCCGTACAGTAGTCGAGTACTCCATACTGTTATAGAGCATACTCCTTGTGTACGGAGTACTCCGTACTCCGTACTAGTAGTACTCTGCAAACACAGCGGGTCCTGGGGCAAACGGAAGATCTTTCCGTTTCTTTCTCTTGAGCCCCACGGAAATTTTCTACCCCAATCATCAGACTCGATCAGAGTACGTTGAGGGGTTTCAGCTGCGGATCATTTACCGTCTGCAAATCCTGGCCACTTCGACGGACTTCTAGCCTAATTTCCCCCACTTCGTCTCTATTCCCGTACATACTCGGTATCCCGTCCTGAACCGCCCAACCTCGGTTGGGTGGCACAGTGTAGGTAAATTGTTGTTGGCATCGGTTCTAGTGCCAAATAGATGGTGGCGAAGACACTCCAGCCTTTCTTCAGGCTGGATCGAGATTGAGTCACAATAGAGTACTTGCTGGAGGTACCGAGGATACGATGACTTGCACCAATCTGACTTTTTGGAATGTCAAATCGTCGCAGAGTGAGTCACATCTCTTCTCACCAGATTTGAAAACTGATGTTTTCAAATCATACCTAGTAGGGTCCAAGGTTTTTACTCAACTCAATTAGCTGAATTGAGATATCAGATTTTGATTTTGGGTTTGAACTCCTAGATTAATCTCAGTAGCATCGTCTGTCTTCCAAGGTTCACTAATTTTCAAGTTGGAAAAATCCCGTCCCGCAGTATATATATCTCTACACTCGGACCTCATTGAAATCCACGTCAAGGTTGGAGACAGATCTGGTTCAACGAGCAGAAAAATCCATAAATCTACTAAGTAATTAGCTATTACGAAATTTCGAAAATTGGAATTGCCACGCGAAGCTTTCGGAACCTTGAACCTCGGAGTTGCTGCAGAGTCGCAGAAAGGGGGACTCCCGAGCCTGGATCTCGGGAACTCTCCAGGGCTCCAACCTTGAAGGAGCAGCGGAAGTGTTCAATTGCATTTGCTTAACTAGTAGGTTCAAGGTTACACAAAGTTCACGGGTAAATATTAAGTAGAACAGTAGATTGTAGAGAATTAAGAAACTATGAACCTACACTCCGACTCAAAATGTCAACATTCCAAAGCGAGCCCCCACCATCCATGGATGGTACATTACAACGGGTATAGTAAACACAAATATCAAGTTCCAGGATACGGCGCCACAGTGTTGGTGACCGGCTCGGTCTTGGCCCGACCAAAGATAGAGAGTCGGGATTTCGACCGGGTGGGCATGGGAGGCGGCCGAGAGGCTTCCTGGCCTGGAGCCTCGACCGGAGAGCCATTCTCGGAGGCACCCGAGCGGGCCTCTTCCACCTTTCGCACGCCCTCGCGAATTTCCTCGGAGGTGGCACCTTGAGGTGCAGTGGTGGTCAGTGTTTCAGTCGGACGTATTAATCCTTCAGAGGTGTCTTGGTTGAGCTTGCTGATCTCCTCCTCCGTGACCAGACGCTCATTCTCAAGGCGAACCTCACGCCCCCGTTTGTGACAATACCACAAGACAAACAAGAGAACTAATTCAGAGTCAGAAAGTGTTACCTAGCGGAAGGACCGGCACTTACTGAATAAAGCTAATGACCAGAGCACATTCATTCCCAGCACGGCCGGGAATCGAGCTCGGAGGAATGCCATGATCGAGCGGAGCATTCCCACCAGCGCAGCTGGCTTTGATACTAGCTCTTTCAGGCTGGGGACGTTGATCCCCATCTTTTCAGCAGCGGCGGCGGCCTTGCCCACATTCTCCATGTTGACGCCACTCTTCCCAGCGCGATCGGCTGCAACAGCCAGCATCTCGGGTGCCAGGGTCTCTGTCCAGCGCTCAGGCAGCCTTTCGATCAACTTTTGCATGGGACCGGGTAGCTTCGTGTAGGTTTCCTGCAGTTGACGATTGCCGTTGGTGAGGAGCATTTCCAAGTCATGATAGGCGGTTGGGACACCATTGATCAGGTCCTTGAAAATCAACTTGAACTTGCGCAGGAGCTCTTGCGTTTCCTCACTGACTGAGAAGACCCGGTTGTTATCCGCGGCGAGGTTCAGTCTTTCAAGAATATCGGTCATGTCTTCGGCATCTTTATCTTTGTTTGCCTCCTTTCCATTCGTGGAGGCGTCCGAGGCAATTGGAGGAGTTGAGGTGTCGATTTGAGATTTGTCCGTGTCCCCGGCATCCGTATTCTGCTTGTACGATTCAAAAGATCAGCATGCATCACTAGCAGGGAAAGGCGTGATACGAGGTTTATGAGTGGATCCTCAACGCACCTTCTTGTCCGTGTTCTTTTTCCAGAACATAGTACTCCATCGCTTCTTCTTTTGGGGGGCTTTTGAGGTCCCTGATTTCGGGGTCTCTGATCTTGTCAGATCTGGCTGAGACTCTCTTCGCTCTTGTCTTCCTTCCTCTCCTAGTTCTTTCCCAAATTCCTCAACCGGCGATGTGGGCAGGGGGATATTCTCGGCCGGCGTGCTTGGCGTAGGCTGTTGAGACTCTTCGGTAGGAATTTCGGTAGGGATTTCGCGATTTTCCTCTGCGGAGTTGTCCGCAGGCGCAGTCTGGGAGGTGACTTGCCGGAAATACGCTTCGTCTTCGGGCGTCAACACCGGTTTTGGTGAGCTGACCATCTGGGATGAACGCCGGAGGTTCTTGATCTGGTTAATATACTGCATAGCCATGTTGACCAGAGGGTTGGAAGGCACAGATTCTGTGCCAAAATAATGAACAGGTGAGTTCGACGGATCGCGAGTGGAAACCAAAACAGTAGGTTGAAACCGGGCGCGTGCAGCAAGGGGACGCGCGCTATGTACTCCGTAGTACTCTCGTGATATGTCGATTCGAGTGATGTGTCAGACGCAAGATCCAACCGAAGCGCTCGTATTGTTCGCGCCAACGGTGCTTTGCTTCACATGCGCTGTTCCCGTGATGTCATCGGTGGCTGATATCCCCACAGCTGCGCCACTACAAGCACCGCCACATCCAATGCCCATCCACAGCTTCCGATGTTCCTTCGTACTTCACCCCATTGGTTTTGAAACAGGTTCTAGCCCGATATTACGCTACAGGCACCCTTGGGAACTACCTGGCGATGAAAAGGGCTCATAGTGACGTTATGACTACATTGAATCTTTGAACATTCACGATGGCAATGATTGTCTCAAATTGTGAACGATGGGTCTGCCGCCTCGAAAAATCGCATAACCGCCATTGAAATGATGGGGTATCCCATAACAACGTCATGCAGCCCAGTCTTCAGAATCTCCTCGCGGATGACACCGTTCTGCGTCTGCCATTCCATCACCGAGCCAGCGGCGCCGAGATCTCTCCTTGAGTCAAGCTTCTTCTGCTCAAGCTCATCGTAGCTGATACCAGCTGGCAATGAAGCACTGACCGCATGCCAGAAAAGCAGCTGGGAATGATGCCATGGGATGTCATAGTCATCCTCCGCGTGGATTATTGTCAATCGGTAGCTCTCTCCGTTCAATTCGTTGGCCCGCACATATTCCGCGATGGAATCTTTGCTCATCCATTTATCTTTGATAAACTTTTGGAGAGCCTTGAACAAGGGAGGAAATCTTGCAATCGGCGACAGGATTGGTATAGTTCCCGCCACTCGATAAGTCGAGACGAGCGTGGCAACATCCACGAATGGGGCAACGAGAACAACGCCCGCAAGGACTATCGGTGGGGTCTGAGTCGCAAGATATTTCGATATCGCAACAGTGACAGCAGTTCCCATGGATTGGCCAAATATAACAATGCGGGATGGAGGAATGCCAGCGACGTTCATTGCCCAGTCGACCACTGCAAGCGCGTCGATGACCAGTCCCGTTTCCGATGGTGACCCGGTACTATTCCCGAATCCGCGATAGTCGAATGCGAGCACGTGAATCTTTCCCGGGTGCCCTGCAGATAGGGCCCGATAATTTGGGACTCGGTACCCCGAGGCGATGGTCCCCCCTGCGCCGTGCATATGGAGCACTAATCGGGCGTCTGGGTCATCGCGCAACAATTGGAATCCAAGTCGGGACTTGATATCAGAAACTAGGCCAACAGCTTCGTCGACAAGAGGGGCCTCGTGTTTGCGATACAATTCCATGGGAAGGACATGCCAGGCATGTAATCGCTCGCCGTCTGGGGTCCTGATGGAAAAACAAGTGACCTGGTTTCTCAGAAACCCGAACGTTTCAGGGACGTTGAGGTCTTTGAACCATGTCATTTGAATTGCGTGAAGATAAACAACATGTGACTGAAAGGTGGAGGTTGTGAGTAATCCCAGGAGGATCGCGTACAGGCCGACTGCCACTGCGACTGGAATGGAAGCATATTTGAAAAAGGTTCCAGCTGTCTGACTGGCTGTCATGATGCTTTAGGTGAGCCGACACAGGAGGGAATGCATTCTCGCAGAGATGTCAAAATTCCAGGGTTGCGCAGCAGACTAACGCGGGGCTAACCCGATATTTACCTGTACTTTCTGCGCCCCCACACCTGCCTCTCGCCAACAAGGATCGAGATGCCAATGTCAGACTGACCAGTCACTGCCCGTTTATACCTGTACTATGTACTATGTACGGAGTAGTAGTTGTAGCCACGACTGGAGAGTTTTGACCACGTTTCCGCACTTTGTGGATCATCAGCGGCTATTTGGCGAATCTGATTGGAGGGAAATGATCGATGCTCCCGGGCTCCACGGTTAGGAGTCCAGCGTTCCGAGGTTCGTACTAGCACCCGGGGACCTTACTGTACTGTACAGGCGCCTAAGTGCATATGGGACTACGGAGTACGAAGCACTACGGCTTGATTTGGTCCTTCGTACTTATGAACACCGTAAAATGCCGTGAATTGAATGTCGGTGACTCCTATAGGACCCACTATAACTCCGCCCCCTCAGAAAAGGAACATCCCATGTTTCATCGTTACTGGCCCAAGGCCCGAAAGTCCCCAACGCTCACAGAAATGGTATCCAGTAAGCGGAATATTCGTATGTGTCATAAATGGCCGATTCTTCTGCTCGTAATGCAGCAAACACCCCGCCTATCATCACGATGCGGCTCAGGAGATAGAATGCCGGAGAGGCGATACTGATCATCGTGAGAAATCCACCCCAGCGAAGCACAACCTTTTCAAAGTGCATGAATATAAGCATTGACACGATGGAGACAAAAGCGGAGGCTCGCCAAAGCCACAGCTCAATCATGGAGGGAAACATCGTGTTCCAACACACAAGATGAAGCGCCCCAAATGAGATCCCAAAGAGACAAATTAGTGGCCAGATCTTTGATCTATACAGATCTGGATCCCAATGGGCCACAATGATTTCTTTCTTGATACTGACAGGCTCATCCGCTGCCTGAGCTGCGAGCCCATTTGATGCAAGTGTGTCGTACGATGGACCTAGAGACACTTGTTGCATTGGAAGTTGTTTAGAGCGTCCTTCGACCCTGGCTTGGGCCTCAGCCTGGGCATCCCGTGCGATTCTGTCCTCTTCCTCTTTTTCGAAGACGCGTGGAGTCAGATACCACACATTCCAATATGAAGTTTGGTCTTCGAATCCCTCGTTGTCAAACTTATTGCTGACAGCCATGGATTCGAATACCGCCATGTGCTCCAGGCTCATGGCTGGAAGGTCGACTAAGGAGGACGAGCGGACGTCCTTGGGTTTGTTCCACCAAAAGAAATAGGTCACAATAAACAGAGGGATATACCCCAGTGTCATGGATTCCAGTTGGGAGAGGGGGAGGTGATGGCAAATCCGCAATAAGCATTGGGCTGAAAACCAAGACACTTGGATCAAAGCCAACAGCTTCGCCGCACTGTCTGACTTGCTCTTATCCCATATATCCTCGATGGATAACCCCCAGGTCGGATGGTCATCCCACTCGATCAAACGTTGTTGGAGGAGCCATGTATATTGATTCGGCCAGATCACCCGATCGCCATTTGGCGTTCGGTATCTCAGCGCAAGCATGCTGATATAAAACGCATGGATCAGTCGGAATTCGCCGTTGGTGAGTTTGGCACATTCACGTTCCATTCTTCGACACTGTGCCCATTCCTGGAGGCCTTCGACGGCAATGAACTCGGGTGCGAATATCGTCTTCACGAAAAGGGCAAGTTTGTGGAATATTGCGTAAGACTCACGCTTGTACACACGCGGATGAATCACAACCCATGTGCACAAGAAGATCGTAGCGAGGCATGTGGTGATCAAGCTTAAGGTACCCCGACCCGGGCTATCCCAAGTCCACCCAACTGTGGTTTCGTTTGTTGAAGCGTCACTTTGGCGTGAGGAAGTGCTTTCAGACATATCATTCAGTAGATGGGATTGGTTGAACGCGCCGCTGAGAGATTTAAATCCAGCGCATCACAGACGCAGAAGCAGAGGGCAGAAACCATTGTTTTAAGTCTATAGTAGCCGCCTGTTAAAAATAAATGCTCAAGGATGCAAATGTGTTCATGTTACAGACATGCCGGGGTATACGCGATGCCACAGTCTCCTAGAAAGCGTGGCAGATCTAGATTTGTCCCAGATTAGGATGTCCACTTTAATTGGGAAGACTGCTAGAAAAAAGTGGATCTTTAGAGCTAAATAGTCCACGAGTCAGGCTAGCTGTGACTACACTAATAGGAATCGAAGTATAGCCGCCCCTATATTAACGCGTATCAGGTTACGAAGATCCTCGCCCATCAAAGAAACGCAGGCAATTTCTCATGCATGCGAACATGATCCATGGATGCTAGTTACGGGGTTTGTTGCTGTGGGCGTACCTAGGTAGACCTAAACGACTCAGATGTTGCCCACAGACCTCGAACGTGCTTGCCTGAGAATTTGCCAATATTTGCTAGCACAAGATATGGCCAATAGAGAATTAGACTCAACAAGATGGCATTTCTTTTAAGATAAATTGACAATCCAATGACCTCGACTTGATCTGAAAAATTCCTTTGGGGACACACGTTTAGATTTTACCTTACGGCAGAGGCTCAATGCGCCGCGGATATCATGTACCAGCTCCCAGTCAGGAGAAAGAGGAGGAAAATCATTCAATCAGAGAAATACACACGTGTTCCATGTTCCATCAGTGTTATCTCAATTCTATCTAGAAACTCACCTGTTCCTCAAGCAGTGCGACATTGTTCTCCCACCAAGAGGTCTTTACCAAAGAGTCCCAGAAGATAATAAATCACAGACCTCTGCACAATCAAAATTTGGAAGCATTTGATTATTTTGCCTGTCATATTACGAGCATCAACTTTATCTGCGTTACGACTTCAAAAGGCACTCCAAGATGGGCTAGATGCCCGCTCTTAAGACTGATCTGGGGAAATACAACGACAAATCAACAACTAGAAAAGGGCCACAGGAAGATAAAAAAACCAAGGCCTACCCACCTAGGCATGTGTTTCAAGGTTGGTAGTATGATCATCAGGTGATCCAGGTTGAGTCCAGGACTTCAAACCCTGGAGCTTTCGCCCTTTTCACTCTTCACTGGAAGTGACCTCAATTCCAAGGTTCGAGACTTTCGTGACAGTGCTGCTTTCCACCGCTCTTCCACTTTCCGCGTTGAATCAAATGCTTGGGTTTCCGGATGAGATATACCCAATTAAAAGTAGGAGTGGGGATATCTGAAGTCCCAGAGCTCTATCGGTCTTACTCCAAGCAACCACGAAGACATGCAACACCTCACTTTCAAGACTGCCGCTAAATGCCCACTACCAACCATGGGAGTGGGTAATTCATTTCGATGGCTGCAGGATTTTAATCTATATAACTTTAGCGTCTCCTTCAGGAAAACCCCGCAAAGCCAAGCACCTCGGTCCCCAACTGCCGAATCCATAACTACCGAAGAGCTCAAATAATTCGCCAGAGCGATATACGTTAATGAGCTCGGGACTCACGGGAAGGTTCTCCGTTTCAAGAAAGTTCACTCGCGTTTGGAAAATGCATGCTTGGAGATATTCGGGCTGCAGCCCACATTCAATTTGGATATCTTGACCTACTTGACCCTGGAATGCACCGGGGATTTGAACCTTGTCACCCCGCGTTGGTAGCCCACTGGCTGGTATGTAACGTTATATGTGACTTCATTTCAATCGAGTCACCCGGTGCTCCATTGCTCGAGCTTTCTTAACTTTTTGTTACATTTAGACCGAGGCTATAGGATATACACCGCCTTGGGGTGCATTGAGACGATGCCAACACTGCTGAATTTCCCCGCAATTTCTTAGCCACTGCATACGATTTCCAACTATGGCGTACGCTAGTCGTCTGAAGGCCCTTGGAGAGGGACCTGCTGCACCCATACAGCAGTTTGTACTTCCTTGAATATTTCAACCAACCTATTCAAAACAAGAAGTTTCACATCATAGGGAGGTCCCTAAGAAAGCTTTCGCTCTGCAGGTGGAAGTTTTTCACATTGAATGTGTGAGATGAAGCACCATCAATGTTGAGACATGCAGATGCCCAGCTATCGGAGCCATCGCCGCCGCATGACTTGTCGATACTAAGAACGCCAGGACGGGGCCTACCAAATCGGGCATGAGTGCCCAGGTGGACTCAACATGCATCGAAATGACTTGGCTACATATCGAATCCTTGGATTTTCCCTTGAGGATGCAACGATGTGTGAGATTTGACACATGCCTTCAGGATTTTCTCGGCGTGGGTTAAGTCTCAGCTCGGCATAGTTGGAGGGTTCATGAACCTCGGGGTATATAAGGAGCAGAGCGACCAGCCCTGGATTGTTTCTTTCTATCACAGAAATCCGCAGACATCTCTCTGATTCCCACTTGAATCTGAGTTTGAACTTGGAAACTTGAGGATTCCATAAATACGGCGAAGATGATGTTCAACGGCTGCAATGTGCTTCTGGGAATCTCTTTGATTGCCCAAGCCTTTGCGATCCCCATCCTGGAGCCACGAGCTGTCCTGGGTATGTTTATCCATTCTCCCGAGTCGAAGGAGACCAGATACACCGAGAGAAGATTGTACTGACTTCAAAAAAGACACATCTGCTTTTTCGGACCTTCGTCGTTCGGCTCAACTTTCTTCTGCTGCCTACAGTGGTTGCCGCGGGACTGCATTTGATGTGACTATCACGAAAACCATCCGTGATGCTCTGACAGACACCGATGTTAGCTTGACCTATTGTTTTTGGCAGTACTCAGGGCACTGACTTCTCCAGGGATACATTGGCTATTCGGATAGCAAAAAGACCATTGCCGTTGTGATGAAAGGATCCACTTCTAGTATGTTCCCGTCATTGGAGGAGTTGAGGTCAACAGTCCTGACCGAACTAGTGATCGACATTTTGAATGACATTGACACTACTCTTGTGACGCCGTCTCTCTCAGGAGTCAACTTCCCCTCCGGGGTCAAAATCATGCGCGGAATTAATCGGCCATGGTCTGCAGTACATGATACCGTCATTGCAGAAGTCAAGGCACTCATTGCCAAATATCCGACTTACACTCTAGAGGCAACTGGTCATTCCCTTGGTGGTGCTCTCACCTATATCTCCCACGTTGCCCTTGCGCAAAACTTCCCAGGTAAATCGCTGACTAGCACGGCTCTCGCTGCGTTCCCCATCGGCAATTCCGCGTGGGCCTCCTTCGCAAGCTCCCAAAGTGGTACCATGAAGCGTGGAAATAACGCTTTGGACGGTGTTCCCGTAAGATGTTGCTGAAACTCTCAAATCCTCACCTCTGCTGACCTAGTCCACAGAACATGTATGTGAGCGGACTGTTCAACTTCCAACACTACGGCACCGTGAGTAATACCACTAAGCTTTGTATAAGCCCTTCTGACCTTTTATAGGAATACTACAGCTCTGGATTGTCACTCAACACTTTCAGATGCTCAGGTCAACGCGATCTCCTTTGCTCGGCTGGTAATCTCATGTACGGTGTTACCGTTGGTCATTTCCAAAGCTTTGGCATTACTATGGCCCTCGCTGGTTGCAGATGAGCTATTGTGTCTCTTGTATGGATATGCTAGCAACCTTTTGTCTCTTCCGTACATAGGAGAAGGCGCACTTTCTCTCTCAAGCGGAGGGGTTTTGCTGTGGCTCGTCGGCCATCCAACATGGTCAACACCACAGTGGTTATTTTGGTAGCAAATCTATATCATTCAGATTTCCCAGACTTCTCATTGTATGCTGTCGATAATAATAATATACGCATGATGCATCATGAAGTCAATATCTCGACTTGGCCCATGTGCAGTGAGCAGTAATCCCGACCCTTCGCAACATGGGGACATCAGTGTTCATGTGTCCGGACACACAACTAAAGAAACATGTAGTCTGCCCCGGTGACTCCCAAGTCAGTCACACCTGGGCAGTCACGTTTGATATCACCTGACCTGCGCAGTTAAAACCCCCGCATCGTCCGCTTACCTTTCCCCTTCTACGCCTGCTCGAGTTGACAAATCCTCGCTCTCAGAATCGCTATAGATTCTCGAGCGCAAAGCAATCCTGGGACTGTGATTCCTCGTCTTTTGAATAAGAGGGAAATTCGGTTGAGGAAAGCTTCCCCGGCTCACATGTTTCCTGCCCAGGTGTGCATGGTCAGCAGCGTCAATTAGTCTCTCCTTTGACCAACTCGTATCATTCATTCCAGTGGGCATAGGCTCATATGGTTGCCACCGAACATTAACACCAGGTACCCTTTGACTAGTGCTCTACCATTTTGTTGTTATGTTCAAACGCTCCTTCATATCCAAGGACCGGGCGGGAAAGACCGTCAGGGTTGCTAAGAAGAAGTACGACGATCTGGTCAAGCTCCAGATGAAGCAGAAAGCGGAGAGCCCATCGATTGCAAGGTAGAACCGACTCTATGGCCACAGTGGACCATATCGATATGATCGAGCTTGCTGACGCAGTTGAGAAGCCCTCTGACTAGTCCCATCATATCCATGATCGTGGGCCGAGACCAGAGTGTGTTCGCCGCGCATGAAGATATCCTTTCTGCGTCGCCGTATTTCCGTGCCGCTATCAAGGAGCAATCCCAAGAGAATGGCGATAAGCAACTGACGTTGCCTGAAGAGTAGTGTACCATCCGAGCAACGGACAGACAAAAGCTCATGATCGAAACAGAGAACCCGAGATCCTGTCGTGCGTTCTCGAGTTCCTATACAAGGGGGAATATTTCCCTCGATTGCTGCTCGGGAAGCATCGACATTCAGCATCTCTCGAGGACGCCCAGGATCCCACGCAAACTGGTGGTCGCGGATCCAGTGAAGCAACAATCTTTCATCCCGAAGTTGGAGACCTTGTTCTTCGGGATACTGTGATCTACTGCGCTGCCGAGAAATACGGCCTGGAAGACCTGAAGCAACTTGCTCTGCGGAAGCAGGGGTTGCAAAGCGGTATTCCGGCCGATGTGATCTTGCGATCTGCTCGATATGCGTACGATCATACCCCTGACACTGACTCTCGACTGCGTGCCCATTATCTGGCGGTGATCATCCGAAGCCGGAAGATCTTCAAACAGAGTGGGACATTGCAGATGGAGATGGAAGAAGGGGGGAAGTTGTTCTTCGACTTGTTCGTGGCAATGTGTAACCACATAGATGACATCTCCGAGCGGTATGTTCAATTCTTGACTCCGAAATTCAGAAGATGTCTTTGCTCATGTCAACTAGTACAACACGATCGCCGAAGTTCTTCTAGGTGGGATCTGATTTACTGGCCCCAACTGAGGTCATGAATCAGAACGCGAACAGTCAGGCTCCTGTTCGGTTTGAAAAAAACGACAGATTTCTGCATTTGTCTGAATTCTTGATCACCTTTCACTTCACTCGAGGTCGGCTGCACGTTTTGGTCAAAACGACCGTACTTATTTTAATTGGATATCTGGCGCAGTGATTTCCGACGAACCAGTTCACATTCCTTTGTGAGAGGATCTTGCCTCTTTCTGCTTCCAGCATCTTAACTTTGTCGTGGTATGCGGCTTGCGCCGAGCAGTGGAGATGAATATGTTTATGCCAAGCTAGTAGCGCATCCCTTGTGCTTGTATTGTCAGATACAAACCTTGAATCAATGAATCGGCCGCCTCAGATTTGCTATTGTAGTGCATGAGTTCAGGACTCATGTAGTAGCTAGAGGCTTTAAGGTTGAGATCAAGACCCTTTAGGGTTATCTACCTAGGTAGCTCCCACCTGGGCATCTGTGTATTTCATACAGATCTGCTTTCCAAGGTTATGAACAGGTAGACTCAAATGGCATTGAGTATGCTAAGTATATCTGAAGCAGCGTGGAAAATACAATCCTCTTGCATAAATATTCCAAGGTTTGTCTTCCAAGATTGTAGAACATAACAAACCGCCAACATACAAAGAATACTTCTCTGGGTTGTCAATGGGATATAACAAAAATTTGCTTGACATGCATTTGGCATTCAACAATACAATACTAGGTATAGATCCATGGCTCTAAACCCTGGAGACCTGAGGGTATGCCTACATAGGTACAGCCATTGCAGGTTCCGAAACAACCAAAGTTGGAACCTTGCAGTAGCGCATATATGAATGGAAATTACTGGCTTACATGTCTATAAGAGGATGCAGGTGACTTTCAATATTTTTGATTTTTCATTCCCGATTTTTCATTTCCTAGATACTTTACCTGTCATCTCAAAGACTCAGTGATCGTGAGAGAATCGCGAATAATAATAATAAGACGGCATTTCCATATCCCCCAACCGCCATGAAGAGCTGCAAACTAGTCTCCCACCAAGAGAACCATATTAAAGATCAAAGAGTCTGTCCACCGTGATAACTTGAAGCTCATATGAGAATATCCTGATTCCTGAAAGCATCCATGCCAACCTTAGAACGGTCAGCTGTAAATCGAAAGAGTAAAGACCGGAGACTAGAGAGAGCCATGCGAAGCTTGTCCGTGCGTGTATGAGAAGAATGAAAGGCTGGATTATTTGGCTTCAGTAGCCTCAGTCGCAGGGACGGTCTCGGTCTTGTCGTTCTCGGCAGGGCTCTGTGCATCGACAGCATCCTTGGCAGGCTCATCACCAGTCGTCTTGCTAGCATCGGCGCCTTCGGCCAAAGTGGGGGCTTGAGCAGCAATAGCAGGCTCAGCAGAATCCTTCGAAGCAGCCTTCTTGCGGCCGTTGCCCTTTGCCTTTGGCTTTGGCTTGGCAGCAGGCGCGTCGTTTTCGTGGGTCTGGGTGTCACCGGCATCACCCGCCTCGGCAGGTTCTTCAATTGCCTTGGTCTTAGCCTGTTTCGCGCGCTTTCCCTTTGGCTTTGCAGCAGGCGCATTGTCTTGATCATTGTCCACCTCGCCAGCTTCAGCTGCCTTGTCTTTGGTCTGCTTTGAAGCGCGTTTCTTGCCCTTAGGCTTATCAGCGGGCTCATCATCCTGGTCGTTGCCCTTCACCGTAGCTTCATCGGCAACCTTGGCGGTAGCTTGCTTTCGACCGCGAGGGCGACCAACATTGGCAGCCTCTGAAGACTTCTTACCAGCCTTGGAGGAATCATCGTCTTCGGTGGTCTTGTCTCCTTTGGCCTTCGCGGACGAGTCTGCCTTGGGACGGCCAGCACTCTTTTTCTGGGTCGGCTTGGGTTCTTCGGCATCAGGCATCTCCGAGTCACTGTTGTGTTCAGATTCCGGCTCGATGACTTTCTTGGGAGCACGGCCTCGCTTCTTGGGCTGATTTTCAACAGTCGCATCGGTATCAACCTTCTTGGCACGAGCGTTCTTCTTGGGCTCGGTGGTAGCCTCCTCGTCGGACTGAGCTCTCTTGGGGCGACCGGGGCCACGCTTTTTCTTGGCAGGCTCGTCTTTCTCAGCAGCATCTGAAGCTTCGGCTTCGCTGGCACCACGCTTCTTTCCAGTAGCAGAGGACTCCTGAGCCTCTTCGCCTTCCTTCTCCTTTGTCTCCTTGGCTTCCTTAGCCTGTAGGCACATTAGATCTCTGTGTGACAGGCAAACGTAAAAGAAACACATACAGCTTTGGCGGCCTTTCCCTTCAGGCGCATCCCTTTGGCACCCTGGCGGTTGCATTCAAGATCCTACAATGTGTCAGCTCCAGCTCCCTGCGACCATGGCCCCCACCCTCGCAGTAGTGCTCCATGGAAACACCCATCCATGAGTTGCGATTCATTGTACTTACACCGCGCCATTCATCATCCTCAATGTGCCCGACACTCAGAGCCTGAATGACCTTATCCTGGTGTTCTTTGGGCAGGTCCTCCCAGCCATCAAGCATCTCGTAGTTCAAGCCCTCACCCTCTTCGCCCTTGATCGATTCACTCATATTCTCAATCATTTTAGGAGTGAAGCAGCCCCTAGTCACAGTGAGCATCTCGTTTTGGAAGTAGTGTGCGGACATATGCAGACGTACCAGTGCCGCCAACTCCAGAACTGACGAGACTCGGTATCAACCCATGAGCCGATACGGAGCTCGCCCTTTGCGATCTTGACATGTTCATCCTTGCACTCTTTGGCCTGGCAGCCTGCACGGGCCGACTTAGCCAGTTCTGAGACCAGTTAGCTGTCGATCGCTCAGAGACCTTTGCAGTGAAACAACATAGCGAACATAGAACCGTTGCTTCAAACAACCACAACAGGAGACATTGGCGTGGGCGCGGTTGCGGTTAAGGTAACCTCGGTCGCGCGTCCTAGCCAGTTGTCGCCAGTTGTCACCAGTCGTGACTCGCGTCGACAGAACACGTGGGATCTCAAGACAATGATGTATAACACGAAAAACACGAGGAGGGAGGTCACCTACCGAAACGGTATGGCATTTTGCTCACGCGTCGTCGTGATGTAACGAGTCGTCGAAAATGTAGAGTGGTGCGAACGGATACTTTTCCAGCGTGAAACGACGCTATTTATCGACAGGAAGATGGACTCGCGCTAATTCAAAATCGAATGACAACTAAAATGTGCAAAAGCGAGTGAAAGCAAAGTGCGAGGCAAGTGAAGTGCGAGTCCAGTAAAATTGGTATCTTATCAACACTCGAGGACGAGTGACGAGCATGTGATTTTTACGAGTAAATCTTGATTCTAGGACAATACTTCGAATGAATTAGTCCATACCCTTTATAGAGATACTCGAGTTGCAATGAACAGAACAGTTGAACAGGACAGTCGAGTTCCCTTGATACCGCTAACCGGATGTGGTTAGACCTTTTCTTCGCATGGCACTTCAAACAGTCCACGCTACACTCACAGTCGCATCCACTGAACTTGCCAGCACAATGTCCGAACCAGGTCCAGAATCCTTTCCTACGAGCGCCGACCCGCGCAGCAAGCGCCCTACCAAGCGTCGCGCCGTGACTCCACTCTCCGAACACGCGAACCAGATCGAGACTCTCTTCAAAGACCCCAGCAAAGATATCAAGCTTCCAGAATCATCTACACAACGATCGTCGTCGCTTCTTGCGCCACCTGAGATCGTCACAAATGTTCAAGGCTCGTCCGCAGGTGCGGGCTCCGGTGAATTCCACGTGTACAAGGCCAGTCGGAGGCGCGAATATGAGCGTCTGCGCATGATGCAGTCGGAAGTGGACCAAGAGAAGGACAATGCTAGCTGGGAGAAGGAGCGCGCAGAGGCCAAGCGCAAGGATGACGAGAAGACCGACAAGAATCGCCGGAGGCGTGAGAAAAAGAGGAATGCCCGGGGCAAGAAGGGCGACAAGATGGACGCAGCGCCGACTGCTGGGCCTGCACCGGGGACGATGGTCAGCGCAGAGGGGGAGAATGGAGCCGCTTCTGGCGCCGCTGATGGCCAGCCGGCGCAGGAAGTTCCCGGGGTCATTATCCACGACGACGATTGAATGGAGAATCTACTGCGGGCAGTGTGCGATACAAAGATACCCATCCGGAATTGTTGAATCGAGGATATTCATACAGAAAGATAGCCAAGAGGCAAATCGTGTAGCATTATGTACGGACCTCAAGTCCAGGATCATTTTTCTTTTTCGTCTATCAATTATTCCTCGCCGCCACCGCCGCCGCTGGCAAGCTGCTGGGCGGACTTGCCGCTGCAGATGTCGTCGACACGGAGGAGCAGGCATGCAGACTAGAAGCAGGAACGTCAGTAGATGATAAGGCGTGTGGGGACGGGGATCGCTTACCTCGACAGCAGTCTTGATGCTCTGGAGCTTGACAGCCTCGGGCTCCCAGACACCATATTCCTTCATGTCGACAAGCTTGCCGGAGTCACCGTCCAGACCCCAGCTGTTGTGGCCCTCAACGTGCTTGGCACGAAGTTGGGTGAGCACACGGATGGGGCTGGCACCGGCGTTCTGGGCCAATGTACGGGGAATGACCTCCATGGCGTCCGCCACGGCCTTGTAGGGCCACTGCTGGACACCCTCGACGGAGCGGGCAAGCTGGCTCAGCTTCACGGAGACAGCCATCTCCACGGCACCACCACCGGGGGAGAGACGAGGGTGGAAGATCACGTTGCGAGCAACGGACATGGCATCCTGCAGGTTGCGCTCGACCTCGTTGAGGATATCCTTTGAGGGGCCGCGCAGCAGGATTGTGCAGGCCTTCGGGGACTTGCACTTGCGCATGAATGTGAAGTACTCGTCGCCAATCTTCTCAATCTCGAACAATCCACACCCAGTACCGATATCAGATTCCTGGATGTCGTCAACGCGGTTGACGATGGTGGCACCGCTTGCACGAGCGATACGGTTGTTGTCGGTCTTTCGCACGCGGCGGAGGGCTGTGATGTTGGCCTTCATCAGGAAGTGCTGTGCGAGATCTAGAGTTCAGTAGTTAGTATATGCAGCATAATGATAAGATTCCACAGCCAGATTACTTACCGGAGATACCCTTCTCGGTGATAACAACGTCAGGCTTGAAAGCAAGGACAGCCTCGCACATGTGCTTAACTTGCTCCTCCTCAATCTGGAGAATGCGGTTCCAGTCGTCCTCCTTGGAGATCTCAATGTTGGTCTGAGACTCGCCCTTCTTGTACTCCAGAGGGCAGTCGAGCAGAAGGATGCGGGGGTTTTCGATTCTGCGGCGCATCTTGGGATGCGTGATATCCTTGTTGACCATAACACCGTCGATGACCTCGGAGTCTTCGATCTGTCCACCGGGGATCTTCTCAACACGGGCGTAACGCTTGATGTCGACTTCCTGCTTGCCACCACCAACGTCGAAAGAGACGGTTCGCACAGCGCGCAGAGCCAAGCTGCACATGAGCTCTGACCACCGGGACACGAACTTGGTTCCGATGGAAGACTGGATGAGAGAGTACATGACCTTGTCGTCGTTGATGTCGACGGGTTTGGAAACCTCCTCCACGATCTGGAGGGCATCGGCGAGGGCACGCTTGAAAGCCTGGATAATGACGACGGGGTGGATGTTGCGTTCGAGCTGGGGGATGGCCTGGGCGAGCATCTCACCGGCTTCCAGAAGTCAGTACACAGCCACACGGTGGTTCAGGGTATCAGTTCTCATACCAAGGATGATGACTGTTGTGGTTCCATCTCCAACTTCCTCATCCTGGGTACGGCTGAGCTCGATCATGCTCTTGGCCGCAGGGTGCGACACCTCGATTTCTCGCAGGATAGCGTGTCCATCATTGGTCAGGACAATACCACCCATAGGGTCGAGCAGCATCTTCAGCATGGCCTTAGGTCCGAGACATGAGCGGATGATATCCGCAACACTGGTGTTTATTAGTATCCAAGCGGGCTGGCGACGGAGGATCGAGGGGTATCGTACGTCTTAGCAGCGGTGATGTTGGACATCTGCGCTCTGCGGCCGACCTGGCGCTCGCCGGAATTGGTGTCTGGGTAACATGTTAGCAGGTTAAGGGGAGCAGATGGATTGGGGGGTAGCGTACTCATCACCACCACCGGTGCCTGCATATCGGCGGTTGTGTAAAGTGAATTGGGGGGAGGATAGGGGTATGCGAGTCTGATAATTCACTTCCGAATATCAAAGAGTACTCCGCGAAGATGACTGATAATCCAGGAGTTCCGACTTCAACGCTGTTCGCCCGCATTCCATCAAATTTCCAGGCGAAGTGGGAGCTCCCTCACGCTAGGCTAGATGTGGTTAGCGTTTACCCCTGATAAACCAGGCAACCATCCAACTATATTTCCACTCGCAAAGTACATTACAGTAGGTTGGTATCTGCAGGTTGGGATAGGCCTATTTCATCACTGGGATGTGTTCATTTCTGAAGAGTCCTGAGTGGGATCATAGTGTACAAATGAGACGAGTCTTGACAGCACTGCAATCTCCAACTTCAGCTTGATAGTGTAGAAAAATGTCTTGAGGACAGTCTGAATAATGAACAGTCCAATAAACTCGATCACAATGAGAGAAATGTCCATGAGAATTATGGCTAGGTTGATCACCAGAAGCTGGTACATGATGTCGGTCCTTCGCTTGCTTCTCGTCGGGTAACTGCGTAACAGATTGACGGTTTGTACAATGAAGATACTTGAGATCACAATTTCTTGGACAAAGAACCCTGTGAGCTGAACCTTCTCCCAGGTGTTGAAGAATGGACCAAAAGCAAGATGGCATGCGTATATGACCCCATAGGAAGCGATAATCTGAGGGACTTGCAGGATAATGGCATCGACAATGATCATTGCCAGGACACAGCGTAGGATCCTTTGGTCACGGAGTATGAGATGTAGCCGGGAGTATAGAACCAGCGATTGCCCAGTCACCATGATAGCCCAGCCCCCTGTGGATAATGTGACGGGTATCCAGATAGGCGCCAGCTTGAAATACTTCAAAAGCAGGCCTAACGCATCGGGAATCACGCCAAGCAAGGCCGTGATCAGGAGACTCCAGAAGTATAGTCCACTGTAGATATGAAACATGGAAAACACCAGGACTATGAGCTCCAGTGCGCTATACAGGGCTAGCCCGAGAAGGGCTGCAATGGTAGCCTGAAGAGCGAAGCTGTTCCCAGTGTATGAGCCGACGATTCCATCAACGGGGGCAGTACATTGGGGCATCTTGAGAATTGGACTCAGATACCAGCACTCTGAGATTCATTTTGATTGTTGAGAATGAGAATCCCGGGAGAGAGTTCAGATGTCGTCAGTATTGTCCATTCCACGTGACGGACGAAAGGTTCCGTGTTTTTTTCACTTTGTCGTATATTGTGTATTTGAGTATTGTTTGTTCGATTGATGGGATATACTCCTGGAATTTTGTGGTCTTGGACTGCATTTACTCCTTGCATATTGGCCGAATTACCCGGCGCCAAAGTGGATGATAAAGCAATCAGGAGCTTGGCAACGTTCCTGTACTACTTGCACTACATCCTGTCCCAGTGAGCTTTCAGGTCGGTGGCTCTCTGCACGTACATTTCCAAATCTCCGAGTCCAACCTTGAACCTTGGAGGTCCAAGGGATGCCAAGGTTGTGCTTTAGGGCTCATATCATACATCTCTTTTATTAATCAATTCATGAAGCAATTGAGCTATTAACCAACATATAGACCTGGCCAGGTGTCTAAGGCGTTTGACCATAGTGTCCTGTGCTGTCATGATCGATGATATTGTACACATTATTCAAATTCTCGGCTCTCGCCAATTTCGCACACGTCAAACACCCCTTCCTCCGGAATGTCGTGTTTCTTCAAGGCCTCCTTGAGTTTTCGAGGAGGCTCCAGAACATCTTCCTCAGTCAGCACCCAAGTACCCCAGTGCATGCCCAATGCATTCTTGCACTTGGTGTCTTTGAACATTCGAACAGCATCATGGGGATCAGCATGAGCTGCGCTGAAGATATGGCGTGGCGCATACGCCCCAATAGGAATCAGGCCTAGATCAAACGGCCCGCGGAACTCGCCAACTTGTTTGAAAGCAGGACAGATTGGGAAATCGTACTTGGGATCATAATCGTCTTCTCCATCGGGCACCTCGTCCACGGATCTATATCCAGAATCACTTAATTCGGGTCAGCAGTGATACCAAAGCTGCGTATCCGCAAGTTCAAATCCTCTTACCCTGTGAAGTATACTTTGCGGCCACCAGACTCAATAGCCCAGGACGCCCATAGGGTCTTGTATTTGTCGAAGGGGCCACGTGCAGTGATATGCTGGCAGGGCAGGCAGCTGATACGCGCTTTGATGTCAGCATCGCCTGGAGTTTCGCCCACTAACTCGACCTGTGAGCCCTTTTGGTCCTTGGGTGACATTGCAATGTCACGCTCATCCCACCAATCCAACTCTGTGACATTGTGGATGCCCGAGCTTTCAAACCACGCCTTATTGCCGAGGGGCGCAAAGAAATGGCAATTGGGGTGTCTCTTTGCGATTTCGGAGACTGTAGGGTAGGACAAATGATCATAGTGGTTGTGTGAGATTACTACCGCATCAATGATGGGCAGGTCCTTGATCTGGCAAGGAGGTTCGGTGTAGCGCTTCGGTCCCAAAGTGTATGGGCCACAGCATGGTCCGCAACGCGCTTCAAACACTGGGTCAAACAGAACCCGGAGGCCGCTCGGGAATTCCACATAATAGCATGCATGCCCCAGCCAGGTGGACCGAAGCTTGGGTGTGTCGCGAGTGGGGAGAAATTGTGGTTTGCGGACAGTGACAGTTGGGGGCGTGGTGTCGGGGGAATTGCCTTTGCCGCTCAATCGGCGCGAACTATGATCGCAAGTCAGACGCGCATTGCCAGGGGGTTGGGGTCGATGTACATCATCATTTGCATGATCTCTGAGCTGCTCAGATCGCGAAAGGATCTATGCGCAGGTTTGTTAGCCCTTGCGACGACGTGCTGACACGGCTAATGTGCAGTTCTTGACTCACGCCCAAGGGTTTCGAAAGCCCGTTTTCGTATGGTGAGTCTTTTCCAACACATCCTCTGGGCTAGGTCTGGTTGGCGCGTTGCCAACGGTTAGTGCATATAGCACTTCATTTGCAGCTGCGGTGTTCATATTGCGAAGTCTCGGGTGGAAAGGACGTGAGAGTGCCCGGGAGAACGGGACACGAGAGGGGAAGCGCATGGGAGGTCAGGTCTTAAAGCCAGTCAAGACAAGGCATAAGCTTATGAGCTGTCGGAGGCTCGAAGCAAAAGCCCTGCTAAACCCGATAACTCCGTGGCCCCCCGAAAGATGTCCCGAGAGTGTCGGACAAGGACTCCGTTTCATGTCCGTTCAGAGCATTTGGAGAGGCATGTCTAGAGTCTAGACGTCAAACATCTGAACAGGGAATCTATCGGACATCTGGATCTGATGGTGATTAGCTGGTTCCTTTGACCGCTTTTGCCTCGGGGAGTCGTGGACGTTACTACATAGGTATGTATACGAGCTTCCTGTACCGAGAAAAAAGAAGTTTAGATATGTAGCCAGTCTCCAAGCATGGCTTTTCCGTGACTTAGTCTAGTTAGTCTAAATAGTCTAAATGCAACTATGCAGACTACATAGGTATGTAGACTATGTACGAAGAGACACGGCGGGCGGGCAGTAAAAGCCGATAACTCCTTATCGCTCGTCCGAATTGGATCTTCACGACACTTGTGATTTGGGCATGGAGCCAAATGCAGTCCCGAGTGCGCCATCGCCATCGGCAGGCGACTTGATTCTACAGCAACGAGCCGAGGCTCTTCAATCAAAAGGCGATGGATCTCTCCTGTCTCAACTGACCAGTAATCCCTTGTTCACAGCGGTACGCGATCTAGCCCCGATCTTTCCTTCACAAGTGTACGCTGACAATTCTCGTATTCATAGGGCTTTGGCCTCGCAGGACTGGGGGCTGGACTGACTTTCGCACAAAAAGGCGTCCGACATGGCGCAGCTCTTCTCCGCAGGCGCATGCTAGTGGACGTGGAGATCAGCATCAAGGATGATTCCTATCCGTGGTTCTTGCACTGGATGACACTGTACCAGCAGTCTCAGCTGTCTGCCACCAAGGCTGCAGCGAACAGCACCAGCTACATGGACCGGTTCCTTCAAAGACTCACACCCGGCATGCGCCACCTCTCGATCCAGACACAGAAGCTCGAGCACTCGAACGGGGCAATCCACACCCATTTCTCGCTGGTTCCCGGTCCTGGAAAGCATGTTCTACGGTATAAGAACGCGTTCATCTTCGTGAATCGTATGCGCGAGTCAAAATCCCGCGACATCCAGACCGGAAAGCCATGGGAGACGATTACCCTGACTACCCTCTACTCCCAGCGCCACATCTTTGAGGATCTCTTCACCGAAGCCCATGCCTATGCCGCTAAATCGCACGAAGGCAAGACCACAATCTATAACAGCTGGGGAACGGAATGGAAACCGTTTGGAAACCCCCGTCGGAAGCGTCCCTTGGAGTCTGTGATTCTACAGGAAGGGGTGAAGGAGCGTATTGTGGAAGATGTTAATGACTTCATTGAAAGCTCGTCGTGGTACCATGACCGTGGCATTCCGTACCGCCGAGGATATCTTCTGTACGGCCCTCCTGGCACAGGCAAGAGTTCATTCATCCAGGCGCTAGCGGGCGAGTTGGACTACGACATCGCCATTCTCAACTTAAGTGAGCGGGGGCTGACAGATGACCGGCTCAACCATCTCCTCACGATTGTACCCAACCGCACACTTGTCTTGCTCGAGGATGTGGATGCGGCATTTTCGAATCGTCGTGAACAAAGCGATGCCGATGGTTACCGGGGCGCCAACGTCACCTTCTCGGGTCTGCTCAATTCCCTGGATGGTGTCGCGAGTGCGGAAGAGAGGATCATCTTCCTGACCACCAACCATGTCGACCGCTTGGATGAGGCCTTGGTCCGACCTGGCCGTGTGGATATGACCGTTCGCTTGGGCGAGGTCACTCGCTACCAGGTTGGGTGCCTCTGGGATCGATTCTACGCCGACATCGATACCGACGGGCAGTATCGCGCGGTGTTCTTACACCGGCTTCAAGAGCTTGGCTTGATCGAAGATGAAGCAGGCAACAAGGCCGATCCTTCTTTGAACGCCAGTGCCGCAGCTCTCCAGGGATTGTTCCTCTACAACAAGGGGAACATGGAGGGTGCAATCACCATGGCTGAAGGTCTCACCTATAGTGCCCACACTGAGGCGCTGGGCCAGGATCCCAAGAGAGACTAGATGTACACTATGTAAATAATAGAATGTATAAAACTTGCAAATTGCCCGAGCCGGGGACTCGGAGTTCTCAGACCTCGGGAAGAGAGGCTCCCGACTCGGGATCACCAAGGGCAAATCTCGGGGATTTACATAGATCCACCTTGAAACATCATTTCTCTCACCGACTGTGGGATATTTAACTGCCAGACATCGTAGCCCCTCATTCCCCCTCCATATTCACCCCGCACCTTCACACATCATGGTTTACACAATCGTCGTTCGTATGTACCTAGTAACCTTCTACATCTGCACATCTGCGGGCCTTCGCGCTAACTGCACTAGATCTCCGCGCCAAGTCGGATGAGGAGTCCATCTCCAAGCTCAAGGCCAAGCTTGTCGAGGCTTCCAACGTCTACTCCAACGACAAGGAGACCATCTCTTGGTTCGTCATGCAGTCTGTCTTCGACAAGCAGGACTTCACCATTGTCGAGCGTTACGAGAAGGAGTCTTCGCAAGAGTACCACCTCAACAACCCCTACTGGAAGACCTTCGACCCCTACGTGATCCCTCTGCTCGAGAAGGATATGGACATGCACCGCCTGGAGGAGCTTGAGGGCTCTACTATGTAAAGCGCTAGATGTGGCATACATAAATATCAAACCGAATTGCACATACCCATTTCAATTCTCCCTGTCTGCGACCTCGAAGTGAGAATCAGAAAATTCAGTGAGAAAAGGTTTGGTCGACCAATGAGTCCGAAGTATAGCCTTGGCAGCGGAATGCCAAGAGTCTCTCCCTCAACTGCACGAGGGACTATGAATGGCATGAAGAAACCAGGATGCTCAATCGATACTGCACTCAACTTCTTCAGCCAGAATAAACGGCCAATGAAACGGGACAGCTGCGATAATTATAGAATTCCCCGGGTTGCAGCGCCAATCACCTAGTCCCATCGAAGCGCCGCTACTGCACTCCGAAGTGACCAGCCCAGGATCACGGCCAATCACATCCAAAATCGGTTAAGCGCCCACTCTATACGCAGGGTTGTCACACTGTCCGCAATGAACTCTGCTTTGGGCGTGGAATCGGTGAGCATGGGCTATATCTCACTCACGACCCCCCTGTTGAGGTGTTTCGTAATATTTTTTGTTTCCATGCCCTGCCTTGAAGATGAATCAATTTCAACTATTCCCACCGCCAACTCCGGAGGCCAAGAGATCCAATAACCCATTTCGCAAGGGCAAGAAACCTGCGAGTGCCGAGCCAGAATCCCCAATACCACTCCAGGAGATGAAAGACCCTGGCAACACCGAGTCCCTATTGCTTCAGATCATCGAAGACACGCAAGATATCCCGCCGCCACCGCCTGGAAATGCTGAACGAACGAAGTCTCCGCCTGCTGGAGCGGGGGCTTCCCATGATACGAGGCTCCCGCAGCCCATGCACAGCCAGAATCGTCAAGCCAAGAGGTCGAATCACCATGCTTTGCCCTCACATGGTAGCCATAGCAGCAATAGTAGCAGTCAGACCACAGCTTCCACGGTTTCACCACAGTCTTCTCAGTCTTCGGTGTCGCCAGTTCCAATGAGATCAATGTTTCCTCAATTCGACCCCAAATTGCCGCTCAATCAGCAAGCATACCAGTCACAGGCGCCGATTATTTTACAGCCTCCACCTCCGAGAAAGACCCGGAAGCCCCCGAAGCTGACCTTGTCGACAGGCGCCGAGATCGATCATGTTCTCGGGCCGAAGACGGTCCCTGCGAGTGTTTTCAACTTTCCCAGTGGGGGTATAGGGTCTGAAGAAATTGAATATTCTTCGATCGACGAACTGAAGATGCTATGGGAAATCGCGAATGGACAACGACCACAAGGAATGGCTGGAATGCTGAACATACGAATGACAAAGTAAGGCCTCTCAGCAATCCTTCTAGGGCTAAGTGCATCCGTGGATAGTCACTGACACTTATCTAGGACTGGACCTGCAACCTTCATTCTGGGGAGCTCCCAGCAACCGTTCTATACACTGCAAACATATTCGACCGATGAGATTGCGTTGAGCAGAAGCGATCCTTCCAAGGCCAACAATGAAGTACCAATCATGATGATGAGTCTGGAAGATCGTATCCGCCGCGAGCATCCCAACGACGGACTTGTCACTCTACTCTTCTCCAGACTCGCCGCCATGCTGGCAATAGACCAAGCGGAGGAAATCAGTAAAAAGTATCATCTCACTCCTTCTGAGGCATCAGAGGTAGAGACCGACGCACTCAAACGCGCAGCAGCGCAGGAATCCTGTCGTCTATCATGGAACCGACACCAAAGACTCTACGAGCTCAGGCATCCATCCCTCTCTCGACGCCATCCACCCGCCCTAGTCGGCGCAGCTGGTATTCCACTATCACCCGTGAGATCTCAGTCTTCCGGCATGGTCCATATCACCGTTTCTGCCCCCAGCCAGGCTTCCCCCCGCCAGCCACCAACCATCATCGTCACTGGGCCAGTCTCACCAACAGCAATCGAAGCTGCACAGCAAGCAGCAAACTCGCGCACCTCCACTCTACCCCTCACAGACCAGGACGAGCCGCTGGCCACCTTGGACTTTGCCACCAATACCCTTTCCATTTCGCCGGCAGCTGTCATCGCTACTATTCCATCACTATACGCCATTGACTCCCTCATCGCAGCGATCCTAGCAGTGGCCGTATCCGATGAAGCTACCAACCCAATCCTAGCAGACATGGCCCTAGGCTCCCCCGAGCCTTCCAGGCCAAGCACGTCTCAGAACCCGGGTCCATACTCAATGCCAGTGTTCCAGGGAAAGCTAGTAACAACAATTGCCGAACGTGAAGACGCAGCAGAGAGTATGAATCTAGCGTCGCAGATCAAATCGGCACAGAAGAAATCAAAAGATAGCTCTCGTTCCAAGAATGTATTCAAATTCTGGAATCGGGACTCATCAAAGCCAAAGGATGTTCGGGACAAAAAGAATCAGCAGGTCGAGCAATTCGATCTAGAGAAGTATGGTCGCTATGGAGCTGGCTCGCGGAAGGGCGAGAAACTCCCTGGAGTTACTCGTGGCATCATACGGATACTGTTCTTTGGCTTGGATCTGATTGTCAAGGGGTTGACGCTGGTCGTCAAAATCCTGGCCTGGTTATTAGTCAAGTCGACTCGGTGTGTGACTAGCGAAAAGTTCTGAGCACGCCTGATATCTTGACGGGGACTCTTACTTGCGTTGACGTGTTGTTTTTAATTACTTTGTTCAATTCTTGGGAAGCGATTGGGGTTCCGGGCTCGAAGGTTCCAAGTCATTTCATAGGATTCGTTATACCCAATTTGAGATTTATTACGCTTATTCTGAGTTGCATCTATCAGATGCCACTTCTAAAGACTTCTTTGGAGATTTGGATTCAACATGATAAACTGCCAACTAGAGACCAGCATCTGGCTCGTTGCAAAAGCCTATAGACTCGATGTGTCTGACTTCCATGGAAATACTGAGTAATAGTTGTTGAGGGGTCTGGTGTTGCATTAGGGCTGGAGGGACCAAATAGCAAGGGCGAATACTCAGTTAAGGAAGATCACAGTCAGGGGCCGTCTGTGTAGACAAATACGAGAATGAATGCTTCTTATTTACCTGTCGGCTTATCTCCTGGATCAATTGACCAAGTCGCCTATCTTTTCCTCTGCCATTGCATGTGTCCATCCCTTCACCATGAGTCACCAAATGTTATGTATGGAAGTCAAGAAGGGGGCAGGGCCAACCAGCTTGTTACAATCTCAGTCCTAAACCAAGATTCGAAGCATGCAATGGAGATTTTTTCCCGGGTTTATGCCAATGAGCTTTCTCAGGTCGGGGATGAATGAAGAATATCATCTTCAGTACCTGCTGATCATTCCAATCATGGTGTATGCGTCTCCAGCGTACGAGTAACACCGTCATCTCAAGATCAAGACGTCACAAGTAATGGATGCGATCGCCAAAGTTTGAATGTGTGTTTACTGTACTTATCATGCAGGTGGTTAGTGTTAGATCTCTGAAGACTGCAACTAGTCACGACTCATTGGGCGCAGCTTTTATTTCTGACACAAAAGCGATACGATAGCCTTGAGGGCGAAATCAAGGATCCTCTCCTTCAGTCTCAAGGAAGGGAACCGACGATCTAAATAAAGTGCAATGGAACGATTGGGGCTGTGAAGACAGCATTCTGCGGAGTACACTCCGGAGAGGACCTAGGGATACCAAGGACGCCACAGGGACGTGATGCTCGTAACTGGCACATTCTTGTGCCATTCCAACCCAATCAACAAGGAGAGATGGACGTGAGACTTGCGAAGACCCCTGGATAAATGCCAGTGAAAGCTTGTCGTCTGCTTCAGCACCGTCCTTCTGTCGACTCCTACCCACCACGGGAATGCCTGAACGTCATGACCCCCAAAAGCCCACCAATTAGGGATCAAGGGATGCTATTTCGAAGGATTTGGTTACTGTGTAAATAGACAACGCGAGGAATTCAATAAGACTTAAAGAATCATCCATTTCGCGGCTCGTTCGGACGGGGATTTCTCTCAATACCATCTTTTGCCCTACACTTACCCGTCTGGTATCATCGTTGAACACTATCTACCGTCATATCGCACCCCAAAGCCATTCGCAATGCGTTACTTCATCGCTGCTTCTATCCTGGCCACCGGTGCCATGGCTTCAAGCGCAGCTGATTACCTCCAGTGTGCCGTAAGTAAACCGCATCCCCAGAAAGACAAAAGCTCGTATCTAACACGAACTAGAGCGCCGCCCTCAGCTCAGCCGACACTTCAGCCTTCGGAGACTGTGACAGCAAGTCCGCCCAAGAATGCTTCTGTGACAACAAAGACGCCCTAAGCAGCCTGAGCAAGGATGCCGCAACCGCCTGCGCCGGCATCGACATCAGCTCCCTCACCGATAGCCTCTGCAGCAGCTCTCGCCAAGCCGATGTCGCGCCAGCCCGTCACGCCTCCAAGCCCATGATGCTAGCCGACCCTCACAAGCGAGCCTTTGCCCCCCAGGCCGAAAGCCCCGCTTCTGCAGCCCCGGCTGTTCCTCGCGTCGTGTACGTGACCGAGACGAAGACCGATTGCAGCTGCAAGAGCACTCCTGCCCCTGACTCGAAGCTGGCACACATCTCCCAGATCCCTGTTGATGTGCCTGTCGCTAGCAGCGCCATGCCCAGTATGGCTGTTGGCTCTAGCCCGGCTGGTCACTCTCATGTCCCTATGGGCGCTGCTTCTTCTGTCGTGTTCGGTTCGCAGGCTTCAGCTGCTACTCCTATGCCCTCTGGTGCGGATCCTAACCGATACTCCTCATTCCAGGGGGCTGCGGCCCCGAGTGCTGCTGTGCATGGTGTCGCTGCTGTTGGTGTCGCCGCTGTCATGGCATTGATGGTCGCTCTGTAAACTTGAATGGGCTGTGAAAATGGTTGATCCGGATGTGTTTCTTGTTTCCTTCTTGACTTGTTGGGTATACGGAGTTTATATCGGAGTTTTGTACTGCTGGTCCGGGGTTTGTGAGTATTTTCCAAGTTAGTTGTAACGATACATGAGATAAGTAGATCAAATATGAAAGAAACTCATTTCCTATTAAACAATACGTAAGTAAAGGCTGGGCACTCGTTCCTCGTGTGCATGGCCAAAAAACAGCGTATACTTTGGCCCCATATTTCCTCGTAGCGACAGAATCATTATTTTGCAATATTCAAAGGTTGGCTTGATGTTGACCAGCCACCTTATGCGTGGACCGCCTGTTGTACTTGGGGGTACAGCTCCACAAGCTTATAATAAATGTCGGGGTGGTCATTGATCATGACCTGAGGATCCCAACCCATAGCCACGAAGATTGTCTCAACACCACTGCCAATGGGAGTCATGAAGACCTGGCAGACCTGAAGACCGATCAAGAACGCGAACGCCATAATGACAGCAGTGAAGTTGCCGTCCTTGTTGTATTCCGGCTTCGTGAATTGCAGGTACAAGTAAGAGAGCAAAGCGCAGACATAGGCGACAAAGGTCGAGCCCATGGTCAGCACTGGACCCATCAGACAGTCCTGGACAAGAGCATCGATGCCGCGGTCCCGCATCATCTTCCAAGTATCCTTGGCCGCAGGAATATACGCCTTTCCATACAACGCAATGTGACAGAAAGCGTAGCGGTTGAAAAGGGTGATGAGCCAGTCAAGCAGAGAGATAAAGCATCCCAGCACCCACATAGCAATACTGCCGATGAGGTTTCCCTGGGCAGCTTCTTGTCGCTGGGCAATGGAGCAGGCCTGGCGCATCATTTGAATGAAGGCAATGATCAGACTTCCCAGACTGATACTTCCAAATGAGTAGGTAGTGGCGCGTCGGAATGCACCACGGGTCGAGCCCTTGGGCATTCCACCCGCGGACTTGCTCCAGAAGTACCATGAGCCATACACACCGGCAATGGTAGTGTGAACAGTGTTCTTGATCCACTCGCTGACCCAGTACATCGCGAAAGTCACGTACACGACGAGACCAATGACCTTGGCTCTGCTACAGCCGCCGTCAGCACACGACGGATTAGTACCCGTGGAGCTTGGTTCGTAGCCAACATAGACCGAGACCAGAGTCACGGAGAACCAGGCGGCGAAAGCAACCGTGACAATTCCACCCAGGGCACTGACCAGGAAAATATGACCGTAGCCCCGCGCAACGTCCATCGCGGTCTGCAGCATAAATGCGGTAAATGGGATGCGCGGGATCCAACTGATGAAGCAGATAATCGCGAACACTCCGAATAGTAGGAAGACAATTCCACCTCCGTACTGCTTGCGCGCGATGTAGTAAATTCCCGTTGCGAGGGCGAAGACGATGTTGAGAATACCGGTTGCCCAAATGAAGGTTTTGGTGAAATATCTTGCGCCCATAAAGTATAGCCATGATAGGACAAGAGCGACGGCGAGCACGAAGATGAACAAGACGAGGGTATTGGTGTTGAGAGAGAAATCATTGGCCGAGTCGTAGATGCCTCCTCCGCTGAAGCCCTTGTTCGTCGCATACTTGTGGATAGTGATTCCAGAGACAGCAGCGTATCCCAGGAATACCGCGATCAGCTGTGTGAGTGTCAGCGTGTGGAACGTACATTGTGTCGCGACGCAATCATACCAAAAGACCTGCCCATAGATCATTCCACTTGGGCTTCTCGATCTTGAAGGCCTGATCGAAGCTATATCCCGACTGTGGGACATTCTGCTGGTATTCTGGAGGCGGCTTAGCTTCCACAGGCGGCTGGTACCCCGGCTGCGGTTGAAAGTTCTGTTGATATTGCGGTTGGGGCTGATAATTGGGCTGCTGGTAATTGCTCTGCCCTGTGTTGTACCCGTACGCAGACTGCTGGGGCTGGGGCTGCGGATGGGCAAAGCCCTCGTTATTGTAGTAGCTGGCAGCCTGTCCACTCATGGTGTCAGAAGTGATGTGAGCCAAATGCGCATCTGAGTTGTAAAGAAAAGAGAAAAGAAGAAGGGAAAAGGTTCAGGGGACAAAATCATGACGACATGGACCCCTGCCGGAGGAACCACGATCGCCAATGATCAGCCTTGTAGGGTCTGCGATCCCCCGATCAGTGCACTACACTAGTACTACGCTAATTTGCAGGGTTTTTCGCTTTGAGAGTGGATGCCTGCTTGGCAAAATATGTACAGATACTCTATATCTAAATGCTACCTATGTATGTATGTGTTTCAAGACGCCGAGAATGCAGTACCCATTATGATTACAGAAGACATTCTTGTCTCCATTGTGGACGTAGAGTCAGCGGAATGCATGTTGTTTCAAGTGACGCCAAGAGCCGACCACGCGGTGCTCAATCCCGGGCACCGGTGTGCGCGCACGACCGGTGAAGTCGTCGGTTCCCGAGTGGAGCTGGCCTTTGCTAAAGGCCACCGATCGTCGCAGCTTTTCTTGTCGAACAGCGGTCCGTCGTAATGCGCGAAGCTCCTCGATGCGCCCTTGCCCGACCCGATGCCGTCGCACGAAGCATTCATCTAATAGGGCGTTGGCGTCGAGCAGCTTCTTCGGGACGGTTTGTACGATTTGAAAGGCTTCCATCGGATCGGTGACGCCAAGGATGTCTCGTTCGCATGCTTTGAAGATAGCCAAAGACACCCGGAAGAAAGTTTTCGATCCTTCGTAGAAAAACACGTCCCACACGCGCAAGGTGGTTTCAAGCGGCAAGGTACCGATGAAGACCGACATGAGCCAGTTGGTCAAACCGAGTGTGATATCGGGCAAGCGAGAGTTGACGGTGAGTGGAGGCATCTTGCCCCGTCCAGACGGGGTTCCTCCCATCGCAGCGATCTTAGTATATATGCCCGGCATAGAATCCCGAAGGAGAACCATGAGAATCCAAAGGTCGATGTTGGCACCTTCAAGACTGATCTCGTGGGTTCCAGGCAGGAAGTCTGCGGCAATGATATGAAGCATCCAAAATGCCTTTTCTTCGGGGAGGAAAAGAAGGAGCATGCCTGTGATAAAATTGAGAGATTGGGTGTATCCGATCTTCGGATTATGCAAGGCATAAGCGTACAGAACTCGACGGAGAGACTGGATCATCTGAGTCTCCGTTGTGACATTGGCGTAATTTGGATTGCTGCTGCCGGAGTTCTCGGCAGGTGCAGGCGCCTCTGGTTTGAAATGAATGTTGTCGGGGAACGTGCGGTGAAGATCACGCTCGATGTGCTCCTTGTCGTCATTGCTCGCCGAGGCCATGGCCGTCTCCACAAGCTGATCATAGTGACCAGGGTTCCGGTTCAAATGCTCGTACCCGCCGGCATAATAGAACCAAGCCGCACCCCGAAATTCGGGAGGGATCCCTTTGCGCACAAATCGCTTCACCTTTGAAGACTGCGGAGGAAACTTTGCCGGCTGCGTTGCCGGGAGGCCATTTTCCTTGAGCATTTCACACCATTTGTCCCTTCGTTGTGCCATGTGATGGGAGTAGGGTCCTTTCCAAGCTTCATGCTGATCCAACGTCACATACTGTGTGGCTTTTCGGAACCCATATTCATCCCGAGCACCAACCCCAGAAAGGAACTGAGGTGGCACCAATCCGGGAATGAATACCTTGGAGGGCTGTCGTTGACGTGGTGTCTGCGCTTCAGGCACATCGGCTACTGGTGAGTCCGACGCGGCTTCAGGAGGGGGAGAGTCCGGTTTCACAGGATCAGAAGGCTCGGGTTCGGGTGGATACTCTGGCACAGTGGGTTCCAATGGCGCAAAGTCAGGCGGTGATTCGGGAAGTATAGGCTGTAAAGGAGTGGGTTCGGAGTAGGTAAGGTTTGGCGGAAATGCTGAGTCCTGCAGAACACGCTCTTGTGCATTCTGGGAAATTGAAAGATCGTGAAGCGGAAGGGGTGGAACGTCGCTCAACGACGTGAAATTTGAGTGCAACTCATCCAGGTGTGTATCGCGGGAGGGCGGGGGCGTGATTGATGGCGCTTTGCTTCCCGTGTGAGACTTTGGCGAACCGGGTTCTTCGGTCACGTCACTAAATCCGTCGAGATACATGGATATGGCATCTTCCACACTCATGCCAGTATCCATTCCATATGGCGCATCGGGGGTATCGGGAGAAAGATCCGTTATGGAGCTACTTTTTGTCAGGACACTGCTGCGTTCCGTCCCGCTGGTTTGTTCAATGCTGGAGCGCCAAGTTTCGGACGAATTGACACTTGATCGAGTTGCGCTTTCGTCGGCGGGTCCATTGGTCGGGTAGCGCGGTAGAGGCAGGCCCTCGGGGGTTAATTCCTGGGGGCGCTCGCCGGATTCTTGGGTTCGAGGCCGTCTTCCGTGGAGCCGTGAGGTGGACATCGATATGCGGAGCCCTCCTCGTGTGGGTGGAGCTTTGCGATGATTAGGCCGTTCCGTCTCGTCGTCTCGCAGCCATTGACGTGGAAGTTGTTCAGGTGGTGCGATGTGGACGGGATGGCGAGCGGTTGGTCTGGGGGGTTGCCATTCGGGCCTTGAGCCCTGCGAGGGGCCTGGGTACGCCTGGAAGGCCTGATGAGGCTGTGCTGAGGGCCACGGAGGTTGATGGTACGGAGCGGTTTGAGGAAGAGGCGAACGTGATCTTGATCGCTGACCGGGTGGTGGATGAGTTGGATAATGTGGAGATCTCAGGGCGGGTTTTGCCGTTCGCGCGGCGCGCGGATTGATAGTCAAAGGGTCCAAGTGAGGCGGATGAGGTCTGCGCCGGCCAGGCACGTCGAACTCAGCCGGAGGCGGATATCGAGAATTTACGCTTTCTGTGACCATGGCCACGATGTCGCACCCAGTTCCCGCTGGACATTGGTTATCGTGAAGTGGAAGATTCGGAGGAACGGCCAAAGACCATGTATTGAGCAGTTCACGGAGTCCACGAGTCCACGGACAGAAAGGAACGGCAATTGGAAACGAGTGAATAATAGAAACGAATGAGCAGATCACTGGGGGACAGCCTGCCAGAGGACAGTGAAAAAAAAGAAAAAAGTGAACCGAAAAAGAAACGAAGGGCGCTGAGACGACAAAATCAACACAGCCCAATCTGGCCTAGCGCCATGTGACGTAATATATAGGGGCAACTTGGAAACTGGTTCTCTCCTTCTCTTCTCTTCTTCTCTTCTTCGCTTCGCTTTGAGACAAATACCCTACGGAGTACTCCGTAGATTGGAGTGTAGAGTACGGCTGGAACTGTTCAGATAGCCGCTGTGTGGCCAAACGGACAGGTCTAACGGCGGATCGAACGGCTGGATCGCCGATCAGGGACTATTTTAGTCTTGGACTGTAATGCCTCGCAGACACCCCTGGGCATAACTACAGTGCATACTTAATCTCAGACACTTCCCCTCTTTGTTTGAAATGAGAGACACGGGGCACCTTTGAGTCGGATACCTGCTCTATCACGTTTCTGCTCCGGGTCAAGCTTGATGGCCTTGCATGTCCTTTTCTCCGATGCGTTCTAGTCGCAATCCTCGGGATGAGTCCTGCCGTACAACGATGGACAAGATCTCTCAGCCGGGCAAATGTAGGCTCTGCTGCACGGTAGTATCGGCCAATAGGGACTGTCTAAAGTAGCCGGCTGAGCGGCTCCGAAACAGACATGTCAATCAGTTCTTTCTGGACTGTCAACTTGAAATTCGAGCTCACAATCCTATGGGGAAACCCGTTGCGAGTACAGTACTTTACTCCATGCCCCGTATCGCTGACCACTCGTGAGGACGCATGAAGTACATTGACTTGTAACGGACTCTCGGTACTGCAAAGGACTTAAGATTGGATATACCCAGGGCAGCTGCATATGCATTATACTATTGACTGGTACGACGCAGCTCTTTAGCGAGGCGACCAGGCAATTCCCATGCATCCTGACAGCTGACCTCGGAAGCAGATGTACTCGTAGTGATCATATAAGTGCCCAGGTGGGACCTGGAGTATTCAAATTGCTGAGGGCGCTAATCGTACCTGTCTCTACGGTAGTTTGCAATATATACAATCACGCCGTTCCTGTACCTAGGTAGGTACTAGTGAGCCCCATGTTTTCCACCAGGGCCCAGAAGACCGAGGCCCGAACTCCCATTTTTTCGTGCTACTCGGCTGTCCCAGCTAACCCGACGGGGTTTTATCTCCGTCGCCACCTTTTCGACAGACGCGCTCCGCAAGGGGTGGCGTCCCCGCGACTCAGCGCCTCTTGGCCTGCATATTGAGGCAATGCCTTCTGAAGGCTAGCTGCATATTGGTTCAAAGTCACATCCAAGCCACGACCTTGTCCAGGTCACTGCGCATACGGAATACTCCGTAGCAGAAAGGTTCCAAATGGTGGAGACTTGACGCGGTTGAAATGCGCTACACGTTCACCCCTTTATTCTGACATATGATCAGTCTTGGCAAACGCTTCGCTGTTTCGCCTCTATGCTCCGGTGTTTCTATATTCTTGATTAGGAGCGTGGGAAGCATAACTGCACCTGGAATTTTCTAAATCGCAACTATTGCTGAAACCTGGGAAGATTGAAACTAAGACGCTAAAGCGGACATCACAAGGCAGGTCCTTAGCTCCATGAATGTGAACTCATCAGTCTCACCTTGATGTTTCTTTGCCTGACAAACCATGCATTGACGGTTTCCCACTCCGAGGTAGGGTCGCTAAGCTCAATCTATCGTCTTTGTTAAGATGTAACCCTCGGTTCAAGGAGTATATGCCTACCTTGTATCGCAGGAGTAGAGACGGGATCAGCTTATATATCTCCAGCAGACTGATGTTCTTCCCAATGCAAGTCCTCGGTCCAGACCCGAAAGTGAATGTTGCGCGTTGCATCGTCTGTTTTCTGATTTGGAAGTCAGAATCGGTCTCGGTCTTCTTCTTGAGCCAGCGCTCTGGCACAAACGATTCTACATCGTCCCCGAAAATTGGATGCCGATGTATGATCCACGGATTAGCACCGACAATCGTGCTAGCTGGTAGGAACGGGCCTCCGTTGGGGAGATGAAGTCCCTCGGCCGGTACAACTCGTTCAAGCATCAGTCCCACGGCTGGATGGAGCCGGAGGGCTTCTTTGATGACTGCGTCGAGGTACGGGAGTTGTTCTTGACTTTGCCTCCATGATACTGGGATAGATATCCGACCTTCATCTATGGCGACCGATAACTCTTGTTGTAGTATTTCAGCAACACGAGGATTCTTCAGGGTGTGATAGATGATCGCTCGGAGCGATATTGCGGTGGTGTCAGAGCCAGCATTCATATTGCTGACCGTATATGAGAAAACCTGGTTGTCATTCACAATGTTTGGGTATTCATTCTTAGCCTCCAAAAAACGGGCGAGAAAGTCTTTGTGGGTGCAATCTACTGTGTCTTTCTGATTCAAACGCTCATGCAGCCGTGCGCGAGCAAACCGAGCGACGGCCCCAGTTGGCCTTCCCCCGAAGAACTTCCTAAGAGGGTTCTTGATAAAAACATAGTCGAGCCATGGCATTTGCCCGATCTAAAAATTTATTTGGCGTCAGAGCTAATGGATATACCATGTGTCGAAGAGCTCACCTTTCCGGAATAGTCCAGCATATGCTCCAACGCGACGATAATGCCATCGATATCGCCGCCTTTCTCGAGAAACCCGAGGGACTTACCGAATGTCAGTTCGCCGATCACATCGAATGCATCTTCGTGCCGTATTAGCTCTTTTCCGAATACCGCACACAGGGTGGGAATCACTTACAGTACTGTAGCCAAGCAGAAATGTCGCAGACTTGGGCATCGGCCACAAACTCGTCTAGTTTCCCAAACAGAGTATGAATGGTCTTATCGACAAAAGGCTCAAATTCAGTCAAGTTGCTCATGGAATATGCCGATGAGATAGGTCTCTTGATAGCTGCGTGAAAATCCTCGTCGGTCGTGGTAAATAACGTCGGAGTCGGCTTCCCGTGAGCGAGTTGCTGTTGAACACGATAGAAATCTGTCTACGAGAGTAAGCAGAAAAGTCAACAGCTCTTGAAACCAGCACACACTTTCCGGTACCCCTTGTTGATACCATATATCGTTTTCAGAGCATCTAAGTTGCGTACGCTGACCACATTGGGCCCTAGTCGGACATAATCGCCATGCTTTTGATGGAGGTCGTAGAGTGTAGCTTCCGCGTGGCCATTGGCAACATCGATGAACCTCCACAGATGTGTGATCTCGGCTTGAAATGGTCCAGGAATACAGACCAGCCCGGCTTTGAAATAATTGTGGATGAAATATAGTAGAATAAGAGTGACAGTCAATATTGGCAGTGATGACCATATTGAGTTCAAGACTGCTGAAATGACGGCCATGTTCCAAGTTGTCAAAATACTTTTTTCAATGTCTGATCAAGTTCTTGATGTTCTCGTCGGGTCATCTTTCCTAGCCATGTTCGCATATATTTATATATCCCCGACCCCGAAAGACCATCATGGATGCGGGGAAATTGACTTGGATTCATGGGGTTAATTCCGCCCTGCCAACGTCCATTTTCTACCCACAGCACGATATCTGTTGAAGTTGCTCTCTTTTATGCACTATGGATAAGGATTCGAGCTTGCTTGAATTGTCTGGGTACACGTATTAGTGACCAGAGGGGTGTCCAGCCCTAATAAATGGCAGACAGAGCCCTGAGACTCTCATTCCGAGGTATATTGCGGAAACAACCCGCTGGTCGAGATAGCACAAATCCATTGTACGTTCCGAGTAATCCATTCGTCTGGGAATCCCAGGTTGATAGCTATAATCTGTATGTCTCGAGGTCAAGCTATGTGATCTAGACGATCATAAGTTAGGGATAGACCGATCTGAATGTTTCTATGAGCCGTGTTCATCTCGAGAGTCCACGGGTAGGGTTTTTGTTGAAAGGATCATGTGCCATGAGCCTCGTGTCCTGGGTAGTGTAGCTCTCAGTTAGTTCTCATTCCTCTCTCTCTTCTTGGAGCATCAATCAACTCTCTCTCTCTCTCTTCCTATGCCAGTACTAGCTATCACAACAGTTCTCAACTACGGTTATTGTACCTCTGAAGTGTAGGACCCATGGGTCCATGAAAGTGTTCCATGGTTCCATGGAAGATTCTAAACTTCCATTGGTGAGACCCATGGATCGATTAATCGATTAATCCCCCCCAACCTGCTTTCCTTGATATGGTCGAGCCTCGCTCTGTCTTGTACGATGTCCATTACAATCTCTTGATCCCCTCCGTGCTATCTGGAACGGGCCCATTGCCCCAACTGGTGGTTGCACTTACGATCCTAAGCGTGCTTTTGCGATCGCCGAGAAGAACTCTAACAACTCGACCGGCTTTGGTCGCTTCTTCCTTGCGAACCCCGATCTTGTCGAGCGTCTTTGTCACGATTTGCCGTTGAAGAAGTACGACCGTCCTACCTTCTATACCGGTGGCGCCAAGGGATATGTTGACTACCCGGTCTACAAGGCCGAGTGAGCCATTTGTGATGAATCACGTATTGATAGACACGAAATTTAGATTTTAAAGAAGCATAGATACATAGAAAGAATTGTTGCGTTGATTAAGATCATTTTTGTGCCTGTGCTCGATTTTTACTTTTAATTTAATCTAATTTAAATTTTTGGCTTAAACAGAATGTCATAGATTACCTCTGTCCAGGCCTATTTGCGAAGTAGGTCAGTTACCAGGAGTCAAGAGCCCAAAGAAGCAGCCCTAACCAGCTCTTGACACCTTGAACATGAGACGACGGCTACCACAGAGTTTGCACTTGATCAATATCGGAGGCCTGACCGTGACCATCTTTTTCCCTGCACGGGTCTCGGCAACGCTGGTCTTAATGGCAAATGTCCAGAAACTCAATTGTTGCTATACTCTGTATAGTACTGCCCAGGTGGTGATAGTAATGGGTATGCAGAGTACTAGTGAAGTTAGGCACATTGTACCGCATAGGACAGGGATTATGTCTCAGGTCAAGTGCCAATGGGAGATGCGGGTGATGCGCAGGGTCTTTTAGCGAGTTTTAGTTTACTCTACACTATGGAGTACTATGGAGTACTATGGAGTACTATGGAGTACTATGGAGTACTAGTAGTACTGTAGTAGCAGTTCGTCCAAAAATAGTTCAACGTTGCAAACCTTGGCTGATTGAACATGTTCGAGAGTGGATAGGATGCCTCAGACAAGAAACAGTCAAACAGACCAAACAGACCAAACACATCAAACACAACACAACACAACATCCACACCCACAACCTTGGAACCTCAGATGGCACACGTACCTACAGGAGACATGACATAGTGTGACCCTGGGCAAGTGTTCCAGATCATTTCGCATCGCCAGCTGATTGGTCTGGCAGGTGTCCACAGATGGTTGCCCCGGTGGTCTACCAATGAGACCCCGGGGGATGGAGAAACTGGAGACATGAAACGTACCGGGGGGCACGAGGCCCCCGTTGACGCAAGAGATCTCTGAAGAAAAGTGGCTGTTGGTGTGTGGGATTGTGGTTCAGTGGCCAACGTTGATCGCCGAATGAGATCTAATAATAACCCAGACCTGCAAACCCACTTTTTTTCTCTTTCATTCCTGGGCTTGGCCTAGCCCTGTCTCACCTCCGCTTGCTCGTTTTTCATCGTTTTGATCTTCTTCCTCTCATGTTGTTCTGCTGAACTACTCCGGTCCCTCGTTTATGCCGGATTGTCACTCGTTCCCATATTGCCTGCAATGGATCTGCATCATTTGAGCTTAGCTGCTCGAGCAGATGGGACTGATACCTTCCTCGACCTGATCGCGAATCCGTTTCGCTCGGCAGTAAGTTGGGAGGGAATCGGCGCTGGAATCTGGATGGGCCGCTGACAAGACACAGTTCACAGTCACCGCTATTTGGGCCTCACTGGGCACTTCGATTGGTGTCACCGTCCTCCTCGCCCTCGTCTTCTCCCTGATCCGTCCCCGTCACTCGCTCGTGTATGCCCCCAAAGTCAAGCATGCAGACCTCAAACATGCCCCGCCTCCAGTGGGAAAGGGTCTCTTCGCCTGGCTCAAACCGGTCATCCACACGCGGGAGGCCCAGCTGGTAGAAACGGTCGGCCTGGACGCTGCGATCTTCTTGCGATTTGTCAAGATGTGTCGCAACATTTTCATCTTTCTGAGCATCATCGGATGCGTGGTTATGATTCCGGTCAATATCACACAAAGCGCCAGTCCCAGCGACACATCGGAGTCTTCCACCTTCAACATGATGACCCCACTCAACATCACCAACCCCACAGCCATTTGGAGTCAGGTGGTCTGCGCCTGGGCCTTTGATATGATCATAGCCTTCTTTTTGTGGAGGAATTACCGCGCAGTGCGGAACTTGCGCAGGCAGTACTTCCAGAGTTCCGAGTACCAACGCAGTCTGCATGCCCGAACATTGATGATCACGGATATCCCCCCCGCGGATCGCAGCGACGAGGGCATCTTGCGACTCACCGACAAAGTCAACCCTACGGCGGCGCTCCCGCGGGCTTCAATCGGCCGCAATGTCAGAGATCTCCCGAAGATCATCGAAGAGCATGAGGAGGTTGTACGAGAACTGGAATCTGTTCTCGCCAAGTACCTCAAGAATCCTGACCGTTTGCCCGCGAAGAGGCCCAAGATCCGTCCTCCTCGCTCACAGCGAAGCAAGCACCCAGGTGGCAAAGTGGACGCGATCGATTATCTGACCGTTCGGATCCGAGTTTTGGAGGAAGAAATCAAGCATGGACGGGCGTCTATCGATCGCCGAAACGCAATGCCTTATGGGTTCGCTAGTTGGGAGAACATTGAGCACGCTCATGCTGTGGCCTGGAATTCTCGCCGCAAAAGCCCCCAAGGTACCGTTGTTGCCCTTGCGCCGCGGCCTAGTGATCTGATCTGGGAAAATCTTCCTCTGACCAAGTCCGCTCGGAAATGGAAGCGGTTTGTCAACTTTATCTGGGTCACATGTCTGACTCTTGTATGGATCGCCCCTAACGGTTTAATTGCCGTCTTCTTGTCCAACTTGTCCAACTTGGGTCTTGTCTGGCCGGCGTTCCAGACTTCGCTGGAAGCCAACCCGAACGTTTGGGCCGCTGTTCAGGGTATTGCCTCGCCTGCGCTCACTTCCCTCGTGTATCTCCTACTTCCAATCATCTTCCGCCGACTGTCCATTCAGGGTGGCAGCAAAACCAAAACATCACGAGAGCGTCATGTGCTGGGACATCTTTATGCCTTCTTTGTTTTCAACAACTTGATTGTCTTTTCGCTCTTCTCTGCCGCTTGGGGATTCGTGACTATCGTCATCGACAAGACCAACAATCATGAGAATGCTTGGCAGGCTATCGTGGAAAGTCAGCTGTACAGCAAGCTGGTCAGTGCTCTATGCACCGTGTCACCCTTCTGGGTGACCTACCTGCTGCAGCGTAACCTAGGTGCCGCCATCGATCTCGCGCAACTGGTCACTATGGCTTGGGTATGGTTTGCCAAGACTTTCCTCTCGCCCACACCACGACAATCGATCGAGTGGACCGCACCGCCGGCATTTGACTATGCCAGCTACTACAACTACTTCCTGTTCTATGCCACTGTGGCTTTCTGCTTTGCTACCCTGCAGCCAATTGTGCTCCCCGTGACGGCACTGTACTTCGGTATCGATGCCATTCTGAAGAAGTACCTGCTGATGTACGTGTTTATCACCAAGAATGAGTCTGGTGGCATGTACTGGCGGGTTCTGTTCAATCGCTTGGTTTTCGCCACTATCCTCGCCAATTTCATCATTGCTTTGGTTGCCAAGTCTCGCGGAACCTGGACGATGGTATTCTGCGTGGCTCCTTTGCCTTTCCTGATGATCGGATTCAAGATCTATTGTATGAAGAGCTTCGATTCCGACTGTGAATATTACAACCGCGCCAATCTGAACGACGCGGAGGCATTGGGCGCACAGAAAACCGACAAGAAGGCTGCGGAACGATTGAACTCCAAGTTCGGCCATCCCGCTTTGTACAAACCCCTCTTGACGCCCATGGTGCATGCCCGGGCTGCCGAGGCATTGAAGCAAATCTACCAAGGCCGACTGGACCACGGCGATATGGCTGGCGAGTACTCAGATGTCGCCATGAACCCAATGCTTCCCTCTCAACCCGGCAAATCCTCCATGGAACCATCGCCCTTCGAGGTTGTCCCGGAAAACCACCTGGACTTCTCATACTACAAGAACCGTGCAGACTTCCGGGACGAATTCGGCGGTGGCATTTATGGTCGACCCGAAGACTTGATGACAGAGCGTTCACACACGCCCCGCAGCCACTTAGGAGGCGAGTGGTCACCAAGCTCTTCGCGCGCCTCCTCACCCGCGCCCTCGCTGCCCTCAATACCGCCTCTGAGGATCCCCGAAACCTCCGAGCATTCTGATCCCACTGGCCTCGTTCACCCTGCCTTCAGAGTACCGTTGTCTCGAGGCGACAGTGGCAACTCGGTACCGGGTGTTTACGCGCAAGACGATGCCGAGTCCGGTCTTCTCAGCCATGCCCAGGCTCCTGGGCAGACGGAGATGGTCAACCCGATCGATCGCTGGCGTACCCGTGGCTATGGTCCTGTCGACCAAGATGACAACGAGCCCTCTTTCACATCCTACGAGGCATATCGCGCACAGCGGTGAGCTGTCAATATCGGCATCGCTGGGCCTGACCTTGCATATATTCTTTTCTGTTTTTCCCCTACATGGCGATTATGTTCATGGGTGGTGTCAGCGTCATTTCTCAACACGAATTTTACGACAATCCTTCAATGTCCGCATGGGCGATATGCACCATGCAAATAGAACTTTTACTTTACATTCTAAATCTACAAACATGCATCGGCTCCGAAAGATTCCTTGTAACTCGCACGTGCTCCTAGGCAGTCCCTAGACTTGCAACGCATCCCCGGTCTTCGGGGGTAAACCACCCACTCCAACTTTAACATCCCGAGACATAGTCAATCTTGATTTTGCACCCATCACTATCATCCTGCACCCATCCACATATGACACATTTTTCACTCGTTCGGATATCCGAGACTGCCTGGATCATCTGCGCACCACTACGCGAACATCCTTTGGGGCCAGACACAAATATCCCACACCCAAAAGCAGACGCAAACATTTTAGCACAGACTCCCGTATCACGCTTTCGGCCTCTGGGTCAATGAGTATTTTATCATCTACGTGATGAAAACACATACCCCGTCTTGTATGTAGCCAGAGGGTCGATCCTGGTGTGTGCTTTATTGCAAGCCCACGAGAGCGTACTGCTGACTGCAATGTTGCAGGAAGATGAACCAGCGCAGCTGATAGTCTGGGATGTATCTCGAATACCGAGTTTGGGCTCTGTATCTGGACTTTGGGTGGCCAATGCAGTGGACATGTTCGAGGCTAAGAAGGCTATAGCCACGTATGTTGATGTAGGGTACATGGTGAACCTATCTTTTTGATATCCCCCGCCCTTGAAATAGCAACAGAGTCTCTGGCTTGATTGTGTCTGATGTTGGGAACTGGGTATTTGGATGTTTGTGTCTGTTGCACATGTACGAGTAGAGCAGGTTAAACACAGAAAGAGAATATAGCGATAAGCGAAATACAAGGGATGTCAGACTTGAATAGAGGCTAAGTGTACCTGGGTATATCCATGGATATTGGGTACATAGGTAGTGTCGGGCAACTTTGCTGCGATCGAGAGGTTGCGCCTTCCAAAGTTCGAGGTTGTGCTCTGTACAGGAACTGGGTGATAAGAGCCAGCAAATTTAACATGCCTCTTCGTGGAAATACCTAGGTACCTAGTAGGACAAAGAGCCTCCCGAGGGCTTTGACTCCCGTATGGCCAAGAGTGCCTAGGTGGACATATAGATTGACCTCGGCCTGGGCAGCTTACACCTCGCTAGGAGGTATATAGGTAGCGGGTGCGCTGCAAACAACCTTGTAAGATACCCAGGCATTACCTGAGGCATCTATGAAACTCCAGGATGAAGGTACTTAGTAGTATGAAGTTCTAAATCCCACCTGGGCAGTGGAGAAGATGACGTCGGATATCCGTCGACACCTGGTATATCGGGTGTCAATATTTGCCTTACTTATCAGGCTACCTACACGGGGAGAGCTCAGGGACCAATCACAGGAGATACGCAACTCTACTCGAACTTCCATGCTCTGCAGCTCATACTCTTTTTCATAAAAAAAGGCAACATGCTCCTTATCTACTTATAAATGACATTGAATTTCTTTGAGAATCGGATATACGGAGTACCAATAGTGCGAATCTGGTGGCCCAAGTCGCAATCGCGCAACGCAGCTCCCGCCAGCAACCGCCCACCTCCCCAGTACCAACCCCAACCACAATGGCGTGGTACTCGATTCTCCCCCCAGAGCTCACCCACCTCGAGAGCTGGGCAGTCAGCGTCTTCGTGAGTTGCTCTCCCCCGGGGCGATCCACCCCTTGTGTATGACGCAGTGCTCATGTACCCCGGATTTCCAGTTGTTCCTCGGTCTCGTCACCATCGGCCCCTGGGCCTTCCTTGTCCTCCTCGATGCAACCATATGGATATATAGTATGATTCTCTGGGAATTCCCATGGGTCGGGGGCCGCACACGGGGTCGACAGCGCCCCCGCGCGCCGACCCTGAATGAACGACCAGGCGGGCAGCGGAGGGCGTTCGGCCTGCGCGGCGTGGAAACGGATACCGGTGGGAGCGACTGTGATGATTCAGAGGATGTCTCGGATTATAAAAGGATGGATCGCTCCGACTCGCGGAGTAAAGACGTGAGCCCTGTTCGCAAGCTTCCCCATGCGAGTGGGGGCATCTTGAAACGAAGCTCCGGGCAGATCTAGTTTGACTTTTGTCTGAAGCGATACTATTTGCATGTCTTTATTTTATGTTCTGCGCACCTGTGACTCTGCTGGAGAGCCTGGCGTCATGGTGTTGGGTCGGAACTTCATTATACCACCTTTGCCCTGGCCATATTCGTGCCCTCTATCTTACCTCTCGCAACATTGCAGTACATCGTTTTTCATGAACATTACTTGACTGTATGCATATGTATGTACAGATTATGATCATGCGCCGCATCCACGGGTGGCATGCAAGTTTCCAATGCGTTCAGTATATCATATGACATAGCGACCACGACGCGGAAAGTTATCCAGTCATGCTCAGTAGCGCTGGAAAGATCTCGGCATTGCGACTGGTCGGGGATGTGAATACCAGTGGACTCCCTTGATCCTATCTCCAACGTTCGAATCATTCGCTGAAAAGATGCGAGTAACCTGAGAACTAATGTATACACTCCGACCCATTTCTTTCAGCTTCTTCCACCCAAATGGTCGGCACAACGGATCATCTTCAGCTAGAACCAACAACTCACTAATGGCTTCGTCTCGAAGGTATCATCTTAGCCAAAAGCACAGCTTCGCGTAGGAACGCTCATATCCACATTATTCAGTGAAAAGATTGGGGCCACTTTCCAGGCTCTGATCCAGTAAGTCAAAGTCTCCTAGCAATGTCACGAGAATCTTACCCAATTGAAAAGATCATCATCGAACCATTCCCGCATGTCAGTCCAATCTTCGAAAAGACCCTCGGTCTGTGTTTCCGTATTTGAGGATTGAGTGTTTCGTGTTCCCACGTGCGCTCTGCAAAGTCCGATCAGCGGTGATATCGACAATTATAGACGTGGACCTACTGTAGATGATCAAGTACGTGATACGCCTTTGAGCATATCTTGCTTCTGCTCGAGAAGCTCTCCATGCGCAGCATGAGCTTTTCCAACTCATATCGATAGGGGGTGGTGTCAAACGTTAACGGCATATCCCGTAAGCAGGAGTTGAGCGCAACGGCGGCATGAAGTGCTTGTAAGCTCACCACTCCATTGATTAACCAGAGAAAGTTCCTCAGTAGGGGGACTTCATACAGGTCGCGATGAATACTTATCAAAGCGGCTGCAGAGCTGATGCATCTCTCGCGGGATGATGGGATGAAGCTCGGTGTCTGGGAATGGTGAAAGGGACGATGGAGGAGGAGAAAGAGGTGGTGTGCGTAAGTTTGTAAGACGCACCAATGGGCATAGTAGGAGTTGAGGATTTTGGGGGACCCGTTGATCATGTATTTGGAGTCCCATAGCTTTTGTTCCGCGGCTATCGCTTCGTCAAATCTCTTCAGCTGCGCGCCTTGGTCGTGCCGTGAAGGGCCGGAAATATGACGGCAGATCTGGGCGGAGAGGTGGAACAAGCGAAGTTTGAACATCATGAGAGACATTTGGGTTGGTTCGCTGGATGGCTGTAGGATGCCTTCGTCGGTGATGTCGGAGTCATTGACGTCCGCTGGCATTGAGGCTTTGATCTCAAGTAAGAATGTCATATCGACATCACGAAATAAGATACTTTGGTACGTGTGCAAAGTCAACAGACCTGCCCAGCAGCGACGCCGTCGTTCGAGCTCTATCGTGTTGATCTGTTGAGTGGTGACGTTGCATCGCAGTGCAATGCCGATATTCAAGGCCATCCCCAACAGAGCCCAGCCCTGATCGACAGACTCGTTATGCGATTGATGATAGATCAGCATCAGCAAAGCCTCGAACGTGCTGAATTTGTATCGGGTAAAGAACTGATCTTTCAAAAGGCACGCCATGGCCGTTTGCTGGAGTCTGCGAGATACAGCGACAGTCTGTTCGGCTTGGTTGTCACAGCCTTTGGGCCATAGATCTGCCAGTCTTGGATCAGTTGGCTCGGTGGTACTCAAAGCTAAAGCACACATGGAGAAAAGCAAGGCTAGCCAAGATAGGTCGACTTCGACCGGCTGCTGCTTGAAAGCAGCGTACTGCGCTTCGAAGGTTGGACCATGAAGGATGGGAAACAGTGCGCAGATGTGATTGAAGAAGTGAGATACCAGATAATCACGGCAGTGCTCTGGAGGAAGCAGCTCTATGATATTCTGGAGTGATGTTTGTTGGCCCATTGAGAATGGCGATAGAGTGTCTGGTGCGAAGGCCGGATCACTCGGCGGGGCCGGTCTTTCCAGGACCGATCCCCATCCACTCTCTGGAAAGAGTCCATTGACATCTGTCCGGACTCCGCCACGAGACGATCCCGGAGAGCTGGCGAGTCGTCCTCGAGCAGTAGATTGAGGCTCGTGGGCTCTAGAACCTATTGGCGCTCGGGGTGATGCAAGAGACTTGATCGATCCAGGCCCTTGATTAGACTTATCTGGAAACAAGCAAGAGTTCTCACGTCCACGTCTCTTGCAAGAGCCGCAAGGTTGTTGACGATCGCATCGTAGCTTGGAATATCGGCAAAGATCGCAACTAATAGGCTTTCGCTTTCGACGAAGGGGTCCTGGACTTTGATCCTGGGCATATATTGAATGAGTCGAGCTCATTATATCTGTCGGAGAAGTATCAGATCACTGCCCTGGTGAAGATCTCCGATGTCCGTACGGAGTACGGAGCAGTGGAAGATGTGAAGTCGGAGTCGGAGATAGTCGGAGAAGTCGGAGATAACAGACCACTCCGCGCGATCTACATTTCAGTTCTCTCGTTAAGCTGCTTTTGATACGCCTTGATTGAGGCTGTTTTCAATTTCTATTCCAGCAAAAGAACTTGTTTTTGGTCAGGGTTTGCAGGCTTCGACGTGCTGGGTACAGAATCGAGTTTAAACAGACCTTCATCTAGGTGCTAGTAATATATACAAAGTGGACCATGAATTTCATTCTTCAGTTCAGTGAAATCAATAGTCTACTGAAGGCGCTCGATGACCTTGATGAGATCAGCGGAGACACCCATAGCAGTGACATCTCCACCGGCACCAGCACCCTGAACAATCAGGGGGTTAGCACCGTACCGCTTGGTGTAGAAGCTGATGATGTTGTCACTGCCCTTCAGACCAGCAATGGCACTGTCCTTGTCAAAGTACTGCAGGCCAACCTTGACGGCCTTGGAGGCAACATCGATGCTACCAACGTAGCGCACAACCTTGCCCTGCTTCTCAGCAGTGTCCTTAACGTTGGCCATCTGGGCATCGAACTCGGGAAGGTGAGTCATGAACTGAGAGATACCCTCGGCAGAGGAAGGAAGAGAGGCCAGCTCAGCGGGGATCAAAGACTCAATGGGGAAGGAGTCGGGCTTTGAGACCTCAAGGCCAGCGATACGAGCGAGGATGGTGAGCTTACGCGCAACGTCCATGCCGTTCAGGTCATCGCGAGGATCGGGCTCGGTGTAGCCCAGCTCCTTGGCCTGGGCAACAACGGCGCTCCACTGTGCATCGGATGATCCTGAGGCGGGGGCGAAAGTGTTGAACAGGAAGGAGAGAGTGCCAGAGAACACACCCTCAATGCGGGTCACCTCATCACCGGTGGCCACAAGGTCCTTCAGGGTGGAGAGAACGGGCAGACCGGCACCCACGGTGCTCTCGTGGTAGACCAGAGCCTTGCCCTGGGCGGCCGAAGCGAAGATGTCCTTCCACAAGGAGATGTCATCGGAGAATCCCTTCTTGTTGGGAGTGACGACTGAGATGCCCTTCTTCAGGAATGTGGGGTACTGGCGGGCCAAGTTAATGTCGGAGGTGTTGTCGACCAGGATAGCACGGCCGGGGGCATTGGCAAGGTATGTGGCAATCTCCTCGGCCTGGAGAGCACCGCTCTTAGTCAAGGATGGTGTGGCAGATGCTGTGGCCCAATCGGCAGCGGGAATGGCCGGGGCGTAGGCCGGTGCAGGAGCAAGAAGAGTCTGGGAGGAGCGGGCAAGGAGGACAAGCTGGGGGGCATTGGGCAGACGAGCAAGCTGCTGAAGGAAGGCAGTGCCAACACCACCGACACCTGTTTCATCGATTGATTAGAACTCTCTCCGAATGATGCGAAGCTCGTATTAGGGTCGACTTACCAACCACACCGAGGAAGATAGAGCTAGACATGGTGATTGAACTTTGAGGTAGACAAACTACTTGTTTCTGATGTTCAACAAAGATTTCACTTAATCAAAACTGCAATTGAGTCACGGCGCGATCTATTGCTCGGTGGGGGGCTGCGGGGCTGCCCGAATATCGGCGTTAGTCAGCAGAGCAATTGCCTGGCAGAATTAAGGCGGTGGAACTCACAATCCGATAAGCGCTTATCGATAGCTCGTTATCGACCCGTGGACCCGGGCTTCGAAGAGGTTCTCATCTTCTTCTCTCCTCCAAGCCTCGCATCACACATTGTTTCTCGTGCTCACAACAAAATGCCTGCTGACCAGGGGTCCCTTTACGGGAAGCCCCGCGCTAAAAAAGACAATAATGAGCAAACAGCTTCGAATATGGCGTTTTCCTCCCAACTCTCATCGCTCATCGCTCAAGGTACAAGCAATGCACCTTCGCGAGGGCGCCAGCGTCCATCCAAGAATCCGAAGTCGGACATATTCTCAAAGCAAAACAAAGGATCCCAGAAACGCGCTGCTGCAGACCTCTTAGATGACAACCGGGCACTCAAACAGGTTCACAGGGGCACCAAAGATATCGGCTCTGTCGACACTGCCACCCTGGGCCGGTCCCGGCGTCGCATGGAGGAGAAAGCGCGGATGTACGATGATATGAAGAAAGGCCTATACCTTGCTGGTGATAGCGATGACGACGACAATGCTCCGATTGATCCATCCGACCCGGATGCTTATTTGAAACGACTACGACGCAAGGAGAAGGAGGGATTGGTAGACTTTGATTCCAAGTATGCAAACGCGGAAGAATTCAAACGCGACGAGTCGGATGATGATGTGGCTTCAGTCATATCCTACGAAGATGAGTTTGGTCGTTCCCGCCGCGGGACTCGCGCGGAGGCTGCTGAAGCTTCCCGTGCCAAGGATGAAGCAGCTGGCGTCGACTCTGCCCGGGAGCGTTGGCGACCCGAGCGACCCGATAATCTGATCTATGGAGAGGCCGTTCAAACCGAAGCTTTCAACCCAGATTCCGACGCAGCCTTACGAATGTCTCATCTTGCAGCTCGTCGTGACCGCTCGCCTACTCCGCCTGAAAACAAACACTACAATGCCGAGGATGAGGTGCGCAATCGTGGCACTGGCTTTTATACATTTTCCACGGATGAAGAAGAGCGCAAGCAACAGATGGAACAGCTCAAGACCATGCGGGAGCACACTATTTCCAAGCGGCTCTCCGCGCAGGAAGAAGCTGCGCAGCGGAAGGCCAAGTATGAAGCGAGGGTTCAAAAATGCATCAGGTTCTTTGCTCGGCGTAAGGAGATGCAGGAGGAGGCTCGACGCGAAAGGGAACTCAACCCCTCTCCTCCACCTGATCCACATGACATGCCTGATCCGGAGCTTGACTTGCTGCCTCTTGCGTACCGGAAGCCCAGTTATGTCCCTGAGTGTGTGAGAACGCATGCCCGATTGTTCGAGACGATACCCTGGAACCCAGAGCACAAGAAGCTCAAAGACCCATCGACCGGGGGAGAGTTAGACTCGAAAGAGCCACGATAGCCAGTTTTTTGAAGTTTCTTTGACTTGCCCGTTCCATGTGATACCCCTCGTGATGCAAGAATCCATTATTTAGCCTTGTTGCTAGTGACCATAGTTAAGAAATTGAATGATTTCTACCAGGAGGCTGATCTCAACATTCACTGTAAACCCCATACTGCAACCGTGAAGTCTACTACTGGTCCTGCCTGGGTGGATTAGAACATTCCAAGGTTGGAAACCGAATTCTGACTCCTGAAAGAAAGCTTCATAAGACATTAAATATACCTAGGTATTCCCGTTTCCAAGAAAGCCCAACTAAATTGGCCACGCTTCACGACCTTTTTGGCATTTTGATCATCAGTCATATCAACATCATCTCGTTCCACCGGGAAACCATGCAAGCCTCGAGTGCGAAGTTGGCCACACTCCCGCCTGGCATCACCATTCAACGACCCATTGGCGTCAGATCACGGATAACATCGAGGAAATCATTGGCATCTAGAACATGTCAAATTCAATCAAAAAAGGCAGGCTGGGACACCGATCACTCACCCGATGAACTTTTGAACTCAATGATACGCCCGTAGCTATTTCGCGGCGAAACATAGTCTTCCTCGGACATGAAAATGATAGGTTTGAGATGGCGCAGGACGAGAGTTTTCGAATCCTCGCTCTTGATCCAATTCTTTTCAAGGTTGTGGTTGAAGAAAGCAGTCCAGACCGGGGTCCTATAGGTGTTAGCATATTTCACACCTGGGCATGCTTCCAGCCGACTATGAGCATACCTGCCCATTTCGCCCCCATGCACGGAAGCCTGAAGGCGCACAGCGCCAGTCTTCTGGTCTTCCCAGATGCGCAGCCCGTGGAGGTATCCGTCATCGTTAATTTTGCTAAAGAGTTTCAGCTGCAGTTATTGCCTTGCGCGGCAAGACTCGACTTACCCTCCATAAAGCTCAACCTCGTCTATCAACTCGCAGTCCGAGAGATTATCCCCCTTCGCATCGGACGCTAGATCTTGAGAGCGCAAAGCGAGCAATGTGTGATGAAAGGTCACGAGAGCTATTGAATGATCGTCAGTGGGATGCATCTGGAAAATTTGTCCAGGAAACAGTACCTTCCATCGTCTTGAATGTTAGTAAAGCCCACAAGACATTTTCATTCTTGCCCCTTCGCTGCCTGTACAGACAAAGGCAGCTTCCATCTCGCTGGACATCGACGAGGCTCAATGGCAGAGTATAATAGTCGCTTGATCGGGACCGATGAGGAACTTTGATGAGTATCCGGACGTGGGAGTCGCGTTTTCGTATATAAAAGTATACCCGAAGGTGGGATTCGCCTTCGGGGCGGCTTCAGTGTTCACTATGTGAGCGACATATCACAAGAGCAGATTTTACAACTCACAATTCAAGAAGCTCTTCGAATCCTCTTCCTATTAGCATCTCCCTGGCGTCGGGGCATATGTCTCCATAGCAGTTGGATCTGTGGAAATTTTATTAGCAAACAAATGGGAAAGCCCTGGAGTCCTCCCAAGCTCTCACCTTTCTCCTACTCTCGGTAAAGGAGTGTTTGTACTAAAAGATTTGAACACCACTTGCGCCCAGTGAGGTCTTCCAGTATTTGTCGAGCGACTGGTAGCCGACGTAGCTGATGTTGCCGATGTCATCGGCGAAGCAGGCACAGAGGGCACAGAGGGCGGGAAATCCGAGTACGTGCCCGAAGAAGCGGACATTGGCGAAGTCGGGGATGTGTACGCCGGACGACGACGTTCATGGGACCTAGGCCGAGGAGCTCTTGGATCACTGGCCGGGCTCATTGGCTCAGCGCTCCCGCTCGACGCATTCCGATAGAGCGGGACGCGGCGAAGACGCTCGGTGATATGCGATGCTTGCACGTCGCAGAGCAATTTCATTCCATTCCGAAGACCTGCGAGGTACTGGGGGTCTTGGCCGTCACTAGCGATAGATCAGTATGTGGGTTGGTGGGGGTGGGAGCCACCTACTCCTTCACCACTTCGGCCAGCTCTCTCATGAAGGTTTTATACTTTGCTAAGCGGGTGGCGAGACTGTACTGTGCTTCATCCCAGAAGAAGTCATTTAGGGCAGTCCAGGTGCGCTTGTAGACTGCCGAGCTGGTCTGGCCGCCGTCGAGGGCGCGAAAGAAATCCAGAGTATCATCGACGGTGTATTTGAGACTTGTCTGGACCAATGACAGATCGGACTGGATGAGGAGGAAATTGCGTCGATAGCGCGGGTCCTTGTTGAGGGCCTCGAGGTTCGTCAGCGACGAGCTGATGGAGTATAGGTCTGCGATCAACGAGGTGACCTCGGCCGCATGCTCGGGAAGAGGGGCGCGGAATGTATGAAAGCCCGCGGCGACAATCTCCGCATTATCGGCCGACGTGCCCAGCGACATGGAGTTTACAGGGTCAGGCCATATAGGTGTTTCTTCTATGGGGTGGAGGGGTTGGGAGGATTAGGGAACAAAGCCAATGAGCGCACATGCACGGAATTAAGATTATTTAACCAAGTCAACCCGACCTGATTGCAAATTTCCAGCGCGTGAGGCTCAGGGTTCTCCCTTGCGTCCGACAATTGACGTGTTCGCGTGGGAATGGCGGGGCCCGGGTGGAGTGGTGTGCTGGCTAATCCTTCTCGATGAGCCCTAATGGCATCCCGAAAGCGGGAAGTCGGAGGCCAAGCTAGTACGCCGCTTGCTACGTTGGGTTGCAAATAGGTCGTGGGAAAATGTCGAGGCTGCAAACCGGTGTAAAGATGTCGGTAGATCAGACGTGAGATATAAAATGCTGAGTACATACTAGTACTGTACATATTGGACCTAGGTACCCCGTTGGAGTATCTAGAACAGACCCGTAGACTCGGGCTTTACAAGCCCTCATCTGCAGGCAAAGCAGACACTTGAACTAGAAATGTCGAAACTATACCTAATGTCCTCGACTATGAAATACCACCTGATAATAGGAAGTATTCCAATCCGAGCCCAGAGCGAGAATGACCGGAGTCACGTCCTGCATTGGCCCGTTAGCCCTGATGCGCTTGAATTCTAGTTCCGCCCAAAGTCCCCAAACATCTTCATTTCACCTTCTGACGCTCAGTGTGACACGGAACATAATATCCGTGAGGATTTTTAAATTTTAACCTTTTTCTTCCATTTTTTCCATTTTTTCCATAGGCAATCAGTTCCATGAGGGAAAGTAGAGAATCCAATGCATATCGGCTGAGGCATTGGGAGGTAAATCAACCTGGGGCAGCTTTTAGAGCGTCCTATTTTGTCGGGAGTGTGGGTTGAACCTCCAACTGTGACGCAGTTGTCCAATGTCCAGTGGAATAAACATACCTACATACATAGGTAGGTATGTCGGTAGCTACTGATATTGACGGTTAATGACGCAGGCGGTGAGCTACGGAAAGAGCTCGGAGCTCAGAAACTTCCCCTTCTACTACTTGGGACATCACACCAGTTCAGAGTAATTTCCTATTGATCACTGGACACCCTTGGGTGAGAGCATAGACAGCTCAAGAAGCAAAGAAACCCCTCCGTCCATCAAACCCAGCCGTGCACGAAACCGTTTGAAAAAAATAAAAACCAGAAACCATTAAACACAAACGCCCAAGGCCGAAGACGAAGTTCAAGTGAGGCATTTAAGAGGATTCCTCCTCCTCCTCATCATCGCCCTTGGCGAGATAAGCAGCCTTCTCTTCCTCGTAGCGCTTCTTGTCCTTGGCGGCCTTGTCGTCGTAAGGCTTGCGGTCATCCTCGCTCAGGGCCTTCCACTTGTCACCAAGCTGCTTGCCAACCTGACCTGGAGGGTTGTTAGAGGGGATGCACACGAGCAGGGAAGCTACATACCGAAGCTGATGCCGGGGTTCTCCTCGCGGACCTTGTCGCGGTTGTCGTTGGCGAAGAACATGTAAGCGGACAGACCACGCTTAGGGGCGTTGGGGTCTGGGGGAGGTCAGTACGCGACCCGTCCGGCTCGGATGGGAAAGCTTACCCTTCTTGCGGCGAGCCTGGCGCTTCTCGGGGGCCTTGCGGGTGGACTTCTCCTTAGGCATGTTGACTGTGGATGGTCAGACGTGATGAATTGAGCGGAGATGAAGTTCCAGGCAGTGGGAAAAGGGGCAATGTGAGGAAGCCAGGCAGGGACTACGCGATTGCAACGCGTTTGTGAAAGAGAGAGGTGGTGGGAAGTGAGGGACGCGACGGTTGCTCCCAAGCGCGTTGCGCGCAAACCGACCACTTGCGACCGTAGCAGGTCGCGGAGGTCGCATGAATAGGGGGAGCTCCCACTTACATGAATTCGACGTTTAGAACCTCGAAAATGTGATTTGGGAAAAAAAAAGTCGAAACTGTTCTATCTGTTAGTGAGCTGCGCCAGACGAGTAGCTGAGAACGCGACGAGGTTGCGCATTGGGTGAAAAAAAAGAACAGAGGCAATGAAGTGAGCAGAGGCGACCTGAACAGGATGAAAGGAAGAGAGAAAGAAGAAAAAAGTGGTGGTTGTGAAAATGCGACGCGGACATATAGAGATATGCAGTACCTTTTTTTGTATGAGGAAAATAGTAGGTGTAGGAGGATAGGAGAAGAAGAGAGCAGAGGGGGGAGGGCCGTAGTAGTAGCAAAGAGAGGGGACAGCAAGGGCCGTTTCGCCGATGGGAATGTGTACGTTACATACCTGTATTTTTGCATAGACCTCTTCCATATGTTATAGTACACCTGATCTTCTTTGTCTTCTTTACTGCTCTATGTCCATGAGTCCTGTCTCGAATTTGATCTCACTGGAAAGACCTATACTTACATCACTGTCTGATTCCTACCGATGAAGGTAAAGCGCGCAATGACGAGTACGGGTAATGAATACACGGATTCCCCATAGTAAATCTCCTGCACCCATTACTGCGTATTACCCGTACGCCCATTATAGTCGCCCATAGTGATGGTTGTTTATGTACTTTGTCGCCCTACTATAATCTTAACTTTAGACGCAGTAGCCGTGCCATCTCGGCGCTGTGACGTGAAGGCGAAACGCATGGAAGAACGATCGGGAGAAACGAGCAAACGAGGACTGGCTGCTCGCATACGATCCTTCGCTGGGTACTCCGTACTGAGGATCGAGAATGGCATGGTCATGTGTCCGTACCAAAGTGTATACCAAATGTACTTAGGTACTGGTGTAGCAGGGCCTAACCTTGGAAGTACTCATTCCATGAGAGCCCAAGTGATACATTCAACACCTACAACGGAATGAGAATTCAGACAGAACGCATATCCAGCTTTAAGCTCTCGCCAAAGCTCCCGGCCTTAGGCTTGGGGCCCAATCCCCAGAATACTCCGTACTTACGAGTATTAGTATGGGTATCTGTAAGGGTTGCTCAATCGTAAGCGTGGCGTGCCCTTTTAGCGTAACCCCCAATTGGAAATACAGCCGGAGAGGTACGAGGATTTGGCTCTCCGGTCTTGGGACAAATAACATCAGTCCCATCCCGATACACGGTTACTAGCACTATCATTGCATGCGGAGAGACGAAAACAATCTAGCACTATTCCTTACAGATCCGCATCAGACCATTAGGTTGTCAACAGTACCATTGGTCTCTGTGACTGGACTACCCCTTCGATGGGGTTCGATATTATCTTACAGTACGGAGTACATGCAAGCTGTACGGAGTAAAGGGAGTTGACATATCAAGAATGTGAGATTTTACAATACCCGTAACATCCGATTCCTCGCTTTCCGAGAGCGTCATACAAGTCGCGTCGGTAAAACACGATACCGCTCTTCAGATCATACTGTTTTATCACTAGTTAACTACCTAGTATGTATGTATGCTATCTTGGATTCTGATGAACTCCCTTACTTGGAGAATCACACCGAATATTGAAGCTCTAAGCTGGTGGGTCACTTGAAGCTCCTTACAAATCTCGAATCCGGTTGAGAGTGACGGGAAAGTAAGACAGACTGCTCATCTTCACCACAAAGGGGACCCAATGCGTACGGGTAATTCATAAATCAATCGTCACTTTCATCCAGCACCAAGGCGCGGAGTATGTCGTCATCGGCCCAGTCTAATCCACTGGCCACCACAACCGCGCTGGCTATATTTTTCATGGTGTCCCATCGCGCTTTGCGATCTTTCAGATCAGCCTCCAGCGTCTCTAGTTCAGATAGCTGGGAGTCTGCAATCTTCTCTCGCCACGAGGAGTCTTGTTGGGTGAGCTCTAATAGCTGCCGAACGAGCTCCTGATTGGCGTCGTTGAGCTGTAGATTCTTCACTTCGGCGTTGGAGATCTGCTTCAGCACCAGGTCATGTGCCGAGGCGAGGTTCTCATGCGCGAGGGCAAGGACATCCCGGCGATTCACCAGCCGCAGAAGGGCCCTATCATGTGTGTCAGCCAGGAGAGACCGCGATCTAGCCCGGGGATGGTCGGTCCGTACCTCTCGGCGGGGGTCGTAGCCTTCAGGTGAACGGCTTTGAGGATCGGATCGGTCATGAGGATGGTATGGACGGCCTGCCGCCTGACCGTGTAGGTAGATCGCGCCTCGAGGAGCTCACGTTCCGCGACCAACAGCTGCGCTTCGGCATCTCCGCCCGATATGGTTTCCAGATCTGTAGACAAAGGAGTTCCGATGAGAGACAGACTCAGCCAAATGCAGAGGTCATACCTTGTTCCAAAAACGCCTTTTCCAGCTGTTGTTCCTGAATCTGGTTGTAGAGTTGTAGCACCAAGGCTTCCTTGTCGGACAAGGTCACGACATCGTGAGAATCATCTGCAGCGTAATTCAGGAGTGTCACCTCACCCGTTTGCAGGTGAGGCAGTGACTGGCCATGTTTTGCAGCCATAAACGCAGATCGATGGCGCATCTTGTGATGAAAGATAAGCCCGGGGGCGGTGGAGCTTCCCCGACCATACGTCGCTCAGCAACCTTTCTTCAACCTGACCAGCCTGATCCCGGGGGGCTTCAGGACTCTTCTTTTTGATTTCTTTGGGTACAGCTCAAGGGATAATCCCCTTTTCTGTGTCTTTTCTCGTCAAGCTTCTAGGCAAAGGGGGGTATGTCGTTGCACATCTACATCGCTCACACGGGAGAGCATTTCCTGGCTGATCCAGTAGCCTTTGCCTCGTATGTATTCTCCCTATGTCTCATATGTGAAGAGACTCCTCGCCCCTGCTCCGATGCCTTCTACTCCCGTTCGATGGCGTCCGTGATCCACTGACGCATGCACCTTGCTTCTAGTCCTGATGCCCTAAAGTCATGGATTGTGCGATATACCTCGATCCCGCCCCCGCGGCAGATATTGATGACCGCCCGGGGCAAGAATGTGAAGATTCAAACCCTCGCCACGGAAGTAAGGAATGACCCAGGCGCGATGGCGGTCAAGGGCTTGCTAACACAAGGGCCAACCACTCACAGAACGAAATCTTCGTATACGACCGACAATACATCAGTGAATCAGGCGACGTCGAATTCCCGGAACTACCTCCGCCAGAGCCCTTTGACCCCGGCATTCCCCCGGCTACTCTGAAAGACCAAAACGACCTTCAAGCATGGAGAAACCTGTACCTGGCAAGGCGCAATTGGGCGCTGGAACTTTCCAGACGTTGTGGATCAATCGATAAGAACCTTCGCGAACATAATGAGCGGACTGAGGTCATACACCGGGCTGTTGGGGTAGCTTTGGAGAACCTAAAGTCTCACGTGGGCACTCTGGAACATAGATTCCAGGAGGCGCAATCATGGGCGAACAACCTGCTGGAAGAGCAGCAGGCAGCTTTGGATGGTTGGCAGCAAGCTCTTTCGACGTTAGGTGATATCCCTGCACGAAAGGACTTCCCTTTACTAGGACGACCATCCACGCCTAAGATGGACAAAGACCGCCCCACCGGGACACTTCGTGACTTTGTGGACTCGGTCGAGGTCCAGCGCGCTGGAGTGGAAGCAGCTGCGGTGCTGCCGACATTTTCCAGCCACGTCCAAGAAATCGAGAAGAACATTGATGAGATCGCGTCGGACACCCAGCAGCTAGTGGACGAAGCCACAGACTCTGGCGCCGAGGGCGTGGATGGGCTGGCGGAAGAGATTGAAACCATCACCAAGAAGATCGAGTCGGATTATGAACATGTGCTCGATCTGCCGAACAACCAGAAAACATTAGCTAACATATCACGGCTTGCCTTCAACCACACCCAAGACCTTCTTCCCACTTTATTGGAATTCGGGGCTGAATTGCAAGCGGCATTGGTGCATGCTGTGCAGCGTCGGACAACCGCAGAAAGAACCGCCATAAGACACATGCGCACCATATCCTCTCTTGAATCCAGACTTGCAGACGCCCATGGTCAACTGGTCAATCTCGACATGGATAGCAATTCTTTTGATGTGATATATGCTGTTTTCCAAATGCCAATGGTCTACGGTTCCATCCTAATCGAATCGCTTCGCCGGCGAGAATGGAACGAGAAGATTAAGGCCGACTCCCTGAGCTTGGTAGAGGAAATGGCCGTTCTTAGAGACGAGGAGCAACGCCGACGAAAGAAATGGCTGAAAAGCATGGGCGATTTCATGACCGTCACCGACTCCACCGCGCCAGGAATCGAGGTCAATCTTCAGGGCCAAGATGATCAATGGCCTGAAGTAGCTAGAAAAGAGATCGAGTATTATATCGATGAGTTGAAAACGAGGCATTCCATGGGAAACCTGGCCGAAGAATTGACGCAACAGCTCAAGGAGCTAGATTCTCCGACTCGGCAGCAAAGACGGCGCGCCAAGGCGTTTAAACAGGGAAGCGTTTTTGACTTGAGCCGAAGCTCGATGCTGCGTGCAGACGACTCAGTGCGCAGCTTGCAAGAAGAAAAGACAAAGTTGGAAGAGCGACTCAAAGGGTCTGACAGTCGCGTTAGGAAGCTAGAGGACCTTTTGCATCGCCAGAGTCAGATGAGTCGGCCGTCCAGTGGCAATTTCGGTCCAGACTTCCCCGGCTCTCCTGCATCTCCCCATCCAGATACCCTCTCACGACGATCCTCTATGTCATCTAGACGCGTCTCAGCAACTCAATCCCCCGAGGACAAAGCGCTCATCCAACGCATTGTCAGCCTTGAGGCAGAATTGGCGGCAGAACGGGATTCTATTCAGCGATTACACAAAGAAGCCCATGCCGAGCGTCAAACAAATTCAGATAAATTCCAGGAGGCGCAGTCGACCAAAAAAGACCTCATCGGCAATCTGGAAGCACGCCAACGCGAGTTTGAAGATGAGCGCCGCTTTCTGGACGCAGAGCTCAAGAAGTTCAGGCTCCGGTCGGAGGAAATGGAAGAGGAGCTTGATCGACTCATGGACAGCCGAGAGAATGGTAGACAAGAGATGGATGAGCGGATGCACCAGCTGGAGATAGACCTCCAGAATGCCCAGTCCAATTCTGCCGACGATGAACAAAAGATCAAGGATCTCCATACAGAGATCGAAAACAGCAAAGGGCGGGAAGATGGCTTACAACATAAAATCGAAGATCTCGAACGCCAGCAATCCGAGCTCGAGCAGAAGGACCAAGAGAGTCAGCAGGCTCTCCAAGCTATCTTCATGAATCTCTCCCCGGGAGGCATAATGCCGACTGAAACTCCAGACCTCATCAAAGCCATTGAGGTTCTTTCTGAGGGCCTGTCAATACACGCGAAGAATGTGGAGTCTGATGTAGCCAAGGCTACTGCCGAGAACAAGGGCTTGGAGGAGCAGATTGCGAAGCTGGAAGCCGAAGCCGAAGACCGGACTAAAAACCTGGAAGACCACGAGAGCAAACTATCACGCTTTGCCGAAGAACTTTCACAGGAGCGGTCGAAGCTTGAAGAATTGAACTCTGAACTGGACGGTGAACGGTCGAAGTTCAGCTTGCTTCATTCCCGGATTGAAACTGGGGAAAGCGGCACTAAGGCTTTGCGCGAGGAGATTGTCGAAGGCGAGAAGAGACTGGCAGATTTGTCCCAACGGTTGGTAGATGCCGAAAATCAAGCCCAAGAACTACGGGACCATGCTACAGAGTGGGAGAAGAAAGCAGGTGCCAGCTCGGAGATCGAACAGCAAGCCATGGCGCGTTGCGAAGCTCGGGGTACCAAATCACACGAGCTTTCAAGACAGCTTCTCACGCAGGTTGAAAAGCTTGGCCGAATGCTTGAACAATTGGGTTTCACCATCATCCAGCAAGAGGGCCAACTGGTGGTGCAGCGTGCTTCAAAGCTTACTGCTTCTTCGAGTCTAGGGGAAAGCCTTGCGCAGTCAGGCATTGTATCTATGAAGCCTGACCCGGCACTCCTCGGCTGGATGCAAGCCAAGAGCCTCGAGGACGAAGACAATCTCTTCAAAGCTTTCATGGAAAGCCTGGCTCAATTCGACGTCGCAGTCTTTGGTGATGTTGTTGTCAAGCGTGTCAAGGATATTGAAGTCCTGGCCCGCAAGTGGCAGAAGGAAGCCCGCGGCTACCGTGACAAGTACCACCGTATCCAGGTTGAAGCCCATGACAAGATTGCCTATCGCTCGTTCAAGGAGGGTGATCTAGCTCTCTTCCTTCCCACTCGCAACCAGGCAATCCGCTCCTGGGCGGCGTTCAACGTCGGCGCACCGCATTTCTTCCTCCGCGAACTCGACTCCCATAAACTTCAAACCCGCGACTGGTTACTAGCACGCATTACCAAGATCGAGGAACGTGTCGTCGACCTTTCCAAGTCAATCAACGGGGTCGTACCTGACCGTCGTTCTCTTGGAGACGCCAGCGACGGTGCTTCTCTGGATGACGAGAACCCATTCGAGCTATCCGACGGCCTACGCTGGTACCTCCTCGACGCGGTGGAAGAAAAACCCGGCGCGCCCGCTACCCCCGGTATCGCAAAGAGCACAGTCGCCTCAGCGCACGTTGATGCCAAGGGCAGCATTCGCCTCAAGCGTGGCACAGAGGAAGGCGGCGTTGCCAAAACCCTATCAAGAAGCCTAGACAGCCGGCGCGACAGTTCAAATTCCAAACGAGGGACCCCAACGCCATCACACCACGCCGTGGAATCGACCAGCGAACTCGTTCGCCCTGCAGATACCGAGGCCGGCCCGGCAAGGGAGACTGACCCAGCCAATGACGAGGTTCGCCGTGACCTGCCCGGCCCGTGAAAAGTAGGAACTGACTTGCCATTCGTCTTTTCCGGGTCTTTTCTTCTGCTGGCACTGAGGCTAACGCGCTCTTTCTGGTTCAGGTACCTGCGTCTGCCTCCCATCCAGATGTAGATGCCGCCGCTTCGCCGTCCAAGCCTGTTCGTCGACAGAGTGGTCGATATCGTCCCTGGGAGAAATTGTGGTCTCTTGATTATCGGCTAGAGAGTGGCACGTCATAGAGTGCGTTTCCAAGCGTCGATTCGAACTTGGTTTCGAAATTTAGGTGCTAACTTGCTCTCGTCACTGTGGATGAGCGGTGCACATCTCGAGGCCCATTTTTGTTTTATTTGCTTTTGAATTTGTTCTTCCAGATACCCATCAATGCAATACTTTCAAGGTTTTTAGAATCTACTCAATTGCAGTGTCTACTGAAAACCTTCTAGGTTCCTATAGACTGGGCTAGTCGCTGACCACCAGTCAATATACAAACGCTAGAAACCTTGAAGTCCCGCAGGGTTTTATGGAGCGACTTTAGGACTGCAAATGTATGGCGTACGGTAAACGATATAGAATGATGGCTGAATATACCTGGGTAGACCGCTAATCCAATTGTTCCATGCCGCCCATTTCATCCCAGAAACGACTGAAATCCACATTTTCGTCCTCAAACATCTGCTTCGCTTGCAACATCGCAGAGCGCTGCCTCTCAGGCGTAAAGCCACCGGGCTGCGAGCTCTCCCATTGGATCAACTCTACCCAGCGAAGGAACAGGTCCTCTTTCCCCATTTCCGTCAACTTCTCCTTGAACGCGATGATCTGGTCCCGCTGAGCAGAACGTTGTTGGCCAGCGGGAGTGTTCTCATCTCCAACCCGCCAGATCAGCCATCCATCAGCGTCAGTGTTTACCAACACCGCCGTACGGAACTCATCCAGCTGTACCCCATCTCCCTTCCGCGTGCGATCAACGAGAGCGTGCGCGCGGATCATCGCCGCGTAGTCCAGGTTCCAATCCTCGTCCATGAGCAGGTAGCCCGTCTTACCCACGCGCTCCGGAGTCACAGCAGCAACGATCTTATCACGGCGGGCTTCGTCATCGCGGATCCATTTGTTGCGCTCGAGCTTCTTGCTCCAGCTGCGGTGGCTGCGTCGGACGATGACCTCGCGCTCGCGGAATCCGACCGCGCGGCGCCAGCGCACGGGCCCCCGAATGAAATTAATTGGCCATGACAGGAACACGGTCACGAGCAGGTAGTCGAGGGCCAAAGTTCCCGTGCGCATTGCGACGATTGTGGCCCCTTCTGTCCATGGGATGGCGGCTGTGTCCACCGTCATGGAACTTTGTAGTCCGATCAGCGTGGCCACGAGGGCTGGGTATGTGCTGATGCCTGTGTACACTCTCCATGCAATGATGGCACCGACTATGATGTTGACCAGGAGGGGCACAGTGAAGGTTTGTCGCTTCTGCTCTTCGGCTGTGATGTCGATATGGACAAGATAGACTTCCTTGGGGGACAAGGGTTCGACGAACGATTTCAAGGCCGCGGGGACTTTGATGAACGGTGGGATAGGACCTGCCGATGCAGAAGTTGGGGTTGAGGCGCCTGATGAGGGCGTTTTTCCACGACCGGATCGCCGTGAGGATTTGGCCATGGTGAAGGATGGGAATTCAGTGAACCGTGTATGGGACCATTCAAGTAGATATGAGAGTCGATGATGCAAGAGTCTTACGTGTCTCACATGTCCATGGTCAGATCGAGGATGTATATCAGAGACCAAAAACAGCAGAATGCAGATTGTCGTCAAAGCTGTAAACGCGAAGTGCATCCGACGTAATGCAGGAATTCGGGGTCTAACCGCATCGGGGAATGAGGGATCAATTGATCTCCCCCCGTTACCTCTTCACATCTCTTCCTTCTTTTTCCAATATATGTGATCCCGCAGCAAGGGACATTTCTGCCATGTCGTTCGACAAAACTCGCGCTCGAGAAGGGCAGCCCCCGTCACCTTTCCGGCACGCGTCGAAATCTGAATCCAATAACCGGAAGCTCCATTCCCCGGAGGATGGGTTGCAATCGCGTGCTATTCGATCCAGATCACTAGCCCAGGCATATCGCGAAATATCCAGAAATACTATGGCCGTTGCCACCGAGGACCTGTCACCGGTGACGACACCAAGTCCGCAACAGAAGCGCCAGACCTACGCGTTCCCTTCATATCAGTTCTCACCTCCTCCCTACGAATTACAAAACGCCTACGACCAGATCCAACAGGGAGAGATGATTTCCGATTATGTACGCGACGAGGAGTCGGAAAAGCAACGCGCCGCGCGCCGCTCCGCGAGCCGGGGCCGTCAAACATCGTTCCAGCCGAATGCGACAGACAGCGGCAGAGAATCTGCCAACGGCACACACTTCTCCGATGCAGGATTCGGGGGTGAACTCGGTGACCACAGGAGTCGAAGGAGCAGAGATTACACCAAGGATGAAGAGCGCCTCCGACGTGCCACAGGCCAGCATTCTCCGGTCTTCAGCAAAGCGCAGGTTGGGCGGGATTCTTCAAGAGCGGACAACTGGCGACGACGCCGCGAAGCGGAGGCCGAAGCCGAGAATAATGTCACAGAAGAGGACGGCAACGCCGGTCCCTCGGGTCCTTCTCCAAATCTACCGTCTGGCTGGGGTTACCGAGCAGGTCACCGGCAAGAATGGGAGCGAAAGTTCAGCCCGTCTAGCTTGTCTGATCAGCAGGAGCAGAGAACCCGCAATCGCTCGTCGGGCTCGATGACTAGCACACACGAACCATTCTCCCAACCTGCGCATACATCGCGTTCCCCGGCACGGAGCGCCCCGCCAGCTCGTAATGCTCTTGGAGAACGCCCAGATGCCGTCAACATGGATCACCAGGGAACACAACAAGGATTGGGCATCAAAGATACGATTCCAGGGAAAGACTCATTCGCGGACGGCGAGCAAATTCCGAACTCTCCAATCACCATCTACAAAAACTCGTCATTCTCCAGGCCGAGTCCCAGCAAACGGGACTCACGGGATCTGTTGCGCAGTCTGTCCAGGTCTGAAAGCCACAAGGCCGATGAAGTTAAAACCCCAGAGCCTCCGAAGCTCTTCGAACGGAAGATTTACGACAAGACTCCCCGTGTCACAGGTGCTTGGATTGACACACCCATGACCCAGCGTGTGGCAGAGAAGATTGAGCTTCCCGAGGACCTGACCAAAGATATTGTACTTCCACGGCCCACCCAAGAGGTGAAGGATCCCAGCCCTCCCGCTCAAAAACCACAGGAAGATGCACCCAAGGCGGAGGTATCAAAGCCCGCCCAGCCAATCGAGGCAGCGCCTGTTCCCGATACACAATCTAGCAAGCCGTTCAGAGCCCCATTGCCTCGACCTCATTTACCGAAAAGTGCTCTTGAAACAGTGATTGAAGATGCTAGCTCAGGGAAGGACGTAGACCTTGGAGATGACACTCTTGAATCTCTCCAGGCTATCATGGATGGCCCGAGCGAAATCAAGGTCGAAGAAGAGGATGATGAAGCCTACGAAAAAGTCGTCCTGGCAAGTCTTGAAAAGGCCAATTCCAAGGAGCCCGATGCTGTGAACTTCGATTCACTCAACCTCAAACTCAACTCGCTGATGAAGCACATCAACGATGTGCAGAAAGGGCTCGACGGGCTCGAAGGGAACGTCACGCGAAGTGTTGCAGTTTCCTCACAGGCCGATCTTCCGAGCAAGGCGAGATCATCAACAGATGTGCATGCAGGCGCACCTTGCAAGGGATGCGGCACATGCACTGACGGACGAGTCTACGCTGCCGTCCGTCTCCCCCGCTTATTCGAACGGCATCCCCGGTCTCAACGCCTCCAGCCAACAAGACTGTTCTGGTTCATCGTCATACCACTGTGTTGGTGGGTCATCGAATGCTTAATGTCGGATTCATTCAGCTACTCCGATATTTCCGAGCCCTGCGATGGATACTGCCTACAGCCAGATGCGCCAGCCTACCCATGGGTAACCGTGACAATGCTTTGGCGCTGGTCTCATCTCTCGGCAATCTGCACGCCTATCTTAACTCTTCTAGTCGCCCTATCCAGGCTGGTGGCACAACTGTTCGGATTCTCGGATGGCTACGTTGATGACTTGCCTGAGCTTACTGATATTGTTGGTGAAATCCGTATCAATGGGACTGCAGTTGCCTTTCCGTGGTTGTCAGCGCCTACGCCGGTAAATGTCGAGTCTCAGGCTCCCATCAAACAAAACCCGCCAGTCCAGCAACCTACGCAACGGCCTGAATATGCTTGGCCACCCGCGGATGCATATACACCACAATGGGGCTCTGATCTACCAACAGGCGACGAGGGAATGGATGATGATGAGTATATCTGATGATCGGTATTTGATCTGGCAGCGTCAAGGGTTTGCTAGTTGCTTACTTCGCGTAACTATTGATATCCATACCTAGTAGCTTTGGAGACATAATTTATCACCGTCATAACGAAAATCTCATCGTATATCAGACTTTGACCTTCCAAGGTTAGAGTCGTTCTTAGGCTATGTTCATGTGGGCAAGCTGTCCAGCAGGATCCCTCCAGCTATTTCCTAAGACTTGATATTCACAGAAAGCAACAACCATCTATTTCCAGCTATTTCCAAGGTTCCAACATTCGATCAAACTGCAATGATAGCATCATATCACACGGGTATTCGCACCACCAATTTGAACAGTAAGATAGGGCAAAAGACACAACAGCAAGTATCAGAGTCGTGCCTTTGCATGCCATTCTTTCTGCATCTCGATCTCTGTCCTCAGTCGCCAATCAATGCTCTTCTTCATCAGAGATCGCACTTCCTCGTCACTGACTCCACAGACTTTTTCAATCGGTATTTCCTTAGTAGACTGCAACTTGAAGCCCCGCCATGTCAGAGTCCCGGTCGATTTCACACGACCGGCCACAGCATCGCGACAGAACTCGGAAAAGCCCTTGAAAAACGCAGTGCTTACTGGAGTTTCCAGAAAAAGCATGCCATGGCAATGTGGCATACCCTCGTACAGTTCTGCTACCAGCGGTACGCCCGCCTCGTGAAGACGACGCGCCACAATCAAGCCTTCATCTGCGAGGCCCTCTTCACCAACAGAGATCATGACAGGTGGCGCATTCTTCCATAATTCAGCCGGAGCAGCGAGCGGAGACACCAGCGGGTGGCCTAGGATAGTCGAATTGCAGAAGATCTCAGCGCGAGGCGGCGATGCAGGCCAAATGTCATCTGGAATAAACGGTATATTCGCAAATGGCACATCGTCCGAGGGCGGAGGCGATGGGTCGAGGTAGTCGAGATACGCGTTGTTGGAGCACGACGGCATCGAGCGGGTTATGTCGCACCATGGCGAAACGCCAGCTACACCCGCCGGCAGCTCAATGGCGACATCCTTGCCACCAAAGCGAACGGTCCGGTTCGTCCGGTCCAGAGTCAAGAGTGTCTGGAGTAGGCACAGGGAAAGGTTTCCGCCTGCAGAGTCACCGGCGATGATGATCTTGTTTGCGGGGACGGGTTGGTGAAGCGAGCCCTCGGGTGGGTGGACGAGGGACAGGTAGGCTGTGAGGGCATCGACGAGGGCAGCAGGGAATGGGTTCTGAGGCGCCAGGCGATAGCGGACGGAGAAGGCCGGGGCGCCAGTCAGGCGGGACAAATGGGCGAGGGGCACGCGGTGAGTGCAGGGGTCCAGCAGACTAGTTCACGTTAGGTGCTGACTGACGCCAATACAGTGGATACTTACAAGTATGCGCCGCCGTGGAAATACAGAATCGTCATGTCCGACGGCGATTCCTCGCGCAGCTTCAAGTACTTCTCTTGTTCCGACAGTTCAGGCTCCGGGGTATTCTTCCCCGCTCCGGCGCGATGTCCAGTCCATTCCCCTTCGACCGGGATGGCCTCTGGGATCTCGAATGTCTCATCGCCTGTCTTGAGCGATTCAATCGCATGCAGAACTGCGTCGCGCACATCATTGTCGGGCTGGGGCAGGGTCACCTTGGATATCCACATGGGACCCTTGACGCCCGGGTCTCGAATACCATCCCGCTGAGTTTTGCCCAGCGGGGCCCTGGTTCGCAAGTAAGATCGGATGATCGCGACAGTCAACTCGGTCCGGAGGTCTTGTTTCCCCTTCACGGGGGACATCTGAATGCCATGGAGGAGAGCGGTCTTGAGGACCAATGGGACATTCACCAGGAATGCCTTCAACAGGGCTAGACGTGCTTTCAGGGAACTCATGACAAACGACGGTCAGGAGGGAGGATCTCGCGAGGTGATTTATAGAACGTGAAAACCGGATTTGGTGCCGAGGTCCGCGCTCCACCTTTTGCGCCGAACAGACTCAAAATTGGCCGGTCTTGACTATACCCTGTACGGAGTACGCGAGATCTCAATATTGTCCTGTAACATCCTGGAATTGGGATGTTTCTCGTGATATCCATGGATGGATGGGGCTCACCGGACACGACAAGGGATCAGTGGGACCTATCATCTTCAAAGTGCATCTGCAAGGGCGTATACGGAGTCCGTGAACTCAAGATTCAAGGGAGTGAAGTACCAGTGACCGCGTCGGATCCGAACTGCAGTACTAGTAGTAGTAGTAGGTAACGCGATGGGAAGTATCAGGTTTCATAAATAAGCTTATGCGTATGCAAAGCCTAAATGGGCTCCACTAGACTCCATAGTCATATAGTTAGATAGTTAGACATTAGATAGTATACAATACAGTACAGTAAGTAACTTCTGAACCTTGGAAGTCCCGTTCTCATCCGAGTTGGAATTATGGCAATCCATGGATCTCATCTGTCTGTGAACTACTATTCAAATCAGATCCCTTGATATTGATCGACGTACTTTAGTCTCGAGTATTGGCCTAGCTACTAATTAGGTATGCTACTTTGCAGTACTACCTAGGTAGTACAATTGAACCACAGATATAAGCTAATGAAGACGCTCTAGATAGACCATATGAGATCAGACAAAAGACAAAAATAAAAGACAAACAGAATCACCTGGTGAGAGCAGAGGGAGAGTGTCCAGATGTCATTAAAAGTGGGCTGATTACTTAATGTCAGCCTTGGGCGGCAGGAAATGTGTATCCGGCATTTTGTTTCAGGTCCTCACATTTGACATTTGACATTTGACATATTGCATTTGCATTTGCATTTTGGCTTATGCCCTTTCGCGCTTGATGGGAGCCTGCTCTACTTGAACCCTCTGACACGCATGGTGAGCCACTGAATTCCAGATGGAGGAGAGCAACCCCTTCGGCGAGGATCTGCCGCTGCCACCGGCTCGACTGTTCGAACGTCTAGGCCAACTACAGGGCTACACCTGGGACCAAGCCGTCGAGCCCTTTCACTCGACATACAACCACTGGCACATCACGGGATATCGCCATGCCTTGGAGTCCGACCTGTCAACGCCGCATGCCACCTCCTCCGGCCCCTCCAGCTTCACGCGCTTCTCCCCCCGGACAGAAGCCCGACCGTCAGCCCGGGCCCTACGAAGACTCAGTGTGAGCGACACAAGCAGTGAGGTATCCCTCTCGAATCACCATAGCCTGGAGGCGGAGACGGTGTGGATCCCCGTCATCGCGCGCATTTCCACCAACATAGTGCGCCTGGAGCGGGAGTTTCACATGCTGCGCTCGATCGTACAATCTTCAGACCCGGATTGCAATCACACAATACGACCGCTCGACTTGGTCAGGGTGCAACAGGATTCCGGGAACTCGTCAACGCTGCTGGTCGCCATCTTTGAATCCCCCGGGCACGACAGGCTGCGAGACCTCGTGACATTCGGCCCCGCCTCCTTTGCGGCGGGATCGCGGGGAGAGGACAACAACGCGACGCCTAGTGAGCAGGTCTCTCTGCAGGCGTTCTTCGATTTCGCCATTGGCGCGTGTGACTGCTTGGAAATTCTCCACTACGGCCTGAAAACGGTGCATGGGGAAATTCGAGGAGATGCCTTCCACTTCTCCGCTGAGACGGGTGCCGTGAAACTCGCAAACACCGGCAATGGGGCAAGATCATTCGACAATGTGCTCAGCGAGGGGTGGTCTTCCGTCTCCCGGGAGCTCGGAGCCAAATACAAGCTGCAATTCATCGCACCCGAGCAGACGGGGAGAATGCCCACTGAGCCGGATAGTCGCACGGACATTTACGCCCTGGGCCTCTTTTTCTGGTCTATGCTAGTTGGAAAGCTACCGTTCGAGGGAAACGACCCCGTGGACGTTGTTCAAAACGTGCTAGGAAAGAGGCTCATCCCGGTATCTGGCAAGCGAATGGACATCCCGGATGCTCTCTCAGCCGTGGTTCAAAAAATGACCCAAAAGGTCGTCCATGATCGATATCACACCATTTCCTCGGTGAAGAGAGACCTGACTCACATTCTGAAATTGCTTGGAGATGGAGATGGAGATGCTCTCAATAAGTTCCGAGTGGCACAAGGCGACGTATCGTCCTTTTTCACTCTCCCCACACAAATGTTCGGTCGCCAAGAAGAATACGACAAGATCATGAGTGTCATACAAAAGGTCAACAAGCGCCAGGCGGCCGCAATGGCCAAAGCCGGAGCCCAAAGCCCGGGAACAATGCATGCGCTCACTTCCGCCTCGTCCATCGCCGAGAGTAGGGTCGAAAGTCTCGACTGTGCATCGATATCCACCGATTCTGGCTCTTTCCACCTTCCCCCGCGATCGAGCTCTAACGTCACGACTCACCACATTGCCCAAGCAAATGCCCAAGATGCTGCGACAGGTGGTGATGATGCGCCATCTGCAACTCCTAGGAACGGTCCAATCCAAATTCCCGACGTATACAGCCAAAGCCCACGAGCACAGTCAAGCAGGATGAAAAGCCCATCGCATTCCCGATCGTCTCATAATACAGATCCCTCCGTTGGCCCCCAGAGTTTGCCCTCAACCAGCTATAACACCAGCCAACCGGACTCATTCCATTCTCTGATCAAACAGAAGACAGGTAGCAAGATTCGCCGGAATGAACGTTGTGAAGTCATCACAATCAGCGGTGCTGCCGGGATTGGCAAGACAGATCTTCTGAACCGAATCCAGCCGACAGTTCGCAAGCTCGGGTGTATTGCGATCACTCGCCTGGACCGAGCCAAGCGCGTCCCCTTTGAGCCATTTGCTAAGCTGTTGGCAAGCCTTTTGCGCCAGATCTTCTCAGAGCGAGATGTAACTACCGACTATCATAACAGCGTCCGGATGGCGTTGCGGCCGATGTGGCCCACTCTTCACAAAGTCCTGGAACTTCCAGAGCAGTTGATGTCCCCGGGCGCGAAGTACAGACCCACGGAGGCTAAACCTGACTTGTTTGTGCCAGAAAAGGGAGAACCATCCAAACACGTTCGGATCCCCGGATTAGACCAGGGTCAGAGTTCTCTTGATTTCTTCTTGGCCAACGCCGCTTCAAAGAACATGCAGCTCATGGACACATTCCTGGAGATCTTGAGAACTCTTTGCCACTTCAAGCTTATCACCATTTGCCTTGATGATCTTGAACATGCAGATGATGAGACTTTGGATCTCGTTTTGAAGATAATCAAAGCAAGACTCCCATGTGTGATAATCTTAGCAAGTCGCAAAGACGAGATTGCCTCAACCCAGGTGAGGTCTCTATTCGAGCAGGACCAGTCCTGTGTCACTCGCATTGAACTTGCGCCGTTAGAAGAGCAGCATGTCATGGAAATCATCGCGGTGACGATGCATCAGCAACCGAACCAAACATTGACCCCATTATGTGCTGTCATTCAAGAAAAGAGTCGTGGAAATCCCTTCTACGTTCGGGTGATGCTTGAAACTTGTTACAGGACAAACTGCATTTGGTATTCGTGGAAGGACTCGAAGTGGCTCTTTGATCTCGATCGGATATTTACGGAATTTGTGGCTCCAGAGTATGGGGAAGAGCTTGGACTCGGGTTCCTCACCAGGCGACTTCAGGGTATTCCGTCCACCGCCCGATCGATCATGATATGGGGAGCTCTCTTGGGCAGTCCTTTCTCCTTCTCCTTGGTTCAGAAGCTTCTCACCAGCGAATTCCTCTATTCGACCGGTGATGACGAGGATATGGATCTCACATCCCCGCAAAACGTGACCTTGATTAGGCAATCCGAAGGTGATATAGTGGTTGGATTACAATTCCTGGTTCAGGCCAATCTCTTGAACGCTGGAAAGACGGACGATGAGTTCAGGTAAGATTATATCTCTTGACACGGACGTTGAAATCGGGATTCGCAGTTCTGACCAAATCTCCAGGTTCGGTAACGAGCGCCTTGCGCAGGCCGCACTCTCTTTGAGCGAGAGTAGGAATGTGGAGAAAATGCACTTCATTGTTTCACAGGCCTTGATGAAATATTACCACGACCATCGCAGCCGTTACTCCATGGCTCATCATGTGGCACTGGCTTCTCGAACGATCAAGACCCGTGTTGCTAAGCGACTGGAGTATCGCCGAATCTTGTGGGATGCCGGTCAGACAGCGTCTCAGTCCGGTGCGCGGCCATCTGCGCTCTGGTATTTCCGCCACTGCATTGCCCTTCTTCAGGACGACTTGTGGAATGACGTCCAACCGGACGTCTATTATGATGAGACTATGCGGTTGTTCATCGCAACTGCCGAAATGGCATGGTCCCAAGGGCAAAACGAGGAAGCTCTTCAGTTGATCGACGAGGTTTTTGCTCACGGCAAAGACGCTGTCAGCAAGTCAAGAGCCTGGATCATCAAAGCCAAGATCTTTGCGCAGGTAGGCGATCACCACCACTCTATGGAGGCACTCCTCACTTGTCTCGATGAGCTTGGGGTGCATTTACGCCAGCCCACGAGCTACGAGGAATGTGATGCAGCTTATTTGCGTTTGAAGACTTATCTAGAGACTGTCGACCTGAGCTCCATTGCACGAAAGCCAATCTCTCAAAACCCAACTGTGATGAACATCGGTGCAGTCATGGCAGAGGCCATGACAGTCACTTACTGGGACGACGCATTGGTTTTCTACCGCATGGCCATTGAAGTCATGAATATTCATATCTTCAAGGGTGGATTTACACAGATTGCAATTGGCTGCTCGCATCTCGCCATGATCTCTCTAGGTCGCTTCAAAGATATCGAATTTGGCGCCAAGCTGAGCGATCTGTCGCTGGAATTACTCGAGCGCTGCCCCGAGCTTTGGACCCAAAGCAGAGGTTCAATTGTCCATAACCTCTACGTTAGCCATCTCCGGGTCCCCATGGCGTCTACTCTCCCAGCCCTGGAGACCTCACTTGAGGCATCTTTCTCAATGGGCGATCCTTATTTGACTCTGATCAGTGTCTCATCGATGGCCATGACGCGATTGTATCTCGGTCAGGACATGACTCAGCTGGAAGCCTTTTGCATTGAGGCTCCCGAAGAAATCCCAAATTGGCAACGGGATACACGCGGTGGAGCCAGTATTATCTCAGTCCAACAAGTCTCCCGTGCCCTCCAGGGTAAGACTGACTTCCGAACCGCCGACGGTATAATGTCGGACGCCGAGCACAATACAGCCGACTTTATGACTTACTTGGATGCTCATTCCACCAACGCTGACAGGCCTCGTGACATTTACTGGGGGCTTGCCATGATACCCTTGTTCCTCTTCGGCCACCACACCAGAGCAGTCGAGGTCGGCACCCAGTTACTGTTCACGAAACATAGGCTTTGGTCTGCGCGTGTGTCTTATGTGATTCAATTCTACCTGGCAGCTTCACTTCTCATGCTTCACAATGATAACCCGGCGCAAGGATATCTTGACGGCAAGATGGACACCTTGAAAGAATACAAGACCGAGATTGATATTGCTCGATCTTCATCGGAAGCAAACTATGGAATGTGGTCATTCATCTTGGAGGCGCTGATCTCCGAGGTTCACAATGACCACAGTGCTGCTATTCAGGGATACGAAGCTGCCATTGACCATTGTCAAATCCACGGTTGGCCTCTTGAGGAGGCATTAGCTCTTGAGCTGCAAGGCGAGTTCCTCATTCGACGGGGAGCTAAGAGAGCCGCTCGTGCCGTTATCCAGGAAGCTATCGCCGCGTGGAGCTCAATCGGTGCCGGAGGTAAATCAACGCAACTCGCCGAAAAGCATGAATGGCTACTCAAGACTGCGACCTCGGCAAAGACCGTCGATGTTGGCTGTCAAACTGTTGACTCGCTTCTTGAAATTAGCCGTGAAGTTGCCGAAGAAGAGATCTTGATCCCCCAGCAAATGGAAGAGAACGAAAGAAGGCAACATTGGATCGATCAGAATGGCGTCGCCACTGGAGAGCCATCCATGGACATATCAAGTGTGGGGCTAGATATCATTGACCTGAGTAGCATCCTCGAGTCCAGCCAGGTCATGTCCTCGGAGCTTCAGATTGACAAGCTTTTCACCAAAATGCTTGAGATTATCTTGGAGTCATGCAACGGATCCGATTTTGCAATCATTGCTACCGACTTCGATGACAATGGTTTCGCGGTTGCTGCGGCCGGTGATGCCGAGAAGGGACAAAAGTCCTTCCCTGAGGGTCTGCCATTTTCGGAAATGGATGACCGGATCGCGCTCCAAATCTCGCACTATGTTATGCGCACCAAGGAGGAGGTTCTTGTTCACAACGTCCTCGAGGATGAACGTTTCTCGAATGTGAGCGAGTCTTATCTGGCAAATTTCCCACAAGGTCGGTCTGTCATCGCATTGCCAGTCGTTCAAGGTGATCATCTACTTGGCGTCATTCACCTGGAAGGTAAACCAAATTGGTTCACACAACGGAATGTTGTTGTGCTACATCTCCTCTGCAACCAGGTTGGTATTTCGCTGTCCAATGCCTTGCTGTTCCGCGAGATTCGAAAGGTCAGCGCCAAAAACGCTTCCATGATTGAATCGCAGAAGCGTGCGCTGGCCCTGGCGCGTGAGGCCGAACAGAAAGCCAAGAATGCCGAGGCCGAAGCCAAACACAACGTGAAGCTGAAGGAAGATGCAGCAAGGGCCAAGTCAATTTTCCTTGCCAATATTTCCCATGATCTCAGGACTCCCATGAATGGCGTAATTGGTCTGTCGGAACTTCTCAAAGGCACGCCTTTGGACAAGGAACAGGATGAATACGTGGAATCGATCCGTGTGTGCGCTGATACCTTGCTCACACTGATCAATGACATTCTGGACTTCTCGAAACTGGAAGCCGGGAAAATGAAGATCTCCACCGTTCCACTCAACCTGAAGCAAACGATCTCGGAAGTCATTCGTGCTTTGCGGTACACACATCGTGACCGGGGACTGGAAACTATTGAGGATTTGGACAAGGTTCCACCAGAGCTGGTGGTGCTTGGAGATCCAGTCCGTTTGCACCAGATTTTCATGAATCTACTCAGCAACAGTTACAAGTTCACGCCTGCCGGATCAGTCACGGTCAAAGCCCGAGTCGCTCGCGAGGGCAAGGGCCGTGTTCGTCTTGAATGCTCAGTTGCCGACACTGGTATCGGAATCCCAGACGAGCAGAAAGCTCGCCTCTTCCGGCCATTCTCGCAGGCCGATGCTTCCACGGAAAGATCTTACGGCGGCAGTGGTCTTGGTTTGTCAATTTGCAAGGCCATCATTGAGGATGTTCTCGGTGGCGCGATTTGGCTAGAATCTACCTCCGGGGTGGGAACTACTGTGACATTCCACCTGGTCTTCAACAAAGCACCGAAAAAGACAGCAGTGCAAACCACGTGGTCGCAGGACTTAAACAAAGCGGAAAAAGAAGCCCGTCGGTCCTCAGCCCGCGATCTCACTCAAATCCCCCGAGATCAAATCCGAGTGTGTATTGCCGAAGACAACCCCATCAACCAAAAGATCGCAGTCAAATTCGTCACAGGTCTCGGCCTTCAATGCGAAGCATACAGCGATGGCAAACAAGCCGTTGATGCCCTTCGCGCAAAATCCGAGGAGGGCAATCCCTTCCATGTAGTTCTCATGGACGTCATGATGCCCACCCTGGACGGATACAACGCCACCCGTGAGCTACGTCGCGACCCAGATCCCAACGTCAACGAAGTCCTAGTCATTGCCATGACTGCCAGTGCCATTGAAGGGGATCGCGAAAAATGCCTGGAAGCCGGCATGAACAATTATCTCCCGAAACCGGTTCGCTCGCCCATCCTGAGTGAACTCCTGGACAAATACCTCGCCCCGGTACCCTCCTACCCGAAGTCTCGGCTGGCGATTCGAGAAAAGCGTTCCCGGGCAAGCATGGATGCTGGTGCTGGCACGCCCACTAGCTTTTCTTCCTCGGCCTCGGATGAGCCGAAGCCCTTGTCCTTGGAAAAGAAATGATTCTACGCATTTGTTAATTTATACCCCGATTTTTATGCAGATAGAAGGCGTCATTGCGGTGCATGGTTTTTGGTTTACATGTTGATACATGATATGTTCATTCTTCATTTAGTGCATATTTCTTTGGACAGTGAAACCTAGTGATCGCAGTTGTTATTATTCCAAGATTCGTGTCTATCTACCATCCGTGAAAATAGGTGCATTTTGAAGATTGGAGTATCTGACGTCGCCTGCATTTAGTCACCATCTGGGCAGCTGTCTTTCTCGCTTGATCTATTGGCAAAAGAGCTCAGCTTGTATCTCTGATCTCATGCATTCCCTAGGTACCTAGCTTCGGCCAACGAGCCCGCTTGTTTCATCAGGGCTCACGAGCTCAGTCGGCGAAAGTTTGAATTGGTCTTGCCTTGCAGTGCTCTGCATTATGCTCCCAATGTACCACGAAGGTATGAAATGACGCTTTTGCAGTCGAGACCTCTGTCCGAGCATTTTTCAGGTAGAATCTCGAAGTTGACTTGGCTGCAGAGTTGTAATGTTGACCGGGCTGTTTGTACGACCACGAATTCTCTTCTCAGTCAGAGATCCGAAACAGAGTGGGCAGATTGTTGCATTCTACCACTAATCCACGATCACCGATGCATAGCAATTCAAGATGAGAAAGCGATGTAATGAAGATGAAGATGTCCCATATTCAAAGTTCAAACATGATATAGGTATTAAGTCGCGTCGGTTCTAATGAAACACCAGTAATGCGGTCCAGGGCTTTTTGTTGAGCGTCCACCTCACATGCCTTTATCTATTTTCGATGGCCTTGATCGCCTTGATCGCCGCAGTTTCCAGAGCCTTGTACCTCCACTCGTATTGTAACATTGCCCTCATGTCGTTTGCCGAGCGACCCTCCTCTAGACCCGCCATTTCTCGTCCATTTTGCATCTGAATCTCCCAGCATTTGAGGATTTGCGCTTGGGTATTTGAAATTGATGCGATATTGGGGTTGTGCATGGCCGTACGCTCTTCAATTGTAGTGCAGTACGACACTTTGGCTCGGAAGAGAGCTAGTTCGCATTCGTCATATCGTAATCCCTTCGCCTCTGGACCGGGTCCCGAGCTCTCGATTATAGTTCTTGGGGGCATCTTGAAGGTGCAAAGCGGAAGAAAGATCCAGGTTGTGCAGACGATGTTCAATCTGTGATGGTTGTCACAATGTGATGGAGATGTATATTCGCGGAACGCGGGACGCGGAATGGGTCTACACAGTAGACAAAGTGGTTGCTAATCACGCATACAGATGGTTTCTGAAGAAGAAGAAACATCAGAGAATGCAGCGAAGATGGGTTATATCACTCGATCACCGTCGTGCCTCGCCCGATACCCGACATTCTCGTATCACATCTCCAACCCCCCATCTGCAGCACAAAAGGGGGGGCATGGCCACCATCGGTTCCCAGAAATAGAAGGAGATTGAAAGACACATGCGCAAACACGCAGGTCAAGAAGTTCAACAAACCCAACCATCTGGCTCTTATTGGCGCCTGGACAAGAACATGCAGGTCTCGTGTTAAGTGGCGATGACCGCGTTTGCTTCTCTCCCTGCCAATGAAGTCAATTGACTTCTGAGAAAAGCCACAGTGACACGATGTTTGAATCGGACGCAAGTTGACTTGCATGACTAAATGAGGTTCGAAGGGTCGAGCGTCAGGTGCAGTCCCGTCGCGGTCCGTATGGCCGTGCATCGTGTATCAGACGCCAAGGCATTGTACGCCTTATACCCTCTTGACTGTCTGCACTCCCATGTACCCGCCACGAGGTCCAGTCATTTCGACCTAGATCCCAGGCCGGTAACCGCCTTACACGAGGATAGAGTTGATGTAGCCTGCCCGTCATTTCCATCCTTTGTCTTTTGCAGTTCCCGAGGCCATTGTTCGTGGTCATCTGCATGGCGAGCTGTCTAGACCAGATGATTTCTAGGATCGTAATTGGTAATTGGTATCTCGGGAAGGGATTATTTCACGCGTAGGAAACGAAATCGAAATCCACCAGCTGAGATATGCTTTCTCGCTATTCAAGGATTGCCATATCAGGCTTCAGGGCTTCCTGTGACACCGCAGACTGCAGGAAACCCGTTGGCGGTTTGGGATTCCCAGCACATGACGCAAGTCGAAAAAAAGAAACTGGAAAGATCGTCGCGAAGTATCCAGGGAGAATAGGAACAAGTTGCCTGAGCTTCCCTGATTCGTTTGTACAACGCTGCAACCCGAAATGTAGGGTACTGAGTGCTGATTGGATTCTGGACTGGTGGCAATGCCTCTCGGGGAAATCAAGACACCAACCTGGAAGTGTTGCTTAGGGCTTGTGGGGTCATCTGATGGTTCCATACACTGTGAAGAAGCCATGAAAAGCTGGAAAAGGAAGCTGGTAGGGGTCCAGAGAATTTACCAGCTCGTGTTGTTGTCTCATCCACGTCTGAGAAGACGAAACCCGGGATAAATTGTGTAACAAGTCATGGGTAGGTGCTGAGATCGGATCCGACGCGTTTCATCTGCCTGATCTACGCTTAGGCTTGGAGAGATGCAAAAGTCAATAGATCACACCATTCAGAACTTGGAATAAAAAGCAATATAAGCCTCCCGAAGCTCAGAATCAAGCAAACAATCACACGAGTTTCTCACACATCCTCTCATAGTTCAGCCTCTTCATCCCGGGCTGCATCGGCTCTTGCCTTCTTGGCCTTTTGAATATCCAACGACATCTTCACCGGGTGGATCCCCGGGGTTTCAAACACCGTGTTAATCTCCTCCAGAGCCAGACCGCCAGTCTCGGGGAAGAAGAAGTAGGACAACGCCAGCTGAATGGAGTTGTACGCAATGTACACAACCCAAATCTTGTATCCGACCTTTGCAATCCCGACTCCAATTCCGTAAGACTGCGCTGCTCCTGCGCCGCCTTGGATGAGACTGTACAGACCCATGCCCTTGGCACGGAGAGGTAGTGACAGAATCTCGATCGGGTACAGATTATGCATGGTGGCAACAAAGGTCGCCGAGAAGGTCTGATAGAGGAAGATCCAGAGGAGCGTGAGTGCGGCCGCGGCCGAGGTGGCTTGTAATGAATATTGCCACGATGTAATGGTGGTGGCTGTCTGGAAGATGATCATACTGATGAGGCCTACGAAAATCATGATCCGCCTGGTTAACTTGTCCACTAAGAGTGAGCCAACGGCCGTGAACACAAAGTATACAGCCGTGGTGCCGATGTTGATGCCGAGTTGCTGTTTGGGGCCATCGATGTTCAACTGCTCGAGGCACGGAACCAACTGGGAAAGAGTGTCAGAGTTGATGTACAATTAATCTTCCATTCCTCCAACTTACGTAGTATGTGATGATTCCACCTCCATTCCACTGCTGGAAAAGCGAGTACAGAACCAGAACAAAGAGTCGGTAGCGGGCCACCTTGGTAAAGAAGACCCGGAAGTCCCAGAAAGATCTGTAGCCTGTCCGGTCGTTCTCGAGAGACTCTTCAATCTGTCTGACGACAATCTCGACAATAGGCTCATTGATATCGGTACTAGTCGTGTGGTACTTGGCGATGATCTCCTTGGCCTTTTGGCGATTTCCCTTCAACACGTAGTAACGAGGTGACTCTGGCGTGATAAGATATATTCCAATACAGACAATAGCCGGGAACAAAGCCTCGAGGATGAGAGGGATACGCCAGCAGTTGTTTCCTGGTAAATTTGAGAGCCCGACCATAGCGCCGAGCATAACAAGACTACCGACCTGGAAGCAAGCACCGAAGAAACCGACCATGCGACCGCGCAGATGAATGGGCGCGATCTCACCAATATACTGCGAGCTGGACATCAATGCCGTGCCGAAGCCCATGAAGAACCGACCGGCCATGAACATAGGAAGATTCACCGCGAGGCCCTGCATCAGGGACGCGAATATGACAATGGCATTCCCGGCGAAGTTGATTCCGCGACGACCGATGACATCCGATAGAGCCATGAAGGGAGACCCGCAGACTGTCCCGATCTGCATCAGAGCATTCAGCAGGCCATAAGTACCACCACTTGTCCCGAAGCCGAAGTAGTCATGCCATGGGCCCATAGAGTTGATGCCGCTGATGACTCCCCAGTCCACTCCGAAGCCAGCCTGATTGCAGCCGTGAATGAACATGATGAGTCCCAGACGGACGCCTGTCCATGACCAAACGGTCAGGGATTCCTCTGACAGCTTCCATAGATCCTCCTCTGTCACCCGTGCCAATGCTATCTCTTCGACATGTTCGCGGGTGTTTGCCTTGTCAAACTCGGCCTCCGTGTAGGCGGTGCTTGACTTGTCCATGTTGAGACGAGTGAGAGGGACGTCAAGGATCCGTATGAAGGGCCCGGGATATATGGGCGAAGAACCGTTTGCTCGCAGTCCAGGATTAGCGGTGCTTTTCCCTTGGTTTTAGTAGATTGAAGCTAGGGGGCTCGGTCGGCAGTCATGCTATTGACCTATTCCGCCACGGAGACCAGACTCGCGACATTGACTTGTGGCAAGATCTAGTGGGATGGGCTTTCATTGGCGAAAGGAGGCAGAGAGGCAACTGTTGGCGTCAGTCACGTTGTCCATTTCTGACATCCCTGCGCCCTTTGCTTTTTTTCTTTTCTTTGAACACACATTCCTGGGGTTTTCCCACCACTGGGATCAGACTCTGCGGCAGACTAGCGTCGAATGAATCAAAACCTGACCTACAAGCCCCTCGCTTTGACGCACTATCTCAATCAAGCCTGGTGCTGGGGGATTTAACCGGAATCTGGGGAAGCGGGAGCTAGGGCTGCGGTGAGATTCAGCCTGATCAGCCCGACATGGCGGGGGGCGCAGAGTCTGAGACTTCAGCATCCAGCGAACAGGCTAAATGCAGGCTATTATTTCCCAAAGTGAGGGAGCGACTGGCACCAACGCCGAGTGGTTAGACCTCTATCAGTGGCTCAAAAGTCAATTGCGAGAGACAAAGATCAGAACTCAGTGAACATGTCTGAGCTATGGTATCAACAGCCTGCTCCCGACTGGAATGCAGCCTTACCAGTTGGCAATGGACGCCTGGGTGCCATGGTATACGGTCGCACTGATACGGAAATGCTTCAACTCAATGAAGACTCCGTGTGGTATGGAGGCCCTCAGAGACGAGATCCACAGGATGCCTTCCAGTACCTCCCACACCTGAGAGATGCAATCCGCAAGGGGGACCATCCCGAAGCAGAGAGGATAGCCAGATTGGCTTTCTTTGCCAATCCGACAAGCCAGCGGAATTATGAACCCCTGGGGAATCTTTTCTTAGACCTGGGCCACGATCCAAAAGAGGTATTGAATTATCGGCGCTCGCTGGACTTGGATACTGCGGTGGCACATGTCAGCTATGAGTATCAGGGTATCCGATTCGAACGTGAAGTCCTGGCTAGCAGTCCCGACAATGTTCTCGCAGTTCGGGTACGTTCGTCCAGCAAGGCAGAGTTCGTGGTTCGATTGACGCGAATGAGTGATTTGGAGTTCGAAACGCATGAATGGCTCGACGATATTCATACCAGTAAAAATTCCGTCACGATGCACGTTACACCAGGTGGCAAGAACAGCAACCGGGCATGCTGTATAGTATCCGTCCGCTGTGACAGCGATGATAGCACAGTCACTACAGTCGGCAATAACCTTGTGGTGAATTCCAGTGACACATTACTGGTGATTGCAGCAGAGACCACCTTCCGCCATGAAAACATTGATCAGCAAACTATGCAAGATGTACAGAACGCACTATGTCTCTCTCGGGAGGAGCTGAGGAAGCGCCATATCTCCGACTACCAATCACTGTACAACCGAATGGAATTTCGACTGGGGCCAGACTCTCCTGAAATCCCTACCGACAAACGTCTCCAATCTTCTCGAGACCCGGGACTCATTGCACTTTACCAAAACTACAGCCGCTATCTTTTGATAGCATGTAGTCGCAATGGGTACAAATCCCTACCAGCAAACCTTCAAGGCATCTGGAACCCATCCTTCCATCCTGCATGGGGGTCCAGGTTCACCATCAACATCAATCTGCAAATGAACTACTGGTTATCGAATATGTGTAACTTGTCGGAATGCGAACTGCCTCTTTTCGATCTACTGGAGCGCATGGTCGAGACTGGCCAAGACACAGCCCGTATTATGTACGGGTGTCGGGGTTGGACAGCGCATTCCAATACAGACATCTGGGCTGATACAGCTCCTGCAGACCGGTGGATGCCAGCTAGTATCTGGCCATTGGGTGGTGCATGGCTGTGTTACCATATCTGGGATCATTTCCAGTACACAGGCGACGAAAGGTTCCTTCGCAGGATGTTTCCCACGCTACGTGGGTGCGTTGAATTCCTCTTAGATTTCTTGGTTGAAGATGAAAATGGTGAATATCTGATCACCAGTCCATCTGTCTCCCCCGAGAATTCCTACTATGACCATACAGGAGAGAAGGGGGTCCTCTGCGAAGGATCCACCATCGATATTCAGATCGTTGACGCAGTTCTAAGCGCATTTCAAGCCTGTGCAAAAATACTTAGCGTCGATGATTCTCTTCTTCCGCAAGTAAAGTTGACCAGGAACCGCTTGCCACCCATGCAAATCGCCGATGCAGGCTATTTACAAGAATGGGCCGCGGACTATGCAGAGGTCGAGCCCGGACACCGCCATACATCTCACTTGTGGGCGCTACATCCTGGCAATGCGATCACCCCAGCACACACCCCTAAGCTAGCGGTGGCCTGTGGGGCAGTCCTGCGCCGTCGAGCCGAGCACGGTGGGGGCCACACGGGCTGGAGTCGAGCCTGGCTTATCAACTTACATGCGCGTTTACTGGAGGCCAAGCAGTGCAGCGAGCACCTAAAGTTACTTTTCACTAAATCCACCTTGCCTAATCTGCTAGACAGTCATCCGCCCTTTCAGATTGATGGCAACTTTGGTGGTGGAGCGGGTATCATTGAAATGTTGATCCAGTCACACGAGCCTGGGGTGATTCGGATCCTTCCGGCGTGTCCGAGGGACTGGACTGGGTCTATTCGGGGAGTGCGGGCACGCGGGGGATTTGAGCTGCAATTTGAATGGGAGAATGGTTGTGTTGTTGGCGTAGTGAAGGTCAAGTCAGACTGTGGAGAGAGGGTAGTGGTTTACCTGAACGGAGTAGAACGAGAAATCACCGGTCATGGTGAGCATATCATACAGGCCTCTTAGCAATAGATAGGTACTCAAGCTTCAAAGTTCTTTCTTCGACCTTGGCAGTCATATATACCTAGTACTAGGTATTACTTCCAAGGTTATAACATTCCAAGGTTTTCCCTGTTAGCCATGAAGGTCTCCCTACACCGTTATGCGGATACAAAGGCTTCGATGATAGTAACTGTACTGCTTTCACCTTCAATCCTACAAGGTGTTTATCACCGTTTCACAACCAATGCGTGCACTGTGTGCATCCAGGATCGACGAGAGTATAGATCCCCCGCTCTCCCGATTCATCACGGAGCTCAGTCCGCCCCCACCGGTTAAATGTGATCAATTCGACCGTCTGTATATTGTTTATTCTTTGATGGGATCTCGCTTTAATTCTTGGTTTATGAAATACCCAATTCACGCAGCATGGATCTGAAATCGGTACAAGATTTGAAGGGCGTCCTGAGACCGGACTTCTTTCACGGTTATGCCACAGCAGCAGCTCAAATAGAAGGCGCTTGGAATGAAGATGGAAAAGGAGAGTCCATCTGGGATACATTCGGACACACTCCGGGCAAGATCGCCGATGGCAGTACAGCCGACGACGCCGTCCGGGCATACGACTTCTACCGAGAAGATGTAGCCCTAATGAAGAGCTACGGCGTCAACGCCTATCGATTCTCTCTGGCTTGGTCGCGAATCATCCCACTGGGAGGCCGCGACGACCCCGTCAACGAAAAGGGCATTCAGTTCTACTCCGATCTCATCGATGAGCTTCTTCGCAACGGGATCACCCCGTTCCTCACTCTATTCCATTGGGATATTCCCCAGGCATTGGAAGACCGATACGGAGGCATGCTGAACCAAGATGCCTATACACCAGACTTCGTCCGCTATGCCCGCGTCTGCTTCGAGCGCTTCGGCGACCGGGTAAAGCATTGGATCACCTACAATGAGCCCGGGGTGTACACTCTAGCTGGATATGCAGCGGGCGTGCATGCGCCTGGAAGGTCATCTTTCCGGGAGCGCAATGCCGAAGGCGATTCATCCACCGAGCCCTTCACTGTCGCTCATACCGAGCTTGTGTCGCACGCGCATGTGTCACGTCTGTATCGCGATGAGTTCCAGGCTCGGCAGAATGGCACCATTGGAATTACGCTGCATGGAAACTGGTCGGAGGCGTGGGATGAAGAAGATCCGCGGGACCAGGAGGCTGCAGAACGAGCGCGCGAGTTTGAGATCGCCTGGTTCGCGGATCCTCTGTACAAGACTGGCGATTATCCTGCGTCGATGCGTGCACAGCTGGGTGATCGCTTGCCCAGATTCACGGCTGAGGAGTCCAAACTTGTACTGGGGAGCTCGGAATTCTACGGAATGAATAGTTACACCACCTTTTTCGTGGAGCATACGACGACACCGCCGGATATTAATGACCACAAAGGCAATGTGAAGATTCACGACGAGAACAAGCAAGGTGTGTCTCGTGGGGAGGAAAGTGATACACCGTGGCTGCGGGCTGCACCAGGCGGATTCAGAAAGCTGTTGAACTGGATCTATAAGCGATACCAGATGCCAATTTATGTCACTGAAAACGGGACCACAGCCAAGGGTGAAACAAGTCCCACGCCTGAGGTCCTTGATGATCAATTCCGAATCCGATTCTTTGAGGGTTATGTAGGTAATGCACTCGCACGCGCCGTGAAAGAGGATGGGGTCGATGTTCGTTCATACTTCGCTTGGACATTCACGGATAACTGGGGTAAGTTGACCGGTCGATCACCATGGCAAACATACTGAACTAACTCTGCATAGAATGGGCTGCTGGATATGCCGATCGCTTCGGGTGTACATTTATCGACTTTGATGCTGCGGAGAAAACGCGATATCCCAAACAGTCTGCGTATTATCTGGACAAACTCTTCAAGCACCTGATATCAGATGCCTAGATTAGCATAGCCTATAGTAAATGCGACTTGCACATTGGCTCATCAGCGTTGGAGTCGGTTGGAGTACCGAGGCGAAGTGTAAATCATAGATAACAGTCTCTCCCCGTACGTCTCCCGAGTCTCTCTCACTTCATCTCACTAAGATGACATCGGAAAATAACCCAATAAAGCTGACACTCAAGGGCAGTCCCCGAGAAGTACGTCTAGAGTCGATACCTCTGCAATGGATACTGACTACTCGCATTAGATCGGACTCCAGCATGGCCGGGCCTTGCGTGAACAGATTCATAGCCAAGTGGCCATCTACGATCTGATGTTCCAGCAGACCTCCAACCTGACCTGGAAAGAGGTGCGCGAGGTCGCCAAGGAGTTTCAGTCAACTTTGAAGGTCTTGACGTCACATCTACTGGTGGAGATGGAAGGTATCGCCGAAGGTGCCGGCCTTGACGTACTCGATATTATAGCGCTCAACTGTCGGAGCGAAATTGCCCTCGGAAAGTTCTCCGATGGCTGTACTACGCTATGCTGGAAGAAGAGCGGCGGCCGAGTTCTGTCGCAAAACTGGGACTGGACAGCAACCGTCAAGAAGAATCTTGCTATGGTCTCCATCGAGCAGGAGGGAAAGCCTACTCTCTATATGGTTACCGAGGTCAGTCAACTACGAGTCCTCGGCGGCGTTATCTGTGACTAAGCCTAGATCAGGCAGGGATCGTCGGCAAGATAGGCTTCAATCTCAACGGCGTGGGGACCTGTCTCAACGCGATCCGTGCGAAGCCAATGTTGAGTACAAAATTGCCCGTTCATGTCGCACTCCGGCTATGCTTAGAGAGTCCGTCGGTTCATGATGCTATCAAGACTATCCAGTCTCTAGGCGGAGTTGCTTCAGCGCAGCATGTCCTCTGTGCGGATTACACCACCGCGCTGGGCCTCGAGCTATCCCCTGTCGGGGACAAGCACATCATCGAAGATTCAAATGGTATCATTGGCCATACCAATCACTTTTTGGAGAATCGATATGTTGATGAGCCACCCTGGCTATCCGGATCTCCAATTCGATTGAAGCGTTTGGGAGAATTAACGAGGGAGCTCGTTGATGTAGGCGTCACAGGCGATGATATCACGCCCAGATTGCTGAGGGAATCCATCTTCTCAGACACTTTCAATCTGCCTCAGGCGATATGCTCTCAAGAAGATCCTTCACGTCCTAAAGCTAATCGGAGCAGGACCTTGTTCAACATTGTCATGGATTTGGACCCCAAGAGCCTAGGAGCAGAGGTCGTGTTTGGTCTCGGATCTGGGGAGGATGGGGCTGTTATCAAAATGCCTTGGTGAATGGTACTGGGAATATGTGAACGTTATCAGGACACGAATTACAGTGTCCTATTTTTATCTTGCGCTCTACTGGATTCATAGCCCCTGCTCTACATAGGCAGTCCATCTCGCAACAGCAACATGTAAGGCTTCAGAGCCTATGTTGCTACTGGCTTCGATCAACTTATACAGAGGTTTTCTACCGATCACAGGATCTGCATGTAGTTATAAAGACTGTAAATTCCCGCACACTCTCATCATCTTTCTCATTTTCCCTATTCGTGTTCCTCTTTCTCCGCCATGGTCAGCTCATTCTACCAGCATGCCGGTAGCAAAGTCGCTTTTGTGACCGACGCTAATGGCATCAGCGGAGGTGCCATTATTGATCATCTGATCGAACAGCCCTCTAGTAAATGGTAGTATGCTCTACCCCATCTTCTAGCTCTAGTTGAGAGATGAAATCTGACCATCAATACTGAAAGGTCGGAAATCATCATTACTTCTCGGCGAATCGAATCGGTCCACACCGACTCAAGGGTTCGATTTGTTGCCCACGATTTCACGTTGATTTAAATTCCCAAAACCCCTCAAATGAATGATTTTGGAAAGCTTTTAAAGATGTTGAACTGCCAAATTTGAGAATTGCACAACATCTAGGGCCCAATGACCCCTATAAGTCAGAGCTTTGAGAGCGAAACTCTCATGAATGTTTCAAGGTAGCTTCTCTAGATCGGGGATACTGACTATGATCCAGCGATCTATGAAGATCATTCGGAATGTTGGAAGCTTCGAGCCCACGGAATTGATGGCTTTGGTAATGGCAAGTAAAAAATCATCGTAATTTTGGCCCAGGGATCGACGCTTGTTACTCCAGATGGTGCTAGGCGGACAACAAGCCAGCTGCATCTGGATTCTGTAGTTCGCCAGCAAGGGGTCGTGGGATTTGGTGCCCGATGCGTAAGCGACCGGTATCAGCCTTGTACTAAGTAATTATCGTGACTGTTATATATCTATAGCGTACCTAGGGAGCCAGAGCAAGGAGCCCTACAAATTACATCAAGGATCTGTTCACACAGTACAGGTTGGGGGTGCGTGGGCACTTGGGCAATCTATAACCCGGCATACTGAATCCACCATTGCCCGATTCTCATATGCGTTCACGAACAGGATCTACGTGCACCTAATGCAGGTCTGTAGATCCTTTGGGAGAATGGATTTATGCGTATGATTGCATCAGTCATTGTGCTTCCATGATTGGCACGAAGATCCGACTTCCTGCAAATACTTAAACCCCAGTAAATCACGCTCATGCTCGGTCCATTCGCATTACATTCCTACAGATTTATCCAAAGAAGTAGTTATAATGACCCCCGAACATGGAACTCCCGGGAAACGAACCTTGGCCACAGTTTTGGACCAGCTGGCTAAGCATTGTCCGGCGAAATTGGTTTGCAGAGCACCGAATGGCCCTCGAGTTGCGGATGGCTTCTGGTCCTTGAACATAGAAGACCTGTCCAAGGCAGTTGATGCAACTGCCTGGCTAATTCGGGAGTCCTTTGGAGTCTCCGACAAGAGCGAGATACTACTGTACCTCGGCGATGATGATGTCCGGTACCTAGTGTTTATCGTAGCTTGTCAGAAGACCGGTTACAAGGTGGGTTGATCTCTGTGCTGCTCTGTTATACAATTTTCCTGCTAACGAGTCAGCCTCTTCTGCCATCGACAAAGAACTCCCTCAATGTGAATTATGCCCTGCTGGAGCAAACAGGTTGCTCGGGCGTACTGTTCAGCGCCACATTCCAGGAGCAAGCTGAACAGATCAGAGATTCCCCAATGGCCCCGCGGTTGATGGAATTACCTAGCTTCGACAACATCGTCGCAAGTTTCTCGCGCAGCTATTCATACGACAAGACGTACCAGGCGATTGAAGACGACAGCGCAGTCATAATCCATAGTTCCGGTACAACAGGTATGAAGGGATGGAAGCTCACTTCGTTGCTCCAAGCTGACAATTTCCAGGTGTCCCCAAACCCATCTACCTGACACATGGGTTCCTGGGCACCATCGACAAGCAAACCCAAGTCCCTGTCCCGGACGGAAGGGTCTCAGCTATTCCGAACCAACTGAGCCACGATGATCTGTTTCTCTCCACGACCCCGTTCTTTCACCTCATGGGCATCTTTGCCCTAGTCATGTCTATTTTCAATAGGGTTCCATTTGTCTATCTTCCGGCCACCTCATCTCCCGCCGACGCTTTAGTCGAGGTGATCAAGGCCGAGCGTCCCACTGTGGCTGCCATCACGCCCGCGTTGGTCGAAGCCGTAGGCCAATCAGCCTCTGCTTTGCATATTCTATCTACAGTCAGGACGGTATGCATTAGTGGTGCACCTCTCGCCCCTCATATAGGACAAGCCCTGAGCAAGACAACGAACCTTGTGTCCATACTAGGCGCTAGCAAGCTCGGCCTCGTTCTGTCTCTCGTTCCAGAGCATAAAGCAGATTGGGAGTACTTGGAGTGGAACCCAAATTACCCTACGCGCATGGACTCTTGCAGCGACAATAGCAGCCTCTATGAGCTGGTAATTGAGCGCAACGAAACAAGGGACATCCAAGGCATCTTCCATGTATTCCCGGACTTGAAGGAGTATCGCACCAAGGACCTCTTCAGTCCACATCCGACACGACACAACCTTTGGAGGTATGAAGGCCGACTCGACGACACGATCATCTTCCACAACGGGCAAAAGATCAATCCCATCCCCATGGAGAAGATCATTGAAAGCCATCCACTTGTGTCTCGAGCGCTGGTGATTGGAGACCGCAGACCTCATGCCGCGCTCCTTGTTGAGCCATCTGAGGAATCGAGCGTGTCGAACGGTGACAAAAGCGCTGTGACTGAGTTCGTACACACGATTTGGCCAGTTGTTGAACTTGCAAACGAGCTGGTACCGCCTGGTGTCCATATTGGCATCATGAGGATCGGACTGTCGTCGCCAAACAAGCCCTTCCGCACGACCTCGGAAGGCAGTACACAACGCCGAACTGTCCTCCAGGACTATGAGCAGGAAATTGAAAGGATCTACCAGCATGACAACTACTGGTACACCATGTTCAAGAATGGGTAGGCTTAGCTAGTAGATCGCAGAGTGCAGCCAGCAGCTTTTTGGCAATGTTAGAAATGGGATCTGCTACGACCTAGCGACTCTTTTCGCTTTCTATTTTTCTTCTTCTCTTCAACTCTTCAGGGCTCTACCACTATGGAGGTCTGATATTGCATTGATGTATGATCTCCGCAATAAAAGGCGTCTATTCTACCGCATCGGGGCTTCTAAGGTATCATAACGAGTATAGACATCACACATCACACATCACAACTATACACAACTGAAGAAAAGCCGCGTCTAGACCAAACGCTCCACGCTCAAGTCGGCCTCTCCCTCGCTCGTTTGAAGAAGCCCACCGGCTTCAAGCTTCTTCTTCCACTTTGTCGACTCATACCGAGCCAAAATCAGGGTAATACGAGCAGCAATGCCCGGATCTGCGGACTCGGCAACCACGGCAGAGGGGGTGCACGTCCAGCGCCCAAACGCCCAGTTCAGAATATAATGCTGCACCCCGGGAGTCTCGAGCTTCTGTCGATTCTGCATATCATCCGAAGTCTCGGCGGGAAGATCCGAGTTCGAACAACGGAGAATGCCCTTGATGCGATAAACCTCTTCTCTGGGCGCGAGAGAAAGGAACTTCTCCAGTGCCGCCACATCCGTTGCACCAGAAGTGGACTTCAGTACAACAGACAAGACCTCCACCTCTGATTGATGATCGTGTTTATGGTCATGGTCATGGTCATGACTCTTCTCAGCCTCCGCATCCTTGAACAGCGCACCATCAATCCCGAGCAAAACATCCATGTCGACCCGGCCCTTATTCGACTTGACCCAAGGTGTCTCAATCTCCAGATCCCCGACGCGGTCAAGCGCGATGTCGAACTTCTGCTCGGGCAGATCCTCCCACTTATTAAACACAATCAGATCCGTATACTTGGCTTGAATCTTCGCCGTGTAAGAGGTATCCTCGTAACCCTCCCAGTTCTCCACGTCAATCACACTGATAACACCGTCGAGGACGAAGTCGCTCCCTTCGCGCGCAAGCCGATTAACCTCCATGGCGAGCGTTGCGGGGAACGCGCTACCGCTGGTTTCGATGACGATACGGTCGGGGCTGACCTCGGAGCGTAGTTGTTCGAGCGCATCGCTTAGTTGGCCGACAAGGTTACAGCAGATGCAGCCGTTGAGGAGTTCACGGACGCCACTGATGGACTGGGTTGAGGCGAGCTCGGAGTCGACGGCTACGTCGCCGAATTCATTCTTGAGAAGGGCGAGTTTGTAGGTTTTTGGCAGTTGGGGGATAAGGTTGAGGAGTATTGTTGTCTTGCCGGAGCCGAGGAAGCCCGTCACGATGGTGATGGGGATGGGCATGGTTGGTGTTGCGCAGTCGCAGTCGCAGTCGCGCCCGCGCTCAGCGGAGGGGTAGCCCTGATGTCGAAGCCCTAGTTTCCTATTTGGGAACATCCATTTCAACTGGTCAGATATTTGATTTTGTCACGTCTTGACATTAATTGTCTTTTGACTATTCACTACGGAGATATATTCGGGCATTTCAATGGCGCATTGTTGTAGTCCGGCGCCACCGCTCAGGTCTTTACTGGAGTATCGACGACAACAGTGTCCCTCTCTTCATCACTACTTTCCGACACTTCAATTTCCTTCTTTTGCTCCCTGGTTTAAATTCTTAGTCAAGTACTCATCAGGATTGGAGGACTCTCACCTTCGCCATATTACAATGGAAGCCATGAACCCAGCCCATAGCAAGAAGAAGAAGACAAATGATACGGGCCAGCCCTTGCGCCAGCGAGGTGCGCCGTCTGGTCCAGCGGTCGGATACGCCAATAATGGCACCCAAATATTGAAGGAGTAGCCAAAAGACATCATGGCGCCCTATATTGGGTAAGTATGAAGAACGTCAACTGGCACCGGCAGTCTTACCATAATGAGAGCACGCTCCTCAGCATCGTCTCGAACGATGATATTGATCGTGGAATATAAGATTGGACTGAGACATCCAGCGGCGCCGAGAAGATACCAAGCCACGAATCTTTGATTCACTTTAGTAGGAGCATTTCCGAGCAATGGGGACCAGACTTACTTCAGAGTGGTGGGTATGTTCCAAACAATCATGCACAGGGTTGAAAACAGACAGCAAACCGATGCGATGGTATAGATGATCCATTCGGGATAAATCGCTGCGAGGGTTGTCCCCAGCCAGGAGGCGACAATGTTAATCGCATAAGTCACGGTGGGCAGTTGGTTGATCTGAGTCACAGAGTAACCCTCTGCCTTGAGCCACAGGCTCATATAGCCGCTGGGATAGGAACAAATAATCATACATCTGATGAGTGTGAGCATAGTTCAATATCACCCTTGTTGGTTGAACACTCACGCATAACAAGAGATGAAGACCCAGATATGCCACCTCTTGAAAGTCCGCTTGAACACATCGAGACTCATTTTTCCGGGTTGGCGAATCTTCGCCCTCTTAGCTCTCTCCTTTGCCAATGCAAGGTCATCCTCGGTCAGATAAAAGGGCCTCGGAGAGCCGGGAATCCCGGGGAAAATGATGAATCCAATCAAGGCGACGGGAATAGTGAAGATTCCATCAATGATGAACAGCCATCTCCATCCCGGCATGCCTCCTACACCAGAGAGATTGGTGTATGCGGATGCCTGGAGATATCCACTCACCATGGTGCCCAGGGGATTGCAGATGAACCAAGTTCCTGCTCGCTTGAATAATTCGGGGCCTGTATACCAAGATCCTTGAAGGTTGTTAGGCATGCAACATTAAGCGTCATAAAAGGCAGACATACCGAGGATGAAATGGGTTCCAGCGAATACAGGTGCTTCCAAAGCTCCGACCAAGACTCGAAGAGCGTATAGCTGAGTAACATTGGTCACTCGGCTTTGGGCAAATGTACAAATGCCCCAGAGGACTTCTAGAGTTGGGAGGAGCCAGCGAGCCCTGGGCCATTAGCATCGAACGAAGACTATTGACATTCAAACTCACAGTTTGGGACGGGACATCAACAGCAAGCCTGGGATTTGGAAGACCACGTATGATGTATAATAACAGACATTGAAGTAGTTGAGTTCATTTCCGTATAGACCGAAATCCTCTTTCAGTCCACTGACATAGGCATTGCTGATATTGGTTTGATCTAGAACGATCAGATCTTCGTCTGAGATTGGTGTTTGTGTCTCATACCTAGATATTTGACGAAAACTGTGGTTGTTAGCGACACTCATCTACCTGAGCATTGGATACTTACAGCACAGACATGCAAAGATCAAAATCGACAAGTCCAGCTTGAATAGTAATCTAAAGAGATTAATATCTGCGGGTAGATTGCATGCATATTGTTTACTCACTTCCTCTCCTCGGAGGGATACGAGGATGGATACCAGTTGAACACCTCCTTGATGAGGCCCAACAGGGACAACCTCTTGGGTTTCTGAACAGACATCGCGGATATCAATACCTGTGTAATTGTCCGATCCTAAGTTCGATTTGCATGTTGAAGACCTTTTCTTATAAAGAGTGATAGGCTGATAGACTAGTAGAAACAAGACATATTAAGCCATTCCCCCGCCCAGTTTCACCATCACGACTAGATCCCCTGCAGACCACTAGATCACCTCAAAGCGACCTGAATCAAGACCAGAATCCCAAACCGACAGCAAGTGAGAGCTTCGACATGCCGCTGACTGATGGCGTGCCCTGTCGCCGTTATCGCAGGCCTCATATGGTCTGCTCATGACGTGCTTTTGGCCTCGGAGCATTTATCGTTGTACATCTCGGATGGTTTTCCAGGTTGCTCTATATGCTTATATACTTATACTTGAGTTACACCTAATGAGCTGGAGATATTCAACCTCAGGATACAATATGCCCGGAAAATACATTGAGAAATACAACCAGGTCCCGGTGACCAAGGAGAAGCGTAAGAGAGCAGAACTCCCAAGACTGTACCTGGCTAATATGCCCTTAGTGGACTGGGCCGAGTTGATTACACTGGATCTCAGTCAATATGAGCAGCCTGGTGGGAAAGAATCTCTAGTCAAGCAGTTGGACCATGCTGTCCGCAATGTTGGTGAGTGATGTAGTTTAACGAGCAATTATATCACACGAAACCACTTCATACTAACGACGACTAGGCTTCTTCTATGTTAAGAACTTCAACATCAGCCAAGAAGAGATCGACAACCAATTCGCCCTTGGCCGCGAGTTCTATGCGCTGCCTCTCGAAGAGAAGCTCAAGTTCCACAGCGCCAGTGATCTTGCACGAGGAGAGTACAACTCCTACCGCCCTGCCGGACATCGAATGTAGGTCAATCCTGCGTATGTGCAGTATCATCACTGACACACTCAGTCTTGGCAATGGGATCAAGGACAATGTCCAAGTGTATAATCTTCCCAAGTTCGACGGTCACCACGAACGACCTCAGCCCTCAGTGATCGCCGACAACATCAAAGAAATCGAAGCTTTCAGCCGGGTAAGATCTCCCCAATGGACCGCAACACAGCCACTAACCTCCGACTCAGAAATGCCACACCGAAGTTGTCGAGAAGCTCCTCCGCCTCTTCGCCATCCTGCTGGAGCTTCCCGACGAAGACCAACTCGTCCGCGACCACCAATACGATGTCAAGGGCGAAGACCACCTGCGGTACATGCATTATGCCGCCCGCAGCCCCGAAGAGAACAAGAAGGTCGGCGAGCTCTACAGCCCCGGGCACACAGACCTGGGCACCGTAACCCTCCTCTTCCGCCAGCCTGTAGCGGCTCTCCAGATCCTCAATTCCGAGGGGAACTGGAAATGGGTGCAGCCCCAAGATGGCACGATTACAATCAACACCTGTGATGCGCTGACGGCCCTCACGGGCGGGCTGATCAAGTCGAGTATCCATCGGGTGCATGCGCCACCTGCCGATCAGGCTCATATTGACCGGTTGGGCGTCCTTTACTTTGCTCGGTGAGTCAATCTTCTTTTTCTGTCTTGGATCATGCTCATTGGTTGTAGGCCGAACAACCATGTCGTCCTTGATCCCATTGCCAATAGTCCTGTTCTCCAACGACTGGGACTCACGACTAATGCCTTTACGGAGCTGGGGCAACATCTCACCACGGAGGAGTGGGTTAAGGTACGGCAGACACAGCAGCAACGGAAGAATAAGGATGTGCAGATTTCGACGGAGGGGAAGTATACCTACAAGCCGAAGGATCTGGAGATTCTGCCTGGGCTGCAGGCTGCGATCTATAACTAGGGATACTTCAAGATTTAACATTTACTTCCAATATAGTACATTTCTGTATAATCTACTAATAGTAGGTAACATAGCACTCTACTAGCATAGTATACCACTATTTCAGTCCTGTATACTAGTATGGTCTCTCATGACTGGGCTAGTGTAGATAGCATGAAGTATATCTCTAAATGATCTACCTAGCAACAGTCCAGTTAGTTCTAAGTCTCTACTAACACAGTATCTATTATATTTCTAGACCATCTCCTATAGTACTGCTAATACTCTGATGCCTGATATATGAAATAGGTGGAACCAACGACGTCACGGAAACAAGGAGAGACTGTCGATCAACCCCTCCGCCATTAGCCATCAGCTTTCAGCCCTACGTCAGGCTCAGCCCTACACGATGTCCTTCCCGGAATCGGAGAAGTTCTCACACGCCAAACATCCCAAATACTTCAGAATGGACAACGCCGCTACTACACAAAGGGCCGAGCACACAACCGAGCACACTCATCCCCCTTCCATGGCATCGGGCAGCTCACCAACCTTCAGCAATTCCGTGTCTGCTCTGGCCCAGGACAGTGCCGGAGCTGTGAAGGAAACCGTTGTCGAAGGCGTGCCCAAGGCGTTGCATGCCGTCACGGAACAGATCTCGGCGATCGCAGGCGGGGCCAAGGAGGTCGAGGAGACCGTCTCGGACAGTAAGCTCATTGATACAGCGAGGAGAACAATCTAACCAGACAGATTTGAGTGCCGAATCGCAGGCGGAATTCGAGCACATCGACAACATGCCCAACGAGCGGGTCTGCGACTTCCTACGCCAGAAACACATGAGCAACACCCACCCACGACCCACGAACTAGCATAGATTGGGCATTATACCATCGAGTGGAGATTCCATTGGGCCTTGCGAGACTAGCATCTCGGCGGGATCCGAGGGAGTATGTACCAGTAACAAGAGAGGCAAATTGATTCTATCTACATCTCAAAGTGCAGCGCGGAACCCTTTATCCAAGGAGCGATCCAGTCCGAGGAAATCGGCAACCTGGCCAATGTGATCCACGCCGAAGAAGCCCTCCGTCTCTCCCCGGGAGTTGGTGCACTCGAACCAAGGCAGCCCAAAAGCACCAGCGCCAAAGGACCGGTCCGTATTGGACAGCAAGAGGGCCTTGATGTCCGGGTGGCTCATCTAGAGGGGTCAGCATAGTTTCTACGGTCGCATTTCCGCCCCCTTCCCCGGGGAACCAGGACTTACCGCGGCAATGACTTCCTGAGTTTCGGGTTTCCCGAGAACCCCTTCGAGGATGGGTGCGAACCCCTCGGGCTCGCCGACGGTGGTGTTGCCCTCGGCCCAGAACGCGTGGAACAGGGCGCCGATCACGTCGGCGAGCTTCTCGGGGGTGCGCTGGGAAACCGCACAGAGGGCACGCTGCACGGCCAGCGTGCGGATGGGGAAGCCCTTGGGGAATCCCTCAATAATGGGGACCGAGAAGTATTTGGCCCATCGCACTCGCTGCTGTCCCAGGTAGTTTTTCTTATCTGTCGTGCATATTAGGGGCGGGAAAGCGGGAAGCGGGGAGCTGGCGCACTCTTGATATTGATCGGGGGATTATTGCCGCAGGCTTGCATTAGCCCCCCGAGGAAGATGGGGACATAGGTGACTTCACATTGGGCAAAGGCTGGGGAGTTCTGCTGGGTGTTAGAGGTTGCCAAGGTTGCCGTCGGGGGAGACATACTCGCAGGACGTGAAAGGCGATGTAGGCAAAGGGGCTGACGATGTCGACGTAGAAAGTAATGCGGTTGGACATGATGAATATACAGGAGAGAGCTCGAGGAGGGAGCAGGTCGAGGGAGTACCTAGGTAGACATCCTGGGCCGAGGTTCAATGTTTGCCACCGATCTCCGCCTGTTACTCGGTTGTAGGGAGCATCTACCTACCTAGGTAGGTAGTTCGTGAAGTGTAATTCAACTGCTCCGTAATAGCTCTACCAGTATACCATTAAAGACTTAGGTATGTCCAATTATGTCCAAGTGCATGTAGTATATTCATGGCAGTACTGTAGTGGTGAGGCAGGGCAACTCGAGACCACTGATCTATACCCTTGGAGACCTCAACCTCGACTCGACAAGGAATATTTGAGATCACACATAAAGAGACAGAGAGATACACATTACTGCATTTGCCTCGTGTGTTCACGATGAAGTAACCAGTGCCACCGCCACCAAGTATATAAGAGCTCAACTTCCCACTCTGAATCGATACACCATGCACTCCCGATCCGCCAGTATGTCCGACTCCAAGCCAGACCTCCGATCAGATCTCCAATCAAACCTTCAATTCAGCAGTGATGCTGAGTCTGACCACAACTCAAACCAGATCGACCACTCGGTAGTCACCAACCGCGGCGCACCAGCCCGCCATTCACGCCGAGAGCGACATGCATGGAAGCCTCACGAGAAACCGAGAAAGGAGCAAACTGGCTCCAAGGGTCGGTCGACGTCCAGACATTGAGAAGTGAGAACTTTGTCTGGTCTCGGAACTCAACTCCAATGGCTTCCACCGAGGTCGAATTTTGAGGTTATTGAATATAAAATGATCCCACCTATCTTGTGCTTGAATGAACAACGGTATAAACTACCTAGTACAGATTAGACCCTTGGAACAGAAAAAGGAATAGAGGCATGGAGTAGAGATTGAAAGGCGCTTGAAAGCTGTGAGATTGACTGCTGGACAGGCGTTAGCCTGTCAGACCGTAGACGCTACCCCCGGCACTACATCCGCTGACTCCATGCGAAAGAACAATTGAAGACAAACTGTACACTGATGACTGCCTCCGGTCATCTTTCAAAGGCCCTCATGACGGCAAGGCCCGCCACCGAGCCTGACGCAACACGGTTATGACCTAGACAGTTCAGCACAGTTATAGCATATTCAAGGGTCTCGACATACCGCCGTATCGCACCCGCTCCCATCTCACGGTCTTCACAACCGTGCTTCCGTCTTCCTGGCTGATCTCATTCTTCCACACCTTGATCTGACTGGGATTGCCGTTCTCGGCTTTGTAGTAAGTCAACTCCCCCGGGGCACCTGCGACATCCTCACCGGTGGCAGTCTTCCAAACAGTGCGGCCCTCATACCAAGGGATCTCGACATCGTCAAAAGCATGCACAATCGTCAGATCAAGGTTCTGATCGGGATACTCCACCTGCATGTCTGAGCCAGCCATCGCAACACCAGTCAGGCGTGCCAATCGACCCGCTGTATCCCAATGATCCACGATATGACTGATCAGCCATTTCTGGAAGCGGGGATACCCCATGAGCGGGGACAGCATGGGCGGCGTAAAGCCCTTCAAACTGTATGATTGGATGACATTGACCAGGCTGCTGAACGAGGCCAACAGAACCACACCAGCAAAAGGCTCCGGGTTCTTGATGGCGGGCTGCAGGGCTGCAGGGTCTGTGGATCCAAATGCAAAACGCTCTGCGACCGCTGCCGTCACAGCGGTGCCGAGACTTTGACCCACGAGCACGATCCGAGACGGGGAAACATTCAAGGGTCCTGCGGTGATGAAGTTCAGAAGCGACACACCGTCTGTGATGACACCCTCTTCTGTGGGACTTCCAGTACTCACGCCGAAGCCACGGTAGTCGATAGCAAAGACGTGTACGGGATTTGACGGGGTCGAAAGACCCAACATTGTGTTGTAATTGTGAGGGCGCTGAGCAGACCCCAAGTGTGCTGCATTTCCATGGACTAAGGCAATGTTATCAGCCCTGCATATCCATCTAGACATGTCTTCCACGTTATCACATACAGCTGACCACAACTCGCGCATTCGGATCGTTTGCGAGCAACTTATATGCAGGCGTTGTCGTGTAATCATCTGCAGGACCGTGTGGGGTATTTTCCATCAGCTCCTGCTCATGCTCGAGACACAGATGTAAGGGCATCAGATGCCACCCGTAGAGCGTTTCATTGTCCGGTGTTATCAAGTGGAATGGTTGGACTTGGGTCCCTAGCAGAGGGTCAGTAAGAACACAGCGATGATTTTTCTCGACGTACTCAAGAACCCAAACTGTTCCACTTGATTGACATCCTGCCAGACCGTCGGGTTGATCTTGTTGGCATACAGCACACTGCCAGTCAGCGCGATTCGACTTCTCGGCATCCCATTCTTACAAACGCTGGACCTCTGGAAAGGTCAGAGAGCAGACAAAAAGCACATAAAGCAGACCACCGGCGGCCAAAGACCAGTAGGCCTTTCTGAAAATCGGCTTGAGCTCCATTGTTGCGTGGCGGAGGTGAGCGGAGAAGATAAGAGTTTATCGCGTCTCTCATCCCATCCACGGCCTTTCCTCTCTTCACTTCCCACTCCCCGATCCTCATGGCTGAGAAGCGCAAGCTCCCCCCGCGCGAGCGACGCGAACCTGCCAAGCGACGTGTGTCCGAAGCCACGCCGCAGTCTCACAGAAAAAAGGCGCCCACACCACGCGCCGTATCAGTGGATGCGCCGTTGCCAACACAGATCAAGGACGCAGATGTTCTACCGATTGTCCGTACCCGGCAGCCTACGACATTGTCAGAAAAGGAATATCAATCAATCGCCGAAAGGTATGACACCGCGACCCAGACGTGATTGATGCATGACTGACCCTTTTCCGTCCTCACAGTGCTGTCCTCCTGGCCTCTCTTGAGCGCTCGAAGAAAAAATGGCTGAGCGACGGGATCCTCGTTCGCTATTATACAAAACCCAAGAAGACCAAGCGCGAGCAGACCGAGAAGAAGAACCCATCGAAGGAATCCATGTTGAAGATTGGGCCATGCGACGTCACCATCGGACCCCATCTGTTTGATGCCATGATCTATGTGGTGAAAGATCCCAATGCGCCTCCATCGTTGCAGTACACGGCTCCCCAGCGTCCACCGGGGGTTCAATGGGGTGTCCCCCATACGCCGTACCGACCGTACGGCTCCCCATCCAATGCGCAACGACCTGCCCAATACTCGCCTGCGCCCGCCGGACGTCCTGGATATTCCGGCAGCCAACCTTCGCCGCACCAATCCCGCCCGAGCCAAGGCAATTCGTCTTCCCCTCAGGGACAGCGACCACCACAAGGACAAAAGGGCCCCAATGGCCAACCCGCCAAGCCCAGCCCAGACCCTGTGATCCAGATGCTAGCCACGAGAGCAGCTGCGGACCCTGATCTGAAGGCGCTGATGCGTGTCGTGGCATCTAGCCAGGCATCGCAGGAGCAGCTTCGGGCTTTCCAAGCGCACATTGACGAACTGAATGCCATTATCAAAGCAAGAGAGCAGCAGGAGCAACGTCAACAGGCGCCTGTGGGCACGCCTGCCCCCGCGCCCCAACCGCAGTCTACACCACAGCCTCCGCAGAAGCAAGAAAGCACGACAAAGCCGGCGGCTGACGCCCAGACACCCTCAAGCACCCCTGCCCCGGTGAAAGTCAAGGATGAGCCGGTAACAAGCAATACGACCGCCTCTCAATCCACACCAAAGCCCGCGCCAACCGAGTCGACACCCGCACCAGCACCAGCTCCATCTGCAACCCCAAGTGCTCCGCCCAATCCACCCACCGCATCTACACCCGCCCCCCAGAACCCGAGCCCGGCTGTACAAGCTACGCCAGTCGGGACTCCGCAGTCAGGCGCGCGACCCATCCCGCCGCACCCTTCTTTTCAACAACCCTCTTACGGGGCTCAGCCACCCATCCAATCCAGACCACCTTTTTACGGGGGACCTGGTTCATATCCTCGACCTCCTTCCATGCCCATTGCCCCGCCTCGTGTCAACTACAAGTCGGTAGTGTTCGAATTCACATCCCCGTTAACGCCATACGGAAGCAGCACTTCTGGCCATGCCGGCTCCGGCGACCGCTACCTCTTCCCCGAAAACACTATCCTGGAATGGCTCCCAGCCGAGAACACGGTTATTGCCTCATTCTTAATAGTCCGAAAGGTTGATCCAAACACGCCATTTCCCCTCGAGACAGCCACAGAGGCTGCCGCCAAAAGTAAAGCAAAGGGCAAGGGCGCATCAAAAGCAAAGGGCGACAAGAAGGTCAAAGACGAGAAGGGTCAACCAGCCCAAACCCCTACCCCGAACCAGCCCGCGCCAACCGAGACGCCCCAAAAGCAAGAACCCACCGACCCCGCCACCCCAGGCATGCCAGGCACGCCAGGTACACCAGCAGAGGCTAATCTCAAAGAATACTGGCAACCAGTAACCTTCCGCATCCATGCTCCGAATGCCAAGATCCTCGAGCCCCTGGCTCGGGTGGTCAGACCGGCGGAAGAGGTGCGAAAATACATGAATGAAATCATGGACCGCGCGGAACGCTCTCAGGATGGATATCTGGCTATGCAACTGCCTCGCGAGGAGGCGCAAGAACCACCCGAGACAGAAGGCACGCCTGCGTCTGGTGCCGGCACCAGGAGTCGTCTCTCTCGTGTTCAGCTGGCGGATGATTCTGAGATCGAGAGCACAGGATTCGAGTTCGAGGAAGAAGATGAGGAGGATTTGAAGGATTTCTACGACGCTCCCAGTGGATTGGCGCCAATGGTGTAATCTATAATCACGTTTGTTAGTAGTGGGCGATGTTATAAGAAAGTAATCACAATAACGAAGACAATTGATCAAACTCATTTGAATCCTAAAGTCCTATGTTCGCACTGAGCATAAGCCTATAAAACGCAACATCGTGCATCAAAAAAGAAGCCTGATAATGGCTATTCAATGTCTCTGGCCTCCCCCAATAATCCCCGCCGCCTCCAAGAGCCATCTTGCATTCTCATTCGTCGACTGGTCAGCACCCGAAGACACGAAGTTGATATTACGACGACGTTCCGCTTCCCTAGCCTCGAATTCCCACTTCGCACGCTGCATCTCTACCGCACTGGATCCGAGATCGGCCCCAGCCTCGGGGTCAGGGACTATGCCCCATATTTCCAGAGCGTACAGATCGATCGTTGTCTTCGTCGGCTTGTCCGGGGAGGTACTAGCGGGCAAGAAGACGCCGTCGTGACCAACCGGTGCAGTGTGGAATTCGACCGTCTCAAGGTTCCCGTCGATGAGCAAGCTTCCTGCACCGAGGGGCTTAGGGTGATTCTGTTGAGTGCGCGAGGGCGCCGGGATCTGGCAGCCAATTGCGATGCCGGTGGTTGTTGAAAAGTAGGCTGCCGGGGTATTAGGTTTCTTTACTGACTGGGAGGGGTTTCCTTGGAGAAGGGTGTGTTTGGGGGATAGTTGGAAGAGACATGGGAGGAGATCGGATGTGTTTGAGGAACTGTGGGTTGAGTTTGTTTTCCAATTTTGGGGAAGATAGGCACCGAGGGTTGTTAGTTCATCGCTTGATGAATCTTTCGGTGACCCTTGGAGGATGAGAAGGGTTGCGGATTGCCAGGTGAGGACGTGGTGGGAGAAAGAACTCAATGAGGAACCGTGGGCGCTTGTGGAGAAGACGGGATGAAGCTTGATGCCGCTGCGGAAGAGATTCAGATTGGATGATGAATTAAGAAAGAGGGAGAGATGTGATGTTAGGGTTGGAGTCAGTATGGTGGATTCAAAGCTTCCTGGAAGCATAATTGAAGCCGGTGGTGGAACAGGCTCTTCCGTCTTCTCTGCCTCTGGCTCTACCACGGGGTCGCTTTGGCGGTGCTGGGAAAGATCCAGGTTTTTGCTGAAGAGCATATGCTCGAAAAGAGCAGTGAGTGGGTCGAACAGATATGGCAAAGAAAGCGAAACCGTCCGAGCAAACGCTTTGTATGAAATCCCACCGTCGCTCTCTTCGGGCGAGAAGGCAGCAATGATACTGTCTGCTTGAATTCGTATTGCCTCCATCCGCGCGGCATCCAAACCAGACGTATAGACTTTGAGCGACTCCAGCGGCTTGAGTGGCGCAATGACAAGAAGCAACATCAGCAATCGCCGGAAGGTGTCAGTGGAGATTCGGGTCTCATAAACCGTCTTGTCAACTCGATGGTCATGCTTGAATACTTCAATGGCATCGAGGGATTCCAAGGCCGCAAGCGCAAGATCATCATCCTCGTCTTCATCGTACTCATCGTTTGCGGGTTCATCTATTGAGAACCCTAGCGCATGTGAGTTTCCTGGGCTAGCGATTTCTTCCTTTGCCACAGATTCCTCGGATTCAGTTGGCGGAGGCATCTTTCTTCCGACGTCCGCAAGACTTCCAAAAAGTAACTTGATTCGGTCCTTGTGTCCACGTTTCAGGGCTTTCCCGTAACGTTCGGTCAGAAGCACAACCACCTTGACCATGGCCTCAAAGGTCAGAACACTCGGTGCCAGAGTATTCTGAAAGGGAAATGCTCCTAGGAAAGACACCATGCGAAAGATGACAGGGCCCGCATCCAAGGGTTGCTCCTGAGAAGATGAATCCGAGTGGATGCCATCTGGAATGCCGAGGAAATCGGAGAGTGTTTTTTCATTCCAGTACCGCAAACCGCCTTGCTCGGCGGCTCGGGAGAAAAAGTTGTCCTTGAAATGAGTGAGCTCCAATGGCGTGAAGCACTTGGTGGCGAAGCGCTCAGCTAGCAAATAGCTTAGCTCCTCTGTTGGTGGTTAGACACTGTGCTTGGATAGGTTGAATTTTGGGATATAAATAAAGGGCGCCGCTAGCTAACGCAGCAATCACAGTACCCGCGCTCATTGATGCAGCTGGAAACAGACAGAACTCACCTGGCGTCGAGGGAGGCTCATTTGACTGGGCGGCACCCATTGTTTATGTGTAGACCCACTACCGTCAAGGAGCCGAGTTGAGCTGAGGCGAGAATAGATAGAAGATGCAGAGCACAGAAGCCAAGGGTAGGAGCCAAAGGAGAGAGTCTCAGGCTACCAGCGATTGAAAGCAAAGAAATGAAGAGTCGAAACAAATGAGGCCGCGGAGTAGAGTGACGACGTCAAAAGTGGAGCTAGACTGTTACGGAATGCCAAGATCTCCCGTTTTGTATACGACTCTACGGACTTGGACGTATATATGTTCTTATAATCGCTAGATACAAGGCAAGGAAATTCGTTTTGGACCATTAGAGCATGACAATACCCACACCTCCCATCTTGGACTCGTCGGGCAGATTCTTCTCGTTAATGCCGCCTGCAATGGGCGCAGCACGGTAGTTGTAGAGGTAGAAGTGCAGCTGGCCATCACCGGCACCAAACTTGAGCTGCTCGAGGAAGAGAGGGTTATCGTGCGAGGTCAGGGCATTAAAGACATCGAAGCGAGCCTGAAACATTAGCATGGGGAAGTGAAGGGACGGCATCTGAGACATACCTTCTTGGCACAGATCAAGGCATCGTTCGTCAAAAGCTGCAGGCGGTCCTTGAGCGCCTGCTTATCGTCGGAGAACGCGGTTTCGGTGGCGTAGTAGTACATGTACGCGGCACGGACGGCATCATGCTTTGCATGGTCGATCACAGTGGAAGAGAGGTTGTAGAAGGAGATAAAGTCGGTGATCTTGTGCGTCTCAGGGTCTTCAACAACATAGGACCAAACGACCTGTTCCTTGCCGGGCTGTTCCTTGTAGACCAACCAGTGATCGATTTCCTCGCGCGTAAAGGCCTGGTTCATGTCGAACCGGCGCATATACCGCTCCAGAAGATCGAACACAGCATCGATGTCCTTAGCCTCCATAGGCCGAAGACCGGGGGTCAAAGTCTCGGTAGGAAGGTGATTTTTCGTGATCATGCGGGCCTTGGTGGAGCCGTGGGGGAGAGGGGAGAAGCCAACTTCGTAGAGCTTGAGCCAGTCCAGGGCGCGGTGGTAGTATCGGCAGGAGCTGACGGGGGTCGGGAGGATGACACCGCCGGTATAGATAGCCTGGTAGATTCCGTTGACGTAGCAGCGACGGGTGATTTCCTTGATCAATACAGGTGTGAGACGCTTGGAGCGAAGTTTCTTGTGAATGCAAAGGAAGTTAATCTCGGTAACCTTGATGCGCTCGCCGCGAACACGGAGCTCGGTGGGCACACCGCAGATGGATGCGACCAGCTTGCGTGACTTGGTGGCCCGCACACCAACGTGCCATTCCTTCTTCCACCCGGGAGACATAAGGGCCCTAATGTAGGCGTTAGCACGATCGGCACTCCACAGGCAGGGTCTCCTCATACCAGTGGAGGAAGGACTCTGAATAGCTGAACCGGAACATGGCATTGTCATCCTCCACGTAGTGGTTGTTCAACAGTTCATATAGTTCCTTCAGCTCTTCCGCATTTGTCAGGTCCAGAGTGCACCACTCGAATCCCTCGATAAGCGTATCGGGCGTCTTGGAGACCTTCTCCGGGTCGATGATCTTGATCGGTCCCTGGGTAATTTCCTTATTCGCGGCATCGTTGAAAGCGGGGACAGGCTGCGTTTGCCAGAATTTGTAGGAGGCCATGTCCTTCTGGTTCTTCCCACCCATTGACAGTCCGGTGAGCATCTGCGACAAATCCATATTGTGCAGCAAGGCCGCCGCTTGATCTTTATCCATGTTGGCGAGTTCTTGCTTCAGGGCGGGGTTCTGCTCCAGCAGTAAAGATGCGAACTTGGGGGGAAGCTTCTTGCCATCTGGTCAAAAGGTCAGCACTGTCGGAGACTGAATGGAGCGCCGCTCTTACCATTGCCAGAGCCAGAGGACTCATCCTCGCGCTTGGGGGCCTTGCCCTTGTCAGACATGTTATATTGGGAACTTCGGGGGGGTTGCGGAAAGAGGAATTGAACGGGCCCCACGTTGAGATGCCGCGGATACAAGTGGGGGGTTTCTTATTAATGCGCTAACATTGGGACAGTGGAATTACTTGCAGATTACTTGCAGAGATCCTACTGACAGGTTTCCTCTAGTATATGCCTTTGGGGGAAGCCACTTCTAAGGGTATTGTTGTATAATATATGCAAGGCTCATCTCAAGAGAAAATAGGGGAATCGAAGAATTGTTGAAATCCACAAACACCTTTCCAATCCATGCTATTGCAAATGCACCTCTCAAGTGTTGATACAAGAATAAAAGACTGGAGCGCCAGGCTGCCAACGGTCATGTCATAAATCCCCGGGCTTGGTCTCAACCACGTCAAGGAAGCCACCAACCAGGTGGATGCTACCAGTCACAAAGGTCATGACCGGGGCTTCGTCCTTCTCCAGGGTCTTGCGCTCCTGGGTCGCAACCTCGCGAGCGAAGTCAACGGCCTCTTCGATAGTACCAAACACGTGGGTCTGAGCATGGGGATCGATCGTGTTCCACTCCTCGGCCAAGGACTTTTGAACGCGGAGAAGTTCCAGGTCATCGGCGTTGGTGTTCATGCTGACCAAATCGGGTCGGAATCCCGCCTGTTTGTAGGTGATGTTCGTGCAGAACAAGGCGTGGGTGAATGGAGTGTCATTTACGAGAGCCGCTGAGAGGGTTTCGTGGAGTGCGCGTGCGAGAGCGGTGCTGTCTCGGGTTTGCTGATTGAAAATCAAGATTCGGGTCTTCTTAGCGGCAATATCAGTGGAGGACGAATCGGCCTGGATGCGCGAGGCGAACCATTGCCCGGCCAGCCGGATACTTTCTAATGTATGCCCGCCGTCAATGTACCACGAGACGTTCTTCTCAAAGCGAGTTTCGCACCGGCCACCAAGACGAGTTTCTTCCAGACCGGTCTTGAACTGGGCTGGAAGCGGTCCGTCCATGATCTTTTCAGGCACGTCTAAACCGGCCTTGCGCAAGAACTCCGCGGCACTTGCAACCGCGACCGAAGCGTTGGTGTATTGGAAGTCGCCTGCCAGTCCAAGGGTCACCTTACTGGTATCAGCACACAGCTCGGGATGACCGGTCACGATATCCAGCTGAGTACCCGCCTCTTCGGCGCGTTTCAGCAGGACTTGCTCCGCCGTCGAAGGCTGCGGCGCAGCGAAACCTCTAACATCGCGTTTAATAATGCCACCCTTGTGCCAGGCGATTTGCTCAATTGTAGTTCCGAGCATGGCAGTGTGGTCTATACCAAGGCTGGTGATGGCAGTGACTTTTGGCTGCGGAATCACGTTGGTGCAATCATACTGGCCACCGATTCCACATTCGATCACCGCAGCGTCCACGCCCTCACTCAGGTATGTGTGGAACGCCATAAGAGTCAAGTACCGGAAGTATTGGGGCTTCGTGCCTGGGGCGGTTGGGTCCTGACCGACCGCCTTAGCAGAGTGCTCAAGGCGATCCCACACCTCGAAGAAATAGCGCGCGAATTGCTCCTCCGACAGAGGCGCATTGTCGATCTTGATGCGCTCGCGCGCGAAACGCAGGTGAGGGGATGTATAAAGGCCGATCTTATGCAGCTTGGGCGCAGGCTGGCCGGGCTCTTCTTTGGTATACTGAGAGAGAATTGTGGAGATGAATGCGGAGGTAGAGCCCTTGCCCTTGGTACCGGCAACATGCACAGCGTTCAACCGGTTCAGATCGGAGGGCTGAGGTAATATATTAGCATTGCCAGTCAATTGACGCAAGGGCCTTGCTGCGGGCATACCTGATATCCAATGCGCTGTAGCCATTCAACAGTCTCCGGGAGCGAGCGCTCGTTCATCTCCTTCCTCGATGTAGATTTCCGAAGCTCCTCCACGACCGCATAATTAGTCTGCAATGAGTTGAGAGCTGCAATTGCAGCCTAATTCAGTCCACAGTCAGCGACTGAGCTTCGTTCCCGACGTTCACAATTCCGATCTCGGAGCATACCTCATATGTGCGAGTCATAGTGGGCGAACGAGTTGAGACTCGCCGAGTGCCAAACTGCCAGCGGATAGAGGCCAAGACTCCTCGCATGGACAAGTGAAACCCGCTGCAGATAAAAATGAGCCGGGTTGTTGCGAAAAACCCCGACAGCTCCAAAGTTTATGGTCCTGGAGTGCTTCTCTCCTCGGGAAACCGTTGACCAGCCGACTGGTCGGGAAGATCACGTGTTTTCTATCTATCTCGCTTCAGTGTCGCTGGTTTTGGCTTTCTATCTGGCCCCCACGGGTCTTGCAAAACCAATTGGCCAATTGGAGACATGAGACTGACGAGTGCTATGTTTTCAGCCAGGAAAGGGATCGTGTAAGGGCGGTATGGAGACTCTCGGCAAAGAAATTGTGTATTGGACAGCCAGTGACTATTAGAATTGAAAGGGAAAAGAAGCAAGGAAAAGAAGAGCCGATGGGCCATCTGGTTTGTGAACAAAAAAAAGTAATAAAACATGGAGCCGTAAGGTAGACGAAGTTGGAGAGAGGCCGGTAGAAAAAATGAAGTCCATGAACGCCGAGGAGAGCCCTGTCTACTCAATCCTAGTCTTTCCTTCCTCCAAGAACACGAGACGTGCATTGCTGATTCCCCGTTGGTGCCGCTTGGCAGGTAGCCACTTGCCGACAATTGGATCAGACCGTGCCTTGATAAGGGCATCTTGATATCCTTCGGCGCCAGCGACAGGCGTGTTGAGCTTGGGCCAGTTGACCTGTGATGAGAATTAGGAAAGAAATCCGGGTGTGAGTTTCGGAACAATGAACTTACGTAGAGCATGCCGTGTCCATGAACGAAACGGAAGCAGTAAACTGCCACCAGAGTCCAGAAGATCATGAACAGACGGAGAGGCCAGACAGTGGCATCGGGCAGTCGTCTCGTGAAGAGAGCCACCAGAACCATAAATACGCTAGCAGCAAGAATGTAAGGGACCGACTGTATGACAAGTGGGCGCTGGTCAAGGAACAATTGGATGTTTGCAAAGCTTGAATCCGAGGGAAGGTAGGTGCCCAGGAAAACGTCGAATCCATCTTGCCGAGGTCCGTCCATGAAGTTGTTGCGCACATATCGAGTGATGGAGTTGTTCAGATCTTGCAGCATACCTGCGCGGGTGCGCTTGCCAGTGCGAGTGAAATCGGTCTTCAAGGCACCAGTGCCCGAGTAAGACTTGGAAACCACATCTGCGTTATCCGCCCAAATGTTGCGGAACAGATTCTCAAACTCTTTATCGTCGTTTGCAGTTTCCCCCGTGCGAAGAACACCGGCATCGATAAGTTGCCGGGTGACGGCCCAGCGGCCGAGCATACTCTGCACCACATTGGTACGATCCAAACAATCCATGCAGTTGGTGCGAACTACGCTGGTCTGCGTGGAGCGAGTATCCAATTGTCCATCGGGGGCACCTGGGCTCTCAACCCCACGGAAGTACCCACCTTGGACCAGCCCATCATTCAAGCGGCCCATCAGCAGTTCTGCACGATGCCACTTGAGACCCTTGGTCTCATTGTGGAAATCAAAGTACACGTAGTGCAAACGATCCATCTCTTTTTGGTTGGACCCAGGTTCCAGAACGCGGATCTTTTCAGGAGTCAATTCATCAGTTTCGGTGCTCTCAGACGAGGAAGAGACTAAAGTGCGAACCAGCTGTTCATATGCTCGTTTGACACGCTCCTCCCTGCCCTTTTGGTTCACGAGGTTGACCATGTAATTCTCTCCGTAGATGTTGATCTGCTCGGTAAAATGCTTCCGTGCGGCTTCAACCGCAGTTTCCACCCCCCGAACCTGCAGCTTTGGGGTGTATTTCAGGTCGTTGACTTCGGCCCAGAACACGGGCACACTGCCTCTGGTTTGCACGAATGAGTAAACCTGGAGATCCTGGCTGGCCTTACCACTGGTCATGGATTGACCGCCTCCAAACCCAGAGAGTCCACCTTTGGAGTCATTGAGGATCACTATTTGCTCAGTTTCATTGTAGTTCGACACATGACCTTGCTCGTCAATTCCACGAGAGAAGTATCTGGTTCCTGCCCTGTGTCTGGCTCGCCGGGTGATAAGGGCATAAGTGAATGATGTTGATTTGACCTTGGCAGGAACAATGCGCAACATGCCGAACATCACCGGCAAAATGTAGGGATCAGCCCCTGGTTGGGGACCATAGCGAGCCCCGCTTGTATCGTTTGCTCCCACGCTAAAATCAATCAGGTCTGATTGAATGAAGCGGTTCCAGAAGAAGCGATCGTCCGCGGTCTTCCACATGGGAACATTGGTCGGACTTTGGGATTGCCGTTGGAAGTTGTTGGTAATATCCAGCGAGTAGGAGAAGTACATGGGGCCTCGTCGGAGCAGGTCCTTGACAAGTGTGAGATAGGCATCTTCGTCGTTATCATGGAGTGGTCGTTCGCGCAAAGGAAGGAACTCGGTGCCCGCCACCTTGTAGACCATGTGACCGCGCAATCGACCCATGGGCTGTGCCTTGGTAATGACGATGATGTACTTATCTGGGGATGTTAGCGTAACCTCCTGAGTTTCCACTTGAGATGATAATCACCGAGCTTCAGTTTGAGGATTCCCAGGATTCCTGCGATACTCGAGATCCGCTTAGCCCCTGGGAGGGGACCATCGTTCAGGCGCAAGTCCCCCGTTGGACGGTCCACCACCAATGTCGGTGCCTGGCGAGATGAGGGCGATGTAAATGCATAGTGAGAAGGCGACGCATGGAGATTGATGTCCCGGAATGGGAGAACAGGAGGAGCCATGGTCACAGTGTCCACTCCAGAGAATCAAATATATGCAGAAAGGTGCAAGACAAGCATGAGAGGGAACGTAGTCCAAACAGGTCCGAACAAACACATGAACCCGCGGGTATTCAGGGCAGGCGCGGGCCACTCTGGTCAATCCAGCCACACCGCCCCGCTGCCCTTGTGGCTGGGCGTTCCGTCATCTATTCTCGTCTGCCTTCGACTTCTCAAACCCTTTGGATCTTCCGTCCAGTTTACTTGTCTCGGCGATCTTGGGATATCTGACTCGTCTTACCTTCCTGCCTCGTTCCACTTTCATCCGCCACCGATCATGGCTTCCAGGCAACCCGCTGGAGCCCGCCCGGGCGCAAGATTCGCTCAGTTCAAGCTCGTGCTCCTCGGTATGCTGCTCCATGGACTCGGTCCCTAGTCGCTCTGGTCATTTGCTAATATCGTGCTTCTGCAGGAGAGTCTGCCGTGGGAAAGGTTTGGGATACCGTCTGCGATCCTCTTGATCAGCCGCTGACTTGACCGCTATCTTCCAGAGTTCCTTGGTCCTTCGATTCGTGAAAGTGAGTTCTGGAAAATCGCTCGTTTCTCTCTCCGCGACGAGACCAGCAGGATCCAGGGTGGGAATACTGACTGCGTGGTTCAGGACCAATTTGATGATTACCGCGAGTCGACAATCGGAGCCGCCTTCCTCACACAGACCATTTCCCTCGATGATTCCACCACGGTCAAGTTCGAAATCTGGGATACCGCTGGTCAGGAGCGCTATAAGTCGTTGGCCCCGATGTACTACCGAAATGCCAACTGCGCCGTGGTTGTCTATGACATCACCCAAGCGGTATGTTCCAGTCCTAAATCACCTGCCCAGCAACCCCCTCTGCAGCGTAGAGACTAACATGCGTGTTTTTACTATAGTCATCACTGGACAAAGCCAAGTCATGGGTGAAGGAGCTTCAACGCCAGGCAAACGAGAATATTGTGATCGCCCTGGCAGGCAACAAGCTGGATCTGGTCACCGAGAGCCCCGATAAGCGGGCAATTCCAGAGGCTGATGCCGAGGCTTATGCACGCGAAGCAGGCCTACTTTTCTTTGAGACTTCCGCCAAATCCTCAACAAACGTCAAGGAGCTATTCACCGCCATCGCAAAGAAGCTTCCTCTGGAGCAAGCCGGTGCTCGGAACATGCGGACAACTCCTCGCCCTGGCGTTGACTTGCGCCCTGAGGCCCCTGGCACACAAGGCGCCGGCGCCTGCAACTGCTAAGGAGGCAATTGCCGGTAAATTGTGGGGGCTATCACGTCCTCACTTCACTCGCTGTCTGAGATTGGTGAAGGCTACACATTCCAGCATCACTCGATGGTGATCCCACTCTGTGACTATCTATGATTTCGCCAGTATCGTTTTGCCTGGCTCTGGCACCATTCCCCATCCGTTCTGGAGTTGAGAGATAGACTCTCGGTTCATGATCAATCTAGCTCTCTCGGATTTTCTCTGCTTCTTTCGTTCTTGTCCAGTCTGTTCTTCCCATGCCCAAACTTTCCAGTGGAAAATCTCCTCGTCGGCAAAGGGTTTGACCTCCATGGGCGTATGTGAAAGTCGGCGTGGGAACATGCTCTGGCAAGATCAATCTGTGCTCCACAGTGGTTTTCCCCTTGTATTCCTTGCTCCTTTCAATCTGGCGTCTGCATCTTCTTCTTTACCCTTGTCCTATCGTTTTTCTTGGGCTGATTTCCTGCTACCGTTACCCTTTGTCTGCTCCACGATTCTCAGTATGTCATGCCCAAATAATACATTTTTCTCACCTGTATGTACAAACAAATGGTACAGCAGCTTCGTAATTGCACTCGGTAGGAACATCCATCTCACATCTCTGTAGCCCAATACAGCCTCACAACAAGAGCAGGAATGACGAGTATGCTCCCACGTATGATTGCTCTCGCCTATCTGAGTGTCTTTGATCATTGAGATGTACTTGTTGATAAGAGATCAGATTGACGCTTGAGTTGGTCCGTAGAGCTTGCAAGCTTACAATTGGCACGTCCCTGCAAGGCTCGTGCTTTAATTTCTGTGGTAGCTACCCTGTGACTAAATCAGGTCATTCAATTGATCGGCCATGCCAGCAATGTGAAAAACTCAATACTCTGGACCTGAGCCATCTAACTACCTCGGGCTACTATACACCGGTGTAGTATGGTGGGCAATGGCGCTGACCGCCCGCAGGATTATCGGGGCGGATCGCATCCGAACATCCAGTTCCCGTTTTCTTACCCATCCATCTCTCTGATCACTTCTAGCCACTCTTTTTTGGCGTTTGTGTGGTGATGCTGCGCTCCTCGATTGCTCCGGGTCGGCAATTGCTGTCGAACCCCATTCGCCAACGGATCCCTTCACAATGGCTCTCCAAAGCCGGTGCAAGCAGCCGGCTCGCAGGCCAGGTAGGATGACCATATACACGTGCTTCTATATCCTCCCACTCATGTTGACCACGCGCAGCGCTTCTTCGCCGACTCTAAGCCCCCAACTACAGGTGGCCCGACCCCGGTTTCCCCTTCCTCTGAGTCCAGTGTGCCTCCCGAGACCATCTCCAAGGCCGCCGAACAAGGTATGACGATGCCCCTTCATCAGTCACGATTCAAGCCTTTCTCTCGTGATTCTAATGCGTCAAATTGGTAGATTCCAAGCTCCCTCCCGCGCCTCCAGCAGCTGCCCCGCGCAAGACCGGCCGTTTCCGCCGATTCTTGATTTACTTGATCCTCACTTCAGGCTTTGCCTACGGTGGTAGTATCTTCTTGGCTATGAAGTCTGACAACTTCCATGACTTCTTCACCGAGTACATCCCCTACGGCGAGCAGTCCGTTCTCTACTTCGAAGAGCGCGACTTCCACCGCCGCTTCCCCAATGCCCTGCGACACCAGAACCGCCTCCCCGCCGCGCCAAGAGAGGAGGGTGCACCTGTGACCATCCCCAGCAAGAGCGGCCTGTCTTGGAAGGTGGCTGGTGAGGAGAAGGCTGATACTGAGACTGCCAACAAGGCCTCTCACGACGCCCGCGCCCATGACGCCCAAACTAAGCCCGCAACCGCCAAGCCCGAAGACCGCTCCGCTGCCGTAACCAAGGCCAAGGAGGACAAGGCTGTAAAGAGCGGTGACAAGGAGGCTAGCGCTAAGCCCGAGGAGAAGAAGCAGGTTTCTCTGGAGGAGCCCAGACAGCCCGCTGTTTCTGCCAGCACCATCGAGCTGCTCCAAGTGCAGGATGGCGACGACTCTGTCGTTCAGGACTTGGTCAAGACTTTCAATGACATTGTGACCGTCATCAGCGCCGATGAGAACTCGAGCAAGTACTCCGCGCCGGTCGCAAAGGCCAAGGGCGAGCTCGAGAAGATTGGCGAGAAGATTGCCGCCATTCGCAGTGATGTTCGCAACGCTGCCCAGGAGGAGATCAACAAGGTTCACGCCACTTTTGATGAGTCCGCCCGGGAATTGATCCGCCAGTTCGAGGAAGTGCGCGGCACTGATCTTGCTTCATTCCGCGAGGAATTCGAGGCTGAGCGCGAGAAGCTTGCTCACGCTTACCAGCAGAAGCTCACCTCCGAGCTCCGTCACGCCCAAGAGCTTGCTGAGCAGCGTCTCCAGAACGAGCTTGTCGAGCAAGCCATCGAGCTGAACCGCAAGTACATCCACGAGGTCCAGGGCCTTGTGGAGCGCGAGCGTGAGGGCCGTCTGAGCAAGCTCACCGAGCTCACCACTGATATCAAGGACCTTGAGAAGTTGACCGCCGGCTGGAGCGACGTTATCGACACTAACCTCAAGACCCAACAACTGCAGGTTGCTCTTGATGCCGTTCGCACCGTTGTCGAGCGCGCCGAGACCCCTCGTCCCTTCGTGCGCGAGCTGGTTGCCGTGAAGGAGCTCGCTGCTGGTGACTCCGTTGTCGAGGCTGCCATCGCCTCCATCAACCCCACCGCTTACCAGCGCGGTATTCCCTCCCCCACTCAGATCATCGAGCGTTTCCGCCGAGTTGCCAGCGAAGTCCGCAAGGCTAGCTTGCTCCCAGAGGATGCCGGTGTGGCCAGCCACGCCGCCAGCCTTGTTCTGAGCAAGGTCATGTTCAAGAAGGATGGTTTGCCCGAGGGTGATGATGTCGAGAGCGTTCTCGTTCGCACTGAGAACCTGTTGCACCAGGGTGATGTCGATGCGGCTGCTCGTGAGATGAACACTCTCCAGGGATGGGCTAAGATTCTTAGCAAGGATTGGCTTGGTGACGTGCGCAGAGTTCTTGAAGTGAAGCAGGCTCTCGAGGTATGTGCTATTCCCCTTTCACCTTGAACTTTCACCGATTGCTAATCATTCTTCACAGGTTATTGAGGCCGAGGCCCGTCTCCAGTGCTTGCGTGTTGAGTAAGCGCATACTTTGAGCGAAACTGATTTCATTTTACCCTGTATATCCTTGTCTTCTACAGGAACTGTACCTCTAGTTGTACTTGTGCTTTAGACCCAAATTCTAGATTTTCCTATGTGTATCTACTGGGAATTGTAGGAATGCCCTCTGAATCTCTCGTACCCAAGAAGACCATGCCCGACTTAGGGCAAATCGTCGTCGAATAGAGTGCTTACATAAGATCCTAGTGGCTGACGCGCATCCCCGATCTACAGACGTTACGTCGTGCAGAATGATCATGCAATCTTGTCGGTTGTCCTGAGTGCTGAATACTAAGTGGATGACTCGGCGCATCGCATCCATGCTTGCTTCTGGCCAAAGAATGTCCGTCTCTGTGTCGAGCGTGACCATCTAGCTCTGTTGCCCTTCCCGCAATGTCGCAACGACCGAGCGAACCTCCGAACCGATCCCAAGCGTCGCCGGCTAATGCACGATCCCGAGATAGATCTTCAGCAAACACGTCGCCCTTTCTTCGATCCGATGGAGGCTCATTGCCCCCAACCACGCCGCAAATGAACGACGGCCAAGCGAGCGGGGAGCTGGAGGGGAGTACATTGGGCAGCGGTTCTCGGGATGGAGAGCGGAGGACCCAGAGCTCCAGTGGCTTTTTGCTGGACTCTCTCCCCCGGGCGAGAAGCACGAAAGTCAGTCTGCATCGTTCTCGTCCATCGGAGCCTGTCCAAGAAAAGCGCAAGGTCCCAGAACCGGAGATCGTGGTCCCTAAAAAACGCTCGCGATTTCCTTGGAGTCGACATAAGCATCACGCCTCCGAGCCGGTGGCTAAAGATGGACCACAAGGTCCAGGGGTCTCCCGACAAGCCTCTACGTCTTTCGAGAAACAGCCCTCTCGAAACTCCTCGGAGCTCGAGGTACACGAGAGCAACCCCGAGCAGTCGACCCCTGGCTTTGATAGGGACTCCCTTCAAATTGTCAATCTTGCCCTGAGTCTCAATGAATCCCGAAGGCGCACAGCGTCCGGAATTCCCCCAGGGCCGGGTCGCAGGCCGATATCTGTTTCCCAGCCTGCTGTTCCGCTAGCAGATAGCTATGGCCAACCTTCGCGGGCAAGAAATCCCCAACACGACTCGGCTTATCGCAATCTTACTCAAATTCCGGGTGATCGCATGTCGCAGGGGACACTGCCAAGCTTGGAGCAGTCATCTGTGGTGAACCTGTTGCCCCCTTCTGCAATCGCAGATCATAGAGCGTACGAGTTCTCCGAAAGCACGTTGATCCGGGCTCAAAAGGCTCGGAATCACTTTGATCTGTTTCATGAATACATGCGACTGCTTCCATTGCTGCCTCCACTACGAGAATCAGGTAAGGAGGGCCTCCCGGAGTCTTCAATCACCCAGCAGCCTCATCGCGGCTACAATCCCCTTCAGACCATCCGAAATCGCAAAGTCAGGTATCGTGAGAAATGTACCATCGATCCAGACGCTGAAGGGTGGCATGACGCAGAAAGGGTTCATCAGTGGATCGACAATGTCGAGCAAAAATACAGCAAAACCGACCATGATCAATTGGAATGTCTCAAGCTACCATCTTTCAGGCAGGGCCCCCGCCATGCATCCATTGGAGAGCATGAAGACGGGTATATGATGGCTACCTCACCTCCGACAAGCTTACGACGTGTCAGTCGAACAAGCAGCACGAAAGCCCGCCGGCCGCGGATTGATTGGAAGATTTCACCTGCAGAGCTATTGGCCGATGCTGCGTGGCTCGAAGATGGCACCAATAAGACAAAAGTGGTCGATAAGGATGGGTTCAAGCTTTACCCTGATCCCACGGCACTTGTCATCCTGAACACGCGTGATGATACGACAACGCCTTACAAGCAACGCCTCTCGCTCGAGGTGGGAGATCACGGAGAGGCAAACTCTTCACCACGGACTTCCCTCTCCAGCACCCATCCTGCGCTAGCGCATGAATTTAAAAGCGTGGGCCGAGGGCGACACAGGCACCGGTTCCGAAGTCATTCCCACAGCCTTCGCAGTCGTAGCGGCTCCAGCACAAGGAAGCCCTCTCGATGGAACAAAGTGAAAATGCGTTCCGGCAGTGTCTCAAGCTCCTCCAGTTCGGCGTCGCAGCCTTCCCTCGATGAACGACCTCGTTTGTCTCGCGAGCCTCTCCGCGAGCATGTGCAAAGATTCGTTGATCACGCCCAGGCTTCGGGGTCTCGTGTCTCTCGTGCTAAATCCCCTGCTGTCAGGACTAGTGAATACGATCGGGGAAGGACACCGCAGCCCTCCGAGCCATTAGCACTCAACACGTCGCACAAGCATAAGCGTCGAAAAGGTTCTGTTTCATCAGCGGACAGTATGGACTACCGACTTGGTCCGCGACCGTCCGTGGAGGGGATGGATAGTACTGCGCCCAATTCACCCGCCCATACCGGCTACTTCCCAAGCATAGCCGTCAATTTATCGCCTCCTTCTAGCCGATCACCCTCGCCTACGAAGAAAGGCCTGCGTCACAAGATTGTCTCCCGCCATGAGCGGAGCAAAAGCAAACAGGCCCATCGAGAGCGCGAAGACGACGTCCTGGATTACGAGACTCCGCATCATCAACCTGTGTCATCTCCTGATTGGAATGAAGGTGCTTCTAAACTTGATCCCAGTCCTCTTCCTGACTCTGTCTCTCCGCCTTACCAAGAAGACCAGGCCGTGTCAGAGGGGCATCGGCCCCGCAAGGGAGCCCATATTCCTGAATCCAAGCTACGGGGGATCTTCAAGGGCCCTGGTCGGATTGCAGAGATCGTGGGAAATGAGGTGTCAAAGGTTGGAGATCTCATTTTGAAAAAGGACACAGAGCCAGACTCTCGGAAATCTTCATCTGCAAATACCCTTGCTTCGGACGATAGTGACTCGGATGAAGAGCCCCGAACGGACAAGAAGACTGGACTGCTTCCTCGCAGGGAATCCGAGAAGACCGCATCTCGCAACTATATCTCTCTGCCATCCTTCACTTCGCCTCTGCGCTCGGACGAGCGAAGCAAGGCTCCAGCGGAGGGCGAATTAAGTAGCCCTCGCGATCAACCGACCCCTCGCAAGTATGAAGGCCGTGAGTCTTCTAAAAAGCTCACCTTCTCACGGAGCAGGACACTCGATTTCAGCCCCTCGCTGCAGAAGGGGCGTTCAAATCGCCACGAAATCAAAGATCCGTCTATTCCGTTCAGCTTAACCCGGCCTCCTGTCACTGGGCTGGCTAAAGCTCGAGCTTCGCCCGGGATTTCACCCGAGGGGAGACGCTCAGGACTCTCTGGGGCGAGTCGCGCTTGGAGTATCTCCGGCCGCAGTCTCCATACTTTGACCGACACCGGGATTCCTGCCAAATCCGAGATTGAGCGCACTCGGGCACTTCTTCTGTCGTCCGGCATTAAAGCCCGTGAGATAACACGCAGAGCCCACAGTACTCGTGAGCCTGCTCCACACTGGCTCCAGAGCTCTTTGGCATCTGGCACATCTATCCCAAGAGTGACACGCATCAATGAGTTCGACCTTGCCGCGCAGAATCTGCTCCAACGTTTTGAAATGACTCAACAGTCATTCCAGCAGTCCATGCATAATTTCTCCACCACTACTTCGTCACCTCTTCGGTCTCAGATCAAGAACCTCGAGACCCTGGTCAACCAATCGCTTGCGCCCCGCGTTAGGGCCACTGCAAACGATGCGGAGGACATGTGCGTCCAGCTGAACACTACGAGCACGCTCGCCGTCAAGCAGCTCAGTGATGCCCTTGACAAAGGTGTTCGCAAGCGTCGCCGTCGATTGAGATGGATCCGCCGAACCGGGTTCATGGTCTTGGAATGGGCCCTGGTTGCCATGCTTTGGTGGGTATGGCTGATTGTCATGGCTTTCAAGCTGGTCCGTGGTGTCTTCCGAGGCTTTTTCTCTGGTGTTCGATGGGTCTTGTGGCTTTGATTGTCCATACCTTCTTCTTCTTCTTCTTATCCCTTTGATTCTTCTTATTGGTTTTTAACTTCATCCCCTTGGCGTGCATATACCCTTCTAGTATGCATCTATCCCACTTCCTTCTTTTCATACATAATATAATGCAGCGTTAATTTACTTCTGATGCGAATTGTACATATTCTCGTGCCATATCCAATACATCGAGAGGATTGGCCTCAATTGTCTTTCAACGAGCCATACTTCCACGATTGATGTGGGCTTCTATGGCCCTTTGTTCTGACTCTCATAGTCATTGCTGACAATGTCTTTCAAGGTGTTCAAAGACTTTGATGGCTAAGCCTTTCTCTTTCTCTTTGTCATTCGTCTCTCCAATACCATGTGCTTCTCAAGTATATATATGCTGAGGTACATGCCTAACTTCACCTGCGACTACAACATCAACGACCGCAGATCATTCACATTCAACATCTACACCATACCTAACAGGTAACTATCAAAATGTCTTCAGGTAAGCATCTTACTGATTTCTCCAAGCCAGGAAGCTCAATCTCATCAGCCCTTGCCCGTCACATCTCCAGTACTAGCCACTGGGCATCACACACGCTATTCATCTCTTTCATGGCAAACAATCCAATCGATGTAATTCGCGACGTACGTGACCGGCGTCGTGCCATCACCTGGGATCTCAAAACCATCGCGCACATCCGCAGTTGTCTCCGAAGCTGGGTCAAGGATGAGGTCCCGGCGGACATCATCGGTGCATTCCTCGTCAATATCCTGTACCAGAGAGACTATCACCTGGGATACCGACTGACCACGCTGGTGCGGGAGAACAGAACCGCAGCACATATCGCCCGTCGTGCCCTAGCCTTCTACCAGGTCCACGACAAGGCAGGCAAGCCACTCTGGGTCCAAGAGACGAACCCCAAGCCCGTCGAAAAAAGCCAGCCTCTGATTCCAGCCGCAGAGCACGCAGATCTACGCTGGCCTTCGTTCCTAGACCGACTGGACGATTACAAGCTGGAAAGGCTTATCAGGAAGCTAGGAGATGCCTCCGTGGACGAAAAGGCTTTGTCCGTTGCGCTCAGAGAAGTGAAAAGCGACGAAATTTCCATCGTTCAGACTTTCCATCGATTCAACATTCATGCCGAGGACAGCCCAGAAGTATATACCCAGCTTCGAGACAGTGCACACGCCAGGAATTCCAGTCGCAAGGCTGATCCCCTGTCCATGAAGTCTCTCCAGGATGCTCTTCCCTCCCTCGCAACCGAGAAGCCTCTACCAGATGTGCCCCCCAAGGGTTCTGCGCCCTCTTCACCCGTCCCGGGTCCACCTGTAGTTGTGCGGACATTCGACGCGAACAAGAAATCCAAGACTCGCTCATCGCATGTAGACTCTACTGACCATTCACAAAGGAAGACGCATACATCCTCGACCAACCCGAGGGTTTATACCGGGGACTTCTCTACCGGAAACGATGCGCATCCTGAACTAAGAAGGCCCCAAAAGTCCAATGACTTGCGCAAGGACCGAGAACGCGATGCTAGGAGAGGCAATTGATTCGCTTCAGGTACGTATCATTCTGACTCGATGTTTCGGCTAATTCTTTGACAGCAGGGCCGCTCCTAACCTACTCAGGGTATTCCATCTACTAATCATATTCTAGCAGCTGCTCTATGTTATATCCAAGTTTTGTGTGCTTTGGTGTCTTTTTAGGCTTTAGGTTGCTGTTCTTTTCTCGCCTTGTTGCTATTCTATAGGTCTTTATAGAATACTACGAAATGAAACTTCAAGTCGATATCCTCTGTAAGCTCATTAAATCATAGGCATGTCCATTGAGATTCATATACATGGGTTGAGAGGAGATATATAGGCTCTAAGTCTTCAGAGTGAAAAATAGTATCTTGATGTTGAAATACAGGTCCCAGAAAGGCAAAAGAAAAGATGCCATGTGTGAAATAGTACAGGGGTTTTGAGATGAGAAAAGCAAAGCAGACATGAATCCCGGGAGGAATTCAAGACTGTGGCTTCGATATCCAACAAAAAGACCAGGCACCGCCTGGTTGGAGTTGTCGGAGGTCAGAAAAGGTGTTATTACATAGTTTAGAGGGTTTGTCGTTTATTTCTTGTGGCGGTCAGCCAGGGCCTTAAGGTGCTTGGCGATAAGTTCCTTTCTGTAAGAGAGAAGAGGTTAGTATTGGTTCGGGCGTCAAGGAGAAATTGAAACGTACTGCATCTGAGGAGGAGCCTTCTCATAGTGGCTGAACTCCATGGTGTATTCACCCTTGCCCTGAGTGGCAGCGCGCAGGTTAGTACTGAAGCCGAACATGCCGTTCAGACTGCAGTCAGCGTAGATGGTGAACTCGTCAACGCCGGTCTCAGTATCGTTGATAGTGGCACCACGCTTGTTGAGCAGACCAATAACATCACCCTGGAACTCAGTGGGGGCGGTCACAACCGTCTTCATAAGAGGTTCCAGGACAGAGGGCTGACTTTCGGCGAAGGCCTTACGGAAGGCCTGCTGGGTGGCGTTCTTGAAGGACATTTCAGAGGAATCAGTCATGTGAGTAGCACCATCGTTGATGACCATGCGAGTTCCCAGAACCTTGTGGCCGATGAGAGGACCCTTGTCACAGGACAGGTTGAATCCCTTCTCACAGGCGAACAGGAACTTCTCGGAAATACTACCACCGACAACCTGTTGCTCGAACTTGTTCTCCTCGAGAGCGCCAGTGGGCTCCATGTAACCCATGACACGGGCGTATTCACCGGGTCCACCGGACTGCTTCTTGAGCAAGTGGTCGAATTCAACACGGCTACCGATGGTTTCACGGTAGGCGACCTGGGGCTGACCAGTCTCGCAGTCGACACGGTACTCGCGACGCATACGCTCGACGTAGATGTCGAGGTGAAGTTCACCCATTCCGGAGATAATGGTCTGGTCACTCTCGTTGTCGTAGGTCACACGGAAAGTGGGATCCTCTCGCTGGAAACGGGCCATGGCCTTGGAGAAGTTGGCACCGTCCTTGCTCTGCTTGGGCTTGATGGAGAGCGAGATAACGGGCTCGGGAACGAACATGGAAGACATGCTGTAGCCGAGCTGACCGTCAGTGAAGGTATCACCGGAGGCACACTCAATACCAAACACAGCACAGATTTCACCAGCGCCAATCTCGCTGACTTCCTCCATCTCGTTCGAGTGCATGCGCACAATACGGGGAACCTTGACCTTCTTGCTGTTGCGAGCGTTGAAAACGTTGGAGCCCTTGCGAAGGGTACCCTGGTACACACGAATGTAGGTCAACTGTCCAAAGTTGCTCTCTTCAAGCTTGAAAGCAAGACCAACGAAGGGAAGGGAGTTGTAAGGAACAAGCTTAACAGAAGCCTCGTCACGCTTCTGGTCAAGGGCGAGGTTCTCAACCTCGGAGGGGTTGGGCAAGAAGTCAATGACACCGTCCAACATGGGCTGGACAGACTTGTTGGCGAGAGCAGATCCCATGAAGACAGGAGTGAACTTCAGGCCAATGGTAGCGCGGCGGATGGCGGCGCGGATCTGGTCCTCGCTGGGAACGAGCTCATCCAAGAACAACTCGGCGATCTCGTCATCAACATCGGCAAGGGTCTCGATGAGCATGCTGCGGCGCTCCTCGGCGAGGGCCTTGACCTTCTCAGGAATCTCATCCTTGACCATGATATCTTCACCGCTAGAGCCAACGTTGTACAAGGCCTTCATGCGGATCAGGTCCACAACACCCTCGAACTCGTCCTCGGCACCAATGGGAACCTGGACGGCGGCCGCGGGAATCTTCAACTTGGTGTTGATTTGATCCACGGCCTTGAAGGGGTTGGCGCCCATGCGGTCCATCTTGTTCACGAAAGAGATACGGGGAACGTTGTAGCGACGCATCTGGCGATCAACGGTGATTGTCTGGGACTGGACACCGGAGACGGCACACAGAATCATGACAGCACCGTCAAGAACGCGCAGCGCTCTCTCGACCTCGATGGTAAAATCAATGTGACCAGGGGTATCAATCAAGTTAAGGTGGTACTTCTGGTCAACACCCTCCTTGTCCTTCTTCACCCAGTCACAGAAGGTAGCCGCAGACTGAATGGTGATACCCTTCTCACGCTCCAGATCCATGGAATCCATCTTGGCACCAACACTGTCACGCCCGCGGACTTCGTGGATGGCCTTGATGCGACCAGTGTAGAAAAGGACTCGCTCGGTACATGTGGTCTTGCCGCTGTCGATGTGGGCCTGCAGAAGAAGCAATTAGACACGATTCAAGAGCAATTGAGGTTCGAATTAGACATACCGCAATACCAATGTTACGACACTTGTCCAGACGAGCAGCCTCAACGGGGTCAAGGTTGTCAATAATGGCGGCTTGAGACAAGCCATCGGGGTTCGCCTTAGCAGCCTCGAGACTAGAACATGATTAGAAACGATATCATGATATTCCGCAAAATGGACTTACACTGCAGAAGCAGCAGCAGAGGCATTGCGTCGTTGATCCCATTGTCCCAACTTTGACTGATAAGCCGGCGCAACCGCGGAGGATCGGAGAGCCGTCGACGCGCATCGCTGGCGCAGCAGAGTCTGGGGCTGGAAGCGGGCAGATCTGGTCAGACCAGAGACCGCACGGGATTGGAGCCGTGCAAGAGAAGGAGACCACATTCTGACCCAGGCCTGTATTGATATCGGGTGAATGTTTTGTCTCCGGGAAAAAAAGTTCGGGGCCAGGTACACGGCACGTGACTATGAGCCCATCAGCGTCGATTCATTACAATCTTACTCGACTGGTCTATATTCTAAGACAGATCAGCATTGAAGGTTGAAATAATACCACAGAGTCCAGCAATTCGCAGGGTTAACGGGCCCTGTAGAGGTTTCTGTGTAGAAAAGAATTGAAACATCCTACATGTACGCGATCAATGTACCAGCACTAGACTTGGAGATCATGGAGTTGAATTGAAACATGAGGGCCCAGTAGACCTGATTGCGGTACTAATATACAAGAATAAAGACACAAGCGCCGTGATATCCAACCACTGTCGGAATTCGAAGGAATGCAAAGAGTGTGCCGCCAATCCTGCCCAGGACAATCCGGAGCATCCAATAGAGCTAGGCAGCTTTTTGTCTGGAGAATATACACATATTCCAGCGTAGTTCTAGAAAAATGCCGGAGCCTTTGGCTCAAAGTACCCGGGGGACGAGGCGATGCACGCTATCGGAACAAATGCAAAAGGGCGATTGCCCTATTTCCCTTGCCGTTGCTTGTGCTTAGGGTTCTTCGAGCTAGTAAGAAAAAGAGTATATGGTTAGCTTCAACGAACTCTATGTATGGCATTCAATGGCTCGAGGGTAACTCACCAGATGATGAAAACGCGACCTTTCCGGTGGACGGGCTATATCAGGTAGTCAGCACCAATTCTAGTCCCCAATGCAGCCAGCAGCTAAGCCCAGAGCCTGCAAATATCATACCTTGCAGCCATCACACAGCCTCTTGACTGAAGATCGGGTCTTCATCCCCCGGACCTGCTCAACATGCCGAGTGGAGGCATTCGCTAAGGCAACCGCACTGCCGGCTTGTGCTTGTCCACGGAACTTTGTGAGGCCGTTCTGGATCATGTGGGAAAATGGCCGTAATGACACTGCCCGAGTAGTCACGGAGGGGAGGTACTGGCGGAGAGCACCGGAGGCACCGAAGACGGTGCGGAGGGAGAACATGGCGAGGTTTCGGGTTCAGGTTCGGGAATAGTCCAAGGTGATCAATCGGAGGCTTTGCCTCAGAGCTCACCGTGTGTAGAGCAGGGGATATCTTGCGGAGTGCGTGGGTCGATGTTTTGGCTCCGAAGGTTGCGATCGCAAATGTTGCCCGGATGTTCTGTATTGCCGAACCGCCGATGGCGAACTACACGAGACTCGACACTGGACTTGCGCAAAATCATTCGAATATATGCAGCTTTATATTTCTACCTAAATACCTAGAATTGCAAACAGAGCCGTGGAAGCAAACTAGTATGATATAAATGGGTCTATCACAGCCAAACGCCGACCAAAAACAAAAGGACCTTGAAGCCGCTTAAATCAATAACACGTTATGAACAATGCATCGTCTCGTTATCCCCACACGCTTTTGGTAAAACAACAGTCGCACTAGGTTTATTCAGAACGTAGGAAAGTCTTATAGGTGGGAGAATCAGTGTGCTCGCTGAAGGGGTAGCCCAGATCCTGGAGGAAGTGCTCCAGGTCCTCCTTCTCGGGAGACGGGCACTGAATTCCAGCCAGAACCTTGCCAACATCACCACCGTAGTTACGGTAGTGGAACAGAGAGATATTCTGGTTGGGACGAAGGGTGGTGAGGAACTTGGCTAGAGCACCGGGACGCTCGGGGAACTCGAACATGAAGACACGCTCGTCAGCGACCTCGCAGCGACCGCCGACAAGGAAGCGCAAGTGACGCTTGGCAAGCTCATCATCACTCAGATCCCGGCAGACCATGCCTTCCTTTTGAAGCTCGTCCATGAGCTTGGCGAGATCCTCACGGCCCGTGGAGGCAGAGAGGGAGATACCCATCAGTACATCTGCGGAATCCTCGCGGGCGTAGCGGTAGTTGAAGGCAGTCACGGCGTGAGGAAGCACAGCCTCAACAAGCTTGGCAAATGCACCAGGCTTCTCGGGAATTCTAACGGACAGGAGAGCCTCCTTCTTCTCACCCAGGGCGGCACGCTCGGCGACGAAGCGCAGACGATCAAAGTCCATGTTGGCACCGGAGGTGATAGCGATGAGCTCGCGGTTGGGGTCGGGGCTGGGGTTCTTCAAAATGTACTTCTTCAGACCAGCAAGTGCAAGAGCACCGGCAGGCTCGATGATGGAACGGGTATCCTCAAAGGCATCCTTAATAGCCGCGCAGGTCTCATCGGTGGAGACTTGGATGACATCGTCAATCACGTCGCGGCTGAGACGCCAAGTTTCCTCGCCGACGGTCTTGACAGCTGCGCCGTCCGCGAACAGACCAACCTCCTTGAGGAAGACCCGGCTGCCGGTATCCAAGGACTGAGTCATCGCGTTGGCATCGTAAGCCTCCACACCGATGACCTTGACCTGGGGTGCAATGCGCTTGAGGTAAACACCGACTCCAGCAATGAGACCACCGCCACCGACAGCACAGAAGACAGCTTCCAGCTTATCCAGGTTGGCCTGACGCAGAAGCTCCATTCCAATAGTACCTTGGCCAGCAATGACATAGGGGTCGTCGAATGGCGGGATGTTGGTGAGACCATGCTGCTTCTCCAATCGGTGAGCCTCCTCCTTGGCGGAATCGAAATCTTGTCCGTGGAGAACGACGCTTCCGCCCAGGCGGGCGACGTTCAAGTGTTTAATAGCCGGGGTGCCAGAAGGCATGACGATAGTCGCGGGGATTCTGAGCTTGCGAGCCGAGTAAGCCACACCCTGTGCGTGGTTTCCCGCAGAGCAAGCAATGACACCCTTCCACCGCTGCTCATTGTTCAAGTGAGCCATCTTGTTGTATGCGCCACGGAGCTTGAAGCTGAACACCGGGAGCAGATCCTCCCGCTTGAGCAGGACTCGGCTCTCCAGCCGGTTGCTGAGGTTGACCGCATGGGTGAGGGGGGTCTCCTCAATGACATCGTACACTCGCGAGGTAAGAATCAATCGCAGATACTAGAATGGCGGGTGCATATTGTTAAAGGACGTTTCCAAGTTGGTAATTCCGATGAACTTACGTCTGGGTAGCCATTGGGGAGCAGGAAGGCTTCAGGAATTCCCCAATTGGGGGGCAATCCGGGAATCTGGTCTGCGCGTTCGGAGGGGGGCGTCGGGGCGGCGGTGTACTCAGTCAAGGCCAGTCCACTCATCTTGGGAGTGACGGGAGACACCGGTGTCACCACTGCGTTTGTGGAAGTATCGTTAGACATGGTCAGGTATCTCTCGAGGAATGCAAGACCAATGAATCGAAGTAATTGCAAAGCGGGCAACCCTCACCTCTGACTCTTTTTTTTTGCGGGGACCGGTGATCGGAGGCCTTATGTCATCAATCACGCCAGCCCTAAATCTTGCTCTCTGCAGTCTTTGGAGATATCGAGTAGGACTTGATCAAAGGGTGCAGTACCCCGGAGGGCAATTACTTTTCATCTTGAGTCTACGAGAATGCCACGGACAATGGCCTCAGATCCCGGCTGCTGTGCTAACAGCCAGCCCTTTGCATTATACCTTGGATCCGAATGCGTATACAGAAGAGATAGAAAGCAATGCTCTCTAGATGATGGATCAATAGTAATGGAGATGCCCACTCTCGGGAACATCCATTGGGTGGATTGATATGAGATTGATATAAGCAAGACCTTGGGGAGAACTGCAGCTGCTCCGTAGCTGTGCACAGTATGGAGTAAATTGGAAGGTAATAAAGCCAGCAGAATTCCTAGAGGTGCATCAGTGGTTTTTAAGAAAAAGATATAAACTGAATGACAAGCAATTGAACTCAGGGTGTCAAGAGTCAAGAGTCAAGAGTCAATGTTCCGCCAGAGGGATAGTTACATAAGGCGGAAAACTTGGCGTCATACCGCGCAGCTAGTCTAATCCAACATCGAAAGATCCCTCTGGAGTCCCCGGATTCCTCGTCATTTCTGCAAAGATTTGCAATTTAGTGCGCTCACTCTCAATTCAAAATCACCATGAGCCGCGAGCCAGTGCCCTCGTCTTTCGACGAGAACCCGTACGTCCGATGTCCCGCAAAGCTACCGGAGATCCCTAACAGGTCAACAGGCAATTCAGCGAAGAGACCGGCACGCAAAAGTTCACCCGACGTCTCAAGGAAGAACCACTAGTCCCACTAGGTACGTCTCCCTACACCCCCAGTCCCGATGAACACCCACGCGGTCCCCGCTAACACACCCAGGATGTGCGGCCACATGTTACGCCCTCTACCGGGCCTACCGATCCATGAAATCCGGCGACTCCGTTGAAATGAACCGCATGTTCCGCGCCCGTATCTACGCCCAAGCCTTCACACTGGTTGCCCTCGTCGCGGGCGGCATGTACTTCAAGACGGAGCGACAACAGCGCCGAGAATTCGACCAGGCGGTGGAACTCCGCAAGAAGCAAGAGAAGCGCGATGCGTGGTTGCGGGAACTGGAGATTCGGGACAAGGAGGATCGCGAGTGGAGAGAACGTCATGCTTCCATTGAAGCGGCTGCGAAGGAGGCCGGGCACAGGGCGCATAATGAGCCTGATGCGGCGCGGTCGTCCATTGAGCCTGCGGATGAGAAGACTGTTGGGGTTTTGGATGCCGTTAAGGCCTTGGTGTCAGGGAACTGAGCTGTATGATATCATTTTGCCATTTTGATCATTTTCTGTACATATGTCTATGCATTGCAGTTTGCAAAACCTTGAAATTCGGGGGAGCCATCCGCCAATCGGTTCGATGGCATCCTTATGGAGCGCTAGCACCTACTAGTAGGTACGAGGTACGGAGTACAGCAGAGTATAATTACAGTCGATCAGCCAGGCACCGTGCAACATGGGCCGAGGTAAAGTCGAACAAGCATGGGTGATTGGCGCTAACGGAACAAGAAGTAACCCTTTGCCCTTGGCAGAACCCTGGGACAAACCGATTTTGGACTTTTGGCGTTGGCCGAGGCAGCCCATGTGAGATCGACAGTCGGCAACATTTGATTCTCCGACTCGGGACGGGTTGACTCCGACCCTGTCCTCTCTATGAAGAGACCAATGTGAATTGGATTGAACAAAGCAGAGGGCAAAACAGAAACAGAAAAGAACCAGAGCGAGTGTGGCAGTATCTCGACGTAGGAAGCCAAGCGGGGATGGAGATGCAAACCCTAATTTGAGGACTCGACGAACTGCCAATTTTTCAGAAATCGACTGTGATCTTCATTTTAGAGTAGTGACGTGGGGAACTGGCCCTTTCACATGTACATAAAAGTCCAATCCCCCTTATAGGGCTACTTTCGCCTTTCCAACTATACTCTCCAATCGTATACAAGATGTTGTCCTGGGTGAACCCTCTACGAATCTTCCAGGCTCTGCTATCCCTGGCCACCATTGGTCTCACTGCATATGGTGTGTAGCTTTCTCCATTTCCAGATTCATTCTAACGAGACTCAGAAATCGCATCTCTCTACGACAAATGGTCCTACTCCAATGTCATCTATTTCATGCTCTTCAACGGCTGCTGGACAACCGCCGTTGTGATTCCCTACCTCGGCCTCGCCCCTCTGGCCTTCCCTCGCTTCTCTCATGAATTTGCCATTCCCTTTATCGAACTCACCACCGGCGGTCTCTGGCTTAGTGGCTGGATTGCTCTGGCTGTTCTCATCCCCTCCCCGGGATCTTGCCACTATACCAGCTGCCATGCCTTGCAAGCATTGGTCGTAGTTGGTGCAGTACAATGGTACGAGAGTTCTGAATGACCGAGATGCAATATCTAACAGTACCTCCAGGGCAACCTTCGCTGTGACCAATACCTTCGCCATCATGGACCTGGTCAACTCGCGACGTAACGCGAAGAACCACCGTGAGAACCCGGCCCCCGAGATGACCGATGCCAGCAATGGCACTGCTGCCCATCCTGAGCCGGCCAACCCCGAGTCTGCTGTTTAGGGCCTTGGAAAGACCTCATGCTCAATGTACAGATGTCTGTGCCAAGCCACGCCAGGCTTGAACGTTGAAAACGATACCCTTATATGGATTTGATGAGCCACCCTTGCATATGTGCAGGGTCTAATAGTGCCGGTTGATAATGCAATTTAATGTTTACATGATAATAAGCTCGCTCTCTAAATCACATCAGGCTCCAGATAGATGTTCCAAACTAAAACGCTGGGTTCCATATGTCCATCGGTATCGCTTCAATCCAGCGCTGTGTCAGGCGTATAGTACACGACCGAGACGGATCAATCATCGGTGTTCATCAATATTCATCGGTGTTCAGTCATTCAATCATCCAGTCGTTCAGTCATTCACTTATCTCAAAAGTTCGTGGTATACTATTTCATCGACGCCGCCTGGGCGCCGTTCATCTGTTCGTGGAAGCCAAGCACCTCGCCATACATGATGGTCTTCCAAATATCCGCAGGCATGTTGGCTTCGAGGAAAGCCCAGTCGAATGGCTCTGTGGCCACCGGTTCATCGGTGGGGTCGTGGTAGGGCGCAAGGTAGGGTGATTCAAGGGCGGCGGTGGCAGACACTCGAATACTGGGGTCAAATTGGAGCATCCGGTCCATTAATGTTGTTGCTGAGAAGTCAGTAATGCGCTCCAAGCCAATTCATCGCACACTTACCTTCCGCACTCGCTTGCGGAATGACCTGAGACATAGGCTTGCGTTCTCGCTTGGGTAGAGATTTAATAAAGTTCAATGTCTGGCATCTTTTAGCATCACTCTACTACTCCTGCCTGCGCTTGTACTTACGTTCTCGCTTGTCACGTTTGCAATCACCTCCGGAGGCGGGCTGCCGAGCATATCGGTGATGACACAGAATTGATTGACGTGGTTCTTCCCCGGGAAGAGAGGCACCCCTGTCAACAGTTCGGCGAAGATGCATCCCGCGCTCCAGATATCCACCTTCTCATTATATTTGCGCCATGTGAGCATAATTTCCGGAGCTCGATAGTATCTCGTGGAGACATAGCCGGTCATATGGAGGTCTTGGATGCGGGCCAGGCCGAAATCGCATATTTTCAGATCGCAGTTCTCGTTCACGAGGATGTTGCTTGGCTTCAGGTCTCGGTGGACGACCCCGGCGGAATGGAGATATTTCAAGCCTCGCTGGAACGGTTAGCTGGTCTCCTCATGCCAACGATGCTCTCCTCACCATAATCTGGTACATGAAGTATTGCGCGAACTGATCTTCGACCTTTTTCGCTTTCAGGATGGTATTGAGATCGGTAGCCATTAATTCGGTCACGAGGTATCTGAACGGGGTCAATCAAGGGTCCAGCGGAGATAGAGTTCCGCGTACATGTCTTCGGAAGGCGAGATGAATATATCGGTCAGGTTGATGATCTAGCCTGTTAGCTAGGTGTGCTGCTGCGCGGCACCGCCACTCACATTCTCATGGCGTAATTGTCGCAGTAGCTTGATCTCGCGAAACATGTGCCTGGCGACGGCTTCGGTCTGAAATGGATTGGCGAGTTTCTTCACGGCGACGGTTCGCTGGCCAATGCGGTCCTTTGCTGAGCTAGAGCGACATGTTAGTCTGCCATCGCGTTCTGGAGATCCGGACTCTTACCAGACCAGGCCCGAAACACCGAGACCTAAAGGGTTCCATTCCGTGTATCTGAGCTGGGTTCAGCGTAGTTGCGACGTTACAGCAGCATTCACTCGAACCGTTGTGTGGTCTCAAAGACCGTGCCCATAATAGATTTTTGGGAGAACTTGGCGAGCTCTTCTCCAGGAGGCGTAGGCGTCATTGTGTGTTGTTAGCAGAAGAAGAAGAAAGGCGAACACATATAGTGGTGACTACAGCGGTGACATCAGAGGCTGAGTGGATCCGGGGCCCTAGTGCAGACTGCAGCCCTGGAGACGATCGCGTCTTGCACGTTCCATGCGAATCTTTCGTGAATCTTTCGTGAATGTTCATAAATTCGTTGACATTAATATACATGACTAATTACTTAGGTGTAGGGGTTCTCGGCCTGGATGAAATTCTCAAACATCGCATCGGCCATGGGATCGTACAACTCGGGAACCGGCCACTCGTCATACGTGGGCTCGAGCTTCAGGGCGTGATCCTCCTCGGACCACGTTTGGGAGGTGGGTGATGTGCTGGCCTCGTTGCTGAGTTCAGGCTGAGAAGCCTCCGGGCTGATCTCGACGTTCTTGAGGACGGACTGGGTCATGCGGGCCAGTTGGCTGTTGATCTGGTGGTCTTCGCACTCGGCGTGCTGGAAGATGATATTCTTGAGGCCCCAGACTTCTTCACGGAGGCAATTTAATTGGGCCAGGAGGATCTCTTTCTTTTCGGTCTCGTCGCTGAGACGGCGTTCGATGAGCTTGTGTTCCCGCTTCTTGCGCTCGCGACACTTGTTGGCGGCAATGCGGTTGCGCTCGAGGTGCCGAGCCCGCTCGGGGGTCACGTGGGCGGTCTTCATGTTCGGTTGGATTTGGATTTCGGTGGCTCAGGTTGTCTTCCTGACGTGATCGCAATGCGATGGGAGGAAACCGATCTATTATAATCCTCTCCATGGCGGCTGAATTTTCCGCAGCAAATGGATGACGTCGTACGCTCAGCAACCAGGATGCTCGCAGGCTTCACTTCCAAGGTTGTCCGCCGGTTTCGGTCCCAGCCAATCACCGACACAAGCTGGACTGTCCCACTGTCGGGGAGCTCCTCGCCAGTCCAACGGCAATTGGCATTCGATTAGAGTATGTGGAGAAGTGGCAAATCCGGACTCAGTCTAGAATCTGCACAGCACTGACATCACCACTGGCATAAACAAACACTTCATGAACTGGCCATCTGGAGCCTAAGTGGGGCAATCGACACATCCGTCCTTCACAGGGATGTCTCCCGTTGGAACTCCACAGCAGCACACACTGTACAACAGGTTTTAGCCCAATGCCCCATTTTCGGGATCTGACCTGGACGTCCACGTTGGGCTTGTCAGAAGAACTATATTGATCATCCAAGTAAGGTACACATTGAGCGAGTTCCGGCCCAGGTGAATGGCCATATTGATTGTGGCGTGTTTCAAATCCTGTTTCCTAAGGTTTCAACCTGGGAATATAGTAGAAATCAGGGGACCTCAGACGCCATTGATGGACAACGAACCCGCAAGACAATGACAAGGATTCTGCACGCGCGGACTTAATTTACATGGACAATATGACAGATATGTACAGTTTCCTAGGTAGGCTCAGATCATCCAGCGACCTGTTCATCAATATAACGCTTCATGGTCTGGAACTCTGATTTGCCCGTCTGAGACCGGTTAGCGCCAAACTATAGGGATTGAACTGAATAAGGACTGTCTTACCGAAAGGAGATATCGGATATGTTGCTATGAAACTTTAGTCACAGCAGGAACGGAAAGTCAGCCAAGACCTACCAGATCAGTCAATTCGCGATGGCGCTCGAACTCGGACCGCGCATAATTTCGCAGCTCGGTTCTCGTGGAGGATGGTGGAACCTCTGTGCGAATTAGCATCATCCACTAGGCCGGGGAAGAGGAACGAACGTACTGATGAGTGCTCGGACGATTTCCCGCCAGAATGACAGGACCCGCTGTCGTTGGATAAACTGGATTGGTTAGTATATATTCCAAGTCACACGGGAAGGTACTTACATGGTCGAGGCTGACGGCAGGCTTCTTCAGCGTGGATGGCCGGGTGCGGGCGACCGCGGCGAGGAAGTGAGATGGGCGCATGGTAAGCTATGTCATGTCTTTGTGATCAACCATGTAAAGTGCCAAATTATATGATGGCAGAGAATGTTTACGATCATGTCTCGTAGAAGGGATCTATAAGGCGGTGACTCTTTCTGCCTGTCCTACAGAGGCTGTCAGGTGATCATTGTTATATGCCTGGATATCAAGGTGTCATTTCATTGTACAATTCAGTTGGGCCCAACTAGTTCTTTTATCCAAAGATTATAAATATTCATAGAAATCGTTTTACTCCTGCAAGGGCTCGCCCATCCCGCCGAATGTCACACTCTTGATGGTCATGAACTCGTCAATACCGTACTTGCTGCCCTCACGGCCAAAGCCACTCTGCTTGACACCACCGAAGCTGAAAACACATTAGTACTCGTCAAGAAAAGGGGACCAGAAAAAACTCACGGAGAAGCAACATCACTGATCAAACCAGTGTTGACACCAACCATGCCGACCTCCAGGGCCTCGGCAACGCGGAAGATGCGACGGACATTACCACTGAAGAAGTAACCAGCCAGACCAACCTCGGCACGGTTAGCAAGGTCCACAACCTCCTTCTCAGACTCGAAGGGGAAGAGGCCAGCAACAGGGCCGAAGGTCTCCTCCGAAGCAAGCAGCATATCTTTGCTCATACCCGTCAGCACAGTAGGGTGGTAGAAGTTGGGACCGAGAGCAGTGGCCTTCTGTCCACCGACGACAACCTGAGCACCCTTGGAGGTAGCGTCCTGGACGTGCTCGTGGGCCTTGTTAGCGGCACGCTCGTGGATAACAGGTCCGTGGGTGGTGCCGTTTTCGAAACCACCGCCCAGCTTGAACTCCTTAACCTTCTGGACGAAGCGCTTGGAGAATTCATCGTAGACGCCCTTCTGGACGTAGATGCGGTTGGCGCACACGCAAGTCTGGCCGGAGCTACGGAACTTGGAGGCGATGGCACCGGCCACGGCGGCGTCCAGGTCCTCGACATCATCGAACACAATGAAGGGGGCGTTGCCGCCCAGTTCCCAAGAAACCTTCTTAATCGTGGAAGCAGATTGCTTCATGAGGATGCGGCCAACGTTCGTCGAGCCAGTGAAGGAGACCTTACGCACCTCAGGGTGAGTGGTGATCAGCTCACCCACGGCAGGGGTGTTCTTAGACGAAGTGACGATGTTCACAACACCCTTGGGGATTCCAGCGCGGTGAGCAAGCTCAGCAAGCGCATTGGCTGTGAAGGGTGTTTCCTGGGGCGACTTCGCGACCACCGTGCAACCCGCCGCCAGGGCGGGGCCGATCTTGCGCGTAATCATAGCCGCAGGGAAGTTCCATGGTGTGATGAGACCGCATACGCCGACAGGCTGCTTCACGGTCATGACACGGTTACCGGGCACGGAGGCCGGGATGGTGTCGCCGTATGTGCGGGGTGCCTCCTCGCTGAACCACTCGAAGAAACTAGCGGCGTAGTTCACCTCGCCCTTGGCGTCAGCCAGGGGCTTTCCGTTCTCCCATGTAATCAGCGTAGCCAAGTCCTCTGCGTTATCGATCATCAATTGGTACCAGCGGCGGAGCATGCGGGCGCGCTCGCGGCCGAGAGTTGTGCGGAATTTGGGGAAGGCCTCAGAGGCGGCCTGAATGGCCTTTTCCACGTCGGCGGTATCGAGCTCGGGGCATGTTCCGATTAATTTGCCAGTGGCAGGGTCTGTATGCCGAACATCAGCATCCTTTCACTCTTGTGGTGGTATCTTGGAATTACCGTGGACTTCGAAGGTCTCGCCGGACTTCGCGCCGACCCACTCGCCATTGATGTATGACTTCTCAATGAAGAGGGACTGGTCTTTTAACTGCAACGGAATCATCAGAATGTGCTGCGATCGTATATTCGAGCCCACTCACCTGAGGTGCACTGTGTCCCATAGTGTAGAGTCTCTGAGCGTGAGTTTTAGGAATTCTGAAGGGGTATCTTGGTCCAGGGCGCAACAATTGGCGGGCGACAGGGCGAATGAGGCGGTCCATGATCACGACCGAGGAGGAAAGTCGAAAATAAGGGCGGAGAGGGTCGGATCCAAAAAAGTGCGGGGAGTTGGAGAGTTGGAGACGCCTTTAAAGGGAGCGGGCAATCACAGATGGTGGAGAATGTCCGGTGTCTCGTTTGGCCAGTGGATGGTGATTGCTCTCTGTGTCCGAGAAGCACCGAGGGACTTGAATCCGGTCAATACAGGTAATATTCAGCAGCTCAGAAGGGAAGCTCTATGCTGCGCGCGGGGATCTGCGGGTCTTTGATGTCATGGAGGTGAGGTTTGTACTGGTAGAGCTGACCACACGTTGGTGAGGCTGGGGAGATACATTACATAGCTCCTGAAAGGTGTACCGCGTTATTCTACTGTCTTTTTGCTATTCAAATCCAACAGTTGAACGATCTATTCGACATTTTCGAGAGAAGGCAACTGAAGCATTTCATAGATCTGGTAATTTTGGCTTCCGTATTACAGCAGGCGGAGACATTGCCCAATCAAATAGACAGACACTGGATTCTCGGTCCTTCCGACCAATTGGGGTTCTGACCTTACTCCCATCCCCGAGATAGTGTATCTGTAATACGAAAGCTCCAGACTACGTAAGTTTGACCTGCAATCGAAGCTCCGTAAACAGCAGTGTGAAGCCCGAGGGAATTGATCTTGAAGTTGCTGGATTTTGAGAATTGTCCACCAAGACGGAATCTTCAAATGCGAGAATTATAGGAAGGGAATATTGGATTAATGCCATGTTCTGCATCATGAATTGATACAAAGATCATGTTGGTATATACATGAGGTCAATAAGTCCTAATCTACCTGAATCAGGTCCTCATCCTCACGAGTAGTCCCAGCGCGAGACTGCGACCTTTCGTTTCCAGAAAGTGCATATGAAGGATGAGCCTTCTTCAAATGCTGATTGAGATTCCATGTCCGCGAGAAGCCTTTCGTATGTCGACTGCAGCCCTCAAAAGGACAAACAATATCCAGTTTGCGGTGATCACCCTTCCCAAGACCCGGTCTCGTCCGTTTCGGCTCCTTGCTCGGGGCTGGTTCTCGGATCATGGCAGCCTCGGGGACCGGTGATGCGGACGCAGATGGAGGAACAATCGCAGGTGTCTTTGCTTTCTTCGGCCTGTATTTCTTTGCTGTTGCTTTTGGCTCGGATCGAGGCTTGTAGGCTTTCTTGGATTTTGCCCGCGACTTGGGCTGTGGTGTTGCTGGCGCTGATTCATCGTCGGAATCACTCTCGGTGTAGGTGTAGACCCACTGCTCGTCGTTGTTGCGTTTCTTTTTGACCCTGCCCTCGGCCATTGTGTGGAATTCCATGTCTTCGCCAAAGAGATCGGCACATCGTTTCGAGGCACGCGTCACGGCCGTGGAAGGAAGACCCATCATCGATGCTAGGCCCATCACCTCACTCCAGTCGCGCAGTTGGAGCCTGCCCTTGATGTAATGATTTCCCTCTAGGCTTTCGATCGAGTCGCAGGACGAATCTCGCACCTCGGATGGATCTGGTAGAGCAGTCTCGGTGTCTTTTTCTGACAATTCCTGGGCATTGACTGAGAGAGGTCGTTGTTGCTTCCGGGGGGAGCCATTTCGAACCCGTTTCCTGCCACGGGATTCACTTCTATTCTCACTTTTTTTCTTTCGTGGGGTGCGATCTGCTTCGTCTTCTTCTGATGAATGCTCGGCTCCGGATTCCTCATCGTACTTTCGACCTTTCATGGCGCAATGAAGACCGTACAGAAGTTTGTCCAGTTGGGTGATAACGTTGCGCGCTAGGGGACGTAGTTGCTTGGTTGATTTATCGTCATCAGCCTGCATCATCGGCTCCATAGTTGTCGAATTCAATGGTCTTCCATATTCCTTCTTCTCCAGTTCCTCGGCCATCATATCATCCTTGTTGTGAATTCTCTTGTCGAGGTCGCTTTTGACATCTTCGTAATCCCACTCCCGAGCTCGGTATTTGTTTTTGGCAGCCTTGAGAAGAACTGCCGTGATAGATTCTTCCAAGCCCGCGCTAGGCCGTGGATCCGGGGCCATACGCATAGACCCAGTCTCATCCATGTGGTTGTGAAGACGCTCATCCAGGCGCGGGACTTGTGCAGCGGGCACAGGCCATACAGTCCATCGTCTAGGAACTGCGAATGTTTTCTTCTCATTAGTTTCCGTTTTGTTTTGAACGGAGTCGCGTATTCGCCTGCGAATCGCATGAGCATTGTAGAGGTGAGCCCCTAAATCTCTCGACCGTTCGGTGATCATGGCGGTACATGCTCCAATTTCATCAGCATTGTACCTTCGCCATGAGCTTGCGGCGCCCTGGAATAAATTTGGTCGCTCAGTTCCTGGCGGCAGGTCGAGGCCACGATCCACTACGTAATGGATCGGCTCGGGGTCTGTCTGGAGGGTGGTTTGACTGAGACCCGCTGGCGGGCTAGACCGCATGGTCTGAGAGCTGTAGTTACGCCGTGATCGCCTCCTTCCGCGATGAGGACTTGCCCGAAGGCCTTCCTCGTTAGAATCGAAATCAGATGCCAGTGGCCGTTCTGGCATGAGCATGTCGTGGTCATATTCGACTTGATCTGAAGTTTCATCCATCATATCGGACTCGGGAATGGGGCCTAGAAGTGTATCCTGCGCTGAGGGACCCCCAAAGAGCGAGGGCCGAGATCTCTCAGGCTGAGAAGAGGGTTGCAAGACATCACTGCTTGGTCCACCGAATAATGATTTTGGTACCTGTGCTGATTCCGGTGGGAGGAAGTCTGAGCCTGGTACATTATTCTCCGAGAATGAGGACATTTTCCCGGAAACAACAGCCTTTGCTGTCTTGTGCACAGGATGGTCGAAATCGACAGGGTGCGGATATTACATGGAGGTTGATACCCAATTCGTAAGTTGAAAGGTTGGGTTCAAACCCCCATTCAGCGTGAGCCTATCGTCGGTACACTGTCCGTGTAACGCTCAGCCTCGAAGACTCCGAGTGTCGTGTCAGATACCGGACTGGACGTTGAACAGGTCAAAAAAATGTCAAGTCGGTCACGTGCCTGATATACACGTTCCACGGTTCAGTCGCCAAGACATGTCCGCTAGACCCAAAGCGGTAATATAGGAACAAGATATAGATCGTTCCTTCTATACGCAATATCAGCCCAATCTCTGAGGTAAGGGTAAACCAGATGTACTCTAGGGTTTAAAGAATACAAAATATTATAGGAAAGATCACTTTATTACTAAAGTACCTGGGAAATCACATCGTTCTCAGAGTGTAGTAGCTCTCATCTCTCTCACTCTCTCGCTGTCTTCACTCTCATCATGCCTTCACTCTCTCAGTATGGCTCACAATCCTGCTCTTCTATCTCTTCTCTCTCTTCTCTCTCTTCTTCTCCATCTTCTCCATCTTCACACTCGTCTATCCATCCTGGACTCTCTCGTCTATTAACAATTATCCATCAATCAACCAACCTCAACCTTAAAAAAATGAAGAGACTCACCAACCTGCTTCCCGACTTTGTGAATGGGATGTCGGATGAGCAGCTCATCTGCTTAGCAGATGAGTTCCACTCGACCTACGTTTCAAATGATTTTTTCATTACCAAAAGCGTCAGTTCTTCAATTGAATGCCAAGCTTTGAACTGTCACAATGGCCTGGGATTGAATCTTACTCTCTCTCGATAGTTGACGACCCAAGAGCCGCACAGTCGGATTATTCAAGTTCGTGTGAGCCGACATATCAACCTGACGTCGGTCATTGTCGCGAAGGGGAAGCTCGCAAGCCAGATTCTGGTCCCAGTCGACGGCTCGATGAGTGCTGAAGAAATCCGCGCGCAGCTGCTCTTGAATCGCAAGCTCTAATCACGACAACCGAGGGTCGGAGCTAGGAGCTGGGCGGCTTCTCGGATGCCCTGATGGGACACGTACACCGGCGTGGCAGGGTCATTCTTTTGAATTTGCGATGGAAAGATTGAATCGTTTTTCGGACATATTCCTCGATATTGTTCCATACTGGACTTTCTAGGACGCAGCCTTAGAAATTTAATATGTCATAATCATGCATAAAACACCACTGAGCATCTCACCCTAGGGCCCTCGGGCACATGCACCTGGGCACCTGGGCACCTGGGCAATCCTTGGACCTCAGGACCTCGGGAGAGTAGATTGGTTTGTAATATTCAAATGGACCCGTGGACCCGTGAATAGTTGACTACCTGGACAGTCCCTTGGTCTGTATAGTAGCCGTAAATCCATGGTTGTATAACTGCCTCCAAGTGTTCGTAGAAAGCCAGATCCACTGCTTTTTGTATGACTTTATTCTATATGATTCTTGCGGGATGATCTTCATAGAATACTTACTATAGCTGAGCGCGTCCCTAGGCACCTACAGGCGCTACCACCAACAAATGTATCGATTGATGTACCTTTTTTAATAGTTCGCCGGAGCCAGGAAGATTCGCTGCTAAAAAAAGGTAAAGGGGTCTTATTTGAGATCGAAAGCTACTGCTATGAAGAGAAAATATTAAGCTAGGCCCATCTTTATGGACAAAGACCCATGAATGCGTGAGACATGCCATCAAAAGGATGTTTCTGTTGTCGACCAAATTTTGTCCTTAGTCCCCACCCACGAAACCCAGATCCTCTCGATCTCCCCTTTCTTTCAGGCCGAGCATGTCGGCCTTCTCAAGTATGAGGTCTTTGATCCAGGGTTTGATATGACGGACAAAAAGCGGATGGTCACAGGTTCCCACAGCCAAATCAAGGTCTCTCAGGTGCTGGCTCTGGTCAAAGATCCGAATCCATCTGCCACTCCGCCATTTCATTTCCTTGGTGAAAACTTCGCGCAAGAGAGTGGCCTCGTAATTCCACAAATCGTAAAGGTAAGATTGAAATGTCTCTGGGATCTCCCCGGGGCGGAAGTGTTCTGTGCTGGGCTTTGAGGCTACCGATGGGCTCTCGAGAAACTCAGGGTAGCTGCATGCTTTCCATAGAGGCACCGCTGAGACAAACTCCCAGTCTATGACCCCTGTCAGCTCACCATCGTCGCTAACGAGAAGGTTTGACTCCGAAATATTATCGTGGAAAACGCTTGATGGCTCTAACTTTTCATGGCCACCGGCCATTGGGAAGAAACGAGGAAGAAGACCATTAAGGTTTTGAACTATGTTGAGGGTTCTCTCGGAATCTTCTTTCGTCTCTTGCTCCTCTTCGCTGGGATCTCCAGTGATAACGTGATCCAGGATCGACTGATTTTCATGGTTCATAATTGCAAGGCGAGCTGCAACCCAGTTGTTGCCTAAAAGGAATGGGCCTCGTGGGACTTTTTGCTCGAGGCGTGATCTCCAGGCCAGTTGCATAGAAACAGCTCGACCTATCGCGGGTACAACTGGACGCAAATTGTCGACAGAAGGAAAATCAGAGCTTCCATCGAGGAAAGCGCTCTCCATCATGGCGAGACGTTGGGTTTTGTTTGGATCTTGAGCTTTGTTTGGATCTTGAGTTCGTAAAAGGTTGAAGGGCAAGTTTGGATTCTCCTTCACATCTGATTCCTCGTAGAGATTTCCAATTCCTTCAAACTGGTGCTCAAAGAGATCAGACGCAGCCTCAGCAAGTTGGCGGACCATTTTCGCTTTCGCCTCGAAGGGAAGGGAGGGCCAAACATCAGCGAAAGGCCTTCCAGGCATCTTGGTCATGAGGATCCACTCGAATCCAATCCGGTTCTCTGCAGAAGAATCATATTTGATAACTTCAGGGACTGGAAGCTTTGTGACGCGGCGTACAAAGTTCATCGTCGCCACTTCACTCAGAACCTTGAAATGCGGATCTATGGGCAATGAAAGCCGCATAATGAGCTCTTTTCCATCAACCGTGGCGTTGTAAACTTTGTTGAAAGCACCCTGTGCAAGAAATTCCACTTCAACTGTGCTTGAGGGGTAGATTTCCTGTATGGTTGCTTTGATGTCTTCGATATCAGGTTCGACGGACCAACGAGGTTCATACCCGAATAGACCCTCTTCCCATCGAAGCCCATGTTGTTTCAGTGTGAGAGACTCCGCATTGCTAGGCTGGGGGGTCGACTCGATAGTCTTCGATGTGATTGGATGAGAGTGACCTTCGACGGACTCCGCGTTGGTGGTGTGTTTTTCCAGCTTAGAGGGCTCTTCGTTGATGGAATGAGGGTCCGACTTGACAAGCTCCGGTTCGATGGGGCGAGGATCCGCCTCGGAGAACTCCGCGCTGATGGGACGAGAGATTGACTCGAAAGCCTTCGTGTTGATCAGATGTTGGTCCGACTTGACAGACTCCCCGTTGGTTGGATCGTCGTTCGGCTCAGGGAAAACTGTATTGGTGGAAAAAATGATTGGCGAAACCTCATTGGATAGTTTGTAGGAAGATAGCACCATACCGGCAGAAGTAGACAAGTCCATTTCCAGCACCATGTCGCATGCATTGGCCTGGTCCGCACAAGGGGCCAGCTTTGGTAAAGGATCGGCCATTTTGCAAAATCCTGTAGCTGATGTGGGGAAGCTCGGAGGATGAAAAGAGAGAAAGAAAGGTGGGGAGAGGAATAGAGAAAGAAAGTGGGAAATGTGAGAAGGGGAAGGAGAGCTTCCAGGGTTGGGACCCTCAAACTTCCAAATTTGGTTTGATTGACATTGTACCTTTCCAGGCTTCCAGGCATCTCTCACTTCACTTTGTTTCAAGGCCTCATTTATGCGCTGTGGTCCTAGTATTGATCATGTCAAATGGATTGTTATATCACATCATGAATGCCACAGTTGAGGATTTTATAGTGACATCAATAGGCGAGCGTCATACCTCTCCATAGAGAGACATTCAAAAGCCAACTCGAATAAAGAGATTGTCAGAAGCTGCACATCTCAAAAACCATTGTTCGGAATGAATAGGGGATTGGAGTCTTCCCAAATGGAGTTGGTGAGAGGACGCTTATTGGAGCCATCCGAGTCCATGAGCATGATCTGACTGTAGGGCTGAAACGTATGATCGTACAAAGCACATTCATACTGGAAGCCATACATGCCTGTAGCCCACATGATCTTGCCATCCTGACGCCAGACAGCATGCGCATCATTAGCACCGCTACTGGTGAGGATCCGCAGATCAGAGCCATCAGGCCGAATAGTGCAGATCTCGTAGTTTGTCGGGGTGGTCTTTCGGGTGAAGACGATGAGTTTTCCATCCGGCGAGAAGGCAGGGAAGTTATCCCAGTCACTGGTGAGCTGGGTAACATTCCTAGACTCGAGGTCGATGACGTGGAGACCAGTCTGTGTTTTGTTGCCGTATTCATTGGTATCAGCACCCCAGACCCGATAGACGATCTGTTTGCCATCGTGAGAGAAGCTGGGAAAGCCGGTATTGAGCTTGTCTCCACCTATCAGTGTGTCATTGCTGTTGGTGAGGGTCTCCGAGTAGCTGCCGTTCTTTGTCGAGCGCACAATCCAGCCTCCATATACTCCTCTGTCTTCAAACCAAGCGCCAACCCCAAAAGCGAGCGATTCCCCGTCCCGGGACCAGCTGGGATTGTATGCACCGGCCAAGCCAGTTTCCACCTCCTGGCGGCGCGTAAGCCCAGTCGTTTTCGGGTCGTAGATTAGTGAAATGTTCTTCCCTTCCTTGTCAAAGGTCATAATCGAAGAATTAGCAAGGAACTTTGCAGTGATAACGACTTCTCCCTTTGAAGAAATCTGGGGCAAGACATCGGTGAATCCGTAGTCCCAATCGGAGTCCCAGCTATAAAGCTTCTTGTAAAGGGGACGAGTGCTCCAGCCGGTCCTCTCATACACCATATAGTTTCCATCAGGAGACCACGACGGAGAGCGGATAGTGGTCTTGTAGTATGTGCCGTTGGTAAGATGTAAGCCATACTTCGCGCCAATCTTGAGGTGATACCCAATCACAGTGTCAGTGACATACTGAGGGAAGACCCTAACACCAGTTCCAGCAACTACTGTCCGTCGGTCCTTGCCATCAAACCCGATGGAGACAATCGAGGAATTTGGAGTCGTCGTATACACAGGGCGATGCGCATGCCATGTATTTTCGCGAGTCATTTCGTAGAACACAATACGTCTGCCATCCGGAGACCATTTCGGAGATCCAAGAGAGTACCCAGGGCGACGAGTCACACAGCGAAGATCGGAACCATCAGGTCGAATAACGTATATCCCAAGCTCCTGTGTATGCTCCCAGCCAGCAAGACCACGGTAGGTAATGGGCCCATGGCCATCCCACTCAGTATTGCGGTCCGATGAAAACGCAATCCATTCACCATCTGGCGACCACGCAGGGCGGAAGTGACCGCCCATCAGAGCTTCGTCTGGGCGGTTGGCTGGCGTATCGGTGATGTTCCATGTGGCACCATTATTCAGGTTCTTGACCCAGATATTGGCTTTGTGGTTGTTTGCCGTTGAGACATATGCAGCAAAGGTCCGATTGGGAGACAACACGGCACTATCTTCCACTGCTGGAGACTCGAGAATTGGTTCAAGGTTGGAGCCATCGGGGCGTACTCGGTAAATATCAGAGTTTCCGTCGCCGTTGCGCTCGCCTGTGAAGGTGATCCACTCTCCATCGGGAGAAAAGCTTGCGTGGTATTCATACATAGGATCTTTCAGCAGAGGATGCTCGTTTGAGCCGTCCGCGTTGGCAATATAGAGCTCTGAGGTCCCTGGGCCGATGCGGTTCATCAAGAACAGACCCTTCTTTTCAACCGCGGGGCCAGAGTCAACCAAAGAGCCAGCTTCCGAGTTTGATGACACAACATCGCGAAACGCGTGGATATGAGGTTTCTCTAGGTTGTAAGCCGCGTCTCCCGTATCTCGGGCGTAGGGACAGCCTGCGAGGGTGGGAACAACGAAAAAACTCACGCCAGATAGTATGTAGAGACGCATGTTAGTTAGACGATCTGATCAACAGAAGATTCTGGGAAATAAACAGGAGCACCATGCCAGATAAACCCCGCAGAGTGAGAGTACAAGGTTGTATCGGTCAGGTAGTCTGGAGAGGTTTCTTTTGGTCTCAACCCGAAGGTTTGATTTCTGTCTCCGGGGGGATTGCATGTTACTTTTCGGGGTCTTTGGGCTGATCTAGTTGCTTTCAGGCGTATTCTGCTATCTTGTTGCCGGGCAGCCAGTTATACTTTCAGCACGGGGAGCGAAATCTTCGAGTATTGTCCGTGGTGTTCAATAGGACAGAACACATCCCACCTTCGCAAAAGAACCTCAATGTACCAATACTCCTTGAAACTTCGAAAGCTTATGTACCGAGCTTCGAATCACATTTCTCCTATTAAAAACAGAAGCATGGGTCTTCTTGGGGGACTGAGACCTTGGAAATCCCAGAACCAGTTGTAGCTACTTTAATGGAGAAGCCATATCCCGGAGAGTGAGATAAACATTGAACACACCATATCATGACTTCAACTTGAACTTGGAGGAAGAAGAGGAATTCATATTTGTGTGTGGTATTGGATGAATGGAGAGAAAAGTTTCTATCCTTGTTGATTGTGTGAGACGGTCAGAATATCTCTTTAGCATGTTGGTGGCTCTTATTCTGGTAGTTCTCAGCCGGAAACATTTGGAATTGATGGCCTAAATCACACTAGGTCTGTCTCTGATGTCTCACAGATCTGTACTGATCTCAAGTGCTGTGTCCTGTGCGGCACAGGCTGCATGGAAGTCCCTGCCTCGATAGTTGGAGTTGGAACCGAATTTGTGCTCCAGCAAATCCGCTAGATTAAGAGGCAGCAGATGAATCTTTTCTTGCTCGATTTGACGTGGATCGTCTCCAGGCCTCTCGTCCACTTTCGGTCATTCCGAAGATTCGATAATGATTCTTGAGTGTTGATCGAATGTCACCACCAAGGTCTTCCATTTCGCCTGCCCAACTTCAATTTTGTCATCTCCGCTAACAAATCGCAGAAACCCGCCGTGTGTCACTACCACAATATCCGGACGACTGGTGCCAACCAGTTCCCTGAACCTTTCTTCCAGCCGGCTTTGAACTCGAGCACCGCGAAGTTTCAGACACTCAGGATCGTCGGCATACACGCCTTCTTTCCGCGGAAATACGCTGTCTAACTCCATGATCTCCCAGGGGAGGTCGTAGAATTCCGAGCGCAAAATCGACACCTCTGAGCCGGTATCGCATGGTCGAGCGGAGTGTGCTTGCACGTCAGGCTCGAGGACTAGCCGAGCGCCATCTGAGATCCCAGCAACTGAGCCTTGCGCGTAGTACTTTTCGTCGATGGATTTCTGAAACCCAAGACGCGCTGTCTGGAGAGTCCGACGAAGGGGTGATGCTAGTACGAGTCCGACGCTGTCGTGGTACGGGAAATCTCGACATAAATCTTGAGATTGATGGATGCCCTTTGCCGTTAACTGAGGGTCGGGTATGGTCGTGTCATGGTTCGGGTTGTGAGTGCCTTCCGCATGCCGCACCAGGTGCAAACGAAAGGACATGATGTATGCTGGTTGAAGCTGTCAGACTGGATAACACAATGCGAAGGTGCTCAGGCATCGGCCACATACCCGTGGACTTTATGTTCAATCTCGGGGCAGACTTCCACAGTCAGCCCGGGAGAGCTATAGATGGGCCGAGGATTATATCCGAACTCAATCGGCCTTTTGATTCTGAATCCTGGATGAGGCACTCCAGTCCGAGTATACATCGTAGCCTCGGGGATAGATCGGATGTCCGAGGCGAATTCACCAAACAAGGAAATATCCACCGAGACCAGGCTATGTATCCATGATATGTTGGGATCTGCAAGATTGCGAGATTCCCAATGGCAGTCTGGTCATTGGAGGCTCTGGGGAATAATACATCACCTCCCGAGGTTTCAATCAGCCCTGGAGCCCAGGGGTTTCTTACCTAGTACAACCCCGCCGATATATATAGTACTAGTCCTCCAAGGCTGGAGATATGAGATTACCTTCTGTTGAATTGTGGGGGGCTTGGAGCCTTGCTGTATATATATAGTAGTCACCTGGGCAAAAGGCTGCTGGATCTGGTGAACATGATTTTGGAAAACTTGGAGCTAGTTGCTTTGTCACAATCAATTTGAATATCACGGCTGACACTTCCACCAGCACGGGCGATAGGGTGTGGCGCGAGAGTCTGAAAGTTTCCCCAGAGTGCGTTGGCCCAGCCCGAATCCGTGTGCTACTGGCCCCGATCGACAGGATCTACGCGCTGAGGGGCTCGAGTGAATTTTTCAGTCTTCTGGGATCCGGACTTTTGTGTGTGTGATATTCTGGTAGTACTATAGGATGAAGGCAAGTAATTGATTCCGAAGCACCGACCTGATGGACAACCTAGCGGGTGGCAGCACCTTCGTTTTGTTGGCCACATAACTCGCAAACGAGATCTTCTGTGGGGAGTAGCCCGCCATTCTTTCGATGTCGATCTAGTCGGTGGGGACGCGATGGGGCGCGCAAATGCCCGAGACTTGTGCCCTCAGGCGTCACGAAGAGTTCACAAATTGGGCACTACAATGCATAACATAGCGAGGGTCTCGGTAGTAGATAAGCCTTGAGAGGAAGCGAAGGAAAAAAGCGAAAGAAATCCGGAAGTTGAGACTCGAAAAGATCAGGTGGAATCCATGGATGCTGGAAGGCTTGTTTACGCCCAAAGCTACGGTTGGACCAATCAGAGGCGTCATTACGGGGCAGTGTAATTTACCAGTACTAGTACATACAGCAGTACAGTACTGCAGCACTCGATTCCCTTTCTTCCCTCTACAAGGTCCATATCGATGCTCCAGAGCTATGGCGATCAAAGGCAAGCCTCGAAGCATCTCTGATCCTCCAGGAGCCGAGCCCGAGATGTTGGCAATGGCCAAGATGCATAAGGTTTCTGTGTAGGGTGATCGGCAATGTACATCGCAGGGGGACAAGCCGGGACACAACAGAACTAGCACTGTAGGTCTGAACACATTAGCCACTGACAAGTTCAAGCGAAAAGACAATGCCGCATAGTCGCCCCCGTCTCACTGCATAACCCAGAGTTCTGTGCTCATCGCTTTCAGCTGTGGTACTAAGCTAGTTGTGTGCTCGAAAATGGCCAAGAACCATTCCCTAGCCCCCTGCATGCTGACGGCTCACACGTGTGGCATTTGCCGACATAATTGTTGATTTCTGTTCCCGCTCTCGAGATTTCCTTCTGAACAGATAGTGTCGCTGTAGCCAGCATCGTCCGACACCCAGCCGCGCCACCAAAATGGGCATAAAACCAGGTATTCAGTTGCTTGTCTCAATTCCCAGTTTGTCCCTTGTTGACCAGCAGTAGAGCATGGCGATCCCGACTTGGAGCCGAGCTCCAGTCCGCCAAGTGATGGGGATGGCACACTTACCCACGTCGACGACAGGGCGCTCGTCCGCAAGATTGATATGCACGTTGTCCCGATGTTGTTTGCGATTTATTTTGTCGCGTTTTTGGATCGGTAGGACCTTTGATCTGTTGTTTCTATCACTTTGGTCGATTCACCGTCGATGGGATGATAGCCCTGGGGCTAGTGACACTGACTTCACCCAGAGTTAATATTTCCAATGCACTTACGATGAGCATGCCGGAGGATCTGAATTTGTATGGCGACCGGACCAACGTCGCTCTACTGGTCTTCTATATTCCCTATATTCTTTTTGAAGTCCCCTCCAATATCGTCATGAAGAAGCTGAAGCCCCATGTGTGGCTGTCGGGCTGTATTGTCGCCTTTGGCGTTGCCATGCTGGGCCAGGCCTTTGTCAAGAACTATGGGGGTCTCATTGCGACGCGCTTCGTGCTTGGATTGGCTGAGTGCGGTATCTTCCCTGGAAGTTTCTACCTGATCAGTTTCTGGTACAGGCGCGCCGAAGCACAGAAGCGATTCACGATGTATTGGTCCGCCGTCATCTTTGCCGGTGCCTTTGGGGGCCTCATCGCCTCCGGGATTGCCAAAATGGATGGGATGCGGGGTCTGGAAAACTGGCGATGGATCTTTTTGCTGGAAGGCGTTGCCTCTATCCTCGTCGGTATTATTGCGTTTTTCTTATGCGCTGATTTCCCGCAGCAGGCATCGTGGCTCAACGAAGACGAGAAGAAGGCCGTCATAGCGAAGACCCATAACTATGAAGGTGATGATGTCTCCATCACTAAAGCCGATCTGTGGGAATCCTTCAAAGACGCCAAGATATGGCTGGCTTCATTCATGTACTTCTGTGGGTCGTTTTCTCAAGGGGTGCAGTTCATGGGCTAACATGACATAGGCATTGTGGTTCCCATCTACGCCTTCTCTTACTTTGCCCCGACGATCATCAAAGCTCTCGGATACAATACCATCCAGACCCAACTGCACAGCGTGCCGCCCTTTGCCGCTGCACTCGGACTCTGCGCCGTCGTCGCCTATCTTTCAGATCGATGGAGGATCCGCCTCCCATTCATTCTCTTCAGTGATCTGCTGATCATCATTGGCCTGGCGATCATGTTGACGATGCACGGCGCGAGCCACTTTTCCGCCGAGTATCTTGGAATCTGCTTCATCACCATGGGCGCCTTCACGGGCGGGGCCGTGATCATCTGCTGGACCATGATGAACATGCAGGGCCATAAGGAGCGTAGTATTGGCTCTGGTCTGGTGATTGGCATTGGCAATGCTGGCGGCATTGTGGCGGTCTTCTGTTTTACCAAAGATGATGCCCCCTTGTATAAGCGCGGGTACTGGATTCTGATGGGTGTCACCCTCGCCGGGACGGTTTTGACGGCAGTGTACGCCCTGATTGTGGAGCGTGAGCGCCGCCATCAGCTTCGTGTGGAGGGGATTACGGACAAGGAGAAGATTTTGTCACTCTAGATGAGTGTCTCGCTGCTTCGTCTACTGGGTATAATAGAGTGGCTCTTGAGTAGATCATTTTGGTCAATATCCATCACAGAATTAACCTCTCATTTGCTGCTCACCTGGGCAAGTGCATAGAGATGATATGTCGAGAATCGAGAAAATCGACAATCTTTATTCTACGCATTCTATGCAGTCCCGACACTCGTGGCTAAACGTGTAGAAACGATGCCAACCCCGCATCGATAGTGATAGGTCCGGATCAAGGAATTCCCTATGACCTTTGTTCGCGGTTCGTTTTGGGAGTGGCAAACCAACCAACAGTGCCTGCAACCAGATCGGCTGCTGTACAGTAGATGATGACTTCCCCCCTTGCTCTCCAGGGCTTCTAGCATCATACCTCCATTCCAAGTCAACCTTCGAGCTCATATTGATATTGATACTTCTGCAGTGCGGAAGTTGACCTTCCACCTACTGTTACCCCGCAACATCTGAAGATACCGCGACAGGATGAAACAGACCGAACGAAGCCGAAACAAACATGCCAACCTGATCTGTCACAACTGCAGAACCAAGAGATTCAAATGCGCGTTGCCAAGTCCTGCTCTGGGCTATCTAGGGGCTCGGCCGCTCGGGAGCTCTTGCGAACGATGTCGCAGGCTCGATCTACCGTGCGTCATCGAGCGGGCAACTTTAAGGCGGCCAGTCAAGAACAGGCACTGCAAAGCGAAACGATCTAAATCTCTCAGTGACACCAAAGTGGATCAGGTCGCTAGTGCGCTCTCTGATTTGAAGATCAAGGAACAGACATTCCCTCGGGATCTCAGAGAGCAAGTTTTGACCGAGAACGGAATCCGTCAACAATGACATGGCAAATCATTTTATGATACCCGACGGTTTCATGTCCAAGGTTATGTGTGAGAGATGTCACATTTGTGTGATGGCGTCACTTTGGATATCAATAAGATGGTTAAGATGGTTGAATAGTCAAAGAGGGACTACTCGGTATGTAGATATAACTGCATTCTCTCATCATCATTCACTATGACTATGTCAAACATCGCACTGGACAGAGGTGAGATAGTCACAGCGGGCAACAACGCAGTCTGTTTTGGTATCTGGCAAGATGGCCGAGTGGTCTAAGGCGTTACGTTTAGGCATGCCAGAAATGGTATTACCACCGTAATCTTCACGGGCGTGGGTTCGAATCCCACTCTTGTCATTTCTTTTTGCTTTCTTTTTTCCCAGTCTGTGCCTGTACTCCGTCTAATTATAGTCGGTACATCATTATGTCTTAGGACAAAGTACAGAGTATAGTACATACATCATACTCTTGGACTGCAATGGGGTCTATCACCCGTAAGGCTACACACTCAATCTGAGAATATAGTGATCGACTCTTACGTGGAGACCCTAGAGCCCCGTTCACCCCGCGTTCAGAACCCTGAAGGGACGAGAAAGGGTCGAAGTAGAATGGTTAAAAGACATCCTAAAAGACAAGAAGACACCTCCCAAAGTCTTAAAAATGATCCGAAGTACCCCGGGCCGGCAAATACTTTAGACCTTTTCAGACTCGTATCATACAAGCCGAAACGGACAGTGGCGAAGCACAGGTCCACCCACGGCGAAGGCCTAGTCGCAGTAGCGTGCTGGCTTCGAGAATCGACTGTAAAAGAAAGAGTAGATTTACTCTACTCTTCATTTCCCAAAGAAAGATACCCCGAACCTGTAAATCCGCCAAGAATCCAACTTGGTCCGAGTTTTTTCTCGACTCGGCTCCAGATCCGTCACACTAAGGTCTCAAACTCTCTCCCTTCCCAGTTTCTCCCCTCCCATCTCATCTCGCCCTTCTCGCCCACGCTCGCCCACCCACATCTCGCCCACGACTCTTGCATCCATTTGCTGTTCCCTTCCAACATCTCCCCCAGCGACCGGATTGAACGAACGAGGTGGCCCGACAGGGCTGCCAAACCGATAGGAAATGTCGGGTCATATGTCATCAGAGCACTCTCGCTCTGCCTCACGATCATCAACACGAGTCTCCCACGATTCCACCACTCGCCCCTCCGGTCGCAACTCTCGCGTCTCCAACCCCAATGTCTTTGCCGATGAATACTCGTTAGAACCCATTGAGTCCGACCGCATCGAACGCCCCCATAGTCCCGCGTCCATCACCTCCTCGGCCACCCTGCGTGAAACCAACCCCAAAACCGTCAGTACTGCAACGACCGAGAATGAGAATCCCTTTGGGGATGATGCCCGGGTGTCATTCGATGAACCCCATCGGTCCAGTCTGCCCCAAAAGGGGCATTTCGCCAACCGGAATTCGACCAACTCTCTCGCCTCAACCCCTTCCATGATTCAACGAAACCAAAGCGTCTCCTCCCGCTTTTCCATCCCCCGTGCCCTCAGCCCTTACACCGGAGCCACCGGACCCAGCCATCCCTATGGCATGTACCCACAGGTCGGCGTCAGCCGGTCGCCCAGCGTGGGAAGCACATCGACAATACGCCCGGTGGAACGTCCGATCGAGGAATCAACCGGTCCCCAGCATCCCTATGCGATGTACTCGCAGAACGTCGTGGAGGAAGGAATGGATGACGATATTATCCCGGTCGGGTTCCCCGGCCACAACCCACCGTATCAACCGCCCGCTGGCCGCCAGGATGAGGACGTGGGGGATATCATTGGACCCGATGGCCACACCGAACCGCTACCCCCGTACTCACGATACCCAACGGGCGTCATCCCCAAGCCCCCCGGCGCGGAGGCGGAGACGATGGCGGACCTCAACACGCCACCCGAGGAACATCGTCTCAACAACGAAAGCCCACGGGCGCTCCCAGTTTCGGAAACATCCTCACGGGCATTGGTGCCCGAACAATCTGCTGGCGGAAACGATGATGGAAACGAGGAACGGGCCCCTCCTGTGGCGACCACAGGCATCATGGCATTCGAGGAGAAGCTCAAACGAAAGGGAAAGCAGACCGCGTGCTGCGGTCTCCCGGTTTGGACCTTGGTTCTCATTGCGACAGTCATGCTCATCGGAGGATGCATTGGAGGTGTCATTGGCGGTGTCCTGGGCACTAAGCGAGCCGCCGAAGCCGCCAAGGAGGACCAGGAGGCTCAAAAGTCTCACGGTCCACCGATTGTGACGGTCACCGCGTCTGCCCAGATGGATGCGTCCATGATCTCCACACCCACTAATATCAAGAGTATTCCCACGGGCAACTTCATGGTTCCAGCGAGCTACCAGAACGGCTCGGGACTCTGCGTGGACCAGACCGAGTACGGCAAACCCTGGAAGTGTCAACAAACACCAAGCGAATTTGAAATCTTTATTGGCGAATCCCGAGGCCAACATTCGATCGTTTTTGATTACGGAGGTCCGACACCGACCTTCACCTATGGCGCTCAGGCACCGTACTGGTCTTCCTCTCCCACTCAGGCACTCAGCATGGCTGTTGATACCACTGATCTTGGGATGGGTCCCGCTCTTTTCTTCATCTCCCCCTTCGACAAATTGGTCATTGTCCCAGAGAGTGATCTCAGTACCAGTTCTATCACCAAGCGCGGGTGGGTCGAGGATGGGTGGGCCCAGGCAGAGGCCTACAAGAACTTTAAGCAGACTGCCTCTGTCGGCGATAAGCCCTGGTTCTGTTGGTGGAACAACACCATGATGGAGTTCTTCATGTACGTCAACCAGTCCACCGCGGCCACCGCCAGCACCACCGCCTCCGTCGACAGCAACATGGCGGCAAGCACCGCTGGCGTCCAATCCAACGCCAAGCGCAGCTCTATCGCCAACTACCCGCGGCGGATCAAGATGGAGGAGCGTCGTGACGACCCCAAGCGGGAAACGCCTTACTGCCAACAGATGCAGATCCGCAATGACGGCGGTCTCGCGCTCCTGTCTGGCAAGCTCGTCAACATCAAGGAGAATGAGCCTACTCCCACCACCACCTACACCAACTACAACGGTGGCACCGCTCAGACATACACCGCACAGGCATCCTACGCCAGTGCGTGCTTCTGTCAATCCCTGACAGACTAGTCGGGCCACCGAAGCAAAATACCCTATTCATTGTGGTCCCTCTTTGGTGTGGACTTTGGCGTTGGCGTTAGATGGGCCGTGGAACTGGCCGAGCTCATGTGCACATGATCGTCTTCCTTCTTGACTGTGTGATTTTACCCCCTCCCCGCAAGTTACTGGCCTTGTGGGATGTTTCTCTTCTCGCATTATCCGTGACAATGCTCCTTTTTTTGCCTCTCCTGCCCTTGCGGCATGGTATGATTCTCATTTTGCGCGAGTTCTCTGTTATCCTTTTTGGGGTTATACATTTGGTCTATCTCTTCGTATTCTTACTGATATTGACTCTGGCGCTCATTGGATTGGTACGGCTCAGGTATTGCGATATGTCTGATTATACATTGTTCTCGTTTGGTTCCCGGGAATCCGGGTTGAAATATATCTTGCCTTGGCATTTGATAAGGCTTTGGTCTTTTGGTCTTTTGAAATATATCAAGTTATGTTGCAGGGCTCATTCCCTACCTAGGTGCCCAGGTGCCTCCTTCCAGGGTTGGTACTTCGTAGATCTATATACGTTCAGCACCTCACCTGGGCAGCAATGAGTGTCATGGGCAACTATATACACACCTGGGCATGTAACTATGGACTCTGGGACCCCGGGAACCTTAGAATGCCTCCAATCTTCGAGAGCCCAAGCTTCAACAGTAGTGACGTCCAATGGTTCAACTGATTTCAGACCCAGTATCCTAGGATCATTATCCGGGGAGGCTCTGAGGGAAGTTTATGTAATGGTTCCAAGTTCAATAATTCTGTGTGGTTTATACTAGGAGTATCAACATGGGTACCTTGGTTTATGTTCATGGAATCCAGATACTAGGTAGTATGCTATTTTCAGTGCGAGGAACTGTCAAGGATGTCCAATTGTACCATATCGACCGGGCAAGTAGATAACTGCGGATATCTTCAGACCCCGGGTTGGAGAGGGGCAGTCACCGCCTACCCATTACAGGAGCAGCCCCATCACGTGTACGGGTGTATAGATACCACGTGATGGGACAGCGACGTGCAGCACAGTATCAATGGACGATACTACTAGTACTAAGAGTAGAGCAAAAGGTTAAATGCAGCCTTAGTTCCTCACAGATACCCTAATTCAAGTGAATATACCCCTTTAAGCCCTTCATAGACATCAGGTAGGCTCTCAGATCCTGGGGCTCGATTAGGAGCTCTCCCACTCGACACCTGAGGCGCCTCACACTTCCGCCAACTCGCACCTTGCACCCCATTCCTCCTGCAACCTCTCTCATCGCTCTCCATCCATTCCTCTCCCACAATCTCATCTTCCTTCCTCCCTACCCTCCCACTATCGATATCGCATGATCTCGCCACCAATTTATTGATCTGCTTTTTTCGATTTCCCCCAGTTTATTGCGCCTGTGACTCTTAAAAATCTGTCCTTGGACCCTCCAGATCAAATGATCGCGTCTCCTAGATGACCTTCCCTCCCCCTCACCCTACCGCCCAATCGTCGATTGCTTCTGGCACCGATAAATCTTCTTCGACCAGGGCCGATATTGGTGCTTGGGGTCGGTCTGTGTCGCAGTCCGGCGCACGTCGTGGGTTGACTCCACTCGCGACTAATCTATCCTCCGCCGCTCCCCCCACGAACACCCGGGGCTTGGACGCAGGCCAGGGGGCCTCTACATCGTCTTTCTCCGCCGTCCTGAGCTCTGCTCGCGGGCTTTCCGGTGGGAGTCCCAAACCCACATCCTCGCCATTCACCTCATTGCAATCTGGCTCGCAACAGCACGCATCCACACTCTCGTCTCCTAAGTACAGATCTCACACCCCTTCCATAGGGTCTCACTTGGCATCCGCCGCAGGCTCCGCTTCAGGTGGAGGAGGTATTGGGGGAGGTGGTGGTGGGCCGGGATCATCCAGAGGGGTATTCTCACCTCTCTCGTCCGGAACAACCGTGAATTCTCCTACAGGCTTCGCATCCGACAAGTCGGGATCTACAGCCGCCCATTCGAGCCAATCGTCGCTCACCAAAATCTCCATCGCGCAGGTATTCCTTCTGCTCGATTCCATTACAGAGAAGGAGGGCAAAGAAAAGTGGGAAACCAAGGCTGCTCAAATACACAAGGTGAGTGAGGGTGCTGTCTGTTTGAGTTTCCACCATAGCTGACACTAGCAGCTTGTGACATCCAACGGCATGGAGGTCTTTTCCAAATATTTCCGTCGTCTCTTGACAGGCAACGCACCACAAATCTTCCCCGGTGTGAACAAATCCGTCGAAAATGCGGGCAATTACCCCCTGCTCGTTCAGGAGCTCCAGAAAGTGGCCATCGACATGGAGCAGTCTCAGAAAATCGCCGAGACTGTAGATACCTCTGAAGGAGACATCTTCCGCGACTTTGATCTCTCAACCTTCTTGGACCACTTCCGACTGGATCCCCTTATGAAAGTTTCGCTCGCTCTGGCATTCAAGCTGACCAGCAAGTCGGATCTTCGCGCCAAAGGTATGTATCATCCTCGGTTTGTGTACTAGCTCTAATCAACTCTACCAGCCGACGCCATTCTCTCGAACTCCGTTGCACCCTTCCTCCAAAGCCTGGCAAGTCCCACTGAAATTACCAAGGACTTCCATAATACTTTCCTCGGAATGACCATTGAACGATTTATCCTTTATCCCCCTCGAAATTTCACCGACGATGTCAAGGCAAAGCTTGTCTACGCAGCGAATCTGCGTTACCAAAAGCTTGGTTTGGATATGCCATTCGAAGTCTCCTCAGCTCTGCAAATGTTCAATTTTGTCAACCCTCAATATGGCTTAGTACGACAGCTCCATTCCAAGGGCCCCCGCGCTACCACAAACACCGAAACGATAAGCGAGTTGATCAGCTCGGATCCAAAGCATTGGAGCGAGGAGCACCTAGCAAGCGGTCTCCTGTTCATGGTTTTGTCACAATATTGGGAGCAGTTTTCGCTGGAGACCTTCTTGAGCGCGTTTGCCGACAAACCAATCAATTGGGCCCTGGTCTTCCGGCACTTTGACCGTGAGGGCCTCCGGGTGGACCCAAAGCAATTCGCCAAACTGTACAATGTTCTCTCTGTTATGTCATCTGAGGGCTCGTCTTTGGATGTCCAGAGACTTTGGGGCGGAGATTGGGACCATCGTGACACACAGATGTCTTTCTTGACTGCATTTGTAGCCTCTCGCATCGACCCTTCCTCAATCCCGAACTTTCGAGCAACATTCCCCGCCGACTTCTTCCAAGATGCGCCTGACATTGTGAAGCTGCAGGGCGAGCGTGCGGCAAAGTCACCTCTGCGATCCATGGATGCTATGAAAGCCATTTTCGATCTTGCCTTGTTTTCCCAAGCTTCATGGGCTGCGACAGAGAGCCAGCTCCTCATCAAAGCAGTTGTCCAATTCGATCTCCCAGTGTTCTTGTGCTCCGCTCTTGCCATTCCTCAGCCATGGTCCAGCGTTCAACAGAGCTTTGTGCTGCGCACGTTTATTGTCTTCATCTCGAAGCAGGAGGACGGATACCAACTTGCCCTACACGGGGCCTGGCGACAAGACCGACAGTGGGTTGCCGAGCAGCTCTTCACTACATTCACACAGGACCCGACTTCTACCGCAGTCATTTACGAACATGCTCTTGCCTACGGTTGGTTAGAGTACCTGCTTGGGTTCACCAATGGACTTGCTCTCGATCTTGCCTGCTATTCCCACCGCAAGGGCCAATTCGATCTTGAGCAATGGGTTCGAAATGCAGCCCAGAAGGGCGCCATTGACATGGGCGGTCTACTTTCCAAGTTCTTGCGAATCAAGGCAGAGGATGAGCTGCATGTTCAACGAAAGGAACAGTCGGCTCATCAAATGGTCAGCCTTGCTGTGAAGACTGTTTACACACTTTTGTCAGTTCTTGAGGAGTATGTTGGTGACCGCGAGAACCTCACCCCCGTTCAACGTATCTGTATCCAGACCTACCCTCGCTTGATCAATTATGGTGAAGGATTTGACGATATCATTGACATCAACGGCGAGAATGGCAACACCCTCCCCGATTCTATTGACAAGCAAATGCAAGAACTATTTGGGAAAATGTACCACGAAGAGCTCTCGCTACGAGAGATGCTGGAGTTGATGCGCAAGTACAAGTCCTCGCGCGACCCCGTTGAGCAAGATCTCTTCGCTTGCATGGTGCATGGCCTGATTGACGAATACCATTGCTACCACGAGTACCCTCTCGAGGCTTTGACAAAGACCGCAGTCATGTTCGGTGGTATCATCAACTTCCGTCTTGTTGACGGCATTACGCTGAAGGTCGGTCTCGGTATGATCCTCGAGGCCGTCCGCGAACACGAGCCCCACGATCCGATGTACAAATTTGGCGTTGAAGCTATTGAACAACTAATCAACCGCCTTTCCGAGTGGGCTGGCTTCTGCCACCTGCTCTTCCAAATCCCCTCCCTGCAAGGCACCCCTATCTACCAGAAGGCAGAGGAAGTGCTCCGAGAGCAAGGAAACCAGGTTGGTGAAGCCGAGGCTGGACCTTTCGATGGAATGGTTGCCGCGCCCCTCACCAATGGCAACGCCGCAGATTCCCCAGTCACCGACGGCTCTGTGCGCAAGTTCCGTGCTATTCACCTTGATCCTCCTCTTCGATCCGAGCTCTACGAAGACCCGGATGAAGACATTCAGGACAAGATCCTTTTCGTCCTCAACAATGTCTCGGAGCAGAACATTGACGAGAAACTCCAAGATCTGCGTGAAGTCCTGCGGGATCAACATCACCAGTGGTTTGCGGCTTACCTGGTAGAGGAACGTGCTAAGTTGCAGCCCAACTTCCAGCAACTCTACCTTGACCTTCTTGGTCGTATTGATGACAAGATTCTTTGGGCTGAAGTCTTGCGAGAGACTTATGTCAGTGTTGCCAAGATCATCAACTCGGAAAGCACATTGACTTCGTCTACTGATCGTGGTCACCTCAAGAACCTTGGTGCTTGGCTAGGTTCCTTGACCATCGCCAAGGACAAGCCCATCAAGCACAAGAACATCTACTTCAAGGGCCTTCTTCTGGAAGGCTATGACACCCAGCGTCTTATGGTTACGATTCCTTTCACGTGCAAAGTTCTCGTGCAGGCCACCAAGTCTACGGTGTTCAAGCCACCTAACCCTTGGGTGATGGATATCCTGTGTCTTCTCTTGGAACTCTACCACTTTGCTGAATTGAAGTTGAACCTGAAGTTCGAGATTGAAGTTCTATGCAAAGACCTTGACCTCGACCACAAGACTATCGAGCCGGCTATTGTCATCCGCGACCGCGCTGCTCATGTCGAAGACCCAATCCCTACCGCCAATCCTCCAGAGGGCCTCGTTGAGCCATTCGAAGACCTGTCTCTTAACCCTATCAACCAGGGTATTCGCAACGAGCGCCTTTCCCCTGCTGCTATCATGTCAACCCTGCCGAGTCTTGACAAGATTCTCGTACTGCCTTCCTCGGCAAGCAGCATGGTTGACCCTACCATCCTCAAGCAGATCGTTCACACAGCAGTTGAGCGTGCCATTGCTGAGATCATCACCCCTGTGGTGGAGCGCTCCGTCACCATTGCCTCAATTTCCACCGTCCAGCTCGTCTCCAAGGACTTTGCTATGGAGCCCGATGAGGAGCGTGTGCGCCATGCTGCGGGCATCATGGTCCGCCAGCTCGCCGGTAGTCTTGCGCTTGTTACCTGCAAAGAGCCCCTCAAGGTCAGCATGACCAACTACATCCGGATGATCCAACAAGATTACTCCGAGCAACCTATGCCTGAAGGTCTGATCTTGATGTGCGTTAATGACAACCTCGATGCTGCTTGTGGCATTGTTGAGAAGGCCGCAGAGGAGAAGTCTCTGCCCGAGATCGAAAAGGTGATCGAGCCCCAGCTGGAGGCTCGTCGCCGTCACCAGGCCAGTCGCTCGAACGACCCCTTCATTGACCCTTCAATGAACCGCTGGGGATTGTTCATCCCGGAGCCCTACAGACAAGCTCCTGGTGGTCTAAACAAGGAGCAGCTGGCAATTTACGAAGAATTTGCCCGCCAATCCCGTGGCCCTGCGCCATCCACCGAGGCATCCGCAGGTCGCCAAATCACCGACGTTCTTGGAGAATCCTACCCCGCCATCCCTAATCTCTCTACCCCAGCTGAACAGCCAGCTGTTCCCCACAGAACGCCCCAGATGCAACCTGCAGTTTCGCAGCTCGCGCCTGCACACACCAACGGCTTCCTGGATGCCCAAAGTCCACGCGAACGAGTGGAGAGCTTTGTCTCTGATATCCAGCAGTCCGCCCGCAATGCCCCGGAAGAGCACGTCAAGGACCTCGGTAGAGACAGCACAGTGCTGCAAGAATACAACCAGGCACTGCGCACCATCGTTCAATCCGCAAACCCAGAGGAATTGGCCCGCCTGACTTCATTGAAGGTGTGCACTCTTCTGTACTCTCAGTCACATGGATCTCTCGAGATTGAAGTGCTGGTGCACCTCCTTGCCAAGCTGTGTGACATGTCCTCGCTTATTGCCCGGTACACATGGGCGCTTCTCTCGGACGTTGATGACGAACACATGTTCAACGTCCCAGTCACAGTTGCTCTTATCGACGCTGGTCTCCTCGATATCCGCCGGGTTGACATGAACCTTACCCGTCTGATCATGCAAAGGAACGTGTCTGCTCTTGAGCTACTCGATAGTTTGATGGACCGTGTCCTCTTCAACGAGGAGCCATCTGCCCTCCGGTCCGACTTCTCCGGCAGCTTGGAAGCCATGAGCCAATGGCTGGCTGAGGATGCAACTGTTGCTCCTGGTGCTGACATCGTGCGCAAATTGCGTGAGTCTGGCATCCCAGAGGTCGTCAACACTCTCCTCGATGACCAAGCCAGATCCAAGCGTGACCAGATGGAGTACATCTTCAGCGAGTGGATTGGTATCTACAAGGCCCCGGGTGCCACTGACCGCACCTTCCATTCATTCCTCCAGGATCTCCACAACCGACAGGTGATGAACAGCCAGGAAGACTCCGCGCTATTCTTCCGTCTCAGCATTGATATCTCTGTTGCCATGTTTGAACATGAAGCTCAGAACCCCAATGGCCCTAATATTGATGAGGCCTTCCTCTACATCGATGCTCTCGCGAAGCTGGTCATTCTGCTCCTCCGCTTCCAAGGCGAGACTGCTGGTGCTGTTCGAGCCAACAAGGCCACCTACTTCAGCTCAATCCTCTCCCTTCTGGTTCTGGTCCTCAACCACCACCAAGTCATGAGAGGAGAAGCATTCAACCAGCGAGTCTTCTTCCGTCTCTTCTCTAGCATTCTCTGCGAGTACTCTTTGAACGGACTGCAGCACACCGAGCAACACCAAGGCATGATCTTCGCCCTGGCCAACAAGTTCCTCTCATTCCAGCCTCTTTACGTTCCTGGATTTGTGTACGGTTGGCTCTGTCTGGTTTCCCACCGGGTCTTCATGTCGGACATGTTGAACATGCCCGACCGTGCCGGATGGGCACCTTACTGTGAGATTATGCAGGCACTTCTGTCCTACATGGGCGAGCAACTCAAGGCCGTCAACATCACATACGTTGCCAAGGATCTTTACAAGGGCGTCCTCCGCATCCTGCTGATCTTGCACCACGACTTCCCCGAGTTCGTGGCTGAGAACCACTTCCAGTTCTGCAACGTCATTCCGGCCCATTGCGCCCAGCTCCGCAACCTTGTTCTCAGTGCTTACCCATCCTCCTTCCAGAAGCTCCCCGATCCATTCCGCGAGGGATTGAAGGTCGAGCGCATCGAAGAGATGAGGGAAATCCCCTCGGTTGCCGGCGACGTTGTTGCGCCTTTGCAAAACGCCAACATCAAGGACATTGTTGACGGTGTGCTCAAGAACGAAAGCATCTCCGAGACTGCCATTCAGCAGCTTTGCGACGCCATCCTCAACCCCGAGACCAAGGAGACCGGACTGTTCTTCGCCCCAGTCGAGGTGGACGTTGTCCTGCTGAATGCCCTTGTGCTGTACGTTGGACAGCAAGCCGCCTTGGAGCACAACTTGAAGAGCAACACCCGGAGTGCCTTCGAGAACTCCACCCACGCCGCCCTCTTGGATAAGCTCGCCCAAGTCTTGCGCCCGGAGTCTCGCTACTACCTGCTCAGTGCCATGGCCAACCAGCTCCGTTACCCGAACAGCCACACCTACTTCTTCAGTTTCACGATCCTCCGCCTGTTCGGTGTAGACTACAACGAGTCTGACGATTCCGATGTTCGCCAACAAATCATCCGTGTATTGCTAGAGCGCTTGATTGTTCATCGCCCCCACCCCTGGGGTCTTATCATCACCCTGCAGGAGCTCCTCCAGAACCGGAGCTACTCATTCTTCCGCCTTCCCTTCATCCAGGCGGCTCCCGAGGTAGGACTTTCACCATCCATCCACCATCTCATCCCACTAATGCCTCCCCAGATTGGCCGTCTCTTTGATGCCCTTCTCCAGCATATTCAACAGCAAAGTCCTCGGCCCCTTGCCTAGGCTCTGCCATTCATCTCTCCTCAAGATTCTTTGATTATTCTACGGTCACCCGGGGTGGTACAGGAGTCCTTCGCATGTACTTTTCATGGGGTTTCTTGCGATTTGTTTTCTTCATTATTATTTCAGTCTCATGTTCCGGCAGGGCGCCGTGGGGATGATATGCATATTTACTTCTTACGATTTCCGCATGACTTCCAAGGTTATTCCATGCTCTGTAATGATAAGACTGTAAAAGCCGGAGTTGGGGCAATGCCAATTATTATTTCCTTTTAAGTATATAGATCTTGAAACTGAATGTCTGTCTGCGCATAGCTAAATAGTTAGACGTAGTGATTACCTCCAGCTGTAGAGCGACCTCGGTAAGAATGGATATGATAAGACCCCAGACCGCATCTCCCCTCCCAGCACTACAGACAATGGCCGACTCCGACTTTACAGGCTCAGAATATGATGGTCCAGCGTTCCAGACCACAATCAAGGTGCGTTCACCTCCTGTTACTAGCAATTGCATCTAACACCAGACAGGACGCGGTCCTCGCGCCGTTCCGCGCGTTGGTATCCAAGTCCGCCCTCCGGATCTACCTGAACACCTTGCTGTTTATGGGCGCAGCATCCCTCCTGATCGGAATATCTGCAATTGCCTACGGTGTATTCTACTTCAAGTTCATCCCCACCGTCGGGCTGCAACGAGAAGTCCACCTACAGTTCGGGTAAGCTTGTCCTCGATCGCGACCCCCGATCAACCATATTGACCCAACTCCAGCAATGGCCACCCCTGGGGCACGGCGCATTTTGACTCCGAGTTCGTGTCCTCACAACCATACGATGTATCAGTGACGCTGGAGGTCCCGCGCACCCCCTCCAACCTCGACACCGGCAACTTCATGCTCGACCTCACCCTGTTCGCCTCGCGTCCTGCCTCCCTCGTCCTTCCCGGTCCTACCAACACCCCTATCTCGCAGGCCCGTCGCCCCGCGATCCTGACCTATGCCTCACCGATGGTGGACCTTGCTCGACGGGCGACGCGCATCCCACTCTACATTGTTGGCTGGCGCCGGGAGTCGGAGACCCTGGAAGTGCCCATGATGGAGGAGCTTGAGTTTGCGAAGGGGGTCCGAAACCTGCCACAGAGTCTGCGACTTGAGATTCAGAGTGAATCAAGGATGCAGATATACTCGGCTCATGTTGAGTTCCGGGCTCGGCTTACGGGTCTTAGGTATGGAATTTGCGGGAATGGGGCTGTTCTGATGGCTAACTTTTGACTAGATGGCTTATGTATCGCTGGAAGATTACTTCTTTTGTGGTATTTAGCTCCCTTTTCTGGTCTGTGTCTATGCTCTCTGCTAGCTTGACATGGTTGGTGTTGACGTGGGTTCTGGGTAATGCACCTACACCCGCCATCAAGGCGGAACTGGACCAACTGAAGGAGGAGCCGGCGACAGAGGATGAGAGCTCGGATGAGTCTGTCAAGAAGGAGGAAGAGGAGACCCGGCTGCTTCATAGTGTACCGGCGGAGAGTGAAGCGATGGGCTCAGGATTGGAGAGTGCCAAAGCTCGTGGAGTACAGAAACGCCGGAGTCATAGCCAGGCTGAGTAGGTGTAGTTAATAAGCATGGCGGGATGTCGCGATGTGGATCATTTCAGGTTCTGATTGCGACTATCGAAAGCGGGGGGAACTCTTCTTCCCCTCCATTCCTCACCACCCATGCATATCCTAGTAAGTCTCTAGCAATGCCGTTCTGTACTCTGGCTCACTTCTCAGGTTACTAACGACGACGGTCCTCCGTCCAACCAATCGTCACCGTACGTGCATTCGCTCGTCAAATCGCTTCAATCTGCCGGTCACACCGTTTCGGTTATCCTACCGCACCAGCAACGATCATGGATTGGTAAAGCGCACATCGTAGGCGCATCCGTAAAGCCTACCTATTTCCGCCCCGGGACACTGCACCAAGAAGACGGGACAACACACCAGCTGCCCCGAGGCAGCAACGGTGATGACAGCGAAGGCGACGAGTGGGTCCTGATCGACTCAACGCCTGCAAGCTGCGTGCAGATCGGCCTGTATCACTATTTCCAAGAGCGAGGTCCCATCGATGTCGTGGTCTCCGGTCCCAACTATGGCCGCAACACAACTGCACTATTCGCATTGTCCAGTGGGACCATCGGCGGAGCCATGGAAGGTGCTTGCTGTGGCAAGCGCTCGATTGCGCTCTCGTATGCGTTCAGCTCGCGCAATCACGACCCAGTCATTATCGCCGAAGCCTCGGGCCATGCGGTCAAGTTGATTGAGCATTTGTGCGCGAACTGGGCCGACGGCGTGGATCTCTATAGCGTCAACGTCCCTCTGGAACCAGGAGTGAGCGAGAACAAAGTTCTATATACTGATATGCTGGACAACCGATGGACTGGCAGCTGTTTCCAGGCTGTTGAGCCTACGTCGGCTGATGATCCCGATCTGCAGGAACAGCTGCTGCGGGACCAAGGTGAAGTCGAGGGCAAGAAGCCTGACCCTAGTGTCGGTCTTAGTGAGGAGAGTGCTTCTCGTGGACCTCGGCTTCAGCACAAGCATTTCAAGTGGGCGCCTAGCTTCCAAGATGTCTACCGCAGTGTGGAAGAGAGCAAGCCTGGTAACGACGGTTGGACCGTCAAGGAGCAAATGACCAGGTGAGTTTTATTCGCTTTGAGGCTGGACATTCCGACTGACTGCTACAGTGTTACGCCTCTTAAGGCCAACTTCAAGCCTACCCCTGGCATCTCGGGTGAAATCAAGCTGTGAGTGGATGTACGAGGGCATAAAGGGTTTAAATACACATGTTGTGCTCTAGATATCTGGCTAAGCAGATTGATATTTGAACCCCCGGCCCTTTCTGCTCGTGTATGTGGCATTGTTCTGATAGATCTTGTAGATCGAATAACAAGCCCTCGCTATACTCCATCGTCGATTGTGATGATTCCTACGTGCAGCAGATGGTCCAGCGGGCATTGACTCGGCGCCTGGGAGATGCCTCCAAGCAGATCTCGTCGGTGTCCGACCTGCCGGACTCCTCGTCGCCACTCTTCCAATACCGTGAGTATGAACGCATCGACTTCGAACACGGCATGTTCGAATCCTCTACGTCTCTTCTGAACGCATACGTGATCCGGAAGGCGTTGATTCGCAAGCACTATCTGTCGAACACAGTGGCCGGCTGGCTTTCAAAGAACCCCGACAGCGTTCTGCGTCACCACTTCAAACCCGCCTTCGACTTTGAGCTGGATTACTCTGAATTCCTCGACGATGCCCTGCTGGAAGCCTATGAGCTGAACGACAGTCTAGCCAGGAACGAAGGGCGCGCAGACTCGGAGAAAGAATGGTGGATCCTCAAACCCGGCATGAGTGACCGAGGCCAGGGAATCCGCATCTTCAACAGCGAAGACCAGCTCCGCGAGATCTTCGAAGAGTGGGACGCAGACTCAGACGAGGAAGGCTCCGAAGCCGAGGAAGATGAGGACGCTGCCCCCAACACGGGCGTCGTCACTTCGCAGCTTCGCCATTTCCTCGTCCAGCCCTATATCGATCCTCCACTTCTTCTTCCCTCGTCTTCCAACCGCAAGTTCCACATCCGCACTTACGTTCTTGCATCTGGATCCCTGCAAGTCTATGTCTTCAAGGAGATGCTCGCCCTCTTCGCGGCCAAGGCGTATCGCCCCCCGCACGAGGAAGAAGACGACGTCGCCGATCTTGCCCGCCACCTTACCAACACCTGTTTCCAAGAAGGCGGCAGCTCCAACGAAGGCAGTGTGCGCCGCTTCTGGGACTTGGACCAGCAAGTCCCCGGTCTCTCAGATGATTGGAAGGAGAAGATCTTCGAGCAGATCTGCTCTGTGACGGGTGAAGTGTTCGAGGCGGCGGCGCGTGGCATGATGATTCACTTCCAAACCTTGCCCAATGCCTTTGAGTTGTTCGGTGTTGATTTCCTCGTTGACAGCAACGGCTCTGCATGGCTTCTAGAGCTCAACGCATTCCCTGACTTCGCTCAGACTGGCGAGGACCTGAAGGAGGTTGTGGTTGGGCGGTTGTTTGAGGAGATGGTCGATGTGGCCGTGAAGCCATTCTTCGGACTTGGCCAAGGGTCCGAAACTGGAGACTTGAAGCTGGTGGCTGATATTGACTTGGGGAGAAAGGCTTAGAGATATTTTGACTGATATACCACTGATGTACAAGAACAAAAGTTTTGATGACGTCTAGGCGTCTTGATATCCAACATTCTCAACCCTGCTCATGCATCATTCTTCCAAAAGATACGCCCTTCAAATAAACGCCTGGCAGTCCGAAAGACAGTCGCAGATGTCAATGCCCCGTCAGCTCCAAACTGGGCACCAACCATGAGATTCCCACTGGCATGGCCGATTGTGATCCCAGCGCTGTCGACCTGGTCTTTCATGACCACTCCGTCTACTGTACTACCCGCCACACGAGCAGCAGCAGCAAGTGCCAGAGCAACAGTAATGGGAACAGCCTTGTGCGGCTGTCCCACTGAGAGTGCACGGGCAAGAAGATCGACCTTTGCCGGTGTCTGTGCCTGTTCCACGTCTCGGGCATCGGTAGAAGGTGTAGCCACGATACAAATCTTAGGCACACTCCCCGGAACCATCTCAAGTTCCTCTGCAATTCCCATCTTAACGCCTGCCTGGCGACGAATGGAATTCAAACGCGACAGCAGATCCGGATGAGCAGTGATTTCATCGGGCGTCAAGTTCCCCTCGACGCCGAGTCCACGAGCCTGAACAAAGACACACGGATTACCGACATCGATACAGGTTGCAGTCACTCCATCAAATACATCCACGACATTCCCCGTAGGCAGTAGTTGACCCGTAACCGAGCCGGCAGGGTTAATAAAGTCCAACTGGACACGGGCAGCAGTACCAGCAACGCCGTCAATAGCGAATTGACCACTCGATGCAGCTTCACCGTCGACAACAGGGAAAGACGAGTGGATGATTTTACCAGTATTGGTATTGTGAATGCGAACCGAGGCCGAGTCGGAGACATCCGACGAGAACAGCTTCGAATCGAAAGCAAATGGGCCCACGGCAGAACTCATGTTGCCACAGTTACTGGAGTAGTCGACGTCGGAGTTTTTGATCCCCAGCGAAACAAAGGTGTAGTCGACGTCGGCGTCGCGGTGCGTCGATGGGCCTACTACGCACACTTTGGAGAGGCTGGATAATCCGCCTCCTAGCCCGTCTAGCTGCCGACCATATGGATCTGGACTGCCGATGACACTGCGGAAAATAGGAGCCCAGTCTTTTCGGTCTGAGGGAAGGTCATTTTGTTTGAAGAACACTGCTCGAGAGGTGCCGCCGCGGTAGTATGCGGCTGGCAAGGAGTGTTGCTTGGTTTGGAGGGATCGTGAATAATTGGCTGGACTGGTTGACCTGAGTGCCAGTGAAGGCCTCAGATGTAGAGATTTGAACATGTTGAGTAGTTTAGACAATTCTACAAAGGAACAGTGAATTTGTACTTCGTCCTCTCCGATGCGCGGCGGTATCGGATCGTTCCGTGCGGATGTGCCGATAGTCGACACTCGACATTCGACATTCGATGTATTTGACTTGATCTGCTCGACTATACGCTCAGCCAAAACGCTGCTTAGCCAGGGCCTGCAAGAAACCCATAGTTTCCTCCTCTTTCTGACGATACTGCTGCACCCGTTCCTCTCGCTCCGCTGCACGCGCGCGCAAGATTTCCTCTCTCCGAATCTCGCGCTCGTTCTTCTTGCGCTGGTCCTTCTCCTTCTCCTGCTTAAGGGCGGCGTATTCATTATCCCCACCCATGAGATCCTCCTCGCGAGCCCCATCGGGCGAATCGCCGCGTCGAGAATCCGCGAAAGCGCGATTACTCGCTGCGACTTCTTGGCGCTTTTCCAGCTGCCTCTCTCGTGTGCCTGCTTCGGCTCGCGGCGCGATTTCGTCTTCCAGGTGGCGCGTTGCAGACTTATGGGAACGTAGCTCAGCGCGATATTGATCGCGTGACTCGCCGCGAGATGCAATTGCGTCTTCAATGGCGGTTTCTATAGGATGGTCAGTACAGTATTTTGCGGAAGGGAAATCCCATATGTACCTCTTTTGAGCTCGAGATCTTGCATCCGAGGGATAGTAGGACCCATGAACCCAACCCTCGCTGGACCAGCCTGGGGAAGACTTGGCCCGTAGTCATCGTCATCCTCTTCTTCATCCGCGCCTCCTGACTGTGTCTCTTGGGCCACTCCAGTTTCTCGTTCGCCTTGTGTATAGTCCGGAGACTCGCGCTGACCCTTTGACTCAGCTGGCTGTGGCTCAAAGTTCTCACGCGCACGATTTAGCGTAGCGGGATCATACCAGCCCTCTGCGAGTTCACCCCGGTTCCTGTGGAGGTTAGTCCAACTGCGCCGAATCGATATTTATGTATATTCCCTACCATTTTTGCGTGAAACTCTTCCATCGTCCCTTGACCTCGTCTTCGCTTAAATCTTCGATGAATTTCCCTTTCTGGATATCCAAGTACATAGCGAACATGGGTTCGTAGGTCTCGAGGTCGCGCCTGGACAGCTCGCGCGCCTGATAAGGGAGAACCACTGGCTGTTTGGGAGCGTCTCTGTGTCGGCGCTCTGGGCGCTCGCGGTCTCTTTCGCCATGGCGATGACGGTCTGATCTGGGTCTGTCCGATCGGTGCGGAGAGCGTGAGCGCGAGCTCTCTCGGGGCCGGTGGCGGTGGGAATGGCCGGTTCGACTGCGGTGCTGGCGGTGACTGGAGCTCGGCGCTGACGGAGATGTAGGCCGGCGTGAAGGGCGAGTTGGTGAGGGCATTTTTTTGTTACTCGACTTGTTCGGTGTTGGCGGAGGAATTCAATGGACGTCCGATAAGAGTGCTTATCGGCCAGATTGTCCACGGGTCGTTTCCGAGGTCGAGGCCTCGGGGTCTCCCCGTCCCTATTGACTATGCTACATCTACACATGGACCGAGTTGTTTAGAGTTCCAGGTAGAATGAGGTATACAGAGGGCGTCCTAGAAGAATATGACAACCTTTTATTGGAATAGGTACATCTAAGCGAAAGGTATACAACATTCAATAAACCAGCGTGATCAAATTACGCCTAGCTGGGAGGAGCAGTCTGCTCCTGGCTGGGGCTGGCCGCGGCATCAGTGCCGGCGGCGGGAGTCCCAGGGGCGCTTGACTGCGAGTTAGCCTTGGACCGATTGGCCGCGGCCATCTGCCAGGCGGGGATGGAAGCAGAGCGGCCAAGCTGCGAGAGAGGGTTGGTGCTGGGGCTTGGGCTAGCGGGAGCAGCAGCCTGGGTTGGCTCTTGCTCAGCCGGGGTCACCGAGGCAGCCAGACCGTTGGTAGCGGGACCGGGAACAGGGGGGGTAGGGGCGGTTTCTTCGGGTGCTGGGCGAGTAGGGCTGGGGATGGAAGTGGATCCAACAGTTCGGCCAGCTACAGGGCTGGCTCCACTTCCACCGAGACGGTTACCAAGTAGGGTCTTCAAGCTCTTGAGTTCAGTGCCGAGCTCCTTCAACCGGTTCTCGTTGCCTTCGCGGGCCCCTTCAAGAGCCTTGGGAATGGCATCCTTCAATGACTTGACTTCATCGCTGATACGACGAGTCTCATCATCCCTCCGACGGGATGAGTTCTTCAGGTCAGCAACCAGACTTTCCACGTCTTTGAGAGCTCCGTCTAAGCGCTCGGTGCGGGCCTCTTCGGCGGATTTCAGAGCAGCGGTGTCAGTCGAGAGTTGTTCGATAAGAGTGAAAGCTCGCGAGAACTGCTCGTCGATATTTTCCTTGTCTTGCTCCAACTGAGGGGGTGTTGGGGGTGCGATTAAAGGAGAAATGTAGCGCTGTGTCGCTTTGGTCAGCATCGGGGAATAGGCAATGGAGAACACGATTTACCTTTGTGACAAAATACAACCCATAGCCCACTCCACCCATCACTGTTGCCATAATGAACCAGTCACGCCAATCTCTTTTGGGTGGCCTGCTCATCCAGTTAGTAACCAATGTAAGGTGGTGAAGGGTGGCCCAACATACTCCGGAGGCGGCTGCCATTGATTATACGGGGGGTATCCATATCCTTGAGGCGGCTGAGGTTGCCGATAAGGAACGGGCTGTGAAGAGTATGTAGGCGCTGGAGATGAAGCAGCGGTAGCCGCAGCTGCGGCGGACGGGTCTTCGCCCACTCGCGATAAGGCGAGATCGACCTCCTCTTGAGTCAAGTTCTTGGACTGGAGGAACGCAACCCTCTTCTCAATTGGCGATGAGGCAACCGAAGGGTCTTGAAGGACTAAATGAAGTCAGCGATAGTCATGGGGACTTGAGTCTCGTGCTCCATACAAGTAATCTGGTAGAGATAAGTCAGCGGAGGCCCTGAAAGCGGACATGGAATTCATATTCCGTAGATAACTTACCGCTGAGGAGATCAGCTCCTCACGAGGCGCCATGGTGATGGAGCTTGACTGCCAGTGAGGTAAAGCGGGAGATGGAGTAAGGAGAGATGCGATCACATCGGCAACCACCGTCTGGACCTCGGAACTTGCGCCACGCCAAGCTTCCCCAGACCGGAACCTCGTGACTTCGGTCCGATGTTTTTCCCCTTTCCTCTCCACTTTCACCGCCTTCCTGTTTAGAAAGTGGTACGCATAATCATTGTTTACATCGAGTCGCTTGCCGAACAACAGATCAAAACCCCTCCAGTCTTTTTTGGTTGATCGCGCGCCGGACATTTTTGGGCTGCTGGAATCTGCTACTGCATGATCTTGTGAATTGAAGCTTTTTGAACACCTAAATCTTGCCGCATTCGCGGCTCATTCACCATGTCGCAAGATACTGGTTTGTTCAGTATTAAGCGCCCTCGAGAAGTATTGATCCCCCGCCTCTCATGCGCAAGATACCCCTAGCTGACATTTCCCCCCAGACTCTCGGGAGTGTGCAGAACTTTTCCGCGATTCCACAACCCGCGTCTGCACTGAAGCGCACGAGCTCGATCGGATTCAACAACCCTCCCTTTTCTTCTCAGCACCACCGAGCCTCGCTGATGGGCTCATCTGGGCGCCCTCAGCAACCTAATTTTACGCGAATGTCAGTTGGTGGGCCGCTCGGCGCCGACGCTGGACTATCCTCTGTCCGACGGTCTGTGTCCAGTAACTTGTTCAACGGACCTAGCATGGGACGGCAGAGCTTTGCACCAGGATCAATGTCGTCCAACCCAGCACCCCCGAATCCACAGCGCAGAAGTAGTGTGTTCTCACGGCCATCTACGGGTGGAGGCCCTATGGGACATCAATCCTTTTTCACCCAGGTCCCCACTGTAGCAGGAGTTCCCAGAGATCCTCGTCCGCTCAGAGATCGATCATTCCAGGCTCGGATTGGACAAGAACTTTTGGAATACCTGACCGTGAATGGATTCGAGTTGGAAATGAAGCATACGCTCGGCCAAAACACTCTACGCTCGCCAACTCAGAAGGACTTCAATTACATTTTCCAGTGGTTGTATCACCGAATCGACCCGGGGTACAAGTTCCAAAAGGCGATGGATGCGGAAGTGCCTCCTATTCTGAAGCAACTACGATATCCCTATGAGAAGGGCATTACAAAATCGCAAATTGCGGCCGTTGGCGGTCAAAACTGGTCCACATTCCTCGGTATGCTGCATTGGCTGATGCAGTTGGCGCAAATGATGGATCGCTATCAAACGGGCGACTATGATGACGCTTGTGCCGAAGCGGGCGTGGATGTCACCGGCGATCGCATTATCTTCCGCTTCCTAACACAAGCCTACCACGATTGGCTGCAAGGCGGCGAAGATGAGGACGACGACACCGCCGAAAAGCGCCTGGTCCCTCACGTTGAAAACATGTCTCGGGAGTTTGCCTATGGCAATGAGCGGTACGTGCAGGAGATGGAGGCGCTCGATGCGGAAAACCGGGCCCTTCGTGATCAGATCGAAGAAGTGGAAAAGAGTGCCCCTGATATCGCCAAATTGGATAAGCACTTCCGTATCCTTGAAGACGACAAGCGGAAATTTGAGGATTATAATCAGAACGTCAAAGGAAAAATCGAGAAGTACGAGACTCGCATCAAGTTCCTCGACGCTGAAATCCAAAAGACCGACACCGATCTGCATGCCACAGAGTCTGAGCGATCCGAGCTCCAAGCTAGCGTCGACCGCCAGGGCATTACCATCCAAGATATTGATCGCATGAACTCGGAGCGAGAGCGTCTACAGAAAAACCTGGAGGATACTGTCGCTCGCCTCGAGGAGACCCATGCCCGCGTCATGGAGAAAGAAGCCGAAGCCAGCCAGAAGTTGGAAGACTTGGAGCAGATTGTGAAGGCTTACAACACTTTGGGCTATCAAACTAGCTTGATTCCCGCCGCGGCCGAGAATGCCCGGGGCCAAGACTTTGAGCTTGGTTTGAACATCAATGAGAACAACTTCTCGGCAAGTCAGATTGGGGGCCCTCCCAACCGCATTTCTCCTGAGGGAGATCGTTTATTGGCGGAACCTTTCACAGGGTACCACCCGGCGCACCTGCTCAGCCTGGACCTTCGGGGCTCCGTCCGAAACAGTCTACAATCTCTGCGGAAAGAGATTAATGAACGGCGGAAGCAGGGCATTGACGATGACCTCGACCGGCGCAATCTACTTGACAACATCAAGGAGGCTATGGACGAAAAACGGAGCGAGGTCGAGGCCCTGGAGCATCGACGCCGGGCGGCTGAGGAGGAATTTGAACGCACCAAGGAAATTACCACTACGCAGAAGACTGCCTCCGATGCCCAAATTGAGAAAATGGAGAAGGAACTCGCCAAGATGCGCGCCACCCTCAGCGACAGTGTCCAGCTCATGGAGCAACGTGAGATGAACACCAACATTGAGTACGAGCAACTCACCCTCCGGGCCAATGCTCTCCGGGAGGAATTGCACACCAATGTGGAGACCATGTTGAACGATGTCATCCGCTTTAAGGTCCATGTCCAGAAGGGCCTCGAAGACTACGAAAGCTTTGTTGTTGACGAAGTGGAGCAAGAGCTTGGTGGCGAGGAACTTGAAGAGGAGCTCTGAGGGATCCTTTCTCACGAATGACGATTATTTTGCAATTAATACGAGTTGTTTTTTTCATGTACAATACCCGGGTCAATTGAGGCATCTTCTGGCGAGAAGGACGCGCAATGCATATATAATTTGATTGGAGTGACAGGAATTAGGCTTTAAAGGACAAGACGGCGGGCTTAGCGTGTTTCTTATTGCGCCCACACCTGTTAGCCCTCTGCTCGTTCAACCTGACACAACAGATCGACAGGAGTCTAGTGGAGACCTGCCAGTTGGTCTGTTTCCCCTTTGAAACCCCTACGGCGCTTGCTCTATCAATCGATGTCTGACCACCTCGGGAATTCCAGCCCATCTGCCGTGACTGCAGGCTCCACCTCAATATGGCCGGGGTGATAGGGCTATTCTCCCTCTGTACTAAGAGCCCAACGGGAGGATCGCCCCCGGTTTAGCCCTTTTACCACGGGGCGAGACTGGCCAACTGCAGATCGAAATCCGCTCAGCCAGCATGGAACACACGCTGTTTCAGCCGTCTGGTGCGGCTGGATCTATCCTACTGCCGTCCAGCACGAGACCAAGGGGTATATAACCAGCTCGGCGTTCCTCGTTGTGATTCTTTCTTCAGCAGTGCTGTGCACCTCCATTCATTTCAAACCCCTCCAGACCTTTCTTTACAACTCTCGCTTCATTCCTTTCAACTATCAACTATCGTCAGTCAGACATCAACCATTCATTATGAAGTTCACCTCTGTCTTCGGCACCGCCGCTCTTCTCATGGCCCCTTCGGCTGTGGCCTGGAAGCTTCCCGTGAGTATCTACAACGCAGGGACCCACTTCTAGAGTTCCGTGCTGATGATCCCTTAGAATGTCGACAGAGCCGACTCGGGTGCCACTCCTACCGAGCAGCCAGCTCCCTCTGGTGCTGCTCCCTCCGGTTTCCCCTCTGGCTTCCCCTCTGGTGGATTCGGTGGGTTCCCCGGTGGAGGTTATCCCTCTGGCTTCCCCTCCGGTACCGGATTCCCTTCCGGATTCCCCTCTGGAGCTCCTGAGCACCACGGCCACCACGGTCACGGCGGTCACGGCGGCTTTGGAGGACCTGAGCCCACTGGCCTTCCTTCTGGTTTCCCTGAGGAGCCCAGTGCCACTGGATTCCCCGGTGGCCAGCCTGGTGAGGGTTCCTTCACCATTCTTCCCACTCCTTCTGCCGGCGCGGGCGAGATGCACGCTGTGAGAGACTTCCCCTTCGGCTTGCCCGAGGCTTCCGGATTCCCCAGCGGAGTCCCTTCTGGATTCCCCGAGGGCCCTCGCCCCACTGGTGGATTCCCCGGTGGCGAGGCTGGTGGTGAGGGCTCCTTCACCGGCGCTCCATCTGCCTTGCCCACTCCCTCTGGTGGTGCTGGCGAGGGCCAGAGCGGTTTCCGTCGCCTCCACGCTCGCCAGGTTCGCCCTGTTGTGGTCTAGATTTTGCACAGTCTCTGCTGTCACTTGTGAGATAGATCAGGGTTGGGTTTTGCTATAGCTGCTGGATCAGACATAGAAAAATCGATTGTTCTGGAGAATAACCATGCCAAGTAGACGTAGGAACGTGTAGCATCTGCGTAGATATCCTTCCATTGAGACCTACACCAGTGTCGACCAGTATAGGGGCTGACGCAGAGCTGTGTACTTCGGAAGGTTGGTAACTCCGCATTCTGGAGCTTCTCATTGGCTATTCGGGCGGTGGTGACTAATCGATCTCGGAAATTCTCCTGCAACAACAGACGGTACATTTTCTCCGATCAACTGTTCAGCGATTAAGAAGGTTTATTGACATTCTCCCGGGCGCACCTGGGGTACAACGACATGTACGGCCTATGATCATATCGCTATGTATCACGCTCCTATACCCCTCGCGATCGTGAAATCCATACAGCCGCCTTCGAGGCTCGCGGTACCATGAGCAGATGCTTGTGCCCCGGCCGTATCCTGCCATTCGGTCGCACGTCAAATATCTCACGCCTTCCTTTCGTTCCATACCGCGCCGTATCTCCCTTCTCCCGGCTGACATGGAACCGACATACCCGCCAAGCTCGCCACGCCGAGAGGAAAGTGGACTACCCAGATGAGGTCCAATTGCTTCGCAAATACAACGGGGTCGCACACCCTCCCCTCAACCATCATCAAAAAAGGAGCATAGACGGGTGGATTCCACTACTGAGGCGATGTGTCTCACCCAAATCGCGAAAACCTGCCAGGCCTGCAGGCCAGCCTGGGCAGACCCAATCAATACTTGCGTCCAAGCATGATCTCGATCGGACTCATGCTTTGTTGGGGTGCTGCTGGGATGCGCGGACTCATTTCAACTTTGAGCTCATCACACATCTCGGGTTCGAGTTGAAGGATTGGACAACCGTTCACTCTCTTTTGAACAGCATGATTGACAGCTATGAGCTGCTGGCTCCTCACATTCCGCCTAAACATCCGCCACCGGGCCTTGATTGGGACCGGCCATTTCGTGTTCGTCGTAGAAACGAGCCACAACCTCCTCCGAACTCCCCCGACGCTAAGGAACCTCCATTAACCGAGAAGGTCTCGCTCAGCAAACTCACAGGGGGAACAAAGGCACAATCACCGTGGAAATGGTCTCGTGTAGAGCCTATCTCATCAGGTGGCCTCTCTCTTGATAGTATGACGGTGGAACCTGCCGCAAGGTTCTTTGGGGACAGGATCTTGGCTGAGGTATTGGCAAATCTCGGCTCGTTGGTTTTGGCTTCTGCGAACGGCACCGCAGAGCAGTCTCAGCATGCTATGTCCTGTGTTTTCCGGACACTTGCACGTCTGCATCATACGGGCATGATTTCTGACAAGGTCTATCAATATCCACTCCCGAAACCCGGTCAAATCGTATTCCGCCCTCCCGGGCTACAGCTTCTCTCCGGGCCCATCATGGACGTTCTGTCGGATGCAGCATGGCACGAGCATGAAGCGGCAGTGGCTGCTGCCGCCGCCGATGCCGGGGAAATGTCCCCTTTCATTCCATACAAGATGGGCATCCGAGAACTGGGCCCTGAGATCTGGCTGGAGTTGATTCTGTGGTGTTGTGTGGAGCACGGTTTCTGTAGGACCGGCACCGCACTCGTGCATCAGATGACTCGGGTGGCTGGCGAACAGCCATGGAAGGCCGAGAGCTGGGCGCCCCTTATCGACGATCTCGACACAGTGCAGCAAACCAATATCAACATCGAACAGTCATGGCGTCGTCCAGGCCAAGACAAGCCTCGGGTGTCACCACGTCAGAAAGCACCGCCTTTCAACGGACTCGGGGCTAAAACCATCAGCGCGGAGGTGATATCCTCACTGCGTAATGGCTTGACAAACAAGGCTTATGTTGGAATGGGCGATCATGGACTTCTGGTTGGAGATTTACTCAAGCTCTCCGCTCCTCTGGCTAAACTCATCGACCCTCCCACATCCACAGTTGAGCTTCGGCCCACCACCATGAATACTAATTGGCACACTTTACGCATCCTTCATTCCGGATGTGTACAACCCTGGTCAGATCCCGTGGCATTTGAAGCCCTTCTCAGGTCCCACAACAACGTTGTTCCACCCTGGGATGGAACCGGAGTGGATCTTTTGGACGACCTAGAGTCGCAGCCACGAACGCATTTCTACAACGAAACCGCGGCTTTTTGCGGGTTGATCGAATATAACCTCACGTATTATGCCAGGGATAAGCAGGGTGGCCGCCTCTTCTCTGAATTCGCTTGGCTTCAGAATATCTGCGACGCCAGCAAGGCGCGGCACATGCAGAAGTTCTTCGATCGTCTTAACCAAGCCCACGACGAAGAAGATCTTGAATTCTTCGACTCGAAGCCTGTCACAGCCCACCCACGCGGGCTGATACATCAGAGCTCCATCCCACAGGTGTCAAACGTCACATTTGCTAATCTCATTGATGTGGCTACTCTCACGCATTCCTTTGGCTTTGCTCGCCAACTCCTTTTCCAGGACGACATGGACGGCCCTGCCGTTCCAATAGCTGCGTATGGCTCGCAAGCCCTGGCTCCAGCTATTCTCCGATTTGCGATAGCAACGAAAGATGGCAATCTTGGCCAAAAAGTTATCTCCTCTCTTTCCGTTCCTCTTTCCGTCAACACAATCAAGTGTCTCATCAACTATCATATCTCACGACAGGGCTGGGATCGCGTGGAAATGATGCTTACATTCCTGGTCGACCACCGTGCCAAATCCTGGGGCTATAGCAATCTAGCTTCACTTGCAAGTGCAGTCATCCGGCTTGAGCACATTCTACGCCAAAAAACAGCAGCCGGCACAGCAACTAAAGTCGACATGGAAAATGTGGCCAAAGCCACGGACATTATGCTCCGTCTGTATCGCGGCGAATGGCCAGCCAGTCCCGATCGTCCTAAGATCCGCTTCTTCCAACTGCGCGCACTATCCCGCATGCACCGCCTGCTGGCAACCATTCCAGGACCGATGCCCGAAGTATTCAAGCGACTAGAAACCCCCGAGGAAATCACAGGTCACCACAAACTCCCACTTGTTCCCCCGCAATCATTCCACGAGATTTTCTCCGCCATCGTCGAAACGCAAGGTGCCATCGTCGGCAAGCGCGTTTGGGACCAGCATGTCATCGACTGGCTCTCTCCTAAACGATCTCGCCAAGCCCCGGGTGGAGTTTCCCGACTCCTTTTCACCCATGAACGAAGCAAGGAAACCGGCAGCCCAGACTGGTCCGCCAAATGGTTCAACGAGATCCAAAAGAAATCCACCCTCGCAGACCTAAACACCATCCGCATTCTCGCGCGAGCAGCAACCAAAGAATACGCCGATATGATGCACGCCCGCGCAGAAGGGAAACGCAAAGGCCTCAATCTCAGCCTCCTAGATATCGACGAGACATCCTCTGCCTCCTTCGTCTACGATCCTACAAAACCCTACGTCCCCTCCATCTCCCGAGAACAATACCCCTACCAACTCGTCGGCGGCCAGCCACCACGGACCGAGCTAGAATCCATCCTCGACTTCTGTCTCGAGACATTCCTCCGCTTCGGTCTTCCAGAGGACCAAATCGATATTGAAATCCCAGGCCATATGCGCCGCATGCAGGATAGGGATATCTTCTCGTATCCTGTGCGCAGGCCTGTCAGGGAGCGAATCAAGTCCAACAACAATGATCCCTGGGTCGGAACCTTCTGGTCCCAGGAGTGAGTCAGTCCTGTCTCGGGTCTGACATGTATTTTATTAGTTTATATCAACTTCCAAATGTATATAATATCTGAGTCACAATAAGCTTCGGCGTTTGAATTTATCCTAGTGAATTCGTCATGCATATCATGTGTGAAGTACCGAACAAGGGGAAACAGTAGCCCTAAAAATAGGTAGAAAGCCCTTCACAATAACACCCTCGAAAACAGCCAAGCTCCAATAAATCCAAGACCCGAAACGAGAACCCCAATTCTATAACCATGCAGAACCAGTTTCAAGACCGTCCAGCGAAGTCTCTGATGTTGATATACTCGGTCATTTGATACACAGGTTGAACAGCACAGATAGACCACGCGCCGGTGCCAATAGAGTGACTGATGTGCCTCAAATGGAATAAAGAAATGTGAAAAAACCCCCCAGATTTGTTTGAAATGAAGAATAGAAGTAACAGAGATAAAGTGCCCAAACCAAGGAGTAGAGGAAGACGAATTTTCGGATGGTACAGAGGTACAGTGAGGATAGGCGGACGTGATGGAAAACGTGAAAGATGCAGATCGAAAGGCCACGGCAAAAGGGCCGTGAAATAAACAGACAGGTCGGAATGAGATAAAGATTCATGAGATGACAAGGAGACTCGTATGTGGTGTTTTCATATTTTGAAATTTTTGGATTGATTTCATTTTTCCATTAATCGCCAGTCTCATTGTTTGGAGGGAAGAAGGACCGCATGAATTCCCCACTAATTGGATCATAAGGGAAATATGAATCCTGGGCTTCGGCGCTCAACGTAGACATCAAGTCCGTGGTAGAGATGGTCGGGTAGGTGTAATGATCTTCACCGGGTGTTGGCGCAGGGACCGATACAGGGAGGTGATCCAACTGGGGACCCCAATAATCACCCACAGAGGGAGCCATGGGGTCATCTTTTGTTTCTGCGCCGATGGTGGTGGTAGGTTCGGGGTGGTAGGGGTACTGAGGCATGTCGCTGACGTCGTATTTCATGCCCTGGGCTAATTTGCGAAGGCTGAGATCGCAGAGCTGCCAGGCGCGCCTTGAGGCGATGCTCTGTTCGGACATTGCGAAGAGCCAGCGTGTGGCTTTCTTGGAAAGTTGGAAGAAGTTGTTCTCTTCTTCGGGCATGTGGACGGTGCCGAATGATAGCTCCAGGAGCAGGACGGTTGCTGCCTGCATGAGATAATGGAGGACAGACCACCAGGGTGCGACTTGATACAATTGGATGGCGTTCGGCTCGTCGGGGATAAGGTCGAGCATGCGCCAGGCGGATTCCAGAGTGATGACTGCCATGTCGTGGCTGAAAGATGCGTTAGGGCCGGCATGGCGTGCATCGCGCCGGCAGAGACAGGGTCGTCCTAGTGTGATGCGCGCACTGTAGTAATGCAGTGCCAGTGTCAGCTTATACCGCAGGATGTCGGGTCCATCTTCGTGTGTGCGGGTGAAGTCGAGCGCTTGAGGGAGACTTGATGCCCACATCTCGGTCCGGGACCTGAGTTCTCCGATGCGATTCTCGATGTGTGACCAGGGTACCATCACGCAGTCTACTGAGTAGACTTTGTTGACGATTTCCTGCACGACGACTGCCAGATCACAGTAGTATAGGTAAACGAGCCCGTAGCTGATCGGCAGACTCTTAATCCATGTGGTGTCTCGGACGGTGGTATGATTGGTGGCTTCCTTGCCATTCGCCGGGTTGAGTGGCATTTGTCTGATACAGGAACTGGCTACGACGTTGTTGATTCGCTCGTCTCGCAAGGTCGAGTTGGTAAGAACTTCGAGAGCCCCCGGGGCTTGCAACTGATCTTCTTCAAATGGAATTGGGAAGGGCGAGGTGCAAACGCCGTCTTGAATACAAGTTGCACGGCCAGTCATTATTCCAAGCATATGCTCAAAGGTATACAAACACCACCAGACGCGGTAGCGGGCTTCCTTGGACAGATCCGGTGTGGTTGGTGCGCTGCTTTTCATATTAATACCAAGGGTGATCGCCGAGCGCACCGCCAACGCTGAGATTCTCCACGCTCTGAACGAGGTATTAGCTATCCGGTCTTTGGGTATAGACGTTTGTTAGATGACTTACCTGTTGATCTGATCGGATGCCAGAAGGTAGAAGGCAATTAAACCCTCTACTTGAACCTGCTGGAGATCAGGGTGGCTGAACAGGACATCACCGTTCATGCTGAGAATGCGAGCTCTGGTCAAATACACCAAGTGGTCTTTCTCATCTCCCCGCCACGGAGCGCTGCTCAAATGACCATATTTTGCGCCTATCGCAAAGATCATGTTCAAGATAGCAAGCCACTTGTCACCGGGTCGAGCAGCGCTATCGAAGAATGTCCGGTATTGGGCTGCGAACAGCGGCCTGTTGATAATGGGGTAGAATGGGTGCACAGTAGTTAGATAGGCCTCGAACATATGATCTGCTGCTTCTCGAGAAGGCATGGCGTATAGTTGTACCGGACCAGACACGGAAATGTCCAAATCATCGAGGTGGTAGTTAACTGCGTGGAGGGATAATTCGTTGTCTGCATGGCGATCTTGGCCAGGCTCCAAACTGCCTGGTAGACCCTGGGCGCGTTGATTTGCTTCCCTTTGCAGCCGTTGCATCCAGGTGATTTCTGAATTCTTCCCCATGTAACCGGTGGCCCTTGTGTGTTCGGATCGGTTCAGATCCTCTTCCACTCGATCAATCGCCTCCAGGGATCCGATGGACGAGGGTGATGAGGGCTCATCATGGTCTGGATTTTCTGGATTCTCATCCTGAGGCGTTGCGGAGTTGGACTGGTTAGATGATTCTTCCGTGTCCAGACCATGCTACGTTCAAGTCATTAGCAACATTTTCATTGATTGGCGCACATAACGAACCTTGTCCAGCAAGCTCTTGATCCGTTCCGCCGCACGAGACTCCACCGTATTGCCCAGCTCTTTCAACATTAATTCATATTCTTGTGCTTTTTCTGACAATTTTTCAACTTGTCTATAACCCAGCACTTCATTAGCATACGTCCACAGAGCCTGTCAAATGGCTTCCAGTTCCCTGTCTTCCAGAAAGAGAACGCAAACGAGTCCACTCACTTTTTGGTCTTTTCCCTCCACCCTTGCGGGTAATTACATGTCGCCCTCAACTCCCGACACTGGCGACACACGGGGGTATCGCCACTGCATTTCGTCTTCCGGGCTCTGCAAGACTCGCATGCGCGGGGCACTCGGCGGTTATAGCGCTGAGCGATTCCAGCGCGCTGGCGAGGAATCGCAACCTTTGTCTGATTGGTGAGGGTGGAGGTGGAAGCGGTTCGTCTGGCGCCGAGTGTCGAGGCCGAGCCTGCGAGCGAGGGAGGTCGGGATGAGACCAGGGCGCTATCTGGGGCTAGCTGATGGATGGGGAGCTGGCTCTGAGGTTTCTCCTCCTGACTGGGCTGTATTGGGGTTTCTTTAATCGTCATTATCGTGAGGGCGAAGGTGTGCAGAGATGGGGTTTCAATCGGTGATATCAAGGTTGCGTTCCCGAAACTATGCGCTTCGGCATCCAGTAGCGACCAATGACAGGCCTAAACTGACATGATGGGATTCAGTCGTATATCTGATCAGAATAAGTGATCGGGGTAGAAGCGAAAGAGAAGCATTTCAGAAAAACGAGAGGTTGCCAGATGCCGGATGATCTAAGTGGCGGGACGCATTACCAGCGATGGGTCTCAGGGCTGACCTGATTGGGTCGGCTTAGTCACGACCGTTGGATAACTACAATTGTTGGCGCAGTCGGGTTAAATACTGAAGCAGATTCGAGTAGATTCATGTAGATTCGAGAGCACGCTATAGTATTTTGTGACACTTTTGGTGAAGCCAGTCAGCCTTGAAACATCCTCCCAATTGAACCCATCCAGGGTAAGAAAAACAAAACATATGTATATATACAGGTGAAAATAGGCATTAGCAATAGGAGAAAAAGAGGTAAGTGCGCCGGGTGGTAGACATGTACAAGGTGTAATAATGGCCTCAGCCGGTCAAGGAGATGAGAGTCGTAAGAGGGGAAGTGCAGAGTGTTTAGATTTCGCCAAACATCTCATCCAGCTCGTCGACTTCCACCATCTCGGGGTTTTGCAGCTCCCGCCACGAGTCAAAGACAGGCTCTGCACTCATGGACACGGGGCGCGGGGTGAGCGTGAGACGCTCGTGCGATTCCGTCAGATCCGACATCTTGAGATCCACGTCGGGCAGGCCGCTGTTCAACATGTCCAGCGAGCGCTTGAGGGTTGAGACAGGGGCGGCGGGATCTTCGGGAAGAGCAATCTGGGGAGCCGCAGGCTTGCCGGCCAGGGCCAGATCCATACCGGCATCGATCAGACTCGTGCCAGACGAGACCGATGACGCGATGGAGGTGAGAGAGGGAGAAGGCGAGGTGCCGAAGAGGGCGGAGGCAGCGGCCTCGTCGTCCTGGGCCATGTGGTCGGCGGGAATGTGCGAGAAGTAGTCACTATACTCTTCTTCGGACATGCCGTCGTCCGGGGACATCGAGCCCCCATTTAAAGGGGACTGCGACGGCGCATCTTCCATGGCGCTCAGTCTCTCGGAGAGGATGGACTGGCTGCGGCTGGACTCGCTGGCCTTCTCCTCGGAGGCCCGCTCACGCACAGCGCTGGCGGTCTGGGTGAATTCCTTCTCATCGCCCTCCAGGGGCGGAGAAGCCGCACGGTGCGAGTGCATGAGCCGGGTGAGATTACTAGCATCGGGGAAGTGATCGGCACTAGGGCCGCGGTTGGCGTTCAGATCTTCGAAGTCGGGCGAGGACAAGTCCACTTCGGGACTGGGGCTCCGTTCCCGCATCATCGCATCATCCTCATCCTCGAGGCTGGAGACACTGGGTGTGATTCGCTTGCCATCTACGGCAGGAACAACATCGTCAGTCTCGGGGATGGGCTGATGAGGGAACGTCGTGAGGTAGTAGTACACTTTGCGCGGGTGAATTAAAACAAGCTCCTTAGCGATGGGGCAGGGCGCCAACGCCGTCCACGAGCGCTTCATATAGGCGGCCAACCGCGAGGACAGTAGTGCAGCCGGGTTGGCAGAACTAGAATTCGGTTAGCGACCTTCGGGTTCGGGGCGCGCGGGCGTGCGATACTTACTTTGCGACATTCCCGTTCAACGCGACCAAGACGGCGGCGAGTTCCTTCACGAGATGGGGGCGGTTGCCGGTCTTCTCCAGTTGGTTGATCACCGCGACCACGATATCATCATTAATTCCTTCTGTGTCGATTTTGGGCGCGTGCACGCCGTCCATGGGCGAGGGCGGCGGTGTGTGCTCGAATAAACCATGTCGGGCCGCGCGCGCGGCCTTGTCGGCCGGCTCGGGTGATAATGAGGCCGTGTGGGATCTCTTGACTTTTTTCGTCGGGTGGTCTTCGCTGTGTGCTTTTGAGAAGGAGGGCGACCGCCGGGAGGAATTTGGGAGTTGTATCCCCAGCGACGGGAGCGAGAGTGACTTGCGACGAGTGTTATAGGGCATTGTGGAAGAAACAGAAGCAGAGGGAGAGTCAGGATAACAGAAGCACAAATATAATAAGATAATAATAAGGTCTAAAGGTCAGTAAATCGAAAGGGGGGAGTGTAGAGATGCGAAGCTCCCAGGCTGTTTATGGCAAATTACGCAGAAGAAAAAAAGTGATTTTAAGATACGGTACGGTAATTACCAGTCCTGGATCTGGCAGGCTTCCGTCTAGATTAGCTGCATGCTGATTGGTGTGAGTGGAGCCCGACCCAAGGTTCTATTTTTTTATTTTCTATTTTTTCTATTTTGTTTTTCTTGGCGAATTCCAATTGGGGAATGCAGACACTCGACCATGGAACTGGTTCCGACCTTTCTTCCTTTACTTATGCACTCTACTAGTACTTAATACACTATACACTACTAGTATACACTATACTACATTATACTACAGTACACTACATAGAGACTACATGGAAATACTTACTACTATATAGTAGTACTGTATATCCATATTCTGGCTTCCGATGTGGACAGCTTATTAGAAAATCCCTACGGAGTACGGAGTAGTTCTTCGTTTTCGCAGTGGGCCCAGCCATGTGTTCTATGCTCCGACTAGATCCAATTTTGCTCCAGTCTCATTTCATCGTCTCCCCTCGAGATGGATACTTCCCCGACTAATCACAGTGGCCCGTGAATAATAAGAAGACATACCGATCGCTTGATTGGCGGAGGGGTAGTCTACGTATGTACTCCGTATGTATGTGCAAAGGGTCGACCTGTCGACTCGTTGCTAGGTGACGCTTGACCGCTTCATGCATACATTCATTTCATTTCATATCTATGTACTCCGTACGGTCTCCAATTAGATAATAAATACCAGTGATTCTATACTGAGTACTGTACAGTATATATCCTATTGGAAGTGCAGAAAAGAGCCGAGGGCTTCCGGAACACCGAAATCCCAAACAGCTCCCTAGCGTAGCCGTTTGAGCGAAAAGGAAAAATAGAGCAGCTCCACTTGGATCAATCAGCGTGGCGGTACGGTATTGTACATGACACTAGTAAGGGATGCTCACATTAGCGTCTCGGGGAGAAAAGGAACAGTATTTGCCACCCTTCAGATCTATCACTTAGGCAGTGCAGACTACTACTACTCCGTAGGTACGGTGTCTCCGGAGTCTCCATCCTGTGAGAAAAGACGAGTATATTTAGACAGTTAACATGTACGGAGTACTCCGTACGGAGTACTCCATATGTACGTACGGAGAAAGATCTTAATAGATCGCGCAGCATATCCGAGGATTCCAAGGTTTCGTCGATATGATGACATCTATGTCTATCCTTGTCTGAGATCCCTGCAAACTGTTTGGGCATTACTATACTAGTCCATTATGTAGGTCCATTATGTACGAATTACTACATTTTGTGTACCCCAAATAGTGCGGGTAGCAGCATTGTTTCATGAGATGTAGCCCCGTCAACCGAATTCCCCGTTTTCATGCCGGTTACATCGCACTTATCTGATCGCAGACAATGTCGACCGTTGTACAGATGCAGGGGAATTCTCCGCATCCCCACCGTCTTTTATGACAGCAGAGTGTCGTCAATTCCAGCAAATCGGGGCAAACATAAGTACTCCAAATTCCAGGTCTGATCCGATCTGCCAATAGGAGGCCCATCAGCGAACCTTGCCTGGGAGAACGGGTCATCGCATCATGATAATGGAGACCAAGACACGGAACAAACTCTGCAAGGATCTGCGACGGGCATGGCAATCAATGCAGATTGGACGCTTCCAATCTGTCCAGATATGTACAGTATGTATGTAGATGCCATCGGCCAATCCAGATATGACCTGTGAGAATCCCAGCCGCTGACGCCTGGGCACTCCATAGTACACATCGATACCTTCCTATGGTGGTAAATCTCGTCCGATAGGGTCTACCCCTCCTACTCTATACGCGAACATGGCCCCATGTCGGAAGCTTGTCTCTTCCTAAGGTCGGGGTAAGTTGCGCAAGCCTAATATAGGGACTACACTAGTAGATTGCGTAATGTTGATGGGTAACGGGCAGATCATTGATCGGCAGGGAATCCAGTACGGAGTAGTATGTCTACTCAAAATACTACCTAGGTACAGTACTGTATACTATACAGGTCGGCATAAAGAGGCGTTCAAGTAGATACGACTGCATCCGCCACCTGATAACCCCACTATAATGACCTTGGAATATGACTCTGACCTACATACGGAGTACACACAGCAGCTGGGGTCTAGACTGCTGCAACAGGGAACCTTGGAACTTGGAACTTATCTATGCATCTAACCTTGGAATTATATGTATCCGTGCTCAACCTTGAACTCCTGAACAAGGTGGTGGATCCATTTGTTTCATATGTAGATTAGATGCACAGGTATATCTTGGCACTTCGAATACTTCAAGGGTTCTATATCTGAAGTTCAACCTAGCACGTCCTAGAGAAACAACCTTGGAAACCCATCTATTCCAGATGTCCAAGCCTTGGCGGTTTTAATTTCAACTCGGAAAATGTGAGATACCTAGACAACCATGAACAATACCATATCAAGCAGAACTTCCTATATCAACCGTCGCCAGCTCGTCGTAGATGGCCTTCTTAACATCCTCCTCCGCCCAGGACATATCCACCGCATTTCTCACAAACTGCACCATCTCCCCCCGACTAAAGCCACAGTAACTATACACCTTCTGCATATTCCCATCAATCCAGACATCATGCATCAACGTAGGATCATCACTATTAAAACACATCTGAACCCCCCGCTCCCACAACCGCCGAATCTTCGGAAACAACACCTCCGTCGCCGTCCGCCGATGATACGCATGCGGACACAGCGTCAGCCCAATCCCCCGCTCCACCAGCCCAGCCCACAACTCCCGATCTTCCTCCGCATCCAAGCCATGATCAATCCGCTCCGCCCCCAACCCGCCACACACCTTATAAATAGCCTCCGCCACATGCGCCTGCGTATCCTTCTGCCCAAAATCACAGTGCATAGTGACATGCAGGCCGTCCGCCCGCGCAAGACGGAACCCCTCCTCAAAAAGCATCGGAGGTCGTTCGTACGCATTACTAGCTAATCCCACAGCATGGAAAAGACCCTTTCCACCCTCGACTGTCGCCCACGGTCTCGCGGTGCGGTACGCATCCAGTCCCGCCGAGACTGGCTCGTCGCGGAGGAAGCAGAAGATCCACCGTGAGTGCACGCCCAGGGCGATGGCATCCCGCTGAGCGCGTAGGTAGCCGTTCAGCACGGCCTGGGCGGGCACGCCCCGTCGCGTGCGCGCCTGGATATCGAAGAAAGGTTCCGTGTAGCGGACTTTGAGCTCCACGCAGCGATGGAAATATGCCATGGCGAGGTCGTAGAAGTCGGCTTCTGTGCGGAGGACTTCACATCCTGCGAAGTAGGCTTCGAGGAAGGTGGGGATGCCGGGTTGGCGGCCGTTGAGGTCGGGTCTGTGATTGAGGGTTACGGCGTAGGAGGCTTGCAGGTCCTCGAAGGTGGGGTATGGTAGTGGGATGGCATTGCGGTGGGCGAGTTCCCATCGCAGAGCTGGTGTTAGCGTTCCTTCGATGTGGATGTGGAGCTCGACTTTGGGGAGATTGGCTATGAAGGGGGTTATCGTGAGGCCGTTCATGGTTATGGGGAATCTTGAATCTTTTCGTGTTGATATTCCCTGAGATAACGATTCCATCCGATGTACTAGTCGCAGCCCTAAATCCCTTGGCTTGCATTCCTCCAATTGCAGCCCTGACTCGCAACGATAACAACGAGGGGAAGATAACACGTATAAGAGTGCAGATCGCTCCATGGCTTTAAATGTTTCTGTATATTCTAATTGCACCTGGGCAGCATGGCGGAGGCCACAGATGGCGAGCAGCCCAGCCGTATGGCGAAACGCGTCCTGAAGAAAATTGACCGAAGACTCATACCCCTGCTGTTCACTACTTACATGTTCAATTTCATGGACAAGGTCATCTTGTCTAGTGCATCTGTTTTCGGGCTTCGCGATGACACGGTAAGTACTAAAGGAAATCGTCTAGAATGAAGACTGAACTCCAATAGCGCTTAGTAGGCCAGCAGTATAGCTGGGTTTCGTCGGTGTTCTATTTTGGATACCTGGGATGGGTATACCCGACAACATTGTTGATTGCACGTTTACCTGCCGCGAAGTACTTGACGGCCAACACGCTATTCTGGGGTGCTGTCGTCGCACTGACGGCGGCCTGTACCAACTTTGGTGGTTTGATGACCGTTCGCTTCTTATTAGGAGTGGCAGAGGCAACAATCACCCCCGCATTCATGTTCATCACTTCGACTTGGTATACACGCGATGAGATCCCCACGCGCACGGGGCTGTGGTTTGCTGGAAATGTGAGTTAACGGTGTGTGCATACTAAATTCACGGATTTAACACTGTATCAGAGCGTGGGAGGCATCGTGTCTAGTCTAATGGCCTACGGCCTCGGTCATGTCAAGGACAACGTCGGGCCATGGCGATGGATGTTCATTGTCCTCGGAGTCGCGACCTTCCTCTGGGGATTCGCCATCTGGACACTTCTACCGGACTCTATTTCCAAGGCAAGGTTCCTCACCGAAGAAGAGCGTCAATTCGCAAGCTCCAGAGCCGTCCTTGCCGGCACAGGAGCAACGGAAAAGACAGCCTGGAAGTGGAACCAAGTAGCCGAATGTCTCATCGATCCCAAGACCTGGCTGGTCTTCGGCCTGGGGATATGCACCCAGATCCCCAACGGAGGGACGCAAAACTTCGCCAATCTCGTCATTGTCTCATTTGGATTCACGAACCTCCAATCCACACTAATCACCATCCCTTACTCGCTCATCTCCGTGGCTACCATCACCGGCACAGGCTGGCTTGCAGGACGCTTCCGCCAGCTCAACTGCCTCCTCATTGTGGCCACGGTCATCCCTTGCGTGGTCGGGAGTGCAATAATTTACTCCCGTGCGCATATTGGATTGGGCGTGCAGCTGTTTGGGTATTTCCTTCTGTCGCCTGGACCTGCAGCTATGCCGTTAGCCATGTCCCTGGTGCAGGCGAATTATCGGGGCGTCACTAAGAAAATGACGGTGACTGCAATGCTCTTCCTTGCGTATTGTGCAGGCAACATTTCTGGGCCCCAGTTTTTTCTCAGTACAGAGGCACCGCAGTATGGTACTGCGTTTCGTACGATTATGATTTGCTATTCGCTGTCGGTTGCCCTGGCGATTACACTGCGCTGTTACTTGCAATGGACGAATGCTCGTCGGGTACGGGTGGAAGGGTTTGAGGGCAGTGCTGGAAATGCAGGCGCTGTCGGTGGGAAGGTCTCAGATCCTCATGAGTCTAGAGATGTGTCGGAGATGGTGAATCAAGTACAGCCGGTGTCTGATGATTATGAGGATATCACGGACTGGAAGACACCAGGGTTCAGATATCGATACTGATATTGACTAGGCATCTGCACTCATTCCAAGGTGGACAGATGGCCTAGATCAAATCCCTGAAATATGGTATATCTCAATAATCATACAGTTGAATTATTATACAATTCAGCAGACATCACAGCTCAAGACCGAGACTCCTTTGGTCGCAACACATATCGCCATGTAGTCCCCATATGCCAGCGCTTCTCCTCCACAATCTCCAATCCACTCTCACGAACAATAGCCCCAATATCCCTATTCCACCAACAACCATGACGATCCGCATGCGCAGGCGCAAGATTATCCAAGATGCGATTCAGCCAATCGTAATGAGACCGACCATGCTCCAACAACAAAATCCGACCCCTCGTCGGCTCCGTCACCGAACCCAGATGCCGCAACGTCGCAGCCGGATCAGGCATCGAGCACAAACCCATAGTCTGCAAAACAGTATCAAAGTACCGCGCACCATGCGAAATTCTCGGCGGCCCAACAGAGCCCGCATCTCCAGCCTGGAACTCCACACCCGCGAAACCAGGATGAAGCTTCTCGAACTTCTCCTTCGTGATGGCAATCATCTGCGGACTCAGGTCCAGGAATGTCACGGTCCGACAGCCCACCACACTGGCGCGGCCGTCTTGGTCGGTCCCGCGGCGTTCGCCGAGCTCGTAGAATGGCAGGTTACGTCCGGTACCGCAGCTGACTTCGAGGACGTTTCCGCGCGCCATGGCGACGAGGTCACGGCGCTTTTTGCCTAGGCCCATTGCCTTTTCGGAGATGGCAACGTCTGCATCGAAAGTTGATGCGGTGGTGTTATATCTGTCTGAAACGTCGCGGGGCACATTGAGCTTCTGCGCTTTGCTGACTTCATTCCTGTAGGATGTATACAGATAGCCGCAGTATGTGCTGATGGTCAGAGCGGTGATTCCCAAGAAGGTCAGCGCTCTCGGGGGAATCCCATGGCCGCGTTTTGCGGGACTGGACTCGAGCGAGTCCAAGTGCGCATTGGGATTTTGGGGCCTTGGGCGACGCTGAGATGGACTCTGTCGCTGTTTCAAGACTGGTTTGGGACTGGTGTTTGGTGAGTTGCTGGCCTTGCTGATGTGAGCTGGGTTGCATACCTTGACTTTGGGGGTCGGGATGCTTTGTTTGAAGCGCTGCGGCAGGGTGTTCTGGGCCACCTTGCTCTTAAGGACGTCCTACACAGTTGAGTCGCGTTCATTGTGGACATTACGCGACGGGATTGAGGTTTATGCAGATATTTTGACGGTCAAAGTACCACTCCTCAGATGGCGAAGGGATTCAGATCCGAATCAGATCCGAGACAGCAATATAGCAGTCGAGTTAGGGCTGTCACGGCAGACTTGACCAATACAAAGCTGGCGGAGGTAAAATCGGGTCGGGAACCGGGGAAGATTGTCGACTCCGTTATCGGCTATCTCTCCACGGGGTGCGCCCACTTACCCTACCCACCTGGGCAGGGCACTTACACACCGCACATATCGACAATGGCATTGCCACGCAAGATTCTGATCGTTGGAGGGGGTGTCTTCGGACGTGAGTGTTCCAATGCACATTCAATGCCTGCATACCTCTTTACTCCGACCCTCACTAACATTCCCAGTATCCACCGCTCTCTCTCTATCAAAGCGACACCCAGAATGTGAAGTCACCATAGTTGAGTCGTCCCCGACAATCCCCAACCCGCACGGCTCATCCGTCGACACATCCCGGATCGTGCGCGCCGACTACGCCAACACCGCATACTCCAAGCTCGCCGCAGCAGCCATTGAGCGCTGGCGCAACACAGCCTGGGGCCAGGAAGGTCGCTACACCCAGAATGGACTGCTACTCGTATATCCCGCCGACAGCGTCAGCGCAAAAGAGTACGCCCGCAAGAGCTACGCCAATGTCCGCCAAATCGAAGGCGATAAGGTCGAGTTCCTGCCGACGCAGAAGGACGTCTTGAAGGTCGTGCCGGCATACGGCTCGGAGCTCGATGTCGCGGGCGGATACGTGAACTGGGGTTCTGGGTGGTCTGATGCAGCGGCTAGTGTGGCGTATGCGAAGGCCCTCCTCGACGCAGAGGGCAAGGTTGTTTTCCGGACTGGGGACGTAGAGCGTGTGCTTTACTCGAGTGTGGGTGGGAAGTCGAAGGCTCGGGGCGTTGCGCTGGCGGATGGGTCGACGGTTGAGGCTGATCTCGTTGTGTTGGCTACTGGTGCGTGGTCGTCGAAATTGGTCGATTTGCGCGGCCGGGCTGTTGCGACGGGTCAGGCGATTGGGTACATGCGGATTTCGGACGAGGAGCAGCGGGAGCTTGAGAATCTGCCTACGATTTTGAACTTCGCGACGGGCATTTTCATTATCCCGCCGCGCCATAACTTGCTTAAGATTGCGCGGCATGCGTTCGGGTACCGCAACCCGACTGCTGTGCCGGTGCCTGGGGAGAGTGGTCGCACGATGGATGTCAGTTTGCCAGAGAAGGGAGCGCCGGTCCCATTGGAGGGACTGGATTCTTTCCGAGTTGCGCTGAAGCAGCTTTTGCCACGATTTGCGGATCGTGAGTTCGTCGACACGAGAGTGTGTTGGTATACTGATACGTGAGTTCACCCTTATTATAACTATCCATAAGACAGGTTCTGATATGGCGAGCAGACCCAAGGGTGACTTCATTGTCACTTACCACCCCGAGCACGAGGGTCTCTTCCTCGCGACCGGTGGTAGTGGACATGCATACAAGTTCTTCCCTGTCCTTGGAGACAAGGTGGTCGACGCAATGGAAGGCAAACTGGACCCTGAGCTGAGTGAGATGTGGACCTGGAGCGGCACCGCTGCATCGGACGGAGAGGACTTTGACGGTGATGGCAGTCGATCCGGGGAGCGCAGGGCCAACCTGAAGGATGAGTTGGCGAAGACGAAGAAGGCTTCGCGAGGCAGTGTGCTGTAAATCTGTGTACGGTGGATGTATATAACATGAGCTTGGCTCACAAAAGCATTTACATAGAGGCGTCATGCTTTGCATATTCATGGCATTTAAGCCAGATTCCATTTCAGTCCAGACTCCACGACTCTCATTACTACCTGTTGTAGCCCTCAAATGTGATTCATGTGTGTAGATCAATAAGCGATCCATACATGGTTCAGCATCTACTCCGTATGGTATAATCCCTCGGGAGGACCTCCGCGCAGTTTAGCAATTCACCTAGGTAGAGACACTCCATCTATGTCCTCATATAGTGTCCCCGAGAAGGCGTTGAACCAAAAAGTCTGAGATTCCCACGGTACGGATTAGTACATGTTGTCCAGTTATCTGCATCAAGCTGGCGTGTCTCGGCCTGTCTGTTCTGTATTTGCTTGACGTTTGGTTGACGTTTACTCAAGCTGAACCGATAATACCTAGCCCTCCAAGGTCTCCCGTCGTGAATCAATTCAAGGTTGTTTTCGACAGAACATCTCTTCTACAGCTACCTTCATTGCCACATTCCACGTTTCAAACTTGGAAGGTTTTTCTCTGGAAAGACTTTATACCTATATCACAATTTCCATTCCTCCCTATATCTTGTCATTTGAACAACGAAATGTCGACTACAACTGTTCACCACAAATGGCGAGGCAGCTTCACAAGCCCACATGGACATCCTAGCAAGGATGGCACCCATATTGCTGTCGCCGATCAAGCTAGACACCAAATTGTTGACAAACTAGTGGCTCGACCTGGGTCCGCTTATGTCGAATACAACACTATTCAGAGGCAGGTGTCTGACCATGGGCGGATGTATACATACAATGGCGGCGAAGAGGTCATGTTCAGTGGTGAACAATCGAATAGCCACGGAGGCTGGACTGGTACTGTAACTGTTGACATAAAGGCACCGTTTGCAATCCAGCAAATCTAAACGCCGAGGGGATATGGGGATCGGGCAGGAGAACTGAGAAAGGGGCCATTGGCGCTAAACCTTGAAGTAGTTCGCTCCTGTTCAAGGTTGCCATTAGCTATTATCAGTTGCCAGGGAGTAGGGAAAGTATAACGTTCCAATCAACATGCGCTTCGATGCAGGGTGCTTTGCCGATGTTTCCAAGAGCATGTCTGACCGCTCTCTCGCATTAACCACATTGGAACAGTCTCCCTGAACAGCTTGGAAAGGCTATTTGATTCACATCGATACTGTTGAGCAGATATACCTAGGTATCAGGCAGCCGTGCATGAAACGCCCGATGCCAATCAGATTGCCTATGGCTGTCGATAATATCAGTCAAGTCTCTACACCAACATGAATATAGATCAACCAACCGATGCTTTTATGCAGGACATTCAACGCCTGAGAGACGACTACGAGGCCAAACGGGCACAATCTAACCTGGTTTCCCGACAGATCATCGACCTCGCCTTGGGATTGATTGACGGTGTATACTGCTACACATACTGGTACGAAGACCAATGCATCCGACTAGCAGATATCCCCAACACACTCTCTGGCGATATACTACGCCTGAAACGAAATCTGCCCAATGCAGTTGAACACGGTAGTCACGAAATAATCGGTGACCAAGTCCGTCCCTTTGAATGTCCCCCACTTCCACAGGAAGATGAAGATGACGCCGAGGACCTCAATCCAATCCTGGCCTCACTCCCACTCATCGACGTCAACACCAAACACTTCGTCAAGCAAGGCAAATACAAAACCGAAATTGAGAATCTACTCAAATGCCAAGGAGGAACTTGTCCCGGAGTACCCAAATCAGCACACATCATTCCCCTACTGGGCAAGTCACCAGAAGGAGGCCTAGTCTTCGAGAGATTCAAACCTCGATACATCCTAGCATTCATCCATCCCCTTGCCACCTACAAAGACTGGATCCTACAGATAATCAGCGGGATAAAGTGTCTTCATTCCCAGGGCATCATCCATCGCGATCTCCGCATCGACAACCTCGTCTTCTCTGGGTTTCGCGTGCTGATCTGTGATCTCGAGAGTCGGTGGGGAAATCGTCTGGCGCCGGAGATTTCGCGAGACCAGGTCGTGGATGCTGGCTGGACGGAGAAGTCGGATATATATGATCTTGGGTATCTGATTAAGGGCATGATTTATGGCAATGCCCCGGTAAAGTTTGCGGTGGAGTGGGATGTTCCTCGTCCGTTGGATGCTGTTGTGGAAGCTTGTACCCGCGAGAGACCGGAAGAACGTCCTAGCTTGGATGATATATGCGCTATGGTAGAGGGGATTGAGGTCTCACTGGTGAAGGAAGTCTAGTATGATCTATATCTAAATGAAACGCCAGATTTACGCAGTATCTATAGTCTATATGTAGAGAAAGCAGGAATGGATGCAAGGGAATATGCTTTCGCAAAGAGAATGCAACGCGATGAAATTCAATAAAAAGCAAAGTGGCCGCGAGTCAATAACCAGCAGTCATAACGCCAAGCCCATGGTCTAGCAGGCTACTCGAGGCAACATAGCTGAATCCACCAAAGGGATTGCTCTCTTCAACACCCAATCCCTCTTCATTACCCTCGGGACAATCCTTGCCGTTGGCATAGTACTCATCAAAGCCAGTGCCCGTGAAGGTCGGACTAAGCGGCAACTGCGTAAAGTCAACCGAGAAGTTCTCCGCCAGCGCAGGGTCCGTCACGACAGGCTGGATAGGCGGGTCCAGCTCACGGCGCTCAAGGGCAGCCCAGTCGATTTTCCGGAAGAAGCGATGCTTCTTGATAGTCTGGAGGTCTTTCTGCATGTGGTAGCCGAGACGTTTGGAGGGATCCTTGCGGAGGAGTCTGGTAAGGAGATCTTTGGCGTCCGGGCCAAGGAAGTAAGGGAGCATCAGTTTCTGCTTGACGATCTTCTCCTGGAGCTTGGCGTTGTTGTTTGCGCGGAAGGGAGGCGCGCCAGTGAGGAGATCGTAGCCCAGAGCGCCGAGGGACCACCAGTCACAAGCTTTGCCGTAGGGTTTGCCCTGGATGACTTCAGGAGCCATGTACTCGATTGTGCCGAGGAGGGAGTTGCAGCGGTCGTCGTCTCCGAGGGCGATTTTGCTGAGTCCGAAGTCCGTAAGGAGAAGATGACCTTGTGCGTCCAGGAGACAATTCTCGGGCTTCAGATCGCGGTAGAGGACGCCGACGTTCTGGTGGAGGTGCTCGAGGGCGAGGACCATCTCTGCCATGTAGAAGGCAGCAGCATCTTCCTGGAACATGCGCTCCATCGCCAGGTGGTGGAAGAGTTCGCCGCCCTGCGCGTACTCGAGAATCAGGTAGAGCTTTTCGTGGTCCTGGAAGGCGTAGAAGAGCTTGACAACGAAGGGGTGTCGATTGACGCTTTCCAGGATCGTCCGCTCTGTCTTGGTCTGTTCGACTAGCTTCTTGTGAACGGTGATCGATGCCTTGCGGAACTGCTTCTGCGCATACAATTTGCCCGTAACTACATGGCGCACAAGGAGAACAGTTCCGAATGACCCCTTGCCCAGACACAGGATAGGCACAAAGTCGTCGGCGGTCATCTTTCGGCAAAGCTGGCTGCGCAGATCCGAATTCATACCGGAAACACCCGCGTTCAGATCCTCCGGTTGCACCGCGTCAGAGCTCACAAAGTCTTGGTCCAGCGGGATTTCATAGCTAGTCAAGATCTCGGTTTGATCGCTGTCGGAGCAAATACTCGCAATGCTGGGAGTCTGGGAGACCAGCTCGCTGACCTCTGCTGTGTCGGACAGGTTCAAAGTGCTAAGCTGCAGCTTCAGCGCGCTGACTCCATGGCCGTTAGATGGTTGCGCCAGAGGACTCGCACTACCCAACGCAGTCGGAGGGCGAGAAGGCGCACGGGAGCTAGCGGCAGAGAAATCCGACTCCTCGTCGCCGGAAGCGAGCGGTGCAAATCCGTGGACGGTAGCGCAAGCCGCAACGGGTGCCTCGGTCCTTTTCTTATTCCTGCGCCGTTGCTTCGGGAGCAGATCGGGGTTCAGGGCCGGGTTTGCCAGGGTAGATCCCTTGGCCTTGAGGGTCGAGACATCCATGTGTGCATCGGGGCGGCTGTGATTGGCTGGGCCTTCAATGACGGATTGTTCGCTGTCGGCCTGCGGCGCGAACACATCTCCGACTGACAGGTCGTCGTGTGAAGGCATTTTGCTTTTTGGTGTTTCGACTTTCGCGAAAACACTCCGTTCGGGAAAGGCGCCGGCGATAACCGCTGGTGGGACAATTGACCTTGCGCAGTTGGATCAAATGGTAGAAAAGTATTCACAATACTTCCCTAGCAGATACTACTCACATCAAACCACCTGTTAGCCTCGATCTTTGGAATAGCCTCGGAACGCGAATAGAGGGGTAAGTGCGAGATTTCTCACCCCCACCACTCGCCAAGGTCGCGGAAAAAAATATAAAACGTAATAAGAACTGGGGTTCGAAATTGTCAAGAAAAATACATACTTCAACTTGGGAGATTTGCATTCAGCACAGTACTGAGTGCGCTGATCTGCGACCAGACAAACCTCGCGACAGGTTTACCGTCCGCCCTTCTTCAGGACGGACCCGGGACCCCTACCCAAGTCACCTCGTAGATCGAGGCGTCGGCCAAGGTGGAAGGAGCGAGTGCAGCGTGCAGCACGGGAATGTCGTCAAATTTCAAGCGATTTGAGTGGGCGCCGGGGAGCGAGATCGAGGAGAGTCGTAGAGGTGCAGAGCCCATAGAGAAAAAGTGTGTAACAAGGGTTTCAAGGGATGTGTTTCTATTCCCAGAAGACAATGAACAAAGCGAAGCGATCAGATTTCAGATGCAAATCCGGGGCTCAGCACTAAACCCGATTGGGTGTTCACGTGTTCTGCTGACATTCCGATGATTTTATTGATCTATACAATTACGAAGTATAGAATGTTCCTATATCATTACGAAGTATAGAATATTCACGGGTCTGGCGCTGGAATGATCATGCTATATAACACTAAATATGTATGCAATATGTATACTTTTATATGCCATCTCATTCACGTGGCTCCGGAAGGCGATGGGTATCAAAGAAAGCCTTGGAGCGAGTGATCTCCACGCCGGAGCGCTGAACAAACGCCAAAGCACTAGGCTTCTCGACTGTCACAGTGACAGACTCATTGCCAAACTCGACCGTAGCAATGTGAGCAATAAAGGTAGCCAGCGACTCCACACTCTGGAAGGTAGTCTGATCGACTTTCTGCGAAGTGAAACCAGGTTAGCATATCAAAACACACGTATAGGGACCAAAGATAGACCAACCTCAGCCACAGCCCGTGTCATAGCCTGGTAGGTCTCAACAACCTTGGACCCCCAGGCAAGCTGACCAGGACCCTGGAACCTAAGCCCAATGATAACAGCCTGCTTCTCAAGCCTCTCATGAGGATTGATACCCAGAATCGCAAAGCTTCTAATCCCCTCAATGCGGAATTCCTCCTCCAACACAACCGGACACCGCAGATCTGCGGGCGTGATTCCAAAGGCCGTAACGCTGCGGTACCAGAGACCATGATCAGCACGCAAGATAGCCTTCGGCAGACTCAATTCAACCTCGCATTCCCCATACTCCGCCGAGATGGAAGAGTTGTCGCGGCGCTGGACGGCGGCCGCGGTTTCGTCGAGGATATCCAAGGCTGCGCTGGCGACGATACTGGCTGTTACGCGAGGGTCTTGACCGAATGCAGCTTTGTCCATCTCTTCGCATCGCGTGCCTTGCATGTTGACGAGGTGTCTGGCAGGGTGTTCGGGGGACGTGACGGGGTGAACGAAGGTCTTGACATTGTTTTCCAATCGGCGAAAGAGCTTTCCATAGTCGAGCGTGAGGGAGACATCGTCTGTGTCGGCTGCTCCGATGATGGAGGAGTAGGAGAGCTTAAGGCTTGCGGTGCATGGCTGGGTTTTTCCTTCGCGGTGCCATGCTTCGGGGGCAGTGAGGGGGAGCTCGATGTTGCGGAGGCGCACGGTGTCTAGGACTTCGGGACGCGAAGGGAGACGGATAGTTGATTCGGCCATTTTAATTTGTGGAAGAGTTGAGAATAGCCAGATGTTTTATAGGCCTGGGAATGGCCGATGGTGCAGAAGTGGTTTTTGGCGGGGCTTGCAGATCATGACGCCAAAATCCGGATCTCAACTGCCCTCCAACGGCACATTGGCTGCTGGAGCTCTTTTGTGGAGATCGACGACCTAGATGCAATCCATGATGCACGTGAAAACAGGATCTGTTCTGTCATCTGATGTATTTGGGTGTATGAAGTAGTACTAGTACTCTGACCACCTTGTTACCCTGTATATATAGCTGCCCAGGTGATCTACAACTTTCGTCGGAACATAAAAATTAATATTTTCAAATGCCACCAATGATACAATGCCCAGGCATCACTATCTGCAAGAACAAATAAGAGACCTCGTGCTGTCTGCCCAGACGCCAGGAAGATGAGGAAATAGACCGCGAGAACACGCTGAAATCTCGGCAGGTGAAAAGAAATATCATAGCACCATAAAATCAGTACGAGACGTGGCGGGTATTTTGGCGAAAGGAAAAAGAAAGGAAACCGAGATGATTGAGACTACATGTGAATCTGCGCGCCTCTACCAGTAGCGAGGGCGGTCATAAGGAGGATAGTCCGCTCGTGGAGGAGAGCGAGGACGGCCATAGCCGCGCGCAGCCAAGTAGGGATCGTCGTAGTGACGTGGGGGAGGGGGAGCCCGCGCATCATACGGGTGGTCTTCGTAAGGACGACGGGGGGGTGGGTAGTCTTCCATCCGGGGACGAGGGGGAGTCCGGCGGGCATAGCCATCCCGTTCATAGTAAGGATCCCGACGGATGGGGATGGGGGACCGCTCACGGTAATGGTCGCGGGGACTGTAGCCACGAGGAGGAGGGATCCGGCGGTCGTATTCATCCATGGGAGCTGGGTAAGGGCGGCGAGGGGGAGAGCGCGACCGGTACGGATCACGCACGGGGCGTTCCTCAAAGCTTTGGATCTAGGGTCTTGGTGAGAGGCGGTTCCTCCGGGGGTCCAGGTTGGGCGCTTACATCGGCAACGCAAGAGACGGTTGAGCCCTTGAACTCTCGCTGGTCCAGTTTTTCCACGGCGGTCTTCAGGTCGTTGGCGGTTTCAAACTCCACAAACCTTGTCAAATGTTAATGGGGAAGAATGAGGTCACTGGAATACAACCCACCCTCGGCCCTGTTCACGGCCAGTCTCGGAATAAACCACGTCCAGCCCAGACTGGCGGGCGAAGTCTTTCAAATCCTATGTAACGCATGGTGAGTCCAGGTCCAGGAACAAAGGTGTCCGGCGTGTCCAGGAAAGAGAGAGAGAGATAGAGAGAGGGGGGATGTCCATGTCCAGTCCAGGCGGAGTTGTCCAAAATGGCCAGATTGGAATGGTCTTTCCAAAGGTCCCATGGAGGGATCAAGGTCTTCAGTGTGAGCTCGCAAGGATCCAAAAGTCCCTCTTCTCATGAAGAGAATATCCAGGGCCAGCTCCGCTGACCGTCAACACAGCGCGAGAGCTAGCGGGTTAGTGCTCGACCTTTGGCCCAACCGGACCTTGGAAAGAATGGACTGGAAGCATGTGCAAACGGAGAAAAGAGACGGGCTGAAGGAATCTACACCAGGAACTCCAGGGAGGAATGGACTTGGGCTGCTAACCTGCCAACTTGTTTCAGGAAGACCGGAGATCTGCATCCGGAAAACAGTGCGACGTGGACGGGGCACCGCGTTGCGGTCAGGAGGTCCCGGGAAGGCCTCCTTGCGGCGCGGGCCACGCGCAAACTGAACGGTCAGTCGTTCGCCTTTGAAATCGCTACCATCTGCGGAAAAGATAAGCGATATGTCATGTCAGTCAGCACGTTGAGGGCGCATACGGAAGGCTGCGCAGAGGTGGGTTAGCCAGTCAGCACGGTTGTCAGGGATCTCGGGTGTTGATACCGGGCACAATATCTCTCGCATCCAGTTGGTCGTCATATTCGATAAAGCCAAAGCCATTCATCAGCTTGATTTCTGTGATCTTTCCGGAGCCATGGCTGCTAAAGTGCTCTTCGATGTCGCCTTTGGTCACTGCAGGGAGAGATAAGACGGAATGTTAGCGCTGCATGGTCAGAGAGATCTGAGAGTCACACGGCCTAGGCCTTGAAGTGACTGCCTCGGTGGCTGCGGGTGCTGCGATTCCCAGGGACCCCGGGAGGACTCTCAGGGCCTGGTGGACATGGTGGACATGGTGGAGAATCCGACTCGGCCATTTGGGAGGATCCGGTCATGCATGCGCGCTCTCAGGGAATTGGGGTGCCAGCGTACCGTTGCGGGGAAGATTCCCAAGATAGAGGCGGGTTGATGACACCTCAGTCATCGTTGCTCCAGTCGGGTCCTGTGGGGGAATGAAAAGGGAAGAGGATGTGATGGGAAGATCCAGCGGTGATGGGGGGATCAAAAGGGTGTTGTGAAACGTAGGCGGGTGGACAGTGCAAAGGCGCGTCGAAGCCACAAATGAGCGGAAAGCCGAAAGACCTGAGAGAATAGTGAAACGAGGGGAGAGAGAGAAAGTACGGAGTACATGGCGGTGGACTGGGAACTTTGGCCGCCTCACTTTTTCGCGATCCACGTGGTCCCACTCTGTGTCTATTCTCTACTTTATAGCTACATAGTTACTGGAGGTAGATACTGAAGTAAGTACTAGTAAGTAGTAGATATAGATTATACACATGGCTATGTAAGGGACTCCCCACTAACATTCCACGGTTCCCGGGCGGGTCTGTCTTTTTCGTCTTTTTTTCATTTTTTCCCTTTTTGGTCTTATATACACGGCGCAGCGCCTATTATCTCAGGTCATCATGTACTTGGGCCCTTCTCCACCCTGCGGCGTCTGCCAGTTGATATCTTGCGTCGGCACCTTGATGTCACAGGTCTTGCAGTGAATGCAGCTGAGTGGGTTAGCGACGTCCGTGAACACAAGAGGAGCGAACTTACTTCTGAGAATTGATCTGGAATCGGACTCCGTGCTCCTTGCTGGGGTCCTCCACGTACTCGTAGACGCCCGCGGGGCAGAACCGGTTTTCCACGCCCTGGTATGCAGGCCAGGCGAGGTCCTTGTGCTTATCCCAGTCCTCGACCTGCAGGTGAACCGGTTGGTCTTCTTCGTGATTGGTGCCCGTGCGGCTGACACTGGTCAAAATATCGAAGCTGATCTCGCCATCGGGCTTGGGGTAATCGATCTTTTCGTATTCGGAGGCCGGCTTGGTGGCCGCGGCGTCGGTGCCGTGGTGGCTCAGCGTCCAAGGCACGCGGCCCTTGAACAGATAGGCCTCGAGGCCGGAGTAGAGGAGTCCACCGAAGAACCCGAAGGGAGAATTGAAGGAGGGGCGGATGTTGCGGACCTCGGACAACTCCTTCCAGATGGAGGAGTCCCGCAGGGACTTCTCGTAGTCGAAGAGGAAGACCGTGCCGTCATTTTCACTCTGGAGCGCGGAGAAGGTCGCCTCGGCGGCCAGCATGCCGGACTTCATGGCAGTGTGCGTACCCTTGATCTTGGGGACGTTCAAGAAACCAGCGGTGTCACCAATCAAAGCACCACCGGGGAAGGCGCACTTGGGGATGGATTGGAAACCACCCTCGTTCAGGGCTCGCGCACCGTAGGAGATGCATTTACCACCTTCCAGCACGTCCTTGAACATGGGGTGGTGCTTCATCTTCTGGAACTCCCCATAAGGTGACAGCCACGGGTTGGGGTAATCCAAGCCCACCACCAGACCAATGCTGACCATGTTATCGCCAAAGTGGTACATCCAAGCGCCACCGTATGTGTCCTTGGGAAGAGGGTATCCCATGGAGTGAGTGATCTCGCCCGAGCGGAACTTCTCGGGCTGGATCTCCCAGATTTCCTTAATTCCAAGACCGTAGGTCTGAGGTTGGCTGTCGCGTCGGAGATCGAACTTCTTCGACACCTGCTTGGTCAAGCTGCCGTGGCAGCCCTCGGCGAGGAGTGTGACACGGGCATGGAACTCCATACCTCTCTCAAAGGTCTCCTTGGGCTTACCATCCCGGCCGAGGCCCAGGTCGTTGGTCGCAACACCCTTGACCGCACCATCCGAGCTGTACACCATCTCGCTGGCAGCGAATCCGGGGTAAACCTCTACGCCGACTTCCTCCGCGCGCTCTCCCATCCACTTGGTCAGCTCGTTCAGACTGATGATGTAATTTCCTTCATTGTGCATTTGCGGCGGGGTGGGAAGCGGATATGAGCCATTCTTGGTCAAGAAACGCATCTTGTCGCCCTTGGCCGGCGTCGCTCCCTCGAAGCGCGAGGGGTTATCTTCGGACAGCCAGTCCGGGAGAAGCTCGTTGAGAGCGGTTGGTTGGAGAACATTGCCGGACACGATATGGGCACCCAATTCACCGGCCTTCTCGAGCAGAATGACCCGGAACTCCTCGTTGCCGGCCTCGTTGGCCAGCTGCTTCAGGCGAATGGCGGCGGCAAGACCGGCGGGACCTGAGACCAGATGTTAGTGGGATTTTCGGGGCACCACAAGACCAACATACCGCCACCCACGATGCAGACATCGACATCATCGGATTCCCGCTCCAATGCGCGCGGGTCGAAGTCCCCATTTTCGTCTGTGAAGCGTTTTGATAGCGATTGCGAGAATGCACGAGTCTGGGTTGGCGCATTGAAGAGCGCAGGCCGCGCGAGCCGTGTGCCGAAGGCTCTGGATTGTGCTGGCTGACGAGCCGGGGTAGTGATGGAGATCGAAGAGCGTGGGAACCGAGAGGATCGTAGTTCACGCCTCAGCAGAGGTAGAACGGTATTTTTGGACGCCATGAGGGAAATGTGTGGTCACGGTGAGACCTTTAACGAGCAGCACTGAGCATGACCTAGGTTAGATGCGGAGAAGCAGGATATTTAGATCCCCAGAGTCCAGTAGCCGACGTTCAGGTCGAGGTGACAAAACGCCGAAAAACCGCCTACCCTCGGCATTTTCGCTCGACCAATCGCAGGCTCGGCGATTATGCCGTTGGCCTGAGGCAGCCATGGCAAAAACGGACACCTGATCCACCGAGCAGATCAGCTCCGTACTACTCCGTACTAGCACTTGAGTCCTCCGTCCTGACATGAGTACGGGGTTTACTTCAATGTTCGGAGTACTCGTATTCCGTTGCAGGGTTAAGTGTGATGTGATGAGTGCCAGAGAACCACTGTGGACAAGTCCGCTACGAGTGATCACATGCTTATTCTTTGATACCTGTCAAAGAATATTTTGCATTGCAAGGTTCAGTTCAAGTTTACCCTATATCATATCCAGGTGTTTGTATACTCCGTACTCCGTACTCCGTCGAGTAATGGACATGTCACAGTTCGCGTTCCGTAATATTACTGCACCTGGAATGTGACGGTTCGGTGCTTCCGGTATGGTATTTATACCAATGTAACATATTCAACATACCGGAGAAAATGGACGGTCGACCATAACAAGTGCCATGGGAAATACCTCCAGCATATCGATAGGTATTGTACATACTCCGTCTCCTCCGTGCTGAGAATATCTAGTTAATGAGTAAGGAAGCTCATGATCGCCCGCATACCGTGAGATCCATCCAGTCTTGGCAGTGGGTCCACGCGAACGCGAGCGCCACCGCCAGGCAGAATCTGAACGGCCACCTGTCCTGATGGAAATATGAGTCAAGGGATTTCTTTTTTCAGCGATCTTCCAGAGAAATTCAGGACGTGTGGACAGGACACGGTGCTGCTCGTAGTCTGGTCTAAAAGAGTCATCGCCAGGATATCAGGGATGAGCTATAATAGTGGTGAGGTCAGAGAAGAGGGAAACAAGGCAAAAAAATCGGGATCAGAGAAATTTTTGTTCAGTTGCCATCTGTTAAAGCGGCGAGAGGATAGCGCGTCGTACCAAGCCGAGGATCGGGTGGGGGATGCTGATTGGGCGGTGACGGGAATATCAGCTGCATGGGCGCCAACACCCGCACCGGAGGAAGACACAGCAAGGGTCCGTCAGCCAGTCAGGGGCCCCTGGAGCAGTGGGAGTGGGGGTCGTGGGAGGCCAGGGACCAATCAGCAGGGGTGGTCCACCACAGAGGGGCTGCCAGAGCCGCTAGTCGGTCAATCCACGGTTGAGGGGAGTGCTGCTTTAGGCGCCACCGGAGCCCAGCCTCTCGGAAGCTGTGACTCAGCACTATAAAAGGGACCAACCTCCCCCCATTTTTCGCTTTTGGGATTCCAGTCTCGGTCTTGGCGGATCTCTTTTCGGAAATTCTTCGACACTTTTATCAGATCTAATCTCGGATTTATCTGAAGAATATCCGGAAAGGTTTCTCTTTTTCTTTTTTTTCCTTTTCTGGACCCTCACCGAACTGATATAGAACCTCCGGTCTCTATCACCACTCTCTTTTTCGTTAATCACAGATAGACACAAATTCCAGCGAAGAGAAGACAGCTTTCGAAAGGAAAAAAACAAAAACAAAAAACAAGTTCCTTTGCGTTCATAATCTCGCGGAGAAAAAAACACTTCAGTGTGCTTTTTTTCTATTAACTTCGGTTGACTACGCTGGTTTCACTGCATTCATTGTGATCCTCACAAGAAGTTTGCGAATACCTCGTAGGGGGATACATTGAGTTGTTCATCTCCCAGGTAAGCCTTCCTGTCTACACTTCCATGTCTGCACCTTCCTTGTCTGCACTTCGCACCTTCCATGGATCTCTATACCATTTCTGCCTCAATACACCGCCCATCTCTGGGCTTTGTTTTCAACTTCTTTCATTCCATATTCACTCTCTCGAGTCGTCTCTCCTTTATCACCAACTGACCGCTCACTTCTTTCAGCTATCAGCTATCTTTGAAGTGGTCACTTGAGCCATCATGGACTCTCTCACCACCCATCCCTCGAACGCGCAGCAGGCTCGGGCCTTCACTGCTACTTCGTCTCTCTCCTTCCCTGGTGGGGCAGGCGACTTGACTCCTCCCAACTCAGAGAAAGAGGCGATGGCACAGGGTGTCAATGGTCAGCAGGCTGGAAATGCCCCCAACGGCACTGGGGTGACTCCCGCTTCACCTGCGACTCCCGCGGCCACTCCTGGTGCGACCACCGGCAGCTCTGGCATCGTCCCAACCCTGCAGTGAGTATACTCATATGTCTCTGGGTGACCAGAATGGCTGAACCAGAAAAGGAACATCGTGGCGACCGTCAACCTGGACTGCCGTCTTGACCTCAAGACCATCGCGCTCCACGCTCGCAACGCCGAGTACAATCCTAAGGTATCTATGCACCAATCTCTTTCCACACCCAGGGTACAGTGTGGCTGAACTTGGCTCTTCTTAGCGTTTTGCTGCCGTGATCATGCGTATTCGTGAACCGAAGACCACCGCCCTCATCTTCGCCTCTGGCAAGATGGTCGTGACAGGTGCCAAGTCGGAGGATGATTCGAAGCTCGCCTCGCGCAAGTACGCACGTATTATTCAGAAGCTCGGCTTCAATGCCAAGTTCACCGATTTCAAGATACAGAATATCGTCGGCTCTTGTGATATCAAGTTCCCCATCCGTTTGGAGGGTCTGGCCTCTCGTCACCACAACTTCAGTTCTTATGAGCCGGAGCTGTTCCCTGGTCTGATCTATCGCATGATGAAGCCCAAGATCGTGTTGTTGATCTTCGTCAGTGGCAAGATTGTCCTGACTGGTGCCAAAGTCCGCGAGGAGATCTATCAGGCTTTCGAGCTGATCTACCCTGTGCTTTCTGGTGAGTCTTGTCACCGTTTTATCCTTGTTTGCACATGTACTAACTACCTCTAGATTTCCGCAAGGTCTGAAGAATCTCAGGAGATCACTCGCTTACGCATTCAACCTTGTATTAACACTGCCTTGCTTTTTTCCTGGAGGTTCCAGCAGACTTTGGTCTCTGTGCCTCATTTCTTTGTTCACGACTCTTCCGAATTTCCTTCATGCAAGCATAGTTGGGCGTTTTAGCGATTCTGGATGATCCCCGGTTTTTATTCTAACCTTTTCCCACATCCCCCTTACACATTAGATTGCTGCGACAGCAGTGAGGCGGTTATGCGCCGGTCGATCGCTGCCTCGTCTTTAATCTTTTTTTTTACTTTTTTTTTTTTTTTTTTTTGCAATGGTCTTATCCATGAGCAGATGAATACACTCTGACGTGGGCCAAAAAAAAGCTATTGTGCTACATCAGTCCTTGCTTTGATACCCTTTGCTGGGATATTGATGGACCGGCTTTTGCCGTGATGCTACTTCATAGTGGCCAAAAATGAAAAACTTCTGAAAATTCCAGTATCATTGTAATTGTACCTAGTAGAGCGCTATTGTATGCAAAGTTGAGGAGCCTGTAGGTTCGCAGTGCTTCGTACTGTACGACATAGTACTTCCGGCATCTGTAGGATGTGCCGAGATGTGAGCCCTCAACACGAGGCCAGTGGATGAGTCCAAGGCTAGAACAAAGTAAACCCGGTTTTTGATTGTTAGCAGACCTGATATCCCGAAATCAACGACCATTGTAGTGACAGGAAAGCCAGAAGGCATCAGTGACATGAATATAACCACGAGCTTGGGAATATTCATTTGGAATTTCAACACATATTACACGTAAATATTTTTCCTTTCTTTCTAGCATCGAAGTTCATGAAGTATCGTCGAAATAGCAAACGGGACCAAGTGCAAATCATACACTCGGGCAAAGAAGTCAAGACCAGACCAAGAGGTATAGAGCGCCTAGTTCAATTCTGCAAACCAGTCTTAGTCCTCAAGGTCCATTTGCCGCCTTGGTGGGTGATCAGATAGCCTAGATCTCTCCTTCCTCACTGCCTGCATCCTCATGCTTGTCAGTCTCTGGTGGAGCTGGAGCATTGGAAGCGGAAGCGGAGACAGAAGGTTCCGTTGCAGCGGGTTTATCGTTCTCTGAAACCTCGCCTTCTTCGGCGCTCGACTCCTTGAGAGCGGGGCCTGAGTGAGGTGCTGGCTGGGGTGGTTTGGTGGGTAGTGCACCGGATGGAATGCGAGGTCGAGAGGTGGGGAGTTGTGTTTGGTTCTCGTTGGGGAGACTCGGTTCAAGAGAGGGTGTGACTGTTCGTTGGCGCTTTGGTGAGCGCTCTGCGCCATTGCCATTCAGGGTGGCTTGAGGATGTGGAGAAAGCGGTGCAGAGGCATTTGGAGGAAGAGATTCGGGCTCGCGTGAGCGCTTTCGCCCATTTGTGATCGGTTCGTCGGTCACGGAGAGGGAGGGTGGTTTGGGGGTTTGTTCAGAGGCGGACTTGTCTGTGTCGAAGAGGCGGGTTGGGTCGTTGGGGAAAGCCTCAGAAATAGCGAATTCGGGATAGTTCTTGTTGTGAGATTGTTGGACACGCTCGTATATTTGGACGATGGTGCTGCATGCTCGAATGAGATCGTCGAGGCGAACATCGAGTTGCTCCCACCACGGACGGCCCTGTGCGTCATCTGGGAAAGCGACTTTCGAGTGACGAGCCGCGGCGTATAGTGCCGCTGCGGCAATGACACGAGGTGGGTATTGCAGACAGAGCACAGTATATGTGGAATCGCTCAAGAAGGCCCAGGAGGAGTTTCTCAAGGCCCGATTCTCCTGAACGCCCAGATAGCAAGTGTACTCCCAGAGAATGCGGTAAGGCGACTCCAGCTGCAAGTCAAAGGACAGGTATTCCAGCATGACACTCTCGTTTTGGAGGATCAGGTCTCGCCATCTCCAATAGTCCTTAGATTGTTCATCCACCACCAGGTTCGACTGCTTCATAGCGACGCGGCAACACGCGATGACGAAATCCTTCATGCGACGCATCGTCTCATCCACCTTGAATGCGACAAATAGCGCCACACCAGCAATCACTTTCGGGTGCATCAACTCCTTCGCAATTTCCGGATATTGGCCCATCAGGGAATACCGCATCAGGAAGCGGTGCATGTAGACCGACGCAGTCATGGAGGTCTGCGGTGGCATTTTCAACATCAGGCTGACTTGCCATATGAAATCCACAGCACGGTGCCGGATGTAATCCTCCTTCTCCCGTTCGATGTTATCGCGTCGCGACGGCGTGCGCGAAAACTCTTCCTCGGAGAAAAGCCATTTCTGCTGCTCCGCGTCAACCACAGGATTAGGGAGACCGGGGATACGTTGTCTCGACGAGAGTGCGGAGTCGTCCATGGTGGCGCAAATTGAGGCTAAAGTCACGGATGGGAGGGAAGAGGAAGTTTGACGGTTGAGCGGTTCGCGGTGATCTTCCTTCTCAAAGAGGCGGCAGTGACTGAAGCGCGCCTGCGCGCATATCCTTTAATCGGTATAAGTTTGTCCAGTAATCGCGCGTTGACCCGATTCAATATGGCATGGCGGGAGCTGTGAGAGTTGGAAGATGATGTCGTTCGATGAGCAGGGTCCGAGCGTCAGGATTCCACAGCGATGGCGTGAGAAGATATATTCGAGTATCACCGGAGGTGAGAGAGATAGAATGAATCCAACAAGCGGCGAAGAAGTGAGGACAAGATTAATTCAAAAGCTTGAAATGTGCCTATTCAACCGGGGAAGCTTTCCGCTTACGTCAGACATCCATTTCGGGCTCCGCCAACTGGTCAATGGAGAGAAGATGATTCACATATGCAATTGTTGACATATAAGATCAATATAAACACTTGAAACAGTTGGTATCTTGTACTTTGGAGATTAAACTCCTCCCAGGCGCCACGCTTATACAATACAATCGACAGAAGTCCAACGTCCCCTACTCTTCCTCACTGACCTCACTTTCATCATCACTGGGGACGTATTGTCTCGCCGGTGGCTTGTACTGATGACGAGCTTCTTCTTCACGAGCGCTTTCCTCGAAAGCAGCCTCCATTTCAGCCGCTAGGTCATCATCATCCTCAACCTCATCCTCTGGAGGCGCTGTCCCTGTATGTGTAGACGATGCATGTGCGGCATCATTGCCAGCCGGAGAAGGTAAACTGAACTCTCCAATATCTTCATCTCCGTCCCCATCCCCGTCGGCCGGAGTGTTATTAGACGAGAAGTAGGCAGGGTTGACGACGAACGAGCGCTGTGGCGGCGGAGATCCCATATCGATAATGAGATCCCCGTCAACAATAATATTAGAGTCTGGCGACTGCGCCCCAGTATGCTGCGAGCCCGTCCCTGCATCAGAGGGCGTGGGCGAGTCCCTGGGTTCGAACGGCTCAGGCTGGCTGACAGGTTCGGGTTTCGGGGGAGCTTTGGGCTGTGGTTTTGTCGGCTTCTTCTGCCGTAAGGGATTCGCTTGTGGTTTCGGCCGTGGCGCGGGCTTTGGAGCTGGTCGAGAGGCGGGCATCACCGGTGTCTCGGCTCTGCTAGGAATTGGTTCTGGGGTGGTGTGGCCGGAGGTGGGCTTATCGTCTTCCTTGCGATTCTTGGGGAGGAAATGACGGAAATCGTACGGGTTGCTGTCGTCCGCGGGCCCTTCATCCTCGCTGGTGCTTGTTGCATGGCGGTCTTCGCCCGACGTTGCGTGTTCATCCTCCTCTTTGATCTGGAGTTGTTCGTATTGTTCGCGGACTTGTTTTTCGGTCTTCCCGGGCGCCGACCGCAGGTTAAAGTTCAGGGTTGTCGAGACTGGCTCCAGCACAAAGACTTTTCGTTCCGGGTCGAAGATCAGGACCAGGCTTCGTTCGTTCGAGGGATCTTCGCTACCCTTGTAGGAGTAGGCTAAGGTGTGATCGGCGTTCGGGGCCTTATCCGTGACAGCGAGGTCGTAGAGGTCTGAGGACGGAGAGCGGGTGATGGTGGACCGCTGTTGTGGGGTGGCCGACTTGGATTTGTAGTTGTAGTTGATGTTGACCAGTCGATTGGCGTCGTCCTGAGCAAGCCTCTCCCCCAGCACGATTGGGTATTCGGCTTGCTTGGTGGGATCGATCATGGAGAGTGTGGGGGCAGCCATCATGGAACTGACAGTATAACATTCGCTGCCCCGGGGGGAGTCAGAGAGTTGCTAAGAGGGAAGAACCCAGAAAGTTGGGGAAATGATGAGGTGGAGAAGGGAAGGGAAGTGAGTCTCCACGCTACCCGGGACAATGATGCATACCACCTGGGCACATACATACATGTACATACACAGAATACATACATAGGAACGTTTCAGACTTCTGATCTACCATTGGCTTGGTTCTACTTCTACAAAGCAACAGGTACCCTCGGGGCCTGTGGCTCGGAGTTGTACGCCTCCGACTTCGGCATCCTGGGGAGATCCACATTGAAATACATTGAATACATTAAGCGCTGTGATTCCATTAGAGAATAATTACCAGCCGGGGGCATAAACAAAGCGGCAGGGATACAATGCAGGAAAGCAGGGCAAGAGAGGTATCCAAATAGAACAAACAAAGAACGTGACGCATCAGACAGGATTTCAAACATCAAGAACATCAAAGACATCAAAGGTACCTGGCAGTGAAGCCAGTCAAGATCGCATACCACCACCAGCAGGTATCAAAGGGCGGATTTCAGTGGCGAGCGGATTTGGTCTACTTCAACTTCTCCTTGAGCTTGCTGAAGAAGCTACTAAGACGCTTCTTCTTTTTGTCACTCTTGGATCCATTGGTAGAAGCGTTTTCCGTACTAGGAGACTGGGCGGGCTTGTCGGCCTTGGTTTCAGACGCAGCTGGCGCTGAATCCCCGGTGGACACAGTAGGCGCGGGCTTGGGGGTCGTAGTCTCAGCGGTAGAAGTGGTCTCGGGGCCAGTCGTCACCGTTGGCCCAGTAGGCGCGGGCTTGGCGGTCGTGGTCTCAGCGGTAGAAGTAGTCTCGGGGCCAGTCGTCACCGTTGGCCCAGTAGATTCGGTACTCGGCTCAGTGGTCTTGGGCTGCGAGGTCGGGATGGCCGCGGCCGCATTACGACCCGGAGGAGGGGTTGAGGTCGGGGACACGTCGGCCGAGTCCACGCCACTGCCCAGGGTGAGATGAGGCGCAATCGGCTGAGTGGCTGCAGTCACGGTGGGTGCTGGGGTGCCTGCAGACTCCTCCACATCCACCTTCTTCTGGAGTTCTTTCTCCAGATCCTTCTTCTCCTCCACTGCGGTCTTATTGGCAGCCGCCTCGGGGTCCTGGTGAGCCTCGGCAAGCGAATCCTTCACCACCTGCGGCACATCTTCCACGGGCTGATCGCCATTCGCCTGCTTGCCCTTGGACTCCAGTGGGACATTAGCAGCCAGTGCGGCGGTAGTGGAGGAAGGGCCTGCAGATTGAATCGTGTAGCCTGGATCGGCGGCGGCAGCCTGCTGCGCAGGACCCCCGGAGTAAATCGGCTCAGTTTCATTCGCGGCGGCCTGTTGGGCTGGGCCCCCAATGATGGGGAGGCTGGATTCCGGGATCATGTTGTTCGTGACCGGGGGAATTGTGAATGCGAAGGCGTCAGAGTTGCCCGCATCCGTGGGGTTCCCTGGGTCCACCGGCAACGTTTGACCCTTCTCGTAGGTTTCCTTATCCAAAGACACCCCGGAATCCACTGTGTTGTTGTGGAGCTCACTGTGGTGGGGGACCTTGTCACCCGGGTTCAGCTTGACGGGGTTGCCATAGCCGCCGGAGGCCGGAATGGGATCCACGGACAGGGTCTGCTCGGACTCCTGTCCCGGGGTGTCCGGGAAGGTACCGGGCAGATTGCCATTGGTCTTGGGAACGTTGGCCGCCAGAGCCGCGGTCGTAGAATCAGGGGTCACGCCAGACATAGTGGGGGCGACGTTAGAGTGATCCGCAGTCTCGATCTCTTCGGGTAACAGCACGTTATTAATGTTGTTCTGGCCGTCGTCTTCTTCGCGCACGTTGGTGTCTGTAGTCCAGGTTCCGTCGACAACAAACTGGGCCGGGTTAGTGAAACAGGCAGGGACGACTTTATAGAGAGGGGACGGGGAGTGACGTCAGCATCATATCGCGGGTGCCTGAGGCGTACACCGCCTACTCCGGCGCCCATTTCTCTCTCTCTTTTTCTCTCGTACCTTGTAGTGCACTTTTTGTACAGGGGAAATGGTCACGGTCTTGCGGAAGGTGTCGCCCACCCGGTCTAGTTGGACTGTTTTCCCCCAATCGTCGAAGGTGCCGGTGACAAATACTTCACTCGCATTATAGGGCCTGCGAGTAACCGCCCCGTTAGCAATGTCCTGTGCGCCAGACCTCTCCAGCCCGGTGATATTTATGACAATTCTGCCTTCACTGACCATTGAAATGTAAACGTGCCCATGGTGTTCTGGGGGGATGTAAGAACTAAAAAGCGAGTGGTTGGGGAAAGATAGGAAAAAGCGTAGAGGATAGAATGCGACTAAAGCAGTGGGGGTGACACAGACCATCAGTACCTGAGAGGTCAAGGAACACCTTTCCCTTTTTTTCCCTTTTTTTTCGCCCTTGACATTTTGGTTTTTACTTCTTTGCGTTAGTCGCGAGTAAGGGCGCCTAACGGGACAGCTCTAGACCAGAATGACGTGAGTGACCTTAACAACTAGCTAGTAGTTAGTACTACTATACTATACTCACTATACTATACCCATTCCCACGACAATAGTCCAACCACTCCTCTTAAACAATAGACAATTGAGTCTCTTCAGAGTCCTATACTAGTACTACTAGTATATCCATGGATATCTACTATAGTACCAGCACTGACTCAGACTGAAGCCTGGATCTAGTGGAGAGCTAAGGTCGTATCCAAGTCCATGACATATGAGATTATCACTCTGAACTTCGCCACTGTCGTAACATGCAATGATCATCTATTCTAGAAGACACCTGGAAGGAAAGCTTTTCACCGTGACGTCGATCACTCCTTGCGAAGGCATACACTCTGATCGACGAAGCTACCGGGCTTAGTGCCTACCCCTCAACGTGATCCCCAATAGTCTGCCAATAACTCATTCTCCTGTCCCTTCTGCTACGTGCTCCATCCCCGCTTCCAAGCCGGACTCAGCTTCCTGTGGCGAGGTAAGTCTTCCGGCTTTTTCTTCCCCTATTTGCCTGTCTCGTGGACTCCTGTTCTTCAGTCGTACCCGAGACCTCAGAAACGGAAACAAAAGAAAAAGGAAAAAGCAAAGCCGCAAGACACGCATGGGCATGCAGGATCCCACCTCCAATTAGACTCCATTCCCCACTTCACAACTGCCCCTCCGTTCTGGTCGCCCTTTTTCCTGAACAATTCAATCCTCCCCCCTATATTGCTCTGACACCCTCCCTAGAGCTCGTTTTCTGTTTTCCTTGCTCTATTTCCTCTTCGCCGGAGCCGCGGCCTCGCCGAACACGTCATGGCACAGAACTCTTCCCCGGGTTTAGTCCCGATCATCCACACCGAGAGACCGGGCACCCCCAAAATGTCCCACGAGGAATTCGAGGTGTCCTCGCCGACCGATTTGACCTTCCGACAGTCCGGGGCCGCCGACCGAACCGCGTTCGGCGGCAGTGCCTTCGAGGGAGCCCCCGCGGGGGGCTCACTGTTCAGTCGCAGTCCGTTCCAGCAGGCCCAGGATGGCGACGAGCTGGAGGGGGAGCTGGCCCCTCTCCCAGCCCGATCTGCACAACAAGGATTCCCCAGTAATTACGCGCTGGGCCGACGCACCTCCGTCTCTGCCGAATCACTAAACCCCACCGAAGCCGGCTCAGACAGCTGGTCCCCCCCGCACCACCCCAAGACCGAAGAGCAGGTTTCTCGGCTCAAAAGCGCCGTCAGTAGCAACTTCCTCTTCTCCCACCTCGATGACGATCAATTCACCACCGTCCTCCACGCCCTCGTGGAGAAGCCCATCCCCGCCAAGGACATCAAGGTCATCTCCCAAGGCGACGCCGGGGACTACTTCTACATCGTGGAACAGGGCTCCTTCGACATCTACATCCACTCCTCAGGGTCCGTGCAGCCCGGTCCCGAGGGTCTGGGCACCAAGGTCGCCTCGACCGGTCCCGGTGGCTCCTTTGGTGAGCTGGCACTGATGTATAATGCCCCGCGCGCGGCCACAGTGATTTCCACAGAGCCCAAGAGCACCCTGTGGGCTCTGGATCGCATCACCTTCCGCCGCATTCTCATGGACTCGGCATTCCAGCGACGTCGCATGTACGAGGCCTTCCTCGAGGAAGTCCCGTTGCTTTCCTCTCTGAAACCCTATGAGCGCTCCAAGATCGCCGATGCCCTCGACACAATCAAATACCCGGCCAATTCCACCATCATCCACGAAGGCGACCCCGGTGATGCTTTCTACCTGCTCGAGTCGGGTGAAGCCGAAGCGACAAAGAACGGTGTCGCCGGACCCGTCAAGAGCTACCACCGTGGTGATTACTTTGGAGAGCTTGCACTGCTTGACGACAAGCCTCGCCAGGCGAGCATCACGACCAAGACAGATGTGAAGGTGGCGCGGTTGGGTCGGGATGGATTCAAGCGACTTCTTGGGCCTGTGGAGGAGATGATGAGACGCGCCGAATATGAGTTGGATGCGAGCAAGTCTCCAGTCTCCAAATGAATGATATGATATGAATTCGAATCCAGGGGCTTTGAGCGAAATCTAGACTCATTTGGCAAGCCCGCCAGGGCTGGCTCTGTCACCTGTCATCAATCGATGGCCCTTCCTTTCTCTCCATCTCTCCTTTTTTTTTCTTGTTAATCTTTGCCTGACATCCCCATTCTCACACCTCCACTCTTTACGACCCCGGCTTGTTACCTGTATCTACAAATCCCTGTTTCTTTTACCGCAGTGATGAGGGACCTACTATCGCCCCTCTCTATGTTTTTGCTGTACCCTCAATCCAACCTATCTACCAAGTAGGAGACAGAATGACTCAAATTGATCTTTGTACTTGATTGGAGTAATTCAGTAGGCATTGCACGCCTGTCAATTATGCCCGGACTGCAGGCCAAATTCGTCAAGCCGCCACCTGGGCATATCCCACATATAACATAATACCCACCGTTTTATACATCACCTCGGAACAACCAAATCACTCCTCAACACCCACTTCTCCCCACCCGTAACCTCCATCCCCTCATGGATCATACAATGATCACCATGTCGATGCAACAACGCCATCCCCACCTCCGGCGCCACAGCAATCGGCTCCGGGTTCCGATTCTCCCTTGTAGACTCCGGATAGAAGACCGTTTCGCCCCCTTCACACGAAGTCAAGTAAACCAAGAGCGTCCACGTCGTGCGCGCAGGAACAGCCTTCGACCGAGGCGGGGTAAAAGTTATATTATTTGCATCGTCATCTGGAACCAGTCAGCCACATACGACTCCCGACGGGAGATTAAAATTACAATGCTGTCCGAAGAACTGCCCGGCCGAGTATCGATAAATACGGATATTGGGATTAAGACCTAAGGGTTCTCCGCCCCAGAGCTGGCGGGCTCGCTGGGCGAATTCGGTGGGAGAAAGCTCTTCGTCTTCTTCTTCGGCGAATCGCGTCGTGACGAGCTCTTTCATGGCTGTTGTTTCCCATAGCATGTCGGCGAATCGACGATCGTCGATCTGAAAGCGGTCATTGACGCGCAGGGCTTCATCTTTCTTTGGTTTGCCGGGTGTAGTGGTCAGGGGGAGAGAGGCGAGGAATGAGGCGTAGGTCTTGCATAGGGTGCCTGGGAGGAAATTGCGGATCAGGTAGATTTGGTCGGTGAGGAGGGGTGTTAGGGATAGATCGGCGGCGGGGAGGAGGGGTCGGAGGGGAGGCCAATTGGGGGTGGATTGGGTTGGTTGGCTTGGCTTGGGCTTTTCTGCTTTTTTGGACTTGGGAGGCATGGTTGGAGGTTGGCAGACTGGAGTTGGAGTGGTGTTTGGGTTATCGATAAGATTGTAGTCTCAGCCTCTTCCATGGGGCTGCCGAGGTGCATGAGAATTGAAGGCGTGGATGCTTAGCATTTGTAATAGTTAGTCTTTCGCTGAGACTGCTAATATCTGTATTTCTACATATGTGTTTCATTAAGGACCATTGTTCGCTCGATCGTTTGGGAGATTCTTAGTATGCATGGATGTTCTCCGTATGGAGTAGTATATTAAAATAAAATCAAAAACCTGGGAAGTATATGAAAACACTCCAGCATGAATACCCAGGTACATCCGTCGGCAGCCCCTTAGCCTGGAAGTATAATTTGAAAAGAAATCAATGGATTGCTCGCCTGGAGTATCCTAAGCGCTATGTTACACTCGTATTTCAATTCATGCACTGATCGGCACGTTCTAATCGTTTCTATTTACAATTGAGGTTTGACAACTCTGCTGCGTGTATCACATCCAGCTACTTTGATATGTAAGAATCATACGATAACTAGTACCTAGGTACACAAGTTGGATCTACTACTATACTCTGTACAGTACTATAGAAGAGAATATAAACAACCAAGTCACCAAGCACCGGGCTCCACTAGGATCAGAAAGATCGCCCTCTGCAGGCAAGCATCAGCTGAGGGGAACATACAGTACTGTAATTGCATATGGAGCACCCATACTCCGTACTCCGTCGATCTAGGCCAGACAAAACCGGTGAGGAACCTAACGAGTGGAGATCGGAGAGAATATGGTAGGGCGGGGCGGAAAATTTTGTACCGGAGGATCGTCGGGTTTCTTGCGAGTCCCCTGGACCAAGTTCTGAGAGAAAAAAAAGAGAGACAGAAACTCGGACGGAAAACAAAGAGAAAACAGAGACCCCAAACAAGAGATCAGGGAAATGGCGAGTCGGTGATTCTGCAGCGACCACCTGGGCAACTTGGCGATCGCTCACCGCCTCCAAAGTGAGATTCCGACTTCTTTTGGAACTTCTTTTCTTTCTCCTCTCCAGCACCAGCCTGTCATGTCGTCGCAGACCATGACTGCGCCAGCCGTGGGCCATCGACCGCCTGATCCAGGCCCCGATAGCCCTATGTACGACTATGGCTGCTCCCCGAACAATACACCCCCTTCCAACCCTCGAAACGACTCCGCAATCCGCGACATGCAGAAGAATTCTGCCCCGTCAACCCCAAACGGCATGTCCGCCCCAGACGTCGGAATCAAGACTGAATGCTCGGATAGCCAGGACCTGTCTGCCGCGCAACACCAACAAGAAACAAATACCCAGAATGCTGCCAGTGCGCTACTGGCTCAACTTCTTGGGAACCAGTCGGCGCCAAATTCTGCCCCGGCGGCAATGGGAAACTCTGGACAGGGCGAGGACCAGGATATGGACATGGATATCAAGATGGATGATTCAATCGCCCACCCATTCGACATGAGCGACCAAAATGCTCCGCCAATTGATCCCAGTTTGCAACACGACTCGACGATATCCCGGGAGATCCAAGATATGCTGAATGGGAAAGCTTTGGGCGACGAGCTGATGGGCGCAAATGCGATGAACCATGCGGAATTCAACACTCATGCCATGGGTACACTCACAGATCCTCTTAACCTCAAGCAAGACGCAGAAGAGCCATCTCTCCTGCCGCCTTTGGACTTTACCACCGCCCCGAAAAACGCCTTCGAAGCCCTCCATCAAAACGAAATGCTCACAGCCGCCTTTCTTTCGCAAAACCCCGACCTGTCGGCACTCGGATACCCGGATGGGGCGGCGTCAATTGCGGGCTCGGAGCCCAAGATCCAAGCATTCGCCAAACTGGAGTTTGACGACGGCCATTTCTATGTAAACACCTACTCATTCATCCTAGGGCGAGACGTGCGCGCAGCCCGCGCCGCCCACCATCGAGAGTTCCAGTACCGGCAGGCCGTGCGAAGCTCTCGAGCGAAGAGCTCCAGCGGAGGAAACACGGCACATACACCGAACCGTATGAAGCGGGAAGAAAGCGCTGCGATGATGGGTAGCGTTGTCAGCGACCGCGGAGGTATCATGGGCTTCGATCCAGATGTTCCTCCGCACTTGCCGGGCAACTTCAACCCAAGCCGCCGGTCTTCAAGATCCTCATTTGACGATGCCGTGGTGCCTCTTCATGCGAACCCGGCGCAATTACAATCAACCACCGACTACAACGCACTGGCAATGCAGTCTCTACAGGATGGCAACGGGGAGGCAAAGCCTGTTGATGCGCTAGCTCTTCTCCCGTCCCCGGACTCTTGTCCCACGATCCCAATCCATCCCCCAACGACTGTTGACGGCAGTGCGGCTGGTCACCGTGGCATTTCTCGTAGGCATGTGCGGATTTCATACAACTTCGATAAGAATTTGTTTGAGATGGAAGTGATGGGACGCAACGGAGCGTTCATCGGGGCTGATTGGCTTTCACCAGGGCAGCTTCGTCCTTTGCACAGCGGTGACTACATTCAGATCGGTGGTGTACGCATCCGTTTCTTGCTGCCGGATGTTCCTATTGGCGAAACTGGTGCCGATCGGATGGAAGAGAAGGTGGAAGAGGAGGCCCAGAAAGCGGAGGAGGAAGATGATGAAAAAGATGCCCGTGCCTCAATCGAAGTCGATGAAGAAATCGATGAATCAGAGAGACTTGGCAGCGATAGCGGCGAGAGTCGGGAGCCTTCCAGCAAGGCGTCTAGGCTCATACTCAAGACGAAAGACAGCAAAGCGTCCCAGGCGATGGATTCCATGGAAGATAACGACTCGCAGCCGGCGCGCCGGCGGGGACCTGGACGCCCGCCCAAGGATGGCATCATGTCCAAGCGCGAGCGAGCCGAACTTGCTCGTGAACAGAAAATTGCAGCTAAGCGCGAGGCCAATGGTGGTGTTACACCACCTCCGCTGAAGGTGCCCAAGGCCGGAAAGACTGTCGCGAAGGAGCCTGTTATCCCTGAGTCACCAACCAACAAACCAGCAGAGAAGCGGAAATACACCAAACGAAAGAAGCTTGATGGAACACCAATGGACTCTCCGATCCCCTCAACGGAGGGTGGCCAGATGTCCACCGAGCCGCGGCAGGAGGAATACGTCAAACCACCCCCAGTCAAGAAGCGCAAGCCTTCAAGGTCGCCATCTCCCAACTATCCTCCGGAATCTGCTTACACTCCGGAGGATCTGGCGAAACCTCCTTACAATTATGCCGTACTCATCTTTGATGCGTTGACGGAGGCTGGAACGCCAATGACATTGAAGCAGATATACCGTGCGCTGAAACTGAAGTACCCCTACTTCCGCTTCAAGTGTGAGACAGAGGGATGGACATCCAGTGTGCGACACAACCTCAATGGCAATGGCCACTTGTTCATGCACGCAGAACGAGACGGCAAGGGATGGTCCTGGCAACTTATTCCAGGCGCATCGGTTGAGAAGGAAAAGAAGCGACGCCCGTCGCCGCCGCCCCAAGCTTCTCATCCTCCGACGCCTGCTCCCCAGCAATACATCCCACAATTGTCCCATTCATACGCGCCTCCACAAGCTCCTCCACCCATGCCGAATCCGTCACAGCATTTCCAGTTTCCATCCATCCCGCCGGCTCCTTTCCCGGCATCTGTATCTGTGGCAACACCTCAAACACATACCAGCCCCTACGCACCTTCACCAAAGGCCTCCGTGCCTGCTCCATCCGCTCCGCCTCCACCACCTTCTGCTCCTGTTCAAGCCTCAACGCCCGTTTCGGCTCCTACTCCTGCCCCTGCTTCGGCTCCTGCTCCTGTGGCTCCTCCTCCTGCTGCTGCTGCTCCTCCCGTCTCAACACCGGCACCGGCACCGGTACCGACTGCTGCGCCTATATCTACTCCCATCCCGTCACCCGCGCCAACGCCGGTTCCGGCTTCAGTGCCTGCTCCTGCGCCTGCGCCAGCACCTACACCGGCACCGGCGCCGGCCCCGCCAAAAATCAATCCTGCTGCGTCTTTCTCCATTCCCAGCACCATTCGCAGCAACCTTCCCGCTGCCTTTGCAGCAACCATCCCATCTACATATACCTCACCTTATGCATCCACACCGACCCCCCAGAGTAGTCAGCAGCAACAGCCGGCTCAGCCTCAGCGGCCTCCCCAGGGACCACCAAAGCATCATTCACCTTATATGCCCCAGAAACCGCCACCTCCTCAACCACCTCACTCCAATCCTCCTCGGGCCTTCCCTCCGCCTAGTGCGCCTCAATATCAATCTCAGCATCAGCCACCGGTGCCGCAGCAATCACAGCCACTGCCACATCCGCCGCAGCACTCGATGCCGCAGCACCAGATGCCGCAGCACCAGCACCAGCACCAGCACCCGGGCCAGCATCAGCATCAGCACCAGCATCAGCACCAACATCAGCCTCAACATCAGCCGCAACATCAGCATCAGCCGCAGCATCAGCCGCAACATCAACAGCAGCACCATATGCCGCCTGGAATGCCGGCCCATCACCAGCAGCAGCAGCTTCCACCGCAAAGCCAACCGGAGACATCAACCTTCATTGACCGAGCCAACAAGGCCATTGATGACTTCGAAGCTGTTCTGATGGAAGATTACGAGGACAAGAACTACATTCGGGAAGTTCTCCGGAGCGCGCGCGCCCGTGTTCTAGGCAACGCTCCCGAGAGTTCCTTCCCCGGTGGCGAGCCCAAGGACGAGGCAGTCATCATGGATGTGCTTCGCAATCTGGTTGGAAGCCTCAAAGAGGAATGAACTACATAGCCCTGGAGTTTTCTATATACAGCCCTGCTATGGAGGTCCAACCCCACGGCAAGCCAATCCCCGCGCCGCACTCCTCCCGGGTGATAGTCCCTGGTGCAACCCACCTCTTCAGCTTGGACAGTCCGCTGCCGGGGCTTCAGGCGATCAAACGGAGGGAATGGCCCCCCCTCCCTGACGACTTATCGAGTACACGAGTCTTATGGTTTTGCTTTTTTTTTCTTTTTTTGTTTCCCCCCGTCTTTTCCCTCGTCCTTTATGCAATCTGTCTGGATTCTTTGGATCTTCATGATATCCCTCTGTTCTGTCAGGCCTTTGTGTCTATCTCTTTGATTTGATTGGGGTTTTGTTTTTGTCAGGATGAGTATCCTGGAATCATTTTTCATTTTCAGGCGTGACCTGACATAAAAGCGCAAAAGCCCATAGAAATACCAATCACATTGACCCAACCGTGCATGTACTCGTAGACGTTCCGAGGCCAAAATCAAGAAATAAGACCCTGGAGCCCCGCATAGAAGAGGGGCATTAGCACCCGAGTTTCTCCTTTCCGGATTATACCTAGGTAGTCCAATGTCTCTCGCTGCCGAATGTAGCCGGTTGGGCAGCGATCTGGATTTCCGCCTTATAGCCAGTGGATATATACCTTCACTGCAGACTGTTACAAATCAACCTTGGAAGGTGGACCCAGCTCAGCCGATACCTAGGTACTGTAGTAACAGGAATCCGGTCCAGCACCGTGCTGGACCTGCAGTGACGCAGAGCCCGGGCACGAGGGGCGGACTCACTTTCTAGAAGAATCTGATACGTTCGCCTGTACAGGACCATGCACGGCGCTTTATCAGGTACGAGGCCTGTATCCGAGAGCAGCGACGAAATATGCGGGAGTTTCCCGGGCAGGCGGTTACGGTGTATGCGCCTTTTAAGCAGATAGGCACGGAGGGGCGCGACTGTCACGAACGGCATGACGCTAATGGTTTTGCACGGTGCAGGGATCTGCGCCTTGAGTCAGTGGCCACTTGCCGGTCTGACATGTCAGAGACGTTGTCATATGGTCTTGCCCTTGCTTGGTTGTACAGGGTAATCGGCGGGTGATCGGGGGAGTCATGTAAGGCCTTGAGGACCGAGGTTGTGATGGATTGTACAGTATGTACTGGCAATAGTGTTAGATTAGTAGACCGAGCAACGGAGGAATGTGAGGTTTGAGATAGATGAGTTTATATCGAACATCTGTCCAGATCTGTATACTGTTTCTGTTTCAGATACCAAACCATGACAGTGAATAATACAGATAATAACAATAAGAATAATCAGAATAAGAGAATAATCACAAGAACAATAAGAAACAGAAATATAAGTCACTGAGCAGAAGGGTCTAGGGCCTTTAATGTGTGACAATACCATACAGATCCACTTGACCCGTGCTCAGAGTCCCTGTTGCATCTTCTGTACTCTGTACACTGCTACTTATGATGAGTACCTAGAAAGTCTTCTATAGAGAATAAGCAGAATGTAGAGAGTACAGATGACATATGTATTTACTGCCCTCTACAAAGTACCCCTATACTTAGTATGATATACGAGTACAGTATGGTTAAATTTAGAATGGTAAAATACAGCACATGGCTGCAATACATGTAACATTACCAGCCAACGGTCTTTTCCCACAACGCCCCTGTGCACTTTTCCTTCTTCATCCTTCTTCCCAACCTCTTTTCTGTATCTCATCCTCTCCCGTGTCAACGAGCTTTTCACTAAGTGTCGTTGCTCACCTCATTCCTCGTGAGGTTTGCGTTTACGCGTGGAGAAAATTTTCTCTCCGTGCTCCTACGAGCGCGCTCTCACCCTTTTGCGTGGGCCTGCTTGGATCTGGTTATTCGCCGCTCAAGCATCCTGACCTGACAAGTGATCACTTTACTGTTCCTCACACGCTGCGTCATCCCTGGCTCAGCGAGGTCCTGGTTTTCACGGTCTCCCACGCTCATTCACACTCTTTGCTCACCTGCCTGTTGGATCATTGAATACACCCCCATGTCATTCAACTAGAGATTGCCCACCTAGGACCACGACAGAGCGACCCGCTCGCTGAGCAAAGCGCTCTTCTCCCAGGCTCAGGTTCTGGTGGAGTGGACGGTTCGTCTTCCTCGTTTTCTTACCTTGTCTCTCGGTCCATCGGGCTCTGCCTCCAGAGGCCAAGTATGCTGATGATCCACAGAACAAGTCTACCTCCCCGTCCTGAACTGGCAACTCGCCCCCCCTCCCCCCTCAAGATGCCGTCCTTCTTCGTCCCAGGCCACCATGGCCTGCCTACACCTCCCCACGTCAACGGTGGTCGTATGGAAGACCCATCTTTCTACCCGGTTGGTCACGCTGGATTCCCTCCACGCTACCATCAAAGCGGCAATGAGTTCATCGAGCAATACTCGCAGTCTCTGTGCTACGCCAAGCCCTCTTCGATGAACCTGCACCCCCAGGCCGCCCACCCCATGAGCTCTGCCCGCGACATCCATGCCATGAACCAGCACCTGTTCAACCCCATGGCTGTCCCTGCGCTGCCCTCGATGCGCAGCAATGTCCATCTCCCGCCCATGGATGCTACGATCCCCCCTCAGTACCGCCGACAGGACCCGGCCCCGATTCAGCAGCCGGAACAGCCCCGCAAGGAGGAAAAGGCTACTGGAGGTGTCGCGGCTCACCTGGATTACGAGATGGATCGCATGTCCGACTTTGTTGCTGAGATGGCTCAGGGAATGTATGATTTGTTCGAGACCAACATCACCCTTGCAGATATTGACCTCGCGCGAAGCATCTACCCAGGATCTCCGGTTCCCCCCCAGTTTCGGAAATATGTCTTCCAAATCTTGTCCTCGACTCGCCTGCCAAGCTCCACCATCTTGCTTGGTCTGTTCTACCTGGCCAGCCGCATGCGGGTCCTTTCGGCCCAGCGTGCCCAGGTCACTGGTGGCCAGGTCTATCGCATGCTAACCGTCTCGCTCATCCTGGGCAGCAAGTTCCTCGACGACAACACCTTCCAGAACAAATCCTGGGCGGAAGTGAGCAGCATCCCCGTTGCTGAGCTGAACCGCATGGAATTGGAATGGCTGTTTGCCTTCGACTGGAAGATTCACGACCGCATCTACGACAAGCAGGATGGTTTCGCCTCGTGGCGGGCACACTGGGATACTTGGCGGGCTAAGGCTGTGGCCAAGGCTCAGGAGTCCCGACAGACCCTGGCCCCCCTGGAGACCACCAACGTTCTCCGGAGCCAGGCTCAAGGCGTCTCCAAGCCCTTGATGTCCCCCGAAGGCCCTATCCCGCCCCAGTACCAGCGGAGCTCGCAAATCGAGAACTCCTGGCTCAACCCGACCGCGTCCGAATACTCGCCTCCTTCCGCTATCTCCAGTGGCCCCACCACGCCCGACTACTACTCCGTCGGCCCTTGGGGCTACGCTAACCCGCCTCCTCCCCCGCCCTACTCGCGGGGATGGAACGCTCCCCCACAGTACATGTCTCACCAGGCACCTCGATCCCAACCCCCGTCCTACCACCACACTCCCGCGTACGGTCTGCCCTTCGCGCAGAGTCTTTGGACCGGTCACGGATCGTCGTGCGGTTGCAACTACTGTGCCAAGCATCTTGAGCACTACATGTGCGCCAATGCTTTCCCCACAATGCATCAGCCAATGATTGCGACCTAGTTGTCAGGACTTGGCTGTGCATTACTCCGACTGCATCAGACGGGGTCAACGGTCCAAGACAACACAAAGTCTTGCCGTGTCCATTCCATTTTTTTCTTCTTACTGCACCTCTAGACTTTTTTTGACGTTTGTTTGGGCAACTCGCCTGGGATTTACTTCGCCTACGTTTGTTCAGCTCGACTTGTTTCCACACTTGCGCCTTTTGACCCTTTGTCTCGCTAGCTTGGCATCAACTTGGCATGTTCTAGGCTTTCCGAGTCTGACCCACCTCGAACCTTTCGGGTTGGGTCTCTCGGTCCCAGTCCTAGCCTCGCTTCAACTTTGCAGTTGGCCTCATCCGCTACTGAGCAATTGGCATGCCGCGTCACCCGAAAAGTACTTTTGTTCTGCGTCTGCTGGTTCTCGTTTGACAAAGCGAAAAAAAAAACTTCAAAACCGCAAAAACAGAGGAAAAAAAATCGCACCCACGGCGGACATGGGCGGTGTGCTCTGGCAAATCAACATCAGAACTGAACGATGTCTCTGATATTCTTCGGCCTCATCGGATCCTCGACCGTTTCCCTCGTTGGGTCATTTTGACCAGATCACTTTGACCTCTCGACAGGTTGCCAGAGCCGCAGTCACGACGATCACGAATCCCCCAAAATCTGACCTCTTTGTTTATTACCCACGACTTCCGTTCATATTCTCAGCCCTTCTGTTTTATGCTTGGCATTTGTGTCTCGCGGTGATTTTTCATAGAGTGCTTTTTCCCTCCTCTTCATGTCAGTACATTATTATTCCCATTCGTCCCGGTACATGACGTGCCAGACGTTAATCATTTCTTCGCTTCTTCGCCTCGATTTTCATTCGCTTTTTTTGTCCTTCGAATCTTTTTCTTCTTTCGGTTTCCGATTTGTCTACCGTTCTCTTACGACACTTCTCTTCTCCGATCAACGAGATCAACAATTCGATTCTTTCCAACCCCTAGCATCGTCGAATCTTCCCTCCTGGCTCGCAATTCGATTCCCCTCGGCTGGTTTCTTGGTCCCCGTTCTACCTGTGATATCTTCCCATGTATCGGAGGTTGGTGCCCTTGATCCATTCGCTGACATTTCGAGAGCCCTGTCAGCTCCTTCTGCTGGCTTGCATGTAGTCTATCTGATGTTTTCTTCTCATGGCCTTGCCTTTGGCCCCGGTGAGCAGGGTTGACGCTTTTTCCATGCTTTGATCTGGCTCCTGGCGTCTGGGTGGGCGTTACTTTCACATATGAGGATCATTTCAATATACCTGCGACAAACTATTGTCTTTGTCCTGACTGCAATGATTTCCCGTAGATCTTGTACCCCGTGTCTCGTAGACTTGCCTCAGCCTGGTACCATGCTGGCTGTCTATGCATATACACATATCGGCCATTGCCTACTGAACTACGCGCATTCATGTAGAGCGCTGGAAGAGATCAATTGAACTTAATTATTTGATATTTGATATTCTTGTGCTGCCCTGTAGAAGGACTGTAAAATGCAATGGTGTATGAATACAGCCTGACACCAATATGGATATTTCAAATTAGAGATGTAAAGAACCTGAAGGAAACAGAAATGCAAAATTCATGAGAGCAGTCGTTGCGGGTCATAACGTATTGGAGAATGAGGGCACCAATGACAACACAGATATTAATAAACGCTCCCCTGTATACTCCGATCATGCTGCCGCTGTTCCTCTAGAGAGCGTGTATCATGGGACTCTGTATCTTCTGGCCTGGGAGTCTGCGTGTCCGAGGGCGTCGAGGACTCATCGCCATCGCCTAGGATGTTAGCCATGCGATGCTCGGACTGGCTCGACTCGAAGTACTGGTATTGATGGACGTGGTGTGGGCGGGGTTTCTTGAATTGCTCGGTAGATGTACCGCTCATTTCGTCGTCGCCGTCATCTTCCAGTTCCTGAGATGGGGGTGGGCGCTGGGGTTCTGAAGGGAATTTGAAGTGCTGCTGGTTGGCGTGAGAGAGAGTTTCATTCCCGAGGCTGGAAACCGTGGACACAGTGCGGCGATGGGGAACGTGGTCGTCACCTTCGTCGTCGGATGGCGCAAGACTGTTTGCTCCGCTCATTGAACCGCCGCCGTCACGACCTCCTAGGTGGAGGAGGGCATATTTCAGATGCGCTGAGGATGAGGATGAGGCGGATGGAGGGTGGAAGATCTGGTCTTCGCTGCTCCGGTTGATTCCATGCAGAGATGATCGCTTTGGTGGTGGGTTGATCCGTGGTCGGGTTTCTGAGCTGGAGTGGTGGTGCCTTTGGCCGTCTCCGATGCTATCGTCACTGGCAGTGCGCTGTCGGTTGGCGGCAGGTCGGGTGCTGTCCCGGCTAGTATCGTTGTAGGCTGCACTTTCCTCTGAAGACGATACGACGTCGTCTATAGATATTGATTTCTGCAGCTTGGAGCCAAAGCTATGATTATGTTCATCGTGGTGCTTAGGTTGGGCATGGCCATGATTATGCTGATGAATAGAGTTCAGCAGGCTGGTGCGCAAAGCATGCTTGCCCTCCGCGCCAAGTCCATGCGTACAGCCATCGGGACAGCCACCCCATTTGCGCCGAATCGGGATATGATCAGGCTGGCTCGGAGATGCAGTGGTGGCAGATACCTCCTCTTTTGGGGCGTTGTCCTGCTCCCTGTCTTTTCGAAGATCTGACCAGGTACGCAGCTTGTTCTGGAGTGTGTATTTCCCATTGTTTGGGTTCAAGGTCAAGACCACGAACTCACAATGGTTGATGTTGCGGAGGTCCTCGAAGTACTCCACGCTCCAGTGATACCATTTCATGAGGAAGACTCGGGCCATGAGCCCGTGTGTTACAAGGACACAGACATTCGCAAAGTCGTCCTCGCCGAACAGGCGCCACAGGGACTCGTTAAAGCCACTGACTCGGTCATATGCATCTGCTGCTGACTCCCCGTTGGGGATCCGGTAGAAGAAATGACCATAATCCGCCCGTTCCATCCACATGCGCTCCATTTCTGTTGAGCATGGCTGGAAGTTTCCGAAATCTTGTTCTCGTAGCCGAGGTTCTTCGTACACCTTGATGGTATGTCTTGGGAAGGGCGACGGGGCCGGAGTGTCGGAGGTCAAGGATTCCAGGATCCCCTCCGTGGTCTCCCTAGTCCGCCGATACGGAGAGGTAAAGAAGTGGAGAGTGTCATCCGGGTGGAGCAAGTCTCGAAGACGGCGTCCTGCGTCTTCTGCTTGCCGGAGGCCTTCGTTCGTGAGCTTTACCCGATGGTCCGGGATAGTCTGGTGGATGTCGCGGTTCTTATTGCCTTCTGACTGTGCATGGCGCACCAGGATGATCATCTAGAGACACATAATTCAGGACAGTCCTTCGAAATAAAAGAAGAAAGACTTACTCGTGGTTTCCCCATGGCTGGATCATTGGGCGTAATCAACTAGAGATGCGGGGGAGGGGCCACAAGAGGTATTCTCACTGCAGCGAGACAACGGGAAACAGAGCAAAGACAGACAAAATCTAACACTCCCCGACGAAGAAAATGAAGAAGCAACTGCAGACAGAGAGTTGACGAGCAAAAGGGAAAAAGTTCAAGTACAAGCCAGACCCGCACGGACCACCCGCCGTCCATTCAGCGCGCGGCTTTTACGCAACTTGCGAATAGCATCAACGCAGCGATGGCCGACTTACTGGAGCTGCTTGCTCCACAGCTAGGGGATCTCCCTCGAGACTCGACCACAGACAAGTATCTCAATCGATTGTCAACCCTGTCGCTGGACGCTCTTCAGAACACCGAGCCCCCGTCCCTCGCCCAATCCTCACACTCAACCCTACTCTCCCTCCAGGCTCTATCAAACCGCTCCCACCGCGCCTTTGTCACATCTTCGGATAACCTGTCAACACTATGTCAGTCGGCGCCTCAGTTAACTCGCGAGGCGCAGCAATTGCGCGAGGCCATCCCCAAACTCGACGAGGAGGCCGTCAACTTCTCCACCAAATACAGTAAGATCACGGACAATGCTGCATTGGAACGGCGGAAGAAGGCCATGCAGCTGTCTCGTAACGTTGACCGACTGTCCGATATCCTGGAACTACCAACCTTGTTATCGACCGCCGTATCTGCAGCCTCCGTGAACTCCGGCACCGGAGCCTCCTCAACGACATACTCCTCCGCGCTCGACCTCCACGCACATATAAAGCGACTGCAAACACTATATCCCGAGTCCCCTTTGATTCAAAATGTAGCGTCTCAGGCAGAGGCTGCGATGAAAGACATGACCAGTAATCTGATCACGGGACTTCGCGCTCAGAATCTACGGCTTGCAGCTGGTATGCGAACCGTGGGCTGGCTGCGCCGCGTAGCCCCGGACCTCGAATATGCCGGGACTGGCGAGGGTGCCCTGGGGGCAATCTTCTTGGTCTGCCGACTAGCCCATCTAGTGTCCACGCTCGAGGCCCTGGACCCCCTCCGCGAGCTCGCAGACCAAGAAACCCAGAAGAGACTCGGCAAGGATAAATCAGACCCGAACGGGCCGTCTGGTGGTCAGCAGACTGACCGCTATCTGAAAAGATATATTGAAATCTTCCGTGAGCAGAGCTTTGCGATTGTCTCGCTATACAAGAACATCTTTGGATCCGAACAATCCGAGTCCGAGCTTGCTATCTCAGGCTTACGAGGTGCCGATGCCAAATCCAAGCCCAAGCCCGCGGCGTTGGATGATCCCATGCAACGTGTGCCCCCGGCTTTGGCGACCTTTCCGATGTACCTCGTGCAGTTACTCACGGATACCATGCGGGCATACCTCCCCAATGTCCGAGATCGGACTTCGAAAGAGAGCCTTCTCACTCAACTTTTGTACTGCGCAGCTAGTCTCGGCCGTCTTGGTGGTGATTTCAGCATGGTCTTGACTGAACTGAGTGAGGAAGACGATGAGGACATGGCCCAGGAGTGGGAAGAGGTTATGCGCAAGCATCGCGCCCTGGCAGGCCGACTGGAGCAACTGACCAGCCGTGTTCCGGCACATTAACATACATATACCCCTGTGGAAACAAGCCACTTTTTGAGACCATAACCTACCTTCGAACTGATGCTGCTGGATTCCAGCAGATGTAATGATATTAAGTACATTCTCATTATGGACAGTGTTCCAATGAGTGAAGCTATTCGTAGGCCAATGCCCGTGGGGTCAGGGTCCACCCACTACTTCCGAGTCCCGAGTATAGGACCCGCTCGCGGAACGGAACAAGACGGTTGAACGTCGTAACCTTCTTGACTCCTTTAATATTCCTCATTCACAATGTCTATTAGCAGAGCCTGTTGCACGTAAGTGGACTTGAATATATCACTGGCCCCAGCTAACCACTGGCAGATTCCCTCCCGTCGTGCCTCATGGGTACGAAGGTAAGGGCGAGTATATCACCCTCAATGGCCTCAAGACTTGTATGCTGCCACCTGCTATTAAATCAAAGATCTTCAATAACCATCTATGCAGATGTCACTGGCCCCGAATCCGCAACCGACGCCATTCTCCTCATCTATGGTATGCACCTGGGCAACCCCGAATGATCCGAGACACGATACCCAGCGCAGAGCAATGCTAACCATGAATGACAGACATATTCGGTTTCTTCCCCCAAACCATCCAAGGCGCCGACATCCTCGCCAACTCCAGCGAGACCCGCAAGTACCGCGTATTCATGCCCGACTTCTTCGAAGGCAAGCCCGCCGACATCTCATGGTACCCCCCCTCCACCAAAGACCACGCCGATAGCCTGAACACCTTCTTCTCAACCCAAGCAGCACCCCCGAAGACCCTCTCCAAGATCCCCGGTGTCGTCGAAGATGCGAACAAGACCGCTGGCCATGGCTTCGCGAAATGGGCCATCGTCGGCCACTGCTGGGGCGGCAAGATTGCTAGCCTTAGCGCAGGGAAGGACAATACTACTTTCAAGGCAGCGGTGCAGTGTCACCCTGCCATGGTGGATCCTGCCGATGCCACGGAAGTGAATGTGCCCATGGCTTTGCTGGCTTCGAAGGATGAGCCTGCGGGTGATGTCGCGGCTTATCAGGCTAATTTGAAGGTTCCTAATCATGTTGAGACCTTTTCTGATCAGATTCATGGGTGGATGGCTGCACGCTCGAACTTGAGTGATACTCATGTGCAGAAGGAGTATGAGAGGGGTTATCAAACTGTTTTGGGCTTCCTGGAGCAATATTTGTAGGGAGTATGTATGCTAGTCTGTGCATTTTGGATATCCTACATATTGAGGTTGATGCTGTTCATTTTTTAGACAGTCATGGATCAATACCTGGGTACTCTGTGGTCCACAGGTGTATGGTACAAATGTGCAAACTTGTTATATAACTTATATTATATACGAAGTGTAAATGATGCTGCATTTTCCTTCTTCCAAGATTGGTCTAACCTCTTACGAAGTGGCCCACCCCTCCTACGCGGTTCCTTAATACATGAGCCCATCATTCACACAGGCACAGAGTGCCCAGGTGGACGAAAGCATGTGTTCGGCTATTGGCATGTTTTGACTGGGCATCTGGCACTGTACTGTATGGCGATAAATACGATACATCAAATGAGATCAGACCTCGAGGGTAGATCTTGCACCGTGGGCAAATGATCCCGGTTTATACTATACGTGTCTATTACTCCAAGTTCCATGGCCACACTTGAATCTGGACAAGTGGACACACGAAACCAATACAATAGCCACAACGATCCTGCCTGAAATCATCGTGGAAAATCCCCTGCACCGAGCGCTGCTGTGATCGTCGCCTGGAATCCTAGATTTGTTGAAACTGGAAGTTGCATCTCTTCCGCGCCCATCTTGTCCAGTGAAAAAGATACTCCGTAATCATTTGATGTTACACCCGGCTGCCTGGGTTTTCAGCGTCTTGATGGTCGTATACGGAGTACAGTGAGAACGTTTGCCTCGTTTTTCTCTTCCTGTCATTATCTCATAATACACTGCACTATCATACATCGCTCTCTAAATGTTCTCTCGAAATCGGTACCTATTAGGATTTCGAATGGCCCAACCTTGGAACTCTTGCGCACCGGGGAATTATATACAATATCCCCTTTTGTGGCACTTTCCCAGCGTCCATCATTAAGTCGTACCAGGGGATTTTTGATCTCGTATCACACCGTGGACAATGCGCCGAGGAAACTTCTATTCTCGAAAGAATGATCTCTGGCGAATCGTGATGTCGTTCGCCTTTTCCTGACAAAAGCGGAATTCGACATCGTATGACGTGGTTTGAAAGCAGCCTCCAGAGCTACACAGAATACTCTGGAGAATCAATCAAGGGGAAATCGGTGTCAGAGTGGCACCGCCGGTTTCTGGATTTGGCCCACACCACCCATAGAGATCGCATCGACACTGATCAACAGGGCCACAACTGGAACGAGCGAAGAAAATTAGCCTTCTTCCAGTCCTTGTGGAGTCAAATGGGGTTATACATACTTGACAGCAGGCATCCCAAAGATAACGTGCCATAGCTTCTCCATGAGCCAGCCTATTCCATAGCTATCCGACCACTCAGCCTTGGCTACCCACTGAAGGATTCGTTCGTAATCATTCAGTGGTTTCTGCAAGATTCTTTCCCTGGTGACTGCAAACTGACCGCAGCAATGATGTCCTAGTTGAAGCGGCGCTGTGCTGGGATCAAGGCCGAAGATTTCGGACCAGATCTGCGGGAAGTTGATGACCAAATTCTGATAATCAATGTCGGTTTGTTGGATGATCGACGGGTGGAGGCTATCTGGGCAGCCAGGCGAAGATAAGCAGCGGAGGTTGACGAAGCCACTGTAGCTCACGGCCTCGAATCGGAGGTTGGGGAGTTGATTGAAGGTTTTTGGACCACCCACATCATTATGCCAATGCTCCTCCTTACCATGAATGAAGATGGTGTATGGGTGGAGGTCATTGTAGTGCTCGACGACGTAGGTGAGGTAGGCACTTGCTTCGTGGCCTACATTCGTATGAGGGATGAGATATTCTTCTTCGGGCTGCTCGTCCACTGTATAGATGTACGGTGTACATGCACTGGTATAACACGTTAGCTCCTTGCGACATGAGAACGAATGGCACGGGGTGCTGACAAGTCTTTACAGAAGTTGGTAATCCATCCAACATCTTCCTCTCTGGTTTTTGAGACAACAAGAGCGACGTCGCTGCTGTTTCTGTGTGCCATGAAGGGAGGAGTGGGTTTTGCCCTGCCTAGTAGATATCACATTCAGAGTTCGTTCTAGACACGCTTGAGAGAATGCTTACTGTGTGTGACTTCTGGTGCCAACAGTGACCAAGCACTGTAGACCTGATCTTGATCTGTCGACAGAGAAATCATCAGTCAAAATTCACGAGCGACAAACATTGCTGCGATCACCTTTTGATCTCGAGGTATCATAAAACCAGTGTGCATTGTACACAAGGACGACAGATATAAGCACAAACACTAGACCCAATATCTTTCGTAACTTGGTGGAGTTTGCAGGGAGCAGAGTCCCAGAGTACCTTCTAGGTAATGATTGGGGCATGATGAAGAGGTCGCTGGCGTTTCAAAAAAAGATTGGGAAGTGTCACAGTTTATGAGACGCCTGGAGTCTGGATCCCGGGTCTCATAATAGAGATTCATTACTAACTTGTTCGCTACATAGGTACAAGCGCTTGTGACAAGCCTCCAGAGCTGGTGGGACTCACCACATTAGGACGTCTAGTGTAATATACGGTGGTTTCAGATCCCATTCGTGCCTGATAAGTAAAGCCCCACTACCTAGCAAACGTGATGGCAATTTAGCGCCGGCTTGACCGGAGACCCGGCCCCCCATCTTGGGCTATACATAAGCACCCAATTGGCACGGTGTTGAACAGGGCTGGGATTGAACTGGTAGATCTTAGCGCGTTCCCATTTACGCCTGAGTCGTATCCACAAAGGGTCTCGCCTTTTACATCTCATTTCATGTCTAGATCTGCCATTCAGATTGCATTCTCGGTCCTCTTTTGCGAACCTCGTAGCGCCGTCCATGCAGTAGCGTAGAGATGTGGGGGCGAAGGATCACCCTTTGCGCCCCACCGTCGGGCGGGTGAACCCGTATTCTCGGTGTTCGCGACTAAGGATAAGTACGTACTAGTCGTAAGGAATTTTGTCTCGTAGCCTCATCCCCAATTCATACATGTACAACATTCGATGCACCTTGATAACAGCTCGAGAAACTCAGCTAGACATCGTGAAAACAATATGGCAGGGCTGGAATAAACATCACCGGTCAATCAACAAATCAAGATATTGCAATGCAAACATGAGCATTTGCGATAGGATCATATCCGACTGTTTCATATGTAAAGGACCCCTGTGTTACGGAGTAGTAGTTATAGTATATACCAGGAATCGTAAGCCACTGAGGCTCCCGAGGTCACTTTGGTGTGCTGTGTGCGCTTGCGCAAAGCTACGTAGTGTGTTCTTTTGATCGCACTAATGCTGTACCTAGGTAGTAAAGATACTACGATTGAAAAGGTATAAGCGTCGTCTTGCTCCTGCGAGAATGTGCCATGAGCCCCATGTTTTCGTAACTCTCTCACTTCCTGAGTTTCTAGCCCTCCTTCTTCCCCTCCGCGAATACAGTCAATCTACTCTCTTTTACCCTAGGTAAACCTGTAACTTCTACAGTTTGGCCTCCGATCTCCCCCATCTCTCTTTTCCTGCTCCTGTCTGCGAGTTTATTACAGCACGTGGTCAGGACAGGAGCACATCTTTGTTTCCATCGCAGCGACTCCAATCAGGTGCTGTGGTGAGATGGCATCCTCTCGTCTGCTCGGATGTATGATCCTCCAGCTCAGTCTGTTCTATTTCATCAGCCTGGTTAGTGCTACCAGTCAATGCTTCTATCCCAACGGGGATAAAAGTACGGATACACCATGCTACACCGATGGAAGCGCCTCCCACTGTTGCGGATCACGTTCCATCTGCCTCACAAACAAGTTATGCTTGTCTGTGGAGCAGCCATATCAACTTTCTCGCGGAAGCTGCACTGACAATGATTGGAGGAGTGGCAGTTGCCCGTTAAACACATGCCGTGAGTTTCAAAGTCCCAAGCTCCTAACAAAGGCTGATCCCAAATTTGCAGAGAGTGCTCAACCTGGCGCAGGAGCGGCTGTGGTCTGGTTGAATGGTACCGGCGCAGACTCCGTATATTGTTGCAACTCGGTGCTTGTGAATCAAACCTCGAGCGAGAAATTCTGCAGTAACATCAACGGCTCGCCTCAATCAAGCTTCGCAGTCGCGGATGGCTACATTATTCCTGGGGCTGCTGCTCTGTCGGAGCTAGTCAAGGGATCCAACGATACGTCTTCTGTGGTAGCCAACAATACCAGTACTGCGACTCCCAGTAGCTCGCCTACCATCAAGGAATCGAACGATCTAGCGATTGGGGCAGGCGTTGGTGTACCACTCGGCATCATTGCTATTTTCTCTATTGGATGGGCGCTCTGGGAAAGGAGAAAGAGAAAGCGAGCAGTTCTTCAATCAAGTCGGCCTGTTCAGCCGGTCATCGCCCACGATCGCAATTTCATGTTGAACGAGTTGGGTGCAGACCATCCAAAGATGCCGGAATTATACTCTCGATCGTCCCGAGTCTAGCTCCATAGCATGTCTTCAACCTGTTTCCATCGTCCCAAACAGTTATTTTCCGCAGCGGTGTTCAATCGCAGTGATCCAGGTTGCTAGTATTCTCCCTGGGCTAGTCACGGCCATGGTCTGCGACCACCACGATGCAAGCCAATTTAATACTATGTTCACAATACGTTTTGTCAAGGGATGAATCTACAACATCTATATAGATGGAGATAATAGATTGAACTTGTGACTAGATCAGATTCATTAAGAGCGTACAATTGTGGAAGCCCACCAAATATTCCCGAGGTCGCAGGGTCGCATACTGTACTGAAACAGAAACAGTGCACAAAGTACTCTACACTCTTCCCTTTCCCCTGTGAATGTTGGTCTTTTAGAGCAAGACTCAGGCCTTGCCAGTTTGGGTGGGAAATTTGAACCGACAGGGGGCAAAAGACCTCGCGACGCGCCAAACCCGAAATTGGACAGACGCATCGGCGCATCTTGTCTTGCGCAATTCCACCCCAGTTCTTGTTCGCATCATGGACTTTCCTAACTAATAGTAATGAGACCCTGTTATCACTTACAGCATTGCCACGTATTGTACTCATCGGCGCCAATCACTTCCTGGGGCAATTGAACTGACTCGTAAATCTCGCAATCTCCCCACCATGGCGTTCCAATTGATCAGTACCCCTGCCCAGGTGGTACCGTACCTGACTCGACATATTTATTTTCTCCGTGGATTATGTACAAGTAGAGTGGTTGGGCAGGGGTATTTATATGAGCATGCCAATCATGATTTGCTCTACACATAATCTGGCTGATCAGATCGCACTAAAGACGCCGCTAGTGCAGCTAGTATCACTCAAGTTGGCCTGGTGCAGTGGACGCAGTGGCAAGCTTTCTTCGCGTAACGCTGCAGTCGCTATTACAACCCGTGGACCCTTTCTACCCTCAATTTACACATGTACTTGTTTACTTTGTGTGTGAGACCAGTCCGCCCCAGCGCCCTAATACAATGTGCTCAGTAAAGTGCAGTATGTATATGATTAAAGTACCATGCGAATTCGGCTTCAATGACCTCGTGGAACGATGATCATTATGTACAAGTGTGGTATGGGTACGGAGTCATTTGCGATAAATACTTGAAATTGTTTATGGGAACAGTGTCTTACTGCTGTCCTATCATACGTGTACTTATCAGCCCCCCTGTTCGGCCCCTGCTTTCCCCCACTGTCCAGTCAATGTGTTGTGCAAAAGTCCGTAACTCGCCCGATTAGACTCTCTTAACGGTGAGGCTGAGACTTATTTTTAAAATTTGACGCAAGATGATCCTGCCCCGGGCTACTCCGATTAAATCAAACATTGAAGTTTTCGGGATTAGGCTATCAAACACCTGGGCACGTATCATAGCTAGGTAGTGATGAGCTCTGCCATGTCAAGGCACACTTACCGACAAAAAGCACGAATCTTTCGCTGTCCCCTCGACAATCGTTTTCTTTTCCCCAAGCAAGCGGTGGAAAGACTCTTAATGTCCAAAGATTTGCCCGCAGTGCGTCAAATTGACTTTGCACACATCCATTGCTGCGCCGAGCGCAGAGGAATATCGCTTCAGTAGCTCTCGCCTGGGTGGTGCTGATTGGAAACAGATGATAAGACCAAGCAATCTGAAGTGGCAGAAGTAGCAGATGATGCTGCGAAATGTTTGCCATCTCCACACCGCAAGGGGATCACCTGGTGATTGAGCTCACCTTAAGCGGACAGCATATGCATCGTGTTCTCCAAAAGTTCCGCTATCTAGGTATACTCTTTGCGAGCTTTGAGTGACCTTTGAAATGTGGAGTCGAGCTCCGAAAGAGGAGGCCTAAGAAAAAGCGGTCTTCGAATTCATTCTCTCTTTGTTGCCATTGTTTGCAGGCGTGAGCTAACTCCGATCTAGGGGCGATGGCGAAAGTCATACATTTTCCCACTTGGGTTTGAAATCAGCTTTCTCGTCTAGCTAGGAGGCAGTTAGAGCTGCTGGAAACGAGGAGGAAGCCAGGTTGAAGTGACATGGAGGGAATTCGAGGGGCAAGCTCAATACAACACGGTTGGAAACTCGAAAGAGATACCTGAGCATTATGCTAAATCCAAGAGAAGATTGAAACAATTTCAAGGTTCCAGCCAACTTGGAAGCACAGCTCCCCACTGAGTCAATACCTGTGGGCAGCCTAAAGGCGGCGGGGTGACTCACTCACTCTAGGATCAGTCGATCGCTTCACGAGGTAATGTTACCGCCAACATTATTCCAGTACAGCAATATTGATTCGACCTTGAAGGCGATTGCCCCATTTGTTGTTCCAATGGCTGTCCACTACAACCCGATCACCAAGGAGCCCTATCTCCAGCTCCCCGCGCCATGCGCCAACATCATCATCACCCCGTACCGCGAACACCAGATCAAAGAGACTGTCCATGTCATGACTGGAATTCTGAACGATCCAAGAGTCTATACCTGGCTACAAGGTCCCCCTTTCCCATTTCTGCCTGAACACGGCGAGTCCTGGGTTGGGATGAAGATACAGGAGAACAAGGCCGTGTTATCAGCGCTCCAAAAGGAGTTCGAGGCCAACATCGAGCAGGATAATGCACCCTGTCAAGACGAAAAGGAGATCTTCGACAAATGTCCTTTTCTTTGCATTCGCGAAGTAGGGGAAAGAGACTCCTGCGGCGCCCCTTTGCAAGATACCCTGATCGGGGAGATTGCACTCATCCGATATCAGTTTTATGAACTCCGACGCAACAGCTGGGAACTTGCATTAGTGCAGGCGCATCACAATCAATTGTCCGCGGGGCATGATGATCTGATCTGGAGTCTAGGATGTGACAAACCCCGAGGCTCCGCTATAGATCGACATGCCGAATACTGACAAATTCGATAGATTACCTTTCCCCCACTCATCATGGAAAGGGGATTATGAGTCGTGCTGTGCAGACTGTGCTTAGGGATTGGGCTTTGCCTCGAATGAATCTGAAACATCTCAGAGGTAGCTGGGTGGTTGGAAATGAGGGAAGTCGGAGGGTCTTTGAGCGCAACAACTTCGAAGACGTGGGCTCTTTCAAAGACTGGTTACCCGGAAACCCCAAGAAGAAGCTGGGGAAGATGTCGATTGTCATTATGGAATGGAGAGGGTTGGAGAGCGCTGCATCGGGAGTAGCCCGTGCCCCTTAAGAGGGTCAAAATAGGTTAGGGACTTGGATTTGTGTGCACGCCGCAGCTGAACATGCAAGGTCAGACGGGGCTGTCAGTACGAGTTTGCGGCCTCTCAAAATTGAGCACATGAAATACCAAGCCCACTGGCTTCCCCGCTAGCTGTTTCGAGCGTAGCAAACAGGCCAAGGACCACGCCAAGCCTGTTTAATGTGGGCTATCATGCAGTCACATCGAATCCTACACAGTCTCCCGAGGAACGGAACTGAACATGCATCCTCATGCATTTCCGCATTCCTCAGCTGGTGTGGCATGCCAATATTGGTCCAATGGTGCATGTTGTGAGATCGGCAGGGCAAGCTTCCTTTGAGATGCGATACTTCGTGCTAGGGCTATACTTTCGTAGTCCATCAGCCGCAAATAATAATATAAAGATGTCGCCCTTGCTACTGCCTGAAAAAAAGTAAATCTTCTCTCCATCCCCATCATGCACTTCTCATCTTTGAGTCTTCTTCTCTCGGTCGCTCTAGTCGAGGCCGGGGCTTTGATCAAACCCTCTGCGCATCAGTCAAATGAAGTAAGCCTGAATCCCATTCCCAGAATCAGACCAAGCCCTAACATCCCCAGGAACCCGACTACCCTGAAAGATGCTACCCTGATCCCTGCAAAGGCGTGACCTATCAAAACTCCAGTGCAGTCTGCGGTGACCCCCGACTAGGCCCCGTCAAGCTCCCAGGCTACTTCCCCCTCGCCAACCAACTCGAGACATACGCCCGATTCGGCGACCTCTGTCCAGTCGAGTTCCTAGAAAAATGGACCGTCAACGCCACCGACCCAAAAGCCTACTGGATCTACCCAGACAGCAATGGTTTCGTCGCGACCACCGAACAACTATCCATCTCAGGAAACGTCACTCTGCGCGTCGGTCAGAAAGTCGACAGATTCGGAGCCGAGACAGGCAAGTTCCTGGCGCCTCTTGGTGCACCATATATCGAACGCGCCCTGCCTCCGTCGAATTTGTTTGCGCCGGAGAACAGTAGCTTCCCGTACAATTATCATGTGTACGAGGTGACTAAGGAGTTTGATGTCTTGCTTGGACCGATTGCGGCGTGGTTCGAGCAGCCTGGCTTTGGGTCTCAGATTCTGGCTTATTCGAGTGTGACTGCTTTGCTGGAGGGAGGGTTCTTGGAGAGATTGGAGTTGGAGGATTATGATGAGGCGGATGATTATTCCGCGGGCTATTTGCCTGATCCTGAGCAGCCTTCTTCTTGATGGTAAGGTACAAGGGAAAACTTTGCATAGGAGCATATATATTATAATATAATCTTGATGACATAGCAGTTAACATTTGATGCAACATGGAGCTCTACCTACTGGGTACTAGGTACTCCTGAGACCATACCAACCTTGGAACCTTGGAAGGTAGACAGGTTACTCTGGATGTCCAGATATGTATTGTCCGAAATTACCTAGATATATGCCAACGGGCCTTTCATATATCCACATGTATTATATGCCACCTGGGCAATTGTCCTCTCGAGTCATGTATGTGCCACTGAACGCCGTAGCCGGAACGCCCAGCGCATCCTCCAGGGCTCTAACCCGAAATCAGAATGGAATGGCATTGCTGACTTGCCCATTCAGTTTCACCGGATATCCCAGCATACTAATTCAAGTTTCTGTTAGCATGCATTACTCAATGACGGAAGCACGTACTCTTTGCCAGCTTTAGTGCAGCCACATCCACAGAAGATCGACAGAGGCCAGCAGAAGACCTGGAAGTATACCAATTAGCCATGGTAAGTCGGCATCGTGTAAGATCTGATCACTTACTGCTGAAACAACGGTTGCACAGAATCCTGGCGAGGTCAGTTCTCCGATCAGCATTCCCACTGGGCACATACCGAGGGTCGGCCCGACGACCTTACAGTGGCAAGGGTTCTGGTCGGTGCCACATTGGAAGCAGATGGGGAAGATGGGGAAGAAAGGGACGTCGCACATTGTTAGATGCTAAGGTATATTACTAGCTAAGTACAGGTAGAGAGTAGAGAGGTCCAGTTAAGCTCTCGAGAGCTCAGATTCACCGCCCTGTTATATCATAATGACGCACAAGATCGCGAGTCATTTACCATACCGTATTGTTTACTACTTACTGTATATAAATACAGTATGCACAGTATGTATGCAGGTATATAGGCAGTAGAATAGATGTGCTGTCTCAATTGTATCCTGTATATATATAGTAACGTGGGTAGGGCTGAGTGGCTCAGCCCTGTCGCACAGCCACTGACTACCTAGGTATACTGCACATCATAGTGTATATGGGCACAGTACTATAGGAGTAGGAGTATATCCGAGAAAGAAAAGTGAGACATCCTTGCAAGGCTAGAAGCCCCTTCGATCCACTCCAGGCAGCAGGAAATGCGCCGGGACTATTCCCAATCTCCGCTCTTGGCATGTGTTTTCCCGTTTTAACCTCCCCACCTCCTGTCTCCGGATCTTCAACTCAACTTTCCCACTTCATCTCTCCCCACCATGGGCGTCCGCAATATCCTCCCTCTGATCCTCCTCCTCGTCTTCGTCGGCATTCTCGCCGTCGTCGGCTTCATCGTCTACAGCATCGTCCAAGACGTCGGCAAGAACACGCGCGAGAAAATGGAGCGCAAAAACATCGCCTTCACCCGCGACGGCATGAAAGTCCAAGTCCGCGAAATCAAAGACGAGGCCTACAAAGATCGCACACAAAGGTACTTAAAAAAAGTTTGTTTGAGATCGCATCCCAGACAGCGCTAATCTCACTCCAGCGTCCTCGTCAACATGTGGAACCACACTTCCTTCCCCGCCTACAAGAGTCGCCTCTGGGATATGTCGGGCTCGTCAAACGCCGCGGAGCAGGATAAGCGCAAGTAAAGTCGGAATGCGGTTCATACGATTAAAGGCGCCTTCGGAAGTGCCTCGGTGTCTTTGGTGATATTCCGGACATATATTTCGCATGGTTTTCGAGTCTCGAGTCTCTTTGCATTGTTCTGGCATCGGGCTGGTCCCTTTTCGCATTCGCGCGCAGGGATGAGTGTTCTGCGCGCGCTCTATACTTTCTCCATCCTCTTTTTCAACGAGCTACGATGTCAGTAAATGCTTTATGAATGGCCGGCCCTGATATATCATCTTACATCGCAATTCATACTTGTGCTACGTTTCACAACTCGACGGACTTTTCAAATGGGTTGAGATCAGTAAATCATGGGGACTCGGTGATATTGATATGGCGTAGTCCAGTAATTATGGATTATATCTGAGATAAAGTTTTGATAAGAGTTCCTTTGAAGCAACGCACGACCAACCCTGAGCCTCAGGCGCGCCAGGCTATTGAATAAAAATGTCCTAAGTGAATTTCAGGTCAGTTCGCGCACCATCATTTGATGCTCATGTCGCCTCGGCCTGACGACGCGCATAGTAACTCTCATCCTGATTCAAGAGGAAAAATGGATCTGGCTCCGGCTGACCACTCCCGCCATACCAGGTAGGCTTGACGAGTGTCTTCGGTGTATCATCGCGTCGATGATCCATAAAGATCGTCTCAAAGGTCTTGGCCCACTGGACTCGGTTGTTCATGCCCTCGAGCTCCCACAGCTCTTGCAGGAAATGCAGAATCGAGCTATGTGTGTAGACCGAGTCGGGTGCATACTTGGTGCCTTGGTCGTGAATGAGTAGATTGGCTGGTACCCATGGCGAGATTATGAAGGCGGGGACGCTGTTTAGTGTCAGCGGGGCATGCTCATTCAACATCCAGATTCCAGTCCTGATCACACGTACCGTACTCCGAGGCGGGTAAAGTCGTAAGTGAAATTGTGCCCTGATGACTTGCCCTTGAATATAATCCCGTCGTCTGGTTGGGGTACATTGATTGGAGTTGGCACATGATCAGCGAATCCGCCGTGTTCGTCGAAATTGATGATCAACACGCTATGTTCGAGTATTAGCATCCACATATGGGTATAAGGAAGATACCGACGCATTATCCCAGTATTTGGAACGGCGCAGAGCATCGTATAGATGCTTGACCATTTGTTCACCAGCGGCCATGTTGCTTGTCGGATGCATCGAGTCGATGGTGCAGCACTCTGGATTCAGGTATGAGAAAGAAGGCAGGGTGCCCGCCTCCAAATCGTGATATAGCTCGGTTGCATGCGCAAGTCGGTCCATGGCATTGTCTTGGACCCACTGAGCTGGTTAGATGAAATTGGAAGAGACGAAGTTATCACGTACCTTGTACACGAATGCGTCGACGATATCAGTCTCATAATACTATAAACATGTCAGCCACATGGCTCAGTCCCAAAGAGACACGGCCCATACATTCTTCCAGCTGACCCCCTTTTTACTTAGAGCCTCGAAGATAGAAACTGCGCAACTCGTTCCCGTGACGTTGTTCCAGAACCCCGCAGATTGGTCCGTATTGTCCACAAAGCCACAAGACGAGCCCGAGGTTGCAAACTGACGGTTTGGATTGGTGGGACCCGGGTGTTCGCAGAACTATAGACTTGTTAACAGATCCCAGTGACATCACTGATCTACCCACATAGGAATCAAAGAAGGCAAAGTTGTTCGCCAGCTCAGCCAGCGTCGCCGTCTTCTTCTGGTTCAGGGCCTTGATCACGAACGCTGAATCACCCGGCGTGGCATTGTACTTCTCTGACTGGCGCTCCACAAAGCCTCCCATGTTAGGAACGTCGGTCTTGGATACATTCCACTTGCGGAAGATCTCATATGTCACGCCGCCGAAGTTGTGATCTGGGTCTTTGAGTGGTACTTCGGTTGCGTAGGGTTCTGCGCAGATGTCCAGTGGCTCACCGTAGACTGTCCAGTTTGGGTTAGTGTAGTCGTTGCAGAATGTGATGTCGCGGAGGTTGTCGATGTCCGGGTGAAAGTCCCAGTAGCCGGCAATGTTGTCAAATGAGTGGTTTTCCAGAGTTAGGTAGATGACATGTTTGATCTGAGATAAATTAGTTTGTTTTCACTCGATGAAATGCCTTGGTTAGCCACTCACGTTATTCCGTAGCTTGGACCATGCTTGAGTGTCGCGTGCTGGGTAAGCGTGTATGGCCGTTGCCAACACCAGGGTGACTGTGATCAAATGTTGAAGGAAAATCATATTGGCGCGGAAGTTTGGGGATGGAAGAAGGAAGTGGAAAGACTGGAAGAGTTGGTGAACTCACCAGTGATAAACCCAATAACCTTCCAAGGTTGGAAGCGTCCATCTTTCTCTACTCGGCATACCAATCACCTCTACGTTAATGTGTATGATCCATGGATGTGAACATGAGCTTGAATATTGTCCTACATAATGATGCGGTGAGTGAATAGAGTCTGAAGGAGTAAGACCTACATGTACTACATAGGTACATAGGTAGCATATTAAAAAGTTCACTGCAAGGAGAAGGAATATTGTGCCTGAACCCCGAGGCACCCATATTTTGGGTATAAGAGCCCTCCGGTTTTTTCTTTTCCCGCTCGCGCTTCTTCTCTTTTCCGCTCCTCCACGCACAATGGGTATCAGCATCCTGGATTTTTTGAACACCAGGTGCCCAGACGAGGCACAACGATCCATCTTATGCACAGATGGACCCGTGGACATGTGCATCATGCACGGCCTTGAAATCAAGCCGCTCTGATTGGGTCCCGCAATCAATTAAGCACAAAGCCCCACCGCAGCCAGCCCCACCGGACCAACGCGCGTCCAATCAGCGTTGCACGTGCCTGACCTGGGAGGGTCGCGCCAAGCACGTTGTCGCCCTGGGTCACTCGATAGGCCATCAGCTGTGAGCTACCTAGATATTGCATGGTGCATGGGAAGCTCACTGGGCCTGAATGCACAGGCGTGACTTTTAACTGCCTTTGCTCTCCTCTCTTCTCTCTTCTCTCTCTTTCTTTTCTCCTCTTCTCCACATTCCGTCCGTCCAAGGGATACACAGCAAGGGATCTCGCCTTTCGTCTTTCCTCCAAAATGTCTATCAGCTCTATCACCGGCCTCATGGCTAACTACTCGCCCCTCGCCGATCATGGCTCGGACGAGAAAGACCTATCTACTTCCGATGTCGAGAATGGAAGCCGCCAGGGAACCGATCGGCGCTCTCTCCGCCTCATTGATGGTCGCACTGTCTCTGACGCTATCATCGGTCTGTCTGATGGCATGACCGTGCCTTTTGCGCTGACCGCCGGCTTGTCCGCCCTGGGCGATACCAAAGTCGTGGTCTTTGGTGGTCTGGCAGAGCTCATTGCGGGTGCAATCTCCATGGGACTAGGAGGATATCTGGGTGCCAAGAGTGAAGAGTGAGTAGATTGTTTTCCCGGTGCAGCCAGGAACAAACCCCGCCATTTGTGCAGAATCCAAAAAATGCCGCGCTCAGATGTTAATTCGGTCACAGGGAGTCGTACAATGCCACCCTGAAGGAGACCAAGGCGCAGACCATGACTGACCCAAACTCGGTGTCTGATACCATCTCTGATATCTTTGAGCCTTACGAGCTTCCCTCTGAGCTGGTCGCTCAGCTGAAACGCCACCTCGCTGATTCCCCTAACTTGCCCTCGTTCCTGATGAACTTCCACCACACCCTCCCTGAGCCCTCCGACTCGCGGGCCGTTACCTGCGCCCTGACCATTGCCCTTGGATACTTCATTGGTGGTTTTGTCCCTCTGGTTCCCTACTTTTTCGTTGGACCCACCGAGGCCTACATTGCCCTGCGCTGGTCGATTCTCACCATGGTGATTGCGCTGTTCCTGTTCGGATACGGGAAGACCTGCTTTGTGAGTGGCTGGAGCGGCCGCCAGAATGTCCGCAAGGGCCTCATCGGGGGTATCCAGATGGTGTTGGTGGGTGGGGTTGCGGCGGGTTCGGCCATGGGACTCGTGAAAGGCTTCCAGATGCTTGCTGATGGCTCTGGTCCAACCAGTGACTAAGAGATGAGCTCCGGCAACTTATGCTCGGTAATTTTTCATCATACTGGCGTTGGTTGGCATTTCATTTCCGCGACTTCTGGTGGCCTATATGGCAGAAGCAGCTTCTCCGTGATTCCCCGATTTTTCTTGAAAAGTGTTCCTGGTGAAAAGGTTTTGATGGGCATTAGCATTTGAAAATCCACGTTTTGACCCTTATCATATTGTGCAAGTAAAGTGTCACATGAGTATACAAACTGCCAGAAACACTCCCGAGGTAGGTCATTTGCGTCATCACACAGGTCGCACACGTTTACCCCGGATTTCCGCCCGTTCTCACAGTTGACGATTTCTTCGCAGAAAAGATAGGTTCGACGCAACCGATTCCCTCGAGGTCATAGCTCTCCACCGCGTCGGGATTGCGGGGATGTAACCTGATAGCCGTGTAGGATCGACGGCGCAGACCCGTCGATCCTGGTATTGCCGGGCAGTCGAAACGACAATGCCCATTCGATACCGCTTGTATTGCGACTATTCCCTTGCCATCCCAACATGCAGCCCCAAGGCTGTGCAACGCCAAGAACCAGTCCATTTGATTCGATCTCACCGCGATTTAGATTCCCAGCCTTGGAACCTTGGAAGGCATGTGCAGTTCGTCCTTCATTCTTCCAAGGTTGGATTCTGACCCGATGAGGTAGTCAGCAGCGCCCTACACAGGACCCATCTGTTGACCTCATACGATGCCTTGCGCTACGTATTAATATGTGGCGCAGGGACCGAGGCGCATCACTATAACTTGGAAGTAATCTTAGAGCCTAATCCACTCCTAGGCAGCCCTTGGCCCCCAAGACACGAATACGAGGGTGCGCTGGTCGCGTATTACATACGGAGGTCGGAGTGCACGGTATCCGAATACCAGTCGCGAGTCTTCGATGTTTGGCTTTAGCGCTGCGTTGGTGATGGGATGTGTGATTGGCGTGACGCCGGGGTCTGAAACTCCGCCCGCATCAGGGATTCCCCATCTGCGTCGTGATGTCAACTAGTATTTGACTATACTAGTATGCTATGTTAATGAGGAGGCTGGTATTGGCACTTTATTAGTACAGTGTTCGGTAGAGTAGATTGGAACTTGTGTCATCTATTACTAGCACTATCCATACCCAAAGATATAATGCAATCTCTTACGTCCAATATTAAAATTGAAGTACTACAGTCAATGCCAAATTGGGACGGCCGAAATAAAATACCGAGCCGCTTACCAATACGGCTAAGCGAAATTGGGCCTGAAGATCGAAAGATTTTCGTTGGATACGCCTTGGGGCGCTAACGGCAGGGGCCAATCGGCTGTCGACAATCTTATACAAATTTTCAGTTCTTTGACTGTTAGTAAGTAGGGAGTACTGTAGCTATGTAGGACTACAGTATAACTACAGTATAGTAGTATACTATGAGACTATACAGTACTAGTAGAGCTCACAAATAAAGTAAATTTAATAATGTATAGAATATATGAAAAAGAAATGTGATGGAGCACGAGGGCTCATGCTTACTGTACGGAGCTGCATGAGTCGGGCCATGGACATAACGAGCTCCGAGATATGCTGGAATTTTGTGACTTCGCTCTTGCCGGGCTCCGTGGGTTCCGCCGCTTCCGCCCGTGGTATTGAAAGACTCTTCTATCCGTAGGTGAGTACTACAGTATATACTACTATACAGTATACATAGTAACTAGTAGTCGAGTCGAATAATATCAACTTCGGCAGAGTACTAGTAGAATCTGTTAATATGTAACATCCAAATGGTAGTGACGACATAGACAAGTCATCAGGTAAGCAGGTCAGGTAATCAATCCAAATTACCGTACGGTAAACACAATACACCGGACTTTGGCTCAAATCCAGATTCCTTCCCTTCCCTTCTCTTCCCAACTTTTAATCTCTAATATATCCTCTCAGGGCTTCCGGTCTCCGTGGTTTTCTCGAGTTCTGTTTATCCTGGGTTTCTTCGGTTGCGCCCCTTGCTGTCGCCTTGCATCCCGACACCCTTGTCAACGTGACCTCCTGAATCCCTGGGACACGGCCCCTCGGCCCTGACAGCCCTTGTTCGCCTTTCCTATCGGCCCCATTCCAACTTTCATGAGCCTCTTCTCTCAACCTTGACTCCCCCGTTCAGTCCACGCGACAAACTTTCTTGCCCTGTGGCATTCCTCTACCGCTCAACCCTGCTCGCTCAATTCGAGCGGATCCTTGCCAAGATGAGCGCCTCCTATCCGTCCTGGAAGGACCGCACCCAAAATCAGCTGGGAAAGCTTCAGATTCAGGTTCCATGGCGCTCCTTCCAGCTCCTAGTGCCGCACCGCATGCGCCGCAAGCTCCGATCTAAGCTACGGAGTCGCCTGTCACCCACTTCGTCCATCTCCACCCTGCAGACATCCTTCTCGCCTGTCGACACCCTCAGATCCTTACAGTCCCACCGCTGGACAACCTACGATTTCCAGTACCTGCTGCTGCTGATCGTGGGAATCTTCTCACTTACAATTATTCAATCTCCCGGTCCCCTGGGAAAGACGGCGATTGCCACCGGGCTCCTGTGCTCTCTGCTGATGCCTGTGACTCGGCAATTTTTCCTGCCATTCCTTCCAGTCGCGGGATGGTTGATCTTCTTCTACGGATGCCAGTAAGTACCTCCTTCTCTTTGCACAGGTTCCGCGTTCCGGTCAATCAATGCGCCCACAAGTCGCAATGTGGCGTGACCGGAGGGTGGCGGCAAACCGAACGGACGGGGTGCAAGAGGCGATCGCTAACAGAGCTTCTTAGATTCGTCCCAAGCGATTGGCGACCGGCCATCTGGGTCCGAGTTCTGCCCGCAATGGAGAACATCTTGTACGGCGCCAACATCAGCAACATCCTTTCCGCGCACCAAAACGTGGTGCTGGACGTTCTGGCGTGGATTCCCTACGGATTGTGCCACTACGGAGCGCCTTTTGTGGTTTCGCTCCTGCTCTTCTTCTTCGGTCCTCCCGGAACCACCCCCCTCTATGCCAGAACTCTCGGTTACATTAGCATGATGGCCGTCTTCATCCAGCTTGCTTTCCCTTGCTCGCCACCCTGGTACGAGAACCTGTACGGTCTTGCGCCCGCCGACTACTCCATGCAGGGCAACCCGGCCGGACTCGCCCGCATCGACAAGCTGCTCGGTATCGACCTGTACACCTCTGGATTCAAGCAGTCTCCCGTCGTCTTTGGCGCTTTCCCATCGCTCCATGCGGCCGATTCCACCTTGGCTGCCTTGTTCATGAGCCACGTGTTCCCGCGCTTGAAGCCCCTCTGGGTTACTTACACCTTGTGGATGTGGTGGGCTACCATGTACCTTTCGCACCACTACGCGGTCGACCTGGTCTGCGGTGGTCTGCTCGCCACGGTGGCCTTCTACTTCGCCAAGACCCGTTTCCTGCCCCGCGTTCAGTCCGACAAGATGTTCCGTTGGGATTACGACTACGTCGAACTCGGTGACAACTCGCCTGATTTCGGATACGATCTCGCTAGCCTGGACGGTGACTTCAACCTGGACAGCGATGAGTGGACGGTGGGCTCCTCCTCGTCTGTTTCATCGGGATCTTTGAGCCCCGTGGACGACCACTACACCTGGGAAAGCGAACACCTCACCTCGAACCACGACATCGAGGCAGGTCGCTAATCCCACGGAGTCTCACTCGCAGCTTCTGCGACACTCCATTCTTGCATCTAATTCTTTCGAATCGGCGTTATGTTTGACGACAATGTTTGGGAACATCTGCATCGAGCAATTTCGGCACCTTAAGGTTTTTAATACACTGACTGGGGACATCCGGCTCGCCCGGTACCACCGTTCCCAGCCGAAAGTCTTCTTCACCTTCTGGCTGTACATGCCTCGCTAACCCCACTTGGGGCTCGCTACTCCGTCTATAATATTAATACCGGTGGCGGCAGGGATCAGGCCTTTGCCTGCACATTTATCCCGTGCCGCCATCGTTGGCGACATTCGCTTGTACACATTAGATCGCCCGGCGATCACTTTTTTCTTCTGACCCATGTCTTTCGCTACGACTTTATGACCTGGGCGAGCCACCTTCATCTTTGCTTCCAGCTCGCCCAGATGAACAAACACTGATCTTTCGTGCCACTCGCGTGGGGACTTCGGAACTGCTTCACGCGATGAAAGTTTCGGTACTTTTTGAACGCCCCCCTCGCTGTGCACCTGAAAGATTCGAATCCTCGTTTTTACCTTGCATTGGCACATGGCATGGTTCTGCAAAAATTATCCTGTCTACCCTTCGTGTCCACGCCTAGCAGGTGATGAATGACCTTGAATTTGCGACTTCCTCCCGCTTGGATCTGATCTCACGGACAAGAGCCCAGTGGCAGTCTGCTGCTGTGGCCTTCCACCAGAGCACTCATGGCAACCTGGGTGCAGGGCAATGGTTCTTGACGGAGGCCGCCCTAGTACTTGGGGTTTGCGCCAATCACCTGTGGTTGAGGAAGCCAATTCGACATGCTCGTTTGTATGTCTCTGACAATACCCCATGACAAGGCCGTCACCTTGTCTCGCTATGTCTGGGTCGAGGGGACCCTCTTGGATATCATTAGCATTATCTTTAATTGGTAGCGTATGAGTTAATGAACCATTGTACATTATCTATACTTCATTTAGTATGCTTTCTGTTTTCTGTTCACGGCTGTGATCTGATAGAGTAGATGTACATAGTGACATCGGGAGTAGATCGGACGATACCTCAACAGCTTCGTTTAGAAACCATATCTTTCCAAGGTTACGTTTACAGAAACAGAGCCCAGGATAATGTGCCTTCACGGTTGCCGAGCATAAAATAGACTTGATTCCAGGCTCATGTAATGCTTTTGTATACTGTTCACGACGCCAGCTCGTGTATCTATTTGATCATTTCCCATAATTATCATGACATGTCATACCCCAGCTGGGCAGAAACTGCAGAGCGCAACAAAGAATCACATTAATGATCCCATACCCGCATGGGAATGTCCAGCACACGCCTCCGGACCAGGCAGAGGAAGCTGACCGTAAGGATCCAGCGCCGTCCGAACTGCCCCCACGCCCTCCTTCAGATAAAGCACAAGCCGATACGCCGAATTGCCATTCAGATAGTACCGATGGAGCTGCTTGCTTCGAATGAATCCCAAGCGCTCATATAGCTTCATCGCACCCTTATTGGTGATTTCAGTCTCGAGAACAATCTGCTCATTATCAGCTTCCGTCATCCCCATCTCAATCTCGAGCCAAATCTCCTTCCATACCTCGTCCGCATCCCGCTCAATCATCGCATCAATTGCCATGCGCACGAGCTTGGTAGCAATTCCCTGTCCCCGGTATTCCTCGCGCACAGCCAGCATGGCTATATACCCCCTCAGCGGGCCATCACGGTGTGGCTCCAGCTTCGAGACCACGACACCAATCATCTCGTCCTTGTCGTCCATGGCGAGGAAACACAGATCCCCCCATTGGTATAGGAAGTAGCGGTAGACGTAGATACTGTATGGCTCGGACAGATCCTTCGAGATCAACTGGCGCATGGCGGCGACATATTCGTTTTCGCGCGCGTTGTCGTATCGCACGTAGCGGGGGCTCATGGTGGTGGGTGGAGGAGGTTGGGAGAGACAACTTTGCCATGTGATGCCGCCCGCGGATGTTATGTGCTTCCGTGTTTTTGGTTTCTTCCTGACTTTTTTTTTTTTTTTCTTCCTTCTTTTTTTTCCTGTCTCCTACTTACGATCTTGTTTTCCGTCTGTTCCTAAGCAATTGCTTTCTGGCTGTTCTTTCCGGTCGCGCATGGTCGATATGCTTCGGCGCCGCACGGGTAAGGACAAGGTCCCCGAGAACCTGGTCAAGCCTGGTTCGAAGAAGGAGGAGGATAAGCTTCGTGCGGAATTCGGCGATGCAAAGGTCAAGCAGCTGGTGCTGAAGCCGCGGAGCAAACGGCGCAATGGGTTCATCTTCTTGCTGGGCGGCATCTTCGGCATCTTCATTGCCTTGTTCTTCGCGAATCAGCATGAGGTCATAAGTCTGGATTCGCTTATGGATTTGAATCTGGAGTCTTTGATGGAAGCTATTCCTCAGGGGATCTTGCGCGACGTGAAGGAGTTCTCGGTAGGTACTCCCAAGGGATATTTCTCTTATCTCTACCTAGGTACTCCGGACGGAGTACAGTGATCGCATTCGACTGACTGTGGGTGTAGCAACAAGAGCGCGACACCGTCAGCTATGACTCCTTCGCGGTGGGACTACACCTCCAGTCTCAGGGTGTCAGCGCGAAACACCCCGTCGTGATGATCCCTGGGGTCATTTCAACCGGATTAGAGAGCTGGGGTACCGCCGAGACCTCGCGACAGTACTTCCGCTCCAGGCTGTGGGGCAGTTGGACCATGATGAGAGCTCTAGTCATGGATAAGGCAGAATGGAAGAACCATGTCATGCTCGATCGTGATACAGGCCTCGATCCGCCAGGCATCAAGCTTCGGGCAGCGCAGGGGTTCGACGCAACCGATTTCTTCATCACAGGATACTGGATCTGGAACAAGATTTTGGAGAATTTGGCTTCTATTGGGTATGACCCTACGAATGCTTTCACGGCTGCGTACGATTGGCGACTATCGTATCTCAATCTCGAGGTCCGTGATAAGTATTTCACCCGGCTCAAGTCCTACATCGAAACCGCGGTCCAGGTGGAGGGTGAAAAGATCACCCTGGCTTCCCACAGTATGGGGTCCCAAGTCGTGCTCTACTTCTTCAAATGGGTCGAAAGCGAAGAGTACGGCAACGGAGGTAAAGATTGGGTTAACAAACACATCGACTCCTGGGTCAACATCAGCGGCTGCATGCTCGGTGCAGTCAAGGGATTGACCGCCGTACTGTCAGGCGAAATGCGGGACACGGCGCAACTGAACGCATTCGCCGTGTACGGTCTGGAGAAGTTCCTCTCTAAGGAGGAGCGAGCGGAGATCTTCCGCGCCATGCCCGGCATCTCCAGCATGCTGCCCAAGGGCGGCGAGGCAGTCTGGGGCAACTCCACCTGGGCCCCCGACGACCAGCCCGGTCAACCTTTGACCTTCGGCAACCTGCTCAATTTCCACGAGACCAACTCATCGTGGACGCGGCGCAATCTCACCGTCACCGAGAGTCTGCAGTACCTCCTGGACCAGAGCGAAGACTGGTACAAGAACCAGGTGTTGAACAGCTACTCCCACGGAGTTGCGCACACCAAACGCGAGGTCGAAGCCAATGAGAAAGACCCTCGCACGTGGCTGAATCCTCTCGAGGCCCGTCTGCCTCTTGCTCCGGACATGAAGATCTATTGCTTCTACGGCGTGGGCAAGCCCACCGAACGCAGCTACTTCTACCAAGAAGAGACCGACCCTCTCGTGAACTTGAATGTCAGCATGGACACGACCATCACTAACAGCGAAGGCGTGGACCACGGCGTGATGATGGGCGAGGGCGACGGCACCGTCAACTTGCTCAGCACGGGCTACATGTGTGCCAAGGGCTGGCGCATGAAGCGGTACAACCCTGCTGGGACCAAGATCAAGGTTTATGAGATGCCTCACGAGCCTGATCGGTTCTCACCTCGGGGTGGACCCAACACTGGTATGTTTCCCACTGCTCTTTTCAGATGAGCAGCAGCCCACTAACCGATCCCAGGCGACCATGTTGATATTCTGGGCCGCGCCTCCCTTAATGACCTGCTCCTTCGTGTTGCCGGTGGCAAAGGCGATCAGATTGAGGAGACGTTTGTGTCGAAGATTCGCGAATATGCGGATCGTGTACAGATTTTTGACGATTAATAGATCTAAGATTAATGATTTGGTGTGGTTTTAATGCTCCTCTTTTGATATACATCCTTCGCTAGTTGAGTTCCAAGATTTGCTAGAACTTCAAGGATTGGACCCTTCTTTTTAAGGTTGGGCAGTCATGTACATTTGCTCTAAGTGTTTTCAAGTTTATATCCTAGATGCCTTTACTAGTATAGTGGTCTATAGTAGACAACACCCGTGGACTATCCGGATATCTAGGTACCTATAGTACTGCCCAGGTGGAACTCATCGGCTGATCACACTCGTGGGTCATGTTCATGTTGCAGGATCTGCAGATCCATCTACTTCCGATGACGATGTAGGCCAGATGCTATGTCGGATGAAAGCTTATTGTGCACGAAGTAAACAAGGAAGTTGTATAAGAATCGATGCCTGAGGACTGCTTGCAGCGATGTGACGTAGATGCACAAGCCCAACTCCCCTATCGGTGACGTCCCTACTCAGTACTTCGTACTAGAGCAAAGGTACTAGTGTGCGGCGAATATTCAACAGTATCCCATACTACTGTTAGTAAACCCTCGAATATCGAGTCAACGCTTGAATCATGAGTTCCCCTGGTCTCCCGAGCTGTACCAAGATCCGCCTAACCCTGGTCTACTGCAGATACTCTGATTGACGGGACCTGTGCAGAAGAGTTGCCAATTGAAGGTCAGGAAAAGGTTTCCGGGGTACAATTTCTCGAGGGACCCCGATCCTTCTGGTATAGATCGGGAGAAAGCTCTGTGATTGGCGGAATGTCAGACCGACCGATCGTGGCGACCAATGACAGACCCAGACGGACATTTCAGACTCCACTTCACTACACCAAAATGGGAAGTGTGGCGCGGCTTGTTCTTCGGGTGACAGTCACGTTGGCGATGACCGCTGATTTGCGGAAAGTCGATCTACTGAACCGGTTTCAGATAACCTCATTCTATTTCGGTCTTATTTAGGATGCTTTTCGACCCTTCGACGTGAACACCTTTAACGTTTTCCAGCCATGGCGTCGACAGATGATCACCATGCTGGCCGCCGAGCCCGCGAAGTATATCGCTATTTTGGAAAAGCCTCAAAAGAAGCGCACAGCGCAGGCAACGGATCCCCTGTACCGAGTCACCCACTATCGACGCCACAGCGCTCGCCATCCTCCTCGTCACAATCATGCAGCACCTCGACTCCATCGGCCCTGGATCGGATGCCAGAGTCCTTGACCTTGGGCACCTCGAATTCCACATTGAACTCCTTTGCACAATTAGCAGCGCTACGTTTGAATATGGATCGAGTTTTCATCAGGTAAGTGATTCGCGAACCCCTGGGTTTCTCTAACGCTCACTGTGTCATAGTGTTTCGGATCGCGACTCCCAATTTATCATTGCGCAAGCCGCCCAAACGAAGAAGGGGGACGGCAAGTACGACTATCTAGCTGATGGCATTTACAAGGGCTGTTCTACCCTCGACGTAAATTCATGGACGCCGTGTCAGGTAATTTCCCTGTTTCACAATGCAGCCGCAACGAACTAACGGTCATGGGGCTACTGACAGGATACAATCGCTTTATCGGAATCCAATCGAGAGCAAGAAGCATACAATTTCATAATTTCTAATGACCTAACGCAAGATGCGAGATATAAAGACCTGGCGTTCGTGAAGGATAGCCCCAACTTCCGGTTCTATGCCGGCACGCCTCTCACGACAGAAAGCAACATCAACGTGGGCTGTTTGTTCGTCCTAGATACGAAACCCCATGCCGAGTTCTCCGACGTGGACAAAGAAATGATGGGCACGATGGGCATGCTCATCATGGACTATCTGATGGTCAGCCGACAAGCCTCTGAAGGCCGCCGTGCAGCCCGACTCTCCCGTGGTCTGAACCACTTCATTGAGAACAAGTCGAGCTTTCAAGATGTGTTCGACGACTCGCCTCAACAGTCGGCCCCATTGAACACACCTCCGCAGTCGAAAACGAGGGAAAATCACCTGGTCAACGAGACCCATTCCTCTCGGCGTTCTCATTCCCGCGGTAGTGGCTGCTCAAGTTCGGAATCTGAAAATAGAGCCCAGTCTCTCTCCTCCAGCTTCGACTCAAGTGTCAAACCTCGAATCCCGGGGCTGGGGCCAAGGAGAAAGCGCGACCTTGACGAACAAAAAGGAAACGCCTGGACGTTCCAGCGAGCCGCGAATTTGATCCGTGAAAGCCTCGAGTTAGAGGGTGATAGTGGTGTGGCATTCGTGGAGGCTGGTAACGACCCGGAACTCGATAATGAAACTGGAAGCGATTCCGCGAGCTCGACCAAATTCAGAAAATCTGCGTCGATATTGAGCATATCCACCGGCGAGAACTCGTTCGGTCCTGAGACGGGCTCTCTATCGCAGTTCCCAGTGTCTAAGATAGATGAGGTTTTCGTGCAAGGATTATTGAACCGCTATGCCCAGGGAAAAATATGGTCGTTCCACCGAGATGGACTGTTCTCCAGCTCGGATAGTGAGGATACGGTTCGTGAAAGCCGGTCGAGGACGCGCGCTCGCTCTCCGAGATCAAACAGGCCGCGAAAGTGGAAGACTCTAGAGAACAAGATGCTCAATCGTTTGTTCCCAGGAGCCACGCAAGTCATCTTTGTCCCGTTGTGGAATGCCGCCAACGCTCGGTGGTTTGGTGGCTGCTTCTGTTGGAATAATGTCGAGAATGTCGTTTTCGACCCCAAAGTTGAGCTGAGCTCAGTTCTGGGCTTTGGATCTTCAGTCATGGCTGAATGTAATCGGGTGGAGGCACATATCTCGAATCGACAAAAGGAGGATTTCCTTGGCAGTGTCTCGTAAGTATCTCTGTGTCTTATCGGATGCCCTCATTCGTTCTGACCATGGCAAACTAACTATCTACTAGACACGAACTACGAAGTCCGCTTCACGGAGTCCTGGCAGCAGCAGAGCTGCTCCAAGGAACGCAATTTGATGAGTTCCAAGGCTCGCTTCTCGAAACAATCAATGCTTGTGGTCGGACATTACTCGATACGATGAATCAAGTCCTGGATTATACTAAATTGCTTTCCTTGGAAAAGGACCTCCGACATTTGAGGAGAAACATGACCTCCCAGATCGATATCAAGAACATCCAACGCTCGGCTGGCCACTTAGACGCATACACCTCTACCAACCTCTCACTCTTATCAGAAGAAGTCGTGGACGGAGTATGCCTGGGCCATTCCTATAGCCAACGGTCAGCGGCCTCCCTTGGCGCCGCAAGCGCTCATCTCACCAAATCGAAAGCATCCGACCTCGACATCCCCGAGCTGCACGTGGATGTTACGCTTGATATCCCGCAGCATAATTGGGTCTATCACATCCCGCCTGGCGCTTGTCGACGCATCATCATGAATTTACTCAGCAACGCCGTTAAATATACAGATTCTGGTCGGGTTTTGGTCTCACTGGAAGCGAAAGAAGCCCCGGAGAGTCGCTATCTTCATACCGGCATCCGGGAAGATTTGATCACTCTGACCGTCTCAGACACCGGTAGAGGTATGTCTGCAGACTTCCAGCGGGGACGGCTGTTCGTGCCATTTTCCCAAGAGAACAGCCTCTCGGAAGGCACGGGCCTGGGTCTCTCCATTGTTCGAAGCCTTGTAAAATCAATGAGCGGTACGATCAATGTCGAGAGTCGTCCAGGTGAAGGTACGACCGTCAAGGTGACCATTCCACTGGCTCGCGAGCAAGATGACCTCGGGAGCATTCCAGGTGCCTTGCCATCGCCTCCACAAGGAGAATCTGACTCTGCTACCAACGAGATCAGTCTTCTTCGGGATACCCACGCCGGCCAAAAGGTTGCTATATTAGGCATTGAGCCTGATGACGCTCGCAAGCACCCTCTGTGGGGAACTATCTCCCGCTACGTGACAGACTGGTACGGGCTAGAGTTGGTTTCACCGACATCTGATACCAAGATCGATGTGATTCTGGCCGACAAACTACCACTGACGATAAAATCCGATTGGAGCTTCGAGGGCAGGGACCAGCCCGTCCTCGTTGTGAGCAGCAAATTTGTCGGCCACCAATCTGTCCGCGCAGAGTGGTCTCCATTCACCAAACTGGTGAATGTAATCAGTCGACCATGTGGTCCCCACAAGCTTGCCAGATTCATACAAAAGTGTCTCGACCGAGACGTTTCGACTTCAGACTCGCAATCCCCGAGACCCAGCACCAACCCGCCAGCAGTACTTCACGAGCAGTCCTCTTCGGCTGAAGAATATACTCCAGGCAACGACAACCCTTCAATTTCAGACAGCAACCCTCTCACCCCCCCGGACAGCTCATTGCCTCCCCTCCCCGACAAGGTCGAGCCCCTTCCACCCGCCTCTACTGAAGCCACCGAACCGCCCGAGTCTCGTAAACCGCGCGTGCTAGTGGTTGAAGACAACAAAATCAATCTGAATCTGATGCTCGCATTCCTCAAAAAACAAAAACTGGATACCCTTGACTCTGCCGAAAACGGACAGCTCGCTGTCAATGCGGTCGACCAACTGAAAGATAACTATGACATCATTTTCATGGGTAGGTTACACCAAGCCCTTTGACAGCTATCTATATATGCTAACAGTACTAGATATCTCCATGCCTGTGATGGATGGCTTCGAAGCTACGCGAATGATTCGGAATCTGGAGAAACAGCGGGGCCCTGACATTCCCACTTCCATCATCATCGCACTCACCGGGCTTAGTGGCTCGAGTGATGAACTTGAAGCTCTTGGTGCTGGGATGGATCTGTTCCTTACCAAACCGGTGACGATGAAGAACGTCTCGAAGATCTTGGACCAGTGGTCTGAGCGGGGGCTGAGGGATACTTGATTGACTTTATGACACTTTCTGGTTTGGATTTTTGGCGTTGGGAAACTGTATATGATGACGAGTGATACCCATTTACTTAACAGCTGTATACTAGAATACTGTATACATAAAACTCTCGCATAGATCAATGCCCAGATGATGACTCGACATTTCCCAGTTTGTTCAGTTTGAGAATCCATGGATCCGGGGCAGTACTATTTCCCCAATAGGACTAGCCCCAATCCCACATGGGCATGGATCCGCTCGCCCGGGTCCCATGCGTCGCCCTCTGATTGGCCAACCCTAATTGCTCCGGATCGTCATTGATTGTCAAGTCACATGAGCGCAGCCAAGTCAACTCCTTTCCAAGCCCGCCATTGTGTACCAAACATAAACGCCATGGATCTATCAGCCCTCCGACACAGCGCAGGCATAACCAAGTCGAGTAATCGACAAGGTCGCCGACCAGGCAAATCCGCCTGCGTGGCATGCCACAGCCGCAAAAAGCGTTGCGACGCAGCCCCGCCACATTACCAGTGCTCATTCTGTACCAAGGAGGACCAACTATGCATACCCCGCGACCCGGCAGAGAGGTAAGTTAACTCCCATCTATCTATGCCACTGGGATGAGACAGAAATACTGACTGGAACAAGGCCTGCTCGACACCGGATCCCAAGTCGCAATGCTATCAACATGACGAATTGCACGATCAAGCAGCCGGAGAAGGAAAAGGAAAGTTCTTTACCACCTGGTATTGATCATGAGATACCGCGCTGGAGTGCAATGTATTCATTCTACTCGGAGATGCAGCGGCTTCTGCCCTCGCCGACTCCGTCCTCGTCACCGGACATTGAAGACGATCGACCCGCACCACAGACTCAGACTCAGACTCAGGCTCAGAATCAGGTTCAAACTTCAGAGAAAGGGAAGAGACCGGTGATTGAGGCCGAGCATGAGCCCGAGCCTAGGCCTGTAGCTGAAGAGCGCAGGCCTGTGGAGCCTGAGCCCGAGACACAGAAGAATCATACCCCTGGTCCATCTGTTGACTCCCCCGAGGTTGGTCATTTCAAGGGGATCAGCATGCCCACTTCACAGACTCGGAGTGCGTCTCCATTATCTCAGCATCAAGTGGACTCGAGGTCGAGTCTGGAGTCTGGTGCGTCGCGTGGTCATGCGGCACGGGGTGCTGAACGGGGTCGAGATTTCCACGGCCACGGCGAAGGGTTTATGAACGATCTTGATGCATTGCTTCGGTTTTAACGAGTACGATATGTGACCTCTGGATATGTAAAGAAAAAAAGGTGGATTATCATTCACGTACAATTGCATATAATCAAAAAGAGCTTTTTTGGACATGATTCTATGGCTCAATGTTTAGATAGTGTACAGAATGGTATATGACAGGTGGTGAGTGAAGCTAATATACAGGACGAAACCATTGAGAGCGGTCTAAAAAGCCCGTCATATCGGGCATCCATGTAACGCGCCAGTGTAAGACTGGAAGGGATGAGTATAGAAGGAGATGAGAGTAGGAGTGTTATCGTGTGAAAATGTCGAGGGATTCCGGTGTTGTGTCCAACGATTCAGAGTATTCAGAAGGCTCAAGGGGTTTTTGGTACAGAGGGATTTGGATAGCGTTCTCCATCTTCCAGGACAAACGATGCGGAACGTCATGCCAGTCCGAGTCCATGTGAGCTGCAGCGTCCAGCATGAGTTGAAGAGGGTACTTGGGCTTATAATGACTACCGCTGGTCATATCCTGCCGGAGAAGAGCGTTGGCAAGACGGATTTGAGAAGTTCTGGCGGCGCCCATAGGCTTCCACTGAGCGAGGTGAGCAGCAGGATTGCCTTTGAAACCGGGAGGAAGCTCAGTCCGGACGTAGTGAGGCGTGGTGGGATTCTCGTGGTTGAGGGGAACGCCGCTGATGACTTTACCAGCGTCGATTTTCCACAGTTTGCCGATATCGTTCCTGCTGGAAGAAACATTGTTACACAGCCCGACAAGGACAGTCTGTTTCATCTTGTAGGTCACGTTATTGGAGAGACAGGCGTAATGCCACACGACACGGCAGATGTTGTAGTGGCGGGCCTTGAATGCACCCAGAAACAGGTACTCATAGGTCGCTGAAGACATCCTGAACCCATCGATGTCGAGGAATCGAATGGTGTAGTGGACGGCTCTATAAATGTCTGCCCGGAAGGTCTGGATAAGTGCGCTGAGCGAATAGTGATCAACCATCAAGTGTTGGTCAAGGCAGATTTCAGCCAGATCTTCGCAAGCAACAAAGTTCTTCTCTCGACTGGCAGTCTCGAACATCTGATGGAGCAATCTAGAGGTGAACCAATTGGCTCCCCAGGTGTTGACCATGAGATCCAGATAAGATTTGATATCTTCTCCACTGTGCAAGTGCACGCGAAGCGAATTCTGGATGGTCCGCAAGAGTGCACCCCGGACGATGTTGATATCAGACAGGTATCCATTTTGAGCCATGTGGGCAACCAAAAGAGCCTTTTCATCGGGTTTGACTAGAGCCCCAAGCAGGATGAGCCAGGTGTCTGGGCTTGGGCTGATTTTTGCGCGACCCATTTGTTGCAGGACGTTGCGGAACCCGATGATATCCTGCAGCTTTGCAGCATCCTCCAACATGATGTGATATGTGCCCAGTGTGGCAACTTGCTGTGAGCGCGTGCACAAGGCCCGCGCGGTAGAACGAAATGCAGACTTGCAAAGCCATTCCAGTGCAAGGTGCAAAGCAGAGGTAGACAAGTACTTTTGGTGTGTATCGAAGAGGCCCATCAGATACTCTGCGATCTGTTTTTGTTCCTGGGCTCCTCTTGAGCCACTCTGAATCTTTTCAGGGATGGTCTTGAGCCTCGAAGTGACGACGTCCTCAACATGCTCCGTGAACTCTCTCACTGACTTAATGACGCCAGACCTCGCAATGACTTTTTCGAACGTCGGGGGATGCACTGGGTCCTCCAAATGCCAGGTCCCTCGGACCAATGGCGGCAGGAAACCCGTTTCGTCAAAACCCAGCGAAGAGGCGCAGATAGGAGGCATCGTTTTCCGGAAATCGGAAGATGGTTTGCCACGCTCCTGCGATTCCAAGGCATCGTTGAATTGCGCTTCGGCAATATCCTGAGCACGCTCGGTGCCATGCAGCGCAACTCGGCGAAGGGGGCCCTTGTTTTGGCTCTCGGGAAGGACATGCACACGACATCCATTGTTGACGAGAAGGTGCCAAACGTTGTCTCCGAATGAGTGCTTGTTCACGCCACAAAGCGCCGCAAGAACCTCCTCGGAAACGTATATCTCCCTCCCCTTCGGCGCCACCTTCATGTGGAGTTGGGCCTGCTTTTGGAGATCCTCCAACACATCTCTCGAATCAAGCCAGGCCCTATCGATATAATGCTTTCCCACCCTGTTATAAAATTGCTTCATGTGGTACCGTGTCTGCTTCCTCTTTTGGTCCTCGTGCGATATTCCGGCTGCAGCCTCTTCTTGGGCCTTCTGCTTCCTTTTCATGCTCTGTTCCATGGTGGAAGATACACTGGCATGCACTCTCCTCGCCCTCTTCTGAAGAAATGCTCCAAATGGTATCTGAGAAGGATGCCAAGGGGGGCTGTTCGTATCGGCATGGCTCACAGCGACTTCATTGGCATCACTCGCAGTCGAGTCAATGTGACCAAATATTTCGTCGAATCCTTCTTCATCGAGGTACTCGTTCTTTTTCGTCTGTGGCGATGCCGAGCTTGGATTTGAGGCCCGGTCCAGGGTGTTAGAGATCCATCTGCAGGAGTGCCGCGCAAACGAAGGACACCGGTGTGTCGATGGGCGGCATGGCGTGGAAGAAGCCTGGCATCTGCTGGTCGGGGCCGGAATTCCCAAAAAGAATCGTCGTTGCCGTAAAGCAGGCGTCACCCAGCGCGGGTAGAGAAATAGCAAAGGGTCGGTGCCGGTCGCGACGGTATCTAGGACGGCAGGCAGACGCCTTCGCAGACACGGGCGACCATGCGAAAGCATGGGGATATGTACTCAGCACCGGAGATGTTGATGGGGTTGACAGGCGCGTAAATGGAAAGGTGTTGGCCGTCCTTTTTGCCCCGAAAATTGTTGCCCGGCGCAGGCGGTGACGATGCCGTAGATCCACCATTTCATACTCCTTTCACTGCAATCTGTATTCAGCAATAGTTGGAATGCTTTATACAATGCTCTGTAACTATGTTCGAGAGACAAAATCCAATTTCAATAGCATAACGATATTACTTGTACACTAATACATTAGTAAATATGGCCTTCACGGCCAATCTCAGCCGCCTTAGGGATTCCCTTGAATATCTGCCTCATCGAATCCGACCGCTGCTCCAAGACAGGTCGTTTGGACAGTAATGTATCACGCTTGGCCATGGGCGTCAGATCCAGTAATTCTGTTGCCGACTCTCCATGGTCATCCTTAAAGACATCTGGGCCGGTTGTATGTCGCTTGCAGGCCTCGGCAGCGCGCGTAAGATTATCCTGCTTACGCTGAACGGCATCGGCGTCTTTATCGGAGTCTGCAGGTGTCTTGGACAGCTCGCGAACGACGCCATAGAGATAAGTGATAAACTGCCATCGTGATGTTTGGAACAAGAAGGTTGGCATGATCTCCGGTATCTGCTGGAGTTAGTCAATACGCCAATTCCAGGATGCAGAAGACTCACCTTATCAGTTAAATAATAGAGCTCATCGCCGCCCTCTTCAACAAACTTCTTCAATGCATCAATCCTCTCTCGGTCAATCGAGGCTAGTTTCAGAGCATGCATTAAGCTGGGGATATTCCCAATCTCATCGACATGTGGCTCTTCATCAACCGTCATACTTGCACGGTTCAAGAATCCAGACTCAACCCTCGACAGACCAGCCACACTCTGCTCCCGGCTTCTGACTTTGGGCGAATGGATAGTAAAGTAATCCTCATTCAACATGTGCGATCTCTCAAAGTCCGAGCGACCCCGGAGCCGCCGATCAGGAACCTTCGTCCGTAGCCTGACCCAGCGCCTCCTCCGCACAAACGAATGGAACCAGGGTTGCGTACCATGCCACGAGGATGAAGAGAAGGAGAAAGAATATTGCCAGCCTTGCTCGTCAGTATCTCCAGACATGTCCACATACCACGCCTTCCAAGCCCACTCCCAGCTCGGATCAGGTAGCTGGGCATTGGTGATGTTGACAGCGCTGGCTCGACGATCCTGCGTCATCCAAGCTGCAGGATCGAAGTTCAAAAGTGAGCTATGCGAGTATCTAGGGACACCAAAAATGAACGAGCCTCGCTGGTTCTCGTAGAGGATATCCATTTCAGAGCGCGGCTTCGCGTCACGGGTATTCGTTTGACCAATTACGTTCAAGTCGGTATCTGTCGTAACGATGCTTTGGATGCGAGATGGTGCAAAGTCTGCCGTATCGACATCCCTGCCTCCGCTTCCTTCTGCCGAACTGGCGGATATGGAACTCCCGCGCACTTGGGAGGGTTCCCGACTGAGTGCGTCGCTTGTATCTGGCGCGATGCCCAGTCGTTCGGGTTGCCACTTTGCATATTTTCGTTTGGTGAGCTGACTCTGGACGGATGCACGGCTGAGGTGCTTGGATAGGCTTCCTTGTCGATCAAGGGTTGATGTGCGCCGTGGGGTGTCTTCGCCAGTAGTTTGTGAAATGGTGCGATCCACCAGGGAAATAGCAGGGTTCTCCATCGAGGGTGTTCGGAAACCCAAGGGTATATTCAGAGCATGCTGGCCCATTCCAATCGTGCTTGCAGTCTTCGTATTGGGCTATAGGGGTATCATTCGAGGGAGTAATAAGGAAGGACTAGAAGTTAAACAGAAAAAATGAAATATTGAGTCGAGTATGGGCATAACAAAAGAAAGAGGGAAAGTAGGAGAGAATGAGAAGTCGAGGTGCACAGAGAGGACGCAACATCGATTACATCGTTTGCGGGGATCCCGCCAAGCCAACTTATCGCAACTTTTGACCGTTCGACACCAACACACCACCACCGCAACAATGGCCCACCACCGCAGGATCGAGCTCCAGTCTCCAGCAGACTTCACATATCTCTATGCAAACACCGTCGCCCTCTCAAGGCGCCAACTCGACCTCCACATTCCCCCCTCCGCTACCGAAAAAGAAGCTCCCGATCCCATGCGCGAACGCGTTCGCGAGCTAGTCGACGAAGTAAGCCTAACCTGCACCAATACCCCGAATCTGAAATTAAGTATTGAAGAATCAAATCTAATATACTACATAGTACATCCACAAAACCTTCGACACAGCATCCGCCTCAATCAGCATCAACGGGATCGACTCCACGTCCCCCCAATTCCCATTCCCAGCCGCATTCACAGAACCAGTCGAGCAAGTCGAATACGAAGCATATGACAGCGAACTTGCGGCGCGCGTGACATCTCTCTACGCGCAGCTGGAATCACTGAACACAACAGTCGCGCAGCATCGACGAGACGCGCCGAGACGCGCCGCGAAAGAATATGCGGCGCAGTTGAAGAAGATGATTCAGGAGGATGAGGATTATGAGGCTCAGATGTCTGAGTCTATGGAGAGAGATGGGAAAGAGGGCTCTGAGGGGACGGCTGTTGACCCGGCTTGGAACTTGGAGGCTGCGCTTGGGACGGAGGAGGAGAAGGAGCGTTGGGGGAGTGGGGATATTGCGGGGGTTTATGAGGATACGTTACGGATGTTGTTGAGGTTGCAGGGTGAAGATGCTGTGGAGGGTGAGGGTGAGGCTTTGGCGACGACGGTTGGGAAGGCGGAGCGCGCTGGGCGTGCTGCTGAGGTGGTGGAGAATATGATGAAATAAGCTTGTCTCTGGCGTTTTGTTTGATGCTTTGTTGCTTCGGTGCTTGGTGTTGGGGTTTGGGGATAATGATACCATGTCGTTTTATTGTATTCACCTTGCCGGTGGTTTCCGAGGTCGTGTTTTATATCTCCTGCTTTGCTGGAGTCGAAAAAGTCAAGACATGATAGCTACCATTCATATATGTGCCTTCTCATGTATACACACCTAAAGCAAAAACACCAGCTATTCACCTTCACACCACACTTTTGAACTTCATCACTGTCCCTTCTATGCTGAGAGCTGCGCACGCTGCGCATGCCAGACAGGTAAACATAAACAAAAAAGACAAGCTCTTCATGATATCTAGATCTGAACAGGAAAAAAACAACGCAAATAGCGAATGTAGGGCAAGGAGTCCACAGAGTGGATGGGGCGGCGAGGATGTGTTGAAACTACCAGAGCATATATACTCCGGTCTGCCAGGGGAGGATGGCGTCAGATGGGATCATGTTTGTAGATCGAACCATCGAGATCTTTATTTTTTTGTGGTTTCTGTTTTCGACTCCCCAGGGGGGATTTATACCGGGTATTCACGAGGATCAGCTTAAGCAGCAGTCTGGACACCTTCCTGGCCCTCGGCATCCTTCTTCTCATAGCCGGGGTCCTCGTTCTGCACAACAGGCTCAGCACCCTCCTTGGCATCGGCCTTAGCGGCCCACTTGGGGGTACGAGTCCACTCTGACTCTTGCCAAGGGCCCATATCGGAGAGCGAGCAGCCGTTGGGGCAAGAGCACTTACCACCGAACTCGGTGGGCAGGTTCTCAGCAGGGACCTGGGCGAGCAGCTCCTTCTGGTATCCGCTGCCGAGAACGTGGATCTTGCTAACGGTCACGGGGTCAAGGAAGTTCTTGACAGCACTGAACGCACCGCTGAAGCCCCAGGGGGCGTTGATGAGGTACAGCTTGCCGAGACGCTCGGGGTAGTGGTTCTGCGAGATGTCGGAGGCTTGCTTGACGTATCCGTAGACGGAGGGAATGCTGGTGATTCCAACGCCCTTGAGATCCATGATGGTGCAGCAGGTCTCGAGGAGCTTGCCGGCCTTGCGGGAGCATGCGGGCAGACGGGGGTCGGCCAGCTTCTCGTATTCGGTGACCAGGTTCTTCAGCATGCGGTCGGCAGAGGTGATGGTGTACATCTTGTTCAGGTCGATCTTGCCCAGCTTCTCAATGTAGACAGGGCGGCCATCCTATTTGATCACCATCAGTTTTCAAATCCCCAGGTATGCCGATTCACTTGGAGCATGGAGAATAACCCACCTTGTCGGTCTTGTGGTAGTACTGGGGGTAGTACTCGAAGACCTTTTCCTTCTCGGTGTACTCGAAGGTGCCAGCCAACTCATCGGTGCCGAACTCCTTGCGCCACTTCTCGCTGTTGGTGAACCTATCGAGCGGGGTTAGACCATCCAAACAACAAGACTCGACAAAACGCCCCGACACTGGCAGCTGGAAACTATCCAGACTCGGGAAGATTCAGAACGTACATGGCCTTGGCAGCCTCGACATCAAACTTGCGGGCACGCAGGAAGCGCAGCAGGGTCAGAGTATCCAGGCGCTCGGTGTAGCCGAGCTTTTCCAGATCCGCGCGGAGCTGGTGCACCTTTGCATCCTGTTCCGGGGAGGTGTGGCCGGGGTGACCGGGCTGTGCCTCCGGGGCGGTGGTAGGGAAGTCGTACTGGTCGTACTTGGGGTCGGTAGGTAACTGGGACTCGGTAGCCGCCATTGTGGTGATGAGAGGGGTATGTTCGAGGGGTAGAGGGAGAGTTGTTGAAGGAGAGCGGGAGGCGGAGTGAACTGGCGTAAGTGGCCACTTGGGTTTGTCAAAAAAAAACAAAAGTCAGGGATCGGCCAAATTTATTGAGACTACAGCAAATACTTATACGAGCAAACAGATTATACGATAATTCCGAGACTATTGTGCTATACCCCTTCAATGTCCCGGGACGTCAATGTATTCCACCTATATTGCCCGAGCGCCAAGGCAATCATTAACCTCCTTTCTAAAGTAGACGAAGGCAGCAAGACACAGTGGAAAAGGGGCAGACGAGGGGCAAACGTGGCGGTGTCCGCAGTGGACACTGGACAACGCGTGTCTGAGCTCCGTTGCATAGTGTCCGGGTAGTATATAGTGACCTGTCAAGTGCATATCAAAACGGGTATTCAATTCCAAGTCCCAACACACGGTATTATTACAGCACAAGGAGACCGAAGTCTCGAAAACAAAAGGGGAATTTCTAGGGCTCAGCGCCCAAAGCGGGAAGACAACTATGCGCTGGGTATAGAAATGGAGAGGCGCGGAAAGGGGCCACCAGAAAAAAAAAAAGAAGTAGGCAGAAAAAGAAAAGAAAAGAACAGAAAAGGTATGTATCAACAAAAAAATCACATCGTCGACTTCCCGTCCAGCGGGGGGCCTTGATCATCCTCCATGGGGTATGTTCGTGTATCAGCAACATTCACAAAAGGGCATTGCGCCCGATCTGCGGGCAGATCCTAGTCATTGGAGTCATCGGATCCATCATATGGGGACATGGGAGATGACGTCCATCGTCACATTAGGGGCCTGGGGCACATAAGAATGCACCATGGCGGGTTGAGCGAAACGTCTGCTCGAACTCATCATTCATCAAGGGCGAGGCCGTAGCCTTTACCACCCCTTCTTTCGTGCAAATCGTTTGTTGAGGAGCGCAAGCACCTTGGTCACGTTGAACTGGACGTACTCCAGGTCAAGGTCTTCAAGGTTGTCCTTCTGCATTTCCAAGAGATCATCGAGCTTGAGATCAAGTTCGAGCAATCCACGGGCTCGTCCTGCAACAAGTTAGTACTATGACTTTCGGTGGGAAAATGGAAGAATGGTGACATACCCTTGTAATGGAGACTGATGACGAAGGTTCCAGGGAGCGGACTCTTGAACATGAAATAGATGTTCGCTCGTCGGTTCTCCGGGACATTACTGCGTCGAATGACGCCTTCCTTCTCAAGCTGTTGGTGGGTGAACTTGTACGGGCCAAGTTCTTGGTTCTTGGGGGTCTTGCCGCCACGAGTCTTGCCCTCGGACTGGCTGCGCACGTTGTGAAGGTATGATTTGTAAGTCTCCAGCTGCCCGACCAAATAAGCGTTGTGGTCGCGGATCGTGGCAAAGACCTCCTCGAGCTTGCGCGTCTCCTCCAACACTTTCTCCTTGAGAGAGCCCAGGTGCACCAACTCCTGCTCCACTTCATCACGGAGGAGACTGAACTCGTCGGAGCGGTCGATCACCCCCATATCTTGCAGCTGGCTCAGCAGCTCCATAGTTCGGATACCCTTTCGGACCATGACGGCATCATTCTTCAGGGTAGCCGCAGCCTCGGCGATGCGATCGAGGCGCAGAGGCCGACGGGCGACTGACGTGTTTTGTGGGAGCGATCGCAGAATTTGGACAAAGGTTGACTTGGCCTCCATAAAGAACACCTCTTCCTGGGTGATATCGAGAGCGGCCGTTAAATCGTCCAAGGCGGTCTCCCATTTGCTGAACAATGGGACTGTAATGGTGCGGTTCTCCTTGCGGGGAACCTGAGGAGGTGCGCCACCCAATTCCTGAAGCAGGACAGACAGGTGCGAATATTGATCCTGGGCAAGGGCTGTCGCATGCTTCTCCAGAAGGCCGTGCATGACGTACATTTCGTTGAGAGTGATTTGGAGCTCCAGGTCGCGCTTGGACAGCGCCACATAGTTGTCCATTTCGAGGCTCTCGTAGAAGTCCTGCACCTCACACAGGTCAAGCAGGAATTTGTTGACACGCTCTTTGTTCTGCTGGATGAAGGGTTGCAGACTGGCCATGTAAGGCTCCTTGGCGTAGGACGGCTTGTTGGCCAGGTTTTGAATCATCTTCGCGATCAGAGTGAGGGTACGGCGGGGCTTATCGGTCGGAGTGGCATCGATCAGCATGTAGGAGCGAGGGGTGACAATCGCCGGGTTGATGAAGCGCAGGAAGAAGAACCCGCCGATCAGGGTACAGATGGTCTGGTCCTGGGCATCGGGGTACTTGCGACGGGAGAGACTTCGAATCTGCTTGCAAATCCAGCGAATCCCGTAGGGAGCCTCATCCACCGAGTCGATAATAGTGGTGATGAATCCATTGGCAATGTCTGTCAGCATCTTCAGGCGCGGGGCAATGATAGCCTGCACTTGGGCGTTGTCAGCGGCATCTTCGGCTGTCACAGATCGGGCCAAGTAGTCTGGCAGGGAGCCCGTCTCCTCCTCAATCTGCTTGATCATGCTTTCATACACCTTCAATGGGTTGATCTCCAAATCCACGTCGCGCAACTCGATGAGGGCGTTGATCTGGTCGGCCAGAACCTGTTTTAAGTAACTCTGGCCGGGTCCGCGGCGGGTGTATGTGGTCATCATGCGAGAAACGGGGGTGTTTTGGCGGAGCAAAGAGGAGTATTCCGGGGTGTTATCGAATTGGTAGGTCAGGACGGACTGGAACATGGTGAGCAAGAGGTGCTCTTCGCGGCTCTCGTACTGGTTTCCGTAAATGGTGAACATGACAGTCTGGAGGAGGGAGTCAATCTCGGCCATGGAGACGAGTCGACATAAGTGCGCGATATGGCGGGGTTCGGATTGCAGGAGGAAGAGCAAATTTCCGTATTTCTGGGTTCGATCATCATTCGGGAAGAATCCTTCCTGGGGGTCTGCGGTATCATCAAGGTGGCTGGCGACTTCATTTTGCTGTTCAGGGGAGAAAAAAAGGACCCGTCAGCCAAAACCTCCACGGGGTGAGACAGGGGAAACGCACTTCTTCCAACGCCATTCGGTTCTGAATCAGCAATGCGATTCGCGAGTCCAGGTATCGCACATCCTTTTCCAACACGAAGTTCTTCTTCGATTGCGAGGAGATTCTTGACTTGAGATCCCGCAGGTGTTTCTGCGCTGGGGGAGGGTTAGCGCGACCGCGAGTCTCGCCGCTGGGAACTTACCTCGCGCCAAGTCGTCTGAAATCTCCAAATCCCTGTCTTTGGCGGACATCGACAGGTACAAAGCCGTGACCGACATCCGCTTGGATTGCCGCAGCGAGCGAGTATCGTGCGACGACATGGTGTTTTGTCGTGCGACGGGCTGGAAGGAGGAGGAGGATGAGGAGGATGCTCGAGATTGTCTGGACGCAGGTTGAAGCATCGTCGCAACGGACATGGTGTGCGCGAGTTCCCAAGGGGTTTCGGACGAGAGGGAGTGAACCAAGAAGAGTAGAGATTATTATGGGTGGATCTTGGTATTAAAACCGGATACCGGTATCTTTCATGCAAGGGGTATCTTTACCCCTGGCCCAATGCACATACACTTAACACTTCTTTGCCACTTCTCCTTTCTTGACGTCAAGTCTGTATGTACCTGCGTTATGCATGAGTTCTTGACGGTTTCAGGTAAACAGCCAGAGGTACTCCGTACTTGTGCAGTACTAGCACTCATCTAGTAGGACTATTATGTCCGGGTACCTATGTAGGTACTAGTAGGTAGTACTTCTATCCATGTACGTACATAGATTAAAATTGAGCAAACCATGCGGGGGTGTAGGTGAGAGACATTGGTCTATGCGCTCAGGGGTAACCAGAGTGGAGTCTAGTGGGCCCTCAGACTTTTATCATCTACACAGTCCTGCAGACATATTGCTGCCACTCTGTACTAGTCCCTCATGAAACGCGCCAAAGCTCTGATTACTGATCCTGCTTGAAACTGGGTCCCAGTATCCAGGATCTGAGTACTTCTCAATGTACTACTGGTAGTACTACACTACTGGTACTTTGTACTATACTATACTTTGTACTACTAATACGAATGTACAATACGGAGACAAGGCTCGGTACTTCCCTCCGTAAAGATCGTCGAGGACCAAGAGGGGCGCGACGATCAGGATAATTCTGCGAAACTTGGCTCGGAGTGGGGAATGGTCAGTGCAGACGTTATAGCACTGCATTGAGTAACTACTGAATAGGAACTACTACTTACATGGTGTGGATACACAGTATACCCTGGTAACCTTGGAAGTACTGAGTATATTACTATCTACATACTGTATACACAAACTACTCGGGACGGACCCTCGGTTCTTGCGGCAGATTAATGTTTCACTATGCCAATGGCGCCAAAATAGAAACATGGGGCCATTGTCTCACCTGCAGCCTGAACCGTTGACCTGCCGTTATGCATATACCTGCATCACCTCAGTAAGCTATGAAACAGGAAGGGTTCCTGGGAATTGAGGTCCCGTTCAGGGGCTGAAATCTTATCTGATCGACACGCTCAACTTCATTTTTATACAATTGATACCGGAGGCGGGCACTGCCTAGCATCTTACACGAAGACCCTTCGCAAGCTTGGAATTGACAATTTCCAAGTTCTGAATAATGCTAGACAGACCAAGACATAGGTAACATATATATAAAAACAGCAGACTCAACATTCAGTTCAACCCTGAAATTCAGGCATCTCTTTCCTATCTCGGCAAAGTGCTTAACCCTGGGGGGTTCCACCCCGTGCCCTAACCTTGGAACTATATATCTCTATGTGGACAATTTATACCTAGGTACCAAGGTAACTGAGAAAATTGAGACCTAATGAAGATCATACATGTAAAGCATAGCGATCAGCCAAACAGCTTAGCAAAAGCCTCGCTGCTTAGTTGACCTTGAGCTGCCTTGCTGTTGTTCGTGGTGATAAGGTTGCCAAATGACTGCTCCACGTTCGCTTGAGCCGCTCCTGATATACCCTGAAATGCTCTAGATCCATTTTGTGTCACTGCCTGGCCAAATTTCTGCCCAGTCCGACCTTCTTTGGTTATAGTGAGAGTCTCTTCACACAGTTCCCGAAGCTGTCGAGTCCATTGTATGCCCAAAGCATCCGAGGATGCTTCAGTTCCCTCTGGCTCGAGCCGATCCAGCGCCATTGTTTGTGTCGATGCTTGCAAAGACGTCTCTGTGCTGCGCAGTTGCTGGGAAAGATCCACCAGAGCTTGCTCTTGGGTCCTGAAGCGATCTGCGAGCTGGTCGACATTTCTCGATGTATCTTTGGCAAGGCATCTGTTTCTGATTAGTTGGACTCTGGTCAAGCTTTTCGAGCATAGCATACAAAATGATTGAATCCACTACCGCATTCACGGTTTGTTGATATTCGCCCAACAGTTTGTTGTATCTTTGTATCTTCGATTCGCGAAGGCTGACGGTCAACCGGTCCCGTGTACTAAAACTCCCACCGGTCGAATGTCTAGTGCACTCTTTGAGCACCACGGAGAACTCACTGCAAAGTCCTTGTGCTGACTGCAGTGTGTCTTGAAGCGGGATTCTGCGCAAAACAGACTCCAGTCGGCCGGACCCTTCAGGTGTATCAGAAGTCTGTTCGATATTCTCGTGTAGCGAATCGAAGGTTTTTTGAGTGATTGAAAGAAGCGTTTTCGCGTTGGACATGACTTGTGGTGCTCCAACCAACTCATGGATGAGGCCGTATGTCATCTTACAGCTCTGCGCTGCAAGTGTCGCAACGGCTATGACACTTGCTGCTGTACTTAACGGGTCCATGTTGTTCTGCCGCGGCTTGGGTGATACTAGTCGATGTCGATCTCGTAGGTACTGCTGGTTATCACCTCTTGAAAAGAACGGATTTGAATAGGAGAGGGAACAAATATCAGCTTTGGGATCAAAGTGATCTCTTATTTATCTACCTATTCAAGCGCCACGGAAGTATCTCGTGCCAGGTGGATGAGATATGTGTACGTGCCCCCGGTTTCCCTCAACCTACCGCCCGGGCGAAGTATCTACGCGCCCATGTCGCATTAGCTTACACTAATTTCAGATACCTAGCGCCAGGCTGTGGTGATATTGGAACATAATTGGAAACTCGGATCTTACTAGTATCGCTCATGCATATATATACGCGCCCGTGGTGTCCAGGTGCCTCGTGAGGTCAGCTTGCAGTTTCAGCCGCATACACATTTCTCCACCTTTAATACCCAGATATGTCAGGGCTCTCTCAAGTTCCAAAGTTCTCATTAACCGTCTTCTTCCAAACTCGCAGGGACAGATGAGGATCCATTGCAGCGTTTGAGCCTGCTCGTATTGCACCATGGAAACCTCACTCTCAAACAGTCACCAAACCTTTGGGCGCACGGAAGCGACCAACGGCAGTCACTTGTTTCAAGGCGTTGTAAACGGGAGTATTCATCACCACTGTGAGTTGATCGTGTCGATACAGCCTACGTTTACCCGTGCTGCTCCAGGGCTGTTACCTTACCTATCCCGAGGTCTCAATCGACATTGACTGATTTTACCAGGGAATGCCCCCGAGCTACAGAACTCTCAACCACATATATTTGATGATCTCCCGTTGGCAGCTTTCAACTCCACAGGAAGGGATCAAACCTACTGTCTTCCGGGTACCCGAAAAGGGTTGCTAGAAGAAATCAGGATATGGGCCAATGGGGATGCAACGCGCCGGGTGTATTGGCTTGAGGGGATGGCTGGCACTGGAAAGTCCACCATAGCTCTGACAGTTGCCCGTGATCAATATGAACGCCGTCGTCTCGGCGCCAGCTTTTTCTTCACAAGGGGCGGAGGAGGCCTTGCCTCAGCCCGAAGCTTCGCGGCTACAATTGCTTCCCAACTGAGAGAATTCTCCCCAGAGCTGAAGAAAGGCATCGACGATGCTGCAATGGCAAACCCCCGAATTCAAACCTTGACACTATACGATCAGTGGAAGAAGCTTGTGATAGAGCCTCTCTCGCGCCTAACGAATGAATCGATATCGCATCCACTTGTCATTGTCATTGACGCCTTGGACGAATGCGATGAGGGCGCATCGTACGGCGATAAAACATTCTCGGTCTTGGTTCAATGCCTCAAAGATGTCACCACGATAGAGAGTGTTGAAATTCGAGTTTTCGCCACCAGCAGACCACATGGAGGAATTAAAATGGGATTTGACCGCATTTTGAACAAAGCCTTTCGGGGTCTCATTCTCCAGGACATCGAGAAATCGATCGTCGATGAGGACCTGACGATATTTTACAAAGAAAAGCTCGGTGAAGCCGCCGATTGGTTGTGTCGACCTGATTTGCGCTGCTCCGATGAGGCTATCAAGCATTTGGTCGAAAAGTCCCATGGGCTGTTCATTCACGCTGCCACCATATGCAGATTCATTCTGAATGGAAAAGACTCTGCTCATGATAGGCTTTTGAGTCTTCTCGCCACTGGAAACAATTCCGTAAAGGCAGAAATCGAGCTGGATAAGCTGTACACCACAGTTCTGGAAAGTTCGTCGACCGTGAACCCGGAAGCCGAAGAAAGACAGCCGAAGCAAGAACTGTTTCATCGAATCATTGGATCCATTGTCATACTATTCGATGTAATGACGATTTCGGATTTGGCTATGATGCTCCAAGAGCCCAAGGAGCAAGTTCTCACAACGCTGAACCTACACAAATCTGTGATAGACGTCCCAGAGTCCAACCTACACATTCGACTGCTGCATCCATCGTTTCGAGATTTTCTTCTAGACTCTACCAGGTGTCGCCATTCAAGCTTTTCGATTGATCCCAGAGAAGCACATGGTCGCCTCTTCAGATACTGTCTCCGAATTATGAAAGAACACTTACGGCGCAACATGTGTAGCTCTTCGCAGCCTGCGACAAATGCACGAAATCACATTTCCAAATCCGATATGGAGATGGATATTCCTGTTGCCGTTCAATATGCAAGTTGCTATTGGATTCGCCACTTACAGCAAAGCACCATCGATCCCACAGGAGATACTGATGTATTGGAATTTTTTCAATATAGGTTTCTCTATTGGTTGGAAACTTTGGCCTTGATTGGCCGGCTATCGGACGCCCTTGTGCTGATGGAGGTTTTGGGAAAGATGGTATCGGTACGTTAATTTCATTTGCGAATGTGAGGGCAACGTTAATTTATTGAAGATCCCAAATACCAAACCCCAGTCTCGGAGATGGCTCTCCAAAAAGCTACTCGGCAAGTCAGAGATGCTTCGCAGCCCTCGCAACGATGTCTCCATTCCACTAAATCTTGTACTCGACGACGCAAAACGATTTCTCCGAAGTCACATATCAATCATTGAGAATGCACCATTGCAATTATATTCCTCTGCAATGATGTTCAGTCCAACCTCCAGTATTACAAAGCAACGATATTACCACGAACTTTCCAACTGGACACTCTCAAAGCCTGGTCTTACTGAGAAATGGGAATCCCACTTGCAACAATTCATTTGCCCATATCTCATCCGAGACGTGGCATTCTCGCACGACGGTGGCCTACTTTGCGTTGGGCTAGGAGATGGCGATGTACACCTCTGTGAAATAGCCACAGGTATAGAGCGAAAAGTCCTATCCACCAATAAACGCATCAGTGCGTTGGTACTCTCATCTGATGGCAGTCTCATGGCCATTGGATTTAGGAATGGTGGGGTTTCACTCTGGGACCTCACGACTTTGAGCCTGCTACACTCCCTAGAAGCGGAGGGGTCGGTCATTCAAGTGGCATTCTCACCCAGCGGCAATGTAGTGGCTTCTTGTTTTACTGCAGTCCATCAATGGGATGTCAACACGGGATTGAAGCTGCACACCCTGATACATCAAGACGCCACTGACGACAGTCATGCATTGGACAAACTCTCTCTTGATTGTACCAGTCTGACATTCGGCGTCAAGGGCAACAAAATCGAACTCCGGGATACAGTGACAGGCGCAACGAGATGGCCCCTTCAAGGCGACTCGCTCTTGAAAGGCCTCGGGCGCATCCATCCCTATGGGGGACGTCAAGTCTCACCCAATGGCAATCTAATTGTAGTTGAACTTGAGTCTGGTCCAGTTACGTGGGCTCTCTTCGACATTGCAACAGGAAAGAAAAGAGTTTGGAAACCTTTCAAGTCTGAAGAGAAACATTTTCGACCCTTGCGTTTTGCATTTTCGCCTGATAGCGAGCTGATTGCTGTTTCCAATTCTTCCGGAATCGAAATCTTCCATATAAAAACGTGGAAGATGTTGGCTCGTCGAGATGATTGCGAAGGTGCCATTCAGCATATCTCATTCTCACCTAATAGCCAGCTTCTCGCCTGTTGGAATTCGCGGTCAGTCAGTCTCTGGGATATCACAACGTGTGAACGGTGGCACACGTCAGGAAGTCGCACCCAAAAGGTCATAGGAAGAATCTCTTCCGTCAACGGCAACATGTTTGAGTCGTTCAACTCTGAATTCATCTTTCGGAATCCAAAAACACACAAGTCTCAGACTATGAAGATGAAGAGTCCGAGAGAGGGAAATAACTTTCCCAGAATTGCTGTGTCCCTCGATGGTAAGCTAATGGCTTCCGCCTGGGCGGCGGGGAGAGTCTACCTCTGCGACACGGGGACAGGCGCACTCAAGCACACTTTCCATGCAGAACAAGAACGGAGATGCTCTACAGTGAAAATTTCACCAAATGGCGTATTCGTGGCCTTTGCACCAACAATGGGAGTGGTGTCAATATGGGATTCAACCACAGGGAAACGACACCATCAAGTTTTGCCCTATGACCAATCGCCATTCGGTCCCGAAGACATGGCTTTTTCGCCTGATAGTAGGCTTATAGCCTTCGGGTTTTGGGATGGTGTTATCTCCATCTGGGAGATTGAACACGACACGGCTTGTGCAAGGACAGAGTTTTGTCATAGTGTCAGCCGGATCAAAGCTTTGGCTTTCTCTCCCGATACTAAGCTCCTGGCCTCGGGATCTGATGATAGTCAACTTTGCCTCTGGGACACGACAACAGGGACGAAGCGGTGGGCCTTGCAAGGCTCTCCTAAAACGAAACGTATAAGCGGCCTGGTATTAGTGGCATTTTCGCACGATGGGGAGCTCGTAGCTTCTGCATTCAACACTGGTTCAGTGACACTCTGGCACGTCAAATCCGGTACAATACATCAGACCGTCACTACTGGTGGGGACTTGAATTCCCTTTTCTTTTCCGACACGGGTTTTCTCACGGATCGCGGACCCCTTCCACTGTCTGACAATTCTCAATCCATCTTTGTTTCAGAGGATTGGATCATGGTGGGAGAACAACGCGTTGTCTACATCCCGCCGGATTACCGAGAATCTCTTGCGTTCGTTTCTGGGGACACAGTGGGCTTTCTCGACAGCTCAGGTCAGGTTCAGACGTTCCGCTACAATCTTCCGTGATGTACAAATCCAATACTGTGTACTTCATTTCCTTCATGTATTTCAATTAAACAGAAAGTACTATTTCCTACCAGCAGCTAAACAAGTCTCAATGATGTATACTAACACACGAATAAGATGACCCGGAGGCAGCTGCACGAATACCTAGGTAGGCGTATGGGGCTAGGTACGTATACCTACTGTAGGTATCACCTGGGCAGTGCACATGAGAGGCAGCCTGGATCATCTCGATACATCGACCAAGCGCAGCTTCGTCAAGTTACTCCAAATGGAAGGATGGTGAGTAGTATGCCACTCAGCTTCCGAGTTCATTCCACTGATACAAACCGAAAGGTACCTACAAGAACGCGGAAACTTCATTGACGGTAAACCGCTGTACGAACTTGGAAGTTTTGTTTGCAACAATGCTTCGAATGAAATGAGAAATCTTCAAGCTGGTATTGTGTTCAATCTGGCAAATGTTGCGAGTGAGACAAATCAATTTCAATCCTGTCTCAAGTATGAGGAGCATTCACTGAGAACAAAAGAAGCTCTCCCAAACTGCCGAGAGACTCTCCTAGCAACATGCCACTGGCTACAACGATAAGAAGCAGGCGTTTGGAAGGTACACGACGGAGACAGGCCCACATGAATAACCCTCCTAGAGTTCGTGATAGAGTGAAAACAGGAGTCGTAAAAATCCCTGGAAACAAGGTCAGATATCGCCACATACGTAGTAGGTAACAACAGAGATAAAACGTTCACAAGATAGAGAAGAAACATACCGATGGCAAAGGAAGCCCCACTGGGAACATAAACCTGCCACCACTTGTCCTGAAACCTCATTTTTATCACTGTAGCAATAGCAAAGAAAATTCCAAAGCCCAATGCGTAGCCGCCTGCGCCGGGGGGAAGTCCTTTGTTCAAGACCATTTTCGCAGTACTGACTTGAAGGAAGGAGTTTGGTACCTGAATGAAGTCCCCTGGAACTGGAAACTGATTCGTAAACAGTCTGTACGTCAGACAAGACACAAGGGCGCCGAAAACTGATCCGATTATCTGACCGTAAGTCTGAACTTCTGGAGGCGCACCAACCAGTTGCCCTATCTTGAGGTCAAATGCAAGATCGCCGGATTGATTGGCTCCTCCGTTCGCGATCGCAGCAGATAGAATGTTAATCATCACGCTGTTCGGGTTTGATCGGGGAGTTATGGCGGCCAAAAACAATTGGGCCGCTTTGCACACACGACAGGGGTCAGTCAAACTGTAGCCATGAAAATAACAAGGGATCCGTGAATTGTAGAGCTTATAATGGTAAGCTTGATTCAGACATACCTAAGCCACTGCCTGCATTGAAGTCAGATTCTGCCAATCCACGAATGCCAGTCATTGCTACTGGCAGGGCCAGCATTATTGAGACAACTGTGTAATACCAAGGCATTTTGTTGCCAAAGACTAGATGTGTGGCAAGGACGCAGGCCAGGATAGAAGCAATGAAGCCCGCCGACAAGACGTAACCACCATATGAGCTCTTGCGTCTTCCATCGAGTGATGCTAGAGAAGTAGGACATGAGAGTTCGTCAGCAACATCCTCAGCTGCATCTTCACCATCGACATCGTGGTTTGTTGTCGCCGGGGCATATTCATGCGGTTGGTCAGGCAGCATAATCCTTTGGCGCCGGAAGAGAGCGAGTCCATCATCCCAGGTCCAAGGACATAGATGCCCGAATTTCTCCCATATGACTTTGAAATAAATCCAGATCATTTTGACGAGAGTGTCGGCCATCAAGCAAGCCAAACTGATCCAGATCAACCAGCCACGGCTTCCAGTCTCCCAATCGCTAACATCCCCTGGGGCCCAGCCTTTGAATTTGACATAGGGGGACAATATACCCCAGCCAATGACTGCACCCATCAGCATATGCAATACGATCTCTGGTCCCATGATCATTCCCGATCCAAAAAAGCCAGGCGACAAACTAAATGTCCATAGCCACTTTCGAGCCGCTTGGCGGCCAAACAGAGGTATATCTTTCGTTATTGGAACGAAAAACATGAACACTGTCTGTAATTTGATAAGTATTGTTTAACTTCAGAATAGAGCGGGAAGACTCACGAACAGAGCCGACCAAGCCGCAGATGTTAGAATGAGACTCAAATCTCTTGGTAGCTTTTCAGGTTCAGGCCCGGCCTCTTCGTACTCTTCACGAGGAGTCGAGTCTGATAACAAGCCAGTCGTGACTCTCGGTTCAGTATCCGGCGTGATTGGAACTTCCAACACAGTATTCTCTTTAGTATACAGTGCATTGATCACATTTGCAGATGCCGTTGCACCGGGCCAAGGCCAAACAGTCGGAAAAATCAGGCGATCTTTCAAAAGGGCAGCGAAGAGGATACCGAAAAAGCTCAATCCAAGGGACCAGATTATCATTTGCGGATATCTCAGTCAAAACGAGCCTCCCTCATTTGGCCCAAGAATGAATTCTAGCGCCGGTATGACCTCGGTGAAGCCAGCCGTAGCAGGCATGCAGCCTGTCGCAGTGGCGGTGCTTACGATCAGGACATTTTCCGCCTTGGTGAGCGGCGCGAAATCGAATTTGGCCAGTGCACCAATTGCCAGATACCCCAGCAGGGCCGAGACCGTGGGTAATGTGCACCCGCTCCCGTTTGTAGGCCGTAATATGTATTGCAAAGGTTGATCAATACTCCCACCAGCAGTCCGACTACCAGCGCCCGCAAAGTGAAGCTTTGTGGTATCAGAGCATCGCGGGAGGCAGGTATCTGACGCAATAACCCCGCTGGTTCCGGATCAAGACGATATTGAGACTCAGTGAAGCCCGAAGACATCACGACGAATGGAGGGAATGGCTTGAGGTCACTCTATAGCCGTGAATGGAAGTGACATCCATTAAGCCCCTGTGAAGACGTTGGCTCCCATCCAACAACGCCCCAACTTCTGCACGTGATTTTGTATCCCAGGACCCCTGCACGAAACTGATTCGGACACGGACGGGAATATTGCTGCCCACTACGGAGTACTCCGTACACTAGTCTACGCCCGAGCAGGCCTGGTCAATAGAGGCGAGTTGATTTTGGCTGGCACAGGGCCTTGTTTCGGCGTCATTTATTTGCGACTAGAATTCGGGGACAGTAACCAGACCGAGATGTATCTGGGCGGGTGGATTGTCTGAGACGATAAGAGGAGGCGGTTAAGGGCCGGCCCGCCAACCTTCCAAGGTTTGTGGGTCATTTCTTTGGAGGCTCAGCAAAAATCACCTACACCCAATTTCAATCTCAACCCAGAGATGTTTCGAGTATTGAAAATGTACCGTGGATTGAGGGAGCTGCGAGATTGCCTGGTAAAGGCGTGCCCAGGGTGAATGACTCCTTCGAGTCACGCCAACAACTCCTAAATTCCAAGGCCCAGAAGGTATAGGTAACTACTTCAGTATACAGCAGAATAGAAAATAAATACTCGAATGTCACAGGAATTGGCAAGTCATGTATTCACTTCCGTAGGGCTGAATCATGTTCACAGCGCCGATGAACCCTCGAATGGCCTGCAATTAACGATAATGGAGATTTGGAGGCGCCTTTTATAATACGCCTACCACGCTACGCTGTCAGGATCTCAACCTAAAGAATGGGGAACAGGGCATCAATGAGCCCTGTATGTACCCGAGTCACATCTTGATACAATGTGGTCATGACCTGATATTCTCTAAATGTACATAAAGGCAAATTCCGAAGCCTTCATAGACGTGGTATCGCTATGCTAACTAATCAAACACAAACAGCAGACCCATCCAAACCCCATAAATGCTTTTGTCGAGACTGGTACATACTCCAACCTACTGACGGAACGTAAGAGACTTGCCAGTCTCGTCCCGCTTGATTTTGCGCGCGCCAGAGGGTGCCTCCATGGCCTTGGCGTAGGGGTTGAAGGCCTTGCGGCGGGGTTGGGTGGCGGTGGCAGCAGAAGGCGCGTTGAGAACGGCATCGGCCGCGCCGTAGTCGAAGGGTGCTTCGGCTTCGGCCTTGGCTTTCCTGGCCTTCTCCTCCTTCTTCTCTTCCTTTCTCTTCTTCTTGTCCTTGCGAGACTTCTTGCTGACCACTTGGATGACGTCGGGGTTGCTGGTGTCGTCGAGGTCGGCTGTCGTAGAAAGGGCTTGTTCGGGGTTGTCGATGGGAGTGACCTTGCGCTTGCGGGGACCGCCAAGGTCCTTCACGGTGAAGTACTTCGGTGCCTCGGGCTTTGAGGGGGCCGGGGCCGGGGCAGTCTGGCTGGCAGTGGGTGGAGAGGCGGTGATGACCTGTTCCTGGGGTTCGGAGATGGTGGTTGGCATGGGTGGCAGAGGGAGAGAAATGCGCATGGCTTCTGCGAGGGCGGAAAGTGTATGGGCAATTGGAAGAGACGGTTCCTTCGCTTTCAAAACATCACCCCAGAATTGAGATGTCTCGCACCGTCCTGCGACAGGGGCACTGGGATCCGACTGGGGGGTGGTGTCTTCGGGGGCCTTGAAGACGTGTTTTGGTGGTGCGATGTCCCGCCACTCAGGGCCATCGATGCTGTCGACCTTGGCTTGCTTAATAACATCCAAGAGATCCGAGGCACGCTCCTTGGTGATGGGGGTCATTGGCGATAAGGTGCGGAACAGGGTACCTAGGTCAAGGGGCATAGTCTGGGCAAGCTTGAACAACATGTGCTTGGGGTAAACACATTGCCAGCCCTCATCTTCGGCGCGCGCAACTTCGTCGCGGAACTGATGGACTGCCTTGAAAACAGCGAATTGCTCCTTGGAGAAATTTCCCGGGTTACGCCAAAGCAGATCGTACCAGCCTCCTGGGCCAAGGCCGTTCGCGGCATCATACACAGGACGCTCATACCGCTGTAGAGCCTCCTTCTTGGAACCCTCGTTGACGTAATCAATTTTGCTTGCTTCCTCGGTGGAGTCTTCAATAAGGTCGTTTCGGAGGCGGTCGTAAATGTAAAGCAAATAGTGGGTATCCGAGCGGGCATAGTCGAACATGCCAGTGGGAAGTGGGCGAGCTCGCCAATCGGCAGTCTGATAGCGCTTGTCGGCTTCGAAGTTGACGAACTTGCTGAGCAGGAATTTCAAGCTGCGCTTGGGGAAACCCAGTGCGGATGCAGCATGGAAAGTATCGAACATGCCGACCATATAGAGACCGAGGTCACGCTGCAACCAAATGATATCCATGGTGGCACCGTGCAGGACCTTCAAGATCTTTGGGTCCGCGAAAACTTCGTTCAGAATTTGTAGTTCTTCTCTCCAAGGCTTCAAAGTGTCGACAACCCAGTCCTTCTCCCGGGTGCTGATTTGCATCAAAGATACAAGACCGTGATATGAGTGGACATCGTGGTGCTCCAAATCGACGGCAATCTCCTTGGCCTTTTTGAGCTCTTCCAACATATCCTTGACCCCATCCAAAGTATCCACGAACGTAGCAGTTGTGCTTTCGAATGGCAGGTAGTCAATAGGCGGGGAAACCTGATAGACAGGCTCCGGGTACTGGGACTCGCGGATCTCCGTCTCGTATGGATGAGGGTAAGCTTCTACACCATCGATTTTCTTCATCTTCAAAGACTTCTCCAATGGGACAATCGCGTGAGGCTTGGACTTGAGCAGGGGCTTGAATGGGCTCATATCGGTGCTATCCGGTTTGCGCTCGAACTCCAACTGAGGTTTGGGGATTTTGGATGGGCCGTAGTCGTAGATCGTTGGGAAGGCAGGTCCTTTCTTGGCTGGGGCAGCTTGCGCTTGTTCCTCCTGTGATGGGCTAAGCTTCTTGATCACACCGGTGAACTCATCCAAGCAGGCATCGGCCTTCTCCAATAGCGAATCAATCACATCCACCACGCTGCGCCAGTTGTCGTCGATCGAATCCTCATCTTGAAGGGTGGGGCCGGTCAAGTCTGTGCCGGCGTTGGCAGCTTTGATCACTGCAGATGTAAGCGCAAGGATGCGCTCGCTTTCTTCATCGAGCGACTTGGAAAATTCCGCGCTGGAGGTGCGATGGAAGTTGAGGTCTTCTCCCGCGAGGTATCCGGCAGTCTTAGAAACGCGGAGAACAGCGGACGACAAATCCTCGTAGTACTGGGAGAAACCTGCAGGGTCCATGTTGACTAGCAGAGCTTCAAGTCGGTGAATTGCAACGGATTGGAAATCGCGGAATGGACTCTCCGAAAAAAATCACAATGGGGAAAGGCCCGCGTTGACCGCCCGATACTGCCGAAAGTCTACAACTTCACCGCATTGCATTCCTCTTCGACTATAGAGCAAGTACTCCGTAGTCGGATATCACTATCTTCAGCCATGGCTGCCTCTATCGCCCCAGAATGCAATGAAATCAAAGAGTCTGTCACATGGTCTGCAACGTCTACATCATATATTGACCAACTCTACAGGAAATATGACACTTGCTTCCTCAAGTGGTACAGCGACAGTATGAACTCCCGAAGCTGAGCTCATCATGCAGAAGTTACAGATGCTGATTATGGAGCAGAATACTTGCGTGGCAACACCTCATCAAATGACTGTGAAGCCTTGTTCCAAACATACAAGGGATGTCTGAACGTGAGTCTTGCCGTGGATCTGATCAGGGTTTGCATGTGTCTAATCAGTGCATTTAATGCCACAGAAAGTCTTGAAAGAACGCGGCATTGACACTATGGTGGAAGATGCTCGCAAGTCTGGCAGCAGTGAAACAGATGCCGAGTTCCTCAAAAAGTCATGAGAAGCTCGGGTTTGGGGCAATCAGGTCGTGAGCCTGGATCCCTCAATGCGATTTCGACTTTGATGCATGCAGTCCCATCTTTCCGCGTTGTGGACAGGAGTTATCGGTTTGGAATTGTGGTTTTCATTCTGTTTGTAAATAGCATATCTCACCTCTCAGCATGCTTCTCTACTCTTAACTGAATATGTTCTTTTCTCTGGGCATACATAATCCTTGAATGCCAGCCTACTGTTGTAAGTATACTACTGGCTAAAGATTCCATGCTCTAGACTCCCAAGGTTGACTCATTCTCAAGTATTTTACGTAGACTCAGACAGATGTATATAGATACAGCAGCGGTCTATAGCGCAATCCGCAAAGAGGCCCCAAATACATAAAGTGGGCAATAGTTGTACCAAAGTAGATGATCAATAAACCCAAACAGCATCAAACACTAGAAACAAGACCGAAATCAATACCTCAAAAGTAATAAGTAGAAAGTCGACATGTCGCCGAACCGAAGTATAAGCTTCTGCTAAGGCACTGTCACGTGTGCGACGGTCTAGACGATCACCGGTGACGAAGCAACTTGACTTCAATTTCAGTCGCGACTCCCTTGTCTCTACATTTTCTTCGATTTCCACCGCCTGCGAGTCTCCAGCATTCTATTTGTCGTGGTGCCTGACCTCTCTCGAACCTCTCATCCAACTATGCGCGCAACCCAAACGCGGATCGCCTGAACCACCTCGATTCATGCACCCCTTTTCCGTCCTCACACTTGGGATCTTCGTTGCGGGCTATATCACCGCTAGGTGGGATCTCGTTACCCGTCTATACGAATTGGCCATCTTTGCCTGGGATCACGGTGTCGTTGTGCGTCTCTCCGACCTCGGTCTAGGGCCCCTCCGCTTGCGACGGCCAGCTCTGGGGCTGTGCGGGATATCGTGAACAACGTCGCTAACCGTTTTCTATCCAGACACGGACTGCGAAAGGCTTCCTGTTTCTTTCCGTCTTCTTCGCCCTCCTCGTCCTGCCTATCAATCACCTCGCGTCCAAAGAGGGTCAATTGGTGAGCGAACCCGAAGCGATCTGATGCGCTGGATACCGGTCACGCATTATGGCATTCTGTGCCCAGCTGGGTTGATATACTGACGGTTTGGGGAAAATTAGCACCCGCGGCACGTGAATCTCGGCGTCTCTGCGCGAGAACAGTTGCGCCGACGAGGCTCGTTCTGAAAGTTGGGTGGAGGATGACAATATGCTCATGGGTGATGGACTGTTACGGGTATTCTGGCCGTATGATCTCCCACGATCCTCCTCACCGGGTGTGATTGTCGGATGGCGGAATTCAGAGCTGGATCTTTTTGTGCTCACGGTCCTGGAAGATGTCGAGGTAGGCGGTTTCCCCCATGGGTAACCTGTACATGAATTGACCTGTGAATGGAACAGCCGCGCAATGTCGATAATGCTCTCCGCGCAGGGATTCTGTTTCGCAACAGTCCTCACCCGATTGTGCGTATATTCAATCTATGTGGCCGCGCTCAAATGCATGTGCTTGGCTCGACCAATTCCTCTGTGCCGCCTACATCATTCAGCTCCTCACATCTCGATGTGGTTGCAACTCCGCCGTTGAAAGCTCCTCGGATATATTGTCCCCCAGAGGCAAATTTGTCTGTCCAAGTGATCATGTATCACCGACCGCATCCTACGCGCATGGAATACATGTCACTCTATCCGATTTCACTGGCCCTTGGAGACAAGGCCACGAGAACCGAAAGTCTTGGTCCATCCTCTGACAAGAATGAGCCAGACGAAGGCGGCAAGACTGGATCCAAGGGCTTGGTTGAGAAGCTCAAACTCCACTCGGTGGTGAAACATGTTCCATCGCAGAAGGAACAGGCTTTACCGCTGATCATCAACCAAGTCAACTGTGCGTATGAAATGTCCCAGCTCATGCACAAGAACAGTCATTTGATCGGTATTCGTGCCAAACGGAGCATGAGTGTTGGTGAGCGTGTGGTGGAGTCGGCGACTACACTGTGGGGGTTCATTGTCCTCTGCATTGCTCACGTCTTCTGGGAATGGATCTGGCCTGTCGTAACGCGGGTCTTCGTCATGGGCCTGGTATGTCATCGCTCAGTTGCGGAGGTTGTCCTGCAATTCCTTGAGTGGCGCGCTCGGCCTGATGCTGCTGCTCTCAAGGATATCTCGGCAACCGCCCAACAAGTGGACATACGCTTACAACAGTTCTGCTACTGGCCGATCCAGTATGTCAAGCTTCGACAGAGAAAGGATAACTGGGAGAGCGTGACGACCAGTCATCCGGATTACATCCGGTTCTACAACAGTCTGTGGCTTGTTGCCAATGATGTGATCATTGGAATCGCCATGGGATCCTATATCATTGACAATGCGAACTGGGTTGCTTCGCAAATCAACACTGTCCTGACTGGCTGGACTGTGGAAGGACTCCAGCGTACCATCTCCTGGCTAATGGACTGGCCCGCCGGCCTGAAGCTCAACAACGAGCTCGCAGCCTTCCTCGGTGACTTGTTCCTCTGGGTCATTGAGAATTGGGCAGCCTGTATCGCCAATCTCCAACCTTTCCTCCCCACCGTCATCTGGCTAGTTGGATGTTCAAGCTTTGCAGGAGCCAGCATGCCGATTGCAATCTTCTCCGACCTCCTTTCAATCCTTACAGTCCACATTTACTCCTTCTACATTGCCTCCGCAAGGATATTCAACTGGCAACTCACCATCATCATTTCCCTTTTCCATCTTTTCCGCGGAAAGAAACGCAACGTCCTCCGCAACCGAATAGACTCATGCGACTACGACCTAGACCAACTTCTCCTCGGCACTATTCTTTTCACCGTCCTTTTCTTCCTCCTCCCAACCGTCGTGGTCTTCTACCTGACCTTCGCATCCGCCCGGATGTTAATCATCACCATGAAAGCAGGTTTCGATACCTGTCTCGCATTCCTGAATCACTTCCCCCTCTTCGCACTAATGCTTCGCGTCAAAGACTCCCGGCGTCTGCCGGGTGGTATTCGCTTCGAACTCCGCGAGGAGCCAAACAAAGGCTCTCCTACCGCAGACTCATCTGCACTGGTTTCCTATATCCACCTGGAGGTATGTTTGCATCAAGACAAAAGAGCCATGAAATCAGCTAACATGATCCAGTCCATACCACTTCCGCTACGTGCAATGTTCGACCAATACTTCCAGCTTGGTCATCGTCTTCGGAAACATTACCTCGCTCCTAGAGTCATCTTCTGCCTTGTGACTGGCCGCTTCGTGCCTCCTATCCACCGCCGCAATCTATACAGCATGCAATATAGCATGCTTCCAGCCCGCCGGGCTGGCATGGCAGAGGTGTGGTCATTGCTCACGCAGCCGAAGAAAACCAGCAGCGGGAGTAGCGGCACCGGCTCTATGGGCGGAGGCATAGTCCCAGGTAATCCAGTGCCCAGGGTTCCTCCAAACTTTGGGCAGGGCGATCCGCGGAGAAGAGGGCACCGCTGAAGTGACTCTTGTACATAATACCAATGAGAAAAGAACATGCATACTGCTACGCTTCCGAAATTCAATTCATAGCACCAGTTAAGAGATGCGTACATTCCGTACAATAATTTCCGTATCCGAATGCCCCCGAACGCCTAACCCCATGAGAAAAAGGCTGTATAGAAATGATCCCACATCATAGAGCCTTGAGACCCTGGAAGACCTTATTGGCCTGTAATTTTTCATCACCCTGTGCCAAATCACGCATGACCTGTCTCTTTTCTTCGGCGGTCATTTCCTTGCCCTCTGTCGCCGCTTTCCACTTCATCAACATCCCCTTAAGCAAAGCACTACCTTCCTCGACATCCTGCTGAGAATACTTATCAAGCGAAGGAGCAAGAGCCTTCTGACCCGGCGAAGCAGAAGTGAAGTCCTCCAGCTCCTCAGCCTTCTGACGAGCCATATTAACAACCTTATTCGGGAAACGAACAAGTTCCGCAACATGGATTCCGAAAGATTGATCACAGATACCCGGTTCGACACGGTAAAGCAAAGTAACCTGGCGTTTCTTCTTTTCCTCAGCTTCGTCGATAGTTTCACTTGCTTCGTCTCCGATGAATGCTACGACGTGGAGATTCTTCACGGCCTTCGGGTACCGCTCTTCGAGGGCAGTGAGCTCATGGAAATGCGTGGCAAAGAGACCGAAGCATCGGATCTCTGTAATGATGTGTTCGGAAATAGCCCAGGCTAGACCGAAGCCGTCGTAGGTACTTGTTCCTCGGCCCAGTTCGTCAATGATGATGAGAGATTCTGAGGTGGCGGATTTGAGAATGTTGGAGGTCTCGAGCATTTCGGCCATGAATGTTGATACACCCTTTAGCTGGGAATCGCTGGCGCCGACTCGGGCGAGAATGCAGTCGAAGATTGTTAGCTCGGCTTCCGTGCAGGGGACGAAGCAGCCTGTTTGGGCCATGAGGGCAATTACACCGATCTGGCGAATGTAGGTGGATTTTCCGCCCATGTTGGGACCGGTGATGATGAGGAAGGAGGATTCGTCGCGGATCAGAGAGACGTCGTTTGTGATGAAGGAGATGTCGTCTTGCATTTCCATGCATGGGTGTCTAGCTTCTTTGAGGACAGTGTTTCCGGTTCCGCGAGGGTGAATCTTAGGACGGACGTAGCCGGAGGGTGCATGCATGGAGGCATGGGCAAAACTGACGATGACATCGAGATGGGCAAGCACACCGGCGAGTTGTTCCAGGACTGGACAGTAGGAGGCAGCGACATTGACGACCTCGTTGACTAGACCGGTCTGGGTTCGGTTGTAGTTTGAAGAGAGCTGGTCATGCTCTCGGCGAAGACTCTGCATGGTCGATGTCGTGAAGTAGACACCGTTCTTCTGCGTGGAGCATTCCTGATATTCGCGCTTGTTGCGAATACAGCCCGCCTCGTTACGAGTGAGACGGAAGCACCAGCCGTGAACGCGGTGGTTCTCCATGAAAAGCTTCTTCTCCATATCCTGCTTGAGATCTTGTGAGACTCGTCTGTGTTCAGCATCCATATCATGGCGCAGCTTGTCGAGCTTCTTCCTGATAATCCGCAGGCCATCATCGAACTCGGGCTTGATAATGAATTCATGGTTTTCCAAAGCTGCAAGATCAACGGTCGTTTCGACCATCTCCTCAAGCATGGCCAGACTGTCAGAGTAGCCACGGATCTTTGAAGTGTACTCTGTTTCAAGAGGTGTCTGATACTGTTCATCCATCACATCACCCAGGGCACTGACGAAGCCAGGCAAGCGAATAGCAACCTGGTATGCGCGAACAACATCTTCTAGATTAGCCTGCTTCCGCTGGAAACGCTTCGCCAGCCGGTAAAGATCGGGAATTGAGCGCAGATGCTCCTCCTGCATCGTCTGACGCAGCTCGGTGTTGACAACGAACGCCTCAACAAGCTGTTGCCGTTGCTCAATCGCTGCTAGATCCATCAGAGGCTGCTTGAGCCATTGAGCCAACAGGCGACTGCCCACAGGCGTCTTGCAGTGATTGAGCAGACCGTACAAACTCATAGACTTAGCACCGTCCCGCGGGCCAGGCATAAGGTTCAGGGCACGAAGCGCAGCCGCATCAAGCTTCATGTACTGCGACAGGTCATGCTGGTAGAGTTGATATTGACCAAAGTTCGTAGGATCAGTCATGACGTTCAGATACTTGATCAAAGCCGAAGCAGATCCCATAGCCAACTTCAGTTCCGTCTGAGGCAAAGTACTGGCAGAGCGCTCATCTCTCAGCAATCTCGTCAGATCCTGCTCGATATCCTTAACACCAAAGTCTGCAACCGGACGCTCAGAGATAGCAATGCCACAGCTATCAGCGATTGCGCGAATCTTGGCCAGTTCCACATCCTTCCGCGACGAATCCATAGTCACCAGACATTCCTTGACACCGAGCTGAATGACCAAAGACTCGAAATTGGAATAGATATCATTATCCAGGAATTCACTGACACCAAGCTCACGCACACTCGCATCAGCAAAGCACACGCCCACATTCCGCGCCTCAGCAGCTCGTGCAGAGATCTTCACTGCTAGAATGATAGGCGAAGAATCCTGCTGCAAAGCACCAACACTGCCAAGCTCTTCTTCGACATCCTGCAAATTTCCAGGACTAGCCTGCTTCGCCAGCTTCCAATTGCCCTTCCCTGAGCCTGCAGAGGCCCAGATCTCAACACGTTTATTAAGTCTGAAGAGTGCTTCTCGAAGGAAGTTCCGGAACACGGTTATGCTTAGTGTGACGGATGGGAGACCGCCGGTCTCGCTGCGGCCCAGGTTCCGGAGCACGGAGGTCGTTTTGTAGACGGTGCGTGCTATGAATTCGGCATTGGCCCCGTGAGACGAGTACCAGTCTCCGCGGTCGAATACGCGGATCGTCTCGTCGTTGTCGGGGGCGGGAAGGGAGCGGTAGAAGCCAATGAAGCCGACTTCGTCGTCGACCTGTGCGGGTTGGGTTAGTGATTGCTCAATTGGGTTGTTGTTCAGGATTTGATAGATTGTACCTTTAGATCAGGTCGAGAAGACATTGTGTTGTTGAAAGGTACAGCAAAACACGGAGTGGCTTCCAAGGTTCTGTTAAGGTAGTTTGGACGAGTCCACGACGCGCTGCCACGCGTGCACGTGATCGCGTCACGCGTTAAGTGGGATCGCTCTTCACTAGGCCCTTAATTATGACGAGATCTGTGTACGGAGGAAAGCGGTTTCACTGATTATTCGTATTATGATTGTGTGCCCGGAGGCCTAATGCTAAATGCTACTCGAAGTAGTGGTAATGTTGACATGAGGTAAGATACAGGGTATAGCGCTGATGCAAAAGCCGCGAGCAGAACTCCACGGATGGGTATGAAACAAAGAAACAAAAACATGAAAAGCCGGCTCAAACAGTAGTGACAACGGCAGAGGTGGCCCATTCCGTCTTGAGCTGGGCAACCTTCGCACCAATGTCCTTGACACAGACATCCCGACAAGACTTAAGCACCACAGACTTCATCGACCCAATAGTGACGATGTTAACCCAGCTGCCCGCAATCTTGGAATCAGACAGAATCTCCAAACACTTCACGACCTCATCTGAACCAATCTCGCTGCGGATGGAGTCGCGAACATGCTGAATCATGACATCAAGCTTGAAAGGCTTCCGTTGGATAGCAAGCATGGCCCGAATACCATGACCAACAGTTCCCGTGGGACGCAGCATAGCCAGAATACCAGCAACTTCCTCAACGCGATCAGCAGCAGAGAGACGCACAAGCTCCGTCTTCGTAGGTGGAGGAGGAAGCTTAGACTGACGAAGCTGCTTGCTCTTAATACGCTCGAGAAGTCCCTGACCACGACTAACTGTCGCTTTGCGCTGGAGGGGTGTTGTCTCCGCCTTCTCGGCCTGGACTCTCTCGGCGTTCAGACGCACCAGACCACCCTTCAAATCCTGGAGACGCTGCTGACCCTTCCGGAACGTTGCGAGCGGGGCAAGGGACTCGTGGATTGTCGCGAGGCCAAAGGACTCAGTGAAGAGTCTTGATTGTTCCTCCTCGGTTGAGGAGCGGAGGGATTCGGGGGCCTTTTCCCAGAGGAGTTCGAGGGCTTCTTCGAAAGAGTCTTGCATGGCGGGTGGTTGGACGCTGATGTGGACGGTTCTTTCGATGCAGATCTTGCCGAGACCGTAGTTTGCCATGCGGTATGAGATGCTGGAGACGAGGGTGCATTGCTCCCACACCCATAGGATACGTTGCAGATCCTTCGTTTGCACCTTGCGTTTGTTCCAGAGACGAGTGACACTGCCGAGGAATTCGCGGAGATCGGCTGGCGTGTTTGGGCCGTTGTGAGCCATGTGAATTGAGAAGGCTTGCACGAATGATGAGTGGAGGTTGAGGATGTCGTTGAAGAATGCGGGCCGTTCGATCACGGGTGTTTCCTCGAGGACTGGGATTTTCTCGAAGTTCAAGGTTCTTTGCTTCGAGGGTGTTGCTGGGGTCGAGGGCACAGTTTGAGGGGCACGGCCCCGTCGGCTGGGGGTTCTCTTTGGCGAAGCATAGTGACCACTGCGTGGTGAGTTGACGGACAATTCATTGAGACGCAAAGTTTTCGACGGGGTGCCTTCCTCCTCGATTGGCTTGGTTGGACTGGCGTTGCTGTTTCCATTATCAAAATTCTCGAGTTCCTGCAGCTTTCGCTTTTTGGAGGGCGAGACAGGAAGCGACTTGGCGACTGGGTTCTTGGGCAGCTGCGGGATGCCAGCCTTGGTTGCCCGAGTGAAGGCTTGAATGGCTGGCTGCTGCGCAACACTGCTCCGGGAAGTGCGCATGGTAAAAGTTGGGCAAGTGCTAAAAGATGAAGTGAGAGAGAAGGTGCAAGGAGAAAGTGCAAAGGAGATTTGCACGCGACGCGCTGACACTATACCGGATTGGGACAAATGGCGACGCGAGACACGCGCTAGTAGTTCACGAGTACAGTACGAGCACAGAATAACGAGAACAAGAATTGAATTGAACTTGAACTTGAACTTGGAAGTGAGAAGTACAGCTGGAGTATTATAATCAAAAATCAATATTCCCATACATTCTCGTCTCTATGGTAATGGACATTGGAATGCCAGACATCCGACATTCACGTACCACTAGTCCAGACTGGGACCCGTACAGAATACAGAACACCAATACCAGCCCAATTCACATCGAATACCCTTACTCCGAAGACCAAGACTCAATGTAATGATTCAATGTAATGATTCCATTCAAGCGTGAGATCGTAAATTAATGACTTATTTCTTACTACCAAACCAACCAGAGACAGTCCCCTTAGCCTCAGCAGCCTTCTTCTCGACATCGCGATCCACCTGATCCACCCCGCTGTTAATCTTGTCCAGGCCCGCACTGAACTTGTCCTTGGCATCGCCCCGGAGCTCATCGAACTTGGCCTTGCCATCCTGCGCGAACTCGGGGATCTTCTTGCCCTCGGCGCGAGCACGAGCAATCTGTTTCAAGTCAGCGCCGGTCACATACAAGTAGTATTCCAGGGTTCCATCCATGGATACCCGGGTATGGTTGGAGTACTTACTGCGTCGTCGGCCTCCTTGCCTAGGTCTTTGCCGTATTTCTCGGCGCTGTCTGAAGTGGGCAGCTTCTCGCGGGCCTTCTCGGCGTCGACTGGTATGGTGTTAGTGCTGGTGTACTGGTGGTGGCTGTGAGACTTGCTCTTCATTTGGTTCTTGGCTGCTTCGGGGTCACCACCGGCGCTGTAGAGGTAGTAGCCACCGGCGCCTGCTGCGGCAAAGCCGAGCATGAGGGGCATCTTGCTTTTGGCCATTGTGTATGTATGTGTGTAGAGAGGATGAGAAGTGTGGAAGTCGAGACCGTTGGAGTGGCCGGTTTTATAGTTTGGTCGAGCCTATGACGTGTGTCGATGCATGCAACTGCCTGCCTTGTCCTCCCCCTTTCCTTTCTTTTCGTCAATTGTCGGTCAATGTCTTGTTTGTATGTCCTATTTCTTCCAATTTCTTCCAAGAATAACTCTAATCTTTTCAGACATCCTTCACCATACAAATGCGTGTATAGCAGTCCGAAGTCAACGTCTACGTCACCAAATCATCAAGGAAGCACTGGGCACTTGCATCCGGTTAGCTTCCCGACTTGTGGGGTAAACGTCATTCAGCTGCAGGTTTCTATGTGAGTTACATCTACGCTACTCTACACCCTACTAGCACATGTACGATGATTCCATATCCAGAATAGATTCATATAAACCATGAAAACAGACAATTTCCACCAAATGAATATAATAAGACACGGAAATGAAAACCCGGGGCCCTCAATCGAGACCGAGTTCAGACAAGATGCGGGAACAGTGAAATGCTACCTCGGCAGAAACCAAGTATATGAAGTCATGCACTCCAGAACCCAACGCCAGGACATGCAGCTCGAAGAAACTAAGAACTGATCCCCCGAAAAGAGAAGGCCATCCAAAAAGAAAAAAGGAAAACAGAAAAAAGGAAAACAGAAAAAAGGAAAACACATATGACTCCTGGACACAAGTGGAAGAAAGAAAAGGGCACGTTTCCGGTCGTGTATCAGTCGTCGTCAAAGTCGTCAGTTCATGATTTCGCTGCCGAAGCAGGGGTGGGCACATTGGGCCCGAAAATATGTAAAAGAAGTGAGGTCATGGGGACCATGGAGAGGGGTGGATGCGGCGAGAGGTGTAGGCCGGATGATGCGATATGATAGCTTCCCTTGGAAGATGTTTCATATGTGAGAGATGTAAAGATGGATCTTTTGTGCAAGTAATTTACAGAAACAGCTTAGCTGCTCCTTTATTCTCGCTCGTGGCGACGGCGACGAGAGCCTCCAGACGGCCCATGCCTGAGGTGCGGGTCGAGTCAGGGTACATGTTGGATCGGGGCTCTCGGTCGGTGCCTTGGAAGTCGTCCACGTGGGAGGATTGCCGACTACAGATCTGTGGCGGCGTTAGCGAGGGGCGGGAGCCGTCCGAGAGAGGCCTACCGGTGGAGGGTGTTCGGTGGGGAGCGGGGAGTCGTTGGGCTCGATGTATCCACTGCTATGCACAATCGCGGGGTGATATTCGAGGGATGCAGTGGATGGGGTGTGGACCCCTTCGCTACTGCTGGAATCTTCGGGGGAGGTGCGTGCCGGTCGACTGCTGGTGGAAAGACTGGGACGATGGGAACGGAACTCCTCCGGGCTTCGCTCGGCCGTGGGGCCAAAGCTGGGTTGGTACGATGAGGATGGCCGGGAGGAGACGTTTTGCAGTTCGGCAATGGTTTGCTGGCTCCACTGGGAGGCAGATGCAGTAGACGGGCGTCGATCACGGATGTCGAGGCCGGTGAGGTTATGATGCAAGGACATATCCCACGATACATGTCCACGGCGATGACCAGGGCCGGAGATGGGCGGCGGGGGCCGATGGGCGGGCTGTGTATAATTGAAGCCCGAGCCGAACGCCTGGGGAGGGCCGGACGGTTGGCGCTGGTGACCATCAATCTGCATGGGGCTCGCTTTCCGACCCGGGGGAGTCATTGGTCGCTGCTGGGAGACTACTTTATCGAAGCTCTCGATGCCAGGGAGTCGAGGCGGATTCTCTACAGATCCATTTCCACCAAACGAGGCGGGCACTGTGTCCGGGGTGTGGTAATGATTCAAGCCACTTGTGCCAGGGCGCGGGAACCCAGTGTATGAAGAAGGGTGCCAGGTCCGCCGGCGCATTTCAGCCTCCGCAGCACTGAGCGTGCCCTCATCACGAGATCCATAGTGCGAGCTGGCGGGGCTTGCGAACACGCCCGCGGCCGCGGGATACGGCACCCCCGGGGCATGATAGACCGGGGGATATGCGTTACCTTGTGCAAGGAACGGATTGCTGCTGGTCGGCACGGACAGACGGCGAGCCGCCGTCTTGCCATCCCAGAAGCCATGTGATGTGGTCGACATGGGCGAGGCAAATTGCGGGCTCCCCCCACCAGCGGCGAACATGTTGGAGGGGGTATACGGTGACCCAGCGGGGCCAGGTACCCCTCGGATCTGCCCTGGAGGGGTACTGGGCGGCTCCCCCATGGATTCCATGGCCAGACGAGATCGGGCTGCGGGGTCATTGGCCATGATCAAGGGCGGGGGCCGCCGCCGCAGCTCGGGGGGCTGGCTGAAGGTCGATGTGTTGGACGCAATGCTCGACGTGGACAGATTCCTGCTATGCCCTCGGCTATGTCCTCCAATACTGCCTCCTGTGCCTGCCCGCGCCCGACCCGGCGGGCGCACTCTATCGGTCCGGACCTGACGCTGGAATCGGGTTCCCGTGGCGGCCAGCGAGTCTCCCGGGATCTCCTCGTTCACGTGGACTGTCTGCGCATGCTGTCGGAGATTGTCGAGGCGGGAGAAGCGCCGCGAGCAGTGGCATTGGAAGGGACGCTCGCCGGTGTGCTTGCGAATGTGTCGGGCCAGGTGTTCACTCCGGGTGAAGCTCAAATTGCATGGAGGAAAATCAGTGCAGAAAAACCGTTGTCCCTTCTTCTTTTTCGAGGGTGGGGCATTGCTCCCCAGATCCTGGTCGTGATCCGAGTCCTCCTGCTCCCCCTCCGAGTCCTGCATGGGCTCGTCCGACATGGACGGCGTGCGGACATGGGTCACGGTCGTGCGAGAGGAAGCGTCGCTGCCGCGGCTGTGTGCCCCGTCGGGAGGGTGGTCGGCTGTCGCGGCGTCCGGGGGGCCGGGGACGCCATTGGGGGTTGCACGAGGGGTGGCTGCTCCGTCCATGGCGTCGTCGGAGGTGTTGACAGGGAGGAAGGAGGCCATGGTGGCCGACGTAAGAGGGGCGGCGGGAGTGATGTCAGGGCCGGGATCCTCACCACCAGGGGTCGCAACGCTGTCCCGATCGGAATACTCACCCCGGGGCCAGTCGGGATATGGGCCTACGGAGAATTCGGGACGCAGGACAGAGAGTCTCGACTGAACATCGCACACTCAGTAAAAGGTATATTCTATATTTTGCGAAGAAGGGTCGACACGTACGATTTGCGCTCCAAGTGGGGAGAATAGAGGGGGAGTGGAATGTGTGGGAGTCCAACAGGACGCAAGGGGAGAGAAGGGGGAACAAAAGGAATTAGCTGGGCAGCATGTCGCCAGGGTGAGATTGACAGTTCCGACCAGTCGGAAAGCGAATGGGAAAAAGAAAAGAAAAAGAGAAAAGAGCCGAGTTGAAGAAGTATAGAGCTTATCGGAAGCGAGGGGCTTTCCGGGGCTACCGTGTGAAGTGTTTCACCAAAAGGCACCAGGCACGATGAATCACGATTCGAGAGCCGTTGAGTCTAGAACGGAGAGGAGAGTATACCTCCGAGTCTTGACGTTAACGAAAATAGCTCCGTATTTGGGAGACCCCCTTGCATTCTATACACTCAGATCCATCATCCATGTATAAGTATCTCTCTACTTACTGGACTACAGTACATACTAACACCTGTGGACTACGAGAATACACCTGGGCAGTAAGTACATTCTTCTCGTACTAGTACAGTCAATGTCTGTCCGACGACGATCCGGCCTGTCCGCAAACGGGGACATTCCCATGGATGGCAAGACTCGTATACCTCATCGTGCTAAGCTTGTGGAGAGAAAAGTCTCCCTTCACTGATGATTCGTTACCCCTCAGATGAAAACAGGACCTGGGGAAACCAGGTCTACCTGGTAGTACATCTGCAGGGCGCCACTGGGGCTGGACTTAACGCGCACGGCCAAGTAGAGCCAGGTACCATCTGCAGGGCTTATCGAGGCGATCGCTGACGTCTACGACTCTCAGGGCATAAAAGGGTCACTTCGCCCCTGGATTTGCCTTTCAAGCGGTCTGGCTTATGTGCAGCCTCCAATCATCGTCTGCATCGCAGGTACCTTACGGTGGGTACCTGAGAGAGCCGCGAAGATCTTAAGACGTCCACTAAGACCTCAATGATTGAGGATGTGGATACCGTAAGAGATCGAGCCGTGCTACTGTACAGTATTAGTACTCTGTACTAGTACTCCGTGGGAAGAGGCCATACGAGGTCGTAGATCGAGTACGTACTCTCCAACGTGTCCCCGCAGGTACAGTGAGTCTGCACAGACGAGTCAGTTCACATGTGAAACGGACCAAGCGCGAGATCCCACCGGATCTGCGCCCCTCAGTGGCATCTCATTCGCATCTCATTCATCTCATTCGCATTCAGGGCAGTGCGCAATCCCGCCACGTTCGGAATCATCGTGCACCCTGAGTCATCTGACTGTCGCTTATCGGCGGTATACAGCCCTGGAGTACATGCCATACATAGAGCCCTGGAGTACAATGCATAGAATATTCCGATCGTCGGAGCATTTTCTGACTTCCGGATCCTACGGTCATGACTCATGTCCAGGTTCCCCAGGAAGAACGGGAGCCGCTCTATGGCCGAACAGCAAAACCTAGCACAGAGAACCACTTCCGCAAGCCCGCAAGGTTTCAAGGGTTCCAAGGTTTCCAAAATCTGAGACAGAGAATACAATGTAATATGTATCGAATCGGAGCTATCCGTGTGGAGTAATGACAGGTCCAAATCGTAAAGGAATCTGGACTCTACCGCCCGAGGGGCCCGACAACCGAACTCACCATCACAGCCGCCTCCCGTTCCCAATTACCCACCACCACCGTATCGGTTCCTGATCGCCCTTTCTCGGCTATATGACTGGCCGAAACCTTTGATGCGCGAAGCACGCACTCCTTGATCTCCGTCCGGAGGCGGTCGCGATGAGTGCGGAGTGTGCGTGCAGATACGCCGCCGCGGCTGACGATTTCCTGCACGCGAGAGGTGAGAGAGGAGGCGAGGGACCGCCAGTAGTAAGATGGGAGGGATGAGGTGTCCAGGGCTTGGAGAAGGGGTTGGAGCAGGTTGATTTCGGTATCCACGGGTTCAGTGGCCTCGGAGGATATGTCGGCAGAGCTCACTAGTAGATGTGGGGGAGGGCGGAGATTTCGGAGGATAGTTTCCAGAGCGACGATGTCTTGGCATTTGGCGGAGATCTCGGCGAGGGTGCGGTCCATGGTGGGCAGCTGGGAAAGGGCGCGGGCGAGGGAATTGACAGAGGTCATGATGGCAGTGTGCATGTATCCTTGCAGCGTGGATAAGAGAAGCTCGGGCTTGTAGTCGGCGGGAGTAGTCGGTGATTTGGGTTCAGGCGAAAGGAGATATAAGGTGGTGGCAGCGGTTGCCAGTCGTGCGCGGGCATCACGAGCCTGCTTGTAGCCAGAAGGCATCGAGCCATTCGAGTTGCCGGAATTGGACAAAGAGAAGCGATTGATGGTTTGCTGCGCTCGCGCTTTGACCATGTTCTCGACGGGGATCACAAATTCCCCCCGTAGAGTGCGAACGACTTTCACCCGATCCAAGCCATGGCCTTCCTCGCCCGGCGCGGAGGCAGCGAACATCTCTCGCAGACTCAGGATCGTGTAGGCTGCGCGCTCCAAGGCGCGGAAGCTGTCTTTGGTGATGGATGGCAGACCTGCTCCCTCCGCCCCCGCGATGGCGGACCCTGTTGCGCCCCGGCCGGTGATCTCAGCGACTTGGCTTTCCAATTGCTTGCCCAGGGTGAGGCAGCGAGTGACCGCTCTGGTTAGCCGCACGGTCTCCAGCGAGTTCTCGGCCGCGATCCGAGCTGCATCGGCCGCTTCCCATTTTTGCAACACCTCCTTTTGGAGACGTTCGTACCCTTGGGTCACCGATGCAATCTGCGTTCCGGATTCTTGGAGAATGTGATCCGCAGCCGCTGTTTGATCTTTGGTATGTGAGAGCAATGGAAGTGCCGACTTGGTCGTCAGTGAATGGATATGTGTATCGATCTCCTGCAGATCGAAGAGCACCCGTGATAGAGGCGTGGAGAGATCCAATGGGGTGTCTGTTGCATTGTTTGTACTTGTCACCAACGTATTGGCGAATGACGACGGGGAGAAGTCCGGGTCTAGGAAGGCTTCATAGTCTATGTATGATGGGTCTCCGGCCATTTTGATAGACCATAAACAAACTTGACAGGCTCACAGATGCTGCATAGACGGCGCGGTAATATCGTCCGCTGGGGTGCGCAATTGGACTGATATGCTGGATCGTACGAGCACCTTCAGTTCGGCTTTCGACTTCCAATGAAGTGACGTCTAGACCAGAGAGAGGGATAGGCCCCGGGCGAGCCCTGGAGCCCACATGGCCGATGACTGTCACGTGTTGATAGGGAGATCGGGGATGAGTCAGCAGCACGGGCCACCCCGACAGAGGCAAGTGAGGGCCGGCGGGTGTCTGCACCCGAGTGCTCGACACTCTGTATCATCAGCTTGATGATTGGATGATCAACGATGTTTCTGCTGAAATCTATTTCTCTTCATCGCAGCCTCCCGGTTTACTCTCAAGGTGCTTAGGTGAATTTGTAGTGTATTTCGAGGCACTCCGTATACTTCCAAGTCGGACAATAACACGTCCAAGTTAACATCTAAACATCTAAACACCAATGAGAACGAATGTTTTAAGGTAGCGCCTTCTACCGACAGAGCGGGGGACCCCACAGATAAGAGATCGGGAACCGGCCCCGATGTCACTGCATCAGCCGGTCTCTTATTTAAATGCTCTGCTGGGTCTGAATTTCTGCATTGTACTCCGTACACCTGGAAAAAACCAGTACATACAACATGTCATCAGTTACAACCACCCAGGCTGGGCAGTCTGTCCGCGTGACGAACGAAGACCAGCTACCCCCCGTCCCATCTGCAGCAAACGATGCATCATTCCAGGGTCTTGCCCGTGGAGGTCGCAACGGCACCCTGAAGCTGCGCGGCATTCCCACATTCACCAACTTGCACGAGAAGCGTCAATGGATGAGAGAGCACATGGCAGCCGCGTTCCGCTACTTTGGCAAGCAGGGTTATGGGGAGGGTGTGTCGGGACATATTTCGATGCGAGGTAATACCTTGGTTGTATGTGAGCAAGAGTCTTAGCCTAACACATCTCAGACCCCATCCTGAAGGATCACTTCTGGATGAACCCGTTTGCGAAGCATTTCTCGACCATCAAGGCCTCGGATCTGGTCCTCTTGGATGAGAATGGATTCGTCGTTGAGGGTGGAGCTCAGCTGCCGGTGAACGAGGCGGGTTTCCTCATTCATTCCGAGATCCATAAAGCTCGTCCGGATGTTGTTGCCGCGGCTCATACGCATGGTATCCATGGCAAGACGTGGAGTGCCTTTGGAAAGCCAATTGAGATGTTGACTCAAGGTGAGACGGATAACTTGCACTAGAGATCTAAGTGCTGACCATACCAAGATGCGTGCAACTTCTTCGGCGGACTGGGTGTTTACGAAGACCATGGTGGCATTGTTCTCTCCTCCGAGGAAGGCAAAGCAATTGCAAAGGCTCTAGGGCCAACCAATATCGCATGTATCCTGCAGAATCATGGGTGAGTTGACGCTGGTATCACAGTTCCATGGCAAGTCTGACTTTATCTAGTCTTCTCACTGTCGGTCGGACGGTGGATGAAGCCGCGATCCTTTACTCCATGCTTGAACATGCGTGCCACTCACAGCTGCTGGCTGAAGCGGCAGCAGCCAATGGATTGCCGAAGAAGATCATCGCAGACGACGCTGCGAGATTCACGGCGCAGGCTGCGCAGAACCCTGTAAGTGTTCATGTCGACGAACGTCGGAATCATACCGTGCATACTGACTTCCTGCAGCATAACTTCTATACTGAGTTCCAACCGGAATTTGAATTAATCGTTGAAGAAACCAACGGAAGGGTTTTGCTGTAAGGCACCAGAACGAGAACCATTGATGTTGGTCCTAATCAGTACTTGTTTAATAATGAGCCATCTGCGATTTTCCAACTTTGGAAGGCTTCGAGAATGAAGAGCACTTGGTACAAACCTGAATGCCAATCTTTTTCACATGTAGCCCTAGGTACCGTGTCGACCACCTGACAGACGAGCATTTTGTACCTAGTAAGACCTGGAACGGTGCACAAGCGACAAAACACTGGGCAAGTAAAAACAAAATTGGAAGATGCCACAAGACTCCAAGGCTCCAAGGTTTAAAAGTCACCGATCAGAGCCTTGGAGTAATATACCTAGGTAAACAGTTGCTCCTACCCCGTACTTGATAGTATATCATGGACATCCCTAACATCCATGGATATATCCCGCTTGGGCCTTATGAAGCCCTCATCCGCACCCTGACCGCAAAATCGCCCTCCATCTCACCAATCCCTGAGCTCCGAACCGCAACACCTTGCTTCTTATCAACGGGCTCGATTTCGAACAAGCTCAGCAATGTAGTGACAGTCTTGAGAATGTTAGTCATCGCGAGATTCTTTCCGATACACATTCTATGCCCAATACTGAAAGGAATCAGGAAACGACTCTTTTCACTCTGATACTTCTCGTCCAACCAGCGGGTAGGATTGTAGGTATCGTGGTCATTTCCCCAAATGGAGGGGTTGTGATGGAGGACATAGTTTGAAATGCAAATGCTCGTCTGTGAGATGATTGTTTAGATAGGAAGTTACAGTACTTGGTTTGTAGCCATGGAGTGCAGAAGGACTTACATCATGTGGGATGTGGTGCTCGCCAATTTGAACACCGCCAGCGTGTCCTACACGTCGCCAGAGTGGCATTGTAAAGACTGGGTTTAGTCTGAAGTTTTCACGGACGCAGGCCATGGTATAACCCAGGGAAGCTTCTATGCCTGTGATTGGGTATGCGGTACGGTCTCCTGGCAGAGGACCCAAGACTGCTTGGATTTCCTCGTATACACGATTCATGATCTCGGGATTCTGGACAAGATGCCAGAAGAGAAGAGTCAGAGTCCCCGATGTGGAATGTGATCCTGCTACCCTGGGAGCTGGTTAGTCACAATCATATTCGATTAGGGATGATGAAGGCCCTTACAGAACGGCAAATGCCTCTGAATTGATTTCCTGTTCAGTGAGCCTCGATCCACTCTGTGGATCAACAGCCTCTACAAGGCTTCTCAGAAGATCCGGTCTATCAGACGAATTATTGATTTTGAATTTTACACACTCGCCACAGACTCGTTTGAGATTGTTTCGGCTCTTCATCAATCGGCGCATCCAGGGTATAGGCGAAAGTCTGGAGAGCGTCTTCCAGAAATCTTGCAGAGGTAGTTCGCCAATAACACCAGACAAGAGTAGATGATCGTTGATCGCATCTAGTTCCTCGGCATGTCCGTTGGCTTGACTTTCGAATGATTTGCTGAAAGCTACCTCTCCAAGGATGTCAAGGACGTATAGCGACAGCATCTGTTTTAGATCGACGATTTCACCTGTTTCGGCACACTTTTGTAGTTTGTCGATGAGTATCTTCATCTGGCTTTCAATGAGGGGCTCGAGTTTCGTGATCGAGACCTGGGAAAAGCCATGCGAGAGTTGTCTCCGGCGGAGGGAATGTATCTATACCCTCATCAGCTCATACCGAATACCCACCGGGAAAATAAACATACTCCCTCGTCAGTACCACCAAACAGATTCGGGTTAAATGCCGTAAATGCGTTGTAGAAGTCGGTCTTGCCCATATTCCGACCGCCCTTGTAGATCGGTGCGATCGCCTCTCCTTCCCAGGTATGGAGGTGATTGGGTCCAATGCGAACGACGGGGCCGTACCTCGTGTGCAGCTCGAGCAGCTTCTCATGAAGAGTTAGGTTGTAGACATAGTAGGCCTTATATGTGTTGGTCAGGGAGGCGAGGAGAGGCCCAGGAAACTTGCTCAAGCTATGGAGATATCGCATGTAGAACACGTAAGAGACAAAAATGAAGGATATTGTAAATATAGACAAGGACGCATGGTCTTGTAGAGACAGGGCGAAAGAAAGAAGAGCCATTTTGATCAAGATGAAGTTGAAGAGAAGCGTTACATGTTGATCGAGGCATCAGTCATTTTATAACCTGCTTCGAGACAATGAACGTGGAGTTCACCCTCCAATGTGTATCTATACCCGCGTTCCGAGGGAGATGATCGCCGTTCTGTAGGCGTTGGTGATACCGGGATGATCTACCGCGGCATTCACCCCCAGCCCACTCTTCATAGTCCATACCTGTCAAATGCAAATTCGGCGCCATCCCACCATTTTACACAGATTTCACAAGCACAAGATGTCAGATACCCAAGTTTCAACCCACAATTTCAAAGTCGTTGACGGCTTATCTCTTTCAATCGATGTCTCCAAGCCAGCAAATGCTCCGCACAATGGGATCGTGCTGCTTCATTTCCACGGAGGGTTCCTGGTATATCTTCAAGCTCCGATCTCTCAAAAGAAAGCCAACTGACATGCAAACAGGTTTTAGGAGAGAAAACCACCTTCCCACCACACTGGTTGATCAACGCCTGCCACGCCCGAGGCTGGATCTATGCAAGTCCATCCTACCGCCTATTGCCTGAATCAACAGGCCTGGATATTCTCTCTGATACCCTTGACGCCGTCGATTGGGTGCGCCGCAACATCAGCGACCGAGTCATCATCGCTGGATCCAGCGCCGGTGGGTACCTTGCACTCGCGACAGCAGCGCATCCGAGCTGCCCCAAGTCTCTGGCCGTTCTGTCCGTCTATGGGATGCTTGATCCCGCAGGCGAGAGATACACTAGACCTGGACAGGCTCTGGTGAATCCGGTTGAAGATCTGCCAACCACATTGCAAGAAGTCGACAAAGCGAGTAGAGATGGCCATGCGATAGATGGGTACCCCTTTCCCACGACACCCGCTGCAGATCAGAGACATAGGTGGATTCGGGCTCTGCACGAGGGTGCCAGGTATCCCGATGTGCTCACGCGAGTGCCAGGACTAGCGGAGCAGATTGTCGAAAAGGGAGTTTCTGTCATGCCGGAGAAGTTTCGCCCGCTGTTTCCCGCATCTTTTGGATTGAAAAAAGACCTTGCTCCGACAATTCTCGTGCACGGTGATTCTGATGTGCTGGTTGGATATGAGCAGAGTGCTTCTGTCGCTGAGAGAATGTCGTCCGCTGGTATCGATGTTACTCTCGAGTGTGTGCGAGACCAAGGGCATGGGTTTGATGCCAAGTCCTTCATCGATCTGGATGCAGACAATGATCAAGGGGACGATATGGTGAAAGATTCCCTTCGCCGCGTTATCGCAGCACTAGAGAAGGCTTGTATTTGAAAGATTGACCTAATGAGAGTCAAGTTTCATTACTTCCACTGCCCTTATCAGCCCTGCCACCTGATCCATGCTAGTTTGATCAAATGTAGCCAGGCCTTCGCGCATTTCCGGCTGAGTATGACCCGGGATGTTCTTGACCACCTGCTTCCAATCTTCTGGAGATAGATGCGATGTGTCGATATAGGCTCGTGCCAATGTTGCAAATTCCCTTGCTCGTAGGAAAAATGGAACGATTTCGCTCGATTTGAAGTCATTTCTTTTCTCGATACTGCTTTCCCATGCGACCTCCCAGCGGTCGAGTGCCAATTTAAGAGGCGCAGTTGCTAGGGACAAGGGAACGAAGGCCCGCAGTTGGTGAAATATAAGCCCGTGTGTGGCTGAGGTAGACATTAGCTCAGGAATCTCGTAAGATTGTCCAAACCTACCAGTTGCAATTGTAAATAAATTGAAGGGGCTCTCCTTGTGGAGTGCCACAATAACGGCTGGATCTGGGGTTTCTGCGCATAGATTGCGAACGCACTCTGTGAGCAGAGGACGATTGAACTGCGATACATGCAGTTTCAACGCATTTGAGAACTCTTCTGTTGAGCTAGCCTGGAAGATGTCCTCTGCGCATGTCAAGTCGATCGTCATCTCCTGTAGAACCATTCGCGGCACGGAATTATGAAAGATCACGAATGCGGAGTCGAGTAGAAAGACGTGGTTGAATGTTCTTCAATATTGTCAGCGTCGGCCTTCGAATTTTGTGAAAACAATGCACGATACCGGATGAGTTCCTCTTCCAATATATACAACTTCCAATCAACGTCGTTCTTTGACTGATGTCTCGCCTTTGACAGTCCTATCGCTCGCACCACCTGTTTGAAGTCAGCTAGATTCCTCTCTATGTATGATTAACGGATCTCAGTACCGCAACGAATGTAGTAAAGCGTTGACGCTGTATTCGCAACTTGGCTTCAGGGCTACCTTCCCATTTCTGCAAAAGACACATGAAGCACGTAGCCTGAAGTATCTGCAACTGTTCACGACTTGGAAACTGGTCTTTGTGCTTTAGTCTGAGAATTGAGGACTCAGAAAATAGCGAATTTGAGAAGACTAGCTCTTCCACTGCGTCGAGCATCTCCCTCGCTGCATGTTGGTCCCTCGAGGACATGCAAGCCCCCAGCAGGGCCATTGTAGCCAAGAGAAGAGGAGAGCAGTCATCCAGCTCAAATGTTGCTTTGTGGAGTATAGGGCAATGACGATGCCACCGATCCCAGAATAGGGATAGGTAGCGGGTGAGACTTGCTGGTGAAAAGAAGGAGAGCCACTCGTGCACTGATATCCGGCTTTGACCATGCGTGGAATTGTCTTGTTGAGATTGAAGTGCATTCCATAGGGACATCATCTTCTCGCTCATTATCTCTTCTTGCGCAGTCGACGTGTTGGGGCCTCCATAGAGGGCGGTTTCCAAATCATCAAGATAGGAGATGAAAGGGTTTGAAGCAGAGGTTTCGCAACATCTGATATCTCCACTTGCTTCAGTGGCATCCGCATTATGCAAGGGAAATACCTTGTCGCATCCGTTGTAATTGTAAGCTTCATTTAAGCCCGTGGCTCCGGTGAAATTAATGAGAAAACCAAGACGCGGATACCGACTATGAGGGACTTGACGATTAGACTCTTCATGTCCAGCGTGACACTCATCCACTCTTGATTCAATGCCAGGTTCCAGCGCAAGAGGCTGGGCTTGTGGCTCAGCGCAGGTCCCTCCACGACTCGCTCGTTGCACACCATAGTACGTACACTCTCCTCCTCGAGTCGCGCATTCAGAGCACGGTAGTCCAGTCGAGCATGCTCGCTTACGAGATGTGCACGAGTCACAGACTTGTTTCCGTTTGCCACTGGGCGTGCGTCGCGGGATTTCATCGCCGGCTGCAATTCGCCCGGCGCAGGTTTGCCAATGGCGCCGCAATGCGTCACTGAATCAATTGTCAGGACTTGGAGCGTTGAGTGAGCTCGACAGAACTGACCTCCTCTTGTAGCAGGAGCTGCAATATTGACATGAATAGGGTTTGTCGTCGATATCTGAATGGAATCAGCGTCGGACGTCCAGTAGATGGCAGCGTTTCTTACGAGTTAGGCTGTGGCGTTTTAGATGCTCGAGTCTATGGAATGTATCTGAGCATACCGCGCAGACCAAATTTGGTGAATCTGGCATCGTGTGTGAATACCAGCGTGAAATCACAGCGCATTCCGAGTGTCGATGGGGGTGAGTCCCGCACAGCCGAGGGATCGGCGGTTATCCGTTACAGAGTGGACCTGTCCATATGAAGTGAAGAGCTGGAGCTGAATTCCGACAACTCGTCCGAGTTTGAGATTGAATGCCTTAAGCCAATTTCAATTACTCTAGGCAAGTCTACAGTATACGCTTCGGGTCTGGCTGTGATCAATGAGGGATCATTCTACTTGCTCACAAAAGAGCGCATCTACGGAGTAAACAAGAGACATAATCGTTTCAATGCTTCAGATTATGCTTGTTTTGTGCATCTTAATAGACGAATAGTCCACAGAGGTATTAATAAAAGCAGGCACGCAGAGCGAAGACACCCAATTCTTTCAGAAAGACAAAACGCCTGCTATACAGATGCAACCGCCACAGGGGTATACAACACGGAACGAACCATCGAAGGCATCAAAAAACCCGTCAAACCGGACGTCAACGGTGTCAAAAACAAAATAGAAAGAAAGTCGTTCATAGCCCCCACAGGCAATATCCATCATGCGAGGCCAAAGTTTCATACAGCATGATCACCCTTGGATCTCAAATCATCCATCTCATACTCCTGCAAGCTGCGTTCGCGGCCCCGGCCTCGTCCAGAGCTGGACTCCCCTTGACCATCACCAGCAGAGGGCTGTGACGAACTAGCCTGGCTGCTACCGCCGTGCCCACCGAACTTGATAGGCTCGAGCTCCCTCCTCTGGCAAGCCCACATCCCGAGGAAGATCATCATAGCTGCACTGGCGAATTGAAGACCCCACCAAAGCAAGTTCGAGGGAATAGAGCGAGTATAAAAGACCGTAGTGATGAGATGAAGGAAGTGAATCGTCAGAGCGAAATCCGGAACCAACTTCGACCGGGAAACGAATAAGAGAAGGAAAATGACGCTGATCGATATACAATTAGCCATTCATTCATGTTCACACCCCACAATCCCTCCGGCACTTTCATTGCCACAGAGTGTAGTGTAACTCACCTAACAAAGCAATTCAACATCCAAACCAAGCCCAGCATCCACCCAATGGTTGTATCTCCACGTATCGTATCCCAGCCAAATACCAGATCCAGCGAGAATGGCGCACCGTACACAACCGTCGTGAACAAGATCAGCACCGTGGCGCAGACATAGTATGCGATTTGTAGCAAGAGGATCTTGCGAATGATTTTAAGCGGGGGGAGTTCGGTGCGCGACCCCGCTGGTGGTCGTCTGCGCGTGGGCATCAACTAAACAGCCCAGGGTGAATACCCTTCCAGGCTCAGAGTGCCAAAGTGGTCGGAACGAGCTCGGAGCTCCGGTCGCGCAGGCTCAAGGGCAAATGGACATGCGATGTCTGAAACGGATCCCAGACCGAGAGAATAGAATGGAATTTATATCAACTCCAAAGTGGACACAGGTTATATGCAGAATTATGGGAACGTGTAGGGAAATGAAAAAGGGACAGATGGAGATCGTCTGCTTGGGGATCAACAGTCTTGGCGGTAGGTCCGACCCGCGAATACCTTTTGCAACTGCCACTGCACCCCAGGACGATCGACTTGACAGACAACTCGTCTTTACTGAACTACCATTCCCTGAACCACCTCACAAACAATCACACATACATTCACAATGGGCTGGCTTCCTTGGTCATCCGGCGATTCCAGCAAAACCACAGCCTCCGACGGCGGCCGCATCGCACCAGACCGAACGAGTCGCGCACGCTGCTGGGAAGGCCGCGATCTGTTCTTCGCATGCTTGGACAAGAACGATATCCTGGATGGTATCAAAGAGGATGGCAAGGCACGACAGAAGTGCGCCAAAGAGGTTGCGGAGTTCGAGGAAGCTTGCTCAAAGAGCTGGGTATGTACTGGGCTACATCTTACGGTCTCGGGCCGGAGGGTTGGAAATTTGTTCTATGCTGATCAGGTGTCGCATCTAGGTGAAATACTTCAAGGAGAAACGTGTGATGGAATACAACCGGGACAAGACGATTGAGCGGATCCAGAGGGAGGATGCGGACAAAGTCAAGGAGTTGAAGTCGAACGGATGGGTTTCCAAATAAGAATCCGGGGGAATTCCAAGTTGATTAACGGCTTTTGTACACTATGTAGCATATCCACTCTTATCACGCATCCTGATGAACACTTCGAATATACTCGGGTTTGAATATCTATGGCATTACAGTATCTGCGATGCTTGGAAATACCGGGGAAAACAGATAGGATCACGATGACGAGATCAGTCTTGTGCATTGGAAAGAGGTATCGAACAATCTCATCGCAGATGAGTGCGCTGAGGCGAATGGGCCAAGATGGACCAGTACATCAGGACCCCGGATAGCATAGGTACAGTCGAGTAGGACAGGATGAACAATGGCGAGTAGCAAGAACATCTCGTGACCGAATAATCACATTATGTCCACACGAAGCAAATAAACAAGTAGTCACGATGAACAAGACCACAGAGTAAAGAGTCCGATGTCCAAGAAGATCAATCAACTCCATCCAGTCGCCTTGTCCCAATATCTATATCTTACTGCCTCGAGGGCTCATGAGAAAAACATCGAAAACAAACGCCTGGTGTTGCAGAAGCGGGGCGAAAGCCAGCCGAAAAAAGAAAAGGGAGAAAAAACCGAAAAGCCATTGATATCCAGACAAGAATGCGAGGGCGCCGAGCTCCAGAAATGAAAACCGCGAAATGAACTTTAAGTTCGTATGAGAATGATGAATGAGGTAGGAAAGTCGTAAGGTCATTGCTTCCATCTCGCAAGGTGGTTCATCAGGTTCTGGACCTGAGGGCCCGTGGCTGGACCTGGCTGTTGTTGGCCACTTAGCCCTTTAGCTAAGAGCGAAAGCAGGTTTGGATCTGTCACAACAGGCGCATTGGGAGGTTGAAGAGCGAATGGTGGACTGGGGAGAGGTGGCTGTTGAGGGTTGGGGATGGGCGGAGGCCGGTGCGCATTGGAAAGAAGACTGGCAAGGTCTGCTGGAGGAGGATTTGGCGAGGAGAAGGGCGATTGTGTGGCAGACACAGGCTGCGAATGGGTAGGGCGTTGAAGGGCCGATAGGAGGGATGAGAGGCTGGGACCGTCCAAGGAACCAATGAGATTTGCGATGTTGGGAGGGTTCGAGAGAGTGGGCAGGCCAGGCTGGGGAATTGGCATGGGTTGCACGGGAGGGACAGCAAATGCAGGGTTTGGCGCAAAGGCGGTTGGGGCAGCACCTCGCTGCATTGCTTGTGCCTGATGGCTCAATAGTTCAGCACTTAAGTTAGGCTCGAGCTCTGGGTAGTCTGGACGAGCGTAAGCAAACGGTACATGTGATTGTGTGATTGGCATTGTACTCACCGAGAAAACGGACATTATCCAATCCGGCAGTTCGATCAAAGAGCTGCAAAGGAACTTTCCGCGAGACCTGATTTGGGCGGGAGAGGCGGACAACAGCAAGCACGCCCTCGATGAACTGGCGATGAACTGCGGCGCCAAGGGGAATGCGAGGGCCGAGGACGAGCACATCCACTCGTAGTCCACGATTGCGGAATGCATTCTCCACATGGAGCACGAAGTTTCTTGATAAATTAGCGACATTCAACCAATCGTAGGGTACATAGAACTAACCTGTCAAGTTCTTCCAGCACGAGAAGCTGTACCTCTGGCACATCTCGAGGAACCCGACGCGGGACGGGCAGATCTGCCTCGCCCTCATAGACACCACGCGGTCTGGGGCTGGCGGTACGATATCGTCTATCCCTCGAGTACGGGGAACGAGGAGAGCGAGGGGACCGTGGCGAACGAGTGCGCCTTCGTTCGCGACGATCGAATCGTTCGGGTGTTCTATCCCGTGACCGGTAACCGTCCCTGCTTCCCCGGAAAGGCCGCGGAGAAGGTGAACGTGGCGGCCGATAATCGTCGCGCCTAGCACGATGAGAAGCCTCTTCCCGGAAATCGCTGAACGGTAAACGGCTTGGCTCATATGGCTTGCTTCGATCGTAGCGATCGCTAGGAGCGCGGGGGTTGGGCCTCGGGGGGCCGGCCCGGCTGAACTCCGGGGACCGTGAGCGACGGGGCGGGGGTGCGCGAGATGGCTCTGGTGCTGGAGCGGGCCGTGTGGACCGCTGCGGCTTGGAAATTTCGAGGTCTGAGGGATTAGTGGGCGTTCTGGCAAAGAATGATTGAATCGAGTACTAACGAATCTTTCTACCCCGGACGATAGCGCCTTGCTCGACGCCTAAAGCGGCATGGCAGGAGCCCGCCTCTAAGAATTGTATGAAGCCGTAGGCTTGCTTGATCGAGATCTGAGCAAGTTTGCCGTATTTATGGAAGATATGGAACATGTCGCGCTTGGTGACTCTTTCGGTTGGGAGGTTGCCTATGAATAGCGAATGTGTTAGCTGGCATCCACGTAGCGACCCAAGAGACAGCACTTACCGACGAACAACCGAGAGCCCATGGGGAATCGGTCCCAGAGGCCTTCGGTCACATAGATACGCTCATCGTGTAGAAACTCATCGTACTTCTTTTGGACCTCGGGGCCCCAAGGGGAATCATCATCGATGCCTTTGATTGGTCGGCCTTGTTTGTCAACCCGGCCTTTCTTCAGACCGAGCGATAGCTCCTGCGAGGAAGCTTGAGATTCCGGACCGGTGGAAGGGGTCTGGACGCCCGAGGTGGGCAGACTCGGGTTCCCAGCGGGGGCCCCCGAATATAGCTGAGGTTGAGGGTTCTGCGCTTGGGGGTTACTCTGGGCAAAGGGTTGGGCATTTTCTTGGGGTGGAATTTGATATGTGATATCATTTGGGGTGTTAATGGGGAGCGTAGGTTGGGGCTGGGCATGGGCGTGGGCAGGGTCGCCCTGGGGTTGGTGGGATTGGTGAGATTCGACGACTGGTGCTTGATGGAAAGACTGCTCAGGAGCAGCCTCGGGCATGGTCGCACGGGGATCAGGATGGGAGAGATTATCGAGGAGGTTTTGATAATTGACTCCGCCCGTCGGTCCCGCAGGTTCTGTTTGCTCTGGCATCAGCGGAGCGCCGTCTACTTTGCTCGCCATGGCAAAGCCCTGGGAGGGATCGGACGCTGCATCAGCGGACCCGACAGCGAATGAGGCTAGATGGCTTGCGGTTTCGGCCCCCGAGGAGTTGGGGTATGGCGAAAAAGTTCCATATTGCGCATTTGACCCAGAACTACCGTGACATGGTCCTCCCTGAGCGTCTAATCCGTGCGACCCTTGTATGTCCTTCCGCACCGGTTCATATCGCGAGGTATCGTTGAAGATGGGGTCCATTTGGTTCTCCAGGACGGGGATGTTGGCTGGCTCCGGAATGTGCAGCGGGCGTGGGCTTTCCGGAGTCAGAGTCTTTCCGCGAAAGTGAAGCGCTTCATCGGGACTGGGCGTCATGTAGACTGGGGAGGTCATCTACAGGATGAGAAGTGGAAGGGCCCGGGAAGATGGATTTTTCGTCGCAAGCTAAGGTGGGGCGATGAGAAACCGATCGGGAACCCTGAAGAGGAAAAGGGGCGAGAGTATAAGCACGCAGGACTAGTACTCCGAGAGTACTCCAGGGCTGTATACGGAGTACTGGAGTCCAGTGTGGTACATATAAGGATGTGAAGAAGGGAAGAAAATGAAGCTCAGCCAGAAATTAGGTTAGCAGGTTCTGACGCACGACTCTATCGACACACTTTCCACCAATGACCAAGGATCATCCGGGCTAGAACTTCCAATGTTCCTGCTTGTTTTCTTTCTCTGCGTGACATCTACAGTACTGTACGGTATAGCTCGACTCCAACACCACGTACTTTCGATGCATTGCCGCTCTTGGCGCATACCCTGCGTCTACTCTTTACGGAGATTCGTCTCCCGGGCTGATCAGGACGTTCAGATCGCGAGGGATTGGCTTAAGACCCTCAATGCCAAAACAGTCCCCCGCCACATCTGCGAGGTCTCGTTCAGCCGGTCCAGCGGTCCGGGCGGACAAAATGTGAACAAGTCAGTACAACTCCACTTGATGATCAATAGCATGCTGATCGGGTCCAGAGTCAATTCCAAGGCCACTTTAAGAGTCCCCCTGGACGCATTATTGCCCATGATCCCGCGGTTGATTCATCAGCCCCTGCGGGAATCACGCTATGTCGCCGACCGCTCCCAATCCTTGGTGATTCAAGCCGACGAGGAACGAAAACAGACTAACAATGTGGAGTCGTGTTATGACAAGCTCCTCCACTTGTTACAGGATTCGGCAAAGGCGGCCATTCCGGGGGAAACTTCCCGAGAGCAGCGAGAGCGAGTGCACAAGTTGTAGGTCTACAAGGCCCTTTCCCACATCCACGACTAACGGGACCAGGCAACGGGCATCAAATGAGGGCCGCATCAAGGCCAAAAAGCAACACAGTGACAAGAAGAACAGCCGGCGAGGAAGTAAACATGACGATTAGGAGCACTTTCGCCAGACCCTTAATTTTGATTTATATCCGATCAACGCCTAAATGCTAAGTACAAATTCCGGGGTATGCGATGCTACTCTTGTGCCATGCGCTCCGCCTTGACGACGGTAGCGGCAAGAACCTGCTTCAAGGACGGGTCCAGGTCTTTAGTCGCCTGGAGAGGCTGGAGCCATCCGACGACCTGGAGGGCAAGCTCCTTACCCAGAGGGTATTCACGGAGACGAGCAAGGGAGCTACCGAGCGCCCGTGGGAATTCGGCGGAAGTGACGGGAATGCCCGCGGTCGGGAACTTGATATAGCAGATCTGGGTGCGGGGGCTGGAAGGCTTGTTCGCCCGCATGGTCTCGAGAACATGCTCCAGGAGCTTGTGTTGGCAAGGCGCATCCGTGAACTCCCAGACCATGTCGTAGAATTCCTGGCCAAACCGATCATCGTGGTCGAAGTTCTTCGACGCAGTGTCGAAGATGGTGAGTGGAATCGCACCGCTCAGGGCTGGAGTAGAGTTGAGGGTTTGCAGTGCAACCTGGTCCACCTCCGCTTTGTCTTCGGTGGTCGGGTTGATATCCTCCTCCGTAAGCGATGGGAGTGCAATCATATCCGCGTCGTGGTCACCAAGACTGGCCTGCTCTGCCTTGGGCTTCTGGCTCTCTTCGTCGAGACCCAGGATCTTTTGACGAGCGACAAGCTTCGCAACGTAGATCAATTCCAGCTTCGCGTACTGAGTCCAAATCGTTCGTGAGCTCTTGCAGAACCGCACACCGCGCTGCATGTAGCTCCGCGCTTGTGTCATATCTCCGTGGTCGTCCAGAACGTGTTTTGCGGCGTAAACCCATAAATCGGCGCTCGTGGGGTGTAGGCGCAACGCATCGGTGAAAATCATGGACAGCTTCTTGTGAGCCTTTTGCTTCCGGGCATATTCGATGTACTGCACCCAGAGGCTGAGGTCACCGTGGAACTTGCGAACGGCCCGGTCGAGAACGAAGAAAATGCGTCGCTGGCCATTGAAACCCGCCGACCGAATCCCCAGTCGCTTCACCCGCTTTTTGCGCAGAATGTCCAGGTTCATTTCATATTCCGCATAGCGCACAAAGTCTCCCGCTTGCGCTCCACGGGCGTTGATTTTGTGCTCAAAGTCGGATCGCTTTTTGACGATTGAGGAAATTTCATCCTAGAATGTTGATCAGCTGTCATTCTGACAGATCCATCCTGCGCGGCATACCTTGGTAAAAATCCCCTTGCGCTCATATTCCTTAAGCTCGGGAATGGACTTCTCCAGGAAGAACCGAGCCTTGTCAGTTGCGGCGGCCATGGTTGCTGTTCACTGGCGGTGCTTTACAAAAAAAAAAGTCGGCATCCCGCATCGAAAAAACACCGATCCAGCCCCAGAGAGCGCTAACCGCATCCGGCTAGCGCCAAGAACAGCCAACACGACCGAGGGATCCGGACGTTGTTTTCCCTCAGGGGCCGTTTTGCTCGTGACATCGTTCTCTTTTCTTTCTTTTTTTGGGCTTCTTGACGTTCGTTTCTTTTCAGATTTGTCCTTTGGAGTCTTTTGCAGAGCTTAATTTCCCTCTGCGCCGCCATGGCTCCCCGATACAAGGACGGAGATGCCGTGGTCGCCGTAAGTTCCAATTGAATCCGACGAGAACACTGGCCTAATATGTTTATAGATCAATGGCAAGTGGGTGGCGTGGACTCATACAGTATTCGCCTACGCCGCCTTCCTCAGTGCGCTGATTGTCGGCATCGCGTTGCATTACCACAAGATTGTTCAGAATGAGCATTTCGGCTATCCAATTGAATGGTTCCCCTCCGTGTCCGCGACTATCGGTGATCGTTATCCCGAACGGTCTTTCTTCCAGGTCTTCATCGCCATCACCTCCGGCCCTCGATTCGCCCTGGTCTTCCTGTGGTACATCCTCACATCGCGTCCCAACTCCGCCCTCCCCAAGCTTGTGGCGGGAGTGGGTATCTTCCGGACCTTGACCTGTGGAGGCTGGACCTATGTGACCTCTACCGATGACCACGACTGGCACGACATTTTCATGATCTCATACTTGGTGGCCACTTTGCCATGGACTCTGGGCTGCCTTGCTCTGAGCCCTAACAACCGCACCGCTGTGAAGTATCGCAAGATCATGGCCAGCTTGTTCTTTGGAACGCTGGTCCCCTTGATTTACTACTTCATTCAGCACAAGGTGCACAAGGTTCCCGGTGGTGAGTTCGAATTGCGTTTAATTGGAGCCCGTTCGTTTCACTAACAAATCCCACAGCTTACACTAAATATGCATTCTTCGAATGGTCTCTCATTCTCTTTGATGTCGGCTTCGATGCCATTACCGCTCTTGACTTCGAGAGCTTCGAACTCGTGGTGCGGGATGTCAAGGGTGTTAGCAGAGGGTATGTATCGTGGCTTCCAAAATGACACCCGCGTCAAATGTACAATGCCCAAGGCTATATTGCATACGAAAGAAAACATTTTCTGAATCTTTTCTCATTAGGCAGTTGAAGACGACTGCGGACTCTGTCTTGGAAAAAGAGTGTGTACATCCCCATAACCAAGTATTTCCTCCCAGTTAACCTCGTAGATAGGAAGGGCAAGCCGGTTGGAAACACTTTCGGCGAGGGCTTCTTTTGGACCGAGATCATCGATGCCGCCTCGGATGTCTACAACGGATTTGTTTTCTGGACTATTGTGACTGCTTTGCCAGTTCTGGTCTGGTACTTCCCACTCTGGCACATGGGTATCTCCGGCTACGAAGTTGCTATCGTCGCCTGCACTTCCCCGTTGCTCCTTGTCATTCCCTCTCTGCGGGCCATTGCCGTGCGCAACCTCCGCCTCCTTCATCTGGCTTCGCTTGTTGGCCTTTTGGCCTACAGGTTCCACGACCCTGCCAATCGTCTCTTCGTGACCAGTTTCGCTCTGGCCACTACCTGTGTGGCCTGGACAGCTGGCTTCTTCGCCGAGAGGGCCAATTCCCCTCGTCTCGAGGCTCGTGTCATGGCTTGGGGAATTGGTTTGATCATGTCGACTGTCGCCAAGTTTGCGTGCAAGACTAACAACCCGCTTTGGCCTATTGTCCACGCCGAAAATGGTGGCTGGAACAAGATCGGTATCTTCATTGCTCTGTTCGCTGTCCTCCGATCCCAGAGAGGCACCAATATGAGCGGTGGTGATTACCTTCCCGCAGGCGGCAAGAAGGGCTCCTCGGTCCTGGCTGGTGTTGGCTTTGGGGGTCTCATGTTCGCTATTGTCTCTCTTCTCACCGACTCGAGCACTATGATCTCTTGGGTGTGGGATGGATACCCAGTCCGTGGACCTATTGCGGTGCCCCATGGTGCCGTGACCATCTTCGTCATGGGAGCCGGTCTTGTCTACGGTGTCTTCCACCCTCGTGTTGCTGGAAGCTGGACCGCATTCGGAGTTGGCTCTGTTGGTGCCGCGGTCCTCACCTCCTACCACCACTGGACTGGATACTACGGTGCTCTTGCCCTGACGTTCTACATCATGGCTGTCACACCCGTCCTGATCGCCTCCTGTGTTCGTCACTCTCCTGCAAGCACCTTCGGTATTGGCTTCATCGTCTACGTGTTCCTGCTGCTGTTCCATGTCTGGATTGTCGCCTACGCCTTCGTGCCCGGTGGCCCTCTGGTCCGTGAGCACACCGATTGGCTCATGTTGACTACCATGCTGTCCATTGGTGCCGGTGTCTTCTCCGCCGCGATCTCGAACTCAAGCCGTTCTTCCCGCAAGAAGCCCGTCAGCCCCAACAGCAAGAGACAGCGTTCGTACTACATCTACGTTCTTGCTGCCCTGCAGCTCCTCTCTGTCTCTGTGGCTTACCTGCGTTTCCCCACCAACGACTACACCCCCTACCACAAGGAGGACAAGGTTGTCACCGCCGGTATCTGGACCGTTCACTTCGGCCTCGACAATGACATGTGGTCCTCTGAACGCCGAATGCGTGATGTGATCGGTGAACTCGAACTGGACGTCATTGGGTTCCTGGAATCCGACAACCAGCGCATCATCATGGGTAACAAGGATGTCACGCAATTCATTGCTGAGGATCTTGGTTACTACACCGACTTTGGCCCCGGCCCCAACAAACACACCTGGGGCTCCGCCTTGTTGTCCAAGTTCCCCATCGTCAACTCCACCCACCACCTCCTCCCCTCTCCCGTGGGTGAACTGGCGCCTGCCATCCACGCAACCCTCGACATGTACGGTGAGATGATTGACATCGTCGTCTTCCACTCCGGTCAAGAAGAAGACCCCGAGGACCGCCGTTTGCAGAGCGAGTATCTGTCCAGACTGATGGGTGACTCTCCTCGTCCCCTCATCCTCCTCAGCTACCTCGTGACCAAGCCTCTCGAAGGCAACTACAACACCTACGTCAGCGAGCGCAGCCAAATGAAGGACATCGACCCCTCCGACTGGGATAGATGGTGCGAGTACCTGCTGTTCAAGAAGTTGCACCGTACTGGTTACGCCAGAATCAGTCGTGACACGATCACCGATACCGAGATCCAGGTACGTCATTATTGTCCGTTAATCAGATCCCCAACTAACTCATGATTCAGGTCGGCAAGTTTGTCATTGGTGAACCCGAGCCCGAGAGCGAGATGCGCATCCCGGAGGAGCTGGTTCCTGTTGGCCGTCGCTTCCCGGCTTTGTTTCGTGGCGAGGGTGTCCGTGGACACCGCTACCACGTCTTCGATGAGCCCCGGTACTGGCAATGAGATGGCAGTATCGGAATACTGTCGAAAGTCACTGCAGATTGAAGATGATTGATTTTGTATGACATATATTCAAGCACAAAAGCAGATCCGATGCTCCAAGACAGAATTTATCCTCATGATCGTCTGGGCCTAATGGAATTACTGCGTTGACAAGTTTCGTCCCTTTCAGGATAAGTCCCAAGCTAAATTTACCTCGTACGGTTCCAAGTTGAAGGCAATCCAATGACCTTGGAAGCCATTGGCTTAGATTTCTTGAAATAATAGATCAGCTCACTTCCAAGGTTTCAGTGCTTCAGTCGCGAGTTCTCACTTTGTCTGGCTATTTTATTTTAGGAACGGGGGCCAGCCTCCGAGTTGTCCTAGATGTCACATTAGATGCCATGCAGATATAGACTTTCGCCCTCCTATCATTCTTTATAGCAACTTCTTTGTTTTCCCGCATAGTTAACCAATAACCTTGAAGTCGTTTGGGGCCTCGAGTGCATGGTGTCCTTGACATTATACAGTTCCCAAATTGCACGATGCAGCAGCCTCGAAGGTTCTACCGTAGACCTGGTCTTCCAAGGCTGTTGCCAGTGTCACCTGGGCATGTAGGTAGCAAGCCGCCAGTCAGTACTGCACTCTTGAGCCATAACGTTGCTTGGAACCTTAGAATCAAGCTCACGGGTTTGCCTCGTGAATCAAAGCTCTTTGTCTTCCAATGTTGTTCGTCCGCGATGGATTTTCTCAAAGGGAGACATGACCATCGGACGAATATACCTTCGTTCCTGGAGGTCACTACCTAGGTACCTGGGCACTGTCACGTTGAAAGAACTTGAAGATCCATGACTAGTGGCTGTGGTTTCATAGACCTCATTATATCTGGACTTGATATACATTCAGAAAAGCTAACACCTGGGCAGACCCGACTTCTATACAAGCTAACTTTTCCTCCGCTATCTGATATACACTAACCTACGTAAATCTAATTCCCATGTAGAATCTATTTGCGATATGGTGAGTGCCTTGTACCTCTGAACACTCGTGGGATAAATCTGACAGGAGTTTCTTTGACAGAGAATCGAAACGAAACGATGGAACGCTCTATAGTCTTTTCTTTCAATATCCTACCTAGGTATCCCTCTCTGATCGAATTAGTTGAGCCTGGTGACATAGCTCTTCATTCTTTCAGACTGACTGGCCGACGTGATGCGAAGTTCACTCGGCTTTTTTTTTTTTTTCCCATTTTCATTTCCATTTTCATTTCCATTTTCACATCTCCCTTTCATCTTTTTTGATTCTAGTGGAAAAATTGAATCCAAGCTGTCTGTACAGTTTCACGACAAATGACCACTGTCGTGTATATTCAACATCCCATCTTCACCTGCCTCATGCCCGTTATTCCCCGCGAACATAGCCTAATGACATTGCCATTGATCCCCAAAGAGATCGGTCGAGTCTTTCACGTTCTGCAAAGGGATTGAGATGAAACGTCTTTGTCCAGTTGTTTGACAGATCTCTCTATGGACTCTGCATCCATCGAAGTCTGCAAGACCGATGAGCACAAAGAAATAACCTCCGAAATACCCAGGTGTATTTTTATCTCTCTTTGTAAAGAGGCCGTCTTAGTATGATAGAGTTGATCTTTGTTCATGTCTCCCACCATGCGGACTACTGAGTATTAATATCGAGGTATCGACTGGGGAATTTACTCTCAATCACTTCACATCAACAATCCAGCAGACAACACAGCATATAACACTTCACAACAGTCTATATACAGTACGTGATATCTCTATCACTACAATACATTGAGACTAACAGCCCACCAGACATCCAACGAGCATCACAACATGGCTATCACCCGATCTATGACTCGCGGGAACCGGCCACCCCCACCACCACCCCCCACAAGGGAGGAGATCGCCGCAGCCAAGGCCGCCAAAGCAGAGGAAAGGGCGGCAGCCAAGGTAGCGCGAGCGAGGGCCAAGGCTGTTCGGGAGCAGAATAAGGCAGCCAAGGCCGCAGCAAAGGCTGCCGGAAAGACCACAAGGGCCAAAGCAAGCAAACGAGCCAAGGCGTCCAAGGCCACGACCAGCAAGAAGGCTAAGACGACCAAGGCACCTAAGGCACCCAAGAAGGCACCGCTCTCCACCAAGCGCGTCTATGAGGAAGATGATGAAAGCGAAGAGGAGCCTGATCACAAGCGCCGTAGAACATCCGAGTCTGGGAGTGAGTCTGGTAGTGACTCCGGTGTCTTTGTCGACTACCCTTTCCAGCGAACCTACCGAGGCAAGCCCCCAAGTCAGGCAGAGTCAATCCCTATCGACATTAGGGAATGGACGTACTCGAAGCATCTTCCTCAGCCCGAGGGCATGCAGACCAAGATCAAGGGCACTCTCCCCCAGATCCACATTGGAGGATCTGCCCCTCAGCCTCGTTGGCTGGTTGCCCAGAGCCTGTCTCTGCCCGCGCCTCCTGCGGCAGGCTTCCGACGCAAGGCATCAGGTAGTTCCAGCTCTACCGACTACGGTAGCTTGGTCTGGTACTTGGACGAGGGCAACTACAAGTCCTGGAAGGGACTGGAGTATCCCCAACTCTTCGAGTTGGCATACCGATGCTTCGAGCACGCACTGAAGGACGAGAAGCTGAGCAGCAAGATCTATGAGACTCTCGCCGATGGACCTCTAGCCAAGCATGTGACGATGAATGAAGGATGGGAGCCTGCTCTGCCCCCACCACCTTTCACGAGGTACTTCGGGTTCACGGAGACGCGTCTTTGGGATGCTCCCGAGTCAAAGGGTCAAGGTTATTACTTCACTGACCATGAGCGTCCGACACTGGCTGCTCGGCCCCTCAAGTCTTCGATAGAGCCTTACCAGCACATGTTTGCCACTAAGCTGAAGGGTCAGATCAACACTTCGTCGGATGCAGGCACTGATGCGAGCAGCTCCAAATCTGTAAGCAAGCCTGTTCGGAGCCGAATCGTTCAGTCCAGGAAGAGTTCGGTGGCGTCAGTCCCTGAATCGGAGGTTCAGGAGTCGGATGAAAAGCCGGAGCCTTCTCGCGCTCTGGGCAGTCAAAAGGTTAAGAAAGATGGTAAGTGATCACCATTCCCTTCCTGTTAGCTATTATCGTTTTGAGAAAACATACTAACCAGTCACTTTTATAGTCTCCGAAGCAAACTCCGTCGCTAGTGGCGAATCTGGAAGCGAATCCGAAGGCGACTCTGGAAGCGACTCTGAAGGCGACTCTGGAAGCGAATCTGAAGGCGAATCCGATGTCGGATCCCAAGGCGAGTCCGAAGCCGAATCCGGAGATGACGAGCCAGTCTCGGACAAGAAATCTGAACGACCCTCCAAGAGCGACAAGCCTGGTCCTCAGTCCCGCAGCGAGGTGAACAAAGACCCGAGCGCTAAGTCCTGGTGGCTTTGGAATTAACGATACTAGCGTTGAACAGAGAACCCCGAGAAGCTCATCAGTGACAGAGCATGATGGGCTCTTCAGCGCGACACAGATCGAGGAATATTATAGCACCAGGGGAACAACATGTGAGTTAGCGCAACAGCATTGACTCTCTCATACTGATCCTTCGATTCAAGTTGAGCAGGATAAACTGGGGGGCAAAAGAGGCGCAGAGTCGCCTCTTGAGGGAGAAGTGAGAAAGGAACCCCGGTTAGAGGGCGATGGTGCTAAGTCGGCCGCACCGGGGGGTTATGTGGCTCAAGTTGGGCCAGTCAAGCAGGGAGACAAAAGAGGCGCGTCGCCTCTGGAGGGATCAAAGAGAAAGAAACAGAGGATAGAAGGTCCATTGGCGATTGGAACGGGGAAGGATAAGGGAGCGGATAGGGACTTGGATTCGACTCCATCAGCATCTCCAATAACGCCGGATTTCAGCGATCAGTACTTTACTGAGGCCAAGGCACTTTGCGCGGACAAGGCAAAGAGGACCGAGTATTTTCCTGATCCTGATGCTGTTCGGGGAGTTCGGATGTGGTCTGGAGAGGATACTACAGCGAATGCAGCAAACTTCGATGCTGTCTTGCCCGTGTGGGCTGACAATCATCGGCCGTTTAGTCCGTGGGTTCAGGTGAGTACTTTGGATGCAATCCATTGGACAGGATGCTAATTTTCATTTAGGCCCCTGGTCCCGCTGCTGTCAAACCAGGAGGCAAAAAGAAGGCCAAATCCCCCGATGGACCGAAGAAGCCGAAGCCATTGTCTGAGTTCACATTTGGACCATTTTGATATAGATTCTGTTTAGTATTGGGATATTTTGGCGTTGGGGTGATATATGCGATGATTTCTGTGCGAGATTTTGATTGATATTTGATATTATATTTTGTATTTGATATTTGACATTTGAATTTCACTCTTATATGCCTGCATGATTTCCGACCTTGAAAGCCCTCCTACCTAGGTACATGAAGTCTTACCCTAGTGATTGCCATCCATACTGTACTATGTATAACTGCGGAGCGTACCTATCTCGTCTGAATAAGATCAACTACACGACTATTGTCTGAACCAAAATGACTTTCCTGGACTGATTGCCCAAGCTTTGCCAATAGTCTCCGCAGTGCCGCGCGATCCTCATCGTCACATTGCGGTGCCAGACTCCACCCAGGTTCAAGATATGTGACATTTTCGGGTTTCTCCCCTTCCATATAAGGCGAAGGGCCAGTTCCATCATAGCAGCACATGTAACGATTGTAATACAGCCCGACCTTGATATCCATCTCCTGCTCAAATGGGACATCTGGGTACCACTGACTGCGGCCGATTCGGAAGTGTCGTAGTTTTGGCAATTTCTCTGCAAAGAGATCGAAAATATCGTGCCATCGCTTGTCGAACGAACCGTACAGAGAATAATCGTCATTGCGGCGTACAAAGGCATCCCGGGACAGAGTACAGGCATCCACATTCTCATCCATCATGCGAAAGCCGTAGAGGATGGCGCAGTCATCGAGGTAGATTTCCTCAAGGGTATCTCCGTGCTTCAGAATCCAATCGATTTGGTCATCATGGAAGAAACAGAAGTTTCCTAGTGATAGCGTCTTCAGATGTGGAAAGAACAGATTGGAGAGGTCTAGGCGAGGGTAAAAGCCTGAGTATTCACGCGAGGAGAGCGAGAGATGTTGGAGAGAAGGCGCAGCAGGACTCAGCCATGTGCTGGGTAACTCCTTGCAAAACTTGCGGATTTCCGGATTCTGATATCGTTAGAAAAGCATATTGATAGAGGAGTGAGTGTTTTATACCTCAAGATCATGCTCAGGAGCGGCATCATTTGTCTCGCTGGTAATACTTAGAAGAAGGGACAGTAGGCCCGACAGGACCTTTTCCATATTCGCAAGTATTTTCGGATCTTTGGGGTTATCCGCTTGCAGGTTGCGAATACCAAGGTCTTCAATTGGTTGCGGTAAGGATTCAAGAAGAGAGAAGAACTGATGCATCGCTTTAAAGCGGAATTGAGGCATCTGAGGGAATTCCTGGTAGTGGAGGAAATCATCATCCGGGCTGTCTGAAGAATACCCCTGATCGAAGCACAGAACGGCAGCGTTCAGCCGCGGCAATTCTTTCACTTGTGGAATGAGACTGTCCCAGCCTCGGGGTCATTCTTGATGTTCTTCATCCTCGTAATTCTGTGTGCATTAGTGGTTGCTTAGAGGTAGATTAGGATAATCGTACAATGTTCTCGTCCACGGTGTCTATGTAGATCTTTCGCGGAACACCACGTAGACTGGGATTGTTCAAGATCTCTTGTAAAGCGTTTTGGCTTTTCTTCCCGGGCTGGAGGCGTACGGTCCTGTAGAGCTGATCGGTGGCTAGATGCGACGTGAAACGGCAGGATTGGCGCAGCGACTTCAATGATGATTGATTCACATAAGAAAATGTGCGAGCAAGCATTTCGCTGGGCAGATTAAGAAGACCTGGCATTTTGCAGTCAGTAAAAATCGTAAATTGATCAACTGATGAGTCGAGAGGTGACAAGTCTCCCGAGGTCGCTTAGCTCCAGGCTCCCATGGCGTCCAAACTTCCCAATTCGGTAAGGCCTCAGTATATCACATGACTGAGAGCTATGGGCGTGGAGATAGGACATACTACATAACCTCAATTCTTAATACTTTTATTTGAATATTGATGTGCTTAAATTAAAGCACTAGTATGAGTGAATCCTAGGAAATTATTAAATACAATATTCACTATCATCATAATCACCATGTAACCCTTGGACGACTCTCCAGGGCTAGATCTGGCAATGATTCCAGATCCGTGATAACACAAGATTGATGCTCAAAACCTTGATGCTATAGTAATGACTTGCTTGGATTCTTGACTCTCATACTATAAGTGGAATCATGGGGCATCACTAACATTGCCGCCAGTTAGTCCTAAGCTGATGGGTTAACAGCCAATGGCATCCCTGTGGGTCCTGAATACTGCGCTAATGCAGATGGATGACGCTTTTCCAGCCAATCAAGTATCTGCTGTTCTATAAAAATGAAGCTGGGGTGGTCAAGGATCAACTTACTGAAATTTCCCTACAACTTCGAGATCTCTTCACTCTACCACCGACGAAAGATTTGAGGGAAAACAAGAGCAGGGCGGAATGGCCTCAATCGCCGCAGTGTTGGATAGCAACTCCAACATCACTCGTCACCATGGGCCAGGCTTGGTCGCTGTCTTTGGTAAGTTTTCCGTGCTCAGGGAGCTTCGGCATGATTGGCTTCGTCGACTTTCTCTATTCCTGCTCTTTCTTGTCTTCATACTAACCTTTCCAGTTGGTGGGACGAGTGGCATAGGAGAAACTACTGCCCGCGCATTCATACGGAACACCGACGCCTCTCGTGCTTACCTGATTGGAAGAGACCAGGCGAGCGCGATGAGCATCATCGAGGAATTGAAGAAACTGAAGCCCGAGTCGGAAGTCACCTTCATCCGATCAGACGTGTCTTTGTTGCGCGAGGTGGACAAGACATGCGCCGCCATCCAGGAGAAAGAGGATAAGGTGAATATCTTATTTCTCAGCCCAGGCACCGGGTCGACCAATGGTCGTACTGGTATGTGACCCCCTGTTAAATCAAGGCACCAGAGTAACCCCCGTAACTTGTTAGAAACCGACGAGGGTCTCGACAGAAAGCTCAACCTCCACTATTATTCCAGGATGCGATTTGTCCAAAACCTCCTTCCACAGCTCCGAAATGCTGATCACAGCCGTACTAGAGACCACAAACCCCTCTCACGCGTAGTATCGGTCCTCGAGGCCGGAGGCGAGGGTGCTCTGCAACTGGATGATCTCTCGCTCAAAACCCACTGGTCTCTCCGTAACTGCGGGATACATTCCATCACCATGAACTCAGTATCCATGGAGCATCTAGCATCTGTGTACCCACAAACCTCCTTCGTCCACAGCTTCCCGGGCATTGTTCGAACGCGCCTTGATCGCGATCTAGGCACTGTGGCAAAATGCGCCATGAAAGCCCTGATCGTTCTGGCCAAACCGTGGGAGATTTCATTCGAGGAGAGCGGGGAGAGACATCTATATGCTGCGACGAGTCCACGGTTTCCGCCACACGCATACAAGGACAGCGCCTCTGATGCAGCAGAGGGATCTGATGGCCGGATCGGTAGTGGCTCCTATCGTTTGAGCTCGCAGGGCTCTCCGTACAAGCCCAGCAAGATCATGGAGAGATATCGCGTCGACGGGGTGAGGAGTATGATATGGGATCATACGTTGGGTGTCTTTGCCCAGGTTCGCGGCAGGCAGGAGAACGGTGGTTGACGGCACGTTGTGTCGAAATAACATCGCGCCAAAGTCTTCGGATAGGTCTAGGAGAGAGCTTGTGATACGATGTGGTGACTATGGTACTTAAGCCTGCTAGTAGTTTACGTCAAGCCGTCTATTCAGGATAGGAGGATGAGCACTTGAAGAAGCATTTGGGCGCCGTTGAGTGAGACTACTGGCAAAGTTACTACTAGCCCACAAAGATCACCATCATTGAGACGTGGGCACACGCGAACGGATAGATCACAACAAACATCAAGTGCACAGCTAATACTTTCATCCGGGGAGCAGAAGGACTACCTTCACATTCACGACATGGATGGGCAAGACAATACAACAGCAAGACGATATCCATTAACGCGGCTAGCAACAGCAACAGGGACGGGAACAGCAACAACGAGCAGAAGAAAAGGACAGTCCGAACACCAAGACAAAGTGTAAAGCAAGGTGTTGGAATATGCTCAGAGTTCTCATCATAGCATGACCAGAGGGCTATCTCCAGTACACGGTCCAAAAATTAGTAATTGTCGTACCGGGAGAAACTCCTCGTACAGTCAGAGTATCTTTGCGCGCAAGACCTCAGGGCAGTCTACGAAGCCCGCAGGCAGGGGGGGCAATATGTGAGGTTGGTGGAAAGAAGAGAAAGGAGGATGCAGTACGGGCTGTGGGAGCAGGTGTGTCGACAAGAGAGATGAAGAGAAGAAGAAGAGAAAGAGAAGAAGATGGGGGACTGGGGGGGTTTTATACCTGGGGGGAGGCAAGGCACTAAGCGCTTTGGGACGAGTAGAAGAGGAAAGAGCCGAAAGAGGAAGGAACGAATGAGGAGGAAGAAGGAAAGAAGCACATGACCAAGCCCTATGTCCAGCACTGGGTGGTTGACGGTTCACCTATTCCTCAGAGAGCCAAATCAAAGTGGTACACCTTGCAGACTGCAACATTGACGATGCAGACATTGCAGCTTTTGCTACGAATAGTGCCTTGAGCTGAGAGAGGAGCTGGTGAAGCAGATGTTCGATTCTTAGATCACTGGGGGAAGATTGAACCCATAGTATGATATTCCACGGGCAGTTTAATCCATCACAATGCAAATCTTGGAGACTTCCTTTCCACTCTGGATAGTATGGTAGGCCTTGATGATATCCTCTCGCTCGAAAGAGAATTCCTTTGCAATATGGAATCTCAGTTTTCTGGCAGTGACAAACGTTACCAGGTCCTCCAACATCCAACGGGGACCGATCAGCACACCTCGAACGACACAGTTTTTGAGCAACGCGAGGAGGGGCACATCCGGTCGCTTTGCTGGCTCACAGTTGGCAAGATACCCAACCACGCTGACGACACCACCTGGCGCAATAGCCTGAAGACTCTGCTCGATCGTTCCAATGCCTCCGATCTCAACGATATGGTCCACTCCCTTGCCCCCAGTCAACTCCAGTGCCTTGGATGCCCAGTCCTGTACCTTGCTGTAGTTGATAAAATGGTCTGCTTACAAGGACGATTGAACAAACTCTAGCTTTTCATCGCTGGAAGAAGTGACGATGGTGGTTGCGCCGGCCGCTTTGGCCAGAACAAGTGCAGTCATTGCAACACCACCAGTGCCTATAGGAATCAATTATCAGCCAGCTGATTGTAGCGATGTGTACCATCAACATGAGCATACCTTGGACAAGAACTGTCTGGCCAGGTTTGAGCGGCACATTGCCATAGAGTGCATTCCAAGATGTCACACCCGTGCAAACCAAGGAAGCAAGCTCGCTGTAGCTCTGTGGTGCGCTACTGGGAACTCTCACAACACTTGAGGCTGAACGAACGATGTACTGTGCGAGAACTCCATCAACACCACCACCCTGGGTGGTAAGGAAATCTTTCTGGGGCCCATATTGATGAGTGATATCAAAGGAGACTACGACTCTGTCCCCCTTGGAAAGACCTTGCACTTCGTCTCCAATAGACACAATATCTCCTGCGGCATCTGAGCACGGAATTGGGTTCTCCTTGACATAGGCGGGATAATTGGACGTGGCGATTTGGACATCCCTCGAGTTCAGGGAGACTGCGCGGACTTTGATGAGGACCTCATGCTTTGAGATAGAAGGAATCTCTTCCTGGAAGGAGGTGATGTCCTCGAAGGCATTGCGAGTTGGGAATCTAAAGACGGTTTGTGTTGACATTTTGAAATTGGCGAGAAGTCGAACTTGAGTGAGCCAATTGAAGATGAATAGAATGAACAAGGGTGAATTGATTTTCCCTTCTATTTATACCCTGATATCTCTAGACGTGATTTACATGCTTTGAAATCAACCACAATCTCCAGTGCTCCTTAACTCAACGTAGCGCCGGCGGAGTAGGGCTCGACGGGATATAGACGGACCCACTCCTCGTCCAAATTGGGAACTTTCCAGGCATTCCGATTGGCCAAGGCTGCACCATGCATGAAATGCAGACTTCGTTTTACTTCATTCCTACAAATGTTCTCCAATTTTTCGTCATCGCGGTCTCCTTTAACGGCCAAGCGTCGGAGAGTAGGCCGGGCCTGTGACTTTTGCCGAGAATCTCGTATCCGCTGTGAAGCGGTCACACCATGTCCAGTGTGTCGCCAACCACATTGCGTGTGTTCGACCGTCTCAATCGAGCTCTCAAAGCCGACCTATCAATAGCCGGAAAAGAAAGTCATCACCTCTTATTGCTGACTCCGGTCAAGATGAAATCAGCCAGGTGCCTGGGCGACAGGCCGAGTCCGGCCTTAACTCGCCGCGCGATGTAAGCGCTACTCGACAGGCGCAGTCTGTCGAGGTGCCTTCGTCAGCTCAACGCATAGACTCGATGGTTGGGTTCATTACCCGCATCAACGATTTCTGTGCAGGTGTCTCACAGCTGACTTCGTCCCCATCCCCTGGGGGGGATCCTCCCCCGGAGTACTCCTCGTCTTTCTTGGCCGGTGGCTCTCAAGGCTCTAGGGCAGCCGATTGCAGTCTCACAGAATTTCAGGTAGACAGACTCCTGTTGATATTCTGGACTAGGCTATGGCCACAAGCACCGATAGTTACCCGTGAGGATTTAAGGTCCAATAAACATTCGCAAGAGCGAACATCGCCACTTCGTGACGCAGTCACGGCATACTGCATGCAGTATGTTCATTACTCGGGTCTCCATTCCCGAATCCTGGGTCTGAATTTACAACAGCTTCGGCCGGACCCGGAGGGATCTATGATCGGCTTGTCATACTTTCAACGATGCCTTTCTTCCGTGACCCAGTACAACAATTTCTCGGAGCCTTCTGTCCTCACGCTACAGTGTTATTGCTTCATGATTCTTTATCTTCTTGATGCTGGACAGCATTCTGCTGCTTACAATATGATTGGCCTGGCTCTTCGAATCGCCCAATCATTAGAGAGCAATGCAGGAGCATTACTGGGAGCAACATCCCAGAATTTCCGTCGTGCTTGGTGGATTCTGAACCATCTAGACTTCCGTTGCTCCAGGCATCTTGGCAAGCCAGTCAGTGCTCATTTCCAAAAGCCTACAGCCCCTGCACAAATTTCAGATTCGGAAGACCTATTGGGCTCGGAGAGCCCCTTATATCATACTGAGTCAGTCCGGTTGACAGCCGCAGCATTGTCCATTCTTAAGAAGCTTGACTGTCCTTCCATCCAATCAGAGATGCATAATGAGGCCACAGGCGTTGAAGCCCGTGCTGACCTTCTTTCTGACGAACTATATCATTTGCGTCAGTGGGAGTCAGATCTGCAGAATATCAGATCACTGAGACATATCAAGCTATATGTCAGTGACATACCTCTTGATCCGGACGCAGAACTCGAAGTCCAAGAGGACTATCTCAACCAACCACCCATGGAGATTCTCTTGGCAACCTTGCTAGAGCTCCAGTACCACAATGTCGTTGTAACTCTCCACCGAGTCTTCATTCAGTTCCCAAGTCATCCTCTCGTCCCCAAATCCAGTCCTCGGGGCGACAAACACAGTGCCACAGCTTTGAATCATGCACTGGCAATGATCAGAATTACACACCACCGAATGACAACTCATGACATTCTCCACGGCAACTCTGAAATCTACCAATACACATGGAACGCATTATTGACTCTAGTTGGGTTCATGCTCGCATACCCATACTGCTATCGGTGTCCCAGAGCCCGAAAATATGTCCGACTGGCTTTGATGATCTTCGACTCGGCTGGAATCCACAACGCCTGCGCCGTTCGTGCCGCGTCGCTAACACGCCATTTGGGCTCGAAGGTCGATACATTGCTGCAAATCTTGAATATCGATCAGCCGTGGGTGCCGGCGGGAGGATCGAACCCTCTGCAGATCCCTATCTTGGATGCACAGACAGCAGAAGATGTTTATTTGCCTTCTACTGATCTGGCTTCTGACGGCCAAACAATGACGAATGCTGATTTGGAACTAAGTGGGGATTCGTTGTGGTCTTGGGCTGACTTCATGAACGTGAGTGCTTGGCCAAGCTATTGTGATGAAGTGAGCGAGGCCTTCGCGGACCCAATGAAACTTTCCCTATAGGAGCTTGCACTTTCGAGCTGTGAATGTTCAAGTCATTTCCGGTTCTATTTTCCTTGTCAAACAACCTTGGGATTTTGCAAAATAATCATTTCACCGAATCCAGTCTAGGGTCGGACAGGACATATATTGCAACGTGCATCCATGCCATTATGCTGATCAACGAGCGCTCCAAGGTTGTTTTGGAGGTAGATTTACAGCGCTCAACTCCGAGGTTGGTCAATTATCGGATTGTAGAATAGCATCTGTAGAGCCTTGGAGAGACAGACTTTCTGTTCTGAATCAATACAAGGCTAGGGTACATGTCCTGTGTTGTGAGGAATTGTGGTTTCAGTCCATGTCACTCTTCTGAAAGAGATCAAGAAGTGAATGTGCAAGGTAGCGAATAAATAATTTGACCGCTCAAGTCTCAATTAACATATTCATATCCCCTGTGTAATGACTGTTTCAATCGTACTGTGTAGGCGTCCATACAGCGTGGGGATCGGGTGAATGCGGGAGTGCAAACCAAACAAACATCGAGATCGTAGCTAACGCCTTTGTTCGAAGTGACCATTCGACTTAACGCGATGGATGGAAGGCTTCCTCCAACCCAATTCGAATCCCTTTAAATCGAAACCGGCTGATTTGTCGCGCCAGCACTCATCACGGCCGCTCGACTCGCCGTGAGCGCTTAGAATGTTCACATTCACGCCTCTCCTCGGCGCTCAGTCGTCGTCGAGAGCGTCGCAATCGATCTTGGAGCTCGACGGAGGGATCAAGATCCTCGTAGATGTTGGCTGGGATGACACATTCGATACCCTCGACTTAGCCGAACTGGAGAAGTGAGCATCTACGCGTGTCCGCGACTCAACCGAGATAAGCTGACAATGTCAATAGGCACATCCCGACCCTCTCTCTGATTCTCTTGACACATGCGACACCCGCCCACATTGGCGCGCTAGTTCACTGCTGCCGAACCTTCCCTCTCTTCACCCAAATCCCGATCTACGCAACGAGTCCCGTCATCGCCTTCGGTCGTACACTCTTACAGGACCTTTACGCCTCCGCTCCACTCGCTGCCACATTCCTACCCAAGGCGTCGGTCTCAGAGCCAGGCGCAGTATCGGCGGCATCGGCGGGGGCATTGAACGGAGATGCTGACGCTGCTGGCAGCACAAGCCGAATTCTCCTACCATCACCCACGGCGGAGGAGATCTCGCGGTATTTCTCTCTCATTCAACCTCTCAAATACTCTCAGCCACACCAGCCGCTCCCTTCGCCGTTCTCACCTCCGCTGAATGGGCTCACACTCACGGCTTACAATGCTGGCCACACTGTCGGTGGAACAATATGGCACATCCAGCATGGGTTGGAGTCCATTGTGTATGCAATGGACTGGAATCAAGCTCGCGAGAGTGTTGTCGCAGGTGCCGCGTGGTTCGGCGGCTCCGGTGCGAGCGGTGCAGAAGTCATTGAACAGTTGCGAAAACCGACAGCATTGATCTGCAGTACGAAGGGAGGAGATAAGCTGGCGCTATCGGGTGGCCGCAAAAAGCGAGACGACCTTCTCCTTGACATGATTCGGAGCTGCCTTGCGAAAGGTGGTACCGTTCTCATCCCCACAGATACCAGCGCTCGAGTCTTAGAGCTGGCATATTCATTGGAGCACTCGTGGCGCGATGCTGCATCTGGCGACAAGGGAGACGTCCTCCAAGGAGCCGGGCTATATCTGGCTGGCAAAAGGGTCACTGCAACTATTAGATTGGCCCGAAGTATGCTTGAGTGGATGGACGAAAACATCGTACGCGAGTTTGAAGCCGCTGAAAGCACAGATGTCAACAATGGACAAAGAGCCGGTGGACAAGATAAGTCTAGCAAAGGCGCAGGACCATTCACCTTTAAACATCTCAAAATCATCGAGCGCAAGAAGCGACTCGAGAAGCTCCTGTCAGAACCGGGACCCAAGGTTATCCTTGCTTCTGACACTTCAATGGACTGGGGCTTTTCAAAGGACTCTCTTCGACAAGTGGCCGAAGGGCCGAATAACCTTTTGTTGCTGACGGAGTCCTTCCGCAAAGACTTGTCATCCCAGAAGCAAGGACGTGCTCACGCCCCGGAGACAATTGGAAGCATGATATGGCAATGGTACGAGGAGCGCAGAGACGGTGTGGCCCTGGAAAAGGGCTCTGATGGCGAGCACATTGAACAGGTCCACAGCAATGGACGAGAACTGGCCTGGAAGGACGTGGAACGAGCCCAGCTGGATGCCGGAGAGCAATTATTATATCAGCAGTACCTTGCGACCAAGCGACAACTGCAAGATACGTCTCAAACTCTCGGCCAAGAAACTCTTGATCCGGCTGCAGACGCCCTAGACGATGGATCAAGCTCTACCTCTTCAGAAGACTCAGATCCCGAGCAGCAGGGTCGAGCGTTAAACTTCTCAGCATCATTGGCTCATGCCACTCGAAGCAAACTCGCTGTGAGCGACGAAGACTTGGGTATCAACATTCTGCTCCGCCGAAAAAACGTTTATGATTACGATGTGCGCGGCAAAAAGGGCCGTGAGCGTATATTCCCTTACGTGGCACCAAGAAAGAAAGGCGACGAATATGGCGAGTTCATTCGCCCCGAGGAGTACCTCCGAGCGGAGGAACGCGAAGAGATCGACATGCAACAAAGACGTACGGATGCCGAGACAAAGTTGGGACAAAAACGAAGATGGGATGAAACTGCCGGCTCGAATGGACGCAAGTTGTCCGGCGGCGCAGCAGGGCGGAAGCGTCCTCACCTCGACGGCAAGCCGCAGGACGCCAACGAAGATGACATGAGCCTTGCCTCTGACGGAGAAGACGCCGACGCAGCGATCGAGTCTGACGGCGAATTGGAAGCTCAAAGCTTCGAAGGACCTGCTAAGGCAATTTATAACGACCAAGCCATCACTATTAACGCCCGTATTGCTTTCATCGACTTCATGGGACTTCATGACAAGAGAAGTTTAGAGATGTTGATCCCCCTCATTCAGCCCCAAAAGTTGATTTTGGTTGGAGGAATGAAAGAAGAGACACTTGCATTGGCATCTGAATGTCAAAAGCTACTATCCGCCAAACCCGGCACTGCCGACTCGGCGTTGGGCACAACTGCCATGGTCTTCACGCCCGCCAACGGAAATTCGATCGACGCCAGCGTAGACACGAACGCCTGGATGGTCAAGCTGAGCAACACTCTCGTCCGACGCCTCAACTGGCAACACGTGCGCAGCCTTGGTGTTGTTGCTCTCACAGCACAGCTGCGGGGCCCGGAGCAAGTCGCCCCCGAGATCGAGGACGCCGAAACATCCGGAAAGAAGATGAAGCAACTGAGAGACGAAGCAGCTTCCTCTGCAGTCGCCCCCACATTCGAACTAGGAGACAACAAAGCGTCGGACAGACCAGACGTATACCCCTTGCTCGACACTCTCCCAGCCAGCATGGCCGCGGGAACCCGGTCCATGGCTCGTCCGCTCCACGTCGGCGATTTGCGATTGGCCGACCTTCGCAAGCTCATGCAGGCTGCTGGCCACATTGCAGAGTTCCGAGGCGAGGGTACGCTCCTGATCGACAAGTCAGTTGCTGTGCGTAAGTCGGGAACTGGCAAGATTGAGGTCGAAGCAACTGCACAGTCTGCGGCGGCTCAGTCTGCTCGCGGGTCAGGCAGCTTCCTCGCGGTCAAGAGAAAGATTTACGAGGGGCTGGCTGTTGTTGCTGGCAACTGATTTCCAATGAACATGTACTTCTACTTCCGGTATACAACTTGATAACCAATAATGCATCTGTAACCACTTGTTAACCTATAAACAATCCATGTAGTCTCTAATTCGTATCAGACGAGATGCTGAAACTACTTGACAGCATGCTTTAACCTGCACAGACATCCAATTCCTAAAAGTCGCATGCGCTTTGAAACCAGGGCGCACCGAAAAGCAGATGATCCAAAGCAGTTGGATCTACATCCAGATTCTGCGTGATATCAGGGCTCTCAAGAAAAGACAAATCACTGCCCTCCAAGTGACTACCAGATCCAAACCTCTCGACCAAACCACTGCAATTTGAAAGACAGTCATCTGCAATATCCCAACTGAAGTTGTCTCTGTGCACCTGAAGGGCATAAATCATGTCTCTTGCAATTTGAAGAGGCAAGTTATGCTGCTGATGTCTTGCATGCAAACTACTTCGCAGCAGGAACATTGTGGCAGACGTGATTGAAAATGCATGCGCCGGGAGCCAGAACGCAGTTAATTGATCGGCATTGAGTTCTTGAACGAGATGCATGATTTCCTCGGCAACCCGTTGAGCATTCGTATAACATGGTGGCACGGAATCGTGCACAGCTTGGGCAGAGGCCTGGCCCAAGTCGAGTTGGATACGTCGGAGAAGAAGCTTGACTGAGAGATAGGCGAGGCGGAAATTAGCAGCACCAGGGACATTGAGAAGGGTTCCCCGAAGTGCAATTCGACGAACGTCCTCTGTCAAAGTCTCTTCCCATTCACTCAGGACTCGTTCCAGGTCCAGCGCTGACATTTCTGTAGATGGATGAGTCTTTGATACGCTGTAGACGTGTTCGAGATACTGAGCGAGGACGTTTGTTAGTGTCGTGAGGGCAACGAAGATTGAAGCCGTTGCTTTCTGATATGGAGATGCCGAGGCAGTGCAGATATCATCCACTGTTGGAAATGGCACATCATACTGGGACCGGTGGACTTGCAATGGGGTGCCATACGCTAGGCTGCACCAGCGGTCGTGGATCAGGACTAGTGACCACAGGCGTATTCGTAGGCTTTTTTCCAGTGGAGATATGCTCCAATTCGAGGGATCTCGGTTGAGCCCGAGTGCATTTGACAGGGCTACGGCTGTTCCCACCATCCCTCCGTTGCCGAACATGGATGTACTGGGTCTGCCGCAGACATTGATCAATATGGACATGACTGTCGAGATTCCAGGCGACATGAACAGCTCTGAATGGAGGGCCTCGTTGGCTTGGTTCCAAATAAATCGAATATCGGGTGTGCGGCCTGAAGCTAGCTTGGGTGAACTTTCCCAGTAGACCAAGGAGTTTGCATAAAGATTGCATAGCAAGGCCGACGATATGTTCCCTTTGTTAGAGGCGTATGCACTTCTGAAAGAAGCTTCGTCAAATATCGGGAAGCACGTATTAGCTTTCTGGAAGAACCTGCAAGCCTCTCGGTAAGTACCTACATCCCGGATGGACGCGAGGCTCAAGTACTCACATGTTCAAGTATTCGTCCACGTCAGGGTCCATATATTTCTCAATGATCTCACACTTCGATGCCGCAAGGGACTGCGTAGTAGATACACCCAAAGGCCTCCTCGACACAACATTGAAGCGCACAGGCCTGAGCGAGCAGTTCGAAGCCGACCCCGTGCGTATCAAACATCCTCTCTTTGCAGTCGGAACAGCAGAGAGATAATTCTCCAGGATCTCATTATCCTCCGCAACCGCAGGGCTGACAATGTGAGAGCTATCATCCCCAGCCTCCTCCACAATGCCCATAAGATTGGACAGGTCTTTGGTCCTTTGCTCGTTGTTTGGCAATCTTGGCATTTGAGTATGGCCTGCAGATCCCGGGCCGGCATTCTGACTGGGATCGGCATCCAGATCCACAAGACCTGGGGTTCGTGCTACAGGCTGTAGTCCAGCGTGAGACTGCGTGTGTTGCAACTTGTGCCTGTTGTGGGCAGGACGTCGTTTGACATTGACTCTTGGCTTTGCCGGTAAAGTCGGAACTTGTTGCAAGGGGTCTTCAGGGCGTGGAAATATGCATTCTGTGCCATGAGCTTGGCACATAATGCATACAGCCGAGGAGTTTCTCGTCTTGCAGCGGGACTTCCGCCTCCGACATGAGAAGCATGCGGGGTGAAGATGTGACCGATATGGCCGGCCTTCTCTGGTATCGGGCTGATTTGCTGTCATTTGGAATCTGTCAGAAATTACCCCAGAGAAAGGGAAAGCGAAGGAAGATAAGAATGCAATTGCCCGCGGACTTGCCCGCGGGCAGTTCATCACGTGAATCTGTTTTTGGCGGGGAAAGTGGCTGTCTTCCTGTCGTTGAATCTCTCTTGAAAATTTTACAGATTCACTTCGAAGACTCCAGGGCTTAGTGTTGATATGGGCGAAAGACAAGGCACCTGGGCAAGTGGTGGGCAACTTGTCTTGATTCACAGTGACTGGACGGAACGTAGAGCAAGTAGAGAAGAGAAATTGATATTTCAATGAGCCATAAGATCCATGGATATGTCTTGTCCTAAACGCAAGCTTATCTAGACTGCATACTACTAAGCTATTTTAACGGGAAATTGGCCCGGGCAATCAGGTCTCACAATAGACCGGGCGCTGGATTATATCGTGTCTCGGGAAGTATATCAAGACCGTGATGAAAATTCGGATTGAAGAGAGATCTTCGAGGATGGAGCATGAGTTCTCATTCTAGGGTTGTCAGCCGCGAGATAGTTTGCATTAATCAGTCCTCGGAGTCGATATGCGACGACTGCCCAGGTGCTCGTGGAAATATACTATGATGTCGATCTCGTGGATGGCTATGCGCCTGGCTTCCGCGAGGCGGAGGAGCAGGATCATGGCCTAGCGATTGGGTGTGATTTGGAACAGATACTGGCGAATGATGGAAAGACCCTGGTTATCACCGTCTATGGAAGTAATCACTAGCTACCTAGGTATTTTTGGCACTCCTTACTTCCATTCAAAGTATCAAATCAATTTACCTAGTATGAAGACAAACATGCTAGTATACATTCTATATAGTATAGAGCCAGACTCGGGAACTCCCTACCTACGTCATTCAACTTGAAGGCTTTCCCAAACGGCTGTCTCAAATGAACGCTGAACTAGATAAACTTAAGCCATAATTTTTCCACAAAGTTTCGCGGCTGTTTTTGAGGCCACTCGATTGCATCAAGTTCGGCTTTTCCAGTGAGAAGGTCAGCTTCAACGGAGGGAATCCACCGCGTACGCTTGACGATCTTCCAGAACAAGAAGAAGGAGAAGAAAAGGGGAAACCCGATATAAGACGTGATGAAGCCTGGAGTACTCCAGCCGCCTGCAATATAATCAAACCCATTAAAGAAGACAACAGTGCATAGATAAGCAAGTATCCCGTACGTCGAGTAAGGTTGCAGAGGAAAAGAGAAGGGCAGGGAAGCACGGTCAATGTTCTGTGCCTTGAGGGCTGAGTGAAAACGAAGGTAAGCGACACAGATAGATATCCAGGTGTACAATGTTGAGACCGTGGTTAGATTCTGGAACCATTGGAATACAACACTTGAACTGGACCCCATTGACATGAAAGTCAACAACGAGATAGACATCGTCACAAGTAAAGCCCAAATCGGGATTCCCTTGCCTGTGCATCGAAGGAATAGTCGTGGCGCCTGGCCATTCTGAGCCAAAGCGTAGAGATATCGAGTCCCCATGAAGACGTATGAGTTGCCTGCCGAGATGCCCGCCACCAGAACCAGAGCATTGATTATCGAGGGCAGGGCCTTGATGCCAGCCAGCTTGACGGCTATCACCCAAGGAGACTCGGCATTGGAATCGGAGCTTCCGCCAAGCAGTTTGGGGTGATCACTCGGGCAGATCAACCCGAGGGCTAGGGACGCGATGGCGAAGAAGAAGAGAAGCCGCCAGAATACTCGCTTAATCGCCCGTGGAATGTTGCGTCGTGGATTTTCAGCCTCGCCAGCAGCAACGACGACAGTTTCGATTCCACCGAGAGAGAAGGAAGCATTCACCAAAGTGTAAAAGAAGCCCAAGAATCGGCCCTCAGCTCCACTGGCAATATATTCTTTCATTCCATCCGTCTTCCAGTAGTGGAACCCCAGTCGAGGTTGTCCGGGCACGCCGCCAAGGTCGATGCATAGTGCTGTTAGAAGCAGGCCGATGATACCACATAGCTTGATAATCGCACATACAAACTCAGCCTCTCCATAGACACTGACAGCAAGGATATTGAGAGCCAAGAGTACAACGATGCAGATGACAATCCACACAGCAACACTGACATTCTCTGCACCAGACCAGAACTGAATGATGCTGCATACAGCTGATATCTCGGCACATAGTGTGATGACCGCCGTGAACCATGTGTTCCAGCCAACTGCAAAGCCAAGTGCATCATCGACATACCTGGCGCAGAATTGTGGGATGGCTCCAGGCACAGGAAGCCAAGCCGCCATTTCACCGAGGGACATCATCATCAAGAAGCCCACCGTACTAGCAATGGCGTACCCGAGAAAGAGAGAGATGGGACCAGATGATCGAAGTGCTCTTCCAATGCCCAGAAACAGGCCAACACCGAGGTTTCCTCCGAGCGCAATGAAAGTGACATGTCGGGCTTTGAGGTCTCGCTCAACGTGGCCGTAAGCAGTGGAAGATGCATTGGCGACATCAGCAGTCGAATAGGCCTTCTCATCAATTGATGACTTTCTCTTTACTTCGGTTAGCACTTGGATGAGCAGTGGTATTGAGTTCAAGTTGAAACTTGCCAGTTTGCTGTCGACACCATGTTCGAGGTCACCTCCCGTCCGGTTAGCTGACTCGAATTGGGGTTCAGTGGTCATTCCGGTAGTTGTGTTATGAAAGAAGAGTGCAAGTCAGATATCAAGCTTGCCAATTCCTACCCCGTACCCCAGACGTCCTATATATTCATGGCTCCACCAGCTGGGCCCATCGTTATCTTCAGATGTTGGCCGCGGACAAGTCCGCTGGAACTCCCGAACGGAAATCACGAGAATGCCTGTGGAACAGACTTCTCTATCAGCATGCAACGATAGATATCTGGTGATTGTGACATATGAGAATACTGATAGGCGTTTTTTGGGGGAATTTTGTGCTGGATGAGTCGACCCTGGTCAGGGGCACTGTTTGGCCATGATCAGAGTGGCCCAAAGGACCTCGGACCAGATGAAGCTCGGCGAAGATCGACAACCCTGGAATAGCATGAGAAGGCTAAAACGCTCAAGATGTATGTTTCGTGAAATTGACAGCCGAGAAGGACAAAGACATCCGGAACCCATACGTTTGTAGTATCAAGTCTATCGGTGACATCACTGTATACTGGCCGCGGTCAACGACGCGAACTTGGCCGCGGGGACTTGGATATCAAATACCCAGAATTGATACTTAAACCCCTCGTCTCACCTACAGATCACTCTCCAATTCATCTCAAAGCCATCTTATCCGTCAGATCACTTCCCTCAAAATCAACATGGGCTCAATCGAGGTCCCCGACTTCTGGCAGAGGGCCGACAAGTACCTCATGACAACAGGTGTTCCCTTTTCGCCTGTTGTAATCACTCGAGCAAAAGGTACTCGCCTTTATGACTCGTCTGGTCGATCGATCCTTGACTTTACCTCTGGCCAAATGAGTTCTCTGCTCGGTCATTCTCACCCCGAGATCGTCGAGGTCGTCAAACAATATGTTTCCGAGCTCGACCACTTGCTCAGCAACATGATCACCCACCCCGTTGTCGACCTTGCCGAGCGTCTCGCCAAGTTCCTGCCTGCTCCCCTCGAGAAGTCCTTCTTCTTGAACACCGGATCCGAGTCAACTGAGGCTGCTATCAAGATGGCGAAATGCTATACGGGCAATTTCGAAATCATCGCATTCGCTGCCAGTTACCACGGTCTCACCCAGGGCTCTGGCTCCGCCACATACTCTGCCGGTAGAAAGCGAGGCGGACCTTGCACTCCAGGTCAACTAGCATTCCCTGCACCGTATGCCTACCGCTCGCCGTTCCGGAAGGCTGACGGTTCATATGACTGGGAAACTGAAATGGATTATGGCTGGTCAATGATTGACCGCCAGAGCGTGGGGTCTCTTGCTGCCTTCATAATGGAGCCCATTCTATCTACCGGCGGTATCCTGGACTTGCCGGAAGGATACATGCAACGCATGGTTGCAGAGTGCAAGAAGCGCGGAGTGCTCATCATCATGGATGAGGCCCAGACAGGCGTTGGCCGTACCGGCCAGATGTTTGCCTTCGAGAAAGACGGCATCGTGCCTGATGTTCTTGCTCTTTCCAAAACCCTCGGCTGCGGTCTACCTCTTGCCTCAGTCAGTACCACTGCTGAAATTGAGCGTGGCTGCAAAGAAGCTGGATTCCTCTGGCTCACCACTCATCTCAACGATCCACTGACCGCTGCTGTCGGTAACAAGGTGCTTGAGATTGTTGAGCGGGACAACATCTGCAAACGCGCTACCGAGCGCGGTGACCAGCTCCGTGAGGGTCTGATCAAGCTCAAGGAGAAATATTGGTGTATTGGGGATATTCGTGGCCGTGGTCTTCTGCAGGGTATTGAGATTATTGCTGATGCTGAGACTCGGGCTCCCGGCTCGGATCTTGGACAAGCTGTTTCTGACCGTGCTATGGCTTGTGGTCTTTCTTGCAACGTTGTTAATCTTCCAGGCATGGGTGGTGTCTTCCGTCTCGCTCCCTCGGTTACTGTCACAGCCGATGAGATTGAAGAGGGTCTTCAGATTTTGGATGAAGCTTTCAGATATGTTTTGAAGAGTCAAGTCTAAACCTTCTATAAGATGATACAGTTCTTTGGGGATGTGGAAAGTGGATAATCAAACCAGCCAATCTTGTATATACCTTTGAAATGGCCCATTACCTTTCTATAAGCTTTCCATCACGAATCCTAGTATGTCAAAGATCCCATGTTTTTCAAAGTTCCATCAGACAGAGCCTTCATCGGATTCTTCGTCCTCGTTGTCCTCAGTGGGTATTTCGCGAATGATTTCGTTTGTTTGAGGACCAGTGTATTTTCTGAAAAGCCATCGTGTTAGTACTCTCTTCGACTCTAGGAGTTTTCAATGCTGTTACCCTCGAGCTGCGGTCCACCACCAAATCATAGCAAATGCAGCAATGAAACCACCAACGCAGATGGCATAGTTCCTAGGAAATTGTCAGCGCATCATGAGCTATATGTCCTCCTGGGGGATCTTACATGTTTGCCGGTGTTACTGGAAGCTGTGGCGGGAAGAACAGAATGGTGCTGATGAACAAGACCCAAAACACAGCCACATAGTTGATGGGAGTTCCCCATTTACCAAGTGTGAAAGGACCCTCGATGAACTTGACCTTGGACTTGTATAGCTGGTGTGCAAGAATGACAGACACGTAAGATAAGTCCAGTGCTGGGGCAGTGATACTGAAGATAGCTGTGGCCGTTTGGGTAGAGCCAATTGCAATGCAATTCAGACATATGCTGAAGATCACGACAAACCACACAGCATTGACGGGAGTGTGGGTGCGAGAATTGACTTGGGATAAGATTCTGTCATCTGTTAGCATATCTACATAACACGCATACCTCTTCGATGCGTCTTACTTTGAAAACGGAAGAGCGTCGTCTCGGGCAAACGCAAATGCCATTCTAGTGTCCGCTAGCATAGCTGAACACCCCGTGAAGGATTGAACAAGAATGGCAAATGCCCACATGACTGTGCCTCCTCGCCTGCCACCGGCATTCAGGAAAATCTGTGCCGCAGGAAGACCTGTGGGAGAGTCGAGGATGCCCTCGAAATCAGTCAAACAGAAGCACATGGAGACAGTGAGTAGCCATCCAAATGCACCAGATACTATGACGGCCGTTTGGATAGCAATTGGCCCTTGCACGGCGGCATCGTGTGTCTCTTCAGACATGCTATAGGGTGAAACGAATTAGAAAAAGCATGAACTCAGTTGGGCTCCAGACTTACTGTGTCGTCCCGTCATAATCGGTCATTGTCCAAGCAACCGACAAGAAACCCAAGAAAAAGGAGAACACCTTTGAACCCCATCCGGAGCCATCCGTGAAATGGCCAAAAACCCAGGAAGCTGGTTGCAGATCGGGTGTAAGCGTGACCAGGGAGATGCAGATGCAGATAGTTGCGATGACTGAAGAAATGTTAGAGCAATCTTGTCATACTAGTACAGTGATGTGGATCATACTGTTGATCGGAGCAAACCATAAAATGATCCGATGTAGAGACTTGGTAGTCAAAGAACAGATAACTCCAAGGATACACAGGATTGCAATCGACAGCAGCACGGTTTGCAGAGCCGTTCTGGAATGATATCAGCTTTGAAATGAGGTGTTCAGACGGTTGGCTTACGGTTCATATGTATATTTCCCATCGATAAGATCCGAGTTCATACTGACACAGGCCAGCAGCATTTGACTAACCGTATATGCCACGCTGGACACCCCCGCTGTTTGACCCAGGAGATTGCACCAGCCTTGTATCCAGGAGAAAACAGGGACTTGATCTGGAGGAACGACATGTTTCGTCACAAAGTACATTCCTCCCGCCGTGGGATATGCTGATACTAGTTCCGCCACCGAGCTACCGATGCACAAGGCCATACAAGACCCGATCAGCCAACACCAGACGGCAGTTGCTGGGCCGCCAGCGGCCAGCGGCGCCCCGAAAGTCGCCGGGACAGAACCGAGGACTCCTAGAATCGAAATGGCATACGAGACGGTCGACCATTTCGAGAATTCTCGCCGCAATTCCTACCAGTTGTTATCAGATCAATTGATGCCCCGCTCTGATCACATCGCCTTTGGGCGAAAGTACCTGTTTATACCCGATTCGAGCCAGCAGCAGCTCATCATCGTCATGGATAGTTGCCATCGTGCTCGAGACCCGTGAATTGCTGGGTTCTTTTTCGGGGGTCCTGGGATTTGGGCCTGCTTCTACCGTTAAATCCATGATCAAGGAGGGGTGCAAGGCCGTTGGTATATGCAAGGAGCATTTAAGGGGGCGCAGATAGAGAAAGAAGCCCAGCCAAGCCAACTCACCAGGATCTACTCTACTCGTGCTTTATCTACTCGGTTTCAAGAACCGACTGAGGGGTCAATCCAAAGGCCATGGGTATCGGAAAAGAGACGGTGAGGTGACAAGGCCCCGACGAAAGAGAAAATGCTCTAATGAGCTTGAGCCGGAACAAGGATCAGAAGCTAGTGTGATTGGAAGGTTGGATCAGCCTGCATGAAGATCAGGTAGCAGTCAATGCTATTCCAGCGTGCACAATAGATTGCTTCGCTGTCGCGAGGGGAAAGACAACTGTATCGCCCAGGTGCTCGGGAGTTTAAGGCTGAAGGTCCCGAGTGGGATGGTAGCTGCGTGTAAATCACTAGTGCCTTAGTCCTACACCGTATGGATGGTCCTGGCGAATCGCAGATGGCAAATGGCAGATGACAGTGGACTGTTAATTGATGTATATTATTGAAGGAATGCAAGAAGACAAGTCAAATGAAGTACCGTATTTCAACTTCGAGTAAACAGAGAGAACAAATGAAAGACGAGAGAAGAGAAGAGAGCAGAGCAGAGTATACACGTGAAGATCGGAACCACGTAAATCCGAGTGTTTAGGTGGTCAATCAACACTCCGCTTTAACGGCTTCACGACGATTCTCCATGGTTTTCTGCTGATCGGATTTGCGCTCTCTTTTTTCGCTTTTGCGCTTCTATCTTCCACGGCATGACATACCTTGACCGACCCTGCTATGTATAACGCAATGAACCAGGGACCCGAGGATCCATCCAATCCGCATTACATGGCCCAGCAACCACCTCAACAGTATGCCGGGTACGCCCAGGGGGCGCCTCCACAGCCAGGAGCACCTCAGGCTAACCCAGCTCCGAATCAATGGGCCGCCTACGGATCACCACAACAACCGGGCGTAGCCAGCCCAGGCGCCGCATACAATGCACCCCAGCAAGCACCAATGGGTGGGGCAGGAGATCCAGGAATGGGAGGACTTGCCTCTCAGATGAGCGGGTTAGGAATTGCAGCCGACGCAGGACCCAGGACGAACCGAAAGAAGCATCGCCATGCCCACCACGACATCGGAGGTGGTGCGGCACCACCTGCGCAAGCTTTCAATAATGGAATGGACCAAGGTGGTCTGCCGCAGCAACCGTCTCAGTTCTTGAACACGGGAATGAGCCAGCATGCGGATCGCCCGGTGTCTCCAGCAGTGGGCTTGGTATCTGCGCAATCGGCTGGTCCCCAGATACCTGGTATGCAAAGTGGTGCTGGCGCGGTACCCACCGCAGGACGAATTGACCCCGAGCATATCCCCAGTATCCCACGATCGCGCGATTTGCCCGCTCAGTATTACTTCAACCATGTTTATCCGACTATGGACCAACACCTTCCCCCGCCAGCCGCGATTCCGTTCGTGGCCCAGGATCAGGGCAACTCCTCTCCCAAATACGCCCGCTTAACCCTCAACAACATCCCCTCCGCCTCCGATTTCCTCACCTCCACGGGCCTGCCCCTCGGTATGGTCCTGCAACCGCTCGCACCTTTGGACCCGGGTGAACAACCGATCCCCGTGCTGGACTTTGGGGATGCTGGACCCCCTCGATGCCGAAGATGTCGAACCTACATCAATCCGTTCATGTCCTTCCGGTCTGGGGGCAGCAAATTTGTCTGCAACATGTGCACCTTCCCGAACGATACGCCCGCCGAATACTTCTCTCCCTTGGACCCATCTGGAGCGCGCGTTGATCGCACGCAGCGCCCTGAGTTGATGATGGGAACTGTGGAATTCACGGTACCCAAGGAATACTGGAACAAGGAACCTGTGGGTCTGCAGACGCTCTTCTTGATCGATGTCAGCCGCGAGTCGGTTCATCGGGGCTTCCTGAAGGGTGTGTGTGAAGGTATCAAGGAAGCTTTGTACGGCAATGGGAATGCGTCGACAGAGACCTCCGAGGGTGATGAGTCCTCCCGGTCATTGCCCGTCGGCGCAAAGGTCGGCATTGTCACTTATGATAAGGAGGTGCACTTCTACAACCTGACTGTATGTTTCCCCGTGCCCTATGCCCCTATGTTGATTTGTACTAAACCCGTCACAGGCAACATTGGATCAGGCCCAGATGATGGTCATGACCGATTTGGAGGAGCCATTTGTGCCTCTGAATGAAGGCCTCTTCGTTGACCCTTATGAATCAAAGTATGCACCTCCCCCGTGAACTCACAGCAGGCCGCTAACTCAGTTCAGGAACGTGATCACTTCACTCCTCAGCCGGATACCCAGCATTTTCTCTTCTATCAAGAACCCCGAGTCAGCTTTGCTTCCTACATTAAATTCGGCGCTCTCAGCTCTCCAAGCCACCGGTGGCAAGGTCGTTTGCGCCATGGCGAGCTTGCCCAACTTTGGCCCCGGGCCACTATCTAATCGGGAGGATCCCAAACTCCATGGAACAGACGCTGAGCGGAAACTGTTCGCCACAGAGAACCCACTCTGGAAGAAGACAGCAACCAAGCTTGCCGAAGCTGGGGTTGGCGTTGACGTCTTCATGGCCGCGCCTGGTGGCGCTTACCTGGACGTGGCAACAATTGGTATCTCGACCCCATGAAACGATTCTATCACGCCTGCTAACTCGACCACAGGACATGTTTCTAGCCTCACTGGTGGCGAAACTTTCTTCTACCCCAACTTCCACTCCCCGCGCGATAATCGCAAGCTGCGCAATGAGCTAGCGCATGCCGTCACTCGAGAGACCGGATACCAGACTTTGATGAAAGTCCGGTGCTCCAATGGACTTCAGGTGTCTGCTTACCATGGAAACTTTGTTCAGCACACCCTGGGTGCTGATTTGGAAATTGCCGGTGTTGACGCTGACAAGGCCATTGGTGTGCTCTTTAGCTATGATGGCAAACTTGACCCGAAGTTGGATGCGCACTTCCAGGCTGCGCTGCTGTATACCTCGGCAGATGGCCAGCGGCGCGTTCGGTGTATCAACGTTGTCGCGGCCGTGAACGAGGGAGGCATGGAGACAATGAAGTTTGTTGACCAGGATGCCGTCGTTTCAGTCATTGCGAAGGAGGGTAAGTTTGGAATCCGCCCAATGACGAAAAGTGTATACTGATCAACCACAGCCGCCTCCAAGACCCTGGACAAAACTCTCAAGGACATCCGGGCAAACATCTCAGAAAAGACAGTTGATATCTTCAGCGGATACCGCAAGATCTTCTCGGGCTCTCACCCTCCCGGCCAGCTGGTCCTGCCAGAGAACCTGAAGGAATTCTCGATGTACATGCTCAGCCTGGTCAAGTCCCGGGCCTTCAAAGGCGGCAACGAGTCCTCGGACCGCCGGACCCACGACATGCGCATGATCAAGTCGATGGGCTGCACCGAGCTCTCACTGTACCTCTACCCGCGAATCATCCCCGTGCACAACATGCAGCCAGAAGACGGATTCGCCAACGAGCACGGCCAGCTCCAAATCCCCCCAGCCCTGCGCGCCAGCTTCTCACTCATCGAAGAGGGCGGAGTCTACATCGTCGACAACGGCCAAGCCGTCATCCTCTGGCTACACGCACAGGTCTCGCCGAACCTCCTCGAAGACCTCTTCGGACCCGGTCACGAGACCCTGCAACAACTCAACCCCAACACCTCCTCACTACCCGTTCTGGAAACGCATCTCAACGCCCAGGTCCGGAACCTGCTGCAGTACCTGTCGACCGTGCGCGGGTCCAAGTCCGTGACGATCCAACTCGCCCGTCAGGGCCTGGATGGGGCGGAGTACGAGTTCGCCCGGCTGCTACTGGAGGATCGGAACAATGAGGCGCAAAGCTACGTGGACTGGTTGGTGCATATCCACCGCCAGATTAATTTGGAGCTGGCTGGTCACCGCAAGAAGGAAGAGACCGGCGAGGGCACCCTGGCAAGTCTGTCGGCCATGCGGGCCCCGTACTGGTAGATCCGATGTCCTCCGGGAAGCCCTGCGTTTTTCCCGGTTCCTGGCGATCTCGATTGGCAGGATGCAGGTGAGATGCAAGGGTGGAGAATTGAGAACGGGTAATTGGTGCCCCGACCAGGAAGGTGGTGCTGACGCTGACTTCAGTGGCTTAGCGGTGGAGCTCAGGCACACTGAAAAAATTTCAGAGATACTCAGAGCGAAATTCATTGTCTATACGGTTACTTAATTTTTTTAATGTCATGAACATTGTCTGACATGTCCAGTACAAGTGGCGGTCTGTTCGGGTGTTCTCGAAGAGTTCCCTGCTAAAGAGGAGCCGGTGAGCTCGAGTCCCCACCATTTAAAGGTGTTTTAGTCGACTTGTCAAATAGCTTAGGCGTGTCTACTCCAGGTACTAGCACATACTAGTTACAGTACTACAGTACTTTAGTGAGTAGAGTACTACCTAGTATACAGCACTCCCAGTGCCATTCGAGTATACTAGTACAGTCGGACTGTTCACAATAGCAACGGCCAGGGTCCGAGGTCGGTTCTACATCCACGGCGATTGGTTCAGGGTCCAGGGTCCAAGTCGGGGAATTTTCCTCTTCCAGTGGAGCCCGACTCAGCCTGTCGTGTTCTTCGTGTCCGAGGGGCTCTCTTGCTGCCCCTCACTGTGTAATTGTTGAAGTTGCCCCTCACCTAGGCTATAGCATGTGCTTGGTAATGGAGCTTTTCATCATGATGACCTGGTCCAGTGCAGGGGTCTCTCGTAGAACGCCTTAGCCCGAAACCGGCCTGATTCTAGACTGTCGCCCTTAGCATCGACAATTGCCCCGAGTCTTGGTGGCTCCCACTAGATCCATTGAGGCAACATGGTAGAATGGTACCTGGCGAATATGCGTATTGCCATATTGCCATCTTGCCATGTCGCCTCCCTGGGGAACCGCGGAAGCGGTCGGGTGCCATTGACGAGGCGAGTATTGCCACGCACACTCAGTATGGGAATTGTTATGTCCACGCAGGTGTCATGTTACCGCCACTGCTGTCAAATGCCCTATGAACCACTGACTTGTTGAGTATACCAGTCGAGTACAACACATTCATGCAGGTACATGGCGGTGACGCCCTATTGATTGAAGTTTATTCAGTTCAGACAGATCTCATAATGCACATGAGACTATTGAATTTTGAAAAGCACTGGAATGTAGACTATACCTGCGAACACTGAACACTGGTCCTCGAACTGCCGGTCTGGGCTTTGGAGACATCTCCACTCAACAGCCTTCCTTTCTTCGATTTCTTCTTTTTGTCTTTTTTTTTTCCCTTTTTTTCCTTTAATTTGTCTTTTTTTTCCTTTTCTTTTTTGCCATTTGCCTTTCGCCAAGGACCCATTTATTTGGTGGGGTTCCATGGGTCGTCACTCTATGCCTCTCTGTACCTGGAGCACTGTACATTGAAATCTATATAAACCTGCATCTTTCTCTTCCATTCCATCCTCAAACACATTCTCTTCAAAGTACATTAGTACATACTTTCACTACCTACCTTGCTTCTAGAGATCGATTCTCGTTGCATTCCTTATATCTGTCGACCAGATCCCCATATCACACTCCCTCAAAATGATGTTCACCAAGACTTTCGGCCTGGCTGCCCTCTTCACCAGCATTGCCTCCGCCCTCCCCCAGGACATGATGGTCCGCCGCGAAGGCATGGTCGCCCGTGACGGCGGCGGCGGCGTCAAGATCACCAACAACCTCCAGCAAGACGTCTACGCCTGGTCCGTGGCCGGTGACGTCGGCCCCATGCAAACCATCAAGAGCGGTGGTGGCATCTACTCCGAGGACTGGCGCACCAACCCCAATGGCGGTGGTATCTCCATCAAGCTGGCCCTCGACCAGGAGCAGCACGATGTCCTCCAGTTCGAGTACACCCAGTCCGACGACAAGATCTTCTGGGACCTGTCTTGCATTGACATGGAGTCCGGTAACAAGTTCACCGATAAGGGCTTCTCTGTTCAGCCTTCCCAGGAGGACTCTTCTTGCCCCAAGGCTATCTGCAAGGCTGGTGACAAGGCTTGCTCTGCTGCTTACCTCCAGCCTACCGATGACCATGCCACTCACGGCTGCCCTATCAACACTGCTCTTGATCTGGCTATCGGTGCCTAAACAGCTTGAAGCTGTTTCGTCTGCTTTATTGCCGGTTGAACCGTGCATCCTTTCGTTGGACCTTTTTTATTCTTCAAATCTGTCGCATCTAGCCCTAGTTGGCAGGTGACCTTTTTTCTTTCTTTCAACTATCACCCTAGTGGTGATGCTTTTCGGGATCTATGATTGATGATTTTTTGCCCACATGTTCGGTTGAATCGACATGTCCCCGGCCGGGTTGATTTCCGCTGGGAGTGTCTCAACGAGTCATGATTTTTACGCCGTTACTATGGAAATACCCCCCACATTTGGATTATGGAACATGGGAGTTTTATGTCGGGGGTGAGGGATTTACTTGTGAATAGACGAATAGACAAATGATCATCAGATCTTTACAAAAATGCATTTGAATTTTCTACAATTTTTTTCTTCCATTGAATTTCCTATGGTGATCTTTCCCACATTAGGCTCAGGTTAAAATCAGTCCAATAAGAATGACAGAAATCCAACCGATGTCATCGTGAAGAAAAATTTCTGAGACCGGTACCTAGGTACAGTATGTACATCCAAGTTCGAGAAGATCCAGAATAAAAATTAAGTAAGGCGCAAGACAAAGAAGAAAAATCTGCAGTCTAGAACAAGTGATAGCCGGACGATCTGGCGCAGGCGCCGTTACTGCTTGGCCACGATTCCCCCAAGGGCGGATCTATCGTGAGATATCCGCCTGCACACGATTGGCTCACAGACCCAACTTTTGTGCCGAATCTCCTAGGATCGGGTCGATTTTCCACCCATATTCTAGTGTAGCCCTGGAGTGGATCTGGACTTTCGTCATTCACTGCACATTCCACAGAGCTCCCTACAGTACAGCTCCATGCTGCACTCCGTAGTATGTGACCAGTTCCTGCGCCAGATGCATGAACACCCAGGCACAGGAACCAAACTGCCGGCCCAGTGCCACCGCCACTCTGGGGATGGTTCCTGGCTTGGAGACCGTGGTTCGGCCTGGACGGTGATGACTAAGATGCCAGCCAATGGGACAGCGGGTTTATGCTTAAATTCGCCATGCCGAGATTACCGACTTTGGGCAAAGTAAGAGTTTTACCGCAGATCCCGGTCACCGCCGGTGAATTTGGGTGAGTCACTCGTTTGGACAAGTCAGAGTACGGTGATGGGGCCAGTTGTTCCTGTCACAGGTACGGAGGCCTGACCGAATGGAAATCCGGATTGATCTCAGTAGCCGAGGTCTTTCCAAGGTTCCATGACGTCGGGCACTACCTAGTTAGTGTCAATGGGAAGCCAAGGCATCTGGGCCTCATGCTAGAATTAGTTGAATTACAGAGCCTGGGCATTGATACCATTATTCAGACTACAGGTTTCATGATCATGAGCAACCTTGGAAAGTAGCGAGGAAAACTTTAATTCGAGAGAAAGAGAGAAAGAAATCCGCAAAATTGTGACAGAATTCATTGTCCGGGTCTGGGGAAAGACAGTAGATCAACCACTCTTCTGAGCCCGCCATTCCCTCCACCGTTCCATGAGTCGATGAGACCTCATTGCTTTGAGTAAAGCATAAGCGAAAAGTCGGTAGACGATCGTACATACCCCCAGAGCCATCACATTCATAGGCCCGTCTTTGTTCAAGTGGAACAAATCCAGCACGCTCTCGCCTGAAGTGTACACACAAACCCCATCAACGAGCTGCTCAGAAGTACAGTGAAATTTCTGGGCGTGCATTGAAAACGGGGCCAGATTCGCAATGGAATACTTAATTGGCGAGACGTGGTTCAGAGCCTGTAAAACAGGATGGACGTCCAGACTCATGACGCCGCCGAGAATGGCCGAGATCGACATCAGCACGGAGGTGATGTTAACTGCGAAGCCGACGTGGGAGAATAGCGTGCAGAACATTATCCCCACGGATTCGCCGCAGTTGATGATGCAGAAGCAATTGAAGGAACTGATTAGGAACATGGTTGTCGTGCGCTTCAGATTAGAGGCAAATGCCGCCAGAGCACCAAAGATTAGCGAGACGATGACCTCAGAGGGCAACTCGATCACTGTGTAACTTAGTAAAAAGGTCGAGCTAGTGTAGCAGCTGTCTTCTTCTTCGCGGTAGAAGACATCCCGCTCACCGGGGTAAATGGCGATATTCTGAAGCATTCCGACGAAGTACAGGGCAGCGAATTCCTGAATGAATCCCATCCGCGACTGCACAGCTACATAGTCATTCTGAAGCGGCGCAAAGAACAGCGTCATGATAATCGCAATGCCTGGAACTTGCATTAACCGCGACATGACGAGTGGTGGTTGGCGCCATAGATTTATCATCGACCGACGCAAAACCAGTGGGAATGTCTCGCGGAATGGTAGCATCTGGCGCTTGAGACTCCCTAGCTCCGCGGGCGTGGCGATACGCGACTCGTGGTCCAGTTTCGGCTCAAGGGGTCCATCCTGCCACTGGCTGATGAGCTTTTGAACACGCTCGCGTGTAATCGCTTCACGGTCCTCTTGTTGGAGATCAACTGTGATGAGATCAAGTACGTAATCTGCGGGATTAGTCGTGCGAGGACAGTCATGGCCCAATCCTGCGAAATGCTCAACCATGTTACTCCCTGCCCCGGCGTACACGGGGTATCCCCCGCGTGCTAGTAAAAGGACTCTCGAGAAGTGTGGGAACAGGTCCGAGCGAGATTGGTGGAGTGTTAGAATCAGCGTGCGGCCTTCGGCTGCGAGGTTCTTCAGAAGCTCAATGATGGATAATGCTGTGAAGGCGTCCAGGCCAGAGGTTGGTTCGTCCAGCAGGAGAACCTTTGGGTCTGTCAGGATTTGAATGGCGATTGAAACACGTCGTTTCTCCCCGCCGCTTATGCCTTTGATCAAGGTGCTGCCGATGAAGTTGTCGGCGCACTCTTTGAGTCCCATCTTGTACAGGATTTCTTCGGCTCGTCGGTTCTTCTCTTCCCGCGACATCCACCCCGGTAGACGGAGACCTGCTGCATAACGCAGACTCTCCCTTACCGTCAGAGAAGGCATGAGGGCGTCGTCATCTTGCGTTACAAAAGACGTGACCGACCGAATCACGCTTTTGGATGGCACAGCACCATTGTACAGCATGTTCCCGTACACTCGATATTGCGTACCCATCGACCCCTGCAGTCGACATGCAACGGAGTTTAGCAGTGTTGTCTTGCCACTTCCCGATGGCCCCATGATGACGTTCAATTTCCCAGATTGGAATTGCGTAGTGATAGGTCTGAGAACCTGCAAGCTCTGCGCAGCCTGCCATGGAAAACGTTTCTTCCGAATCTCCAGCGCATACTGCTCAAGTGATATATCCACCTTGCGAACCTCTTCTGATGAACGAATAGCAATCTTTGATTTCGCATTCGAGGCATCACCCTCGCTCTGTCGTGCTTGTGCAATATCAATCGCGAAGCGGTTATACTGCAATAACAGCCCAGCAAATAAGTAATGGACAATCACGAAAGCAACCAGGACCACGATGGGTCGCCAGATCCAGTTTGATGGAAATCCGAGATTCTCCATAATATATTGTCCCTGGAATTGCCTGCACATCGGATCATGCGGGTCTTTGGAATACGGACAGTCATAGAAATGACCGCCTTCTGGGCCATGTAATCCCATGAATTCGTTCGCGCATAGCGCACCAAATGTGTAGTACGCGTATGCACACCACTTCAGCCATCTCACGTAGACAGGAATCTGATTCGACTGGACAAAGTATCCGCATGCGAAAGATTGCACAGTGAAGCATAGGTTGGCTACGAGACTTGCGCCGGAAAAGCTTCGTGCCATGCTGATCGCAGCCATCGCGAATGTCACGGCGGTGTAGTGCGTGAGTACTGCGAGGACGAAGAAAATGAAGAATTGACTTGCGTCCTCGCGGTACCCGACCATGAAGTAGAAGATGAGAGAGAAGATAAGTGGCATGGGTAGGTCCTCCAGAAGCAGTCGAGCTGCTCGTCGGCTGAGGAGGAAAGCTGGCACACTGACCACGCCTTCGTTGTGTTCTCGATCGAAGAGACGAATGTCAATTGTTAGACGATACACCTCATACAGCAGAACCAGATATCCGTTCAAGCTGCAAGCTGTGTACAGACTACCCTGTCGCGAGCGGATCCCTGCCTGGTCTTCGCGGAGCTGTAAAAAGATCCATCCATTGAGAACGGCCATTCCAATCGACTCAACGAGGCTGCCAGCAACGCCCATCGGATCGCGGATGGTAGTGGAGAAAGTGCGAGATGTGAGAACGTGAAACTGTCGACCGAATGAAACCGTGTTCACACTACCGTGCTCAAGGCCATCCAGATCATCCTCCTGGTGGGTCGGAATAGCCTCTCCTTTCTCCTTACTCAACCGAGTAACATTGTCCTGTTTCAATCTCCAAATCTCCGTCAATCGCAGCACTCTAGCCCGCGAAGCAGCCTCCAGCTCTTCCGTCCGATTATCAATAGCAGCAAGATCAATCAGAAACTCCGCCGGGTTAACAAAAGCCGGAAGAACAAACCCACATTCCTGAAAGTGGCTCAACGACCCAGCCAGCGAACCACTATAAAGCGCAGCCCCCCTAGCAAGCAGCACCGCATTATCAAAAAGTCTCCAGATCTCAGAGCGCGGCGCATGAATCGAGACCACAACAGTACGCCCCTGCATCGTCAACCCCTTCAAAGTCCGAATAATCTGAAACGCACTAGTCGCATCCAACCCTGTCGTAGGCTCATCGCAAAACAACACAGACGGATTAGCCAAAAGCTGCACACCGATACTCGTGCGCCTTTTCTCGCCGCCACTGCAGCCCTTGTGCGCATCATTGCCTATTCGCGTATCCGCGCACTCTTTCAGTCCCAGTTCCAGAATTACCTGCTCCACGATCGCATGGCGCTCGGCCACAGTCGTCGGAGGGGGAAGACGTAGATCAGCCGAGTAGCGCAGCGTCTCTCGGACTGTTAGCGTCGGGATGAGGACATCCTCCTGCATGACGTAGGCGCTGCGCACATGCGCGATGTCCTCGCCATTGAATGTTGTCGTGCCTGTTGTGCGGGCGCGGGACAGATTCATCCGGGCGGCCATTAAATTCAGGAGAGATGTTTTGCCTGAACCGCTACTTCCAATGATGGCAGTTAGGGTTCCGCAATCCATGGAGGCGGAGATGTTGCTCAGGACAGTCTTGCTGGTCTGTTGGTTCTGGCCACGGATGTGGCGCCACATGTGCGACGGGGCTTGCTTCCATATTGGCGGGGTGGTGTTGATCTGCAGTGATACGTTGCGGACCTGAATGTCTACTGGTCTCACTGCGCGGAGTGAGAGGTTCGATGCATTCTGCGCGTCAGGCAGAGCCGCTGATTTCGCGCTGACTTCGTCGGTGACGAAGTGGTCTGTTGACATGATCGCCGTGTTACCAAGTGACCGGGACTGCAGTACGCGTCATTGCTTGGTTCACGGGGTGCAGGAGTGAAAAGCCCTCAATGCTGCAGGGATGCGAGGGATGAGGCGAAAGTGACGAAATGCGGGAGAGAAGGTCTAAGATCTTCCCGTTGGACTAGTGTACTGTACGGAGTGAAACTGAAAAGTGTCGAGTACAGTATTTCCACTCGCAAGTCGATGGAGACACAGATGAAGTTCCCCGTTAGCGTTGTCATTGGACCCTCACCCCGCAGAGTCCTTGCATACATACGTTGTCATGCATTAGCATCACACTATATAGTCAGGGATATTAAAAGTCCAGACTCCATACTGTACAGTACTATTCCCAAAACACCATATATACAAACCCTTGATACAACGCCTGCATCATTCGTGAGATCATGAAATCTCTTCATTTAGAATTTTGGGCCTCAGGGCCGGTATAATGAGACCAGACTCCACGGCGCATTAGTCCTCGCCATAGAAAGAAAAAAAGCGTCAACGTAACCGCATAATCCTCTCACCGAAAATGCATAACATGCATCGTAATCACAAGTACAAAGTTCAAACGCCGCATAATACAGGAGTGCGATCCGATTATGTCCAAGGAAAGTGGCGTGGAAAAGCCATCTCAAAGCGACGACAATCAACCAAGAAAATAAGAACACAGAAAGAAGTGAAAAAGAGATCGGAAGTGAAAAATAGGGGTATCAGGGGGATAAGAGGGAAATCACAGATTCAAGTGATCAAGAAATCCATGTTCATAGCACGGATGATTTTCTCCCAGTCCCAGCTCTCTTCGATCTGGGTATCCATGACATCCCAGACGCGGGAAACAACCTTCAATGCAGGTTCGATATTCCGCAGGTTGGAGTAGGACTGGAGATTTTCAAAGCCACGCTTAATGCGCTCACGCTGCTCGGTCAGGAAGGCCGAGCAGCCCAGCAGGAACAGTGGCATCAGTACAATACTGTAGGCCCCCGCATCTTGCGGCAGCTGCTCCAAGTAGTCGAGGCCATCGTTGACGACCTGGGCGATTTTCTCGCTCGGTCGCGAGGGCCGGATCGTCCGGTATAGATACACCCAGGTCGACTGGCGGTATAACTGGGCCAGACACCAGTTGGAGGTCTCTGGCTCGTGGGAGGTCTCCCATTTCCGGATGGCGGTATCGATGGAGACGGCCTCGCTGAGGGTCTGGTAGTCCACGGCAGGCTCGTAGCCCTCGTTGAAGCGTTCGCGGATGCGGTCCCGCAGCTGGGTGATCTGCGCAATGTAGTTGAACAGCCCGTCGAAGACACCAACGAACATTCCCGGGGACGGGCCGGCCGCGCCCGGGACGAAGTTGGGGAGGTGGGGATCGCTGGCGAAGAGGTTGGGGCGGCGGTCGAGGGAGGTCAGGGAGTTGGAGACATCGTGGTACTGGAAGAATTCGACGATGAACTGGCGGAACTTTTCGTTCCGGGGCTTCTGGGACACCAGCAGATAGCGGGCGGCATCCATGTGCGGACGGTACTCGCCTTTCACCTCGCCTTCGCAGATGGTGTTCAAACTGAGGGCGATGGTGGAGGCGATGATGGGGTCTTCGACCAGCAGGGGCTCGTCTTCGCCGTCGGGGCTCTTGGCGGCGGACGAGGCATTGATGTTGTCTTTGAGATCCTGGATCGCGTGGTGGAAATGGAAATATTTGCGCTCCTTCAGCTTCGGTTCGGGATCCAGCCCGGACAGATGCGACCCGGATAGACACATGAGCGAATGCATCAATCCTCGGTGCTGGGTGGCCATGGGGAGCAGGATCTCCTTGAAGGGATTTGAGTCATCGTTAATGAGAGTCAGTACGCGACTGAAGCCGTAGACGAAATGGTCGAGAAAACGTCGGTCGACTTCCGTCTCAATGCCGTCGATGAGGAGGGGTAGGCTACGCGGCATGGACGCAAGGGACTGCGATCGCACTACTGACACGGTTAGATAGAAAGCGGTCTGGGATGGACATTGGGCCTACCGTTCGCCATCTTCTGTCGGCCACTTTTCCAGATTTCCTTGGGCGGATAGCCTTCACAGACCACTGCATTCTTCTGGCAGTTGAGACATCTGTTTTCCATTAGCCTTGCTCCTGTCTCACGCAAGGTGGTACTTACGCCGGCTTGGTCTCGTCACACTTCTTCTTCCTGCGGCGACAGGTGATACAGCCGGTCTTGGAGCGACCCTTGGTGATTTTGGCCTGGTTGCCGGGGACGGGCAGGGGATGTTTGCGCGGACGACCACGTTTCCGTGGAACGGCAGCGGGAGTGCCCGTCTCGGCGTCAGGGCGGATGCTCAGCAAGTCCTCGTCGGCCTCCTCCACCTTGGGAATCTCCATCACTTCGTCGAGTTGGGCTTGTACGGTTTGGTCGAAGGTATGCGATCGTTGATAGGCCTTGATTTGGGCGTCCAGGTCGGGAGACTGCGTGGCATACCACCCCGGTGAATCCGACGAGGTATCGTCGGGACTGGCCCCCGTACTGGTGCTGGGAGTGCTTTGCAGGCCAGTGGGGATCTCGTTATCCCGAAAACCCGAGTCAGTTAAATCCGTGAAAGGATGCATTGACCACATTGAAAACAGTCATAGAAGTGGCTCGCAGAGAGGGGGGAAAACCCAATGTATAAATGGAGGGGAAGAATGACCGAAGTACGAAATGTGCTTGGTCCACCGTCAGCCGTGTGATCAGAATACACTTTGGAGAATGTCGAGAATTAATAAGTTAAGTAAAATAAGTAAATAAAATAAGTATACTAACCTATTTGATCTCTGCGGGGTGCAAAAAGCAAATGCATTTTAGTGCTTTTTGGCTTTTACGATTAACCCGATCGTGGACTCTCGTGTATGCAAACGTGAGAACCATCGTCATTAGCCTCTTCCCTGATTTTCTCTTTTCTTTTCTTTTTTCTGATTTTTTATGCTATTTTGTTTCGTTTCTACCCGCTCTTACTTTTTGCTTTTTCGACTCCCTTCTCTACTCCTTCGCATTGGCCCGGTCGACGAGTATACTTTCCGGGGGCCAAAGGCGTCGTCTCCGGTCTACTAGTAAGCGCCCACAGTGCCCTGGACAGTACCAAACCAGTGAACTCCATGGCAATTCCTCTCAATGCCTTTGACGCAGATGATCCGGGGTAAGTGGGCCAGATCCCCTGATTCGTGATACCAGCACGGACATCCGCTGCAGGAAATAGACAAGGTTCGGAAAACGTATTCCTCTACAGTACCCTGTCGCACCTCTCGACATATCTCACACTGACAGTCGTAAGGGGTGGGAATGTGGCGATCCTCAACCCCCAGGCGCAAGGCCCCCGTCGATCTGCCGGGCGACCAACTGGGAAGGACACCCTTTTACCCATTTTGACCCATCAGCTGAACTAGTTGCCTCGCAAAGTACGGACTTTCGCTTAGATCGTACGGACTGGGCTTCGGGCGAAATGCTAATTTCCATGGTCGTTTCAGGCCGGCGATCGACGCCAATCGATCTGACCTCTGACATTGGCCAATGCCCGGATGACGGTATGTACCGCGACGAGTCGGGCATCTGCCACGGGCGATCTCGCGTAAAAGAGGAACGCCTCGTCCCGTTTAAGCGCCCTGGCAGTACGGAGTATAAGTTGCTTTCTCACGCTCATCCGAACTTAACGAAGTATGCGACGGGTCGACGGTTGATCCCGAGTGGGGCCGAACTATACAATGACTCTCTCAGACAGAGCAGTTGTCGCAACAATAAACGCCCAACTCAGTAGGTGAGCCGAGCGTCACGGCCTAGATCCTCTATACTCGGCTCTGTGCATGACTTGAGCTTGGACCGTCTCTCATACACTCCCTTCGTCTTTCGGCTGTGCTCCGATGAAAGGCTATGCTCCAGGCACGAGGACAGAACGGAGTCCAGTACGGAGTACGGGGTCCTGTTACTAGTAAGTCAGAATCATTGAATCCACAGTGGACTGGTCAGATCCAACTTCGACGGCTTACTGTGGGCATTCCTATTGGCCCTGTACGAACAGTGCCCAATTGAGCTACCCCGAATAAGCAGTTGACCTCTCCACCTGGGCAGGCTACGAGACAAAAGTACTTTCGTTTCCGGCTGGTCCACTTGGCAGCCTGACTCTTTCAGCCCAGTACGTACTCCGTACTCCATAGTGCGTACTCCGTACTCCGGAACAATTGAGCCTGATCGAGTTTGGGCTGTGATGTGAAACCGATGACATAAAGGCCTACGTCAAGCCAGTCTCGGATACAGTCCCCTACAGGGCAGCCAAGCATGGGGACAACTAGTGTACAGTAGCCTCCGAGACAAGTACGGTGTTTTGAGTTTGACGACTCGGCCAGACCACTATAGATTCTGTGCATGGAAGGATCTGGAGATGGTTGATCTCTCTTTTGCTTTTTTTAGATCCCTTCGTATACATCCAATCACGATACATTCGATCTGGATGACTGCACTGTTGACTCTCCTTACGAACTCGGTGATCCCAAAGGATCGTCTACCTTCATTTCACCACCGGCACAACTACCAATCAACCCCCCACCAATCCCGCTGACTAGCTTCGTAGGGCAATTGCAAGCTTCACGGATGGTTCCCGACAATCTGTCCGCCCATTTAATTCCGGGTCTCTTTCACAAGATCCGCCCGAGCCGTGCAAAGAGAGACCCAATCACGGACTGGACGATGTCGCTGACATTCATTTAAGAATAACCTCACACCGCGTCCTCGAAACACCCAGTGGGCCGGAGGTCCCGAGGTCCACCTGAGCTATTAGCAGAATACCCAATCATGACCTCCTCGATCATGCTGACAGCAATGTCGAGACTGTCGCATGAGGTGAATAGCCGCAACAAAATCCTGTCCTTCTTTTTTCTCCTTACAAGATCCACCGAGTCCTCGACAGAACACCAATCATGCCTCGTGGGATCCTGCTGACCGACGAGATGACCAGCGAAGGGGTGAACGGTGTGGTTATTCTCGGGGCAGGACTTCCTCTTTGGAATTCCCGTGGCTGTACGGACACGATGGTCTTCTCCGGTAGTCCACACTGGGTTTTAGTCTCGCAACAATTACTCTGAGTCGATTCTGTCCGTCATCTGGACCGTGCGTGCAATGCTCAGGGGAGCTCTCGGCTCATGGACTAGGAAGGTCGATTTCTGGCGAAACCCCTTTTTGTCGGGTCGCGATATCTCGCTCAGTTGTGTACTCTCACTCCGAGAGGTGTGTTTGCGCGGCCGCAGACACTGGATTTGCTTTCAGTGCAGAATGCGCGACGCTGAAGTATTCAGAGCAGAGAGCTGTGGTGCAATTGGTTTGCGGTGCATTTCTGCGCAATTCCAGGCAGCTGTGCGTTCGCGACAGGCTGGTACAGATCAATGCTCACCTGTGGGATCTGGATCTTGCATGTGGAATGAACTCGCACTCTGGGACGGTGCACCTCAGCGGGATTGCCTGAGGCTTCCCCCCAGGGCAACTGTGTCGCTGCATGGAGCTTTCTCTGTCCTTTGACCCCGCTGGGATCTGTGAGTAGCCCATGGCACCCTGCCAGACTTCGCCAATGGAGATGCCGAGAGGTCTGTTGTACATCTCCAAAGTATCGGCTGCCAGCCATGTGGGATGCAGGAGCAGCAAGAGGTCAAGGTTTTACCCAGCCCCGAAGCACTGCATTGTTTCCGTGCTCCTGTGTTCCCTCGCATGGCGGGCCATGTGCTAACAGGCGATGTCGCTTATAGTACTTCTTGACCGTGGCATTCAGTATGTTGCATCGACTTTCGATTCATCGTGGTCAGTCATGCCATTGTCTGGGCCCTGAAAGCGAAGCGACTTTGACCTCCGTGACTCGAAGCAAACATTTCTGTTGATAGCTCTGAGATTTCGATCAAGCAGGATTTTCAGGTCAGGCCCTCGTTGCGCATGGCGAAGATTCGGGGGAGTACCATGCGACGTACTCATGCCGGCGGATAACTCTACACCCGTCTGCTCAGGGATGACAGTCGATGAGAGCTACAACACCCGAGATTCAGAGGCGGAGCCTTGACAAGCTGACTTGACTGACAGTGAAAATTCGAGTGGTTCAACGGTTGAGGTCTAGCATCGATCTTGAAACGCACCCTTAACATGGGGAGGGAAGAAGAATACACGGGAGACAGCAGCTCAGACGGAAAGAGAAGAAGCGACCTCCTCGCTCACCTGGATAAGAGGCATTTCCGAGCCGCAATTCTTCTCGCACCACAAGCGCAACGATCTCCGGGGTCGGACCCTGTCTCGACGTGCGGTGGCATAAGCCAGGATCTGCAGAGCAGAGGGAGCTCTGTAATTGCTTTGCGCGGATGCGCTTGAGGCAAGAGAGACATCACCTCACACACCTCCCAGGCGCTTGATCTGCAATCTGAGAAATAGCATTGGGCAGAGAGATGACACCTCGATCCAGTTTTGATACCTGAATCAGGGGAGGTGAAGGGTTGGTCAGATAAATTCCCTGGCTAGATTTGACAGCCCCGGATCACATTGAGTTGAAATTCAAGATTGGAGTGAGCTCTCAGCTGTGACGGGCTCTCGAGGGTCTGTTCGCAGTGCTAATGGGCCTGCCCAGGTGGTGGCGAACCCGCTGTGTTTAAATCTTCCAGTGTTACTGTAGACCATGAACTTACTCATATGTAGTTACTCCATATATATGTACGTAGAAGCCAGAAGTCCAAAAGAGCCAACACAGAAGTACCTAGGTAGCCAACAACTACTGTATCTACTCGGAACCTTGAAGTCAATCGTGCGTGGCAAATGGAGAGAAGTAACACGATGTGATATGACGCCCGTGCTCCCTGTGTGCAACCCCAGCGCAAGCTCTCCTAGAACGCCTCTGATCTCTCCCTTTTTCACCTCGGCATTCCTTCTCAGAATCAGCAATGCGCATCTTCCTCTTGATTTATCAGTACGCACACTACTCCGTACGTTGAAAAACAGGTTCCAGTGAGCCAAGTACCACCAAGTCTTGGAGAATATACAGGTCATTTCACTCGGTTGTAGAGACATCACAATTTTTCGCGCCTGGGCAGACGCAAGGTACGATGTACGGCGTACATGGATCTCCCTGCCCAGGTGGACCTTTGACAACCTCGGGGTTCAAGTGTTAATTAGTGTCCGGCGAGTTGGAAGTACGAAGGACGGAGTATGGGGTAAGTTCGCTCCGACTTGGCTTCTTGACCATCACCTGTCTGACAAGCTGTGAGCCCCGTTCCAGCCGTGGAAGATTGTTTCTTGCAAAAACCACCCAATCAAAGGATACCTAAACAAGGTAACAGCTCTATTCACCGAACCCTTTGTTTCTGACTCATTGCGGCTTGAGGCGAAGGCAGATATCAGCTGAATAGCACGCATGACCAACATCGCGAATACGACAGACTAACAACCTTGGAATACCATCCAATCTTGATTCCAAGGCTACCTGTAAGGCTGCAGCCTAGCCTTACTCTGCTTAACGCCAATCAACCTTGGCAAGTTTTATGCTCCAAGGTCTAGAACGCTGAAGCCTGGTATTTGTGAGGACTGCTCCGTGAGGCAGTGTCTTTGCCATGCCCTCGACTCAGATCGGCACACGTCATCGGCACAGTGTGGCGAAAGCATATCGAAGGCGCCGTCATGAAACGCAGTGCCAGGCGTCAAGGTTTTGGGGCCAACTTGGCGCTAACTTGTGCTCTGCGTATGCTCAGCCCGATGGGTTATCGCTTATACCCGGGTGCTCGTGAGAAATTCAAATGACTGCCTGGTCATGGGATCTGTGTCTTTGATTTCGCTTGTGCTTACAGTCAGCGAAGCAGGTCTCCAGGGCTTGATTCTACCTAGTACGCCAATGGTGGAAAATTTGGAAGTTCTAATCCTTATTGTACTTACTGAGCCTCGTAAAGAGCTGGTTTAGAGTAACATGACATACTTCCAAGGTTACCAGGTAGGTCAACCTTAAAGCCCAAGGTTTGTCCAAGGTATTTCCGAATGGCTAAACGAATTCATGTGAGGTTTCGCCAAGCTTCCAAGGTCAGAAACATATCTCGGATACCTAGGTACGTTGAAGGATTCTGGATCTTCATCCATACCTAGGTATCCCGTATTCAATCTACTTGGACAAGACCTGGGAAAATACCCGAATTCCCAGCTAGGAATATCCCAAGGAAATCACATGCCTGCCCAGAATGAAGTGAGCGAATTCATCTGATATTCAAAGAACATACCCTTCTCGAAAGAGGATGAACGTAAACTCCAGCTTGGGCCTTTGAGCCCCGGTCTTGGTCATGCTTGGGAGCCGCAGGTCACGATGGACATGTGAATACAGTTCTACTTCTAGGATTGCACTCAGAGTGCTTTCAGGTGCATGTAGTGAGTAAGAAGACTGGAAGACTGGAATTCTTGGTCCGGAGTCCGGGGAGATGGCCCCGATGCTAGGCCATGAACGCATGCATCTCCTTCTTACTTCGATTATTCATGTTCCAAGGCTGGGATGTGTGAGTTGCCAAGCCATGCATGGCGTTGGCCATGCCCAACGTGGTAGTAGTCTTCCAAAGTTCTGACAAGGGTAGGCGACTAGCTTCCCAGCTGGGAAGGATTCAAGGGTCTGCTTTGTATACATTCCGCACTATCATTTCACTACTGTACCTAGGTACATACGACTTGGATATTTTGATATGAAAAGTTGCCATTCACGAAGCTTTGATTCCCCGAAAATAATATGTACATACAAAGTCTGTACCGTAGAAGCAAGTCGCATTGACATAAAAGCCCCGTGTAGTAATAAACCCCATACTCCAACCATGTAGAACCGAACCCAATGCATGATGTATGAACAAGACCCATAGAAACCATGACTCGCTCACACAGATAAGAATTCAAACTGCCCCGACCCATGCAAATGCTAATGATGATAAATGTGAAACAGATAAGAGTGACCACCAAAAAAAGAAAAGGATATCACTGGAGTAAAGATAGGCCCGTTCGGAGGGTGTCGAAATGAGCCGTGAAACATAGACATGAGAATGTAAAAACGTGAAGCTGAACTGGGTCTAAGATTTCGGTTTCTTTTTGTCTTGCTCCCAGGACCTGGTGCAAAGCACTCATGCAATGAATGCGCGGTCCAGCTGTCGCAGAGCGCGGACATCCTCGCCTCCGAACCCGATCTTCTCGTTGGGAATATCCCGAGGTCCCTCGGCGGCTGGGCCTGGCGCAGGAGCTCCGTTGGGACTGGAGACGGCGGGGGGATTGGACGAGGAGAGGGGCGCAAGCGAAGCACCGTTCACTAATGAGGTGATGCCGGGGACGGCGTTGGTGGCGCTGGCCGGATCTGTGGTTTTGGGCGAGGAGGTGATAGGGTTGAGGGCATGAAGCATAGGGGGTTCTTGTTTGACGAGGTGGGGGCTGTGAGTTTGGCCGTTTGGCGCCAGAGACTGCGCCGAGACCCGGGGTGAGGCCATGCGGGGATCGACCAGGGCATGGCCGTAGACGGGCGGGCTTCGTTGCTCCAATGATCGGGGGGACCGGCTCATGTAGGGAGGAGGTTGTTGGGGAGCTCCTGCTGGGGGAAGTGCCGATTCCATGGGGTGTCGCTCATACGGATGTGGGGGAGGTGGCAATCCCGCTGGGTGATGTTGATGTGGGGGCTGGTGCTGGCCATAGGGAGGGCCATTTGGCGCTACTTGGGGGAGGTAGCCAGAGCCGGGGCCATGGCCGTATTGCACTGGAATAGTTGGGGGCGTAGCTAGAGGGGTGGGTGGCCATGCATACGCAGGGGGATACGGTTGCGCATGTGTCCCGCGTGGGTATCCGCCAATGGGGTGTGGAGTGATCGGGTAAGCGGCGCCTGGCATGGGACCGCGAGTCACGACCGGGAGGTTTTGTTGGTCGTTGACGGTCGACTCTGGATAGAGTCCCTTTTGGGGACGGACGTGGCGCAGCGCGGGATCCGATGTGGGTTGTTGCAGGTTGGCGGCAGAGGGGTGGGATCGGGAGTAGTAGCTGATCAAATGCAAGTGCTGACCATTGGAGGTGGTGATACTGAAAGACTGCTTCATGAGACCATCTGGTTTGTACCGGTAGCCGTCTGGACCCTCGTCGGTCCCGTCGCCTCGGTCATCGTCACTGCCCCGACTCTCCGGGGTCTTCCCGCCGCGCGCAGAAGAGCCCTGGGAGACGCTCCCGCCCCCACGCTTGCCTTCCATTTCACGGTAGGTCAGGAAGCTTCCTGACACACGGCTCGCGCTCCATGATTTCCCGTCGGTCCATCGTCGCATTCCAGCTTCTCGCTCATCCCACACAAAGACTGAGCCGGATCTGATGGATTGTCGTTCTTTCTCGGAGAGTCGCCGTTGCACTCGAGGTAATAAACCGATCCGACAAGCTTCGAAGAGGATGATAGCGTCCGCGGGAGTGCGGACGTGTCCGTAATATGTCTCCATGGAAGCTATGTCAAGGTAACGGGTTGGTGTGTAAAAGTGGAGGAGAGGAAGAAGATAGGGCAGGATATAAGAGGAACCAAGTTGGGTATGGGGTAAGAGGGCGTTGGATAAGGCCGAGCTTTTACGTCACCCAACACGGTTAGACCGGCTGAAAGGGCGTGTTTTTCCTTTTTTTCTCTGCTTTTTTTCTGTTTTGGGATATTGCGTCTTTTTTCCTTTTTTTCGTTTTTTCTTTTTTTAATTTGGGTTAAAAGGATGGAGAAAAGCCACTGAAGAGATTTGTTGTGGGGGCCAAGTGGGCTGGCCGTAAGAATGCCGGACAAGGGGCCAAGGCTGAATAGTCAAATCAAAGAGAGGCCAAAAGAGAGTGTATGTTGAGAGACCTTCACGAGGATCTCAGATCTTTTTGTTCGAATGTCCCGGAAGTTTAGGATCAAAAGAAAAGAAGGTTAAATAAAGGAAGCGGAGAGACAAGAGCGGGCCAAGAATGATCGGAACTTGCTAAACGCCGAGATTCCCAGAGGATTATTGGATTTATTACGGTTATTTCTAGAACTCTATCTATTTTCTATTCTCAGAAAAAAAAATAATACATCTCACACAGCCCATTCCGATCGGTCTTATCCCTCCTCCCTATCTAGGTATTGGGGTATCTAGGCCTCCTGTATAGTACTGTACAGTCCTGACTCTGCGGGAATCGCATACCTAGGTAGTATTCCTAGGAACGATTTTATGCTTGATGGCAAACTGAGTACTGTATGTAGGTCCAGATCCCGAATACGGTAAAATACCAAATCAATAGGAAATGTGAGATGTGAGATTAAATGCTGTGTCAGAAATGTGGCGCTCTGATCGCAAAAAAAGGTTAGTGCGGACCTCTTAAGCTTAATCCAACACGAGGAGGCCCGGCGCTGAACTTTATGCTCGCTTACAGAGAGTCCACTTAACCCCTCCCTGCTTGGCATTACTTTCGCGTTATTCGTATCTCCACCTCAGCCTCGGCATATTCCCAGGCCCCAGTTTATAGAGTATGCTTGGTAAGACTGTCGGGATTTACCACTTCATTGGGCAAAACCTAATCCACGCGCTTCTGGCCTTACAATAGTCACGTCCATGGAAACGCCGCTGGTGAGCCACACCTGAACAAGGTTATTCTTAGCGAGTGTGGAACGTTGTTTAAATTGACATCCGCCCTCCTATAGGCCAAACAAGAAGAAGAAAAAAGCCACCGTCAATGCTCGTGACTCGTACTCGTATCCGGCCAAGTGACGCGTTCTGATCTAAACGATGCTGACCATACTCCCTAAAGCTTGACTTGGAGAGGACTTTACAAATGGGAAGCCCTAGTACATGCAGTGTCTGGGGAGTACGGAGCGGCTAAAGGATTACTCGCCCTGGACCCATGTCTAATGCACATTAATGCTTGCGCGCGTAAAAGGCTGCAGGACGAGAATTAATCAGCCACGTAATAAGATCAAGCCCTGGAGGCACACAACGTGTTGCCAATATCCTGGTTTCCCTGTTTACAATACCTTGGCACGAAATAACTCTCGCGTAGAGACAAAACGTGAACTGCAACATTTGACTCGGCGATAAGGTTAATTAGTCCGAGTTTGCGCTTCGTGCCGTTCAAGTTTACCGTGCAGCTGGAGTGCTTGGACCTGGACTTAGTACATCAACTAGTCTCGCAGGTGGGTACGGAGTAGGGCAGCCAATATTACATCCTTGTCACTTGACTCACTTTCAGAGACATTTCGAAAGAGAACAAAAAAAAAAGGGAATTGCAAGGATGTGCGATCTTTCCAACTTCGCGCGATCCATGCGATTGAATTACTCCTTTGCAGCGCACGGCCTGAATACAAGTCCAGAGAAGCGTATCGCCAAAGCCCTGTCGTACAAGGATCAATTAAATAGGGTTCGGAGGGGCTGGTCACTCTTGGCAGCTGAGTTTCTCCTTGGCGGTACGCCCAGTTTGGTATCAGCGGTGTTTGAAATGCTGGGCTCCATGTGCTTCTATTTCAAGGGGACATGGCACAACTGATCGTCATGTCAGCCTACGGAGTACCACGGCGTGAATGAGTACATTGTCTTGAATGTCTCACATGGCGCCCTCCAGTGTGACTTGAGTCTTGCCACATTGACTTCCATCGACCTGGTAGATGGAGCTTGCAAGGTCGCACCGCTTCAGCGGCACAGAAGCAAGGCTTGAGTAATCAAGGGTTTTCACTGCTTGGTCACTCAACATGTTCACATCGAGGCGCTCTTGTGCCGCCTCTCTCACGGACCATTATAAGCACTGGATCGAGGGTGTCCAAGTTGGAATCCGACTGGCGCATCCGTGCAAAGACAGCTGGAATGACATCGTGATTTTGTTGTGTAACGAAGGTCCATGAAGGACGAGGTTGACCTGATAAATAAGCATAATAGCCACCACGAATCACCAGAGGTGTTTAGGCGATGCATGGCGGTGTTTTGACTTCCACATTAGTAGAAGCTCAGGCCTCGAAGTCTCATTCTGAAGATCGCCTGAATCCACCTTTCAACAGCCGTGATCCCGCAAGTCTTACTACATTAGGTAAAGTGCGTAAGGCTATCACCTATGTACGAAATCCCAGTACAGGTTCCCGTACAGGGCTAGTCCCTGGATTCGTCTTGAACCAGGCTACAGTGACACCGTAACAGAGCCCGTTTAACCCGATCATCCGACTCCTTTTTCTGGAGCGGGTCTTGCTCCACATTGTATATCGCAGGCGAGTACCCTTGCGGGCTAAGCCGACAGTTTTGCCGACCGTGGTTCGTGCTTTTCTGCAACTGTGTCAAGCCTTAGTGTCTGACTAGTTGGCAATCTAATCTAGTCTCGTAAATTACATTGTAACCCTGGAATTAAAGATGGCCAAGACTTGGTTTTGTGAAACGTCACACGAGCTTATCTCCACTAGCATAATTAAGGCCATTGTGAGGGAATGTGCTGACCTTGTTTTAATCTAATTTTCTCGTTTTCGTGTTTTCGTGTTTTCTTATGTATCGGTCACAGGATGTCCCCCTTGTGTACATCATCGTCTGCATAAAACGCTGGTGCCTACGAAATTAGTCTTGGGGCCAAGGAGCCAAGGACTCGGGCGCCCATGGGGAATTGAATTTGTTTCGACCCATGGTTATGTTTGGTGGCGGATTTATGGTTAACGGCGGTCTTTATTTGACCATGATTCAACCATGTGGCGGCACTGCACCCTTTCGGGGACTTTCTGACTTTTGGATACGAGAAATCGCTCATTCATGTGTCGCAAAGTGTATTTCCGATGATCGATCATTTGGAGTAGATCACATCGTGCAATGTGATATATGCCCATGCCTGATGACATGACTCGTACAAGGCGGACAATGCCCGAACTGCTTTTTGCTTATGCTTAAACCCTGGCAAGGTTGGGGCCCCTTGGCTTGCTGATCCTGGTACTCTTATTGGCGAGGACTTGGTGTCCGCTTTGCCAAAGGCTATTAGATTAATTCAGGGCTGTGCGCTTCCATTCTGTGAGGCTGTGATGATCGACTAACGTTGGATGCAGTTGCCTGGTCTTATTCGTTATATCTCTACGAAACCCATTCACCAAACCACTTAACTCTAAGTGAAACCGGGATGGTCGGCAGAAATAAGCGACATCCGAATGAGAGCCAAACTTGCACGCTGACGGAGTACTCCGCTTCAGAATTACCTACATTCGTCCTTGGGATCCTCTTATCTGGCCTTTTCGGTCTCGGCACCTCCGCCCTTGATCATCGCTTTGTACGCCCCAGTTTTTTTCAATTCGGCCGACGCCTCCTACCCAGACTACAGTGCTTGGCTTTGCTTGGGCCGGAGCTCCGGCGCATAATTTAGGCAAGTCCATGATTTGCTTTTCTATTGGTCTCTATACTGGTAACTGGGTAGTAGCTCTCTACTGTATGCAGTACGGAGTACGAAGTATTGAGAAAGTTTATGTCTAGCCTGAATTCTAAAGTAGAACAAGAATTGCTCAAAGCAGGACCGTCCCGAGGTCATTTATACGTTAATTATGCATATTCCCTCTGCCAAGCCGTTAAACACGAGCTTCTCTCCTATTCCTCGTCTGTGCGTAGTACGCCTTGTATAGTGTATGCACCTGCTTACTCGTATGCGTTGATCCATGGAGACTTTATTCCGTCTGGTACTCCGTACTACGGAATACACCTGCCTGTTTCTCGCTGTTTAGCCATGGATCGCTGCAAACCCTGGCAGGAATACGTTTGAGGACACTTTTGATCAGACCAGACCCGTCCATTCATAAACAGAGTAGCAATTGAGATCGCCCTTGGACCCCAAGCATCGGGGAATTAGCGTTACACTTTGTTATTAGCTTCGCCGGGCCCCGGATGTCTAGGATGATCGCTAGGCTGAGTCGTACATTAGACCCCGGGGCCGGGGGCCGAGCTCAATAAGCATAGAATTAATTGGCACTCCGTCCTCCGTCCTCCGTTCTCCGTATAGACACCGGGCATTGTGAATTGAAAGATCTGTGGATTTCGAAGATCTAGAACAAAGTGAGCCGAGGCTAATCACGCCTTATGCCCCAAGGACCTATTGCTGCTTTCGGTTCAATATCGCAACATTGGGAAAATGGGGAATAATCAAAAATGGGGCCAACAATTGAATTACCCAAGTAATACATTATGCAGGCTCTATTTTAGCTTTGGGTATGAGACTTGTATTTCCTGCTAGTCGAAATTGGGTATATCGCGCGACGGAGGCTCCGCTATGCGGATGTCAGCGGATCGGTTCCCCTGTCCAAGGTTCTTGGACATGGCTGGCGCTGTAACCAGTAGTATGTAGCGCAAGGTACACGGAGCACGGAGTACGGAGTCCTGCCTTGGCAATCTAAACTTCCAAGGTTATATGTGCATTAGGTCGAGTTCGGAAGCCTCCGAGTACAGTATTCGCTCTTTATGCTATAGTACAGGTTCATTATACACTGGCCCAGGCTTGGGTCTGGTGCTAACAGTCGGCTCGGCCAAAGTATCGTGGGAAGGAGACGATATCTCGCACACTCGAGACACCGCTCAAGTATCCCAGGAACCGATCGAAGCCGAGCCCGAATCCGCCGTGAGGAGCGGATCCCCAGCGTCGAAGATCAGCGTACCACTGGAGGTGGCTGAGATCCTCGTCCGGGGAGAGGTAAGGATACAAGGGTTCTTCGGGGGCTGGTTTGTCGGATTCTGGCAGCTGTCGGGACTTGATGAGCCCGTGCTCGCGCATGTTCTGGATGAGATCGGGCAGACGGTGCTCGCGTAAGGATCCCCCGGCGACTTCGCTGACTTCGGGGAGCAGTAGATCGAAACAAGCCACGGTCTCCCTGGACGTGTTGCTGGACTCAGTCACCTCAGAGGGTGCCATGTAGAATGGCTTGACTGATTTCGGGTAGTCTGTGACAAAGACTGGTCGACCTTGGTGGAGTACTTCAACGATGTACTTTTCATGCTCAAGTTGTAGGCCTCCCTCCCAAATTGGGCGGTGTTCGAATGAGGCCCCGTTCTCGGAAACCGCGCGCTGGAGCTGTTCCACTGCGTGGGTGTATGTAATTCGGGCCCATTCGGGACCATCCATGAGATCCGTCCATCGCTGTCGCAAAGATCCTGCCTCGGCGCTAGCTTCCTGTCCTGTCTCGCCTGATCTCTTTGCGGATAGGATCTCCTGGCCTACAGGAGTGTTGTATAGGCGCCGCGTCAAGTCGCGAAGCATATGTTCAACCAAACCCGTAAGGGAAGCAAGGTCAGACATGAAGTTGACTTCGGCCTCAAGCATGTAGAACTCGCTCAGGTGACGTGGTGTGTCGCTTTTTTCTGCGCGGAACACAGGTGTCAGTGTCCACACATTTCCCAGCTCCGCGGCATAAGCTTCGAGATGCAATTGCGACGACACCGTGAGGTATTTGGGTGCCCGGAAGAAATGCTCGTTCTCGGCAGTAGGTGTAGCAGCACCACGCGGTGCCAATGTGAAGGTCTCTCCCGCCCCTTCGCAGTCAGACGACGTTATGAGCGGAGGTTGGACTTGCGTGAAAGCTCCATTTGGGTGGGAGTGGAAAACATTCCCAAGCTGGAACATGCACTCGGAGCGGAAACGCGAGAGAAGAGAGTTGAAGGGGGTTCGGATGCGAAGATGAGGGATTTGACGCAAGAATTCGGGGCTCTGGTATTTTTTTTGGATGGGGAATGTCTATCTTGGAGGTTAGTATGTTGATACTCTTGCAATGGGTGCGGCGGGCATCGCAGGCTCACCTCTGGGTCTGATGCGCCAACGACTGTTACGTCTGTTGTTTGAAGCTCATGCGTTTGCTCTTTACCCGGTGGGCAAGCCTTCCATAACCCCGAAATTTCCACTGCGGCTCCAGTAGACAAACTAGAGAAGAGCACTTCGGTCAGTTCTGTTCTGACAAGCAGGTTGATGGCTGTTGCCACGATCCTCGGGGTGAACTCACTCGGCTGCTTGTGCAGGTTTGAGAATTGCCTGCAATGGCTCCACGGTTGAGCCATCAGAGATCTCTGCGAAAGCGAAGCGCTTCTGTTTTCGAACTGAACGAATGAAGCCGTTGATCTTGACCTCTTGGTCTTCGAACTGGCAGGGACCAGTTTTGCTAGCTTGGAGAATCTGCGCGCATCGCGAAACGGAGGCCTTGGAACTGTATGATCTGTGACCAAGTCTGTTCACAGACGCGAGACTGCGCCAGATCTGCATTGCTGGACGTGGTGTGCTCGAAGGGAGTTCGGAGATTGCGGGAAACTTATCGGCGCTATCGGTCCGGCACACGCTCCAGGGCTGAACACCGGGTCATAACGCTGGACTTATATTCACCACCCATGACTCTAGGACTAAATTATCCTTGAGATAATTCATTGCTGAGGTCTAGTTTTCTAATCCCTCTAATGTTGCGCATACAATGTGTCGTTAAATGTACTGTAACGTAGCGTGGCTCCAAGGTCTCTTATATATTTCCAAGGTTCTGATCTATAGACAACCTTTTAATTACTAGGTAGAATGAAACTTGGAACCTTGGAAGCCCTCCACCGCTGGATAACTAGGTACCTACTAGTTAGAGATATATCCCCAAAACCTTGAAACCAATATCATTAATAGCTACTTAGGTACATACTACCACATCGTATTGAACCTTGGAATGTCGCTTCGAATTCAGCAAATGAAACCTTGAAGGAGTGAAGGGAACCTTGGAGGGGACCGCAAATACATCAAAAGACCTGGAGAACTGGAGATACCTTCAAAAATCGCCGAAATGAGTGCCTTGGTGATGCTTTACTGATAAGCTTGACACTCGTAGGCCCTCCTTTCTTCCTCAATCATATCAATAGCATCCAACAGACTGCCACCAGCGGCCGCAGCATACACCGCCATCCGAGACCGTCCACCCTCCTGCTCAGTTCCGTAGCCCATGTCGACGAGAGCGGATACGCACTCCTCGATATCCGCGTTTTCAGGAGTTAATGGACTGGCTTCGCCTTCGACCGACTGCATAGCGTGCCGCGTCCCCTCTGCTGGCGAGTCATCGGAGATTTGTTGCTGGGGAGAACCGCTCTGTTCCTCTTTTTGCAGCTGTGTCATGGTGTCTTCTGTCGTGGTGTCATGTTTTTCGCTACCAAGATCACGCATGCGAGCCGAGTTATTGGCGAGCAGTTGGGCATCTGACTGAGAAACGGGCGGGAATCGCGATATCTCTGCTCCAGGGTTCGAACCCAGGGAGACGCCGTTGATATCCAATGGGTTCGGATGCTGAGCACCCGTTCCTGGGAGAAGTGAGGGGAAACGTGCGCTGAATGCAGGGTCGCCGCTTGGGGCATCAAGCAGCGCAGAAGACTCTGTTTGAATATTGCTGGAACCAACGACGCTATTTCCATCACTGAGCTCCGCCCGTGGGAGCTGGGCACTGCTAGCCTCTGTATTCATGTACCTTGGCTTGGCTTGCACTCGATGTACTTCCCCAATAGGAGAATGGTCCATGTGTTCAAGGTTGATTGAGTGACCATCAATGACAGCGCCCTGTAAAGCCCCCATCGCGGCGGAAGCAGGATGCTCGGAGGGGAAATGCACATAGCCAAATCCTGCATGACTTTCCGAGGATGCATCTGTCGGAAGATCAACATCGACGATGAAACCCTTTGAAGCAAAAACATCCTGAATCATCTTCTCGGTGACCTTGAAGCCGACGTTTCCGATGAAAAGAGACTTTGTGCCCGGGCCAACGACTTTTGGTTTTCCGGACTTAGCTACCGGTACTTGCCTGGATTTTGGTGGGGCACCGTTGTACGCCGCAGGCGTTGGCGCAGGTCGCCAGTGTGGCCAGGGTGTGGCTCGTGGCTGTGGCCAAGAAATTGGCTGTTGCGTGGGAGGGTGTGAGGGGTAGGGAGGAGGAGGTTGATTAAAGGTTTGGAACGGATTCCACATTGGAGTAGGGAATGGAGCTGGCGGTAGATCATTTGTAGGGGGTGGTGCGTGGTGAGGAGGGAGAGGTGGGAAGTGAGGAGCTTCTGGAGCGGTATACAGAGGATTACGGCTTGGGACAGCGCTCTCGGGCTTTGATTCGCCTGGGACTGGCATTGGCTTCTCGTCAGAGGGATACACCGGGGCTCGTGGATGAGCAGGCCCTGCCGCAGGTGGTTCATTGCTGGAAGAGGGAGCAGCCTGACCAGCTCGCCCGAATTCGCTTTCAAAAGCAGAGAACAGAGTTCTTCCGACCTCGTTGATTTCAGAGGCCATCATACGCAGACCGTCAGCGGCATTTTCTGCGACAGGCCTTCCAGCCTGGAACGCATCTTCTGCCATCTGCCTCGAACCATTTGGAAGATTATTGAAAGCAGTTCTCATGTGAGCCTCGAGGGTGGCAAGCAATGCACGCAACGATGTTTCGACGTTTCGCGGCAAAGTTCGGTGTGCCGCCTCGAGTTGCCTATGGGCATTTTGGAGCTGCCTTTGTAACTCTGGCATTCTTGACCTCCATTCATTCTGGACCATGTTGGCCCCGTTGGTAAGCTGATCCATGACCTGTGCCGCTATTATTTCAACAGGATGGGGTGTGCGTTCCGAGCGCGAGTTAGAAAAAGGCTCGGCGATCGGCGGTGTATCAGACTTGGGCAGCTTCTTTTCCGAAGATTCGGCAGCATGAAGCATCTCTGCTAGTTCGGCTTCGAATGCTTCCATCAGAGGCCGGGGCTCATTAGAGGCCGTTGGATTACTTGGCGGCGAGGCTTCACGTCGATCCTCAAGAGCACCGGGCTCTGAGGCACCGGGCTCGTCGCGAACATGATCACCGGCATCTTCTTTATCATTTTGATTGTCTTCAAATCGCTTCCATAACTCGGTGACGGAATTGGTTCGACGGACGTCAAATGTGTGCCTCGGAGTGGCATCGCCTTGAAGCTGGAGGGAATCAACCCGTGTGTGTATGTCTAAGGGCTCCTCGAGACGTTGAGAAAGCTCGAGAGCGGATCCAACCTAGGGAATCAGTGAGACTTGATTCTATCACAACGTATGCGATATGCTTACCGTGATTGTTTCGTCACCATCGTCATCCTCGTCGACGTAAGTCAGCCGTGCGCGAGGATGATTTGACGCTATGTCATCATAATCAGTGGTAGAAATCCGAATGAGGGCAGGATTAGGGTGAGAGGCAGGCTCAGGGTGAGCCACCCGAAGATCTCTGATATGAAAAGGCTTCAACATCATGAGAGAAGACCCAGAGGGCCAGTTACAGTTTCGAGAGTAAACAGAGGAGAGCTAGGGAGAGAAAGAGAGCAAGATCTTGAATTCGGGAGGTTCATATGTAGTGGCAAAGTCGAAGTTCGATACAAGGCAACAGGATAAGGATAAGGGCCCTCCCCGCTCTAATACCCTGTGACAGGTGAATGTCTTGCCCAGGTCTACGACCGCACTTCGTATTTCTATCTCTCCTGTTTGCTCTACATATCTGAATCCTGTTTGTAGCTTCCACTGCCACGTATACTGTATGGGCGTCATCATCCCCTAATGCTCTCCTCTCCAACCAAAGGCGGAAGGAAGAGGCGGTAGCATTGTTCTGCCGGATAAAAGCAAACCGAAGGACTGACAAGGAAATCATGTTGCAGGTCCAAGTGTATTGAGTATGAGATTGACCTAGAGACAATTGTCTGCTCAATTGACATTCGCTCATTCATTGTCGGTCAGTGTCAATCATTACCACAATACCAATGGCCGGGCCATTGGATACAGCATCCTGCATGAAACCCCTCGGAAACTAGCCTACATATATACGTTGCTTAGTTCAACCCTCTACGGCCAGCCATGGCCACTTCTAAGTCTGGACGGCTGCAGTCTCCGGTCGGCAGAAATCTTCAAAACGTGGTGTTGGGCGATCTCTTATTCCAGCCATGGAACCAATCTATCTACCCCGAGGACCTCGTCGCCAAAGACGCCGATCGGCTCTACGTCTGCCGTTGGTGCTTTCGATACTCGTGTGATGATGATGTCTTTGAAGACCATAAACGAGCTTGCGAACATCGCATAACGCCCCCAGGGACCAAAGTATACGACCATGGCGGGTATGCAGTTTGGGAAGTCGATGGACAAGACTACAAACTGTTTGGACAGAACCTGTCCTTGTTCGCGAAGCTCTTCCTTGACCACAAGACTGTTTTCTTTGATGTTGCGACTTTCCTCTACTATATCCTCACATTCACCGACCCTGACGACCATGAGAGCTACCACGTGCTCGGGTTCTTTTCCAAGGAGAAGCTGTCTTGGGATGCGAACAACCTTGCATGCATATTGATTTTCCCACCCTACCAACACAAGCAGCTTGGAAAACTCTTAATGGGGGTGAGCTACAAGCTGAGCGGCTGGGACTCCAACGGTGGACCCATCGGTGGGCCAGAGAAGCCATTGAGCGAGCTGGGCCACAAGAGCTATGTACGCTTTTGGGCAGAGCGAATTGCCCGGTATTTACTCTGCGGCAAGCCTGGTACCAGCGCCCTCGATCCCGACCAGCAGAAGCCCAGCTCAACCCCCAAGGGCTCGCGCAAGAGGCCCCCGCGTGAGACAATGACCGTCGAAGAGCTCGGCCAAGGAACTGGAATGCTCACAGAAGATGTGATTACGGCTCTCAAGAGTATGGGGCTCTTTGATCCCCAAACAAGTCCTAAAAAGCGAAAATCTATCCGCACGGGTGCTCCAGACACCACCACACCAGAGCAGATAGTCACTATTCAGAAATCCGATGTCTGGGATTGGGCCCAAGCACACCATCTCGTGCTGGAAGACCCGGTCTGTGATTCTGGATTTGAGGGACTTTGGCCTCCAGCCATCTCGTCAGAAGAGGATAAACAGAGTGTGACCTCGGAAGAGAATTGACTGGATATTTATTACTTTGTACGATAGCATTAATTATTGATTACTACTTAACGAAGATCATGAGAAGCAACATGAGGTTTGTGCATTTTTTGGAATTAATTGGCTCTTCTTCCCTATCTTTGTGAGGGAATCAGGTTTTCAATCCTTTTATTCTTTACATGAATCGCCTAAATTCGTAAATGGGAAAGTGTATTACTCTTCCTGACCACCAGGACCGCCCGCCTTGCTCATTTGCCGAGCCTTGAGGAGCTCGTCGCAAAGGAGAAGGTTAGCCGCAATGCCCGTGCTGGAAGCGATGCAGTTGCGCAGAACGCGGAAAGAGTCGAAGACACCTCCTTGAATGGGGTCCATGGGCTCACCAGTGGCCAGATCCAAACCGACAGTGTTACCATCGGTCACCTCATCATGGAGAGCGGCCAGGGAGTCCTGGATATCATGTCCTGAGTTGGCAGCAAGAGTCTTAGGGATGATCAGGAGGGCGTCAGCGAAGGCGTTGACACCCCACTTAGCCTTACCCTTCACGGTCTTGCTGAAAGCCTGGGACTGAAGGTGGGCGGCACATGCAACTTGGAATGCACCAGCTCCGGGAATTACGCAGCCATCGACGATTGTGTTGTAGACAGAGCGCAGACCATCACGGACGGCATCCTTCACCTGGGTGATGGTGTGTCCGTTGGGACCCTTGATAAGAATGGTCACGGACTTGGGGTCCTTGACCTCCTCAACGAAAGTGAACTTCTCCTCACCAAGCTGGTGCTCGTAAACCAGACCAGCCCAGCCGAGGACCTCAGGGGAAAGATCCTCAACACTGTTCTGGGCAGTACCGCCACAGACAAGCTGCAGACGCTCCATGTTTCTGCGCTTGGCTCGGCGCAGAGCGAAGATGCCATTCTTCACGAGAACATCCAAGCTCAGGGGATCGATACCCTTCTGGTTGATAACAACGAAGCCCTTGTTGGGGTCGTTTCCGCAAACTTCCTTCTTCAGGTCCACGATCTTCTGGAGCTTCGCGTCGACGAACTTGCGCTCGCTCTCGACGAGCTTGTCTCTCTGCTCGGCGTTGGAGTAGTAGAATCCGGAGTTGATCTCCGACTTCTCGTACTCGAGACTGACATTCAGTGTCAGAATGAAGGCGTTCTCGACCCGCTTGGGCATGTCAGGGTGTCTGGCACCGTGGTCCAATGCCAGACCACGGATAAGCTGGGTATCAGATGAGGAGCGATGTTGCATTGTCATAATCTCAACCATGTGCAAATCGGGCTTCTCAGGGGCTCTGTGAATAGCAAGAACGGCATCGACGATATCGGGAGTAAGCTTCTCAGCCAGGGCGCTGTTCAGCTTCGTGGAGAGGGAGGTACGGGCGACGGAAAGCAGGAGCTCTCGGTCAACAGTACGCTCGAGCTTGAAGTTGTCGAGGAACTGTAGGCCATGTGTTAGATTCCCAACACTGAAAACTTGGTGCCATAATCAATACCTTCAATGCCTCGGTCTTCGCGATCTCGTAACCATCGGTGATGACACGGGGGTGCAAACCCTCGGAAATGTGACGCTCCGCCTGCTTCAACAGCTCTCCCACCAGCAACACAACAGATGTGGTACCATCACCGGTAATATCGTCTTGTGCCGTCGCAGCGCGAGCAATCATGACCTTTCCAATATATCAGCAACACGTAGGATGATTTTCGAAGCAATTCCGGCTTACAGCTGTGGGGTTTTGAATTTGCTGTGAAATGTTAGCTCACAAGCTCCAAGCATTGGGGGGTCTCAGGGCCAGACGAACCATCTCCCGCAACAGAACGTTTCCATCCTTGGTCAGTTTGATCTATCACGTATCAGCAAAAGTTGTTTCGTGTTGTCCGCGAGGTAAAGGGGGAATGCGTACTGCGCCTGCACCGTCGACCAACCTACGTTTGTCAGCTCCATTGCCATGGCCGTTGGGATTGATCTGTTGAGGACTTACATCTTGAGGGTTCCCGAGGGACCCAGGTTGGACTTGAGGACATCTTGGAGACCTTCACCGGCGCCGATGTTGACCTTCAAGGCTTCTCCTCTCCGCTGGATGAAATGTTAGTGTGCGGGCACATCAGTGAGGGGCCATCAGGGAATATTTTCCATACCCTCGACTCCGCCTTGGGGTTGAGTAGCTGAGTTGCAGACATATCCCTGAAAATGAACGATAGGGTATCACGTCCAGAAATCTCAAAAATATTAAAGTCACGGATGGTAGAGCACTTGGTCAATACTGAGGGTGCCCACCTTTTGGGCGAGGCGGTGGTTTTTGGCAAAAAGCCACGGATTCGCACTAGCGCCTCCAGCTTTTTTTTTCTCATTTTGAGCCCGTAACCAACACCCGCACCAGCAACCCATCGAATTACACTCCCGAGTGTTTTCTGGCCGGTGTCGCAAGTTCCAATCGATTTCTTGTGAATTCCTCGGCATTGGTCTTATACACGATGGCCGATTTCCTACTTTTCGAGAGCCCCATCGGCTACTCGCTGTTCAAGGTCACCCACCAGGGCGACGTTGTCGGCAATGGACTGAAGGAAGTCCAGGCGGGTATCAATGACCTGGCCAAGTTCGGAAAGATGGTTGAGCTGACCAGCTTCCTTCCCTTCGAGTACGCTTTTTATGCCAAAATGGAAGAATTTTTCATGGTTCGCTAACCTCAACTAGGAACAACAAGCAGGCTCTTGGTGAAATCAACGACGTTTCCGAAGGTGTCGCCTCCGAGCTTTTGATCTCTTTCCTTGAATTGAACCTCCCCAAGCCCAACAAGAAGAAGAAGGTGGTCCTCGGTCTGGCCGACAAGGCCCTGGCCGGAAGCGTCAAGTCCGCCTTCTCTTTCGTGGACTGTGAGACCGGTGATACCAGCGAGGTCGTTCAGGACCTCCTCCGTGGTATTCGTCTCCACGCCACCAAGCTCCTCAAGCAGCTGCGCGAGGGTGACATGGACACCGCCCAACTCGGTCTTGGTCACGCCTACTCCCGTGCCAAGGTAAAGTTCTCCGTTCAGCGTGACGACAACCACATCATCCAGGCCATTGCCATTCTCGACCAACTCGACAAGGCCATCAACACCTTCTCCATGCGCGTCCGCGAATGGTACTCCTGGCACTTCCCCGAGCTCGTCAAGATTGTCTCCGACAACCAGCGTTACGCCGAGCTCGCCCTGTTCATCAAGGACAAGAAGAGCCTTTCCGATGAAAGCCTCCACGACATTGCCGCCCTCGTTGAGGACGATGAGGGCGTTGCGCAGAACATCATTGATGCCGCCAAGGTCAGCATGGGTCAGGAGATCTCCGACTCTGATATGGAGAATGTCATCTCCTTCGCCGAGCGTGTTGTCAAGCTCGCTAAGTACCGCAAGTCTCTCTACTCCTACCTGGTCGCCAAGATGAGCGTTGTGGCCCCTAACCTGGCTGCTCTCATCGGTGAGGTCGTCGGAGCCCGTCTTATCTCCCACGCCGGTAGCTTGACCAACCTGTCCAAGTACCCCGCCTCCACCGTCCAGATCCTCGGTGCCGAGAAGGCTCTCTTCCGTGCCCTGAAGACCAAGGGCAACACCCCCAAGTACGGTCTGCTGTACCACTCTTCCTTCATTGGCCGCGCCGGCCCCAAGAACAAGGGTAGAATCTCCCGTTTCCTCGCCAACAAGTGCTCTATCGCCTCCCGTATCGATAACTTCTCAGAGGCCCCCTCCACCAAGTTCGGTGAGGCCCTGAAGAGCCAGGTTGAGGAGCGTCTCGAGTTCTACACCTCCGGCGCTGCCCCCACCAAGAACGAGGTTGCCATGGTATGTTTCCCTCCAATCAGCCCCATGTTGATGGTGATTGATCACTTGCTAACAATTCACAGCGCTCCGCCATGGACGCCGTCCTCGCTGACCTCGATGTTGACGCCGACCAGAGCGACGCCGAGATGGAAGATGCCGACGCTGCCGAGGCCAAGAAGGAGAAGAAAGAAAAGAAGGAGAAGAAGGAGAAGAAGGATAAGAGCGAGAAGGCCGACAAGAAGAAGAAGAGAAAGTCCGATGTTGGTGAGGGCGAGTCCGACAAGAAGAAGAAGCGCAAGCACGACACGGATGCCGAGCCCACCAAGAAGAAGCAAAAGGCCTAGATGCGCAGTTCTTTCGGAATTGGGAGTCTTCGTCATGGCGTTAGGTTGTGCTTTTGTCTTCATGACTCGATGGATACGGCTTGCAGGTATTTGTAAATTATTACCAGGCCTTTTGCCTCAGCAGCTCTGACTGTCGCTGCTCTGATATTTTCTTATTCAAGTATTCAAGTTTGTTCAGTTTATTCTTTTTCAGATTTGGTCGAGCCATTGATCCGATGTCTTCGTATAGTTCTGCGGGGCCTAATGTCCGTGTACTCTGCCCAGATGTGGAGTATATACTTGAACGTATGCGCTCTATGACTATGCTACTATTCGGAATATGTATGTCTATGTATGTCTACCTAAATAGCGAGAGAAATTCGACCAGAGAAGTAAACCCCCAGAACATCATGAGATGGCCAAGAGAAATACGTGTAGCACTAGCACGTTCTGGACTCTATATATGTACGGCGTCGTACATCAAGGGCGATCTACCCCACAGTTGAATGCACATGTCCCAATGGTCCCCCTCTCTTGATTCCCTTGGGCTCTTCAGGGCTACAGCATTGCTCTGAAAATCCGGTGGATATATACTAACCTTGGCCGTTGCTCGGTGACGAACCCCCCACTATTTTCAATATGTTCCCGTCTGCTTTACCTTTACCCTTCTCGCCCAAGCGCAAACGAGAACCCTCCGAATCGGATTTCTATAGCCCCTCCGCATCACCCACCTCCACAATCTCTATAGCCAGCTACCAGGAAGCATTCCGGGACGACGAACTCGGAAGTTACAGTCCCCGCGCTACCGTTGCCGGGAGATTCGGCGAGTTAGCCATCCGTGGCGACCTTTCGGACCAAAGTGCCCGGACTGGCGACTCACGGCGGAGCTCGCTGGCTCCCCTAGCATCCGAACCATGCGCATCTGACCAGTACAATCTCACGACCATGCCCGAAGCTGTACCGGCTACCAGCAGCAATCCAGCCGACTGCCAAGCCTTGACGGTTGACCCGCCCGCGCAGGAGGAACCGTCCCCGACTAAGTCGCCGAGAAAGAAGTCCGCAACTGTGCCTCGCAAACAACTGAACCCTTCGTCGCCCTCGAAACGCAAACAACGACTCTCCCCACCACCCACAGAGAAACCATCAGAAGAAGACTCGCTTGTATGGCGTGACTCGGAGATAACAGGCCACAATCCATCTGATCCAACGGATGATGGCTATGGTATAAACGGTATAGGGTTTAAGCCCACTGCATCGATCGCCTGGGAAAGGTCCCAGAGGCGGCAAAAACAGGTTACGGAATGGAAGAACCGCGAGGCTCGGGAAGCCCGCGAGAGAAGACGAGAGAGACGGAGAGATGGTCTCGAGTTCGACAAGTTACACGGGATACACGAAGGCGCAGTACAGAAACGAGTCAAGTTCAATGTCTAGCATGAAGCAGGATCTTCGGAGTGCAGCCATACTAGCTTTGATTTGATCTGATCCACATTTGGATGAACATCTTCATTAGGCGTTGATTCTTTCAGGATGCGAGCATACGGGTGTTTTTTTTTTTTCTTTCTTCGCTTGGGACATGGAGATTCGAGTCCTAGTCATTATGGGACGGAGGATAATATGAATTTTGCAGACAGAACTATGATACACAGGGATGACTTTATGATATGACGCCAACCATCGCTGGGTGATTGCAATATACAGTGGATATTTTGTGAGAAGCCCTCAACTTCTCCCGAGGTCGTAAACTGGCATTACCAGAACTTGTAGTTGGTAGGGTTGGTCCAACTCTTCTTCTTTCTTTCCTCCTCGGCCAGCTTGGCTGCCTCTTCCGCGGCGGTATCCTTCTCCAGCTGCTTCTTAGCCTTTAATTGGTTCATGAGGTCGAGTGCTTCGGCCATGCCGCTTAATTCCTTGTTGCGCAGGTAGCGGCAGTATTCATATGCTCCCAATGAGGTGATCGCAAACATGCCCACGGCCCAGTTTCCTGCGGACCATAGCCCGTACCGTCCTGCAATACGTTAGTTCCATTCCATATACTGACAGTTCGAAGCCCCGGCCATGGCCTACCTTTGAGGACACCCCGCAGACCACCCACTCCGAATCCAACACCGATACCAGTCATTAGGGATTCCCGAGCGCAAGGTCTTTTATGAACGTTGGACATCTCGGACAGCGAGACTGAGCCAATAATCTCTGAGTATGACACATCCTTAGGGTTCTTTCCAGGAGGCTTGTAGGTAGCTTTGGCGAGCGCGTTGGCGGGCTCTTCGGGGTTTCCGAAGGCATCCCATAGCTTTCCGGTTTGTGATCGAGAAGATGCGTGCTTAGGTTTCGAGGAATCGGGGGAGGCGTTGAAGGAGCGCGCGGTATTTGCGCTTTCCTGGAATTCGCTCTGGTCTCTTGAGTCGTCCGACATTGTGGTACAGTCAATTGCTATGTCAATTGCTCTGGAACATGTGCTTTCTCGAGGATCGTCAATATGTGGATATTCCGAAGATTACCCAAAGTAGATAGTTATTCCGGAAGGCTGACTAACCTCAATTTCACGCGTCGCCTTACGCGAGCGCGTCAGGATCCATAGAAATCGATTTGATTAGAGCGGATCGCAGGCCGTTGCTAGACCCTCCTGGAGGCACAATTGGTCCCAGAACCAGATCTCTTTCAACTCACGTCGCCTTCAGTCCCTCCTTAACCCACCATAACCTTCACGAGCCTACGCATTTTATGTTCGAAATCGGATTCGCCCTTTGAACGGAGGTAACTTAAAGCCCGGCCGGGCGACAACGTCGCAATGCCTTCACGCAAGCCCAGCAAGTATGGAAACAAGTTCAGATCGAGCGCTGCATCGTCCAAACCCCGTCGCGCGAAAACGGTCGAATTCAACTCGCTACGCTCCACCGAGGCCACATCCCAAGATGAGAAATTCGAAGCCATTAGGTTGGCCAACAGCATCGATGAGACACTGGGCTTCCCCCGGTTTGAGTCTGGTGAGGCGCGAGCCGGTTGGTTGGTCAATATGCACAGCACCTCGATAGAGGACTCCAATGTGCCTGGCGGCCGTGCCGGAGTGGACTATTACTTCCTGCAGGATGACGGGACAAGCTTCAAAGCGACAGTGGAACACGACCCATATTTCCTGATCGCAGTCAAGAAAGGCTACGAGACCGAAGTTGAGGAATGGTGCCGGCGGTCCTTCGAAGATATGATCAAGAAGTTTGCGCGACTCGAGAAAGAGGACCTCAACCTACCCAACCATCTGCTTGGATATCGCAAAACATACATCAAGCTGAGCTTCGCCAACGTGAGCAACCTGTTGGAGGTCAGGCGGACGATTTTGCCCTTGGCGGAGAAAAATAAGAAGAACGAGAGTGCGATGGACGCCTATGTTGAGATGACCAGGTTTGTGGCAGATACTATGTTTGCGCTCGCACAATAAGCTGATTGATATTACTCATAGTGCGACTGCTGGTATCGATCTTTTCGACGATGAGATAATTAATGAGCAACGACCTAATGGCAACATACAAGCGAGTGATTTTATTGTGGATATTCGAGAATACGACGTGCCGTACCATGTTCGTGTATGCATTGATAAAGGTTGGCATTCACATATCCGACGGCAATGCTCCAGCTAACACTCGAAAGATATCCGAATCGGAAAATGGTACAATGTCAAAGCAGATCATGGGGTGGTATCCCTGACTTGCCTAGAGGATAGGCTTCAGCGTGCCGATCCCGTTGTTCTCGCTTTCGATATTGAGACCACGAAGTTGCCTTTGAAATTCCCAGATGCTGCATTTGATCAAATTATGATGATTTCATATATGATTGATGGGCAAGGATTCCTCATCACGAACAGAGAGATCGTTTCCGAGGACATCAACGACTTCGAATATACCCCCAAACCTGAGTACAACGGTCCGTTCATCATTTTCAACGAAGCCAACGAAAGAGCCGTCCTTGAACGATTCTTTGAGCATGTGAAAATCGCAAAGCCGACTGTCATTGCAACATACAACGGTGATTTCTTCGATTGGCCTTTCGTGGAGACACGAGCCAGTGTCAACGGTCTTGATATGTACATGGAGATCGGCTTCCGGAGAAACAGCGAAGACATCTACATAGCCGACAACTGTGTGCACATGGATTGTTTCGCGTGGGTTAACCGTGATAGTTACCTTCCCCAGGGAAGTCGTGGTTTGAAGGCCGTGACTGTTGCAAAGCTGGGTTACGACCCCGACGAACTCGACCCTGAGCTTATGACACCGTACGCCAGTGAGCGGCCGCAGACCTTGGCCGAATACTCAGTTTCCGACGCTGTTGCCACCTACTATCTGTACATGAAATATGTCCACCCTTTCATCTTCTCGCTCTGTACAATCATTCCCCTCAACCCAGACGAAACGCTGCGCAAAGGAACGGGAACACTGTGTGAGATGCTTCTCATGGTTCAAGCCTACCAACATGAGATTGTATTGCCCAATAAGCACAAGGACCCTCCTGAGGCCTTTTACGAAGGTCACCTCCTCGAATCGGAGACGTATGTTGGTGGTCACGTCGAGAGTATCGAGGCTGGTGTTTTCCGCAGTGATATCCCCACGCACTTCACCGTCGACCCAACCGCAATTGACGAACTTCTCAAAGACCTTGACCATGCACTGAAGTTCAGTATCGAGGTCGAGGAGAAGAAATCGATGGATGACATCGCAAACTACGACGAAGTCCAAGCCCAGATTGCGGAGCGTCTATTGGATCTGAAGAATAACCCGAAACGACACGAAGTCCCCTTCATCTATCACTTGGACGTTGCCTCCATGTACCCCAACATCATGATTACCAACCGATTGCAACCAGATTCATTGATCGACGAATCCAACTGTGCCGCTTGCGATTTCAACCGGCCCGGCAAGACCTGTGATAGACGCATGCCCTGGGCCTGGCGAGGCGAGTTCCTGCCCGCCAAACGTGACGAGTATAACATGATTCGACGTGCAACCGCGAACGAAAAATTCCCAGGCCGTTTCAAAAACTCACCAATGAGATCGTTTGGTGAATTGAGCATTGAAGAACAAGCTGGAGTGGTGAAGAAAAGGCTACAAGACTACAGTAAGAAGATCTACCACAAGATCCACGACAGCAAGACGATGGAACGCGAGGCTATCATTTGCCAAAGAGAGAACCCCTTCTACGTCGACACTGTTCGAGACTTCCGTGACCGTCGTTATGACTTCAAGGGCAAGCAGAAAGTCTGGAAGAACAAGACCGATAGCTTGCAGTCATCAGGCGCTTCCGCAGCCGAAATCGAGGAAGCCAAGAAGATGATCGTGTTGTATGATTCTCTACAACTCGCGCACAAAGTCATTCTCAACAGTTTCTACGGTTACGTGATGCGAAAGGGCTCACGGTGGTACTCCATGGAAATGGCCGGTGTTACCTGTCTCACGGGTGCCCATATCATTCAAATGGCGAGAGAGCTGGTGGAGCGCATCGGCCGTCCGTTGGAGCTGGATACTGACGGTATTTGGTGTATGCTTCCCGGAGGCTTCCCTGACGAATTCAAATTCACTTTGAAGAATGGGAAGAAATTGGGCATCTCGTATCCCTGTGTCATGCTCAACCACCTGGTGCACGCCAGGTATACCAACCATCAGTACCAGGCGCTGGTGGACCCAAAGACATACAAGTACGAGACTCACAGCGAAAACTCCATCTTCTTCGAGGTGGATGGACCCTACCGGGCAATGATCCTGCCGACCTCCAAAGAAGAAGATAAGAACTTGAAAAAGCGTTATGCGGTCTTCAACCACGATGGTTCACTGGCTGAACTCAAGGGATTCGAGGTCAAGCGAAGAGGAGAGTTGAAATTGATCAAAATCTTCCAGACGCAAATCTTCAAGTTCTTCCTGGAAGGCTCCAATCTTGCGGAAACATATGCTGCCGTAGCCCGAGTTGCGGACCGATGGCTAGATGTTCTGTACGAGAAAGGTTCGACTTTGGCCGACGAAGAGTTGATCGATCTCATTTCCGAAAACCGAAGCATGTCCAAAACCCTGGAGGAGTACGGCAAACAGAAATCCACATCCATCACCACCGCTCGACGACTTGCAGAGTTCTTGGGCGAGCAGATGGTCAAGGACAAGGGATTGAACTGCAAGTACATTATCTCGTCCCGACCACGCAACACCCCTGTCACCGAACGAGCCATTCCAGTCGCCATTTTCTCAGCTGAGCCGGCAATCAAGCGTTTCTTCTTGCGTAAATGGCTGAAGGAAGATCCTAGCGACATGGATCCTCGAACTGTCATCGATTGGGACTATTACTTGGAGCGTTTGGGCTCTGTGATCCAGAAGTTGATCACCATTCCAGCCGCGCTCCAAAAGCTCCGAAACCCTGTGCCCCGTGTTGCTCATCCTGACTGGCTGCAGCGCCGAATTGACACCAAGGATGATAAGTTCAAGCAGAAGAAGATGACTGATCTATTCACAAAGTCCGAAAAGACACCGCTTTCTTCCACCAATGCCAACATTCTGGATCACCGTGTCCAGCATGCGGGTGACATGGACGAAGCAATTGCAAGCTCCACTCAATTGGCCAAGTCGCCCAATAACAAGGTCTCGCAAAAGAGAAAGCATCCCGAGAATGTTTCAAAGACGGCTCTAGACCCCTTCGCCAGCTTGCCAGCAGTTATGCCATCGATGTCAGAAAACTACGAAGGGTTCCTCAAGTACCAGAAGCAAAAATGGAAGATCCAGAAACAGGCACGTATCCGCCGCCGCCAACTGTTTGGCGAGCGAACGAACGTCGCTTCTGACTCCCTGAGTAACTTCTTCCGCAATCAAGCCCAGATGCTGTACATCAGCACATGGCAGGTCCTGCAGCTCTGCGAGACTGGCATGCCGGGTGTTGTACGAGCTTTCGTGCTGATCGATCAAAAGATCCACGCTCTAAGCGTCAAGGTGCCGCGGCAGTTCTTCTTGAACTTAAAACGGGACTCTCTTCCTGACGTTGACGTGCCGGACTGTGATGTTGAGAAGGTCAATCACACCCTGCCTAATGGGCATCCTTCAGTCCACTTGTTCAAGCTTTCCTTGCCAGAAGAAAAATATCTGGAGGAAGCTGACAAGATGGATATCCTTTTCCAGCACCCCAGTGTCGAGGGTGTTTACGAAGGGAACATCCCTCTCAGCACTCGAGCTGTGCTCAAACTGGGAAGCCACTGCACTTTCGACGAAAACCAGCGTGGTGTGCTCGGTGATGGACTGGACAAAGGATTCGATCTCTCGACCTTACTCCACGCCACATCTGACCAGCCCTATCTCACGAACTCTTCATTGGTCTTCCACTACCTCTATCACATCGTCTCGGGCGATAGACAGGTCTTTGCATTGTTCTCGACATCCAAGAGCGAGGCGCATGTCATCATACTTAATCGTACGAGGGATGTACAGGGTCTGCCAAACGTGGACAAGATCTACACTGAACTGCTCGCCCGCAAAGTGCAATCCTCATCAGGCGATGAGTCTTTGAACGCATTTGAGTACCCAGACAAGATCCACTTCAAGACCACACAGGTAATGACGCGGAGGAAAGCCCATCTCGAGGTGGGTGATATGATTAGGAAACTTCGGAGTGACGAGAGCCGCCCCGCCGTTCTCGTCATTCAATCTCAACAAAAAGACCGACTCTGTCATGACATCCCGATACTGAAGGAATACCCAGTCCTATCAGTCAAGCCTGAAGCATCGGACATGGAACTCCCGCCTCTGGGCTGGCAGGCATTTGTTGCTAGACGTTTAGTCACGCGCTATCTGTACCTTTCCTCCTGGATTCAGCACTTGACAATGCTCGCTCGGTATGGCGATGTCCCGCTTTGCAACTTGGAAAGTGAGGATCCGCGGTACCTCATTGATATCTCGTATGCCAGACGACTTCAGTCAAATAATGTTGTGCTATGGTGGTCCTCGGGCCCCCGTCCTGACCATGCGGGCTACGAGAGGGATGATATCCTGGGCACTTTGGACAAGGTCAACATGCCATCGGTCAACGTGCCAGGTGCTTACTCCACAGTCTGCATTGAGCTTGAGGTTCGAAACCTCTCAATTAACACAATCCTGACATCCTCTATCATCAACGAGATGGATGGCAGTGACACGTTACTGGCACCTTCCGGGGACGGAGAAGACACTGGCGTGTTCTATTCAGAAAAGGCGTTCGCCTCTGCCGGTGTTGTGGTACTCCGAGAAATGGTCAAGCACTGGTGGACAGAAGCCTGCGCCGGTAACAACATGGCTGATATTATGGTTCAACATTTGATCCGATGGGTAGAAAGCCCTGTATCCTGTCTTTACGATCGGTCTCTGCACAACTACGTGCGCCTTCTCTCGCGAAAATCGTTCCAGAGGCTCATGGCCGAGTTCAGACGTGTTGGCTCGCATGTCATCTTTGCCAGCCCTACGCGCCTACTTCTTCAAACCACCAAGACAGAGGTTGGCAACGCGTTCGCGTACAGTCAGTACGTTTTGAAATCCATACGCGCCAACCCTTCGTTCCACTTCATCGACTTGGAGATCAAGGAGTACTGGGACTACCTTGTCTGGTACGATGAGTACAACTACGGAGGCAAGGGCTGCCAGGAGGTCACCGAAGCCGATGAGCAAAATCTCGAAACAGCGATGCACTGGCAGCTCAGTCGCTTCCTTCCCATGCCCATGCAGACCATCTTCCACGACTGGACAGTCGAGTACATCGAACTCATGCATGCGCTGAAGCGACCAGAACTTCCCGATGGTGAAATCTCATCCACACCACGTCCGACGCAAATTCCCATCGGGCGCACCAACGAAGGAGACGATGAAGAAGTGACCGCAGTACTCGCAGATCGCTTCTCGAAGCCGCTCAAGAAGCAAATTTCGGGATTGATCCGAAGACAGCGCGACGAGATGCTTCATCCCGAACTTGCCTCTGATTACGCTTTCCCTGTCTTGCCCGGTGTCTTGGTCAATTCTCAGGACAAACGCAATCCTTCACTCGAGCTGACGAAGCTGCTCATGCAAGTTCTGAGTTTGTCGAAGACCACAACCCTGGAAACCCGGTTGCTGCGACGTGAGCTCCTCGCACTCTTTGAAGTTCGAGAGTTCAGCAAAGAAGGTCGCTTTGAGAACCCCACTGCCAGCTTGAAACTCCCTGAAATGTCGTGCAACTCCTGCTGTCTCATTCGAGACCTGGACCTTTGTCGTGACGAGGACGTGCTACCCGATGCTACTTCTGACACTGCCAACTCTGCCCAGCCCTGGCGATGCCCCTTCTGCCAGGCCGAGTATGATCGGTTGGCTACTGAAGAGTTCCTCATTGGCCAAGTCCATGGCTTTGTGGTTGAGTGGCAGACTCAGGATCTCAAGTGTGCCAAGTGCGGTAATCTTCAGATGAGCGAGTTCCTTGAACACTGCTCCTGCAGTGGAACCTGGGCCCCTACTGTTGATCGCAAGGAGATCGAAAAGAAGCTGCAAGTGTTGGACAGTGTGGCCAAGTTCCATAAGCTGCAATTGCTTGAGAATATTGTGGGTGGCGTGCTCGAGCGATTCTGATTTTAATTTTTGTTGTACGGAGTACTGGGGCATTGGGTTGGCGTTGTGATGTATGTAAATAATGACAATAATCCTGAGACGTCGCAAGTATAGTACATCGTACTCCGTAGACCTCCAGATGTCGTAGATCGGTTTCGCTGTCAGCCCCACCACACGCCCGAATCTCGACGTCTGACCCCCGCATCCCCTTTGAATCGCATCGCATCGCATCGCATCGCATTGTCTTCTGTAAGTCTCAACTTCTGCGTCTCATCTGGGCTGATAGACCTCTTTCCTTGCTGACTGGTGGCTGCCGCGCATAGCTCTGTACATATCGCATCGAACCCTTTTCACCGTGCACAGCTCGACAGCTCCCTCGCCCTTTGTTTGAGTCTCTCGCATCGCATACCCCGGTGATGGCGACACAACCCCCCGGCCAGAAGCCGAAGGTGCAGCCGTGCCGATACAAAACCGGAAAGACACTGGGCGCTGGCTCGTACTCTGTCGTCAAGGAATGTGTGCACATCGACACCGGTCGCTATTATGCGGCCAAGGTCATCAACAAGCGTCTGATGGCAGGGCGTGAGCATATGGTAGGCCAAACTCCAGCGCAGAGCCTAGGGGATGTGGACTGACGGGCTCTCGACACAGGTTCGGAATGAGATCGCTATATTGAAGAGGGTGTCGATGGGCCACCAAAACATCCTCACTCTGGTCGACTATTTTGAAACCATGAACAACTGTACGACTCTTTATTCTACGCTCTTCTGGCAATATGGCTGACTGACTCGTCATGTAGTATATCTGGTCACTGATCTCGCACTCGGGGGAGAGCTTTTCGACCGCATCTGCCGCAAAGGCAGTTACTACGAGTCAGACGCTGCGGATCTCATCCGCGCAGTCCTCTCGGCCGTGGCCTATCTTCACGATCATGGGATCGTCCATCGAGACTTGAAGCCCGAGAACTTGCTTTTCCGTACCCCAGAAGATAATGCTGATCTCCTGATCGCTGACTTCGGGCTATCAAGGATCATGGACGAGGAGCAGTTCCATGTCCTGACAACGACTTGCGGAACGCCAGGATATATGGCGCCTGAAATATTCAAGAAGAGTGGTCACGGCAAGCCAGTGTGAGTGATGAGCACGCAGACCCGAAAATCCCTCTCAGACCTGCTAACTGTCTCAGTGATATATGGGCCATAGGTGTAATTACCTATTTCCTTCTGTGTGGATACACCCCCTTCGACCGGGACTCCAACCTTGAGGAAATGCAAGCTATCCTAGCAGCAGACTACTCCTTCACTCCACTGGAATATTGGCGTGGCGTATCACAAGAAGCCCGCAATTTCATTAACCGCTGCTTAACAATCAATCCGGAGTCACGGATGACTGCCCACGAAGCCCTGCAGCACCCGTGGATCAACCCGCCCTACGAAAACGCCAAGGTCGGCTCCGGCGAAGACCTGCTGCCAACAGTCAAGAAGAACTTCAATGCCCGACGGACGCTGCATCGTGCCATCGACACCGTTCGCGCCATCAACAAGCTTCGCGAGGGTGGTGGCTTCATGATGGATGGCGTTATGAGCGTCGATCCCAAACCCGAGCGTGTCAATGGCGACGAGATCGTCGAGGAGCAAAGCCACGCAGCTCCGGTTGGGGATCCGGCGCAGATTGATAGTCGAGGAAATGCCCGTGGGCAAACAGAGGAGCAGATCCGAGCCCAGGAACGTAAGGTTAAGGAGATGGTCGCTGGCTTGTGGAGTCGCACTCCTCGCTAGAATCAGCATTAATCTTCTGTCCTCGATCGGGGTTGTGTACTGAAAGATCGCTGGCTATTCTCTCCTACTTGGGACTGTATTTCCCATGGGTCATTATCACTCTCTGGCATGGTAGTACCTAAATTCATATTACCCAGAACATCCAGAGCTGGGCCTAAATGTTTCCTTGCCATATCACTGCACTAAGTATACTGTGCCTATCCTACAATGCCCAAAAGATTCTGAAATGTCGTCAAAACTTTGACGATGCACCCTGCTACACTACTGGGAACCAGGGCCAGTCCTGTGGAAATCTTGTATAGGTAGAATAGAAGGTGTATCATTAGCTCATTACCTAGGTATCATGAAGCCCACAGGCAACAGGGGAGGAAAATCTAAGAAAAGCAGTTCCAGCCACTTTAATCACCCCAATATCTCCGCCCCGTCATCAAGAGAGAGAACCCAGTCTCGCCACTCCTGCCATTCAACATAATCAGCACTCGCCTTGAGGCCCTGATACCTAACCGTTCTGAAATCCGCAACTTGATCCCAAGGCTTCGCAGCGCTCGAATTGCCGCCTGTTGCACCACGCAGCAATCTCCGGGCCGAGCTACCGCCGCCGCCATCCCAGCCGGCCTTGCGCATCAAACTCTCTACCGTCTCTTCCTTGGTCCAGCCTTGCTCTACAGCGACATCAGGCAGGTATGTGGCGCCGTAGCGACGACCACGGTGGACGAACGATATGCGTATACCGTGGGTTCCTAACAACCAGTCCATGGCATTTGTGCATGGCTCAAAGGAGCTCAGGAGAGTTAGAGAACAGGAAAGGGAAGGAAGAAGAGATTTGGGAATAGGCGAGAAACGAGTATCATCAAAGGCCCTGTGCGTGTTTCAAAAGAATCGGCGTTAGTCTGGAGTACGGGATGGGTGCGATATTCGTTCTCGCTATATTTTCAGGGGAAAGAAAGAGAATGGGGAAAACACGTACGAGGTCAAAGCGTAGGACTTCAACCCCGCTGCAAGCTCCTGTCCTTCAAAGGTACCTATGCAACCACGGAGAGCCTTGTGTCCGCTCCGTGACAGGGTGTTCCATGTCACGAACAGAGGGTACCGCTGATTAGGTGATCTGTGCGAGCTCGACCCGGCCGAAGCCGGCGTGGTGATATTGGTGGAGCTCGATTGAAGGGAATTGGCAGAGGTATTAGATGCAGAGGACGGGGTCGTGGCCGTACTGGAAGCGGACGATTCGTCTTGGAGACGACTGACGCGGGGGAACTGCAGTCTTGAGGGAGGACTACTCAACCGGGAAGCATCTTCGGTCTCGTTTACGGAGTCTTGCTCTGTGTCTTCTGCGGCCTGGTCTTCTAGGTCCGATAGCTTCTTAGTTTGCTCGTGCTGCTCCCAGAGGGCTTCTACGGCTGCCAGAGTGGCAGGCTCGCGGCCTTCGAAGGAAGCAAGGAGCGTTTCGAAACAATAATAGCACTGCGCTGGAGTGGCCATGCTGAACGAAGGTGTTTATCTTGTCCCAGCTCCCATGCGGAGTTCACTGATTCACAGGTGTGACGTAGAGGTCTCCGCGATTGTCCGATAAGATACTGGCTTATCGAGGCTGGGGATCCCACCGGGGCAGACTATGGGGCCTCAGAGTCTCTCTGAAGGGATCTGAAAGGAGAGAGGGGGAGAAAAAGAAGCAGGGAAGTGATGCTAATGGGGAAAAGAGGTGAAAAGAGCCCAAAAACACCCAACGGGAAAAAAGACCTGAGAACCTTGGAAAGAGGGGGACTACACGTGACGGTATTAGATAATGAGGGAAAAACAGCCCTTGGGATTCTATAGATCCTTGTGTTGAGAACAGATTGTAGAATATACACAGGACACGCTCAATGAATGAACTTTTCCCAAAAAAAAAATGTGAGCCTCGCCGTTAAGTGCGGGCTCAACCGCCAAAAAAATAACAAGTGCTCGTTTCACATGCAAAAAACATATCCCATATCCCAATGACCTCTGGTTGAAAAAACAGTCCGATATTTAACCCCTAAGAACGCACTCGTAAAATTATTTTTGGTTGTACGGAATGATGTTGAAGTCGTGGGAGTGAATCCCTCTTTCGTGTTCCGTACTCATGCTCGGCCGGGTTATTTAAACGGGCAGAGGGAAGGCGCTGGCCCACTGGGCAACCTCCTTGCGGAGAGCCAGGATCTCGGGAATGCTGTCATCGGAGACCTTGGCCTTGAAGTCCTTGAGCTTGTTGGCCTCCTTGGGGAGCTCGCCCTGGATCTTCTTGCAGAGGGTGATGGTCTGGTCGATGTAGCGGGCAATGCGCTTGAAGTCCTCCTCACCCATACCACGGGAAGACATGGCGGGAGCACCGATACGGATACCGCAAGGAGTGAGGGCGGACTTGTCACCGGGGATGGAGTTCTTGTTGCAGGCAATGTTGATCTGCTCAAGAACGGCCTCGACACGGGCACCGTCGAGGGCCTTGGCGCGGAGGTCGACGAGAACCATGTGGCTGTCGGTACCGTCGGAGACGAGCTTGTGGCCGAGGGCCTTGAACTCGTTCTCGAGGGCTTTGGCGTTCTTGATGACCTGCTCCTGGTACTGCTTGAACTCAGGGGTGTCAACCTGCTTGAGGGCAACAGCCAGGGCGGTGATGGTGTGGTTGTGGGGGCCACCCTGGTGACCGGGGAAGACGGAGAAGTTGATGGGGTTCTCGAGGTCGTAGAGGATCTCCTTGCCGGCCTTGTCGGTGCCGCGGACACCCTTGCGGAAGAAGATCATGGCACCACGGGGACCACGGAGGGACTTGTGGGTGGTGGTGGTGACGACATCGGCGTACTCGAAGGGAGAGGGGATGACACCGGCGGCGATAAGACCGGAAATGTGGGCCATGTCGACGATGAGGTAGGCACCGACCTTGTCAGCGATCTCGCGCATGCGCTTGTAGTCAATGAGACGGCAGTAGGCGGAGGTACCGGCGACCAGGCACTTGGGGCGGTACATCTCGGCGTTGCGCTCGAGGGTGTCGTAGTCGATGATACCGGTCTCAAGGTCGACACGGTAGGGGAAGGTCTCGAAGTAGGTGGAGACAGCAGAGATCTTCTTGGCGGGGGTCTGGTAACCGTGGGACAAGTGACCACCGTGGGGGAGGTCAAGACCCATCAGGCGGTCGTGGGGACGCATGAGAGCCTGGTAGACCTGGAGGTTGGCGGGGCTGCCAGAGAGACACTGGACGTTGACACCCCACTTGGAGGAGTCCAGGTTGAAGGCCTTGAGAGCACGCTGCTGGCAAGTGATCTCGATGGCATCAATGTGCTGGTTGCCACCGTAGTAACGAGCACCGGGGTAACCCTCGGAGTACTTGTTACACATGGGGGAACCAAGAGCGTCGAAGACCGCACGGGAAGTGAAGTTCTCGGAGGCGATCAGGACGACCGACTCACGCTGGCGCTGGATTTCCTTCTCCTACAAAGCGATGGATATTAGCAACAGCTACACTTGAGATGAATTCATGCAATTGCAAGCTATGCTGAGCTTGCAACCGATGTTGGGTGTTGACGTACCATGATGGCAGCAACCTCGGGGTCGCTGGCCACAAGGGAGTTGTGCATTTGCTGTGAGAGTATGAGTCAATGGTCTATGGCAGAACAGTGGTAGAGAAGATACTCACGTCCCGGTGGGCATCGGAGAGAGCGTAAGAAGACATGATGAAAGATGTGATTCTGTTTTCCTGGTAAACAGAGAAGATGGAATTGAGTCAGAGGAAGAAGAAAGAAAAATGAGAGGATGGTGGGGGAGGGGATCTGCGGGTGCCTCAGGCAACGAAGAACGATATCGGACCGTGACCGGATTAAGTTATTAGGTGATCCAATTTGTAACTCTCGCAAGGTTTGTTGGACCTTGGGGACGATATATAGCAGTATAGCTCTGGTGTGTCGAGTCTGCAGTGGCGAGATGATTCTGAGGATTTGGTATGTATTACTCGCTAACTCCGGGGTATCTCCTGTTGATAAACGCCTCCAAAAAAGAAATTTAAAAAAAAAAAAAATCATGTCGGAAGCTCTGCAGGAATCGACGGGCTTGGGTTTCCCATTATGGCCTTCTTTTCCTGCTTGTACAGGAACTGGAGCTTAAACCCCCACGGTCCTCTGTTGGCCCTCCTGTGGCATGCCTGCTCGGGTTCCAAAGTCGGAGATGACAGAGCGTAGCCTGCGCATATGGTTCTCCAATTCTCCAATTTCCTTTTGCTGGTCTTCAACGGATCGGTGTACGTCTGGAAGTCCTTCGACGACCGTTCGAGCCTTTTGGATCCGAATCTTCACGGAGCTGGTTTCTGTGGGCAGGTTCTTGACGTCCAGTGGCGGGTGTGCACTCGGGTCGAGGAGGGGCATCTCTAGCGCTGTTTGTGAGATTGTGGCATTTCCATTGCCCACGCCATCGTGTACGCTGGAAGTTGATTGTTGATTCTGGGCTTGGCCAGGCTCAGTCGGCGCGTCTGTTGCGGTTCCGGGTGCGCCCGATGCACCGGCCGAGGGATCTTTGGGGGAAAGCAGTCGAAGCAGGATTCCGTGCAATGGTGGGATAATCTCGAAGGTCTGTGGTGAAGGGAATGGCACTGTTTGCGGTGCTGCTGGCGCGTCTTCCGAGGGTGACTCCGGCGCAACTGAGGGTTTGAACAGCGGGGTGCCCACTGTCGGGGATCGAGAAGCCATTCTAGGGATTCTTGACTAACAATGTCCCGGAAGATATCTGAAGAACGATTAGATCCCGGGTTAGGGTAATAGTTTAGGGAGAAGTCGGGAGACCCGTTCGCGTTTTGCTCCCGAGATACCGCCTTTCTCCGCCTTGAACAATACACAGTAGATCTGGGGAATCGAAAGAGTAGTACAAAGTAGTCTTTGTGAAACACTTTGACAGGTATGTATTGACAGGGTATGTCAAGGGGTATAGCTACTAGAGGTCCTTGATACTGGCTTACAGAAGGGCTCAGCATCGGCTTCCATGCTGCCAACATACAGATCCATGGATGTTTTTTCGAACCCTAATCACATGATTATCACCAACCTGGGAACCTTAAGAGGTACGGTTAACCCGTACTACATTCACTGTATGCATTGTGTTTTGATTCTGGACCGTAAAATATAAATGAGCGAGAACTGTAATGCTTTACATTATTACTGATCTTACTGATCCAAAATAACTACGTCGTCATCAAGCATCCAACGTGCTCTTTCTCGGGCTGGCTGGACGAAAAAGACAGCCTGACAGAAACAGAACGTACAAGGCTCAAAAGCACGGGACTTCTAGCAGCACAAACTATCTGAGTTTTGTTCATACCGCCTGGTTTTCGTTGATGAATCAGGATGTGATAACCGGGTAGGACTCAAGCGAACTGGTTGGTCACCGCTAGGCGTAACACCAGTGCAAGTGTCTAGATTGGGAAGGACTAAGGGCAACCACGTTCTGATTCAGCAACGAAAACCAGGTGGTATGAATGAGACTCGGATTTTTTGTGCTGGTAGAAATCCCGTACTTCTGAGCCGTGTTCGTTCCCTTTCTGTCGGGCTGTCTATGCTACCAGATACTGCCAGCATATACTCAAGAGGGTATCATTCTGTCTCGTGTTTTCAAAGGTTCAATGGATGCTATGTTGTTTAAATCCTTCGTTTAGCAGCTCCTCCAGCATTGTGGAAGGTGGCTGGCACCAATTTCCGTGCTTATTATGGACAACGCAGCATTCCATCTTTCGGATCGGGTTAAGCAGTTGTGCTCTGATGCAGGAGTCAGGTTGCTGTACCTCTCACCTTACTCTCCAGGTCTCAGCCCTATAGAGGAGTTTTTCGCCGAGCTGAAGGCTTACATCAAGAATGCATGGCCAGGCTATGAGAAATATCCCGACCAGGGGTTTCATGCGTTCCTTCGGCAGTGCGTCCATGATGTTGGTGCAAAAAAGCAGAGCGCTGAAGGCCACTTCCGCCATGCAGATATAACGATAGACAAAGTGTGAGTGATGGCAGGTTCAACAGGCGAGGCATGTAAAATGAGTAGCATGGGCTAGGTTGGGTGTGGAGTTCCTCTCATGATCCAGCGTATCTTGTTCTTTCGAGGTCCTTGAATCAATAAAATCTTGTATTTGGGGGAAGACCCAATTTCTGTTCCTAACTCTGATGAAGAAAGAAAAAAGCGTTAGTCTATGAGGATCAAGGCAAGAACGATAGCCAAACCAAAAGCTTTCCAAAGCTCTTGACAAGTTCGATTTCATATTCGCAATATGTCCTCACGAGGACCCATACTGCGAAAGGTTGTTGCGACACCGAAGTCGATCCATACAATCCTATCACCAGACACGACCAGCATGTCATGCGTTGCCGGGTCTGGGGAGTCAGAGTGCATTTCATGTAACTTGTCTTGGAAAAAGCCAAGGATGAGGAAGGAAGGAAGATGGGAAGCATCCTGGGGATATAGGTATCTAGCAGGATCCCATCACATTACCATAGAAGATGACATGCCATAAAATCACACAGTATGATGTTCTTTGCCTAGATAAAGGGAAAACAGGGGATATCATCTTTGATCTATGGACCAGCGGCACGAAGCACTTTTAGCCATTGGGTGATACCACATGCGAGAGCGAGAAATGCACGCGGCTCATACATACTGATAGCGGCAAAAAATACTAATTGCCATTATCTTCCCCCAGAAACAGGTAACACATGCCCTACGCCTTGGATCTGGCATTAGCCACATACTCATAGAACGACCTGCCTTGGATCTCAGCAACCTGGAGCTCGAGCTCAGAAGGTTGACGTGACCCATCGGCGCCCTAAAGAAATGTGTATGAGCATTCGGCCGCGAAGTTATGGACTTTGCTAGGACATACCGCATAAGTACCGGCGCCCCACCTACTACCACCGTGAGGATTATCAGGACTATCAAGATGAGGTATAACCGCCTTGCGGTCCACAGGAACGAAAACCAGGCCGTGGTGAGTAAGAGTGCTCATGGCAGCGATGCAGCTGGCCTCTCCACTCTCAATCTGAGTCCCCGTTGAAACAAACAAACCCGCGTGCTTTTTCCAGAATCCACCCGAAGACCAGACTTCGCCAGTCATATCCCAAAAGGCCGTCCACTGAGCGGGAAACTGACCAAAGCGAGTGGTAATCCCGAAAAGTATGGCATCATAACCAACAAGCTCCTCGGGGTTGATGAAAGGAGCGAAGGACTTGGGCGGGGCATCGACTGTCACCATCAGATCACTCGGCCGAGTTTCCCTGACCCTTATATCAAATAGTTAGCTATGAGGAGCACCTTGCATGCACGGAGAGTTCTGATGAGAGTGAAATACCGGAAGAGATTGGCGGAGCCACCAGCGCTCTGGATGCCCCTGAGCTCTGCCTTGGCTAGCTGTTCGATGTGGTCATAGTTCGAGGGCTATACATGAAGTTCATCTCTTGTCAGGTCCGAGGTCTAGCTGAAACTCGACGGAAACGACAGGATCACCCGTCATTGGCGAGAATGATGCATACAAAGACAATAGCAATTCTAGGAGTCATTATGACAATTTTCTTCGGAGAGAGGCAACGACTCAAGACGGAAGGACCGCCCTTTGATAGGAGGGCTGAAAAGCAATTTTTCGATCAATATGGGAGCTTACTACTGGGGGACTTTGCTACACACAGTTTTTTGGGCACATCCTAATGAGTCAATGATATGTAATTAGTAGGCAATATTTGTCAGAATGCAAGGTCTGCTCTAAGTCCTTGCCAAGCCTACTGGTCATCTTTTACAGAGAAGCTTCTGCACATACCGACACCTGTGGACCCTTACTAGTAGAAACCTTGGAAGGCCCCGGGGCCAGCTGGCTCTCCGATTAGTCATCGGAGTTTGAATTGGGGTCTGGGACTTCAAATGTTCGGCGGACGCTAAGTTCTATATCTTGCCAAGCCTTCCGATCATCTTCCGCGGAAATCCACCCGCCTGGGCGGACGTTCCCGCTTAGTAATCGGGGTTTCACCAGGCCCAGGTGGTATACTCAGGCGGAGATTCCACCCCCAAATTGACGACCTCGGACTACCTTGTTATTACATAGGGCTGAGAGGGCTGGGACTTTATTAGCGCAAACCTCTCAGAAGATATTCATGTGGTACTAGGTACGGACATGTTGTTAATACCGAATACCGACTGTAGGGCAACTTCGAAATTACGATATACAGCGTCCGAGATATTCTTGAGTCCCTCCCGCGGCCTGGCAGTCACCGCATTTGAACCCACAGTAAACCTTGGGAAGCCCAAGCGGGTCATTGATAATTAATCCGAGAGACTTAGGTACAACCGATCCACATGAGTTTTGACTCATCGCCCTGCTTGTCAGAATGAGGGTGGCGGAGTGAAAATAACATATAACGAGAATCCCTTTGGCGTTGAATCATCTAAGACCAGACCTCTCTTATTCTCGCGCCTGTCAAAGCTACATACCACTCTAAAAGTCATCACAATGGAGGGAGTTAAAAGGGCATTTACCAAGTGCAGAGAAGAACATCGCGCAGCCTTAGTCACATATGTGACGGCCGGCTATCCGACCGTGGAAGGCTCACTTGACATAATGTTAGGCCTACAGGCTGGTGGCGCAGGTATGTTAGCGACTCGTCTCTGTGATAACACGGAATCCCATACTGGAGTCTTACAATTGAATAGATATCATCGAGCTTGGTGTCCCGTTTACAGACCCGCTCACTGACGGGTTGACCATTCAGAAGTCTAATGCCAAAGCCCTTGAGAACGGCGTTAATATTCAGTGTATGCTGCGAATAATCCGAACCGCACGGGCACGGGGGTTGACTGTTCCGGTCCTTTTGATGGGATACTACAACCCGGTACTGGCATACGGGGAGCAAAGGCTGTTGCTTGATACGAAGGCTGCTGGGGCCAATGGGTTTATAATCGTGGATCTTCCACCGGAGGAAGCCTTGCGGTTCCGGACTTCATGCAAGACTGAAGGGTATCTCTCTCCATCCCACTGAGTTGTCATTTGGGGTTGGTAACAGTTAGGCTAACACACAAATAGCCTTTCATATGTCCCGCTGGTTGCACCGTCAACAACCGACGATCGAATGGATATGCTATGCGGCATCGCTGATTCGATGATCTATGTTGTTTCCCGAATGGGGGTCACAGGAGCGAACAAAACGCTTGCTGGAAACTTGGGTGATCTGCTTGCTCGCGTGCATGCCCGAACTGGAGATCGTGTTCCTGCGGTGGTGGGATTCGGTATCAATACTCGGGAACAATTCAACGATGTCGCTCGTATCGCCCAAGGTGTTGTGATCGGAAGCCAAATCATCATGCTCATTGGGGAAGCGCGTCCAGGCACTGAGCCACAAGTCGTCAAGGAGTACTGCTTGCAGGTTGCAGGTCGAACCCAGGAGAGCGTTGTGATTCATCCATTGATCGAATTTATCAAACCGATTGCCCCGAACTCGACTGGCAATCACCAAGCGGAAAGCCCCAGCACGGAGGAAAGTTATGCTTTCAAAGAGGAACACACTCGATTCGGGAAATTTGGCGGCCAGTACGTTCCTGAGATCCTCATGGAATGCCTGACTGAGCTTGAGAAAGGCTTCCAAGAAGCAAGCGCGGATCCAGCATTTTGGAAACAGATTCGATCATACGATGCATATGCAAATCGCCCATCATCACTGCATCTTGCACAGAGATTGACTGAACATGCTGGTGGAGCGCGTATCTGGCTGAAACGGGAAGATCTGAACCACACCGGTAGCCACAAGATCAACAACGCACTTGGCCAAATTCTGCTGGCCCGGCGACTCGGCAAAACCTCGATCATTGCAGAGACAGGTGCTGGTCAACACGGAGTAGCCACTGCCACTCTCTGTGCCCTCTTCGGTATGAAGTGCACTATCTTCATGGGATCGGAGGATACCAGACGCCAGGCTTTAAACGTATTCCGCATCAAATTGCTTGGTGCAACTGTTGTCCCCTGCCCTGGTAAGTGTGATGGCCAGGGAGGAACTCTGCTTGATGCCGTAAATCAAGCATTCCGTACGTGGGTTACGGATCTGGATTCGACACACTTTGTCATCGGCTCGGTCTTCGGACCACACCCATACCCAACCATTGTGCGCACTTTCCAGTCCGTAATTGGCACGGAAACACGCGAGCAGTTCCAAAGGCTGAACGCAGGTCGCCTTCCAGATGCCGTTATGGCTTGTGTGGGCGGTGGTTCGAATGCGTCTGGGATGTTCCATCCTTTCTTGGAAGACACATCTGTCGCTCTAATTGGCGTGGAGGCTGGCGGGGAGAATACCTCGGTTGGCAAACATTCTGCGACCCTTGGATACGGGTCAGTCGGTGTTCTTCATGGAGTGCGCACATACATTCTTCAAGATAAACATGGCCAGATCACGCCTACAAAATCGGTATCCGCCGGTCTGGATTATCCTGGCGTCGGTCCGGAGTTGGCCAGCTGGAAGGAGTCACAGAGAGCTCGCTTCATCACAGCAGATGACAAGGAGGCGTTGGGCGCTTTCTCGCTCTTGAGCAGATTGGAAGGCATCACGCCCGCGTTGGAAAGTGCGCATGTTGTGGCCGGTGCGGTTCGTGTGGCTAAGGAACTCGGACCTGAGAAAGACATTGTTGTTTGCTTGAGTGGACGGGGTGATAAAGATGTTCAAACCGCAGCTAGTCTTCTAGATCATAACTGATCGTCTGGGAATCTATTTTGGTCCCCCGTGTACTTCGAAAGTCCCAATCTAGCTCATTTAGTGGTTTCACTAGAAAAAGAAATCCCCGGAAGGCATCTACTTTGAAGAGATCGGAATACACAGTACACGGACTGAATGAATGAGAGAGAGACTGGAGGCTACGGCGAGCTAGTCCGGCCAGAAGAATAGAAAAGACTATCCGCTGAGAAATGTCAGATCCCGCTCACTTCCAACCTTGGAAGGTTGTTGCCCCTTCACTTCCATTAGTCAAGCATGAGCTATGTAGAACATAGAGAGTCATCTGATTCTTGACGATTGCTCATGAATATAGTCTGAATATCGGGCACTCAACAGGTTTGCTCGACGTAGAATCCTCGGCTCCGCTATCGGACTCTGTGCAACCGTGCAAATCAACGAGGCACTCTTTCTATCGAGCATTCAGAATGTTGAGAGATTTGGTTGCCGTCTGTTCCGTAGTCGCATCGCGCCTACATAAATTATGGACAGGGATTTGTTACTCCACCAAATGGAGCAGGTGGGTGAAACCCTTAGCCCTGGGGGGTTCTCAAGGGTTCAAATGTAGGGTTTGTTTCCCGATGACTAAGCGGGGAGCCGCCCCGGGGCTCCGCCCCGCCCCGCCGGGCCCCACCAAGGTGACCCACAGTCCAATACTACGTAGTGCTAGTGGCTCTACGGAGTACACGGGCCATCACTCCACTGCAGTTTAGATTCATGGATCCCGCCCACATTTGTAATGAATCTTCCTTGTTGATCATCAGACCACGGAATTGCCCGTCGCCAGGCTGGATACGCATACGGAGTAACGGAGTTAACAATGTCTCGGATATTGGTGGCACCTGGCACGGACCTACTTTGAATCAGACAGCATAATTCACGTTCAACAGATGATAGAGCCTTACGATGATAGCGGTAACTTTGCGGCAGATCTGTCAGCTTGCTTTTGCCTCTTAGCGGAGACATTTGATCCCGGAACCTTGAACCAGCTAGCAAGTATCGAGCATGTATGTCTTGAAGCATATTCCAGAGTTTTGTCCGTGCCGAATTTGAACTACACTCTTCTTTTTGACTATGTCACTATCTCTTAGCGAACAGCTGACTCTGAAGATACCTAGGTATGGTCAATGTTAACGCCAAAGTTTTGAAAATCAGCCTGTCACTGCCTAGGTAGAAGCACGGGAAAGATCTAAGCTTTGTCTGAGGAAATCAAAAGTATATGGCCCAATCGGTCAAAGTTCAGGTTCCATACTGAAGATGACAACCTTGGAATGACCTGAAGCTAATGAAGTAGATAAGTTAGTCCTTGTACATCCAATAGCAAAATGAATTCAATGATTGATAGGCTGAAATTTGAGGTCAGACTTAGGCACGCAGTCTCCCAATGGCGCGGCAAGGCGAGAGGTTCGATCTAGGTTTTTCGGCTCTAGCTGATATTTATGGGTTGGGCGCATATCCGATGAAGAAGCGACACTTGCAACTCCGTTGAGCGATGCTTCTCAAGGCTCCGGGGTATATCCGCAGATCCGGGTCAAGCTGCGAGGTGGCTATGGATAAGTAAATCAAAGATCAAGCTGCGTTGGTACTAGCTTTCCGATGAAGGCTTATACAAATGACCCATATCCGTTATTCCGTCCTAATTTGATCAGTCGATAATCACCGTGTTGACTTCGCTATATATACAAGGGTGTCTCGTCGGCTTTAAAGTTGTACTAGGTACATTTGCCTGCAATCTCATTCCAAGTTTCGGGATCATTACAATTTTCCACATACAGACCCTGACACGGCCAGTGCAAATCATTCCAAGGTTTGAACAGACATAATGGCTGAGCCACGCGCCCTCCCTCCTGGCTCCAAGCTTTGGGTAGTATAACATCATGCACTCCAAGAGAGCCTATCAGCTGACAATTATAGTTGCTTGACCTAGGGGGTCTCGACATTGACGCCTCATACGTCCTCTCGGGGGCAAATGTGCCCCAACATGGCACTGTTCCCCAGCCTCATGAGAGTCGTCCATGTTTGATGATCGCAGGTCTTCTTTATCACCCAGATGTGGGTCTCGTCCTCTTCGACACTGGCTTCCGCGAAGACGTTATCAACTCATGGGAGGGTGAATACTTGGAATGTGCACCACGTATATGGGTCAAAGACATCCACTCTCTGCCTGTGGCTATCAAGGCCACCGGTGCAGGAGAGATTGGTGATGTCAAAGCTGTCGTTTTGAGCCACCTCCATCTGGATCACGCTGGAGGATTGGAGCACTTCTTCGGTACCGGTTAGTCATTGCGCACTCCATGTGTATTGCAACCACTGACACACCTCAGATGTGGAAATCTGGTGCCATGAAGACGAGCTCAAAGGCGCATTCTGGGCATCGGCCACTGGCAATGACAGTAATCTGTTTCTACCCGACTATTTAAGAGCAGACCTCTTGAATTGGAAGACTGTCTCGGAGGAAAAGGTGGAGCTTTGGAAAGGGTTAACCCTGCATAGGTGTCGTGGGCATACCGAAGGGTCATTGGTTGTGGAGCTCACATTCTCGGCTTCGGGTACTGTCATCCTCACCGGTGATTTGTTCCACGTCAAAGAGAACTACGAGGATGGACAACCACAAGGGTTCCTCATGAGAAACTACAATGAGTGGCTGCGAAGTCGTGACTACATCAGAAGGCTGGTAAAACGGACCAACGCGAGAGTGTGCCTAGGGCATGAAAGAAGCTATTTCGATATGTTTGAGAAGAGTCCTCAGTTTATATCCTAAACAAGCGGATCCTCTTGTTGGATCGGCGACGAAAAATACTGTACGTGTGTTACTTGTTGCAGGCAACCTCAGGTTCGGATCCATTTTTTGAACATCAGGGCTGCGAGGTCACATTTAGATACTGTCCTTCGTTTGTATCCTGAGTTGGGAGATACAGAGTATGTACAGAAAGCCAAGAACCTACTAGAGAGAAGCGACGAAAAACGACGTCGGTAAAGGGAAACCCCTCCTTCAAATTAAAATGGTTACCACTGGGATATTACGCAGATGCAACGATTTTGAAGATTGCTAATGTCTAAGATTATAGCGAAGGAGACCTTGCCAGGTGGAATGACTGCCAAAGACCAACTTCAAGCAAACGAACCAAGGCTATACTTAGGTATCGTGCTGCATGGTGTACTTCTCCGAAGAATCTAGGTCCACGAGATCTCGACATTGCTACGTTTCACAAAACCTTGAACACCAGGGCATGCAAATTGAAATCATCATCCATGAATATTCACAGCGCTGAGGGCCTCACCATCTATGTTGCTCACACACATTGCTACATTTAGAGAACGAAACTTTAGAAAAGTATTTCTTCCTTATTTGACTGCCCGTCGATTGGTCTTTTCCACAGCTTTTACACCATCTGCTCAAGTGGGCACATATCTCCGATGAACACCATATTTTCATCAAGCAAAATATTAAATCATCCGCAGTACACTCCTGGAAAGGGAAAATCTTGATCATCATCCATGGATCAAGGGGAGGATTATCAATACGACAAAACGACCCCCTCATCTCGTCACCATCTCCCATCATCGACCAGAGATCGAAAAGGACATATGGCCAACATTTCATCCACCCCGGAAATGTATCATACTTATCCACAGTTGGGAATGCCTCAAGAACCTTTACATACCGAAGCTCTTTGTCGGTGTCGTCTAGGGTTCCATCTTCAAGAGCATCGATTGGTGCACCTTTCAAAGTCTGCAGAGATTCTTCATCGATAATCATGTACATTCGCCATTTGGTCCAATGGTCACGCAGGCCTTGAGCTTCAACCCAGGCCTCGAAATGAGCACGAATTGTCTCGAGAGACGCCCCGTCAAATTAAGCAGGATCCTGCACGATAGTCGATCGGTGTTTAGCCCAATTTCGCTTGGCTCATCGGGTGTACATCGGTCGGCTTCTGCGAAGAATTCGTCCTTGATACAGCCCTCAATAAACCGAATAGCGTCTGGGAAAAGAGTATCAGATTCAGTGGAGTAGGTAGTACGATAGATCATAGATGACAAATCCCCAGTCTGGATACGTGAGAAGACTATGTCGGAGCTCATCCATGTTGTGTCAATTGTTTTATTTCGCAATTTGTGAAACTTGAGTTGGTGGTTGAGGTGAGAAAAGATGGGTAAGGTGAAGAGAGACCGAGCTCGCAGTCTTCACCATGGTAAACCCTTCTTTGGACCCAGAGAACTGTTCAAACAGCTTGAAGGCCGGAAGTACTTACTGTGCTGGCCCAACCTACAGCCGGAACAGAACGGTGAGTGAGAGTGAGAGGGAGAGGGAGAGGGAGAGCACCAGCACGGCTACCTAGGTACAACGACCTCGGGATACCAGCGTGATTATATAATACCCAGTGAGCGCGCGGGCGGATCAGGCTCGGAGTGCTCAATTTTCTCTGAGAGCAAAAAGCGGCAGGTGAGCACTAAAATGGAAGAAAGGTCTCGAGTGCCATCGATATGCATGTGTATATCTCAAGTCCATATATAGTAGGTGTACAAATCAAAGGCTAATCGGAAGACTTGTATTCCAAGGTTGTGAATAGCCCAGTACGGGAGTATACGGTAGTAGGACCCGACGTCACCGACCACCCGCTTCTGTAACCCCACCTTCACCGGCGGCCCTTTTTCTACTGCGCTCTCCTTTTCTCTATTCAACTATCGTACGGTAAGTGTCCTGGGGTTTTTCAATTTCCAGCAATTGATCCTGATTCTGTCAGATATAGTCCATTACCCCACTATGGCTACTGTCGACCAGAAAGTCGCTTTGAGTATGATCGACTACCACCCAGGTCCCCAAAATCCCGGCTAATACGAACCTTGCAGTTGTCATCGATGGATGGGGTGTTGCAGGCCCCAACTCCCCACCCCAGGGAGATGCCATCGCTGCCGCCGAGACCCCGCACATGTCCGGCTTCGCCGAGGCCAACTCCAAGACTGCCCAGGGTTACGCTGAGCTCGATGCCTCTTCCCTCGCCGTGGGTCTGCCCGAGGGCCTGATGGGCAACAGTGAAGTCGGTCACCTGAACATTGGTGCCGGCCGTGTTGTCTGGCAGGACAGTGTCCGCATTGACCAGACCCTCAAGAAGGGTGAGATGGGCAAGGTGCCCAGCGTGGTCGAGTCCTTCACTCGTGCCAAGGAAGGCAATGGACGCCTGCACCTCTGCGGTCTGGTCTCAGACGGAGGTGTTCACTCCAACATCACCCACTTGTTCGCCTTGCTCGATGTCGCCAAGGATATGGAGATCCCCGAGGTCTACATTCACTTCTTCGCTGATGGACGTGACACCGACCCCAAGAGCGCCGATAAGTTCATGCAGCAGCTGCTGGAGAAGACCACAGAGATTGATCTCGGTGCCGTTGCCACCGTCGTTGGTCGCTACTACATTATGGACCGTGACAAGCGCTGGGAGCGTGTCGAGGTTGGTCTTAAGGGCTTGGTCACCGGAGAGGGCGAGGACAGCTCGGACCCTCTCCAGACTATCAGGGAGCGCTACGAGAAGAAGGAGAACGACGAGTTCCTGAAGCCTATCATTGTTGGTGGCCAGCAGCGCCGTATCCAGGGTAAGTTTGTTACAAGAACCACATTCAAGATTCAGAACCTGACTGCCGATTATAGACAACGATACTCTCTTCTTCTTCAACTACCGCTCTGACCGTGTTCGCGAGATCACCCAGCTGCTCGGCGACTATGACCGCTCCCCCCGCCCTGACTTCCCTTACCCTAAGAACATCTCCCTCACCACCATGACTCAGTACAAGACCGATTACACCTTCCCCGTTGCCTTCCCCCCGCAGCACATGGGTAACGTCCTTGCTGAGTGGCTCGGAAAGAAGAACCTCAAGCAGTGCCACATTGCTGAGACTGAGAAGTACGCTCACGTCACCTTCTTCTTCAACGGTGGTATCGAGAAGGACTTCCCCGGCGAGACTCGTGACATGATCCCCTCGCCCAAGGTTGCTACCTACGATCTTGACCCTAAGATGAGCGCTGCTGCTGTCGGCACCAAGATGGCTGACCGTCTTGGCGAGAACAACTTCGACTTCGTCATGAACAACTTTGCTCCTCCCGACATGGTCGGCCACACTGGTGTGTACGAGGCCGCTATCCAGGGTGTCGCTGCCACCGACAAGGCCATTGGCGAGATCTACGAGGCCTGCAAGAAGAACAACTACGTTCTCTTCATCACTGCGGATCACGGGTAAGTCATTCCATGGAATATAATTTGAACAACGGGACTTGAACGCTGACATTTTCCAGAAATGCCGAGGAGATGATCAACGAGAAGGGCACCCCCAAGACCTCCCACACCCTCAACAAGGTTCCCTTCGTCATGGCTAACGCCCCTGAGAGCTGGAGCCTCAAGAAGGGCGGTGTCCTCGGTGACGTTGCCCCTACTGTTCTTGCTGCCATGGGCATTGAGCAGCCCGAAGAGATGACCGGCGAGAACCTCCTGGTCAAAGCTTAGATAAAACTGTACGCACGTGCACGCTTAGATATGAGTCGATGAATAGAATTTTGTGAATATGCACATAGTGTTCATGTTGTAGTGTCATGCTCTGGAGTATAGAGCACATTTTCAGGTTAAACAGCACGTATAATACACTGCGAGGTCTGACATGTATTTGATCGTTTCAGATGATTTTGCATTGGAAGTTCGAGGGTATACGTATTTGGAGCCTGATCCATGCGCCAGTTGAGATCCTCAGCCGGGAGCGACTCATTGTTCACGCAGAGTATCTCGGCCATTCGCTTTCCTCTTATTTTCACAAAGCCGAAGCTATTTGCTCTGGGTACTGCAATTCAGTGGGTCGAATGTGGGTTGGTTGGTGGCATATCCTTTGTCGGACGGTGCTCATCTCATATTTCGGGCTTATGCGGAGGCCGACGCGGCAGCAGCTTGTTGCTGAGCCTGGCTTTGCAGCTGAATGATCTATGCGAATGTTAGTATTATAACAGGCGACAAGAACTCTTCCATTCGAAGCAAGTCTATGCCGGTGGTGGGGTACTAGTTGGTAGGTACCTCTGTGCGCTTGTTCTCGCTCTTGGTCTGTGTCGCCTCGATTTCGCCTTCAATTCGCTTGCTGTGGTCCTGTTAGTCCATATTTCATACTTGAAGCCATGGCAGTAAGCAATGAGCACTGACATCTCCTTCTCAATGAACTCAAGTCGACCATTGACAGCCATAGTGGCCTCGCTCTTATCTTGCTTCAGCAGCACCGGGCCGACAAGCTTATAGATGTTGGATTCCTCATCCAGACCGGCGAACTCGGTTTGCACACCTTCGTTCTCTTGCTGCTGCGATTCCAGCTTCTGGCGGGCGTCCACCAGACCCTCGAGCTCTGCGCGAGAAAAAAGTTAGTCGCGAATAGTGATGTGGCATAGATATATACACACGTACCGGTCTGGAAAGCCTGGAACTCGTCGGAAAGTGCCTGGAGCTGTTTTTGGGGATCCATGATGAATGTGGTGGTGTAGTGAGAGGAGGGAAAATCAATCGACCTGCCCGCCCGTAAACAACTTCCACTCTCCAATTCCCCCTCCAATCCCATCAACCCTCGATTTTAGGGCTGTGTGCTCTCCGATTTCCTACTCCAGGAACCCTCCAAAGCTATACGATTTAGATTTTCGCCTATCCCTCCGACCTTGGCCTACTGCCTAACCCTTGTTCCCCTCTCCCCGCTTCACCATCCTCCGCAGTCGACTTGCCACAGCCTCGGAGCTCAGCGCACTGAAACCCTGCCAATATGAGTAATACGGATTTCCTAGGTCGTGCGATCGACACGGTGAAGAAGGCTATCGAGGATGACAACAACGGCGAGTACGAAAAGGCTTATCAGACATACTACTCCGCACTGGAGTTGTTCATGTTGGCCTTGAAGTGGGAAAAGAACCCCAAGTCGAAGGAAATGATCCGCTCGAAGGCCGGCGAGTATATGGATCGCGCAGAGAAGCTCAAGAACCACCTGGCAGAAGATCGCAAAAAGCCCAGCGCAGTAGGCGCAAATGGCAAGGTGGCGCAGGGCAACGGGAAAGGAGGGTATGTTTTCGTACTCACACCACACGGACTATTGCTCTTCAATTCTGGACATTGAAAAGCGAGCAGCTGATAAGCTCTCAACGCATGTCGATCTGCGCTAACTGTTATTGCTCCGACAGGAAGGAAGATGACGACAACGGCGAAGATGCAGACGCCAAGAAGCTTCGGAACGCGCTGCAGGGCGCTATCCTGTCAGACAAGCCAAATGTCAAGTGGGAGGATGTTGCCGGATTGGAAAATGCAAAGGAAGCATTGAAGGAGGCTGTCATTCTCCCCATCAAGTTCCCGCACTTGTTTACCGGCAAGCGTCAACCCTGGAAGGGTATCCTGCTTTACGGGCCCCCAGGTACAGGAAAGTCTTACCTCGCCAAAGCTGTCGCAACAGAGGCAAACAGCACATTCTTCAGTGTCAGCAGTAGTGACCTGGTCTCGAAGTGGATGGGTGAGAGTGAAAGGTGAGATATCATTCCCCGCAAAGCCGTACACACCAAGACTAACCCATTTCCAGACTCGTCAAGCAACTGTTTAACATGGCTCGTGAGAACAAGCCGGCAATCATCTTCATTGACGAAGTCGATGCGCTGTGCGGACCCCGTGGCGAAGGAGAGTCCGAGGCCTCGCGGCGTATCAAGACCGAGTTACTTGTACAAATGGACGGTGTCGGCAACGACTCCAAGGGCGTTCTCATCCTGGGCGCTACCAATATCCCCTGGCAACTCGATGCTGCCATTCGGCGACGTTTCCAGCGCAGAGTCCACATCAGCTTGCCGGATGTCAACGCCCGTGCAAAGATGTTCTCCCTCGCCGTTGGCTCGACACCCTGCCAAATGAGCCAGGCCGACTACCGCCAGTTGGCGGATTTGAGCGAGGGCTACTCCGGTAGTGATATCAGTATTGCCGTACAGGACGCCCTGATGCAGCCAATTCGCAAGATTCAAGGAGCAACACATTATAAGAAGGTTCGCATACCCGTTCACCCATTACTATGTCCATACCGACTAACTTGCACTCATTAAGGTCCTCGTTGAAGGCGCAGAGAAGCTCACTCCCTGCTCGCCTGGGGATGCTGGAGCAGTGGAGATGAGCTGGCTCAACGTGGAAGCAGATCAACTCCTGGAACCACCTCTGGTTCTCAAAGATTTCATCAAGGCTGTCAAGAACTCCCGTCCCACTGTCAGCGGTGAGGACCTTACTAGGAACTCAGAATGGACCCAAGAGTTCGGCAGTGAAGGTGCCTGATCGACCCGCTCGCATATCACGGATTATCTTCTCGAGGCGTTCAATGATCTGGTTCTATCGGATCGATACATCAACAGCAGATTTTTTTTGTCTTGTCTTGTCTGTCCTGCATGGACGGTGGAAGTTCTTATGCCCATGCTCCATGTCTGCATATTGTCATGTTTGTTTCACTTTGATTATGTTAACGTTTACTCCATCTCGCTGCTTCATCTCGCTTCGTGGTTTTGGTCGGTGTCCTTAAAGAGTCTGGTGTTTAGAAGCGTCTATCAATTACTTTTGGCCGGTTGGGCGTTCATTGAGCAAATAACCCAGTGCGCCATTCTGCGCAACTGTTCATATTAAGATAGCCTGAATGCTGCATATACCTTGTCTTGGGCCAAGGGTGCAATTCGAGGGTTCGATTCACCCCAACACCGCTTTACATGGTCGTTAGATACAGTGTGTAGCCTAGCGTCCGACTACTATGTACTTTATGGGTTCTGCAAGATCCTGGCAAATTCTCAATTCATCCAATTCCTTGCCGGGGATGACTATACACAAATAGTCAATCAAACAGATAGGTACAATGTTTCCCAAACGCCGCAGTACCGAGCGAACAAAAGCAAGATAGAAAGGGACAAAACTAGGCGACAAAAAGCCATTATACTTGCAAGGCGTGTTGGGGGAATCTTTCATGAGGGGTGGACGCTGGAAAAACAAGAGACAAAAACACAATGACCTCGCTATTGGCCAAGCAAACTTCTGTTCGAGCCATCACGTCGCTTGATCATCTCGCTCTTAGCTCGCTTGAGGCCCTCGCCCAATTTTTTCGTTCGCTTCCAATCGCTACTCATCTTCTTCATGCGCACAGCAGCCCGAACAAGAGAGATTGCAGTTCTCAACTTCTGACGCGGAGTACGCACAGAAGCCCGATCACGGGCTTGCACCCCCATCTCAGAGATCATGCGAAGATCGGCATCGTTGCTGGGAAAATGTTAGCTGGATGTTGAAATGATGCGGAATATCGGGATCACGAACCATGCTACGCGTACGCGTTCACCAAGCTCCATCAGACCCTTACTCCAGGCTAGGTCACGGCGGAACTTCTCTTCTCGCTGTAGGCGTGCACGAAGCCAGACGATTTCCTTGCCCAGTCCTCGAATCTCTTTCTCGTGTTTGGTCTTACTGGTTGATTTGGTGAGAGAGTTCTTCTCCAAGATCTCTTCGTGGCGTCGTTGCAGTAGGTCGATGTTCTTGGTTGCTACTTCGGCTTCACGCTTGTGGGCATCTCGTTCTTCGCGCATGCGGCGTACGTGCGTCTTCAACTCGGCGAGACGTCCGTCGCGCTCTGAAAGCTTGAGAGTGAGGGATTCGACTTCAAGGGTGGATGATCTGAGGAGCTCATGGAAGTCCTTTTGGTCTTCCTCTTTCATGGCAGCACGTTCGAGATCACGATTCTTCTTGTTCACTGACTGTAGGGAACGATGCGCTTCAGCCACTTGCTTCCGCAAAGTCCGTAGTTCTTCGTGTAACTTTGTAGAAGGGGAGTTCTGCGGAGATTGCGTGTCGAACTTTCTCATCACTGCATCGTGAAGATCTTTTTCCAACTCATCAACTCTTGACTTGTAGGTTTGCGCAGATGACTTTTGCTTAGATTCACGGTGAACAAGAATCTTTTCACGTTTGCGGGCCTCTTCTAGACTTTGGCGAAGTAAAGAGAGATCACTGTGTGCACCAGATTGCTCATTTTCCACGGTGGGTTGTTGCTCAAGCAAAGACTCAAGACTTTGTACCCGACGCTCCAAGCGCTGGACTTTGGTCTTGGCCGATGTGAGCTCTCGGTCGCGGTTGCCCGAGCTTGCAAGCAATTTGTCCTGGAGACGATCGATCTCTGCGGAAAGACGGCCCTCCTCTGTTGCAAATCGCTCATTCTCAGAGACAAGTTGCTCCTCGAGAGAGGATTTGGCTTCTCGTAGTGCGTTGATATCGTTCTCAAGCTTTGTCACAGTCTTGCGCAGTTCAAACTTGTCGCGGTCAAATCGAGAGGTGTCGTCTGCATTCGGGGCCCTATCGAGTTGGCCATTGAGCTCGTCGCGCTCGGCTTCGAGTTCCTGCACTGAGTTTCGCAATTCGTACAGTTCGACATGAGCGTTGGCAAGCTGATCCCGAAGCTTTTGCCTCTCCGTCACGGATTGCTCTAGTCTCTTTTCCATGTCAGGGGTCGCGTTCTGTCGACCCTTAGCAATCTCTTGCTCGTCGGCCAGGGTTGATTGCAGCACGATAATCTCATCCTCCAATGCCTGCACCTTTTCTGCCAGCGCAGTCTGGTCGCGTCGAGACAATCGTACATCTTCCTTGGCTGAGAAGAGCTCTTCTCGCTTCTCATCCAGATCGCGTCTTGTCTTGTCGAGGTCGTCCTTGAGATCTTGGATTTGACGATTCAGCATGGTCTTTTCTTGCAAGGACCGCTTCTTCTCGCTATCGACAGCACTTTGCAGCCTAGATTCCTTGGTGGTGTAGGTATTGCCGGCCTCTTGAAGCGTATCGATTGTACGCTGCAGCTCTGCGACTTGGCCTTCAGCCCATGCCTTTTCGGACTGCAGGGCTCGTTTGCTGCTCTCCCATCGACTTTGATCGACCGCAAATCGTCCCTCCTTCTCCTCAATCTCGTGCTGGAGATTCTCGATCTCCTCCTGTAGTCTTTCGACCTGTAGCTTGTGCTGCCAATGGAGCTTGTGGCCTTCGTCTTGAGCGTGGGTGGTGGCCTCGTTGACGGCCTTTTGCAGTTCGCGGATTCTGGATTGGGCTCGGTCGAGGTCGGTTTGTAGTCCCCCTGACTCATCAGTGAGAGCACGATGGCGAGTTTGAAGGAGTTCCTTTTCCTCTGATTCACGCTGGAGTTCATTTGAAACCTCCTGCAATTGAGCGGAGGTCCTAGTCAGGTTCTGTTGGGCTTGATCGCGTTCATGCCTGGCTAAGTCAAGGTCTCTGATCAGATGGGCGTTGCCTTCCACATCATGCTGAAGAGATTGATGGCGCTCTTCTAGTCGAATCACGTGGCTTGCTTTGCTCTCCAGCTCCGTTCTCAGAGCATCGTTTTCTTGTTGAAGATCTTGTAGGTCTTTCTCGAGTTTCTCTGTCCTTTCCTCCAGCTGTCGGCTTAATCCTTTCGTGGTGAAGGACTTGTTTGACATCTCATCTTGCAGTTCTCTGAGATCCTCCTCAACGCGGTCCTTTTCTTCCATGGCTTGTCTGGTAGCCATTTCTGATTCTCTGCTCTCAGACTGGGCCTGGTCGAGGCTATCCTGGAGCTCTTGGATTTGTTCTTGTGCACGATCGAGTTCTTGTTGGAGTTCAGAGGCTATTCCGTTCTCCTCGCTGTTTCGTTTCAACTCTTCCAACTCCTCTTCTCGCTCCTCGATGATTCGATCCTTTTCTCTCGAGCTGGCTTCTAGATCCTCGATGTCGTCTCGGAGCTTTTCGGTGACTTCTGATTGGGATTCTTTGGCGTATCTCAATTCATCACGGGCTTCTCGGAGTTGGTTGTCCCGCGCCTCGAGCTCCTCCCGCATCAAGTCCATCTCTCGTTGTACTGTTTGATCGGCTTGCTCGCGCCATCTCATTCCTTGTAGTTCCGCCAGCTGGAGTTGATATTCGTCGGCCGACTTCTCTGCCAGCTGGAGATTTTTCTTGTACCGGGCGATATCGCGTTGCATTGTCATTTTGAGGACCTTAAGTTCCGTGTTTTCTTTCAACGCTTCCTTGTTGGTTTCTGGGCCAATCTTCTTCAGCTGCTCATCCATGAAATGGATCTTTAATTTCAAGTTGAAGTTGTCTTTACTGAGCTGATCCAAGGCCTATGATAATCGGCGTTAGCGTACAATTCATCTCTAGTTCACTTGTCCGAGGCACCAAAGGACTGGGTATCTTACTTCGGCCTGTTCTTTCAGAGACAGGTTATGGTGAGCGTCACCTAGCGCTCCTCCGTCCCGTCCAGGCAGTGGCGTACTTTGCGCACTGCTACTGGCGGCATGAGGTAGCGGGGTCGCCTCTTCCACAATCCGATCTTCTTCGTATATGTCGGACATGTCCATCGGGGGTAACCTAGGCGTTTGGGCGTTGCTGCGATATGTGTCTCGGTAGTACCCGGGTGTTTTCGGACCATCTCCTCTTGATGTTGACATATTCCTCAAGTAGTTATTTTTCGTCGCGCTCTTCATCAATGGTGTAAATTCTCCCTTCTCGGGCCCTGCAGCCGGGAGGTGTCGCAACGCGCTTCTTGCCGGTTTGGAAGCCGCCCCTCGCGGGGTGACGCGTTTTTCAAATCCTTTAATCACTTCATTGTTCTTCGAGGGCGTATGGAATGAGTTTTCCACTGAATCGAGTGCAGATAGGTTATGTCGCCCCGCGCTGCGGAACCCGTTCGTCAGATAAGTCGCGTTCCCGTCGATTTCGGTTCGTGGAGTATCAATGTAAGGGAAGGCCATGTTGTCGGTGAAACGCAATTTAGCCCAGAACCATCAGCGCACAACCATCACTCTCGGGCAGCAGCGAAGGAATGAACCCACGTCCGACGTGTTTTGGAGATCCGCCGTCTGTTGATTTCTAACCCCCTTGGGACTAGTGTCAGAATCGTCACCAGCGAATCACATTCCTCCAATTCCCAGGCGGTGACCATTGTCTACTGCAAATCCCTGCCTAAGCCACTCTGGGCAACTACATTTTCTTTTTTTTTGTTGATGAGGTCATTCTGCTAACATTCAATCATGACTTCCGAAGAGGATCTCGCCTGGTTTCAATCGACCTTCCGTCCGATTCCCAAACCAGAGCTTCCGGATGATGCGGTCGAATACTCTATCCACTACATTCCATCTTCCCCCGCCCCCGCCAGCGATGAAGCTGCCGAGACTCGGGCGCGTTTGCTCGAAGTCCAGCGCACCGCGGCGGAATTAACGAAGGACTTGCTCAAAGACTATATCTGGCAGCGTGAAGCTTTTCGATTGGAAATTACCAAGGAAGATGGTGGGTCATTACTTGACAGACTGGTGCAATGATGGAAACTCATGATCTTTGTAGGAATCACCTCGCTACAAGGTCGCACGAATTACGGCGATTCCATTGAGGATGAATGGGTCATTGTGTACTTCCTGCGCGAATTGACCAAGCGTCATAAAGATATCTGGGTGAAAGTCATGGACAGCGATGGGGAATTCCTGCTCATCGAGGCCGCCGGAACACTTCCTGCCTGGATCGAACCAGATGTTGCAGACAACAGGGTAGGTGTCTTGCTATTTTTCAGCTCACGGAGTTGATATGATGCTGATACACCTTTGATCCATTAGGTTTGGATTCATCAGGGCGACCTCCGCATCATCAAGCCGAAAGAAGAGACGAAACGACAAGTCACCGAGAAACTATGCCTACTCGATGCACGGAAGATCCTTCGAGATGAACCTAGTCGTCTGATGCGATCAACAATCATTCAAGAAGAAGCCTTCTTCCGTCTACGCAAGTATCCACAGCAGATCAGTGACAACCTTCACTCTGCGGTTATCACTATTCCCCGCAAGGTTGCATTCCTGTTGCATCAGAAGCCCGCATACATCTCGCCTGCCGTGGAAGCATTCTATGTCCGCGATCCGATTGCACTACGGCCACTCAAGGCGAAGGATGCCTCTGGTCTCGTTTTCAACCCCGATGATCTCGTCACAGTCAGTGTCCGTTTTACTCGTGTCGGATATGCACAAATTAAAAGCCAAGAATTCCCCGCGCCAAGCTCATGGGCAGGGAAGATGCCATCATCTGAGGATCAGAAGTTGTATGATCGCGCAGAGGCGGGAATGAAATTGGCTTGCGGTATGGAGATGCTGCTTGCCGACCCCCAGAACCAGGATAAACCCGCGGTCCGGGAAATGAAGCTTCTTCTCGAGGATGTGGAGACGGGCGATGAAGCCCTTCCCACTGATAAGGAGATCGAGGAATCCTGGGACAAGCGTGAGGATGACGAGAAGTGGCTGAACATCAACTTTGAAGATTTGGAAACCGAGCTCAAAGGAAAAGGTCAAGGCAAATCAGCGGAGGCCGGTGACTTCGGTGACTCTGGAGCTCAGGAAAACCTGCAACGCATTGTTGCTCGCTTTGAGGAGTTCTTGAACGACAACTCAGCAGGCTTTGATGGTGCTGACTTCGTCGATGACTTTGAGACTGATTCTGATGTGGATGACGAGGAAGACGAAGATCCTGATAGTGAGGGAGAAGATAAAGATGCTTCTTTCAACGAGGAGGAATTCTCCCGCATGATGAAAGAAATGATGGGCATGCCATCATCATCAGATTCCATCCGCAAGCGAGTTGAAGAGCTCGACTCGGATGGAGAGGATGACACAGAGCAGATCAAGGAGCTTACTCGGCGCATGGAGGCCGAATTGCAAGGGACGGGGATCCTTGATCTAAAGCAACGTCAGCAGGATCTGACTCCTGGAGCCAGTGCCCAAGGCAAAGCCAGCACCTCGAAGTCAGACGACGTGGATGAAGACGACAACATTAATATCAACCTTGCCAAGAACTTGTTGGAGAGTCTCCAAGGCCAAGGGGGTGTGTCTGGTCCCGCCGGCAATATGTTATCGATGATGAACATGCGCATGCCCAAGGATGACCGCCCTTGAAAACTTCACTACACTATGCAATCCCGGGGACTGTTCCCCACGCTTTCCCTTCATCCCAAAGCCAGTCCATCCATATGTTACGGAATCTCACCAATTCCGATATTCAGCCCGCATGGTCTGCGATCTACCGGCACTACACTCCGGCAGCACAGCCAGCACTGGCATTTACCCTAACGGATGATCACGATCAGCTTCTGCGTCGTGGGCATCACTCGGTTACACATGTGACGAAACGGGTGACTCCCTAGGTAGGTATATTACCCGGCGTAGTCACGGGAAGAAAACGATTCCCATGCCCCGGCACCATCTACTATCAGGACTTTTGTAACCTCGGATGTTTGTCGCCGAACTCCTAGGAGTTCGAACCCCATGGAGCTCCGTTTCTGGCTTGCGCGGGTCTCACGCCCGGGCGTCTTACCAGGATGTCCGGTGTTTTGTCTAGGAAGGTGCCCAGTTCGGGGCTTGATCCACTCGTACATTCATACATAGGCAGTAGCTATGCGAAATTTGTTGGATATATGTATCGTACCTTGAAATCCGCGACGCTGGAAAATGAGGCTACTATGCGTTTCACAAAAGTACATGCGATCACCGATCAGCAATCTGGTACCTGATGCAGATTCCACGTGGAGTGTTTCAGTCTGTGCAGTAGTACTCCGTAGCAACTAGCAACTAGTAGTGAATAACTAGTGAGGACCTTAATTAGGAGTAAAGTATGGAGTCCGGAGCAATTAGGGTCAACGTCCTCCGAACCAGCGTACGATCACCTTCCCAAACGAGCCTCGGAAATGCAAAGTCAATTGCACATCTCCAGAAGTGGATTCAGGAACGTGTAAAGTGGAACAGAACCCCATTTAATCAGGGGCGCTAGAAGCCTCGGCAGTGGCGAACTTCGCGAGCCAGTCGCTTCAGACCCGTTTTAATCTACGCTTACCCGCTAAATCCCTCATATGAAACGGATTGCAAATCACTCCGAGACTAGAACGCTTTCCTTCTGTCCTATACTGTCCTATACTGTGCAGTCTACTATAGTATGTAGAATACCTACCTAGGTAGTATAATATTGCAGAATATAATATTGTAGAATATATTGTTTCTGTCCGGTCCCGGCACAACGAAAACGTCCAGTACTAGTTCCTACTTAAGTAACAATATTCCGAGTAGATCCAATAGAATGAGCAACAGCTCAGGGAGTATACTCCGGAAAGTGGATGACTCCACGACTCCAAATAGACAAGGTACAAGGGACTAGCCCTAGACGAATAAGCAAATCGGAGGGCTGGGAGGATCTGACACATGAAAAGAACATCCCTTGATAGATCAGAAGTCCAGACCTGAAATTAAATGGCGGCCCGATATTTTCTTTTTCTTTTCACCGTACTCCGTAGGGTAAAATTTACTGCCTAGGTACTCAAGGATAGAAGAGGACAGTACGGAGTAGAGTGCAGAAAGCAGATCATATGTACATAGTAAAATAAAATATGCGAGACAGATGGGTATTGCATACAAAGCCGGTGGAGCAGTGGAGAAGATCGATGGAAGAAAAGAACAAACTGCCGGTCTTCGCCCGAGACCTGTGGCGAGCCCCTTCGATGCTTTCCTATTTATCACATCTTCCTCCCTTCTCCTCTGTGTGGGACCCGCATACCAATATGCATTGCCATGTTTGAAGATGGATTTCATTGTCCGTATATGCCACTCTTGCGTTTCGTGGCCTCGCTGACCCTCATCTAGCTCTCGTTGACGCACTTCTGCGAAGTGCATGGGCCGACCTCCATCATCTGCTCCCAGGTCCTGCCCTTCTCCTGCCCACAATGCCATGAGGACTCCCCCCAGGGCACTCCCGTCTCCCAGGACCCTCGCCTGGACGACGCCCGCTCACCCAAAGCCGACTCCAAATCCCCGCGGATCGAAGATTCACCCTACTTCCTCCCACGCCCGGCTTCCCCCGAGGAGAAGTCCAGTCGCAGTGGCGCCAACGGGGATACCTGCGCCAGCTGCAGTCTATCCCTGCCCGAGGATGTCAGCCGACAACTGCCCCCCGGAGCACCCGGCAGTCGCGATGCCAAAGGGAACACCACCAGTCCCGTCCTGCGCTCCCGGGAGGTCGTCTTCTCCTGCGGCACCAGCCACTCAGACATAGATGACGAATGTGACTCCCACGCGCATGCCTCTCCCCCCGAATCCCTCCATTCAGCCTCCGTCGCCTCAGACGCCTCCTGTCACACCCACATCCACACCTACCTCTCGCAGCGGGGGCCACCGAATCCGGCCAATTATGCACTCCTCCGCCGATCCTCCATCCGCACCCTCAGCTGCGAATTGCTACCTCGCGGCCTTTCCTCCGGCCCCATCTGTTTCGGTGACTCCATCGCCGGTTACACCATTGCGTACATCTTCCGACTCCCGGATCCCATGGCCCGCGGCAAGCGTCGCAGCTACGCCCTAGTGGCCCTAGCCGGCCGCGACGCCGGAAGAGCCTTCCGCGCCTGCCCCATCATCTGGCGAGCCTTTGGCCGCATCGCGGCCAGCATCGTAAATGCCGCCGAGCGCTTCCAGGAAGACGAGAAGACCCGGGACGAGCAGAATAACCCGGGCCGACAGCCCGGCCGCCAATACCCGCCCGTGTCATCTTTCCTCACGGGTCGCGGGATGGATCCCGCTGGCCGACGAGCCGCGGGCCAGATCCGTGCGCGCAACCTGGCCGAAATCGTCGGCAACGAATACATCTTTACTGAGCTACATGCGCATTTCGTCGCATTACTCCAGCAGCTTGGGTCGATGTTTGGAGGCATCCCGCTAAACGAGGAGCGCTTCATCTGCAGCACGGTCGGTGACGAAGAACCTACCTCCGCTCAGCCGGTCCTAGTCTCCAAGACTCGATCGCCACAGGACGGTCAGAAATTCGACGGCGACGAGATTGATATGTCTAATCTTGAAATCTCCACTGGACCGAAAGCCATCCCCATCGCACCTCGTCGGCCGGTCATGGCATGAACTCTTTTCTTCTCATTTGCATCAACCTCTTATCGAGATACCCGCCTGCTTGCTTTTTGATTTCAGGCATTTCGCTTCTACCGTGTTCTTTCCATATTTGCTTTTTTTGCCCCTCATTTTCTATTTTCGAATCCGGTGCTTGTACACGATCTGGCAAGATGATACGGCACATTTTCACCTCATCCTGCACGCTTGACTTGGGTGCTTTCTATTCCCTTTTTCATCTTCCCTTTTCTTTTCGTTTTCTCGCGATATGGGTATGGGCATAGACATGGCGTCTTTACAGACACGGATCGGAGTTCTCTTTCTCTCACAGCCTTGCTTTTCTTTTCGGTGTCCTCTTTCCTTGGAATTCTCTTCGATCTTAATGTTCAACGACTCACACTTTGGGACTGCCGCTTATGCTTGGATGTCGCAAATGCAGATTCGCCAAGAGATATGTTTTATGTATTATCCGAACACGTTTCTATCCATGGATCAGCCATCTGGTTATTTTCGTTAAACAGCTCGGTCTTGTAGTCTGTTCATGTGGTATACCCGCGCCCTCGTAGACACCGAAGTAGCTTTGGAACACTATACTCAATAAGCCCGATTATTGCCCGCAGTCTCAGACAGGCAGCTGCAATCTTATATGCCATGACAGTCTATTCGACAATCCGGTTTCAATGATATCCAGGCAATCAGTCGAGTCCACCTGGCAGGGTCGCGATATAGTCCGGAACAACATTGCTCCCGAGTTAATCCGAGGCGGGCACAGTGCCACAATCCAAAAAATCAAAAAGAGAGATACAAAGCAAATACAAAGCAAAGACACCACCTCCCACCTCCCTCCAGCAACATCAAAATGGTCGCCTTCGACAAGTGTGAGACCCGGCCGGCCCATATTGAGACCATTCTCAATGGCCTCGACCGATACAACCCCGAGACCACCACCACCTTCCAGGACTATGTCTCCCAGCAGTGCGAGGACCGGACATTCGACTGCTACGCCAACTTGGCCCTGCTGAAGCTGTAAGTTGGGCTCTTTTCCTTTCCTTGCCGCGCGATTGCTTCAATATGTATCCACATGATGGTCTGCTCGATCCTCCACACCTTGGAAAATGTCAAGAACATCTGTGAAGATCCCAGAAGCAAAGCCATTGCACGAGAAATCCACCCCATCAGTCCCTCAAGCAAAAATCCAGCGAACGCCACAATTCCATGAACCCAGCTAACCCACCCCAGCTTCCAATTCAACCCCCACCTCCTCCAAGCCGACACCGTCACCAACATCCTCGCCAAGGCCCTGACCGTGTTCCCCTCCCCCGCCTTCTCGCTCTGCCTCGCCCTGCTCCCCCCAAGCACCCAGCCCTTCCCCAACACCGACGCAGCCCAAGCCGCCTCCCAGCAATCCGACTTCGTCGAGTCCGTGCAGAAGCTCACCCGCCTCTCCACCCTCCTCGAGTCCGCCCAGTACACCCAGTTCTGGTCCACCCTGAACTCGGACGACCTGTACGCCGATCTGACCGCGGACGTCGCAGGCTTCGAGGAGCTCGTCCGCATCCGCATCGCCGTCGAAGTCGGCAAGACCTTCCGCTCCATCACTGCCGAGAACCTCGAGTCCTGGCTCGATGTTCGCAGCCGCGAGGCCCTCGACAAGTTCGTCGTTGATGTCTGTGGCTGGACTGTTGATGGTGCCGTCATCCGTGTGCCTACCAACAAGGAGAACGAGGCTCGCTCCGAGGTCAAGAGTGAACACGTTGGTATTGAGCAGTTTGGTCGTGTCATTCGTCGTGGCTTTGAGCTTCCTGCATAAATGTTGAAAATGGGGGGACTTTTTGATGATTGTTCATGTGTTCTTTCTCGTTGTTTGCACTAAAATATGTGTGCGAGGGAAGATTTCGATTTCCGTTCATGACATGAGTCCATGATTTCCATCCTTGATTTTGAGTCTCGGGCTTCGACTTGGGTGATAGATTTCGCATGAAGGAGGGGCTCGGTGATGAGTCGGGACCTGGCGCTTTGGGAGTTCATATCTTTCTTTTTTTCTTTTTTTTTCTCTCTACTTCTCTTGTCTGTATTGGATTCCAATTTTTTTAACCTTCCGTGCTTGTTGCACTGGATGACGGGAGACAGAGATGTGATGTTTATACCTTAACAGAACACTAAGCTGGTCCTCTATGTAGGGCTGGTTTTGCTGCCAATATCAAAAAAATCATACAGAGCTATTTACAATCGAATATAGTAGGGATACCTATATTCCTATGCTTAGGTGTAGATGTAGACACCAACTCATTATAAACTGGCAACACAATAACCTCGCAAACAGCATCGTAAATTTTATATATGTTCTCGAAACAATCTACAACTCCGACCTATGTACGTGAGCAAATCTTCCCCTTCCATGCAAAGATTCAAGCTACACAACGTCTATTTCATCTCCTCCCATTGCACACCAGCCCATTCCTCTCGCCAGCCAGTAACGCCCAGTTCCTGGGGTGCGCAATCCTTAGAGCAAACACCCATGATGATAGTGCCCCATTCCATACCTGCGTCATCCTTGCCAAGTCCAACGCCAGCGCGGCCCTCCTCAAGCATGCTGATAGCATGCGGCACAAGCTGGAACTCAAAGACACGGTGACTACCACAGTACTCGCAGGAAGGAATGCTACCGGCACCAATGGTGCTAACCTTGGTACCGGGGTCTGTGTTGACATGCAGACGAGAACCGATAGCATCAACGGTCGAGTAGAGGAGGGGTGCGCCGCGGTATTCGTAGCGCAGGACTTGTTCCGGGTTGTGGGAGAGACGAGTGGAGAACTTCATGAAGGCCTTGTCGAGCTCGGACTCGAAGGTATCCTTTAGTTCGGCGCCACCGGCGCCTTCCTCTTCCATTGGTTCCATCTGGACATTGTCCGGGACTGTGGGCGTTGAAGGGCGTGAGATGGTCTCGTATTCGGCGTCTAGGTAGAAATTCTTATACGGCGCCGGGAAGGCGGACTGCTCGGGCCATGGGGCTGGAGTCGATGACTCGGGCGCTTGCTTGGTGGGTGCCGAGGGAGGGGGCGAGGAAACGCGAACTTTGTCGGCGAATGATTCGGCCAGTTTGGTTTCTGTGGAAGCGGGCTTCTCGACTGGTGCGGGGGTTGACGAGACGGGTGTTGCGAATGGGTTGTTGCCAGCTGGTGCGGGGCCCGAGGAGAATGGGTTGGAGTTTGCGGAGATGTTGCTTGTCAGGTTTGTTGCGCCGAACAGGCTGGCGCCCAGGTCTTGTTTGGGTTGTTCGGGGACGCTAGGTTTGGGGGCTTCCTCTTTTGGTTCTTCTTGCTTTGGGGCACCGATGGTGACTTTGCGCGATGCGCGGAATGCTCGAATACTGCCTGGCTTGCGGTTACAGGGTTTTCTGGGACATCCGAATACGTAGAGGCGTCTTTCGTTGGTGGGGAAGTGATCGGGCAGATCGCCGTGCAGTTCGAGGAGCAGCAACATCGGAGAGTTGCACACTTTGCAGTTGGCGAAGTCGCCAGGGGCAGGAGAAGCGTCGTCTAGCCATTTCTATATAGGGTTCCAGTGGTCAGTCGCAATTTCGTACATCGTACGGTAGAACATACTGGATGGCCTCCAAGATGGCTGATTGTATCCTCGATGAGTTCCTCGGCGGCATATCCTAGAAGCACACCGGTATCATCGAAGTCTTCATCTCCGCTGGAGTCACTGTCGTAGGGATCCATGGTGCAATTGCTGAGGGGAAGGGTTGGGTATTGAATCTGCAAAAGACCCCTCGTTCAAAAAATTGGCGATAAGCGATATGGGATTGCGCTAGTCCATAACGGGTTAGGCTGATATATGACGGTATCGACATCTCCGCCCTGACTTCACATGTTCCTGTAGCTGATATCCAGCTGTCCGAGGTTTCATCCATCGAGACTTCTGATCTATCTATCGAGTCATCTATCCACTGTAAGACTCGATATTGACAGCATGGCGTCGACTCATCGACCAGGATCCTTCTTGTTATATTACCTCCTCTCTATCCTACTGCTCTCTGTCTCCAATGCAACAGAGCAGCAACCCCTTCGGGGAGCCCTAGATTCAAATCCCAAGCGTGTTGCCATAGTCGGTAGGTATATCAATGACAAAGGGCAATTTACATTCCAGTCTAAACTTTCCTATAGGCGCTGGAGCTGGAGGCTCGTTCGCAGCGTATGAATTGCGCAAGCTTGCCGCTGAGACAAAAACTCCTGTCGAAATTACCGTTTACGAACGTGAATCCCATGTCGGTGGCCGCTCAACTACAGTAAATGCATTCGACGACCCGGCCTATCCCATCGAGTTGGGCGCTTCGATCTTCGTCCAGGTCAACTATAACTTGGTCAACGCATCCCGTGACCTAGGCCTGAACGTATACAGTGCCGACCATGCGCGGCCGAAAGAATCCGACGATAGTATCGGAATATGGGATGGCTCGCAGTTTGTTTTCTCGCTGGGCAACGGCTATAGCTGGTGGAACATTGGTCGGCTATTTTGGCGGTATGGAATGGCACCATTGCGCACCAAGAAACTGGTCAAGGGTACTGTTGGCAGATTCTTGCGGTTATATCAGAAGCCTTTCTTTCCTTTCAGTTCCCTTTCTGATGCTGCTGCTGCCGCGAATCTGCTAGATTCCACTGCATCTTCGGGCGAGCAGTTCCTTCACGCGAACGACGTGGACTCTCTTTTTGCGAGAGAGATCATCCAAGCCAGCACTCGAGTCAACTATGGTCAAAATTTGCAGTTGATTCATGGCTTGGAGTCCATTGTCTGCATGGCTACTGACGGAGCCGTCTCGATCGAGGGTGGAAACTGGCGCATCTTCGATGGCGCACTGAAAGCTTCTGCTGCCGATATTAGGTTGAATACCACGGTCACTGGCATCGTTCGTAATGAAGATGGCTCTGCTTCCCTCTCGTCAAAGTCGAATACTGCTACCGAGCAGACTCACGAGACCTTCGATGAAGTCGTCATTGCTGGGCCTTTGCAATATTCTGATATCTCTATTCAACCATCCTTGGAACACACTCCGGATATCATCCCATACGTGAATCTTCACGTCACTCTGTTTGCGTCTCCTCACCGCATTTCACCAAAGTACTTTGGTCAGGACTCGAACAGTCAAGTGCCAGAGACGATTCTAACAACCCTCCCCGAGGGGCTCGATCTAGGATCAAATGAGGCCGGTGTTGGCCCCAGTGGATTCTGGAGTATCAGTACACTTCGCACGGTTGATCGTTCTGAATCCGAAGACACCCAGCAGCATTATGTCTATAAGATCTTTTCACCAGAGCAGCCGACTGCCGGGTTCATTGCCGCTATCCTCGGTCTGAACGACGAGACCGTGGATAAGGATGGATCCATTGGAGACCTCTCAAAGAGCGACGTCAGCTGGTTCCACGAGAAAATGTGGAATCCATACCCTGTTCTATACCCCCGGGTCACATTCGAGGAGACTCTCCTAGCCCCTGGGATCTGGTACACGGGTGGGATCGAAAGCTTCATATCAACAATGGAGACAAGTGCACTTATGGGCCGCAATGTGGCCACACTCATGTTCCAGTCGTGGGAGAAGAATGGACTCAAGTCTGACCATGGTGCTGGGTCCAGGGCCAAGACCGAGCTTTGATGTCATTCAATTACGTCCTAAGTGTGCAGTCATCAATGAATTTATATTCTACCGGGTCTACATCATCCAGCCCTAACCTGTGGCCCTCTGAAGCAAAAACTCACCCCGGGGGTTGCCCCCCAAGGCTACAAACCCGCAGGTTTCCAGGAGCCGCTGCCAACCAGTGGTATGCTGGATGGTTTTTCCTACTTCCTCCCGGAAGGTAGGTGCGGTTTAGTCTCCCCCGATTTGGAAAACCGGAGCTCGGGCTTGCTTTAATGCGGCAGTGGAAAATGAAGCATTTAACCACTGAGCCACTCACCCTCGCGTACTAAGAATCGGCCCCAACTTGATTTAAATACCCCTGCCAAGTCGCGGGTTCGAGGCGAGAGAAGCGTTTCCGGGGGCCCCACTATAAGTTGGGCTCTATCGGGAGGTCATATGCTTAATTTGACCTCAACGAATTTTGAGCACCACTTGAATCGTGAAATCTTTTTAGATTCTTATTTGAAAGTCGGAATATGTGAGCTTGTTGAGGTGTGAAGCCTTTCACGCGTACCTTCCTTCTGCTCAGGTGCTGGCTTCCTCCAGGCTCGCGCCAGACCACACGCGCCGGATTCATGTGGACCAACTGACTTGGGGGATTGTACATACATCTAACCAACTACCTGGGTAAACAATGGTGGGTATGATTGATCTATAAGGTCCTTGGAAATAAAAATAAACCGAGTTGTCGATTTGGTGAAGTATATATCGTGGTGGTTGTGCTAAGGTGCTCACGTGTCAGCGGGTAGAATATATAACCACTCAACTTTAAATAACCTTACTTCAGACCCATGAACGTTCTCTTGACCTACATGCTCCACTTAATTCCACCCAAGGATTTTGAACTAAGCTCGCCGCTCCTCAAATTTCGTCACTTCTAAGGTTCCAGGGTTGGAAGGCGTGCCGCTCGAAGCGTCTGCACTTAGGTGAAAATATGATGGCATTTATTTTTTGTACAACGTGATAATTACTGTCTATCTCAGTAATCTGCCTCACTCTCACTTCCAGGGTATGCCTTCTTCCGCAATTTCCAAAGCGACTTCTCTCGTCGTGCCGCAACTTCACGCTGATGCCGACTGTTATCCTCCACAACTGTCATCCACGGAACATTACTCGCCCGTCGTACTCTCTCCCGCAGCAGCGCAAGCGTTCTAGTATGTTTAGATGATTCGGATCCATCACTACCGCCGGAGCCACCGGCCTTCTTCTGGCCAGATGTGGACTCCTGGTAACGTCGCTCAGCGGCCCGAGCGGCATGGTACTCCTCACTGATCGCCCAATTCGGGTTATCCAATTGGCCGCGGACTAAGACAAGGCTGTGACCTTTCTCGATAGAGCGTTGTATGTAGGAGGGAGGAATCGAGGTGGATAGTTCGAGCTTGTGTGAGCTTGTATCGATCGAGCGAACCAAAGCCAGACCCAGGCAATGAGACATTCTGGGGTCTAGCGGAGTACAGCTGCCAGACCCAACGAAGAGGTAAGGTAGGTCTTCTTGAGTTCGAACAATGTTGTCCGCCATGGAGCTTTGGATGCTTGTAGCAGCTGGGTTCTCCGAGTCCATGTCAATATCAAAACCAGAGCCATCCCCGTCTTGTTCTTCATTTGGTGCATCAGGTGGGGCCATTCCGCCCATCAAGGCTCTTGGTGATTCCACTGCCACAAGGCCTACAATAGCACCTTCAAGCGTTTCATGCAATAGATCAGGGTTAATCTGAGATCCCATCACCATGACGCCTAAAATTCCCTGACGTGGACCGTTATAATCCACAGTCAAGGGTCGGGTGCGCGAAAGAGGCTCCTCTGACCAGAGAGAGCTGCCAAGATCGGTTGGATGAGACATGTGGAAGTAGGACTGAATCTGCATAGCGCGTAGCTGAGCGCTAGATCGACTCACAAAGTCGGTTGGCTGAGAAGGCAGCACGGTCAAAGGAACACGAGCTTCGCGAGCTGCAAGACCCAATGGTTCGATAACCTCCGATGGGCCCTTTTCGCTCATGTAAACAACATCGGAAAGACCTAGTGATCTGACCAACCATGTTGCAACCTCTAGACCTTGTCCAAAGATCCAGCCAGGATAATTGATGATGAGAGGACATTGAGGATACTTTTCCAACAATGTGCGATATTGTTCCATGAGATCCATGACAGCCAGTGCATAATGATCAGGGTCTTCCTTTGGTGACGCTGCGCCGATATGGTGCGCACGCACTATTTCACCGCCATGGGAATCGTCAAGCGACGGATGTGTGAATGGTGGACCGAAGAATGGATTGCGCAGACGGGCAAGATAGACTTGGCCCATAGCGGTGAATTCAGGCTGCCCTGGGTCTAGATCTAGGAAAGCGACCCCGTCTGTGTTCACATATCCACCCTCGGTTTCAGGTGTTGGGCTGAGCACATGGTTCAGCAAGTAGCGACTGAATGTAGATTTTCCAGAGGCCTTCGGGCCACAGACTAGAACGCGTAGTTGGCCTTGACGCTGTGAGAGACCTTTCATTGAGGCACTCCACTTTTTGTCGAGATGAAGTGGACGGAGATGTCTGTTTAATGAATCATCTGCCGAGGTATATAGCTAATGAGCTGATTAGCCGTGGATCCTAATCGGGAATGTAAGGAAAACATACTACTGAGAAAGACCGCTTCGAATCTTTGGGGGCACTTTGGAGTGTGGCTTTATCTGCTGTAGTGTTCTCGCCAGTCCAAATTCTTTGGTAAAGAGGCGACAGGTCCTGGAGGTGAGAAAGCCCGCTGTTGCAGGACTTGATTTCAACCTCAGCCTCTCCGTCAGTCCCAGAGACGCATTTAATGACCGGTAATGAGTGAGTCGACGGGGCGTACACTCGGTGCAATTGCGAAGAGGCATGCAGCTTTGCGCCCATCAGACTCACAACACCTCTTTTGACCCAGAGATCGTATTGGCCCAACAATGCCAGGTTCTGCGAGCCGTCAGTTATGTGATTGTTATATAGTCAGGTAAAGACGTACTGTTCTCTCCTTGATCCGAATGCAAAGGGTGCTTTCGTCACTGTAGACGATATTGCTTTTGTTCAAACGAACTTTCGACAAAGAGAAATTTTGCAATTCCGCCGGTGTTTCTGCGGGGGATTCATATCCATCGGCATCGCCTACAACAGAAGCGACCTCGTTCTCGTCCATTTCTTCATTGTTCTCAATTGTGTCTGTGGCGACCTGCTCGGCGTCGGAAGCGTCCTGGGAAGATTCCTCCTCTTTTTGACTTTCGCGAGAGGACTGTGTTGATCTTGTCGCATGCTTTGGCGAATCCTCCACAGGCAATTGCTTGTCTTGCTTCTTTGTTGCCCTTGTTCGTGAACTGCGGCGATCTCCACCCGTCTCTGCGGTCTCAACCGCATCGAGAGATCGCCGTGGCTTCTTTGATGGCGGCTCGCTTTCCACTACAGGCGCAGGGGCAGCCTTGGGCGCATCTTCGCTTATTGCCTGCTGCTGCCGGGCTCTGCGCGCCGCCAAAGCAGCAACTGCGCTAACAGGACCTGAAGAAGCGATCATGTAAGCTTCAGTGTGAGTTTTTGGGAGAACAAGGAGATTTACCAGCTGACTGCGGCTTTTCCACCTTTCGCTTGACCATGATAAACAACAATTGACGTCCTTTGGTCTGAAATGATGCTTGGGGAAAAACCACCACTTCGATAATGCGGTGTTAAGCCGATAAGCCAAAAAAGTTGACCCGTGGTCCGTGCTCCCGCGGAGCAAAAAAAAAAAAGATCGGCCGTTGAACTTCGACATTGTCACTCCTCGGACCAATTCTTCTTGCGAAATTGGACTTCCTGTGAACCCAAGGATACTCGACAAGGGGTTGTTATTTCCTCTGTTTCATAAAACCACCGAAACTTTAGTGTGCCCGCGCCGCGCATCCTGGGGAAGCACCGATCTTGCCCTCCGCCGACATCTCAAATAGCCGCCATGGCGTCCGATAGCGACAGCAGCTCCAGCAGGTCAACCTCGCCCGAGCCCAAGACCAAGCAGGAGAAGAACTTGAAGAAATCCGTCAAGGCAGAGGAATCAAGCGAAGATGATACCTCGGACTCGGGTTCATCTTCAGGCTCGGACTCGGATAGCGACTCAGAAAGCTCCGATGAAATGAAGGTCGATGAGCCGGAAAAGAAGTAAGCGATCGGAATATGTATCAGACTAGGGTTTGACTAACAAATGCGCCATTAGGATCGCCATTTCCGGCCCCCAACCATACAAAGCTCCAGTGGGCTTCAAGAGTGCGAAGAAGCAGGCCCCTCCATCATCTAAAACATCCTCCCTTCTGTCGAACCTTGACGGAAAACAAATATTCCACATCACAGCACCTGCATCTGTCCCATTGTCCGAGATCAAAGAGGTGTCTATGGCCAAGCTGATGCAGGGCGAACCGATCATCACCCACGGAGGCGTGAACTACGGCATCCCCGCTGAGGCCTTCTCCGAGGCCGAGCCCGCAGACAAATCGCTACTTATCTTTGATGAGAAGACGCAAAAATATCGCACCGCGACTACCAAAGTTCCCAGCTTCCATGTCCAGGAATTAATTGGTCTTCCGAGTGTATCCAAAAAGGCCGATGCTGCTGTCGCAAAGCTGCGTGAATACGTTAAGCCGGCCAGACCCCAACCAAAGAACCTCAAGATGCGCTTCCGACCCGTCGGAACTGCCCGCGCGCCCCCAGAGACTCTTGGCTCTAGCTCGGAATCAGAAGCCGAGGCACCTTCATTCAAGGTTCTCAAGGGAGAGGAGCGCAAGAGAAAGCTCTCTCACACTGACACTGAGGGTGACGCGCCCCAAGTGGCAGCCCTGCCCCGGAAGAAGTCGAAGAAGCACTCACAAGGAGAAAAGGGAGACGATGAGCAGAGCCAGAAAAAGTCCAAGAAATCCTCCAAGGACAAGGAGGATAAGAAGCGGAAGAAGTCTACCAAGGCTTGATTTTTCTTAAAATAGCGATTTGATTTAACGATGTCCTCATATGTACAATCTACAACCTTTTCCTGCAATATCCATGATTTGACATGATCATAGTGTTGAGGGGTTGACATGTCTTGCTTACTAGTGTGATCTAGTGGCTCTAATCTTGGAAATTGGATCGTGATATAGGTAGCGAGAGGCTACAACTGGTCTGATATTCCAAGGTTCCAAGTTGTGTCTACTTAGTAGCTCAAGTACATTTGGGAGCCAGAAAGGGTAAGTACAACACCTGGGTATACAAGGAACTTCTATACTATTTAGACGACTGCCACTGTAATACACAGAAACAAAGAGCATCCTGTCGATGTACAATCGATGCTGTCCACATCTTCTATGTATCACCCGGACACTCGGAGATATTAACATATTTCTGATCAACATTAGCCTCATTTAACCCCAGATGCTTGTTGTATGCTGATCAAACCATCCCTATTTCATGTTGAAGGCATCCATATCAGATAAAAACCTTGACTCGCTCTCACGAAAGGAGAAGAGGATGATATCTCCATTTTACTGTGGAGCACACCATCAAGCCGACTACCTAGGTATCTAACATTCGAACGGTCCGGGGATGATCTACGAAGGCTTGGCGCTGAGATAATCTCCATAAAGTCATCAGATCACCTGATTGGCGATATCATCACATGCGGAGAGATCCAGGTCCCCTTCATTCTGCTTTTTGGTTCCCTGATTCCCGAGTTTCTCCAAAGCCACTGAACAGCTGTACCTATCCATGGTGTCTGGTTAACGGAATCCTGGAATCTCAAACCTGCTCTCTTTGATAGCTCCATATCGGGCTCAAAGCGCTTATCGGCCTAGACCCTACCCCGTGCGTTGTTCACCTTTGCTAGTCACCTAATCATCTGACCGGTTACTATGACAAAGTCACTTGCAGACTGTTTGCTCTCCTTGATGTGTCTTAGTCCTGTTTGACTGGTGCAGCCATACCTGATCGTCATAGTCCTATCAGCACCGAGCTGTCACCTGGCTCGAGCTTCTGACTGCCCAACCGGTACTGGCGATTCACCGCACCATATCATTCACCGTCCTTCCTAGCCTCCATCTCCGTATTAGACACCCTGTTTCGGGATATTGAAGACAATATGGGACCGTCAAGGGACGACACCAAACGCCGGGCAGACCGGCAGCTGAGCGCAAGTATGAGACCTACCTCAGACAGCCGTCCGCTTTCAGATCGTGTCCCAGCTCGATTCAGAGATGGGGATGATGCCCAAATCGACTTCACAGCCCCACCCCAGGGTATTGGTTCGCGGGACGGCAACGTGCATTATATGCAGCAGTCACTTTTCTCAATGATTGCGGCGGTGGGATCCAAATCAGACTTCCATGCTCGTTTCGAAGAGTCAAGCGACAGTGATGGCGAGCCGGAGATTCCTTCGCAGACGCATTCAAGGGACGAGAAACCATACTCTGCGACGCCAAAACCTCAGCAAGATCCACGTGTGCCTATGCAGAAGCCAGGAACAAAATATTTGGAGGATGCGGAAAGAGGACGTCGTCACCAAAGGGCAAGATCAGATAACAAGCTCTCGCACACGGTATCACAGCTGGGTCCGCATTTCGAAGCGAAAGAGTCATCAAGTTCAGGCGGACCGCTTCTTACCCTACCTTTGCGGCGAGCCCGAAGTGCAACACCACGAGCAGCTCCTGTTTTAAGTCGTATGGTCGAGGCGCAGACAGTATTTGACTCCGCCACAACACCCCGCTCGCCATCAAATCCACGCCCTATCCCAGCAGATCAGCCTCACCCTTCTGCATCCGCTTTATCTACGCGGCTAATGGAGATGTTTGGATTTGAGAAACCGGAAAAGGTCTTGGTTGAGTATGCCTGCTCGCTTCTTCAGAGCATGCTTCTCCAAGGATACCTTTACGTGACCGAAGGCCATATCTGCTTCTATGCCTACCTTCCGAAGAAGTCCAACGTTGCGATCAAATCGGGGTACTTATCCAAGTCCGGTCGCAAGAACCCTAGATATGACCGTTATTGGTTCGCGCTGAAAGGTGATGTCCTTTCGTACTACGACGATCCTTCGAAATTATATTTCCCAAGTGGCCATGTAGATCTTCGATATGGAATCTCTGCGTCACTTGCTGAGCGCAAAGACAGCGAGGTCAAGGAATTTCAAGTCACTACCGACCAGAGAACCTATTACTTCAAAGCCGAAAGTGCGACCAGTGCGAAGGAATGGGTCAAGGCTCTCCAAAAGGTCATTTTTCGAACCCATAATGATGGCGAAAGCATCAAGGTGTCATTTCCTATCGCAAATATCATTGACTTGGAAGAGAGTCCGATGGCCGATCTCGCCGAAACATTCAAGATTCGAGTTCTAGACAGTGGGGAATCTTATGCGATTGACGAAGTACGTTCCACATTGAACATCTATCGCAGACTATGCTGACCAAATTACAGTACTTTTTCTCTTTCTTCGAGTCGGGACAAGACGCATTCCGCTATATCAAAGGATTGGTGACTGCGTCATCGATCAACAACCCCAAAGAAGAAGGCTTAGGCTTGCGAGGTTCTCCAGATATGGACGATGCACGTGAATCAAGTCGGATCGCCCACAAAAGACTGTCAGTCAGCAGTGTTCGTGCTCCAGATCAAAGGAAGGATGATTCACTGCCAAAGCGAAGCTCTAGTGCTGGGAATGAAATCCAAGACTCGGCTGATTCGTTCGCCGAACCTGGGACTGGATCATCACCAATCGTCCAGTCGATGACAGAAACCACCGAATCCGCCAGCCAAATATTGAACCGCAGCGATGTTTTCCAATCACCTACTATGCGTAACCTTCAGAGGCGGTCACCCGATGCGCGAGAGACCGTTCAACGTTCTTCTGATGATACGACCCCTTCCGCCTCGACGCGCTTGGACCTGGACGGAGTTGGAAACCGCACACGACCTAATAATCCAGCGACTGCAGGCTATGACACCGACCAGGTTAATCAAATGCAGACATCGGCACCCAGTTCAACTGGCCATCTGAATGAGCTCGCTAAGGCAGGCGCTTACCCTCTTCAACGCGCTGCTGGCTTGGCAGGATACTTGAAAAGCCGATCAAGGCAAATGAGCAGTTTGCTGGCAACCGAGTCCATGGGATATATAGAAAAAGTCTCTGGTATGTGGACTGGAAGCCAAAAGCATTATGGAGAGCGGGAAGGGCCATTGCTTGAGGATCAAAATGTTGATCCCGATGATAAGGAAGGTGACTTCAACTACGGGGATCGCTTCCGTGCTCACTTTGCCCTTCCGCCAACCGAACGGCTGCAGGCGACGTATTTCGCCTACCTGCACCGTGTTCTCCCACTCTATGGTAAGATCTATATAAGTCAGAGGAAGCTATGTTTCCGCAGCTTGCTTCCTGGGACCCGAACCAAGATGATCTTGCCTTTCAAAGACATCGAGAATGCCGAGAAGGAGAAAGGGTTCCGTTTTGGCTACCATGGTCTCGTTGTCATCATTCGAGGTCATGAAGAGCTGTTCTTCGAATTTCGTGAGACAGGCTCTCGAGATGACTGTGCGGTAACCCTGCATCAGAACTTGGAGTCTGTGAAATATCTTGTCGAATCTGGCTTGCTAGCCGAGGAAGAGCGAGAAGAGGTTGAAGCTGCCAAGGCCGAGCACCGCATGCTTGAGGAAGCGAGATTGGACCATCCCGAGGATACTGATACTCGCCAGTCCCTCACTGAGGACTCATCAGAAATCCATCCTTTCTTTGATGACCCTCGTGCTTCTATCATCAATTTCAAGCCAGCTGGGCCTCTCAGGATCACCTGTTTGACGATCGGCTCTCGGGGTGATGTTCAGCCATACATTGCGCTTTGCAAAGGACTGCTCGCAGAAGGCCACAAACCCAAGATTGCTACTCATGCCGAGTTCGGGCCTTGGATCAGGAAACACGGCATTGACTTTGCTCCGGTTGACGGTGATCCCGCAGAGCTGATGCGCATCTGCGTGGAGAATGGGATGTTCACAGTTTCCTTCCTCAGAGAGGCCTCATTGAAGTTCAGAGGATGGATCGATGACCTGCTGTCATCGGCCTGGAGGAGTTGCCAAGACAGTGACCTTCTGATCGAGTCCCCGAGTGCCATGGCTGGAATCCACATTGCAGAGGCATTACGAATCCCTTATTTCCGCGGTTTCACTATGCCATGGACGAGAACACGCGCCTATCCGCATGCCTTCGCGGTGCCGGAGAATCGAATGGGCGGAGCGTACAATTACATCACGTACGTCATGTTCGACACGGTTTTCTGGAAAGCCATCGCAGGCCAGGTCAACCGCTGGCGGGCCAAGGAGCTAGGATTGAAGGCTACCACCCTGGACAAGATGCAGCCGAACAAAGTTCCCTTCTTGTATAATTACTCACCTTCTGTCGTGCCTCCACCACTTGACTACCCAGATTGGATCCGTATCACCGGATACTGGTTCTTAAACGAGGGCTCGGATTGGTCTCCGTCTGCCGAGCTATCGGACTTCATCAAACGTGCCAGAGCAGACGGTAAGAAGATCGTGTATATTGGATTCGGATCCATCGTTGTTTCGGACCCTGCTGCCCTGACACGGACTGTTGTTGAATCAGTCCTCAAAGCCGATGTTCGTTGCATCCTTTCCAAAGGCTGGTCCGATAGGCTGGGTGACCCAGCCAGCACCCGAACCGAGATCCCTCTTCCTCCGGAGATCCACCAAATCCAGTCTGCTCCGCACGACTGGCTATTCTCTCAGATTGATGCTGCAGCACATCACGGTGGGGCCGGAACCACTGGCGCCAGTCTTAGGGCTGGTGTCCCCACCATCATCAAGCCATTCTTCGGGGACCAGTTCTTCTTTGGTGGTCGCGTGGAGGACCTTGGTGTTGGCATTTGCATGAAGAAACTGAATGTCAGTGTCTTCTCGCGTGCTCTGTGGGAGGCCACACACAGCGAACGCATGATTGTCAAGGCACGCAATCTAGGTATCCAGATTCGTAATGTGAGTTTACCCCGGCATTCTTCCATTACGAACACAGCAACTAACATGCTTCTCTGCCCAGGAGGACGGCGTGGCCACTGCAATTCAGGCCTTGTATCGCGACCTTGAATACGCCAAGACATTGGTGCGACAAAGATCGAGGGCCTCATCCACCCCCTTCTCTCCTACCCCCTCGGCCAAGGATTCCCCCGATGGAGGCGAGGATGACCTCGACGACATCGAAGAGTGGACCTTCGTCGGCGACGAGGGGGGTATTGATATTACCAAGCGGATGCGTGATCGAGCTGCTTCAGACGCCGATAACATGACATCCGGATGTTCTAATGATTTCTTTTGAGTTGGGTTGATAGGTCAGCATCTCATTCCCTTCGCCGGGATTTCGGTATTTTTTGCCTTGCTTTTCCCTTTACTTTTGTTGGAATTGGCCTGTTCACGAGACATGATTTGCATTTGCTTCGTTCTTCATGCATAGGCGCTTCTATGAGACCATCAGCTGCAGGTTTACGGTTTATTGCGTTCTTTTAATATCCTTGCTTCAATGCTTCTCCATACTCATGCTTGGTATGCTTCAGTTATTTTGATTCGACATTGTACCCGTTCAATGACAGAACTTCAGGCGGACAATACCCAATAATAGATCCATATGGAATTGGTTACATTTCTATTTCATGATATATTCATAAAAGCCCCCTAAGCACCACCAGGGCGCTTCTCGTCGTCTCCCTTGCCTTCGGCCTTGTCTTTACGTCTTTGCACGACGTCCCAGTTGTACACACGTGCCGTGGCGACTTCCAAAGTCTGCAATAGTACACAAGTTAGCAGCAATTCGCAACAAGTTCTAGTTATATACGAACCGTAATCTGTTCACGCAAGAATTCCAAGTCCTCTTCGCAGTTCTTCAAGCTTTGTTCAGCTCCAGAAAGCTTCTCATCCAACATGCTCTCGGCTTCGCCGAGCGGGTACGCCAACATGACATTCGCACCAAGCCAGAGATAGACTTCCTCCGCGTCAGCGGGCGAGATCGAAGCCCGAGCGTAGAGTGTATCGTTCAATTCGAAGTTGGTCTCGAGGTCGGCCTCAGTGTTCGACTAAGAAGGCATTAGATATCACATTGCATGTAGTTCCGAAACGAAGAAAAGCATCGCAGACAAGAGCCTGGGTTCAATTACCTCTTTGCGCAAGACCAAGAATCGCACCATCTCCAGAGTCTTTCGAATATCGGGGATCTTCTCGCGCAGTCCCTGGCCGCGGCGCTGGGCGTTCACCTCCATGAACTGGTACTTGGAGATCATTTCCTGGAATCGGCGGAGAGTGGGCTCGACATCATCGCGAGATGAGACGTAGTCGCTCACATTGTCGATAAATGGTGCGACGGGAATACCGCGCGGGTTGGTTTGTGTTGTTACCGTGCTTGGAGGGGTTAGTTGGATTTCTCCTCATCAGAAAAACAAATCGGATCCGATTGAAGACAATTCGCGTCAACGTACCTTTTCTTTGCGTCCGCCATGATTGAGTGTGCAGAGTGAAGATGACGATGTGGGGGAAGCGGGAGCTTAACTGCCACTTTTTTTTGGCGTCGCTGTCCGCTCTTATCTCCCCTACGCTGCGACACTGCGACACTCTACGGACCAGACCAACAATTCCCACCATGGTCCTCCTGGTAACGACAGATTGCATCCTTGCCGCGTTCGAAGCTGTTCCGGCTTCGCGTCGCGAGGAGCTAGATCTACCTTCAACGCTGGAAGTAAATGGGCCGATAGCCCATGATCAACTGATCCGACTCGCGAAACACCTACAAGCAGACACAGAATACAAAGAACAAAACACCCACAAACCCACAATATTGAGCTCTCTTCTGCGCGGAACAACAGTTTACGTGCCTCCGCCCCCAAAGAAGCCAGAACCGGTACGTTCTAAACACCCGCTCAATCCATCCCCGATTCCATTCGTTGCTTGCGCCCGCCCGAACCAGAAGCTAATCCTTGAATGTAGAGCGCCGAATACCTCGCCTCAAAAGCCCGTCTCCTCGCTGCCTCAGAGCAGATCTCTTACAACCGCCTCCTAGATCCATCCTACAGGCCGGGCCCCGAGCACGCGGATCCATACTCATCACCCTACACGAGCGCCAGCTCAGAAGAGGATACCTTGACGATATCGCTCGTGTCCAGTATCTTCATATCCGTGCTGGTCACCGGGTTTGCGGTGTACGGGGCACTGACCAAGTTCTCTGCGCCGGATGTAGTGGCACAATGGTTTGCGTCGAGTGGGGATGTGTCTGATTTGCAGAGACAGGGCGCTGGGGAGGCGGTGAGGGTGTTGTTTGCGATCTTCTCGGCCATCAGTGTTGCTGTTGCGGAGTCGTTTTTGTACTTTACGTATCTGGGGAAGGTGGAGTCGGCTAAGGCCAAGGAGAGGAAGAAGAAGGAGAAGAAGGTCTTCATTGGGAGGGTTGGGGAGGATGGGAATACGGTGGATGATGAGGTTAGCGTTGGTGAGAAGGATGAGATTTGGGGGAAGGGTGTCAATGGTGGTGTGAGGAGGAGGGTTAGAGAGAAGTGGGAGAAGGGGAGGGATGGGACTGGTGAAGACTTATAAGCAGTCTCCTTTTGTTTAAAAGTATGAAGCATCTTGATGGAATGTACAAACTACATGAAAGATCAATATGAAAGATCGGATGTATGTTCAATGAAAGCTTTGGGTATTCTACGCCTAAAGCTGTGGTACGCTATGTTCAATCTAAATGTATAGATGCTGTGCAATCAGTCATTAGTGCTCATCAATGAGGGATCAAACCCGGTTCAGATCATGATGCATAGCATCATAGACCTTGGAAGGTGTAGCAGGTAGCTGCCAAATGTCAACTTTCTCCAGTGGACAAAGGAAAAGGGTAGAAAGAAACAGGAGACATCTCAAACCCGCTTCTCAAGAAGCAGCTTGCCGTGAGGAGACTGGCTGGCAAAGCCGGAGTCCCGACTGTAGATGCGCTCACCCCGGAGCCAAGTCTCGCGGACCATACCGCGCATGGTACGGCCCTGGTAAGGCGAGCACTTGTTGCGGAAGAGCATGGTGCTAGGCTCGACGACCCATTCGGCGGAATCGTCGAAGACACAGATATCCGCATCGAAGCCGACAACCAGGTCACCCTTGTGTGACTCCAAGCCGACCTGGGCAGCAGTGTTGGCGCAGCAGAGACGGACGACGTCCTGGAGGGCGTTCTTGGTGTTCTCGTCTTCCGGAGCTGACGTCAGACCCTTGCGACGGCTGAGGTCTGTCCAGAGAATAGGCAGACCCAGTCCGACGGACGAAATGCCTCCCCATGCTGACATGAAGTCGCCGGTCTTCTCATCCTTGGTTCCGGCGCAGTGGCCGGGGACGTGGGCGGGAAGCATCTTCAGGTCTGGTGTGCAGGGAGAGTGATCCGATACGACAGTCTTGATGACACCGTCGCCCGCGTGCTTCTCGAGCTCTTCCCAGAGACCGTCTTGGTTTAGCTTCGAGCGGATGGGAGGGCAGCACTTGTGGCGGGTGTCGCCGTCGCGCACTTCTTCCGCCGCCAGTGATAGGTAGTGGTAGCAGGTCTCGGCGGTGATCTTGACGCCGTGGGCGCGGGCTTCCCGAAGCAGCGGAATGGCTTCCATGGCGGAAAGGTGGACAATGTGCAAGGGGAGGTTGGGAGCTAGGTGAGCCAAGGAGAGAATGCTTTCAACGGCGCAGGTCTCAAAGGCTGAGGGCCTCGAGGCCAGGAAAGTGGCATATGCCTCGAGTGGTCCGGATGTAGTGGGTGGGTCTGCCTGTTGGACTCCGTCCACTGGCGCGGTAGTGGGAGGCATCATTTCCGCGTGGAACATGAGCGTCGTGGGCTCGTCCGCCAACTCAGCCATGGCCTTCTTGATATCCTCTGGCGTGACGGCAGGGAACTCATCAACCTGTTCTCATTGTTAATTTCCCGCCAACCAGGCAGAGTATATGATATATGACTTACACCGCTGTCGATCAGGAAACCCTTGAAACCACGCACACCCTCGTGAACGAGAGCCTTCAATTCGCCCGCATTGCCGGGAATGATGCCGCCGTAGAAACCGACATCCACCCAGCACTTGCCTTGGGCTGCTTGGATCTTCTCTTTCAGCCCGTTGACGGTGGTGGTCGGCGGGATGGCATTGAGAGGCATATCAATGACTGTGGTCACACCGCCAAAGGCAGCGGCCTGGGTGCCGGTGTAGAAGCCTTCCCATTCTGTACGGCCAGGCTCGTTCAAGTGAACATGTGCGTCGACCAGGCCTGGCAGCAAGACATGGGGTGAGTAGTCGGTGTACGGGGTATCCGCAGGGAATTCGGCCGCGGGAATCACGGTATCGAAGACCGCAGTGATCTTGCCCGTTGACCGCGAGATAACCACAGTGGCTGCAGTCAAACGGCCGGAGATCACGGCACGGGACGAAGCCACTACGGCAATGGAGGGAATGTCAGTCATTGTGAACGGGGGAAATGATAACACGCTTATCGGGGGGAAATGAGAAGATAAGCCGAGTCTGGGGGTGGGGGAGTATAAATATCGAGCCCTTTGACCCTTTCCGATTCGATTACTCGATCGATTTAGCCACTGCACGGAGCAATGCTCAACGGTCGATAAGAGAATTTGTTCCGAGACAGGCTCGCTGGTTGGCTGAACCAGCCAAATGGGCCCCCGAGCCCTATTTTTTCCCTTTCGTATCGGCCACCTCCGACGCACGGCGGGCGTTTCCTGCAGATCTGTTACTCGATGAAAACTCACCACGCCGCCTTAATCACGTGTATTCTGCCGTCATCCAGGTCCCATTAGCCCTAACTGCGGGTGTTTATTGCGACGTTGTACTCGTACCTCATATCTTGGACAATGCATTGTGAAGTTCTGCCAGGCACAGAGTGGGGAAAGGGATAGTCGGGCACGCAAGTAGGTTTTGAATGCGGTAGAAATCATTGATACGATTGATACGAATAACGCCGTATCAACGTTACGCTTTAAAGTTACGCCCATCGTCGCGGAAACCTGCAGCGCATAATGTCCAGAGCAGATTGCTTCCTTGATGCCCTTTTCCACCCTATATCCGAGAGGAGAGCCAATTTGCAGATACTTGCATTTCATTCAGACTAGCTATGGCTTTTTCAGTATGACGGTGAATATGTCTGGTCAACTAGATGTTCAAAAGAACGCCAGAGACATGCATAAAACCAAGGGAAAATGTACCAGATCGGGCAAATGGTGACTGGATCGCAAAAACAGGGATAATGGGGGAGCCCACAGTTCGTGAATCGTGGGAATCGTGGGAATAATGGCATTCTGAAAAAAGATCATTGCGGGCAAGTCCAGGGGATGATTGAACGCTCGTTGCGGAAGAAAACCAACGTGAAAAGGCGAATCACGCTTCAGATCCTCGCAGACGTGTGGAAGGGTCCGGAAGTACAAAAACCACGCAACCGCGGTACTGCGAGGACGCGCAAGAACATGAATAAAACGCGGCTGATCCTGAAACCAACTGAAGCCCATTCAACAATGGGCACAGCTGTTACCGGTAGAATGTGCTACTCTTCATTCGGCTCCTCAGGGATGCCAGGCAAGTGCTTCAAATCAATGGGAGTTCCCCCATGAAGGGTCCCATCGCGAAGAGCAAAGTTGCGGTAAGCCTCCTTGGTCTCCATGCTGACCGTGCTGCTGACCTTCTCATCCTTCTCATCTGAATTGTGGTCGTCCTGAGCAACGGTGTCCTTCTTGCCTCGAGTAACGCTCTTGTTACACTGACGTCGACGCTCACAGTCGCTGGCGCCGGCGCCTTCCTTTCGTCCTTTCTTTCCGCGCGAGGACGCTCCACGCTCATGCCTCAAGTCTCGCCCATCCCCGTCCATCCTCTCTTCATCTCCTCCATCATACCCTGGGTCTTCAACAACCCTTTCCATCTTCTCTTCTGTAACCTTCTGAACGACCTTCCAGTCCTTGTCGTTCACAAACCCTTCGAGGCTCTTCAAAAGTAGACTGTCGAGAGACTTCTCCGACGAGTAAGCATTCCTTCCCCTGGGACCACGCATTGCCCGAATGACCCGACTGTACTTCTTGGGCTCATCCCGATCAACAACCACCCTCATCTGCCCTGCGGGAATAGCACGCATCAAGTTCATCCAGCTGATGATCTCTGGCAGAGCTCGAGAAACCAAGCGGGTCATACGATAGTCATCACCGCCCGAGAAGCAGTTCACCCCATGGGTACTCAAGCCCAGCTCGCGCTCTCCCAGATCCTTGTCAGAGAGAATCCAGCCACATCCTCGGTCCTTGAGGAACGACAGAAATGACTGAGGGTTTGCCAAGTCGGCAAGCTTGAAGTCGTTAAGTAACACCTGGTCGGGGTTGACCACAGCGATGCAACGCAAGTGAGGCTTCCATATCGCCCCTACGGACAAGGTTAGTAAAGACCCTGTCCCATCCTATTGGCAATCAATACTCACAGTTCTCACTCAGATACATGAGTGCCGCAAATCCACCTTCAGAGAGGCCAAGGAGATCCACCATGCTGCCTTGCTTCATCTTCTGAAACAACAAGTCCTCGAAGAGCGTCTTGGTGTGCTTGGCCAGCGTTTCATTGCCTTGAATGGTGTTACGAGCAGAGGGGTAACGTGCACGAGACGCGGCAGAACGACGAGTACGAGCATTGAAAGACTCCATGTTCACGGCAGAGTCAGTGCTGTTCAGCCAAACTCGGGCACCAGGGTTGGCAATGACCAGAGCAGTAGTCGAAGACTCAGGGCTTTCACCCAGAACCCACTTTGCCAGCTTGATGACAGAGCCAAACCCGAGACCTTCTTGACAGATGTCCCGATAGGAGAAGACACCCAGGTCTTCGACCATCTCCCCAATGAAAACAACAACGCTCGACGCTTGCGAGATGTTGCTGCTCACGAAGACAGGAGTCTTGTGACGTTGTACGCCCTTTGAAATTGGGAGAGTAAGGATCTCCATACCCATTCCCATCAAGCGGTCTTTGATGATGGTATGAATGGCATCTAGAATACCGTAAGTATGATCCACGAAGGCCAAGGCCTAACCCCATCACAATATGGAATGATGACTGACGATGCAAAGTGTCCATGTGTCTCTGGTTGATTCGCTGCTCCCGGTTGATCTTATAGCGTGGGCCCTGACTGGGGCTTTTCAGGCACCGTATCTTGTCATCGGCGGTGATCTCGAACCTGTGTCATCGGTGTGATGTTAGCACATTTTCCTGTCTGAAGCTCATTGTCCTATCAAGCAAGAGGAATTTTCATCGTCGTTTCTCTGATCAGGGAGAGGCTTTCTGTCTTCGATGAGGGGATCCATATCTTCCCCCTCAGGGAGTGGTATCATGTCCTGGTGCGCGGGACCTTCCTCCCTTTCGGGCTGTCCAAGGCTTCAATTACAGATGCCCAGGATCTGTAATATGCACGAGGATCGATTGCTCGAATTCCTGCAGGGCCTGCCGTCCGGTCGTTCTGGGAATGGATCCACCTCGGGAGGCTTCCTATCTTCGATGAGGGGATTCACATCTCCCTCCTCAGGGCATGGTATCCTGGAAATCGTAAAGACTTCCCTGTTTCTTCCATCCTCGCGGGGTGGGGTAGATAATCTTTTCCCTGATCAGGGAGAGGCATCCCGCTCTCCTGGACCACGGTGAAGCCTTTGACTTCCTTGGCAAGCAAGACGAGAAAAAAGAAAGAACAAACTCACCCGATTTCCGCGAGATCCTCCGGAAAGACCGGATCGTCAGGAATCAGATCCTCTTCCCAGGCCTGCATCTTTGTGGCGGGTTGGCTTGTCCAGCGTTGGAGATGGTTGACTGAGATCAGGTCAGAGAGAGAGAGAGATCAGAAAGTCGTCACTGCGAGGAAAGTGGAGAAGAGGGAAGGAAAAGATGAAGACACGGGGACGTGTTGTTTGTTGGGGATGGGGCAGGCGCTCCCCAAGCTGTCACGACGGCGTGAAGCCCTAGGATGAGTCGCCAATTACGTCGTCTGCGCCCTATGGGCCACCAAGTCCACCAGGGCACCCAATACGACCCAGGCGGGCTCCGCCAGTACAAACGGAATACTCCAGCGCTCGATTTGCCTGAAAATCCCGGGCGAAGATTCAATGATGCCGCAGGTTTCACGAATTCATTCGGTATCAACGAGAACATTCGGCTATGCAAACATTCAGGTCGAAATTCGGGTATGACCTACAGGGAAAAGTTCCTCTCGCATTGCCTACAAACAAAGGCAAACTGACATTCGCCCATCCGGAGTGATCTCTCTGTATGTCATGGAACTCGCAGGCGGTGCTCTGTTGGAAATTGTGGACGCTTCTGTGGCTGTGTGGGCTACTTCAGAGCGAGAGCTCTCGCTCTGGGGTATTTCAGTTACCTTTCTCCTGTTCTTCTTGTCTTCGGTTACGTGAAAACATGTGTTATCCGCGGCAATTCTAACTATGACAAGTTCGGCTCCGCCTCTCAACAAGAGCTGAAGCCCACAGGCTGGGCTATGCAAACATTCTGGCCAAAATTTGGGTATGACCTACAGGGAGAAGTTCCTCCCGCATTGCCTACAAACAAAGGCAAACTGACATTCGCCCATCCGGAGTGATCTCTCTATGTTATGGAACTCGCAGGCGGTGCCTTGCTGGAAATTGTGGACACTTCTGTGGCTGTGTGGGCTACTTCACAACAAGAGCTCTCACCCTGGGGTATTTCAGTCACCTTTCCCCTGCTCTTCTCGTCTTCGGTTACGTAAAGACATGTGTTATCCGCGACTGGTCTGACTATGACAAGTTCGACTCCGCCTCTCAACAAAAGCCAAAGTCCACAGGCTGGGCTATACAAAGATTCAGGTCGAAATTCGGGCATGACCTACAGGGAGAAGTTCCTCTCTCGCATTGCCTACAACAAAGGCAAACTGCCATTCGCCTATCCGGAGTGATCTCTGTGTTTACTATGGGAGTGGCAGGCGGTGCTTTGCTGGAAATTGTGGACGACTCTGTGGCCGTGTGGGCTACTTCAGAGCGAGAGCTCTCGCTCCCGGCTACTCTAGAGCGGGAGCTCTCGCTCTGGGGTATTTCAGTCACCTTTCCCCTGTTCTTCCTGTTTGCCTGCTTTGCTGGAAATCGTGGATGCTGGACACCTCTGTGGGTTACTTCAGAGCTTCTGCTTTGCTGGAGATTGTGGATGCTGGTCGCCTCTCTGGGCTACTTCAGAGCGAGAGCTCTCGCTCCCGGCTACATAAGAGCGGGAGCTCTCGCTCTGGGGTATTTCAGTCACCTTTCCACCATTCTTCTTGAGCTTCCGCTTTGCTGGAAATCGTGGATGCTGGTCGCCTCTGCGGGCTACTTCAGAGCTTTCACTTTGCTGGAAATCGTGACGCTGGACATCTCTCCGGATTACTTCAGAGCTTTCGCTTTGCTGGAAATCATGGACGACTCTGTGGCTCTGTCGGCTACTTCAGAGTTTCCGCTCTGCTGGAAATTGTGGATGCTGGTCGCCTCTCTGGTCTACTTCAGAGCGTCCGCTTTGCTGGAGATTGTGGATGCTGTTCGCCTCTCTGGGCTACTTCAGAGCTTCTGCTTTGCTGGAAATTGTGGATGCTGGTCGCCTCTCTGGTCTACTTCAGAGCGTCCGCTTTGCTGGAAATCATGGACGACTCTGTGGCTCTGTCGGCTACTTCAGAGTTTCCGCTCTGCTGGAAATTGTATGCTGGACGCCTCTACGTGGACTACTTCAGAGCTTTCGCTGTGCTGGAAATCGTGGACGACTCTGTGGCCCTGTGGGCTACTTCAGAGCGAGAGCTCTCGCTCCCGGCTACTCTAGAGCGGGAGCTCTCGCTCTGGGGTATTTCAGTCACCTTTCCCCTGTTCTTCTCGTCTTCGGTTACGTAAAGACATGTGTTGTCCGCGGCAGGTCTGACCGTGACAAGTTCGACTCCGCCTCTCAACAAAAGCCGAAGCCCACAGGCTGTCCGGGAGTTGTTTACCAGGAAGTCAATTGGACAAACAGACTGGGTGTTTCATTGAAATGTGGGAATTGATACTGTACATGCCTTCCACCCACGGGAAGAAAAAAAAAAAAAAAAACGATCAAACAACGCCGCCTTGCAAAGAAACCAGTGATCTTGTCATGGATCAAGGACGCCACTGCCCCAATGAGATCTTCACCAGGATGCCTTTCTCACACCGGGCAGCTCGCCGGCAAGAGCCTGCAAACGGAATTGATACTGGGGAAAACAGTCAGTCTTTTCTACTCATTTTCATGTATCAGTCGAGGCCACTCACTCGGTTGAGCTTGAAGTCCCGGAAGATACTGCGAGCAGTTCCTGAGGCCACGCAGCGGTTCTTGATCGTGGTGGACCGGGTGTATGAGTGGGACTCTGCTAGCTCTAGCTGAGCCTGGACCCGGGTGCGGGCTGGCAGGGAAGTGTTGCGGACTGCATACCGCAGGGCTTGTCTGTTGGGAATCGGAACATGTTAGCGGGTGCTTACTCGGCCCCGCGTTGGGGTTTCGAATCCGGTGATTTCCGGGCGGCGCGAAAGGTCTTCACGGGGCTTGTGGAATGGGGGTGCGCTCTTCATACCTCTGAACCTCATACTTGGCAAAAACCTGACGCTTCTTGTCATCACGGAGGACTCGCGTGTTGACAAATCCTGCGATGTTGACCTTCTTCGGGATTTTGGGAAATTGCATCGACATGATGGCGGCAATTCCAAAGGGATGAGGGAAGAACTCGGGGAAGACTTCGTTGAAGTCGGGAAGATTGGAGATTGGAGTTTCGCGGGCGGAGAGCGGAATTCTCCCGATCGGGATTAGCGCACTGGGGATTCACTCGTTGGGGGTTTTGGGATATTTGAAGCCCCGGAGTCCTGTTGTCAGATGAAGGATTGGCATTTTCATTTCCCATCTTGAAAGAGTGGATGTTCCTCTTTGAATTGAAGCAGATTCTGGCCATTTCGCAGGATTGGGCCATGGGGAGTTGTCTGGCCTTCATGGATGTCTGTTTGCTTCTATGTCTGGTTCAAACATTGTCTCGTTTGGACATCGGATGACCTGCTTGCTCATCTCAGGGCATCTCTTCAACTCTCTTTTACTTGACTTCACAAATTTCTGTGGGCACATCTGGTGCACAAGCTACGGTCGCATTCACCTACGACAACCCTAGTGGATGGGAATTTACCCAGAGGCCAGCTGGCTAGTGCTGCGTTTATCCTGTGACTATCTTTCATGTGCCACTTTCAGAAAGTTTGTTTCGTCTGGGGAAGACATCCTCTCGCCCGGAGCCCGGAGTTGCCAACCCTCCCGCCATCACCCGTCTGTCTGATTTCAACTGTACAGAGTCCTGTGCATTCCCCGTGATGAAAGGGGTTTTCTTTCGCCCGGGGCAGTGATTCTTCCCTCGGGGTGGAAATCGAAAACTCGCCCGCGACCGTTCGCCCTTCTGTCTGAGTTATACTGCACAGAGTCTTGTGGGCTTGTCTGGGACGCCAAAGCTGCCATTGTGCCGGCACACTTTGTCTTGTTCGTGTCTGGGGCAATCATGGGCACTCCGCCCGCCGCACATTCTTCTGTTCAATTTCCCTTGTACAGAGCCTTGTGGCATTTTCTGGGATGCAGAGGACGCGATCGCGCCCCATCCCAAGAGGCGATGCGCTGGGGGGATGGCACCCTGTCCCCCCTCGCCAGCTTTGCACTTACAATTTGTCGAAAGGGGATTGATTCATGTGGTGCTTCCAGACCGTTGTGCCCCGCGTCAGTTGTGTGGTTACGATTTGTTGAAAGGGGATTGATTCATGTGGTGCTTCTAGACTGTCGTGCCCCGTGTCAGTGGTGTCCTGTGCCTAGGGATGGTGTTTCTGGTTATTGTGTGTTGTTGACATCTGGGGCAGGGATTCCCTCCTCTGGGGCAATCATGGGCACTCCACCCGCCGCCGCACATTTTTCTGTTCGAGTCATGTTGTACAGCTTGCTGTGGGAATACACAAAAACTGTGGTTGTGCCGACACACTCTGTCTTGTGCGTGTCTAGGGCAGACATCCTCGCCTCTCCAGTGGCGCAAATCCGCCTGTCACCACTGCTGTACGTCTGTTCGAATGCCACTATACAGATTCCTGTGGCCTTGTGTGGGACGCAGAGGCTTCAGTTGCGCCTCAGTCTCGTGGTTGCAATTCGTTTGAAAGGGGATGGTCCTATACCCCCTCGCCACAGCCTCGTGGTCTCTGTTTGTTTGAAAGAGGATGGGGCCGGTCCATTCTCGCCTCCATCTCGTGGCTACCATTTGTTTGAAAGGGGATGGTCCTATACCCCCTCGCCACAGCCTCGTGGTCTCTGTTTGTTTGAAAGAGGATGGGGCCGGTCCCTTCTCGCCTCAATTTCCTGGTCATAATTCGATTTAGTCATGTGCCGCTTCCAGACTTTCTTGTTTGTGTCTGAGGCAGAGATCCTCGCCCGCCGCCACCTGTTTGTCTGTCTGTGTTCTACTGTACAGAGTCCTGTGGGCATGTCTGGGGTGCGAAGGCTGCGGTTGCACCCACTCAAAAAAAAAAAAAAACAAAAGACAAAAAACAAAAAAACAAAAAACCCAAAAACAAAGAAAAAAAGAAAAAAGAAAAGAAAAAAGAAAAGAAAAAAAGAAAAGAAGAAAAGAAGAAAAGAAGAAAAGAAGAAAAGAAGAAAAGAAAAGAAAACACAGAAAAGAAAACACAAAAAAGGGAATGACAGTCTTCGGAAGACGTTTGCTCACTCGTGGTTGGGACTTGTTTGATTTTCGTGGTGATTTCAGGGCGCGTTGTTGACGTCTCAGGGTCTTCGGGAAATGTCTTCTCTGAGAGCCTCCTCATGGGGCTTGTGTTGATTTTCGTGGTGCTTCTAGGCCTTGTTGTTGATGTCTGGGGCAGAGGTCTTCTCATCAGGGCAGCAATCGCCAATCTGCCCGCCGCCGGACGTTTCTCTGTTCGAGTCCTTTTTTACAGAGTCCTGTGTACATTTCTGGGATGCGTGGCTTCCTCGGCGCCCTATCTCCCCCCGCGCAGCCTCGTGGTTACGATTTGTTTGGATGAGGATGCCGTCTGTCTCCCCTCGCCTTAACCTCGTGGCTACTGTTGGTTTGATTCATGTGCCACTTCCAGACTGCCTTCTTCGTCTGGGGCATGGAATGCCCGCCATCATGTTCGTTTCTCTGTTCGAGTTCTCCTTTACAGAGTCCTGTGGACATTCCTGGGATGCGTGGCTGCATCGACGCCCACCCCCAAAAGCTCACCCGAGAGTGATGGAGAAATCTCCTCTCGCCAGTATCGTGGAGATGTCACTTGTTTGTTTCATGTGGTGTTTTCAAATTTTCTTGTTTGCTTCCGTGAGAAGCGGAGTGGACTTGGTTCTCCGTGGCAGATCGTCTCTGCGTCGTTGCTCGGGACATTTGCGGCACCGACTCATGCCCACATCGGTCGGGGGGACTTCCTGCAGAGGAGAGATATGATGACCGGTTCAGGGGAGATGTTTCTTCCTCGTCTTCGATGATGCGGACGACGTTTTCGATGAGGGGAACCACATGTTCCCCCTCATAGGTTGGCATCGTGTCCTAGTGCGCGAGACCTTTGTTCCATTCGGGCTGTCTGAAGCCGAGATCGCAGCCATCAACCATGCCCTCCACATGTCAGACGATCGAATTCTTGAATTCCTGCAGGGCCTGCCGACCGGTCGTTCTGGGGATGGATCCTCACAGGCCTCTTTTGCCGATCAGGGAGATGTCTGCTTCGTCCTGGTTTTCGATGAGGGAAACCACATATTTCCCCTCAGGGAATGGCATCATGCCCTGGTGCGCGGGACCTTCCTCCATTTCGGGCTGTCTGAGGCTGCAATCTCAGATACCCGGGATTTGCACATGTCCGAGGATCGACTGCTCTAATTCCTCCAGGGCCTGCCATCCGGTCGCTCTGGGGATGGATCCTCATATGCTTCTTTTGCCGATCAGGGAGATGCCTCAGGGAGATGCTTTTTCCTCGTCTTCGATGTGGGGATCCATATATTCCCCCTCAGGGAATGGCATCATGCCCTGGTGCGCGGGACCTTCCTCCATTTCGGGCTGTCTGAGGCTGCAATCTCAGATACCCGGGATTTGCACATGTCCGAGGATCGACTACTCGAATTTCTGCAGGGCCTGCCGTCCAGTCGTTCTGGGGATCGATCCTCACATGCTTCTTTTGTTGATCAGGGAGATGCTTTTTTTCTTATTTTCGATGAGGCGGACGACGTCTTCGATGAGGGGAACCACATATTCCTCCTCATGGGTTAGCATCGGGTCCTAGTGCGCGAGATCTTCATTCCTTTCGGGCTGTCCGAAGCCGCGATCTCGGACATAAACCGGGATTTGCACATGTCCGAGGATTGACTTTTCCTTCTGGAGACAAAAACAACGAGGAGACGGACGAAAGCCCCCTCACCTTCTTGATTTCATGCAGGGCCTGCAGGGTCTGCCATCCGGTCATCCTGGAGATGGTTTATCACATGTTTCCTCCACCAGGAAGAGGATTGGTGTCTTCGATTAGGGGATCCACATATTCCCCCTCGCAAGTGGCATATTCGAGATTGTCGAGACTCGGCTATTCCTTTCATCTCAGGGAGTGGCATCATACCCTGGTGCGCGAGACCTTCCTCCCTTTCGGACCAACCGTGACCTCCACATGTCGGGGTATCGACTTCTCGATTTCCTGTGAAACCTGTTCTCGAGATGGCTTATCACATGCTCCCACTCCCCATGAGGGGGGTCTTTCTTCCTGGTCTTCAATAAGGGGATCCACATATCCCCCTCAGGGAGTGGGGGCATGTCCCAGTGCGCGAGACCTTCATTCCTTTCGGGCTGTCCGAAGCCGCCATTGTGGATATTCAACGTTGACCTGCACATGTCGGAGGATCGACTTCTCGAATTCCTGTAAAGCCTGCTCTCGAAATGGCTTATCAACCTCCCTCGATCCTCATCATGGGGATGCTTCTTCGTCGTGTTCGATGAGGGAATCCACATATTCCCCCTCAGGAAGTGGTATCATGCCCTGGTGCACGAGACCTTCCTTCCTTTTGGGCAGATCATATCTGCGTCATTATTCCGAACGGTCGGGGCACCGACTCATGCCCACATCGACCACAGGGGCTTCCTACTGAGGAGCGAGATGATAACCGGTCACCTTGAAAAAGGACCCTCAAACCCTGGAGTCAATGATCAATGATTTGACGGAGAATGGGCTCTACGGCTATTATCCTATCCGGCGGGGCTATCAATCGGATGATTGGAATTCTTGGAATTCTTGGAAACGTGGCAGACTCCCTGGCTTGCTCGCTGCTTTCCTATTCGGCGGGGCTATCAATCGGATGATTGGAATTCTTGGAATTCTTGGAAAAGTGGAAGACTCCCTGGCTTGCTCGCTGTTTTCCTACTCGGCGGGGCTCTCAAGTGGATGATTGGAATTCTTGGAATTCTTGGAAAAGTGGAAGACTCCCTGGCTTGCTCGCTGTTTTCCTACTCGGCGGGGCTCTCAAGTGGATTATTGGAATTGTTCGAATTCCCGCGCAGTTGGAGATTCACTGGCAGATTGTTCATCGTCTCCGCGCACTTCTTTTCACCACTGAATTGATCGACTTGCTGTGTCCAGAGTTCCTTCTTCTGGATCTGGTTACTTGTCTGTATCAGGAGAATGGCAAACTTGTCGGTTTCAGGCATCCTCGTCGCGGATATGCGATGAGAAGAGTTTCTTTGAAACGTTGGCATGTGGCAGATCTTGTCCAATTCTTCGCGGGAAGGATGGTCCGACAGTTAGTTCCCTCTTCCCGGACCATCCTTCCCGCGACGACATCGGTACATAAACCGATATTTGCGACGGGTGCAAGGTCACTCATGTGTGATTTCTCGATCCAACTTTCACAGCGCGAGAGCAGGGGCTCGTTTGGACTACTGTGTTGATTTTATTTGTTTGGCTTCGTCCGGCCTATCTGGGGTGGACTCTGTTTTCGATGTACACATGGGGACGATGGCTTGAGGGCCTCATTGGTACCATTGAGTTGATCAATGTGCTTTGCTTTCTACTGTATTCAAAATAAATTGAACTTCTTCAAATCTCGTTCACGTCAACCCTTAGATGCCTCATCAACCTTGGAAACTTAGAACAGTTTACCTCAGCCATAACTATGACCTGGAGATGTTGCTCATGGCATACAACGAGAACTCGCCGACACATCTACATCCCGTGATTACCGTCATATTCCAACAGATACTAGCCCGAGCACCTTTGAAATGAGATAATGCTCCGCATTCAAGATACTACTACAGGGGTTTTGATCACTCATGTGAAGTTGATACTGGTACAGCTTGTGAATTGTTCCAAGTCACCCAAAGGCGAGTATGGTCTATATGCTTGGACAGTGGCAAACTGTCCACAAAGATATCACAGACATAGTGAGCCATCCATGACCCAAGCTATCTCCTTCCACCCACACATCGTGGCGGTCCGTCCCGCTCCTCGGACAAGCGGAATCTCAACGTGCATTCATAGTCGACACAATTTAGTGGTCGGCCTTGCCGGCGGGCTTGGCGTTGGGGTTGCGGGGGTCGCTCTTGAACTCAGCAGCTGTAAAAGTAGAATGGTCAGTCGGATGGTCCGGGTAGAGATGTTTCATCGAGTGTCGTTCGAGGTGTATGTGTTCGCGAATGGCGCCGAAGCTTTTCGGTGGTTCATGCATGTGTGCGCAAGGTGGACTCACTGTTGGACAGAGCGTTCTGGAGAGAGTTGACGCCGTAGAGGACAATGAGGCCTAAGCGGGAGAGTCGTTAGATTCATGTTCCCGACGGGCGGGTTATGGGGAGATATCGCGAAGTGATAGCCCGTGCGATCTCGGACTGTCAGGGCAACTCGATATCTAGATTGTATGCGTACCGGCGGCGAAGAAGGGAGTCAAAGGCTTGGCTGTAGGTGAACGGATAGGTTAGCTTATTGGTCCGTATATTCCACGCCCACGGGGCGATTTCGGGGTCCGAGAATTCCGAGAAGTACATACCGACAGCGCCGGGGAACTTCTTTCCGAGGAGAGACATTGTGAGAGGTTAATTGAATGCGCGGGGGAATCGGTATTCAAGAAGGTAGTGAGGCAGGAGGACGGGAGAGGAGAAGAGGTTTGGAGGCCCGGTTTAGGGCACGTGACACGCCGCCCTAAGGCGGTATCACGCCGCTTTTACCCGATCTATCCCGAATCCGATCTTGTAAACAACCAGCTACGTTGACTTCTTTCACTGACCATGGCAGCCTCATTGTCCTCTTCGGTTACCTCGCTGCAGTCGTCGCTGAATCTGCTAGACAATTCAATCACTACCCTTGATTCTGGTGTAAATGACTTTCCGCGCCTTTGTAAAGTCCTTTCGACAACGCGAGTATGTACATGCCTTTGCTAGGCCTTGACTTGGTATACAGATGTCTGACCGTCTATCTCTAAATAGCACTTTGAGCTCCTTCCCGAGCCAACACTGCGCGAAGCACAGCAGTCTCTCCTCGACGAGATCACCCCCAGCATTGCCCATCTTCTGACGCTCTCATCGAACCACGTTGAAAAGCTCGCACGTCGCGAGCAAGGCCTAAAAGCACGATGTGACCTCCAGGAGGGAAGACTTTCTTCTAACGCAGAGGGTCGCTCCTCTGCTTCTCGCAGTCAAGCTCAAAGCAGTGCATTGCGGGGTCGCGTGGCGGGGTCGAGCGCTGGCTCATCGAGCAATGCAGCATCCAAAGCGGCAGAGTACAAAAGACTTGTACAGAAGAAAGAAAGACTCAAGTTTGCTGTTGATCGACTCGAGCTGCAGAGCCAGCAGAAGCAAAGGCAGCTGAGGAAGAGTATGGCCGTGCAGTGATGAAGTACGAGGGATTCACTTTCACACCAATAACCATTCGCCATGAGATAATGATGGATCTACCAGGAGCTTTTGGTACAACATCCTACTTGCTCCATCACAGGCAACATCATCAGAGAGCTAGCCATGCCCGACAATATGGACCAGCATCCACAGCAGAACCAGCACCCATTCCTCTGTCGTCGCATTAAGGTTTCCCAAACTTCCCAACAGAGCACAGGGACTCGATCACATCACCCCGTTGATTCTCGGGTTGTTTGTCAAATGGAGGATTTACCTAGCAGGATTACTCTTAGTGGGTTCATGCACAACGCTCAGGGACCTAGCTACCTGCCCGTCAGATTTGTATCCAATACAACTGGAGAGAAGATGTGATTTCACATTCAGAGAAGCGCTAGAATGATATCTAATGTACAAAAATCCAGTCCCCCTTCCCAATGCCCAATGCTGTTAGTATTGAATGATGTATAGTACATGGTATGCTCAAATCAAAAATATGCCGATCAAGAAAGCCCAAAACGGCTGTGCTCAAATCCCCCAAAGCCAGCCACATGCGTTTAGTCTCTGTCACGCTTGTTGTAGGCCTGTCGAAGCTTCTTATTATGATGAGCCTTCTTCCAAGTGGGAACGCGCTGTCCTTTCTTCTTCTGGACATCCTGAGGCATGCTGCGAGCCCTGTAATCTTCATCAGGATCATCGGAGTCGTCCTCGTCTTCCTCAATCTCGCCCTCTTCCTCTGCATCAAGCTGACGCTCAGCCGCACGGCGTTCCAGCCGCTCTTTCTTGCCCTCGTAATGCTTCCCGCCAAGCTCCAGATTGCGAACTCTGCGGAACCTCGCTCCAAGAGCCCACAAGTCTCCTAGCTTGGCTTTGCGGGCATCGCGGTATTGCTGGGCTCCCTGGGCGCGTGAGACGGTCCAGCGCTCGATCTTGCCGGCGGGAGTGCAAACATCGATGAGGACGTGGCCATCACGCTTCAAGGGCGGGAAGACAGTGCGAGGAAGGGCAAGAGTTTCGACAGTTGGTTCGTTATTCTGCTTGAGATCTTCGGGCGTGTGCAATCCTTCGAACGCCACATCTGTAGAAGTGGAGTTTTGTTGGAAACCGCGATCCTGTCGAAGATCTACACCACGCTGCACGGAGAGGTAGCTGAACCTGACGTCTTCGTGGTTGCGGTGCTTGGCCCGCAAGATGTTTTGCAGGAAGAATGGACGAACGTAACGCTGTTCGAAGCTGCAGTACTCCCTACGACCGTGTGATGTACCGGAGAAGTTGTGCATCGGGCAGGTCGAGTGGTTGGTACATGGCGCAATAATCATTCCAGGCTCCTTCTGGATGACCTCGCGCTGATCGGGATCCTCGAGGAAATTGTCGTATTCCGTGGAGCCAGGGCTTGCGATGTGGCGCTGGAGCAGCATTTCACGGGCACCGGAGATAGCCTCGAAGCCTCGTTGGCGGCCTTTCTCGAGTAGAATGAGGATACCGCCGTTGGGGTTTAGCAAAGACCACAAGTTCTCCACGTGCTGTTTCCGCTCATAATTTTCTGTGTACCCTTGGATGCTGTAGGGTGCAATGATGACATCGTATTGCTTGCGCTTTGGGACCTCACTCGAGTCTTTCATGGTTGGCTTTTGTCGAACATGTGTGTAGTCGGGAAGTCGGGGAAGGAAAGTGGTGTTGTCCAGTAACTGAGAAGCGCGAGTACGGAGAGTATCCGAGCCTACAATCACTGTTGACTTGCCGGGAGGAGTGGCCATGCCTCGTGCGCTGGGATACATCTTATCCCATTCCGTGCGGGCCAGATCTTTCCAAGCCAGGATACCAGCGCCGCCACCACTGGCATCAAGCACATTTGGGCCTCCCTTTTGTGATAGCAGCCCGCGAAGCCAATCGTCTCCTAGTCGCTTTCGAGTTTCGACCAGAACACTCAGAACGGCCGAGTAGATACCCGGGTACAGAACGGCCAGGTAAGTATTGGCCTCCATTTGTCCCATGTACCGCTGTGAAGCATCAAGTGGGAGAGGCTTCTGTGGAAGCTCTGAGCCGCCGCGTGGCGTTGCGGTAGAATGGGGAAGGCCTTGTCCTCCGAACACACGATTGGAAACCTCATAAAGGTGCTTGTTTGCGTATCCAGACAAGATTTTCGCAATGGGATTAATGATGGCCTTTTCTGGCAAGAAAATGGTGCTTGGATCCGTCCCAAACCGTCCTGCGAGGGTATTTGGGTCCGCTCTCATAGTAGGACCGGGAACTGCTTCATCCTCGAATTGTTCGAGCGCTTCTGGCCCGCCGAGCTGCTCGGCCACTTCTCTCGTCCGCTGCTCGGCCAGGGTCTCCGGATCCTTTGGTGGGTTGTCCATATCGTAGGCATAGGCGTCGTCTGTCTTGGCAGCCTCCTCTTCCATGTCCACCTCTTCCCATCCGCCTTCTCCGTCATCGCGAAGCAAACTCGGCTCATCTTGTTCCTCCTCAGCCATCACATCGATGTCCGCTCGGCCGATCGGGGCACCATAGAGCCGGATGTATATTTGAAGCTCCTCCTCGCTCAATAGTGCATCTGGAAGACCATCTCCAAAGCGTTGCCTGACCAAGTGTACAAATGACTCTGATGTGTGATCGCGTCGTTGAGCGAGTATTTCTGCAACCTCCTCGATGTCGTGCTCATACTCCATCTCCTCCAATTCATCCAGTAATTCGTTGATCTCTTCTCCATGGTCAGACACCCGCTCCATCAATATTGTGAGCTCGTCCTTTTCGATAGGTTCGCTGGGCTCGAGCGTTTCAGCTGGTGCGGTTTCCTCATCCATCAATTCGACTTCGTCAATCAATTCGAGTTCTTCCAGCATTGCATTAAGTTCAGCCCCGCCTTCAGCGACACGGTCCACCAGAACGGTGAGTTCTTCTGATTCAATGGGCTCAATCGGCTGAGGCGACTCCGCCGGTGCGGATGCTTGACCGGATCCAAACCTCCGCTGCGGTTGACATATTGAGGACGAATGTAGGGGGGCGCTTCCGTGCGAGAAGTTTTTCGATGCGATTGAACGTGGTGCCTTGTGCGCAAGCGTGCGCTGTTGGGTAAGAGTCGACTGGCTGATAGCTCCGCGGAGCTGTCGCGACCCAGCAGGGCGAGTGAGGTTGCGGAACAACTGGCGTGACTGTGCCCTGCTCGTTCCTGAGACTGAGGACCTGGACAACATCTTTTGTTTGTATCACCCAGCGAGGGGAAAGGGGAAAGTGGTCGACCAGAAAATTGTCGGCGACATGAAAATCCATGCCAAGACTATCACAAACTGCGGGCCTCCCATTGGCTGGTCCCTTGTTCCAGCGCATCTATGCAGGTTTTGGCGATTCGCGATTTCTTGATCTCGGTGACTCGTCATTGATGCTATGCGTTGCCTAGGCAGTGCCAGGACTATAAGTATACGAAAGCTAGAGTTTGAGAGGGCTTAAGGTAGATAGCGTGTCTCCATGGGTTTATCCACAATATGTTGTGGGGGTATATATGATTGCCTGGTAGAACAAGGGAAACCATTTCTATAAACGCCTTAGGGTATATCCAAATCATGCCTCACTCTCAGTGTCCTCATGACCCATGAGAATATTGAGTGCATCCACGCATCGCATGACCTCATGCTCAAGCGCGGTGAGTTTCGCCATGACCGCCATCAGACTAGGATCCTGGCTCTCTACACGTACCTTTTCTTTCACACGTACCTCGTCCCCCTGCCATTGGAATGAGAGACCGGCTTCATCGTGGGTTGGCGCCCGCGAACCGAAGATTCGATCTCGGATTGAGAACCCAGTGAGGGAAATGTCCGAGGCAAACGGAGTGGGCGTGTGGGTGAGTGAAGTGGACTCCAGCGTTCTCAGCACGAGCACCAGGGCGGAGTCTGTGATAGAGAGATGGAACGATAGGTGTGGTGGAAGTGGAGGGTCGAACATCTACCCCGTGGACATATTAGTACCGGCCCCAAGCCGCCCATTGAAAGAAGCGGACGTACCTGATCCGTCGCGCTCGTATCCCACCATTTGCCGCGTGTCTCATCCCCTTCGCCTTTGAGCATCTGTCGCGCCTCGCTGATGGTCTCGAGCAGGAGATGCAGCTGACTGAAAATGAAACCAGCGTTGAGGGGGTCACCCGTCCACGTGCTGACATCGACGATATCCAGGCTTTGGGCGACGAGATCGCGGACCGACACGAGCTGGCGAAGTACCATTTCCGGGGCCCCGGGGGCCTGGGATAGGTTCAAGCGGGTGCTGGGAGCGCCCCGAGTCGGCGGGAGTGATGCGAGGCGCAGCTGGACATCCTAGAGGACCCCTCAGTTATTGTCCCTTTGATAATAGAGTGGAAGACGTACCCCCTTCACCACCTTAGTGCCGACTCTCGTCACGAAGCCTTTCACCTGCTCCGACCGTACGGAGGACACCACCAAGGTTGATCCCGGTTCCTGGGGCGCTAACAGGGCGGCGCATTCTGTCAGTCCTTCTTTTAATGAAGCCAGCGAGTCCTGGAGGGAATGCAAGAGCCACTCTAGCTCACGAGCCTAAAGAAGGTTGGCATATACTAAGACGGGCTCCACACCAGGTGCTTACCAGCGCAGCATCGGCTTCCCGGTTGATCTGCTCTGCAGGCAGTGGGGGGTATGCCCAAGTGGCCATGATAGAGTTTGCTAGGCCAGCACAGAAGGCAGAAACGATAAAGTGATCCACGTCACTTTGGCTGCAACGTTGCGGAGGACAAGTTGACTTCGTCATGGACGAGCCACTAAGGGCCCAGTTGGGTTTAGCGCGTCGTGCCCTTTCACCTCAGCGATGACATCAAGATCGTCGGACTGCTTTTTGCGAAAAAACTAAAGGTCCGTCATTACTGGTATATCAGACTGCCGGGTACCTCCGGTTACTTTTTAAACTCCCTCTCCTCTTCATCTTTCCCACTTCCATCATCTACCGACACAATGGGTCTCAGCAGTATGTCCTCGGATCGTCAACTCTATATGCTTAAAACTAATGATCATCAGGAGCTTCGCTGGGCTTTTTGGGCCTGTTCTTTATGGCAGGTTCCATCTTGCTGATCTTCCTCACTCTCTTGGCTGGCACGCGCAATACCACACCGCTTAACCAGGTCTACTTCCTCCAAGCCGATACAAGCAATATCGCAGGCGCTCCAGCAACTTCGCGCTGGACCTTCTGGAACCTCTGCGGAGTGACGGATGGCAAGAATGACTGTGGGAAATCTCACCCCGACTTCCCCTTCGACCCCCCAAGTCACCGTAACTTCGATACGACCGAAAATGTTCCTGAGCAGTTCATCGGGTAAGTGGCCGAGAACAAAGGCTCGCCGCAGCGCATACTAATCTGCGAGTATAGGACAAAGCACTACTTCTTGATGTCGCGGTTCATGTTCCCCTTCATCATCATCGGCCTGTTCTTCGCCGTGCTCTCTCTCTTCACGGGCCTGCTGGCCATGTGCACGCGCATCGCCAGCTACCTGTCTGGCTTCCTGGCCTGGCTCGCCCTGACGTTCCAGGTCATCACGACCTGTCTGATGACGTATGTGCCAAGATCCCCCACTGGACCAGTCCAAATGCTAACTCTAATCTGAAGTGCCGTCTTTGTTCAGGGCCGCGATGCCTTCAAGAGCAACGGCCAGACTGCCAAGGTCGGCGTCAAGGCATTCGCCTTCATGTGGACTGCATCTGCCTGTCTCTTCTTGTCCTGTCTGATGTACTGCCTCGGCGGTGCCGTGGGACGGAAAGACCGCAGTGGCTACAGTGGCCGCAAGGAGCGTCGCCGTGGTTTCTTCTCGTCTCAGCGCTCGAACAGCGTGAAGAGCCAGAAGAAGGAAACCACCAACTACGCTTAATCGAAAAGCCCCAGTCCCGCAAAGGTGATACTTCGACGCGACAGTCGAAGCCGCGGACATATCGACTACATACCGTCAATCCCTGGCCATCTCAAATACGATTTGTGCTATTTGTGTTCATGCGCTGATATCCTCGAGAGCTTTCTCATTCTCAAGGAGGCCGTTTGTTTGGTCTTTGATCTTGGGTTGTCTCGACTTGGAAGTGAGTCGAACACAGTCCTGGAGAACAGACTACCCACCCTCGTTTAATGCTGTTACGAAACCCTCACGATCGTTACTTAATTTCATGATTGACCTGGACTGGTTACCGTGCCGCGGTAGCCTTACTGTTCTACGTCGATTGCACCTACATGCAAGTTTTTGATGATTTACTGATGAATCCGCTGATTCAATGGTGTTCCGACTTGAAGATTATCCTGCGCTACGAGGGACTAATCAAACGTCTACTTAATTTACTGTAATATAATCTACATGTTGATTTCATACCTAGTAGTTGAGGGCAAGTTACTTCGTAGTACAAGATTGCAAAGCTTTCACTTGAATTTCCCGTCAAGCACTAGGTACATCTGTGGTCATGACGTTTGACAAACCCCCTTGGCGCACCTGGGCATCCGGCAACATCCAGGAACCGGTACTTCCGGGGTCTAATGAGGAATCGAAATGAAACAATCAGTCACGTCCATTCAAGTCTGTCTATGTATTTGCAAACTATTCAAGAAGACACCATGATGACAACCGCAATATAAATCGTTGAAAAGGAAAAGCACAGCCTCTATCAGTCATGCAAGCATCATCACACCGTAAATAAAGTCTTTTTTAATTCACAGAAAGAAGCTTAAGCAGAGCCGTTGACGGCGCCGCGGACAGCGTTCTGGGAGCCGACCTCACGGACGGCAATCTGGAGACCGAGGTCAGGGTTGACGTGAACCATGACCTCGATCTTGCCATCAGCCTTGACGCCCTTGACGGCGAGCTCGGCGACGGGTTTCTCAGTCTTCCAGACAATCTCGCGGATGTCCTCCTCCTCCTCGTCCTCGGAGTCGAAGTCGGAGTCATCCTCGTCAGCGGCGGGCTTGTCCTCCTTGGCCTTGGGCTCGGGCTTGGTGACCTTGATCTCACGGGCACCCTCGCACACGCGGACCAGGACATCGCCACCCTCCTTGGGGGCGAAGTACTGAGCGATGCGGCGGGCAGGGAGAGCGGTCTCAGCGCCGAGGAGGGGCTGGAAGGTGGTCTCGGTCTGGGAGGTGAACTCAACACCGATGGCCTTGGTCAGGTGAGGGGTGACGGTGACCATGGGGTGGATGGACTGCTCGATGTCCTCGTGCTCGAACTCCTGGACCAGGGAAGCCTGGAAAGCGGCACCACGGGCGGACAGCTCGGAGGGGTTGATGGCGGTGGTGGAGGAGGCAGGGGCGAGGATCTTGGTGGTCTCGGGGAAGATGTTGCTGGCCAGGCTGGCGAGCTTGGGGGTGTGGGAGGCACCACCGGAGAAGATAACCTCGTCAATGTCAAGGACATCGAGCTCGGCCTTCTTGACAACCTGCTCGATCAGGCCAGTGAACTGGCTGAAGACCTTGCCGGCAAGGAGCTCGAAGCGGGTGCGGTTGACGGTGGAGCCGTAGTCGACACCGTCGACCAGAGACTCAATGCTGAGCTGGGCGTTGCTGCTCAGGCTGAGGGCCTTGCGGGTAGCCTCACACTCGAGCTTGAGCTTGGCCAGACCGCGAGCGTTCTCGCGGGGGTCGGTCTTGTGCTTCTTCATGAACTCCTTGGCGAAGTGGTCGATGATGATCTGGTCGAGAGTGGCACCGCCAAGCTCGTAGTCGTGGGCGGTAGCGAGGATGGTGTACATACCACCACGGCTGGCCACAACGGCCACATCAGAGCGGGTGCCACCGAAGTCGGCGACAACAACCAGCTTGTCGGTCACGGTAGCCTCGGGGCGGGCATCGTAGGCCATGACAGCGGCAACGGGCTCGTGGATGAGCTGGAGGACATCGAGACCAGCGGCCTTGGCGGAGGCAACGAGGGCCTCACGCTGGGCATCTGTGAAGTCGGTGGGGACGGTGATAACGGCAGCGTTCACATCCTTACCGAGGAAGTCGGTGGCTGAGCGTCTCAGGCGCTGGAAGTGACGGGTGGTGATCTCGGAGACGGTGATGGTGTTGGGGGTCTCGCTGGCGGTGTCGCGGACGGTGAAAGCGACAGTGGCGTCCTTCTGCTGGGGGTGGGCAGATTGGTGGCAGGGAGTAGGGTCAATGGACTTGAATTCCTTGCCGAGGAAATCACGGAAGTATGCGACAGTGTTGGTGCCGTTGCGGATGAGTTGGGCCTTGGCCTGTGTGCCGTGGTACTCCTCACCGTCGATGTAAGAGAGGATGCTGGGAATTTGACGGTCTGAAAGAGATTAATTCGAGATCTCCAAGTGTGGGGGGTCCAAATCCTTACCTCCCTCCTCGTTGGCGATAACCTCAGCCTTGCCCTCCTTGAAGAGTGTCAGTCTCTCTCAAACATTTCAAACCAAAGGAAGTCAAACGTACAGGTGAGATACGGGCAATTGAACTGCAAGAGTTACCGAATGAGATACCAATGGCATAGCGCTCCGCCTCAGCGGGGGTGTTAGCCGCGTCACCCATGTCGAAGTTGGGAAGATGTGATTTTTTTGGGATTAAAAATGAAAAGGCTTCACGTCACAGCGTGAATGTAGATTCGGGGGGAGTATCCGATATATGGGGTGGAAGTATTGGCTGAGGGGGGACCGAAAAAAAGATTTTGAAGATTTTCGTCTGCCGCAAGTGTGGCTGGTGCCTTATCGATAGTCCTGTGGCGTTCGCCATACCTCCAAGGTTCTCGTGGACTTCACCTGCAGGTAGTGACTTCCAAGGTCGAATTTTTGACTATCTTTGGGCGATGAGCTTGGACTTAATGGCGTGTCATTCTTTGGATATGTATACATTGTAACTATACATCCCTTGACTCCGTTTAGACGAAGTTCGCGAGCCCGTTCACCAAATTCAGATCACGTGCCGATAAGAACCGCGATTTTCTTCGCAGCACTGCAGACAAGAGCATTGATCTCCAATTTCAAAACTTGGAACCCTCAAGGATCGCGTGATATTGGGCTCAACCTTGCTCTTGACTATACTACACACACCTCACTACAATGAGTGCACCACTGGTCTTGCTACCTAGTGACGAGGTCCCTCGCGAATACCTCCCCTCCAACAAGTCCAACCCACTACGACTGGGCCCTGGCCTCCGGCTCCTATCACAGCCCACATCGCAAGCAGGCGATTCCAACCATGTCTTAACGGCAACACAGGCAGGTCTCTTGACCACGGATGCGAAGAGAAACACAGTCTCGCTTCTGTCTTTCCCAAACCGCCGATACGTCCCAACCGTAAACGACCTCATTATCGCCCAAATCCACCATTCCAGCATCGATTTCTTCCACTGCATAGTGACCCCCAACACAGCACATGCCCTTTTGGGCCAACTGTCCTTTGAAGGCGCAACCAAAAAAACGAGACCACAGTTGAAGCAAGGCGAGCTAGTATATGCTCGAGTACAGTCCGTGGGAGTCGGCGCCGGCGCCGAAGTGGAGCTCACCTGTGTCAACCCAGCAACTGGAAAGGCCGATGGAGGACTGGGTCCCTTGGTCGGTGGAATGGTGTTTGACGTTTCCACCGGCATGGCGGCTCGTCTGATACGCGCAAGCTCTGCTTCCCCCGATAACACAGATGCTGTCGAAGGATTGGTTATTCTGGGTGAACTCGGCCGAAAGCTCGAGAGCTTGGGCGGGTTCGAGCTTGCAGTTGGTCGGAATGGAAAGGTGTGGGTGGATTGCTCTAATGCCGGAGAGAGCGCCATCGCTGTCACTGTTGCGATTGGGCGCTGTCTGCAGGAAACTGATCAACACAATCTCCACCCTCACGACCAAAAGAAACTCGTGACGAGAATTCTCCGCGATCTGAAGCTCGCATCGTGAGGACGGTCAAATGGCATGAGGGGGTCGAGCTGATGACTTGGATTGATCTTTATCCTTTTTATGCCAGCCTGTACACTAATAATGCAATCATGAATATAATTCCATTGTGTGCTTGAAATAATATTGTTAAGCAACTGTGCCATTTTGGACTGAGTTTGTATGATTGACCTAACATAGATAGCCGAGTAAACTGTCCCAGCCTCATTTTGACTCGGGAGTCACTTAATTCATTAATAAACAAGAACCTGGGGAATAATCAATCAATTACTGCAGCTTGGGCGCATACCTACATCTTTATGCAGGATAACGGTGGGCGGTCACCAAGGCGGTCTAAAATTTGTCCATGAAGTTTGATCGGCGTCAAAAGGTACATCCATCGCAAGATTTCTGTCCAACATGCCTCGTCCTCGTTTGTTGCGGTCCCGCAAAATGGGAAACTCCTCGTCGCAGCCTGCGCCAGCTGCAGATGAGATTCAAAACTCCCAGCCCACTGGTATGTCAATTCGAATTGATCTTGCTCCACGCATTCTCACAACAACCCGACAGTTCCTGAAACCCCAACTACCACCAGGACTGAGGACAAGACGACACGTCAGTCTCCGCAACCAACTGCAGCTTCGCCAGAAATCCCCGCGACCAATGGATCCGTAAATCAATCAAACGGTGACTCGTCCAAACCTACTAAGCGCAAACGCGATTCGGAACCTGAGCGCAAGAGCAAAGTCAAGCGGAAGTCAACGTCAAACAAGCAAACCGAAGATGACGTTGACCAAGAACCATCTGAACCCGTCGCAGTGCAAGAGGAAATTCCTGCTACTCCCAGTCAACCCACGCCTTCAAAATCTGCGCGCTCCAAAGCGAAGCGGGCTGACAAGATGGAGATAACCAAGACCGCACCTTCGACTCCCTCTGCACCAACCCCCTCCAATAATGGAGGGAAATATCGTACCCTGGCCCCAGCGACGGAAAAACCTGCTGGCAGTTTCACGCCTGATCGCAACTTCACGCCTGGAGGCACCAAGTCTGTCCGAGGCTCTAGGACACGCGAGGCAGACAGCATGAAGATCGGCTTCTACACGCCTGAGGAAGTACAGAAGCTCGAGACTTTCAAAATCGACTTCTGTACTATGCACGGTCTTTCCGCCTCCACGTTCGACGAGATGATCCAACATTCCGGTCGACGCGGAGGTGGGGACTTCCCTGTGGTTGCGGATGTCACCTCGAAGGTCGATTTTTGGAACGAGATTTATGGCCTACTTCCAGACCGTGATCGTCGATCCGTGTATCGGTTCATGCGCCGACATTTCCAAGCTTCGACGCAAAAGGCACATGAATGGACTGATGAACAAGACGACGAGCTTGTCGATCTCATCGATGAACACGGCCCGAAGTGGAGTTACATCGGTAGACTCCTTGGTCGAAGCGATGACGATGTTACCCAGCGCTGGAAAAACAAGCTTGAGCACAGAAACACAATGAACCAAGGTTCTTGGAGTGCAGAAGAGACAAAGGCTTTCTTTGACGTTATGGAATCATCCTGGGAGCTCACAAACACTCTCCAGGGCAAAAACACTCCCCAGAAAAAGAAAACAGGGAAGGATATGTACGACTGGGAGGACGGATCGGTCAGCTGGGGAGAAATTAGCAAGGCAATTGGATTCAAGCGATCTCGACAGCAGTGCGCAGACAAATGGCGGAAGATTGTTAAACAAGTCAAGACAATGCGGGCCAATGGCATCCCAGATGCCGTGTTCGATATCGAAGCGGCCATCAAGCCGCCCGGCCAACGGTCTGGAAGATCGGCTTCTGCAAAGAGCTCGGAATTTGTGCGTGAAGACGACGAGGAAGACGACAATGGGCAGCAGAATGGAAAGCCACGACCAAAGAAGGGCTCGCAGGCTGCCAAGTCATCACAGCCTGCCCCGCGGTCTGAATCAGAGTCCGATGGTGAGCTTCCACAGCCACCATCCACAACAAAGAAGCCCAAGAAATCCAAGTCCAAGTCTAAGCGCAAGCATGTCGACGAGACTGCGAGTGACAATCACGCTCGCTCCGACCGTCGAACGGAGTCCGATGCCGATGATGAGCCCGCGCTTCCCTCGCCTCCTAAGCCGACAAAGGAGGAGCGCCAAAAGGCAAAAGAAGCACTGCGGGCGAAACAGCTGCAAGAGCGCAGAAAGTCGAAGGCCGACGCCGAGGCAGAAGCGGAGACGGCGGAGCAAGATTCACGCAAAGAAGCCAAAAGGCTGAAGAAGACCCCGATTTCCGAGGAACCGAAGAAGGCGAAGAAAGCCTCCAAGCAGTCACAGGTGACTGAAACCTCCAGCGGCTCCAACTCTGGCCAGAGTGATGAACACCCCAGTCCCAGCTCTCCGGGGTCAAATCCGCCCAAAGTCTTGAACGAGAGTGAATCAAGTGAAGGTGAAGATGATAGTGATACCGAAACCGGTGCTGATAATGTGGATATCAAGCATGAGTATGACTCGGGAGAACTGTCAGAAGAACTGTAAGATGCATGCAGTTGCTAGTGTGCTTTAGTTTCTGTCGTGATACCAATTTCGTTACATGAGAAGCGTGAGAAATGAAAGAAATATAATTAAATCCTTGTGAACAAAGACATAAGTCGAGAGTTGGGCTCCGCACCCCTGTTTATAAACACCCCCTACATATACCACGCAGGGGACAGTATTTACCTATACAAGTATTGAATTGCGGTGGCCGAGATAGCCATCAATATAGGGCAATGGGGTTTTAAGTAGTCTTCTGCCGACAGAGGGCGCAGTACAGCCCTAAGCTAAAGCTCATCTTTCCTATCCTCGGTCTGCACAAACTCAACACCATCAGTCTGCTCACCAGCAACTCGACTAGCCAAAGCAGCAATCTCATCATCGTACACCGTCCACTCAGGAACTTGCCTCCTGGCTCGATCCAGCTTAGGCTCTTTTGTAAGCGGGTTATTGCAAAGATCAATAGTCTTCGCCTTGCTCAGGTCCTCATCAGCACACCAAGTCTCACACCAAAGCCATTCCTGGGGCAAGCTGTGGATGGGAATATGATGCTGCATATGATTGGGCAGATCCTGATCGAGATTGCTGAGACTGTTCGGGTCAGACGAGAGCATCTGGTATTGTCCACGCAGACGATCACCGGCAGCAAGAGCGCGGAAGCGCTTCAGGTCAACGACATACAGAGCCGAGATGTGATAGGGTCTACCGCGGAGGAAGTTAGACCAGTAGCCTTGTTTCCAGAAGCGGAAGCCTTCCATCTCGGCGCGGGAGTCGCCCATGGGTGTGAAGCCATAGGGGGCGTCTTGCAGGTCGTGGGTGACCAGATCGTGCATGTCTGTGCGGACAATTTGGTCTGCGTCGACGAAGATGACTTTGTCGAGGGAGAGGGGGAAGAGAACATCCAGGAAGAGCATTTTGTAGCCCCAGATCTCGCGTTGCTTTTCTTTCTGGGCTCGGAGCCAGTGGGGCCATTTGTAGGTCACCATCTCGTAGGAGAAGCCGTATTCCTGGGCAAGGGATGGGAGGAAGGCGCGGAAAGACGGTGATAGGAATTGCTCGATGAACCAGAACTTGACGCTGTGTTTGGTGTGGCGCATAACGGACACCATCATGATATTGAGCATGCGCTCGTAGAGGTGACCGCTTGCCACCGAGAAGATGTTGATGTCTGCGTGCTGTTCGCCCCCAGACTTGGAGTTGACACCAACGCTGGAGAGAACACCGGATGCAAAGCTCAATCCCTTGGCGAGATAGTCTGTCGCCGAGCCAGGTTGAATACCTGTCTCCAAGACATCCTCTTCCTCGTAACCCGGTTTGCGCGAGAGCCGTGGGAACAAAGTCCGGCCGTGGAAAGATAGCAGGGCAACCTCATTGTTCTGGTCACCGGGCTGGGGACGATATCCCAAAGCACCCACGCTATCAATCTTGAACAGCTTCTCGCTACGGCCAGGTTTTAGGTTGATTTGCCACAGGCCAGGCTGGGCCTTGAACTGGAAGTATCCCAGATTAGCCATGATGATGGTGTCCGCGAAATCGCGGCTCTGTTCTGTGCCTAGGGTGAGTTGGACTCCTCTTGGTGGAGTCTTTGTTGTGAGATCGCGAGAGTGGCCTTCGATAAGGATATGCTCTAGCGCATATGTAGCATCAACGTTCCCGCCATTCTTGACCGAGCTCAGCTTGATGTTGTCCAGATCATATACAGAGTCCTTGGGTGCTACAAGCCAAGACGAAGGGACATCCATCGCCAGGGTCAACAGTGCTTCGACTGGCACACCAGCAAACGAAGCTTGAGGCCGGGTCAGAGCACCCTCTTCGGTGAAGAATGGTTCCGATTCCAACACATAGCGGTAGAATCTCTTGACCGGAAGTTCCTTTAACTCTTCCTTTGGATTCAGGAAGATCTTCAATTGAACACCGGAAAGTTCCGAAAGAACCTTGAGGATCGGTAGCCATCGCTGAGCAACCTCAGATGCTGGGTCAAGGGAAACAGCAATGTTGATTGCGGGATCATCGGAGTTAGAAACAGTGATAACGGAGAGCTTGGTTCTCCACTTTTCAGACACATCCATTCTGAAGTCAGGCGTGCTTTCGAAAATGCCCTCGGGCACGTCCGAGATGGTAGAAAGTGCAACAAGAGATGTCAACTTAGCAAAATCGAGCGAGCTTGACACCTTAGTATCAAACCCGAGCTGGATGACGGCTTGTGCGATGACCTCGAGACGCTTAGCTCGCTCGTAGTCAACCAGTTGGCCCAACTCGTTGACACTAAGTGTGTTCTCCTTGTCAACGGGGCCAACGAGCCTTCCGTTGACAATGAGACCTTGTGTACCTGCTTCGAATCCAAGCTCTTTCGAAATCCGATGGTGGAGAGCCAGTTGCCCCTCGACTTCGGCAGCGGGCTCTGCATCAGATGCGGTCACCTGGAATACGACTTCATCCAGACTGCCACCCTTTGCAAGAGTGTTGAAAAGTGTGATCGCCTTGCTGGGGGCGTCATCAACATCCCGTGCTGCATTGTGCAGGACCAGTACTTCGACGTCATCTCGACCCTTTCTCAGATTCACAGCTTCGGTCAGTAGCTTGAAACCCTCCTCGGAGTCAAGGTCGGCTACAACGATCATGTGAGCGCTCTCTGTGGCACTTTTATCGGAAGCAAGGCGAGGGATCTTGCCCAGGACATCCTCGTTAGATCCAAGTACAGTGGCGATATCCACGATCTGAACACTCTTGGGGTCTTCGGGCATGAGGAAGGTGTTACGTCTCTCGAATGCACCGGCCAGGAAGAAGTCTGGAAGCCAGGCATCTTCCTCGAGGACGCCCTCGACAATACCCTGTTGAATCAACTTCAGATCTTTACTGATCTGCATGCTCAGCCCCTGCATCCAGTTTCCTTCGCGAGGCACAGGAATACCGTTCACAAGCAATTGAGGTGCATCACCACTGAGGCCCAATCGGCGCTGGTAGGCGTCCGTGTGCGGCACGAGAGCATTGTATTTGTCGCTCTTCAAGACCTGATCAAGCGACAGTGACTCAACCCCATCGGCAATGGTGCGATCGTTCGTCGCAGACTGGAAAGCGGACTTATCTGGAAGTCCATGTTTCCCCTGTGAAGCAAATTGTTCAAGATATTGGGCCAGGGACTCCAGACCATAGGCATCGAAGAGATAGTGTGCCACTTTCAGCTGTGCAACGGACTCCGGCGATGAGCCAGTAGGCACCAAACCGAATCTCACAGGTATACCGCGCTTTATGAACATTTGGATGTTACCAGCGATGATCATCATTTCATCTGGACGAGACAGATCGAGTGGCAGAATAACGTTATGCAGATCTCGTTTCACTGGGGGCAATTGACCGGGATGAACGCTGTGAAGATACGAATCGAGGTCACTGGGCCAGTTCTCATATCTGGACTCTTTTTCCAAATTGTTCAACCAGATAATAGCCTGGTTGTCTTCCAGGTCATCCCGGAAGTCATACCGTTGTTGATCTTCCTCAGCCTGCGCCTCGGTGATGAGGCGATGAGACAGCAACTTTACGGCATCATCAGCAGAGAGCCCGAGGTCGCGGAACTTTTCAATCAATTTCCTCTCGCGGCGGAGATGCTCGAGTAGGGTGAAAGCGTCAATCTGCTGCGTATCCATTTGAACACCGTTCACCCACATAGCATTGTAGCCTCCAGGGAGCATCCTCACCCGGTTGTGACGGATCTCCTGGGCCAGCTCACCCGAGTGACCATGAGAAGCCACAATGGAAGAATATTTCGGGAAGTTCTGAGACATCTTGATCAGTGTTTCCAGAGGGTCAGCGCTATCCATCACGTAGGCCGCAGACTTCAAGCCCAGAAGGTTCACTTCTGACGCAGAAAGAGGTCGTAGATCATCGGGAGAATCGCCCTTGAGCTCCTCCGGGTCCGTGGGACCCTTGGAGCCTGCATCGAGTTTTTCGGCATCACGATCATCAATCACAATGTAGTCCGTTCTTTTCAAAGCCAGCTCGACTCCGTATCCGGACATAAACAAGGGACGAGAGACCCAGTGCTGGGGAGGTCGGTATCGTACACGATACGAGATCTGACCCTGCTGGGCCATTTGGCTTAGAGTCTCGTGGAATTCTCTGAATGTCGGAGATGCGATATCCGCATACAAGACAGCCGGGGGAAGCGACACATCCCCCAGTACGCGGTCGAAAGGCAGTTCCCTAGGGTCTCTGAGGATTGTCAGTCACCCGCGCTCAAAAAGGTTACTGCTATACGCACAACTCTCCCTCGACGTCTTGCTGAGCGCGCTCCATTGCAGATGAGCAATACTGTTTGTCCTCCAAGTGAACCCAAACAGGACAGACCGCATCCTGGGCAACGCCCAATGACTGCTGAACAGACGTGTTATAGAATTGATAGTGGGCCTCGATTCGGGGTGCCGAAGACCGGAGTGAGAGCGAGAGCTTGAGCGATGAGAGGCTCTCGGAGCTTCGTAGATGCCCATCATCCTGAACGACTGTCAAGAAGCGGTCGTATAGTTCTTTCTCTGTTGTGAGGTCCTCGAATACACCTTCGGCTATGCGATCCAGCAATGGGAAGTAGGAGGTGGCGTTCTCTTCGGCGGCGGATTCCCTTAAAACATTAAATTAGCAACCAGCAAGCAAGCTCGGGTGACATTGGTTCAACGACTTACAGGAGCTCAACGAGATATGGTGCGGAGTCGAAGGAGGCCTGGAGCGCCACGTTCACAGACGGGCTAGCATTGACGAAATATCCTGGCAGCACAGCAGCAGCGGCAGCATACCACCGCCAGGAGATGCGGGGCCCTATAGACGGCTTCATATTTGTCCAATGCAATGGGCAACAGTCCCGTGTAGGTCTTTGTTTGGTGTGGGGAAAAGCCCCGTGTTGTGGGGTTGATCCGTTCGTGGGGTCTAGTTAGCTGATATGTAGATCAGGTCAGTAGCAAGCATCACGGGCCAGATGAGCCAGAGCTCTTTCAATAAAGAGCGTATGTGGATTGAGGCTGATTCGGCTGATCTGGACACTTTGAGCGTTGCCTTATCGGTCTCTTATCGCAGCTGCTACGGCGAGCCAGGCGGCAACTGCCGCATTTTGCTCGGTGGTGAGTCTGATGAGCACAGAAAGGCCCTAGGCTCGGAGGACCAGCCTGGCTCTCTTACTCTGTTGATGTGGCATGTTATGGGAGTCTCATACAGTCTAGATACAGGATGACAGTTTATAGTACCATGGCCTTGGGCATATGTGTGGCCCTCCCTTTCTAGCGAATGTTTGTTTGGCGTAGGAAGCCGGCAAAGAACGACAATAAAGCACCCATGAACATATTGACGCTGATGCAGACCTCGGGAGGCTCTAAAGCCTCGCTTGGTTCAAAGATAGGTAGACCAGAAGGATATTCTTTCTCTTGAGAGCACCAACATATAGTTCTTGGCCGACAGGTCATGTGGGATCGAGCATTAAGGCACTGGGGTCTACGGAGAACTCCGTAACATGGGGAGTCTAGTGATCTCTTTGGAATGGACAGGTCCAAATTCTCGATTTAGAGCCCAGCATATAAGTGCGTCATAGCTAGCAGGGATGCTAACCCCACGGGGGCTCATCGACATGAACTATTGGGGTCTCCACCAAGGTACGGAGTACTCCGTACGCAGTATGGAGTTGATTGATCGATCCATGGATTTTTCGTACCACATCAATGATGGCTCACTTGGCAGTCCATAATCCACCAAAGAAGTACCCGTGGACGGAGTACGGGGTACATTAAACCTTCAAGCACTTACTGGATACCTCTACAACCTACGAGGCCTGGGGCTGAACTTTGAAATATAAGAATGATGTGATAATTTGGCTTTTGGCTGAAATGAGATAATGATATCGATAAAAAAATGATGCTCAAGATAATGATGCTCCCGCCATGGGTAATGATAGTCCCGACTGGGGATAGGATGATGATAATAATAATTTTGAGATTTCAGATCCAGCTGAGTGGACGCTTTCATGAGGACATTAGTCGTAAATGAACACCCCCATATGCTTCCTTTTTTTGAAACGCCACTTGCTGCAAAGCAAACAAGTCAAAACAGATATGCAGCCTGGCTGGCTCCATGGAAAGAGGCACAGGCATTGAATGAGCACCAGCTCTGGGAAATCGGGCTCGCAGGTGGGGCGGCAGCGGCAGATTTGGATGAAAGCGAGGGATGAATAAGTCGGATGGGATGAATACAAGGGGGAAATGTGAGGAGTCTGCTCCGGGACCCTTTTTTGGGATTCGGATTCGGTTTCGGTTGGGATGATAGTGAAGCAGACGTGAAACTTTTGGTGAACTTAAAAGGCCTGGCCGATGTTTTGGGCTTCGGCCTGGGCTCGCTCGGCAGCCCTGCGGGCCAGAGCCTCATCGATCAGGCGGCGGCGCTTTTCCTCGGTCAAGTCGAAGTTCATCTTGGTAAAATCGGGAATTGGCTTGTACTTGTCGGTGCTCTTGAGGTCCTTGCAGGATTGCATTTTCTTGAGGTTGCGGGCCTTCTTGCCATCCTTTTTGCCCCATGAGGAGAGGGAGTGGGCGAAACGCTCCAGCACAGAGCCATGCTTGCTCGCACCATCGGTGGGCGCAGGGAACTCGGGAAGAGGCTTCTCGATCCCATAGTCATCTGAAGAATGAGAGGTAGAAGGGCGGGGACCAAAGCTAATGCCCGAGTCGGTGCGACGAGAGTGTCCAGCTATGATCGCGGGTGGAGGGGGCTCGTTGACCAGCGCACACTCGTCGATCATTTCCATGACCGCGCTCAGGTATCGGTCAAAGGTGTCATGGAGAGCTGGCCATGCGTTGCCGGTATCGCCAGGTCGCACGCCTTGATGCATAACGTCATGTAGAACGGCGGGGTTTTTCTCGTATGAGGCGATGATGTAGAAGAAGTTGTTTCGGTGGTTCTCCAGATTCTTGGGGGTCAGCTTCTGGGTGGGGCCATCACTGCCGTAGCGGACAGGAGGCAGCAGAGTGTTCAGCAGAGCGAGGCAGTTAGCCTTGTTGAACGGTTCAAGCATGATTTCGTTGATCAAGATCCAGCGGCGCAGGCCAATGTACACTTGGGTATACATGAAATCAATCAACCGAGCCTTTTGGCTAATATCCTTGTACCATTCGAGGACGCCGGGGAAGTTGCGGGCGACCTCTGAATGCTCAGGTTCTTGGACATCCTTGGGGTTGATGTGGAGTCGGCGGAAAGCATCGTTAATTTCCTTCTTCCAGCGACCCTGGAGGCTCTTCAGGTAATCCAGGCAAGCCAAGGCCACTTTGAAGTCGACATTACACAGATCCAGGGTGAAAGTGCGACGCACAAAAGACACGATAAAGCTCGGGGGGAGTGAGCAAGGCTGAGAAGGTAGCTCGGATACAGTGCGAGTCAAACAGGCACGGAACTCGGCATTGGTGTCATATGGGTTGGTCTCGTAGGAAGAGGCGGAAGAACGAGTCGAGGCGGTGGCCTTCGAGAAAGCGGAGTTGCGCGAAAAGACCGAGGAGGAGCGGGAACGATCAGACGCCGCAGTCCCCATGGCGGGCATGTTAACGGCTTGGCGGTTCAACTCGAACGCTGTTCGCAGTGAAATTTCGTAAGAATCAGAGTATCGCAAGCAGTGATCAAAGATCCAGGTCAATGCAGAGCCATCAGCTGGTTCCAATGATTCACGATCTTGAGACATGCTAGAGGTGGTGGAAGGTGGGGTAGATAGTGTAAGTGGATGTCCAGAGTACAAAGGAATAGCGAACTGGTTCAACAAGCGGCCAGATCGCAGTAGTTATGGACCGAGCCGGAGTGGCGGCTGGGACAGGTCGAAACCGGACCAGGGGGGAGCTCACACGCCCGTCAAGGAGAGAGGGCGATGGAGGCGCGCGGTTGGCTGAACCGGAACCTGAGCTGAGACAGCGCAGGTGAACAAAGAAAAAAAAGCTTTCGCGGCTGGCGAGTGCTTTTCCCGGAGATATCCCTTGGAACGGAGGGGATCCAATCACGACGCAGGATCTCTACGATCTCCTGCACGCCAGATCTGATGTATGCAAAAAGGCAGGCGGAAGACACAACTAGCTTCCGAGTGAAACGTGAGACAGGTCTGAGAACCCTTGAGCGAATGTGTGGGGGGTTGGGAAAGGATGGATGCAAAAAAAAGAGAGTCGAGATGATTGGAGAAGGGAGAGAGAGGAGTCGAAAGAGTTGAGAAAGATGGAGTGGAAAATGGGATCGTGGAGGGGAAAGCAGCCCATACAAAAAGGCGCGACAGTCGAGCCAAAGCCTGGACTCAATGGAACGGTGGAGATGGCAATTCATTTTTTGCACTTTGCTTTTTGCGCTTTTTCGCTTTCTTTTGTTTCGCCCAATTTGGGGGATTATTTCCCGTTTGGGTTTTTTTCTTAATTAAATAGACCTTCCAGATCCATGGATGCTGCTTTTTAAGCCCATCTCCACCGGTACCGATCCGCTGGGCCATGACCTTAGCTTCCTCTCTGTGCATGCCCATTGGCACATCCCAGAGGCGACAGCCGTTGGTTTCCCGTGATTCCGGACATCCCCACTACAATCTGCATCACGCCTTGCCTACTCTGGTAGGTTGTAAAACAGGCTCCGTACCTTTCCGGCTCATACGGAATAGCGCACGCGGAACTAAAAATTAGTTCCGTGAAAAGGACCGTTAGGCCATCGGCCTGTCAGATTGGTTTCTTTGTCACATATTGAGTAGCCTATGATGGACATATGAAGTACGATGTGTAGACATTCCAAGGCTGGAATCCCTTGCTATGTACAGGACTCCTACAGATCAGCTTCAGCTGTGGGCTCAGCTGGTCTTGGTTTTCCACTGTGGCTCAGTTGTGGCCACGTACTTCCGACTTCGCCTGCAAGATGTCGAACATTGCCACGAACCAGTCTATTTCGAGGAGTCCAGTGCCCCGTGGATAGAGGATAAAGTATTCTTAGACCCAATTATCGACTAGTGCAAAATGGTCTCGCTTCGATTGTGTGGAGTAACACGCAACGCCCCTGTGAAACCCCGTTATGCGTCCGCACAGTAGATCTGTCACAGGACAAAAATGAGTACATAAGTACGCACATCCCGCGGGCGCATACTACGAACAGGCAAACAGCCGCATCAAGGGGTGTCGAGTACGAGGTCTCCGTCTACTAGTACTCTCTGCTCCATACGATAAACGAAGATCAACAAACAGCCGTAATCGGACACTCGATCCATGGATTTCTGGAGCCGGGATCCATCGGGGTTATGTCATGTCCCGAGCTGTCATAATTGCCTGAGGTTATCAATCTGAAATCCCCAGCTTGACCTATCACTGTACGATTGTAGTTATGCACTCATCCGTACTCCGTACCCGGCCACTCTACGAAGTACGAGGACGCAGAGTACTTTCTTTCACATACGACTCCGTTCAGATGCGTGGATCGACAGGTCGCCCAACTTCCGCGACCCCTTGACCTTCCCAAAGTGGCATCGGCTCCACCATCCCGATCGGCGTCCAGCTCGACACTGATCCCCGAGTCCAGATGCAGGGATCGTCAGCGTCTTTGTTTGCTTCCTCGCCAATCAACCCCTGGGAAAATACACCCTGCGTGCCTGAATCTGGCGGCGATCATTTCATCATCAAAGACACGGCCCCGGGGGGTCCTTTTCAAGATTGCAATCTACCAACAACCGGCTACTCGGGTGAACGCCGGGCACGCTCTTTCGGAGCAATAGCTCGTGTGAACTGTTGGATGGGGCGTCGCCAAACGTCCAAATCATGCCAGATCGACACATCCAACGTAATTAATCCCAGACCCTGCCAATTTGACGTCAATTCCCCCTTTTACACATCCTCATCAATCGAATAAACCTCCAACCTGGCAATCATTGTACGTGCAGGGATAGTCACACAAATCGGGAAACCGCCGTAGTCCGGGTCCTCATTGGGCATCATCGCGAAAATCCCACTCCGCGTCTCGTCCCCATTCAACACCCGCAATGTCCGCAACTCACCACTCGCTTTGTCACTCACCGTCTGCTCCTCAAAATGCAGGAACCCGGTAAACACACTGCTGGGTGATAGGGAGCGCGCTCGGACCTGGAACCCCCATCCGATCAAGAGAAACCTCGGTCCGCCGAGGTGAATCACCATGCCAGCACCCGCTCCAGCCTCGCCAAACACAAAGCACCGCTCAATTGTGATCTCGTACCCACCCCAATGTTTGATAACAGGCTTGCACGAGTCGGAACCCTCCGCCAACTCGTCGAAGAAGAACCCGACTGAGGCGTCCGGGCGCGTCTGTGCGTCGAGCACAATCTGCGAGACAGAGTCCAACAGCCCGTAATGCCGTCGGAAGGGGTTCGTGCTAGGTTCTAACGTGTCGATTCCAAAGGGTGATACTCCAATCGCTTGGTGTGAGCCATACGCGGTCCAGATTCGTCTTGCGCCGTACTCGTCGCGTCGCTGCTCGGGGATAAACAGCGGCTGGTTGCGGTGGCGGTATTTGCGACAGGTACTGGCATAGTCATTCAGGTAGATGTCTGGTGCGATAAAGTCCAGCGAAGGGGCAAATCGCTGCCAGATGTCTAGCACATTGCTGGTGCCACCACCAGAGGGGTAGTCGCCCGGTGCTCCGCCACCCCCGACGATAGCGGGGGTTCCACTGTTGTCTTCGCCGTCATAGTTCTGCCAGACGTTGGTGTACAGCGGCAGAGGATATGCTTTCTTCCCTGCTGTGGCAACCTTGTCCACATAGTGCGCGTAGTTGTAAGCCATGAACAACTCGTCTGTGCGTGGACTCTTGCCAAAAACCTGCTCCCAAGTCCCGCGAGGATTCTTCTGGCCCCTGAAGTGATCGAGATGCGATCGCAGGTCCCCATGAAGGGCGTCCCAGTCCTGGACTAGGAAATCCACCAAGTCCTTCGGGACAGGCTCGTTGAAACGGGCCTCGGCTGAGGCTGATCCATCGCGAGAGTCACCAAGCAACCCTACTTCGTTCTCAACCTGAACCATAATCACAGTAAAGTGAGACTCATCAATCTCCTTGATATGACGCATCAATGTGGCGAAAGCTTTGGCATCAGCTTGGCATCCTGCCTCGTGGAAAAGCGATAGCACATCGCCAGTCTGCAGTACACCACCGGCTTTGCGTAGCTTTGCCCGAGGGAACCGCTTGGGGTTCGTCTTGACCCATGGTGGCACGTAAGTGGATAAACCTGCCCAGGGGATAGCATGTCAATACTTTGGTCAAAGAGTCCAAGACAAAAGCCAGCCATGAGCTTGGAGAGCGACATACCATTCTTGAATGAGCCGAACCACAGCAGCACCAACCGCAACCCGTGGTTTCTCGCTTCTAAAATGACCTTGTCCAGCTCAGAGAAGTTGAATTGATCTTCAACCGGCTCAATATCCTCCCAGGTAACACATCCCAAAACCGTGTTGATATTGGCATCAACAAGCTTCTGCCAGACGGTGTCCATGTACTCAGCAGAAGTGAGAGAAGAGTTCTGCAACTCAGCAGCTAGTGAGAGGAAAGGCCGACCATCAACAACAAGTTGTCGGCTAGTCTCCGTCTTCCGAAGATGCGGGATTTGAATGGAACCCAGCATGGTGTGGAATCCGATGGCTGAAGTGTTCACTATGAACCTAGCTCGAGCCCAGATTTGAGATTACATTCCTTCTTATTACCCGAGTCTCGCTCTACCCCTCATCAAATCCCATCGAGCCACATCATACTGCAAGAGCTATGTGACCTCGGTGAAGACTTTTCTATCTCTGATCGCCCGGCCCATCGGACAGCAGCAATGGTGCGGCATTGAGGCTGGATGATTGGACTGGTAGCATGACTGGGCTATGTTTCAATACCCCCGCAGTTGGAAATGCGTTGTGATCCGAGGCGTTGCGGGAATCAAAGCCATTGGCTGGAATCCCGCAATGTCAAGCGTGGCGTATCGAGATCCACGCCTTTCCTGATCAGGAAGTTTTCCGGGGTTATACAAAGTGTAATGTTCCTAAGTATTGATGGCGTCGGACGATAGTTATTCATTCATGGCTGTTTGGGGTAGTAAGAGGAAAGCTATGTGTTGATTTCCAGCATCAGTAACATCAACATATATGCAGAACTTCTAACCTTGGAAGGTTCCAAGGCTCGCTGCAGCTTCGTCTGTTCAACCACCATGGATATTCAAATATAGTATTCCTTCGCAAATGCCGGGAGATTAGTGGCGAAAGTATCCCTCACTTTGATCAGTGTCAGTGCATTCATCTCTAAGCAATGGTAAGTGCAGGTGTGTTTCAAGGTTCCTCATACCTGATTTCTCAGTAAACACTATGGTCAAGTCGCCGTGCTCGGCGGGATACTGTGGACTGGCGAGACTGACACCGGCCAGATCCTCATTTGGCATCGGATACTTCGCGTCGATAATTCGCACACCATATCCATTCTTGTCCTCAAAGAATCCGATCTCGTCAGTGCTTTTCACAGCAAACGACATACATCTTCCATGGCGGAAATTGTTGAATGCGGCAAATAATTGGAAAGAATTATTCCGTCGGAGTACTTGGATCCTGGTCAATCCTGCACACCATCTTTTGGTAGCTAGTGGAATCTTTGTCCGCGGTCGCGTGAATATGAAATCATTCACGAGCCTAGTTCATGCTTCGTGGTCAATTTTGTTGGTTTCGCTTTTGGCAA